AATTGCAGCCAGGTTTGATTTGGAATTACTTCAGTACGACGCAGTCAATGCATTCGTTAATGCTAAACTGCCTCATCCAGTATATATGAGAATGTGTCAGGGTACGGCTAGGCCGAAGGCAATAGTACAGAGTGATGGGGAGTAACGGGCGTCCCTCCTACGTAGCACCGGGTGGTCACTGGCGGTCTCAGGTAGGGGTGCCCACGGTGATGCATTGATCTCTGCCCTCTCTATCTTCCTTCGTCTCGACTCCTTACTTATAGCCAGCCGAGGTTCTCTCTCGGATTCTGGATGTTTGCTTCCGTATGTCTGTGTTCCTCCGACTTCGGCCAATATCTTGGACAGCGGCTCCTTATCTGCAACCAAGCGATTCCCTATCCGTTGCAAACGGCTTCCTACCTGGTGGAAGCCGGCCCGCCTCGGATGACACTTGTGGCTCTGACAACTCCTTCCCTATCCTACTTCGAGATGGTCCTTATATAGATAGCTAGGCCGCCGCTTGGACCCGGCATAACAGCAGGGTCGGCGATGCCAAGGATCTTGACTCTCGTCATCCCAAAGCTTCACATAGATTGTAATCATGACTCGGGAGTCTTTTGTCCGAAACACCCCTCCGGCGGCCCGCCGGTGTCCTGCGTTCAGTGTCCTGACACCCACTGGTGCCTATGGCATTCTGTTCTCTGACAGAATGCCACCTGGCTATAGGAAAAGAAGCACGATACTCTTGCTACTCAAAGCACTCTACGGACTGCGAGAGTCACCTCTACTTTGGCAGGAAGAGTTCACCTCTACTCTAGCTAAGTATGGCTTCAAGTCAGTCCCTCATGAGCCCTGCTGCTATACTGGCAAGAATATACTAATCTTCTTCTACGTGGACGATATCGTCGTCGCATTCCATAAGAAGGATCGATCTGTAGCACTCTCTACAGTGGAACAGTTACGACAGTCTTACGAGCTGACTGGCGGAGATGACCTACAGTGGTTCTTGGGCATCGAAGTTCTACGGGACCGAGAACAAAAGCTGATCTGGCTATGTCAATCTGACTATGCGGACAAAATCTCGAATCTTGCTACCGAGCCTGAGAAACGATCCGTCGAAACGCCAATGTCAACCGAAGAGCTCTTACCCTACGAAAAGCGGTCTGACTACGCCACAATAAACATCTATCAGCGTAAAGTCGGATCAACTATACAGACGCTAGGATCACGGGACCCCGCATCGGAGGAAGGAAAGGACCGACAGGTCACGTGACATACAGGGGTGGATATGTTGGATATGTTGGACAGCCAACATATCCAAATGAGAGCCATGCTTCCTGTATATAGGACCACGCCAATACCGATCCTGCAACGGGAAGCGGCACTACCGCCAGCAGAAATCGCACTCGACGCAAAACTCTATGCGGCTTCTGTTAGATTACACAAACTGGATAGCCGCCATCCCTTACGCAGGAGGCTCAGACATCCTACGGGCCCCGATTCGAGGTTAAGGCGTATGGCGAGCCTAACCCCAGATACTGCAGAATATATAGATCCTCTGCAAATACCGCCCTGGGAGCAGGCTGGCGAATGGTCCATCACCCTCGCCAAGATCGGTTATATCCCAGGACAGTCAAAGGAGGAGGCTGCCCGCTCGTTTCTACAAAGGATAAACGAGTTTTCAAAGCGCGATATAATAATCTATACAGACGGCTCGCTGGCTACCCATAGCGACAGGACCTTAGCTGGAGCAGGCTGGACTGGTTATCAGGCCGGTAAAAGACTACTCTGCGGGTCCGAACTACTGGGCTCTCAGATAGAGGTATACGATGCGGAAGCCCACGCAGCACTACGGGGGCTTCAGGAGGCTGTAAAGCTTCCGTCCAACAGCATGGCAGATAACTTCCACATCTGCCTCGATAATCTCGCGGTTGCGGGTAGGCTCATCTGTCCAAGTCCCGGAAGCAGTCAAGCAAAATTCACCGCCTTCCAAGAGCTGTCCAAAACCTGGTCACAGAGAGAGCGAAAACCCTGGACATCCCCGGGACAAGTGTATATCTGGTGGTGCCCAGGACACGTAGGCATCCCCGGAAACGAAGAAGCAGATGTCCAGGCCAAAGCGGCCTGTGAGCAACCACCCAAGACACAACACCCGGCCTCATTCGCACATATAAAGAGAATCGCGAGATCCTACACTTGGAAGAGTTTCAACGATCGATGGGCCACTACCTGCCCTCAACAGTATCGAGATTTAGGGATCGCTATCCACCCGCGACCCCCCGAACTTGGCCTGCCCCGGCAACACCTAGGCAGATTACTCGCAGCGAGGTCGCACTACGGGGATTTCGTGACCTACCACGAGAGACTCCAGCATCGCGACGCACTGCTCAACTGCGGGTGTGGAAAGACAAAGACACCAGTCCACTTCTACTTTTGCAAGCGCGGCCGCAAGGCCACGCCCGGTCATCTAAAAGCGCATATGGCCAAGAATAGTATAGATTCCCTCCTAGGCACGGCCAAGGGAGCTCGTTTGTTTTGCCAATGGGCGGAGGAGACCAATTTCTTTACTGAGATCTGCCCATCGCACTGAACAGGAATGTTAGATGAAGACAGTCCCCTGTAACATAGATTCGACTAGCATAGACCATGCCGGCACTGCGCCCGGCACGTCTCACGTGATGAGACGTTAAACTTTCAATCAATCAATCAAACCAAATGATCCAGAAGAAATAACAGGGGTGGATATGTTGGATATGTTGGTTGTCCAACATATCCAAGTGGGGATCAGTGAAGGAGAGATGGGCATATAAGGGACAGGACTCCCAGGCATTTCATAGATAGACAGTCTCTACTTCAGTGATCAATCTAAGCATCAATCTAACCCATTGGTGAGGCAAACTGCCTTGACGACTCTATTCCCAGTTACCCTACTTGAATACTTCAGTTACCCAAAGCACTCTACTCCATACGTCAAACCCCGATATTATTGCTTGAGGACTCCGCAGCAGGACTTACTTACTAGCACAAACCCTTACAGACTCTTTAGTGGTTTACGCAGCTAGACTATTAGAGGTTTCGTTACATGAAACTACTCAGAATCGTTATCTTCAGACGTCTCTACATCATTTCCACAAGTGCGCGCATTATGTCCGGGCTCGCCGCAGATTCTACAGCGCCGTACACGCGCAATTCGCCGCCTCGTACGACCACCAATTTGACGAAATTCGTCATGTAACTGCCCATCAACCTCTCGTTGAGACTGTAGGTCCTGTCCAGCTTGTATACGAAGTGACCCTCCACTCTGTAGCTGTTTTTTCTTCTCACGGCGACGTCGACTTAAGGTCTCATTTGCCTTTCGAAGTGATTCGACCTCGCCTTCTAAAAGGGCAAGCCGATGCATAACCTTCGTTTTACCTCGCGCAATCTGATCTATTCCAGCAAAAATTGACGTTGGTGAGCTATTTTGATGTCGTACAATCCTATTTTTCACATAATCGCTTTGTGATTGGGCTTCGGTTGGGTTGTTCGGAGTCTTTGATTCCCAAGGGACGGGGAGACCAGCCGAGCTACCCGGAGGTGTTGGCGTATGTAATTTCACATCGAGCTGTGATATGACATAATCTGCATCGTACGGAACTATTCCTACCCCTCGGAAACCTCCTTGGATATTTGAAACCGTGAAAGTTGCGTTGTACGCGTTTAAAAACGCCGGTAAAAAGTCTTCTTTCGAGATACGACTTATATGTGCTCGCATGAGATCTTCGATTTCTTTTCCGTACGCTCTTTTTAACCCGCGAAAACAACCAACATCAAGAGGCTGGAGCTTATGCAACGAATGAGGAGGCATACAAAGCGTGACGATATTGTTAGCTTTGCAATATACCTCGAAATCGATCGAGTGATGGCTTTCGTACGAGACTTGGTGTGATGATCGAAGTGCTTTATACAATCTTCGCCTCTCTCGTTCGTAGTCCAGCCATTTTTAGTAACTGCGATAACCCAATCAGGCGGTAATGGGCTGTTTTCGTACCATGACGAGAGGTGGGTTTTGCCGGCGAAAATGATGTACGGAGGGAGGGCATAACCGGACGACCCAACGCCTTGAATAACTGTAACCCATTCCCGATTTCCTTGCTGGGCTTCTCTAGGCCTTCCGCGCCGATCAGAAGTCGTCACGACCATTTCAGACGAGATTTGATTTGGCCCATCACAAAACCGGTCTCGTCGAAGTTGTAGATATCCTCCTCCTGGATCGCGTATTTCGCAATTGTATTCCGTACCAGGTCAAACCACGCGCGATACGGGTCGGGGTCTTCGCAGAGGACTCTCTGATAGTCGATCCTTCGATTTAAACGCGTCCGGAGGTCTGGTTGTCGTCTTACAAAGCTCGAGGCCCAGTTGACGCCGACGCGTCCTGCGTCGCGACTTCGAAGTAATCGGTTGGCCATATCTTCAACACCACTCAATCGGGGAGGAAATGCTCGCGAATATAGGTCGTTTATATGTCGTACGATTGCCTCTTCTTCGGAAGGAGTCAACTTTTGCGTTGGCGATCGCGTAATCGCTCGAGCGGTTTTACCGTCGCGTCGATACGCAAGGGTTCTAAAAGGTACGTTATAGATCTGACCAGCGCGACGTACACTTAATTTTGGATCAGATTGAAGCGCATGCAATGCTAGAATCATATCACTTTCATTCCAAGAACCAGCCATAGTTATGTGGTGAAGAACCGCAGGTCAAAGTGGTAGCGTACGAAAATCTGCCGAAGTATGCAATTGGACCGTGGACTACGTTAACTAGAAATTGTTATGCTGCTTGACCGGATATAATCTACCTGATTCCCAAATAAAACCCTCTGGAATAGGCCCTTATGTAACAAAACCCGTGCCCTTTGGAGGCAACTTGGTATGTTCCATCGCCCAAACAAGTGAAGCCGCATATGTAGACAGACAATCATTCCCATGCTAGAATGTCTGATCTGGTAAATCTATCTCTTCGCCAAGTTTCTTGTTCCTCGGCTCATGTTGGGCAACATTCTTCGCACTTTGGCATTCTCGGCCTTCGTCAGGCACGAAACAAATAATGTCTTAGCCGACAACATCATCACATCAGACGAAGCCTTCTTCGGCCTATCGCCTCCCATTTATCCAGCTTGTCGGTGAAATATCTCAGCTCAGCCTCGTCAGATAGTGCGCTCATGTATATTATAGCCGTTGAACCTGGATCTAGCGGCTGGGAAGATGCATTTTCCAAGGCGCGAGCTCTCGTGGGCCAGATGACTCTGGACGAAAAGGTCGTGTCCTCTGTGTTAAAGCGATGTGGTACAAATTCATTGACTCGGTTTGGTCAGGTGAATATTACCGGAGGTATCTCGATGAGCAACCTGTGCTCTGGCCACATTCCTCAGATCCCGCGACTCAACTTCTCCGACCTCTGCCTCAATGACAGGCCAAGTGGGCTTCGCTCTACGAATATCTTGTCGAGCTGGTCCACTGCGATTTCCGTTGGCGCCAGTTAGGATGGCCTCGAAGCCTGAGCCGCATACAAACAACTGGACTCACAATGTTGTAGCTTTAATCGTACACTAACACTACGATGAGCACTGGGCATGGCTAGCGAATTCAAAACTAAAGGAGTAAATGTGGCTCTGGGTAAAGTTATCGGTCCACTGGGACGCATTGCCTCTTGGGGAGGGGGTAGGGGGGATGGGCGCAACGAGTCTCAACTTGATGAACAGGATTCTCCAATGACCCCTATCTTGCTGGCGTATTGGTAAATGAAAATGTCAACGGCATGCAGTCAGCTGCCGCCATCACCAGCACCAAGGTAAGCGATGGTCGTTCAGAATATTCGGCAACAGGTCAGGAACTGACGTATTTCAGCATTTCATCGCCAATGAACAGGAAACTAATTGAACGCCACAAGGCAATGCTACAGCTGTGTCTTCAAATGTAGACGACAATATGATGCACGAACTTTATCTCTGGTACGGCTCGAAAGCCATCGAGCATGAAGTTGGGCGCAACTGACCATGACAACAGGCCTTTTCAAGATGCCGTGAGGGCCGGAACTGGCTCTATCATGTGTTCGTATCAACGTATCAACAATTCTTACGGCCGTGCAAATAGCAAAAATCCAAACGGGCTTCTCAAGACTGAATTGGGCTTTCAAGTACACAATCCTTAGTGCCTTGGAAGCTTTCGCTAACTATAAAAATAGAAACGTCAGAGGCGATTTCTGAGCGTCTTTGCGCTGATATGCGTTCTGGGCTGATGGTATATACTGCCTCTAGAGTCCTTGATTGTGACAATAATTTTGATCAATACCAAGCCGCGACTTTGGATCGAGGCAACATAATGGTACACATACTCAAGGTTCTCGTGCCATTGATGGCCTTGACCACAGCCCAGTCAACCATCGACGCAAAAGAGACAGCTGAAGTGACGACCCAGGTTGAGACGATCGACGTCGGCATCACGACCGCCGAATTCCCCGAATCGGCACCGGCATCTTCGGTTATTGATTATGCATACGGCAGCACAGTTCCCACATGTAAGAACATTATGTGTCGCTTGCTCCCCTTGCCAATGTTTCTTGGCAGGAACTATTTGAATAGCCGTATCAGGAGTTCATGCTCTTGAGACATAATTTGGAATTCTCACGCCCATGCCTATTGTACTTCAAAAGAAAAATACTGATCCCAAAGTGAAGGGGCTACGGGTTCATACTACACGTCACTAGCCAGCATCATCTACGGCCTCGACAAGTCGTTCTACAAAAGTCCTCAGTACACCAGCGTCGGCGAGGCCTTATAAAGTGCCGTGGAGGCAGCCGGCGACGAGGCGGCCCGGTCGTGGGCGACCATCACGGGCATTGAGTATTCAACCCTGACGGCCGAGTCTTGGTACTTGAGGGTTCCTTCCGATGTGCAATCCGAGCTGTCAAGTCTACACGATGCCTATACCTCGGTCGAGGGCTCCCTGTCCCGACTGGCCCTCACTACTCCGACGGAAGAGGCGGAGAAGACAGATATGCATAGTTCATCGAGCCGAGCAGGTGTGGCTGCCGGACCACAAAAGACGGGCATGGCTGTAGCTGGGGCTGTTGCTGGGGCCCTCGTCGCTGCTGCTTTGTGAGATGAATACTGCTTCTCTTCCCTGTGTCTGAAAGATGGTCAAGGGAACATTGTCACTTGAGTAAGTGGCGGTGGCTGCGGAGGCTTGGGTTGCTCAGGCATTCGGGGGATTTGAGATTTCGATCATTTTGGGAACAAAACACAGTCCCAACTCAGTTGGTTCTAAGTGATAAAAACCACAAGCTATTAAATAAAAATATGGCACATCTTTACAAAGCTAAACATGGATGCATCAAAGTCGTTAACGTACCCCACAAGCAAGTTGGCCACTTTTTCTTGGCACCGTACGAACAACCTTTTAATTAACATCTTTACACATACCAAGATGGGATCGAATTGGAAAGAAAGCAACATGATTCTAGCGTGTCAGGCGCTTCAATCGAAACCCGAATTAAGCATCCGACGCGCTGCCCAACTCTACAATATCCCTCGTACAACTCTAGCTAACCGAAAACGCGGACTACTATCTCGACGCGATACTCGACAATCTAGTCATAAGCTTACGGAATCAGAAGAGTTAGCGGTCGTACAATATATACTTGACCTAGATTCGCGATCATTTCCTCCCCGGCTCCATGGTGTTGAAGCTATGGCTAACCGACTGCTCCGTGACCGTGGCGCTGGACGCGTCCGCGTCAACTGGGCCTCGAACTTCGTACGACGACAACCAGACCTTCGGACGCGTTTTAATCGAAGAATCGACTACCAACGAGCCTATTGCGAAGATCCTGACGCGTATCGCGCGTGGTTTACGCTCGTACGAAATACAATTGCGAAATATGGTATCCAAGAGGCGGATATCTATAACTTTGACGAGACAGGGTTCGCGATGGGCTTAATCATCCGAGATGGTAGTTACAAGTGCCGAACGACGCGGAAGGCCTCGTACAGTCCAACAAGGCAATCGAGAATGGGCTACAGTAATCCAGGGTATTAATTCGTCCGGCTGGGCTATCCCGCCGTATATTATTGTCGCGGGTCAAAACCACCTCTTATCCTGGTACGAGAATAGCCCATTCCCGTCCGATTGGGTAATCGCTGTAACCAAAAACGGTTGGACAACAAATGAGCGAGGCGCAGACTGGATTCAGCACCTTGATCGCTATACGAAGGATCGTACGAAGGGTGTTTATCGTCTTCTTATCCTCGACGGGCATGAGAGCCACCACTCGACTGACTTCAAGCTATATTGCAAAGAGCATACTATTATTACACTTAGTATGCCTGCTCATTCGTCACATAAGCTCCAGCCTCTCGATGTAGGCTGTTTTAGGGCTTTGAAAAGGTCTTACGGCAAAGAAATTGAAGACCTAATACGGGCGTATATAACCCATATCTCGAAGGAGGATTTCTTTTCGGCATTCTATAGGGCGTATCGTACGACTATAACTAAGTCGAATATCCAGGCAGGTTTCAGGGGGACAGGACTTATTCCGTACGACCCGGAATATGTGATTTCACAGCTGGATATTAAGCTACATACGCCTACACCTCCTGGGAGCTCGTCTGGCGCCCCCTTAATCTGGGAATCAAAGACTCCAAATAACCCAACCGAGGCGCAATCCCAGTCTGAATACGTTAAAAACAGAATCGTACAGCATCGGAATAGCTCCCCGACGACAATACTTGCGGCTATTGACCAATTTTCACGTGGTGCGACGGCTGTTATACATCGGTTAGTTTTACTTGAGGATGAGGTTACTACACTTCGGAAGGTCAATCAAGAGCTAAGCCGTCGTCGAAGGACTAAAAATCGACAGCTACAAGATAGAGGATCTCTTAGTTTACGAGACGCTCAGGACTTACAGTCTCAACGGGATATTGAACAGCAGCTACAGGATGATATACGTGTAAGTCGTCGTCGTACGAGACCGGCCGAACCACGCCGACGGCGCTGTAGGATCTGCGGAGAGCCCGGACATAATGCCCGTACTTGTGAGAATGATAAAGATACGTACGAGGAAGAGGATTCCGGTTAGTTTGAATTATTATTTTTTTAGTTTAGTTAAGTTATTGAAGTTATTCATACGGTGCCAAGAAAAAGTGGCCAACTTGCTTGTGGGGTACGTTATGCCTAAAAATTGATATATGTAAGACGGGTGCTGAACATCCTCCTGAGTATATACAATCTTTTCAATCCAGTTATACCATGTGTCTAGCGGCGGAGGGGGGATACTCTTCAATGAGACTATGCCAGTGCCTTGAGGCATGAAATTTGTAGGTGAAACTGGTATTGAAGATATTTCTGACAAGCTCTGTGCCTCGCTAGCTAAACTAAATCCCTTCATGATGAACGGGTTACTTTCAACATTCTCCTGGGATACTTTTCCATTCGAATCCAAGGCCACGTGATGTCAGTAACCTACAGGCCATCAATCGCCCATGCAAGAAACCGTTCCATGCCCCTAGATTTGGGGTCCGGATTCGATATGTACTCTGCTGCGGCTTCGTAGCTGCCGCTCCTAGGAAACACGGAGGCGGCAAGGCATCGGTGTGTGATGGAAATGGGAAGAGCCTGGCTAAATAGTTGGGGAAAATGTGTTGCTCGCAGGCTTCACGGAATGCAGATCGAGTTAAGTTGCTGGAAATTATTTCCCAATCATGCGTTAGTGAGCAGTGACTACGCATTGCAATCGCGTTATTCGATCAAAGGGGAAATTGATTGAACCAGTATCTGTTGTCACAGTCAGCATCAATTGAAGTCCACTGATACGTAATCTCGAAGCTGGATATTCCGAGGAATATTTCATGTCAGCCGCACTTCTACTTCTACCATTACCTCTGTGGGGAGTCTTGATAGGTACAACAAGAGTTTCGAAGGAATACGCCATTTACTCTGAGCCCATGCTACCTCACCGTTGTCAGTACAATTAGGGACCTGTTTATCGACCAATACAAATCAATCAGTTAAAAAGAGCATGTCGAGACATAATTCTGAGGTATATAAGTGCCTTTTGTGCGGTATGTCTTATTGAAAACTTACAACATGGCCTAACATGGCCTAACACCATTCATCAGGTCGAGTTCATCTTCGGCATCCATTCATGTTTACCAACGCTATCTTTTGTGTAGTTTTCTCAGCTGCTTGTCTACGGGTGTTATTGAGAGCCAAGGGGCAGTTACAGATCAGTACCATCCAGAGTGTTGCCTGGTGCTTTGATGTGTGTGGGTGTGTGTTACGGCACGGTTGAGCCGGATCGCTATTCGGTTAATTTGTTAGAGTCGATATTGTGCACCTACATGTGTTATTTCAAGGATACTGTCTTCAGTAAGGACTCTGTATTTTAGTTCTACCAGCCCAGCTTCTCATCTCCCAAGGCCTGAGGGATCCGATCACTTCCTAGGGCCACACGCGGTGTTTTTCAGAGGTCAATCGGAACCATAGCAGGTTTGTGTACATCGCCCAGGGGTCACAAGAGGTGATGTACAACCAGCAAACGAGACCGATCCTGTGGCAGTTAGGCTAGAACCGTGAAATTAAATCCTATCATGGAAAGGCTTGGGATCTTTAGAGTCTTGGCATAATGCTCGCAGAAAGCTGAGGTAGCTATAGTGCCCTCCTACAATGAGCAATGAAACGGAAATCGGCATTGACGGTGTTGTACAGAAAATTCAGTCTTACGCCCACGACACCTGATGGTTATCCAGAAACATCTCGGGTTAGTCACAACTAGTTGATCTTAAATATACGAGAATAAACACAGTCTATAGCTTGATACATCGATGTATATTCTCTGTAGTATGGTCCAAAAGACATAGAGTCACATGTACCCTATGCGAAGTTGACCTCCCAATCCGCACCTACACGGACGCCTAATCTACTCAATACCACATAGGCAGCCTTCGCACCTTCCGCCTTATGATATTCCAAGTTGACGGGACGCTCCTTGCTTTCCGACTTCACCGTTACTTCTATCTTGTTTGCCCAGCTGGCTGGCGCGCCAACAATAATGACCTTGTCAAAGCTGACGTTATAGAATCGCTTCATCCAGTCACCATCACTAAGGCTCTTACCCTCATGAGTCGATGCGGCAGTGGATGTAAGCAACTTATCCTTGAGCTTAAACAGCCGATGGATATATTGTCCCTTCTGGTAGTCAAAGCTATCGCCATCGTCGACGTACAGGTCGCCCTCGGCCTTTCCGTTTTTGCCCAGCACGACAACGAGAGTGAAATCGTCGTACTTCATCAATTGAGTCGACCTTCTTGGTACATCACGGCGCGGGAAGATGTGGCCACCACGCATGAGGACTGGGATGGTCTCAATGGGTGCCGGAACGGAGGCCGTCTTGCCCTTGGAGGTGGGCAGCTTGTGATACGTGAAGTAGTCATAGTAGTTCTCATCATCGGGGATGTACACATCTGCCGTATCCTTATCCTTCTCAACGACTGGCTTAACGAGCAAGCCAGTCGAACCAACGAAGAACTGGTCATCCACAGCGAAGCCGCTTTCCTCACCCGGGTGTGTCCAATACATAGGACGGATGATGGGACTACCGTCTCTATTGGCGTGGAAGAAAGCAGTATACCACGACGGCATCAGGCTGTAACGGAGGCGAAGTGCCGCCGTGATAATGGAACGGTATGGTTCCGCAGCCATATACGGCTCCCGACGACGGGCGTCGATATGTGCGTGGCCACGGAAAAAGGGGTAAAAGGCACCAGCCTGGAACCAACGGGTCTGGAGCTCGAGCTCAGGATTGCCAAAGAAACCGCCCACATCAGCGCCCGAGAAGGGAAATCCTGCAATACCCTGAGCAAGTATCATGGGCACGGCTGCACCAAGATGCTCCCAACTGGCTTGGTTGTCTCCGGTCCACATAGCCCCGAGCCGCTGAGAACCAGCGAAGAAAGAGCGTGTGAGCACGAATGGACGCCGGAGCTCGCCTGTCTTGCGCGTTAAGAGAGCCTCATAGGTTGCGTTGTGGAACGTCATGCCATTGATGTTGTGGACGTCGCGGTGCTCCCAACCGCCGTGGTGCAAGTTATCCTTGGGCATGGTAACTTCTGGTCCGTTGAACACCGAGGGCTCATTCATGTCGTTCCATATATATGTGTTCTCCAAAGTGCCCTTGAAGGCATCGTACTTGAACAACGAACACCACCATTTGATAGCAGCCGGACTAAACGCATCGATCCACATGGACGAACCAGGCCAGCACCAGCCGTCAAAGTCTTTGCCATCCTTGTTCTTCACAGCCAAACCCTTAGACTTCATTTCGTCAATGACGGGATAGCTGCCCGTGTTTTTGATATGTGGGTCGATAATGATCACTAGCTTCCTGCCATGTTCGTCCAATTGTTTGCCCATGGAGATGGGGTCCTTGAACATGTTGGGATCCCAGGTGAAGTATTTCTTTTCATCAGTGTATTCAATATCAAGCCAGATGACATCATAAGGGATCTTGAACTTGTCCATCTTGCGGTCGACCTCCTTAACGTCGTCGTCAGAAACATAATTCCAGCGACACTGGTGGTAACCAAGAGCAGACTCTGGCGGCATGGCCGTGGTGCCGGTAAGCTCAGCATACTTCTTGCTGATATCTTGAGGTGTTGGACCGAGGAAGACAAATACATCCATCAGCCCAGATTCGGAGATCCAGTGGGTGTGCGTGCTAGTCTTTGTTGCGATGCCGAGGGCAAGGGGGTTCTTGGACTCTTTGGCTTTCGTAATATCAACCCAGGTCTCAGCGCTGTTGAGCCAGAAGACACCGACTGTCGAGTCCTTTCGCTGTGCTTGCATGAATGGAATGGCGCCATAGAGTGTCATGGGACTGTCCAGTATGTACTCAAAAACATCCGCATTGTACAGCCTGTAGGGCTCCTCGTAGTTTCCCTCGCCACCACGAGTCTCCTTTAGAGACAAGGGACCAGCATGTTCAGGAATACCGTAGACATGATCATATCCGTGGAACGAAATGTCGAGGGCCACACTCTCGGGGCCACGAGGCTTGGAGTCGGTGTTGCCTCCAAAGGTTTCGTCCCACCACGTGCTCTCGTCCAGATGTGGAGGCACCTCTTTCGGCTCTTGTTTCTGCTCCTCTTCGCCTTCTTTTTTCTCTTCTTCCCCCTCCTTCTCAGGTTCGACTTTGTCGACCTTAGGCCTCCAGTGTTCCATGTTCATTAGCCCACGGTCGTTAAACTTGATGTGGGAAGTACCATCGCGTTTGAAGTCAATAGCGAATGGTTCGTACTTGATCTCAGCCTCGAATTCTAAGTTTGGGCCATACTTGATGGTGATGCCCTTCTTGTCTTGGTGTGAAATCTTGGCATCCTTGTCTAGAGTTAACCCTCCAACAATGGCCCATTTCTCGGCCTCGTTGTATCGTTCTTTTCTTGCACCGCTGCCATTTCGTAGCTCTATGCTCTTTGCCTGGCGCTTTTCTTCGTCGACAGTCACTCGTGCGGTGCCTGACAGCAAGAAGGATACGGTTATAGGGAGGTTAACGGTGGTGCCCTGTTGGTCTATGGTCTTCAGAATGGTTGCTTCGAGTTGGCCATGCTTTAACGAGACCTGGTCGTGGGCGATTGTATATGGTGCTTGCCATGATGTTCCTTGGGAAATCGCGTGGTCTGCCAAAGCTCGGTTGCGTTTACAGAAGCCCGACTGATGGCACTTCTTGAAATCGTTTTCCTTGACCATTACTGCGATTGGAGCACCCGTGAGTTTCACATGACATCATAGAAAGGTACCAGGATCTGGCACGTACCTGCAGGTGTGAAGAGGGAGAAAAGGACGGACAGGAGACAGAGATAAGCTGTCCATCTCCAGGACAGCGGATTAGAGCTCTGCATCTTGGAGTACACCCCAGAAAGTGGGGGAGAACTGAACGTTCGCAAAGTAGAGAAAGGAAAGCGTGATGAGGTCAACTCATACAATCATTGGGCCTCATCAATTGGTCCTCAGAAAATAAGCGGGATCCCAAGCTCGTCTTAGGCAGAGTGGTGATGTTCTAGGCTTGAAGTTGGACGACGGTAGACTTTGATGTGTGCAACTCCCAAGTCCAAGTCTTACAACTGTCCCCTTGAACTTCTTGGCACTCGAGCTTTCAGGTAATGCCCGATGACCGCAGCTCTCAAAGGGGAATAGCTTGGAGCTCCAGCTGTCTAAACTCTGACCCCTGTTGACCCGCGCACAAGCCACAGATAATAGACTGATAGAGAGCGAGCCCTTGGGCAGGCACCTCGTGGACTTGAATCGGATTTGCAAAACAGCACGTTTTATCCACCTCTATCAGAGCTGTATTCGTTGGCAACTTCAAAGCAGCCGACAGAGTTAGTAAGTGGTGCACAGTACATGGGATAGGCTGTTATTTCAGTGTCTATACCGTTGTATGAGACTGGGAAACAAGGTCTGGAATAATAAGGTATTTCATGTCTACTCCACTGCCCAGTGTGTTGTTCATTCTCTCCTTGCGGTCTTTGCCGCTACAAATTAGACCGCAATTTTGTTGATGTGGTCAACCTGGAGAAGTTTCATTAGTATTTTCACAATGAAGCATTGAGAAGCATCAAAGCAACCAAGTTGAATGCCCAGCTTTTCAAAGCATCTTTCTCTAGCATACAATTCACTTAAGTCCCTACTCTCCTTGTTCTTGCCTCTAGGAATTTCTTCACTTCCATCCAGGTTCATCAAGCTCCAACATCACAGTGCCATGCTACCGTCTTAACCAACGTACGAAGAACCTGAGAGTCACAGTGCGACATGTCCGGCTTCAGTCAAAGCCACAGCATATTCACCCGAAATGGGGGCAAAAAGGCAGATGTCCTGGGTTTGAAAGACCATAAACCCCAGAGCGAGACACTGTATTCGCTCGGGCAGGATCGGCAACAAGATCTGGACCCTGCAGCTAGCAAAACCCCCACCATTGAGACAAATCAGTCCAGCGCACCCATGAACTTGCCCCACCATAGCAGACACCCCGCTCTCTGCCTTTTCACCGTTGCCTGGATTTTGTTCTTCGTTTTCTTCCTCCTCCCTTGGCAACTACTCAACGATCGACCTGGTTGGAATCTCACACGAAGCATCTCGCACGATTTTACACATTGCAAGGAAGCTTTGAATAGTTTTGTCAAGGCCCCTGCCACTACCACAACAACAATCTACGTCCCCGCACCTATTCCCACACACGTGCCAAATACAGAATCAGAAGTCAAAATGACTACCGAGCAGACGTGAGTGTCCTCCCCAGCAATGCATTTTTGCTATTTATGCTGACTTCCTGGGGCATATAGTTTCATTGCAATCAAGCCTGACGGCGTCCAGCGTGGTCTCATCGCCCCCATCATCAGCCGCTTCGAGAACCGAGGGTGGGCATACAAATATCTGTCAATACGCCTGTCCTGCAGCTAACGGTTCCTTTAACAGCTACAAGCTGGTTGCCATCAAGCTTGTCACCCCCGGCAAAGAGCACCTCGAGACTCACTGTAAGCTTTAGCACCCGCTTCTGCTTTTCGTCGACCAAATAGCTGACATCATACCCAGATGCCGACCTCAAGGAGAAACCTTTCTTCAAGGGCTTGGTCGAGTACATGAACAGCGGTCCTATCTGTGCCATGGTATGGGAGGGCCGTGATGCCGTCAAGACTGGCCGCACCCTCCTCGGTGCTACCAACCCCCTGGCCTCCGCCCCTGGCACCATTCGAGGTATGTAACAACTCATGATGCGGTTGTTTAAACATGAATTAATGGCGGGTATGCAGGCGACTATTCGATTGACGTCGGCAGAAACATTTGCCATGGATCTGATAGCGTTGAGAACGCCAAGAAGGAAATTGCTCTCTGGTTTAAAGACGGCGAGGTTGTTAGCTGGAAGAGTGCCAGCTTCGACTGGGTCTACGAGAAGCCTTAAATAGTTGAACAAACGAACAACGACAAACAACAAACATACGGCAAGCTACTATTGGCAAAATGGACCGCAGCTAGACGGGGGGTGGGGGATTAAAATAAAAGTCCTGAGCAGAAGAGTTGAATATTCACATCCATGTGTTGTAAACATGTAAGATGGCCAATGTCTAACTTCAGCCTCTGGACCTATACCAGATCACCACCTAAAAATGGCTTTCCTGGTCCAGACCATTGCCCTTGCTACTGGTGGGGTGAGCCAAATACTCAAGGCCACCCTTGGGATTATAATGACCTTAGTGATGGCGTATGCCGCGGCCAACTGGATGCCGATCTTATATCCCTTCTGTGTGTTCTTAAATGTGACGTTCTCTTTGATGGTCTGCATTACCTCGGCTGTTCTGCTCGTCTCCTCTTCATCCTCATCGGTCCTATCCTTCCTCCATGGCTTCTGCCCTTTGGTCCGTTCATTCTCCACTGCCTCCTGTACCTCCCTCTCTAACCTTTCTTCGCCCTCCCGTCCGTCCTCGTCCCCCAAGCCCAGCCATCCCTTCTTCTTGAGCCACTTGATCTGCTTGTTCAAAGCCTCCTGCGCATAGGCTGCCCACGGCCCGAAAACGTAGTCGACCGGTACTATGTCCATGTAGTAGAACAAGCTGGTCAGCCCTACGACCGGTATAATAGCCGTCAGCTCATGCAAAATCAGGAAGGCGGTTACGTGCGAGACCGGGGCGGATTTGAAGCGCGAGGCGTAGGGCTGCAAGCGGCGGGGGATCAGGCGCTGGCTGCGGTCTAGGGCCGGGTTCTGAGGGGCGGATGTTTGGCCCTCGGTGATAGGGGTTGGGTTGGGATCTGTGGGGGGTTTCGACGATTTGAAGCGCCGCGTTCTGCTATTGCGCTGAATGTGTCGGAGGAAGGACGAGGTCGTTAATGTCGAGGGGAGGAGTGGTGTTGGACGACGCATACGGGTTCCGCGTGGAAGCGACATGTTTGCAATCGGCACCGAATGGCTCAGGACGAGAATCGGAGCTGTCGATTGAGACTCAATAAGCTGACGGGTCTACAGGTGTAGAACTCGGTTGTCTAACCTAGATGATAACTTGTTCACAGGAGTTCAACCTTGGCATTGGTCATTGATTCGAAAGCGGGGCTGTATGTCAGACAGCCGAACTTCGCCGCTCTGGAGAATGTGTTATTTACTGAAGTACCTATAAATTTGCAAACAACTGCATGTTTTTTGAGTGCTTATAACAACACCTATGCCATTCTATTAAAGCACTAGAATACCATTTTATCCTAAGTTATGACCCATTACCTTGTGATATTACATTATCCCAGACTTTTCTTTAGGATACTTAGGTTACCCCGTTACCTAAATAAGGCACTTGCTGCTTGCAGTGTTCTTTGAGATTCGATAGCATATATCTATGAAAAACAAAATATTCCGTACGTATCACATTGGCAGCTTTTTCCCTAATCCTTCCGTCAGCATAGCCTGTGCTTGCATCCCTGTGCCCTCCCTCAACACCCCTGCCTTCCGGAGCACGTCCATACATCCCTCAATGACCTTAACATCGACACCTGCCGTCTCCCCCGCAAATCTCACCGTCTTTAACCACTCACGAGCATCTTCCTCTGAGTAATCCAGCTCCGTGCTGATGTACTGAACAGCCTCATCATGGTGCCCATCAAAGTACTTGACGCCTTGGTCAAGCTTGACGAACAGATCCTTTAGCCTAGGGTCGTCCTTGAGGGCCGTTGATGATGTGGAAGCCACGATCTTCCAACTGCTCCATGGAGTGTAGATCTCGCCCACACGTCGAATCTCGCCCGAGTCATAATACCGCTTGGACGTGAAGTGCTCCCACATGAAGAAGTCGGCCGAGCCATCATTGACTGCCTTGCGCAGGTTCGCAAAGTTTTGCAGAATAACAAATTCAGAGTAAGGAGAAGATGAGGAGTCAGGAGAGAGCCAGCCCTGCTGATCAGCAAGGACGAAGCCCATTACCTGGCTGCCCGAGCCAAGGCGAGATATACCGATTTTGGAATTCTTGAGCGACGACACTGATGAGGTCTCAGGATGCTGAGCACCAGTCGAAATAGCCCAGCCTGGCACCTCAGTCAGTAAGACTTCCAACTAGAAGAAGAATCCCTGAGCTACAAACATAAGGGGGTCTCCACATAAGTTCCAACGAAACGGTAACCCCCGTCACCGGGGGCGTCTTCCTTGCCAAGGCCGGCTACCCATGCCTCAGTCAGCCCGATACCAACGTCGATCTCTCCAGCTCGGAGGGCTGCAATCATATGTCCTGAGCCGGATGGGAATGGAGTCAGAGTGGCACTGAGCCCAAAATGCTTCTTGGCGAAGTGAATTGGGGTCGAGAAGTGCTCAGGCACAAAACCAATCCGGAGGGATTGCGTGGTATCGATCATGGTGAAGTCCCAAATGGAGTTGAACTTAGCTGATGAAATCTGCCAGGGCTTGAAGCTGTCTAGATTCGAAAAATTTCACTTTAGATACAGCTTTGATTCGTTCCTTTCCAACCTTTCCAGGAGTCTTGCTGAAACAAAAGATAAATTTTGAGCCCTACATGGCGGGTAACCGCGGAGCGGGTGGAATGACGCACATGTATGAGGGGCAGTTTGATGTGGGGGTGGGGCTCTTATAAATCTCTATCTCGACCTGAGCTTGAGCAAACTGTAAGAGAGCAACCACCACATGCCAGCATGATGGTGATGATGTTGATAATACTATGTGCCGCAAGTATTATGTATTGTCTGAGATGACTTCCTCTTATATTATCGAGTTCTATCTTAACGACCTCCCATTCCTTGGAAGAGGAATGAGAGAGAAATGGCAACCGCAATGGATCTATTGATCCCTGTACTAAGCATGAGCATTGATGAAATAGGTAGTGCGTAGAACGTCTTTTATTAGATCGTTAATAGTCGAGAGTCTAGACGACTGACTTTATTCCCGCTATAAGCGACCGTAGTACGACGCGCTTAACGTGACTACTATATAATTTAGCGCTAACGGTCCTATTACTCCGTAGCCTAATTATAGTTAACTTTCTGGTATAATTATAATCGAGATAGAAGAATTATAAATAAATAATATTGATACGCCGTAGGTGTTAACCCTCGGTACCTCTACAAGTACTCCCTTAAGGGGCTATAGATGTGTAACGAAACCTCTAATAGTCTAGCTGCGTAAAACCACTAAAGAGTCTGTAAGGGTTTGTGCTAGTAAGTAAGTCCTGCTGCGGAGTCCTTTAGCAATAATATCGGGATCTGACGTATGGAGTATCGGGCTCTGGGTAACTGAAGTATTCGGTTTCGTTACATGATGCTTGTTTTCTGACACTATACTATCAGCTAAGTACGTTAGAAAGCCAGAAATATCCCCAGAGCTTTCTAACTGCCAAATAGATGACTGTTTCATATGCACGTCCATTCGCACGTCCTGTGGGATACCTATCTCATCTTGACAACCGCCACATCGGTGTGAATCTGTTGCACAACCTTACCCACATCGATGACCTCCTCCCCTTTGATAACTTGTTCAACGTCTGGCATTGACGAGTGTTTCTCTCCTTCAAAGATAGCGTCCATTTCCTCCAGGGTTTTACCTTTAGTCTCTACCCAATATGCCGCCTTAAATCTTTAGCCTAAATGTAGTTCAACTTTTCGGGACCGGGAAACTCACAATGAGAATGACGACAATAATATCCCAGCTTCCATTGATCATGTACATCTTCCATCCAATATTAGCAAGCCCGATGGGCATCACGAAGACTAGAACCAGCCTATATGGTGAAGGTTAGCAAGTTATTCACTATGGACGGCTATAGTGGAGTACGCAACTTACGCAAGTGCATTGAGTCCAAACTGCGAGAGTGCCAGTCCATTGGCACGGATCGAGTAGTTCATAACCTCGGGTGGATAGAGATAGAGCAGGGGCGTCCACGCAATTGAATAGAACCCCTGAAAGAGAAACATAACAGCGACATCTCCGTAGATAAGGCTGCTAGATGCGCCTTCAGGGTCATCGGCATACATCTTGGACAACCCTCCAATGATGAACAGGCAAATAACCAGAAGTATCTCGGTGAAAAGTGCCGTCGGCTTGCGCCCCCATTTGGCCGCTAGATGTGTACCAAATAGACAGCAGGCGAGACACCACACGTTTAGGACGACATTCTGATGCGCAAGTCAGTAAGTACTAAAATATGTTTTAGACAAAATACAGTGAAATAACTCACAGCCTTGAGCTGATCAAGTGTATTCGTAATACCGGCTGTCTCAAGCTCGGAGCCCAGATAGTATGATGCAATGATGTTTCCCGCGATGCAGGAGAATGGCCCAGCGGACATGCCAATCAGAACTCGTTTCCTGGATGTTGGGGTCTTTAGAATCTCTATCGGGCTCATTGTCCGCCCTTCTTTCTTCTCCCACGTAATAGTATCCAGGATCTCCTTGTCTATCAAATGTACAATGTTAGTACTTGTTACGCTGACGTGTACCATGAGGTCTCAGGGTCAATGCTGTCACATACAAACCGTCACAGCTACCGGATCGGATATGTCCCCGTTAGAATTGGTCTGCGCAACGACAACACGTGCTTCCTCATAGTATCCTTGGTATACTAGCCAACGTGGCGATTCTGGTCTGTTAAAAGTCTGAGTCTAAGTCATAGGGCCATGGTTTAGAGGACCGGAACTCACATGAAAGGCAAGATGACAATGCAGAGCAGCGAGAAAATGCCTTGGAGGAGTGACGGAGCCCTCCATGCCCAAGTCGATTGCCACTGTCCAGTTCCGAGAGTGATGCCGGCCGCGATAAGTGCACCCACGCTAGAATTATGAGCAAATGCACAACTATCAGCGGTGCACTGTGTCACTTACTAGTAAAAGTCATTGAGCAAACCAACACCCCAAGCTCTCCATCGGCTGGGAAAGGTCTCGGAGAGATAAACGCCCCCGGCAATTCCGGCCACAGCAGACCCAAACCCAAGTATGATGCGAGCCACGACGAACATGGCGATATTCTGGGCAGCCGTCTGAAGTATGACCCCGATCAGGGTGATCACAGAGCCTTGGAAGATGGCGGGCCGGCGGCCCACTTTATCGGCAATGATACCGGCGAAGATGGGGCCAATTAAACCACCGATGAATACTGATGCTGTGTTCAATCCCGTTGTTGCGGGATTGAGGGTGAAGTAGTCAGTGTATGATGGCAAAATGTTGAGGCCGTTCAACATGGAGCCATCGTATCCTCCAGTCTGTGTTAAGTCAGTGAGAAAAAAGTTCTATGAAGACACAAGGAGAGATGACTTACGGAAGAATTAACAACGGAGCAGATGATAAGCAGAAAAGACAGGAGCGTGGTAGAGTTGGGCACCCGAGCGGGCAGCCATGTTCCAGTTGGGGACTTCTTCATGACTGCAGAAACTTGGGATGTTACTGTAAGAGGATGAGAATCAAATTGCTATAACCCAGCCCGGTAAGGGTTTCAATGGCGGATAAAATTGGGTATTTATCCGGAATCTAACAGTAACTCTTCGTCTAGCCACTCCGTCGAGTAGGTAGGTGTCGGGCGATCTATCTGACTGATATCAATGTGGGGTAGAAGAGGATCTCTACCGCTTCAAGCGTGGAAGGTTGTGTCAACGAGCCCAACCCCCCGACAAGTCCTACGAGCTTCCTTCCTGAATGACGCTACCGTGAGAATTAGACCTCTCCTGGATTAGATAAAGCTATCAAGGCAGGGATGTAAGCTTTCCACCTCCCCTCGTGCCATTCGTTCAGTCTGGATACAATCTGCAGGTGATAAGCCAAAACAAACTTTTGACGGCGCATGAGAGATCCTCTTGGAGATTGTAGTAAGCAAGCGCTTCAAGGTACAAGGATGTTGATGTGAAATGTAGCAAGCTATCGGTAACATCTGGAGCGAACTTGCAAGATATGTTAACGACCAGTTTATGATAAGGATGCTGGGTATATTGAACAGTCTCTGAGAACGAGTCCCGCTGAATCATGAACCCCCCTTTCACTCGTCCGGTCCAATGAGGGCCAAATTCGACGATGGGATAATTCTAGCAGATAGATCCGGCTCGGTTGCAAACAATTTGTCATAGGGCCACATTGGATGCCGGATGCGATGGTGTCCCAATCTTTCCAGATCTTGATTCACTCCGCCCGGCGTGAGACCGAGCATCCAGTCTGCCGCCATGTCATACAGGTCCGGCTCCAAGTACCCAATTTTAATGATAACAATATCTGCCTGCCGCGGCTTGAGCTCAAGTTCAGTGAAATCCCGTTCGAGGTGGTACGGTTTGCGGAACTTGGTTAGAATGGCGAAAACACTGCCAACCTGCAGCACGACCTCAATCGCAGCGTGCTTGTCGCCAATTTTTATGGAGTGTACCCTACCTGTCATGGTTACAGGACCAGCGTGAGCGTTGTCGACTTCAGCCCCTGCGGTGACAGTGACGGTGGCGCCCACTCCTGCCTCCACAGCAACAAGAACGGCTTCAGGTCCAGGTACACTGGCATAGATAACAGTTGGGCCGCCTGTACTCCTGAATTCAGGACGGGCAAGCAACTGCGTAAGGCCCCAGGTAACATCGCCGGAGCCTCCAGCAGTGGGATTATCTCCAGAGTCCGAAATGAAATATGGGTGGGTCTCGGACGCGAGAGCTGCATCCAAGCATTCAGCAAATGTTCCGGTAGGTGCCACGAAGGCGAAATCTTGGTGTGCCTCCCAGAATAAGCCTGCAAGATGCTCTGCCGCTTTGGAAACGGATGCCTCGTCCCAGCCCGTGACCACAACGACGGCACGGTTTCGCGGCTCATCGGCCCATGCGTATCCCACCCAAATGGCAGCATCGAGAACGCCGTCCCACTTCTCCAACTCAGGGACAGTAGCATAAATATGCTGGGCGGGATCCAAACGAGTTGATGTCTGCTCACCAGGAAGAAGAATTGGAATGGGCACCCACGCCTTGATGGGTCTTTTCGGTGCCCCATCTACTTTCACCAGCAATTCAACGAGATTGCGACAGGCGCGCTCCTTAGTCTCTGCCACATCCACGTGCGGTGCAGTTCGGTAGCAGGTGATGAGATCAGTTTGATGTGCCAGTTCTCGCGAGACGTTGCCATGAAGATCCATCGAAGCCGACACAATGACATCGGAGCCGATGACGGATCGGACCCGCCTGAGAAGCTCAAATTCGGCATCGTCAATGTCCTCCACCGCCAGGGCGCCGTGAATGTCAAACCATAAGCCATCGAGTTTGTTTGAAGCGACGATGTCCTTTATCCGGGTCATGATCTCTCCGGTTAATTCCTCAAAGGCGTCACGCGTCACCATGCCACCAGGCAGTGCATGTCCAATGAGTGCCCCGCGCCAGTCGGCAGCATCACCGAGTGGTGTTCCCTGGCGAATAAAGGGGTACTTGGTTTTGATCTCATCGCCACGGAGTGGATGGAAGGCGGGAGCCAATGTCCGTGACGGAGTGAAGGTTGAGTTCTCACTGGCCAGGCCTGCGATGACAATGATAGGACGTTTTGACATGGCGATAATCAGCTCTGAGTGAATGACAATTTGGAGGAGGTGAGGTGCATCGCTCCTATCATATTTCCTTGACGGTGCTACTGACTCGCTAGCTAGGCCGGAGCGTCGGACAAAGTGCTATGAAAGTGAAGGTAGCGAGTGCCTAGAATTGCGGGGATCCGCCAAGTTTAGTGCACCGTACGTAGCTTGACCAGCCCCTCTAGACCTTCACGTCCATTCATCCATACAGGGCAGCTTGAACTCACCGAATTATAGCAAGAATCATTGCTACTTCAACGTTGTGAAATACAAGCCAGGAATGTGTCCACCCTTTTTCCTTTTTTCCCCTATTCGAGAAGCAACAAAAAGACCGAATCCAAAGGAAAAGGAGAGAAGGCAAAAAGAAAGATAAAGTCGATAGAAGAAGAATAGTTCAACTTGATAATTTAAAAGTCTCATAATTTCGATGTCATATCTGGTACTGCACGTAATCTGAATTTGACCCGCAATGTCGCCCTATTCTTCGAACTGGTATGACATCCCCATGTGTCCTTTTCTCAACCGACATGTATAATCTTCGTGTATAAGCTTGAAGAATAGTGTGAATCTCAGCATGAGCCGCAGACACAAGAGCGTTGTCTCTTCAAGTCACATTTCATCGAAGGCGGACACGCAAGCCTTCGTAGGTATATTACTAAGCCGAATACGGATCTTGTTGACCGACTCTCTATGGCGGTTTTGGATAGCAGCGTATCTATGAATTGTTGGCTCTCTACTTAATTTATAAGTATAAAATCAGTCTTTTATGGGATAATCAAAATAAATTCAATGCTCCTAGGGATATAAGTGTACCTAGATGCATGGCGGAATCATGTCCGTATGAATATACCCACTTTCTACCAGGCCGGTGGATTTGCGTAATGCATATGATATTACCTTCCCGGTTCAAGAAATGCGCAATAAAAGTTCAACTTGGGCCTGGCAACCCAACCAAGTTCGAAGCTCTGCTATATGCCTGGGACGACCAAGTTTCAGACCAAATTTCAAGCCAGGTGGTAGATTACGATGGATGAACACCGCTTATAAGTAAGTCGTGTTAAAATGAACTGCGGTGTCTGAGTCATAAGGCCAGGGTTCTTGTTTTGTGTGGTAATGGTATATGTATCAATCACAACTTTACCGAAGAAAGGAATCACCAGATTGCTAAGATACACGATGTATATAGCAGTGCCAATGGCGTTATTATCTGGCTTGGGGAGAACCGCGAAGGCGTCGATTTATTCTTAGACATCTACCTCGCCATACTCTTCTGTAGAAGTTATAAATATGGCTATCAAGGTCTATAGCTTGGAGCATAACGCATCCTGGAGTTATAAAGTCGAGCGGTTCTTTCAACGAAACTAGAATAAGGTCGAGGATACACTGACAAATAGCATCAATCCTTCCCTCCCCTTCCCCGGGGCTCCATTATTAACAAGTGACATAGACAGTTGTTTTAGCTTATAGAGGCTCAACGAGTCGCTTCTGTGGTTCTCACGCTTGTAGACACTGTGTTGGACCTTCAAGGCTATTACACCAAACTACCAGTCTTGGAAGGATATATGGCCACTTACCGTATGTTATTGGCCAATGTGACCACCACCCATCATACCACACAAGTCCTGCCTGTGAGACAGGCATCATTCATTCCTGTCTATATAAGGTCCTTATGGCCGCTGTTCACTTCTTTCAGGACTCTCCAGAGATCATGACATCCTCAATACAAGGTCATTTGCCCACGATCCAATACACTGCAAGAAGTGAATTTCCACAGGAGAGGCATTATCGTGAACGGGCTCAGGTCTATGGAATACGAAGACATCATGAGCAATTACGGATTGTCTATTCGGTGAATACATGAACACACAGCTTGGGAATGAATGGTATTTCCTCTGCCTGCGCATTCGGGCTCGTGATACAATTGGGCAAAAAGTCCCTGAAACCGATTGCGCTAACTAGTCAAATGAAAAACTTTGGAAATGCGACGGTGGCAAGTAACAAACTATACGCCGTCTGTGGACTATTGAGGCTAGATGAACCAGCCTGTCTGCTGGCTCCCAAATTCGAACTCAGCGCAAATATCATATACTTGCAAACCTGCGCAGCGCTCATGAAGTTGTACGGCACATTGGTACTAATCCAGGACGCTAACGGGGATTTCAATTCCAACAAACCATATTGGGTTCCGCATTCAATCGACACCATCGCAGTAACATGTTTGGCATTTCTTTTATGGGGAAATCAGTTGCGCAGTTCCACTTCTTGAACAATGACACTTGCATCGAAACAAATGCACAAATACTGAGTACCATTAGTAGAGTTGTGGAAAGTCGAGGGCTGGTTACGGCTGGACCTCATAGAATGATGGAAATAAGTGATTGTTGCCAAGGTCTTCGACAATGTGCGAAGCTGCATGATTTGGATCAAAGACACAAAAGCCCTTGAGTCGTATGCCACAGGAGAAGAACCCCTGGAAATTTTGGTTGATGTAATGTTCGTTGGGTACGGCCGATCCGCGTTTGACAAGGAGGTATTATCAGAGCTGGCAGGGCTGCTCCTTGAAATTCATGAGTTAGGACTTGGTTTGACAGCTTGTACTACGCATAGAAATGAAATAGCCCAGTCTTCGCAACTGTAGTTCAAACTACTTGTTGTAAGGCAGTTCGGATGTGCCGATTGTCAATGTGAAAGCCTTACTCTTGTGGCAATCTAGAGAAGTCACTGATCAGCCAGAAGAGGACCTCTTCCAAGATCTAGTCAAAACCAATAACATATGTCGAGGAAGTACCTTTTTCTGGACAGAAGATGGTTATATAGGCACTGCGCCGGAAACGAGACAAGAGGGTGATGTCGTGTCGCTGATTTTGTCGATGTCCATTGAGAGCCATCATTCTGTGGTACGCCTGGCTTACATCTGTGGAATTGTGGCCGGTAAGCGCTAGGATACGGAAAGACTACAAAACATCGTGCTGATATAATATGAGGAAGTATACGTGTTACTAATCGAGTATCATGATCAGGAGAAGATTATTGGCGAATACCAACCAGAGGGTTTCGAAGATTGCAACTGTCGCCTAATGAAACGCGCCGTTTATCCTACTTTCAGAATCCCTCTAAGCGTCCACGCAGTTTGAATCTCGAGTTGGACCGCGTCTTGCATCTGATGGTCAGAGCTGAACTCAGATACATGTCAGTTCAAGCACAGATATTACCATCTTGCTTGTAATGTCAGGCCTGTCATGATCCCTGACCCGTTGGGAAATATTCTTTGACCTAATAACACGCATTCTTTTGGGCCAGGTTTGAAATGATCCCTTGACTCGGAACCCTAGAGTTAGAGCACTGTAAATCAACTCTCCTCGATACGTAAACAAGCTAATATAATCATTCGACAGTTATCAATCAAGAAAAGTGACAATCACTGAAAAGTAACAACATAAATGAGTATCCGATGTCCGCCTGCCCCAAAGAAGGCCCACACACCCTCGGCAACGTTTCTGAAGTTCAGGATAACGCTCGTAACCCAGTATGCGCCATTGACCTTGTAGCTCTTCTCGTTCGCCGCACCACCGTAATCGACGTTCTCAAAGGGTATTCGGTTGGGCTTGAGGCCGTCCTTGACTTTAATGGTGAATTTGCAATACGTCACCATGTCGGCGTTGGACTCGTAGATGCTGAACAGGATTTCAGACATACCCTCGGGCATGTTAATGACGACACTGGAACTGAGTCGGACGAGAAGGGATGAGACGAGAAGGAATATGAAATGCATGGTGAACACCAAATCTGCAGTTGACCACGTAAGAGGATCAAATTGGTGAAGTTGCTGAAATATTAGTTCTTGAAATATCGACGTACGTAGACGGCGATTCTGTCGCGTAGGTTGATTTGCAGTTGAAGCTCGGAGAAGGGCCGTATTTGTAGATAGCAGCCCGGGACATCACTTGTTGCTACATCTGATTTTTGACGATATGATTTGGGCAAACCGTGAGTGATCCGATTAAATTTCCACATGACCTGTTGTGAACGCGATTGTTGTCTCTTCGGCATGGGCGACAGGCCATTTTCTGCTAGAAGCCGAGTGTGGAAGAACGGCATTTGGGAATCGTCCTAAGGAGATTATACCTTGTGCGTTGACCTAAATCGATGAGGAATCCGTTGCCATGGCCGTATATGTGACACGCCAGTCGCTCTCATATCATAGTCAATGCTTCTGCCATAAGGGTTGAACGAGACAGCAGTTTCACGGCTGATGTCAAGATTGCAAGCTGTATATCAGTGTATATTATTGTCCCTCGTATATACCAGGACAAACATGCAGGTTGTGCGATAGTGTATTCCACAAAGGTGGGCGCACTCGTATCCGGCGAGGGGAGTTGGTATCAACTGTATTGATGCCTTCGCCCGTAGAACTGAGGGTTGACTTATCCGGTATGTATCAATAGTGAAATAAAGGTAAAACTTTCATATGGCTACACGTGTCGCCCAACGGATCCCCATATATAGATATCCAATATCTGGAGAGTTATTGAGTCGGTGAACGATAAACATGGAAATAAAGACAGCAAGGGCAACCCGGGCAATCACATTTGTTGAGCCGCAGCAGACGAGAGCTCTGAAACAGGTTCTCCGTCGAGAGTAAAGAGTCTCAATCTGGAATCAAGCACTGCAGCAAAGATCTCGCCCGTCGTTCATGGCTGGCCGAGTGGCGTCGCGGGAGCAAGCATTGCGAGTGTGTACTGGGTTAATGACGGACTTGTGTAACAAACTTGGAGAATGATAAATCGAGAGAGCCAGAAACAGCACTGGCCATATTCACTCTACTTCTGGGTTCAGGAAAATGGTGGGAACATTGAGCTTCAAATATCCATTTTCATCGAAGACTTGAAGCAGCTTGAATGTGAAGCTCATTGTTGAGATTCTAGCCACAGCGGAAAGGAAGGTACGCCACATGGCAGGTGGGGGGAAGTGCCTGGTGGGCAAAGCTCTTCCCCCAGACTTTTTCCTTGAAAAAGCCACGAAGCATCAAGCAATAATCCCTCCCACCTTTCCAATTCATTCACTTCCCCTAAAGTGAATTGGTCAACCAACATGCCAACAGCAGCACTTGAAAAGTTGCCTGCCTGCTGCACGCGTGCTGTGCCACCTTGAAGTTCCCACCTCAAGGCTGTACACATAGCAAACAAATAACTTCGACTTCGTGTCATCTTTTCGCTGCCTCTTCTGACACTATCCTTGTCCACAGAAAAGCATCAGCCGAAAACAATCAGCAGCCATGGCAGACATCGTCAGTGCCTACTGGGCGACACCGCCGGTTGCGAGGTAAGCTTCACCATTCCACTGCTTCATGTACTCAGCCGAGGCCTGATGCTGACAAGTCCTTCACCACAGGACGGTCTCAACGCTCGTCTTCGCCTCGTCGGTCGCCGTCTACACTGGTATGGTCTCGATGGAGCCCTTCTTATTCCACTACATGTTTCTCCTCAAGTTCCCTCCCGGCATACATCGGCTGGTAACGAGCTTTCTGGTTACGGGCCCTCAGCTGGGTGTCATCTTCGACACATACTTCCTGTACACCTACCTGAGTCAGCTCGAGAAGACCAACTCGAAGTTCACAAGGAAGGAAGACTTGATCTGGTACTTAACATTCGTGGGCAGCTTCATCATTGTAGGTGCTTCCCCTCTGCTACCATCATAGCACTGCGACACGCCTTAATGCTGTATTCTGTCTGTTTCTTTCCTTCGGATTCTTTCTTTTTTGCACACCCTTTCTTCAAGCACCTCCTATATCTGCCCGCATAGTGGAGTTGCTCTACAGCTATAGCGGTTCCTGAAAGAGAGGAAGATCACCCCCGCACTTCGACTGGTCCGTCATTCGCAACCTCATTTGGGACCAGTTGCGATGTGGGCTTGGTGGGATGTCTATATGGATGACTCGGGTGAATGTCTTCGGACGTTGTTTGCTCGTGTGGTTTCTAGCTCCCTACATTCCAACACGCTGTGTTGCGTTTCCTGGTGTTTATGCATTATCGGAGACGCTCCGAACCCGAACTTGCAAACGCAGTGGCTAACCGGGCAATCAGATCATCAATCAACTATGGACTGGGGCCCCAATATATCTCCAGGCCCTGATGATTGCCATGTGTTATACCGCCGTGCAAGACGCGCGGGGGCAGCAGGCACACTTCTATGTTGTGACCGTTCCAGCACAGCTTATGCCCTACTGCCTCCTGCTTGTGAACCTGATGCTTGCAGGCTGGTACTCGTTCCAGGTCGGTCTAACAGGTATTGTCGCTGCGCACTTGCACGACTTCCTCACTCGACTGTACCCCGAATTTGGGAATGGTGTAAACCTGATTCCTACTCCCTGGTTCATCTCATACATCATGAGGACGCCACATGTCCAGAACACCGTCTATGGTTCAGCCACCGTGCCTCCAAGGCTGAACGAGCCTCGTAGCGGGCCGTTGCCAGACTCATGGAGGAGTGCTGGTCCCGGAAGGCGGTTGGGTTAGGCTGTGACTTGACGGGCCAGTTGATCAAGACACGATCAACGCAGTTGTAAATTAGCATCAACGAGAACTTGAGATCATACTCGGACAAACCATATTGGTACTCTTCGCCTTTGATACAAGTTGCTTATCTATTATTTGGTGGCATTCCATGGATTGCCACTGAAATTTTATGGGATCATTGTTGCATACCATATTCTGAAGCCACTAATCGCATCCATGTCATCTCACAAATATCCTGCTTATGAAAGCCGAGCCCATCCCAAAGCCGGTCCACACGCCATGTCCCGAACCCAAATTGTCCACAACAATCGAATACAACTTACAATTACCATATCGATATTATTCCACAAGTTTTATCCAAACATGAACTCTCTTTTGCCCGTGCTTACCTCTTCAATGTAGCGTGGCGCCCTTCGATCCACCACCTTCTGCTCCACAATGCGCTGTGGACTGGCTGTGCGAGGCCTCCTTTCAGCGAATCTCTCCTCGTGGCTGATGATAGGATTGGAGATCTCGAGCCTGACGGGCATGTCACCCTTGTCGGCCACAGGCGTAGCGCCTTCGATATTAATCTTGGGCGGCGGGTACTTCTTGGGTATGCGTATCCTCGGCACTGACGGGAGCTGCAGAGCCGGTATCTTGGATGCAGCCTGGCGTGGAAGGGGCGCCGGCCGTAGTTGGGCGGGTTTGTCTGAGGATGAACCATTGGACAGGCGGCTGGATGAGCGGTTGTGGCTCGAATGGGGTAAGGAGCCTCGGTTGAGAGAGTTGCCTCGTGCATGGGCTGCTGGTAGGGGGCCTGGAGGCGGCCCAGGAAGTACGCTTGCCTTTGCATCTTCGGCGGCGTTAAGGTAGGCTTGTAGGGCGTATGAGTCAGGTTTGTTGGACTTGACAGGTCTAGGGTTCGGGTCAGGTGTTGAGCCGCGAGTTTTATCTGAGTTGCGGCTCATAGTTTGAGGAAGGTAGGCATGATGTGTTGGCAAAGCGCCAGAAGGACCAGATCCTGGCTTGTTGGGGTTGAAGGCGTAGATTGGCCGGCGACCTTGTAACTCCTTCTCGTATTTATCGTAATAATCTGCGTTGTTGACGTATGCCTGCTGAGATTTGAGCTCGTAATCGCTCAGTTGTTGTTCTGTGTCCATGGCAGAGAAGGCTCCCTGCAGTGGTGGTGAGATTGACTTGCTTCCGCTGCGAGCGTCGTACTCTGAACTGAAGTCGGTGTACGTGTCCTTCTGTTTGCGATAGTAGACCCAAAAGAGCGCCGTACCGCCGAGGAAAAGGAGACCAGCACCTACTGCAATGCCAACAATCGCACCGGTCGTCATCGCTGTCGCCCCCGTACCAGTGTCCACGGCCGAGGTGTCGTTTCTAGGCGGTGCTGTGATGTTGACATGAAGTTTCGTAAATAAGGAGCCACTCAAGCCGATGAGAGCCCCTGACTGTGGTCGTTGTTGGCAACCAGCTTTGAGTGCCGTGAAGACTGGGTATATCAGCGACGGGCAGAACGACAATTTGGGTAGAGGATGGAAAGCGTGCTGGGCATCTTACAGTTGGCCAGGTACGCCTGATTCGTGCTACTCTGGAAACATTGTATGCATGAATCAACTTGGCTTCCGGCGAACTTTCCTCCATCCGCATCGCAGTACCCATACTCGGCTGCAATATCAGGATTCAATTCGTCGTCTTCGAGGGCCTTTTTCAGGGGTTGACAGGCATAGTCAATGTCACAAGGTGACGAGACCGCCTTTGTGATATTTGGAAATCCATAAACGCACACATCCACGGAATATCTGAGGTTGTCTGTTCAGACCATGTTAGTCACTTGTGCCTCAGCAGCTTGTCCGCCAACCTCCAGCTTACATAAAAACCAATTCATGTCGTTCTCGTCGCCGCTAACGGCATTACTGTTCTGGAGGCATTCCATGCAATTTTTGAATTTTATACCCTTGCTTGATGATTGATAGTCATGATCTGTGCAGGAGATGTCTGCTGCATTCGTAAAGGAGGACCCTGGGTCTTGAGTATCTGATTTTGGGTCGTTGAGGCATAGAGCAGCACATGGCGACCCTGGCGTCACCTGCAAAGCTACTGCGAATTTCTGGAGGCCCCAAAGGATTATGAGTATAAGCCGGAACATGGTGGTGCTCGACATGACTGAAGCAGGTGAGGAGTAGAATTCGGAGAGGTAGGTGACACGAGGTTACCACGAGTACTTGACCATAGTATTTACTCGTAAAACTGTCCACAATGGAATCGAAGCACGTCAAAAGAGGTTCATTCCAGCAGGGGAACACAAGTCATAGATGGATAATAAGATCAATAGTAAGCCTTGAGAATTGTACATTTACCATCGGAGGATCCAAGATTACTATATGTGCCCTGTGCATGTCTGCTGGCTGCAGTAACAAGGTATGGCAGGCAGGCGGCTCCATGGTGAGTTGGTGGTATTCAAGAAGTAGCTATGTCGGTCTTTGGATTTTGTTTCTCATAATAGCACGGAAATCGTTGGCCCTAGTGAACGATCGACAAGAAGCCAATCACAAATGGGTGAGCTGCCAGCGTCGTTGCACTGGGCTGCCGGCTGGGGTAGGATGCATGCGCTAGGACAATCTGGCCAGCGTCCGACCTATGGCGATGGCAAGAGCAGCTGATGCCAGGCGCGATGGCTGACCCATAGGATGAAAACGGCCTTGAGTGGACTGACAAGCAACAAATGGCAGGATTTCTGGACTATTAAGCATGGGATGGACCAGGGTGTAGGACCAAACGAAACATCGAGCAGCGCGATGAGTGGTCATGCTGACGCCGGCCCACCCATGGGGCCTTCCTGGATACTACTCGGAACGAACCCACCAATGAGACCAATCCAGCGCAGTCGTTCATCAGACACTCGAAGAAACTTGAGCCTTATCGTAAGCAAGGCAGCTTGAGCCTGAGGGAAAAACGGTAGGCATGCGTCCCAGTGTCCATCATCGCGCCAGCACACAATCAAGATCCCAGTTTGCCGTGCAGTGAGGTAGCATTATTCCTGACATAGTCTGGATGGCTGAGATTTGGCCGGTTGGCAACGCAGCTCGTGTTGCGTGGTAGAGACATTAAGTCGGTGAAAGGTGTTGCTGATTTTGGGACATCAAATGAAGTATGAGTGTCTATGCGCCCAGAGTGATGCAGGTGTGTAGATACATCATATCGTGGATGGCAATGAAATTGAATTTAAATACAATGCTGTTGTGATCAATTTGCCAAGTCTACATTGGCTTAAAATCCGCCTAATGACATCAGTACTTAGAGCACCAGCCCCATCTGAGCTCCATCGGACCATGTCTTTCTATCGCACTACCTCGGGAAAATCGACATCAAACACAACTATTATCAGGAACGGCCTCGCTCATGTCCCATATCGTTACGGTTGAATTGATCAAATCCAAACAAGTTTATTAGTTGCCTTGTTGTCCATTTGGCTCAACCCTTGAGTTGCGTTGCTCTCGAATTGTTTGCCTGAAGTCCAAGTGAATTGAACCAGCTACTTTTTGGACAGTCCATTATGTCGTGACGGTGTACAAGCGAAGAGTCTGAATATTTGAGATGGTTGTCGAATGATGATCGGAAAAAAAAGTCGTGGATCACAACCCTACGCCGCGCGTGTGATCTGAGTAGAGCAATAGGCACGACGGCTTGCTTATCATTGTTAACAAGTTTGCAAAAACCTGGAGATTGAAACGGCGCCATCTCAACGTCTTCGCACGCACTACAGGCTCCTGTTCGTCAGAGAAAAGCCTGCCTGAAATGGAAGAAACATGCATAGCTGCGAGCGCAAAACTTCCCAACAGAGGGCTGTTTTCCCTTGTCGAGGACTCGTGCGACCTTGTTTGCTTCGTCCAATTTTGCCAGCGTTTGACCAAAATGGCAGACTCAGAGGGACCATACCAGCCAAGGCCTACTGTATCCCAGAGCCACGACATCACTCTCCGGACAACCCATAATATTCGGGGCCGTTTCTCTAACTGCTGTGCTCCGTGGACTTTAACTTGCAGCACCTGTGTCTTGATAGAAAGAATGTATGTTTGTTGTTTACAGAATTTGATACGATACATTATGGAAATCTTTGGCTCCTACAGTTAAGAGCGTCTCCGGGATACGCTATGCCACCCTTCATCATGAGGAGAACGCTATGTGTCTAAATCTCCCACATGTATATCTACTAATATCACGGAATTCTTGCATTTCGATAATTTCCACCCTCGTAACTGATGTCGTCTTCTGGAAAACCGCGAGACGTCATCGTAAGTCATCGTCAACTGCAAGAGTGTACTAATGGACGGTGAAGGATTCCTTCCTCAGTAACACAATGCGAACATAGACTCCAGCCAACGAGTCAATTTTTACTTTCACATATCACACCCTTGTAGTTGTGGTGTTGCCTCTGCGACACGAGCTCCAACTTCAAATAGCCCGAAGCCGACATCAAAGCTCAGTGACCGCAATAGATTCAGGATTAGTGTCGGACATAGCGACATGACTGTGAGCGGTCTTTGTTCCATGCAATGACAAAGCCTCATACGGCCTCTCCCAATATGGGCTTTCCGACGACAGGCCAAATGAGACTGGCCGGCCAATTCAAGGCATGCTGTATCTTTCGAATTCAGAAGTCGCGTTGGGTTGATGCGGATCGAAGACGCTGGTCCTTCTACGACGAGCACTGATCGAGTCCTGAGTAGAATCCCTTGCCAGTAAGCGATTTCAGTTCTTGAAGTTCCACCAGAGTGACTTTTTTATGGCGGAATTCATTCCATGGCAGCAGACGCTGATCGTCACAAAAGGCGCAAAGCGCGCCAGACTATCCAAGTAGACGAGAGACCGAGCACATTTCATGTTCGCAGAACATTTCACGTTATCGCTGCCAAGCACTCATTGGATCAAGCAACAGCAACAGTTGCGTATTTGCTGATAGGAACATATTGGACGCTTGCCTCTAGCATTCTTTTGTGGGCTGTGAGCGATGAATAGAGGGCGATGGAGCAAATTATGTAGGAAGGTGGAATTAAAATTACGTTCAACAAGTTTGGCGCACACCAACCCCACTTTCCAACGCGCTCGCGGCAAACTGAATTTACCACCCACGAAATCCTTCTTCTACACGACGAAAACGAGGTTTTGGAGACCTGAGGGGCTCAAGCATGCTGTGTCAATCTTGAAATAACAAGTTTCTCCAGCCTTTCAAGTTGACAACAATCAGGATGATTATGTTAGTCGTGGTGAAATATTCTGAAGAAGAATGGCTGGGCTTTTCAACCTGCCCGCACCTCTCGCATAATACGAAATATGGATAACCAACTTAGGCACCTCGTACGATGTACCTGGATGCACTTCACAGACATCAATTTACTGATAACTTGCCGAAATCAAGAAGCCAAATACTACAGAAAATTGATCTTACTGAAATGAACTGTTGCCTTTGATATTGATCCTTACGATGATATAAGACAAGTATTAATTCTACGTGTTTTGATGGGAAGTACTGTCCTTCCGCCTATGTGGGTCATTCTGCTAGTACGATCATAGACACAGATACGTACGATAATAAGTTGACAGGTGTGTTACATTAGAGTGGTTAGGCTACCGGAAAGTATGGTGTGTGTAAAGTTGACATGGATCAATTGTGCCGTCCGGTTGGGCTGAATTTACCCCAGCTTCTAATGAGTATCTAAATTGTTGACGGGCACACAAAGCTCTGACATGTCGAGTCTGCCGAAATATAAATGTGCGACCCATGGCAGAATGTAATCTCACTCAAGGCTCCAGCAAGCGCAAAGTACTCCTACGCGCGAGCAACAATGGGATCATCCCAGTGTCCTGACAGTTCGTTGCGAGCACTTCGCCCGACACAACGACATGAGTGCTGCGCCGTTGGGGCTAAACAGAAGCCCACCCTGTCCCAAAGTTGGAGTATTGCTAGATACAACTTGTCCGGCCGATCAATCAGATGTTCTCGGGATGCCGATATGCACTGAAATAGCTAGACCTGCAGCTGCATCCCAGTAAATTTCGACCACCTGGCCATGATTTGTGAAGCAACCCCTGCTCGACGCAGGCGCTTAGAGACTGTCACGGGGTTGAGGAGCAAAGCAAGGCAAGCAGGCCAATGAAGACATGCTCGCTGCTAGGTGTATCGCGCGACGCTCAGCAGTCCCTCTTGGCTCTCACTGAAGCGGCAGGACTGCGCGGTCGGCAGTTTCCCCAAGTTTCCAATATATCATGGGTGCGGGCAATTTTCGCCCACCTTTATTTGCTCTCCCACTCATTTCTTCCTATTACCAGACAGACTTAGATGCCTTCAACCCTCCTCGTTACACCTCTCGCACCAGAAGGCGACATCTTCAGACGGCTGCAGGGTACTGGAAGTTTAATTGTCTGTTCAACTCGATAGTCTTTAATAAGGAGCGTTGCGTTTGAAGACCGAACAGCAGAAGGTGTCCTTGGAAGATGAGGATCGCCTGCCTTCAGTTCGCGCCGCAGGTCGGGGATGTCAACAACAACCTGAATCGCGCCGATGCTGTCTTGAGCAAAGCGAACCCTGACGATCTTGACCTTCTCGTTCTGCCTGAGTTGGCTTTTTCTGGTATGTTACCAACTGCGACAGTTTGAATTCTCTCAGATGAGATCTTTTGGGTCGTCGATGATGCATCGGGACGCAACTCCCAGGCACACTTAAGTTTTGGTGGCATGGCTGGGAGAGCAGAATTGGATGTCTCGGACCATACCTGATAGCGTCGCTGACTGTTTTCAGGCTACAACTTCAAGTCATTGAGCGAGATATCTGCCTTTCTCGAACCCACCGGCGCCGGCATTACTTCACTCTGGGCCAGGACGACTGCTCTCAAGTACAATTGTGTTGTCGCGGCTGGTTATCCGGAGAAAGTCGACGTTTCACAAAAGTGGCCAACTTCACCGGAGTACTATAACTCTGCCATCCTCGTAAATGAAGACGGGGAGACGATTGGCAATTATCGAAAGTCACACCTCTATTACACCGATGAAACATGGGCTCTTGAGGGATCAGATGGATTCTACAGCGGCCATATACCCGGTGTCGGTAACGTATCCATGGGAATCTGTGAGTACTCGGCATTATGAACTGGCTGATGACTATAATGAACTGACAGGAAGCATAGGCATGGACCTCAAGTAAGTCGAACTTACAACTAGTCCCAAGCAAGTTTATTTTAACGTCATTATAGTCCATACAGATTTGAAGCACCTTGGCACGCCTTCGAATTTTCGTTCCATTGCTTAGAAGTTGCTGCCAATGTCGTCATCCTCTCTATGGCCTGGTTAACACGAGAAGAGCCTCGACACTTCAGTCGCATGCCCAAAGAACCCGATATGGAGACATTAACCTACTGGATAAAACGGCTAGAGCCTCTCATCCGCTCCGACAATGATGATGAGATCATAGTCGTCTTTGCCAACCGGACTGGCATGGAAGAACATGCGGTATATGCAGGCACCAGCGCCGTCGTGGGCGTCCAAAACGGCGAGGTCAGCGTCTACGGCTTACTTGGCCGAGGCGAGAAGGAGCTGCTAGTCGTGGATACAAGCCTGCCTCCTTTTGCAAAACTGGTGTATCGTCCAGATGGGGAATCTGAGGCTGTAGCTCCAGCCCCCCCCCTTCTATTCCGGGATGCCGCAGGGTTCAACACAGGGACACACAACCTCCCAATCGCCCACCTCAAGCACTGTCTCAAAAGCTTCATGTACTTCTGACTCCCCACCGTCTATATCAGTATCGGATGCTACACAGGATGCCTCAGAAGGCGATGGTCACCGTATATATGGTGGTCATGTGTTCATCACACATGATGCCCATACACCCAAGACAGCAGCGTTCCCCTCGACTCCATTCGAGGATTCCCCAGTTTCGCCTCGATACTTCTGGGTCCCTCCTGAAAGCTTGAGAACCCCCGACCTTGGAATGCGCGTCCCACAATCGCCGACGTCCAGCACGCGGTCCAATCATGGAGACTTCGAAAGTCTCGAGACTGGAACTCAGGATCCGACACAAAGAAACGGCACTCCTTCTGTTGGCTCAAAACCAAGACAAGATACACCTGCCACTTCAGCGAGACCAAGAGAAGATACCCCTGCCGCCTTTGCCCTTCAGAGCCCCGACGCAGACAAATCACCTGAACTCTTAGAGCTGATCCAGAAACTACGTAAGGTAAACGCTGAGCAGTCAGGAAATTGTCCTGCACGTCCAAGATCTCCAAAATCACGAAATGCTAGCCGCACAGGTCGTGGGGAACGGTCAGATTCTGTTCTCGCCCGACGACCTCCGTCTGCCTTTAGCAGCCGTACGAGCACTGCCTTAGAGGAAGATTTAGTACCTTTCCGACCCGAATCACCCAAATCACGCAACGCTAGTAGAACCAGGAGTCGTAATAGACCGCCGGTAACTTCGAACGTGGCGTCTGCTCCGCCCCCACGCCCTAGCAGTGCTAGCCAGACCCCGAACAGGCCCACGCCGCTCGACCTCGGAAACAGTGGCCAGCAAGGTGCAAGCAGAATGCGGAATCGGCACACTTTGTATGGATCTGCTGCCATTGACGAGCAACTGGCTCGTCGTGGCAGCGCCTCGCCCGATCTGGAGAAGATTGGTGCCGACCTCTTGGTCTTTGAAGAAGGCGCACGACGACCGAGGCGCGACAGTCTAGAGTGCCATGCAGACGAAGACGACTTCGTGGTATTCCATGCATCGTCTCAACAGCAGAACTCCACGAAGGGTATGCCTCGCACAGGCAAAGTTCCAGTGCGATCAGCTTCGCGAAAAACTGGCTCGCCAAAACCCAACAACTCCCCAAAGTTCTCGACCAACAAGACTCCTCGCGACATACGTAGTTCCAGCATGTCGAAGTCGCAAAACTCTCCAGATCTGCCAGATTCTAGGGCCATCAGTCGCGGGCGGCCGCGCCAAGCAAAATGGACATCAGCAAAGGTCTCCCCAAAGCTGCCCAACCACAAGTCCCTGGGGGGTAAAGCACCGCTTCAACCGCTACGGGTTCCAGACTCCGCGAGTAAAGGGAACCCATTTGAGCAATTGAACAGTCCAGAAGCTGTTAAGGCCAATGCTGATCAAGCCAGTCCATTCGAGCGCTTTATGAGTCCAGAAACCGTTCAAGGAGACCCAAGTGCGTGCAACATACTCGAACGACACGTTAGTGCAGAATCTCTGAAGGCCGCTACCCCAAAAGGCCAGGCGGAACGTCCGATTAGAAGCAGGCGGGAAAGTAACAAGACCATGCCGGTGAGCACGTGGGCAAAGGATACTCTCTCGTCGTCGCACGTTCCGAACACCAGCAATTCACGTGAGACGTCCCTCGAGTCATTGAGCCACAGCCCAGGCATGTCTGCTTCATCAATTATGACTGTCGAAACAACTTCAGCCCCGACAACCCCGGAGTCTGTTCCCGTGACTCCCAAGGCCATGAAACTTGAGCCTGATTGGGACAAGGACAAAAACTTGCTCGACGTCCCCACATCTGTGCCCGTCGTAGAAACGGTGCCGATGAATATTTTGGACGCAGATGTCCTCAGACCCCAAAGTGTCGTCATTTAGACTAGATGCATCTAGGAAGACAGAGAGAGGGATAAACCTAGAGTCTTCTTGCTTTAGCGTGGTGTTCGGGAAAGGTCCCCAGAGTCATCGGCGCCTCCATCATTGGAATTGTGTATACTTGTCGGAATACTTTGATAGCATAGGACGACAAATCGCGCAGTGGTGGACAATTTGGTGTGCATGAAAGTGGATATGGACCAAGGCTTGGACTTGACGTCTAGTGCCTTTTTTCCGCCTGGATCATTATAGGTGATTTCGTACTTTTGCATTACACCTAGGTAGAACAGTGAATAATGAATTGATGAATTGGATTTTGTAAGTCCTGAGGTGTGAAGGTGTTGAATCCATGTGCGGAAAGAGATGTCGCATTTGGAAACATACGTACCATTGCTTACGTGGGGTTGGCAATTGCATGCATGCATGCAACTGCGCAGAAGCCAATATCAAGTTACAAGTTGTTAAGTATTCTTCACACTTGAAATTATGCTAGATGAAGTGACGGCCTTCAATATGGATTCTTGGGCTGTATGACAAGTTCTAGACCATTGCTGAGTCCGAACCTGTCATTCTCATCAACCCTAGGAGCGCACCCTGCTCAACTATGTTAACTATTTGCTTACCACTTCATGAATCTGTTTATTGACAATTAGCCTCACTTACAAGACTATAATTATGTTGGGATGTCTAGTCATTTCAGGACCATTAAACCATCTACTCAGGCAAGTCGATTTAACTTTGTAGAAGGATACATGGCCGATTGAATTCATAGATACATCGTTTGTCATGGGCTAGCCATCGCCGGGCCGCTGAAATTCACAGTCCCAGCGGAGCTTTGTCTATTTCATACGAACCCAACTTGTATCGACGCCAGTTGAATCTAACCAAAGTCACTGTTTCGTGCAAGTTGTTAGATGCGTGAATACTTCAGGTCAATTCATCTTAGCCGCAAGCTAATCAACATCTGGTTGTTCCTAAACCCTTTAGAGAACCTTTGTTGAAAAAGTGACGCATTTAGTGATCTTCGCCGGTTAGCCGATTGAAAACCGGTTGCATGCTCTTGTCCTACCTGGCTTCGCCACTGTATGCCATAACATACCTGACACGTTCTGGCCGCTGTAGTCGATACATGCATTGAGGGCAAGCAACATGAGGAGTTTGCTTACTCGTCCCGACAAGTTGGTTCTGGCGCTTCTATGCACAACGTTGAGCTGCCAGTTGAGGTAAAACCCCCCGTTGCATGTTGCATGTTGGTTTGGCACACTCAAGCTTTGCCACAGATTCTATCCACTAGGGCCGCGAGTTGGGCCGCCGAAGTTATCAATGCATTCTCCCAGGCTGCATCACCGTATGAAAATTTGCCGGCTAAAAGCCTTGGTCGCAATGAAGTCGCAATGCAAACTTCCTATGTTGGACGCAGAATGCTGGTCAGAGGTACCCCAGGGCACCAACGAGGGGTATGGGGGCCGTAGACTGCAGGGATTATCGATTAAGCCTTCGGCATCACGCCAACGACTGGGCGCCACAGACCCTCGGCAGCACTAGATGTCTCCAATCAGACGGCGGTACCCACCAACAACCCCAACCTCCAAGCCCACATTTCGCTCAAAAGATACAAACTTGCAGGGGTTTTCATCAGCCCAAAAAGTAACTGGTTCGTTACTGGTGCTGAGTGCTCTCAGTGGCCAACCTTCTTCACCTTGCATATGGCCCCCATACGAGGTGGTGAAAATCCTGTCCACTGGCGAATCATGGACGGTGCAAACCCCAGGAAGAGCGGGAAGTGACCAGCTTGCAGTGCTATCGACCCCAACCTGGCAACGAGGGTTCCCAATATCACAGTTCGCACGATAGCGCTTCCTCTTACCATTCGGTGCCATGATCACCGTTGACGACATGAGCTTCGCTTTCTAGCTCGCTTACAGTCTCACTTGTCGTCCGTCTGAATGAAAAATCGAGACAGATATAAACGTCACCGCCACCCGTCGTACGTCCGCCGGACGTGCCGATGTTGATACCAGAACATCAAAGCTAGCTTTGAGCGAGCGATTTTCGATGTCAAGGTGACACCAAAGCGGAGTTGTTCTGTGACCAGCTGCTGACGGAAGTTTACTTGCCCATCCAAACGCACCCGGCCCTTTCGCGAATCTATTGAACGAAACATCTCGCGACGATCAAGATGTCGCGAATATTGGTGATTAATACGCTTTTGCGTGCGTCGGCGGCCTTACTAGTGGCGACAGGCTCGCCATGCGGAACTAAGTGTGGCAACGTCCTTGATTCCACGTCGACAGACGACCTTGTCTGCAGAGACTCTGACTACTCGCAAACGGCTGGGGTTGTCTGGTCAAATTGCTTGAATTGCGAGCTATCAAGCCCATACTCGAAAGAAGTTGACAAGTCCACCCGCTCAGACCTGCAAGCCATGCTTTGTGAGTTCCTGCTTTCATATACACCAAATACTCGTGGTGGATTTCATGCTAACTATCGCTCCAACAGATAACATGCGATTTGCAACATCACATTGCCTGTTTTCTGACGATGAAGAAGACGGCTCCTTTGGCACCAATCCCTGCATCACCACGTATGATGAGTCTGAGACTGTCGGTTGGTATCTTTGCTGACTGTCGGCCAGTACCGCTTGCGGGCCGCTGAAGGCAGCCATTGAGTACGATGGCCTGGAATCCAACGCAACGGCCTATGGCTACTGTAGCCTGTGGAGTGACCTCCAAGCCTCCAAATGCGACGCTTGCTTGACCAACATGGAGAATGCTCATTTTTTTCTGAACTGTTTGTGCAACAACACTGCCGCATGCCCGACGTTACTGACCACATCATGCAGATATCAATGTCTTAAATGGAGCTTGCAAGATGCAACCAACGCCAGGTTTAACCTTAGCACTAGAGGGAAGCATTTTCTCCGCTGATACCGTGAACGTGACTACGCCAACGCCCACGGCAACATTTACGGCATCTGGTCCGTCTGGGCCTCTCAGCCTTGGTGCTATCGTTGGTGTTGCTGTGGCCGGAACAGCCGTGCTACTCGGGGTTGCCGGCTTCTGCATCGTCGCGAATGGCAAGCGGCGGAGGAAGGCTTATCTACGAAAGCGGGAGCAACAATACAAAAACAACCATTGGCCTAGCCCTGGTGTCGGAGGTGAGATGTTCGAAACTCCCGTCAGTCAGAAACCACTCCGTGGTTGGGATGAATCTCCTGTTAGCGCCGGCACGGACTCAACATACCCTCGATATATCTCGCCTTACAGTTCGCAGTACAATAGCCCCGTGAGCGCTCTAGATGGTCCGAGCCATATGAACTGGCCATCAGAGAAGACGCAGAACATTGGAGTCGCTCTTAGCCCTGATGGCGAGCGTTCGAATGATTTCTGGGGGGACAAGAAGGGGAAGGACAGGGCCGAGGTAGAAAGGGACGAGTACGAGTTGCAGGAGGGAGTAAACAACGGGGGTGGGCAGGGTCAACAGTACCCTTATGTGTCGCCGCCTCCTCCGATGGCACCAACTCTCGGTCATCCGGGCTATGGCCGACATGGCCCCACCCCGCAGCAGTCTGGAAGGGGGACTCCTGAAGAGGATTTCATCTAGTTTGGATGATGTGATTTTTGCATCACGCAATATTATTTTCGGATTCGGAACCGTGTTCTGCATTTTCTTTGGTGTCGATTGGACTTTTCCATAATCTGCGTGGAGTTGAGGTGTACGGAAGAGATAAGGATGATGGTTCGACGGGGAATTTCTCTGGACATTGGCGCATGAAATGTGGTGCGGTTCTCTACAAAATACCACATGTGGCCCGATACATATTGTTTGCCATAGGGTAACAGCATGGCCCCAATACTGACGGGAGGTATATTCTTTCTACCGCACTCGAGAAGAGGTTCTTAATGTCAAAAAGTGACCACAACCCTCAGGATCTTCTATGGTTTAGGGAAATTGGCATTAAGACCCAACACACAAACGAACCTCTTTGAGGTGTAGGATATCCATGAACTGAATTTAGATCTGCTGAGCTTGAATTGAATCGCAATAATGAATGCACATATCTTGAAGTCATGCTGGTTCAAGTCCAGGTCTTGATGCATCAATGATAGATTGAAGCAAGAAGCTGTGGCATGAGCTCGTTATCAGAGATCCACTAATCCACTTTAGACTAACGTACCCCACAAGCAAGTTGGCCACTTTTTCTTGGCACCGTATGAATAACTTCAATAACTTAACTAAACTAAAAAATAATAATTCAAACTAATCGGAATCCTCTTCCTCGTACGTATCTTTATCATTCTAACTAGTACAAGCATTATGTCCGGGCTCTCCGCAGATCCTACAGCGCCGTCGGCGTGGTTCGGCCGGTCTCGTACGACGACGACTTACACGTATATCATCCTGTAGCTGCTGTTCAATATCCCGTTGAGACTGTAAGTCCTGAGCGTCTCGTAAACTAAGAGATCCTCTATCTTGTAGCTGTCGATTTTTAGTCCTTCGACGACGGCTTAGCTCTTGATTGGCCTTCCAGAGTGTAGTAACCTCATCCTCAAGTAAAACTAACCGATGTATAACAGCCGTCGCACCACGTGAAAATTGGTCAATAGCCGTAAGTATTGTCGTCGGGGAGCTATTCTGATGCTGTACGATTCTGTTTTTAACGTATTCAGACTGGGATTACGCCTCGGTTGGGTTATTTGGAGTCTTTGATTCCCAGATTAAGGGGGCGCCAGACGAGCTCCCAGGAGGTGTAGGCGTATGTAGCTTAATATCCAGCTGTGAAATCACATATTCCGGGTCGTACGGAACAAGTCCTGTCCCCCTGAAACCTGCCTGGATATTCGACTTAGTTATAGTCGTACGATACGCCCTATAGAATGCCGAAAAGAAATCCTCCTTCGAGATATGGGTTATATGCGCCCGTATTAGGTCTTCAATTTCTTTGCCGTACGACCTTTTCAAAGCCCTAAAACAGCCTACATCGAGAGGCTGGAGCTTATGTGACGAATGAGCAGGCATACTAAGTGTAATAATAGTATGCTCTTTGCAATATAGCTCGAAGTCAGTCAAGTGGTGGTTCTTATGCCCGTCGAGGATAAGAAGACGATAAACACCCTTCGTACGATCCTTCGTATAGCGATCAAAGTGCTGAATCCAGTCTACGCCTCGCTCATTTGTTGTCCAACCGTTTTTGGTTACAGCGATTACCCAATCGGACGGGAATGGGCTATTCTCGTACCAGGATAAGAGGTGGTTTTGACCCGCGACAATAATATACGGCGGGATAGCCCAGCCGGACGAATTAATACCCTGGATTACTGTAGCCCATTCTCGATTGCCTTGTTGGACTGTACGAGGCCTTCCGCGTCGTTCGGCACTTGTAACTACCATCTCGGATGATTAAGCCCATCGCGAACCCTGTCTCGTCAAAGTTATAGATATCCGCCTCTTGGATACCATATTTCGCAATTGTATTTCGTACGAGCGTAAACCACGCGCGATACGCGTCAGGATCTTCGCAATAGGCTCGTTGGTAGTCGATTCTTTGATTAAAACGCGTCCGAAGGTCTGGTTGTCGTCGTACGAAGTTCGAGGCCCAGTTGACGCCGACGCGTCCAGCGCCACGGTCACGGAGCAGTCGGTTAGCCAGAGCTTCAACACCATGGAGCCGGGGAGGAAATGATCGCGAATCTAGGTCAAGTATGTATTGTACGACCGCTAACTCTTCTGATTCCGTAAGCTTATGACTAGATTGTCGAGTATCGCGTCGAGATAGTAGTCCGCATTTTCGGTTAGCTAGATATGTACGAGGGACATTGCAGAGTTGGGCAGCGCGTCGGATGCTTAATTCGGGTTTCGATTGAAGCGCCTGACACGCTAGAATCATGTCGCTTTCTTTCCAATTCGATCCCATCTTGGTATGTGTAAAGATGTTAATTAAAAGGTTGTTCGTACGGTGCCAAGAAAAAGTGGCCAACTTGCTTGTGGGGTACGTTAGGCTTCTGTGGCTTGACTCCAATTGAATCGCACCTTCCCCACAAGCTGCTCGAATTTTTTTTGGAAGCTTTTTTTGCAGAGAAGTTCGCCAACCTTTGCGTCTGTATCCATCGTCGCCAAACATTTCTTCCTCATTATTATAGCGGCAGAAAAAATGGCGCAGAATGCTAAACAGTCGGCAGCTAAGGAGACGTTTGTCATCAAGCCCGAGAGCACGACTCCTGCTATTGACTGGAGCCAGACGCCCCTGCTGCTGAAGAATTATGACAAGCGTACGTGACGAACATCTCGAGGACCAATTGTAGTCCAATATTTCATCCAGGTGAATTACTAGAAGGCTGACTTTACCGTAGTTCTTGTCCGAACTGGTCACTTCACTCCGATCAACCATGGCTGCTCGCCACTCAACAGAGAATTGAAGCAGTACATCAGCTCTGGTGTAATTAACCTTGACAAGCCCTCGAACCCGTCCTCCCACGAGGTTGTCGCGTGGGTGAAGCGAATCCTCCGGTATGCGCCCATCCGGTCTGCCAAAAAGATCATAGAAGTAATCAACTACTGACGGCCGGTTTAGCGTTGAGAAGACGGGACACAGCGGAACCCTCGACCCCAAAGTCACAGGCTGTCTGATTGTTTGTATCGATCGTGCTACCCGACTCGTCAAGTCCCAACAAGGTGCTGGAAAGGAATATGTCGCTGTTATTCGACTCCACGACAAACTTCCCGGTGGACAGGCCCAATTTGCGCGTGCTCTCGAAACCTTGACCGGTGCTCTCTTCCAACGTCCCCCCTTGATTTCTGCAGTCAAGCGCCAATTGCGTATCCGAACTATCCACGAAAGCAAATTGATCGAGTTCGACAATGACAGGCATCTCGGTGTTTTCTGGGTCAGCTGCGAGGCAGGGACTTACATCCGAACCTTGTGCGTACACTTGGGATTGCTGCTAGGGGTTGGAGGCCACATGCAAGAGCTTCGACGTGTGCGAAGTGGTGCCATGGACGAGACCAAGGATCTGGTTACCCTCCACGATGTTCTCGATGCCCAGTGGTTGATGGACAATCAGAGAAACGAAGCCTACCTTCGCAAGATCATCCAGCCCCTGGAGACACTCTTGGTTGGTTACAAGAGAATTGTTGTTAAGGATAGCACTGTTAATGCTATCTGCTACGGTGCTAAGCTCATGATTCCCGGTCTTCTCAGATATGGTCAGTATTGCCCATACCGTCACTCACACCCCCGGGGCCTATCACTGACTTGAACAACAGAGGCGGATATCGATGTACATGAGGAGGTTGTTCTCATCACTACGAAGGGTGAGGCCATCGCTCTTGGCATTGCCCAGATGTCAACGGTAGAGATGAGCACATGCGACCATGGTGTCGTAGCCAAGGTCAAGCGTTGCATCATGGAGCGCGACCTGTACCCGCGAAGATGGGGACTGGGCCCTACGGCTACTGAGAAGAAGAAGATGAAGGCATCCGGAAAGCTGGACAAATATGGCCGAGCTAACGAGGCAACACCAGCTGCATGGAAGTCCGAGTACAAGGACTTCAATGCCCCGCTCGAGCAGCCTGCTACCTCCGCACCTACCGCAGATGTCACCATGTCGGAAGCACCTGCTACAACCCCCGTGAAGACCGCTACTCCTGCTGAGGCTCCTGCTGCAGCAACGCCGGCAGACGACGACAGAAAAAAGCGCAAGAAGAACGATGGTGAAACAGCCGAGGAGAAGGCAGAGCGCAAGCGGTTAAAGGCAGAGAAGAAGGCGGCAAAGAAGTCAAAACGGGCTTCGATGGCGTCCGCCAAGGAGTCCGACGACTCTGAATAAATTCTCTCATGAGTGAAGTCATCTGGCACTCATCACACTAGCTTGAATGTGTGACCCTGACTCGAGGAGACCACATTGGCAATCCACCACTCATTGACGTGGCTACTTGACTAGAGCTTCAGCAGCAATGGGATACCTTGTGGTTGTCGCGACCCATTTTCCCGAACTCGGTTGGAAGCCTGGCCGAATCTTCATCGATATGCTAAGGTTTGCGCATAAACTGTGCAGCTCTACGCAACGCCAATACTGGAATCTCAACCTTGATCTGCATAATTGCATTATGGTTCTTTCCCATGTGGCGGTTCTACTGTATCATACAGTGCTTCAGTACCAAAGGATAATGGAAAAGGCGTTGCGGTTCTCATTCATGGAAGGCAATTGATCATAGGTAGATAAGAAGATTCATCTACAGCAAGTCAATGGCTTTATTCGAATCCTAATTTCCAAGTTTGTGCCTGATTTTTCATGGTTCCTATCGTCCCAAGCTGTCGAGTCACGTAGGAATAAAGAAATATTTTAATGTAGATGCTGAGCAGGTGAGTCCTGATCAGGAGCCATTTGAGCATCCCATCTACGAGACTATTACATCAGCAGAGCTGCCCCGAAGTTGGAAATATGCAACTCATGACGTAGATGTCGTGAGCTTGACCCTGACTGGTATCCATGCGACGTTGGAATCAGAGAAGTAAAACATCTCCACGACCATAGCATCATGGAGAAGTCTCATTGGGAGAGCTACGATCTAGACCAAGCATCGTCCTGTCATTCAGGCTTCATGAGCAAAATGTGGACAAGTCGAGCCTGGGTCTCTGGGATGCAGCAGCGGCAGCTGATCGCAAGTCCCATACGGGATACCGTCCATATAATTACCGGCGCCAGTAGTTCGTGGCGTCCGCCGGATGTTGAATGCTAACACAAAGAAAACCCAATGGCTCGCCCGCTAGTATTGCAACTTTGTCATGCACTTGCTTGCACCTACCTCCTGGGCTCGGCACATAATGTATAAAAATGTTTGAATCTAGAAGACTGGGTGCAGCACGAGATGGACGAGAAATAATTCTCCGCAAGCCCTTGCTGTGTCCTGTATTCTTGTAGGATGAATTGAGACTATTCCGTCGATCACTGCAGGAGGCCGTATTCCATGCAATGCCACAATAATATTTGTCCCACCTCAACGCCTAGGATTTGAGTCCAAAAGCATGAACTCATATGGAATATTATCTCAGCCCTGTTAAGAGACCCCTGCGACAAGAACACAAGGATGGATCTTCTAATTCCAGAACCATTTCAGTTCCCTAAGCTCCAGCTAGCAAACTTGGAGGTCGATTGGCTGGATAGCTCTATGTTTTCTTGACTCTCCAAAGAATGCATGTCTAGTGTGTCCTGCCTATCAACGTGTTTTGCATATGTCGTTGGGTGGATAGGATCGTTGTAAAACATGCCGATCAGAGGCGAGACGACCCAACTGGGGCCGACCGGGACTGATATCTTGCGAGTTGCAGGTTGGTTCACACGTGCGGAACTCTATCAATAGACGCGTACGCGCGAGAGCGGGAACTGCTGGATGACAAGTTGCCTCCAGGACGACCAAGACCCTTTCTTTTTTTTCTAGCGCTTGTCAAACGAATTTCGATTCACGAGTAAGCTTTACAAGCAGCGATATGAGAGTTGATGTTGACACTCTAGGTAGGCTGACCCGCAGCACCTCGATGCATTGAAGGCTACTGACCTGCGGGTATTGTCGAAACACAGATCAAGTCTGACGGGGGCAGACGAGGTAATGCGGCTCCATTGACAGGTCGGTCCAAACTGCTGAACAACCCCACGACAAACGGGAGCAATTTGAGCCATGTTTTAATCTGAGCAGGATCTGATTCCTGCTTGATTCATGCTCAGGGGGCCCCAACTCAGTAAGTGACAGCCATATCTACAGGGTTCTTCTATCCGTTGCCGGATTCCGTAGACGAACACTCCAATTATACATTTTCTATGCATCTATGCTCTGAATGGGCAAACAGAAAGTTTCAATTCCATGAGCGCCAGAAAAGCAATCCATATAATGAGTTTTCTCCCCGTGCCCTGGGCAATACGGCTGAGAGGCAGACGATCATTCTCCTTGTTTCTTCTTTCTATAATATATGCAGGTCATCACGGCAGTGTCTGTGTTACTGTATTGAAGCCACACACGTCAAGTTGTGCTGCCTTTAACCGATCTGTCAGACTTTATCACTCCCCATCCTTCGTCCCATCGTTATAGTGCTTCCTTTCCAGCTGTCTTCGAATACTAGAAATCAGCTGTCTCTCAGCATGAGACGAACCTAGTTGTTACAATTCAGTAATAGCTGTTTATTTAATCGGTCCCGGAAAGTTGGTTTGTTGTCTTGCCAACTTTGAGGAAGCTTCAAGCTAGTCAACTCAACTCAACTCGATTGGAGTTCTTGTACAAGCTGCAAGTCCGGGCAAGTCAACTCGACTCGGACATCGCCCATCATGAAGCTGTTACTCTCTGTGCTCGCGGCCACTGGACTGCTCTGGGCGCAGGCATGTCTCGCGGCACCGACGAAGGGCAACCACTTCTGGGAACGAGCAACCAATGCCCCCACCATCTCAAGAGACTTTCCTGATCCTTCCATCCTCAAAGCCAAAGATGGAAGCTGGTATGCCTTTGGGACCACGAGCAATGGCAAGCAAGTACAAGTCGCCACCGCGCTGTATGCGGAAGGGCCGTGGTCGTATCTCGACACCGATGCCCTCCCCGATCCGGGCAACTGGACCACTGGCTCCAACACTTGGGCGCCTGACGTTCGTCAGATGGAAGACGATACGTACGTCATGTATTATTCAGGTGAAGTGGCATCCAACCCGGCATTCCACTGCGTGGGCACAGCGACCTCGGAGGGCATCTTGGGTCCTTACAAACCGTCATCCGAACCCTTCGCCTGCGACCTCAGCATAGGAGGTCAGATTGATCCGTCTGGTTTCCGAGACCATGACGGCACGCAGTACGTCGTGTACAAGGTGGACGGGAACAGCATCGGACACGGCGGGTCTTGCAATAACGACGTTTCACCGTTCCTTCCCACGCCGCTCCTGCTGCAGGAAGTCGACGAAGACGGTATCACCAAGGTTGGTGACCCGATTCAGTTGCTGGATCGTACCGATGCCGACGGTCCCCTGGTTGAGGCTCCGGCGCTGCTGCGCCATGACAATGGGGTGTACACGCTATTCTTCAGCAGTGGGTGCTTCACCGAGCCGACGTACAACATCAACTACGCCACGGCGCATAACATCAAGGGCCCGTATACCCGGAGCTCAACCCCTCTGGTGAGGTCCGACGATTCCTTCGGGTTGACTGCGCCCGGTGGCGCGACGCCGACGGCCGACGGCGACATGATTGTATTTCATGCTGATTGTTCTGCGGGGCGGTGTTTATTCGAGAGCAAGATCGATATCATGGGCGATGACGTTGTGCTCGATGGCGTGGATGGTATCGGCAGCTAGCTCATGACGGCCCGCACGAGAAGCGCCTTGAGCCGGACGATGGAATGTAACCCCGAGTGCAACTCGCCCTTGTGATGACATAACCAGTGAATAATGGACATGGAATTCTCGCGCTTACGGCTGCACATAAACATTAAGAAGACGACAAGCATTGGCCGGCGCTTTTGGGGGATGGATGTATGGCTTCTGCCAATAAACTGGATGGGAAGGATGGTATTCGGAACTAGCGTTTCGGTCGCCCATTCGTTTGGGACTCACTCTCGCTAGACATCGGGTATATCGGGAAGGAAATCGCACCCAGGCCGATCTGTGCATAGACCATATTTCTAATAAATGCTTCAAAGAGAAGGGTCGCAACTTGGACAAGGCCCTCGAATGAATTAAATGCCAAATGCATCGTCGTGCCATGTTATTCATGCCTTCCTCCCTTTCCTTCAGCTTGTCTGCGTTTTGGGCTCGAAGAACAAGCTCATTCAAGTTGAATCCTCATGAGGCTTCGCTTCAATGCAAAAGATCCTTTGCGTCTCGCCGGCGTATGGGTTGAAACCAGAGATGCACCTGCGTCCGTGTCTGCGTCTGAGAGGGGAATGATCGTTCCCGACGTACGAGTCGAATGTTTGCTTGGCCTCGAATGCTACGCTTCCGATCATGGATGAAACCTACAAGGTGGTTGCCATTCACAGGTGATTCGGCGTCTTCGCAATTCCAACTTGGTGGTCAGATCGCTGGAGACACAGCACTAAGCCAAAATGAGCGGTTGTCCAAGCTTCTCGACACTGAGTGGTCTAAAAATAAGCGCCGACATCTGCCTGCACCCTGCACCCTGCTATCACCATCACATCGTCATGCCTGAGGAAACCCACACCCCTGTCGAGGTCAAGATTGGGATTTCTTGTGTTTCCCAGAGGCGAAAGATTCGACAGGGCTGACCAGGTTCGTCGTACAATCTTTGAATTCTGTGGCTGATGATCCCCTTGGGCCCGTGTTTTCGCGAAGCTTTGGGAAGTGCTCCGAGATCCTCACCCAGCTCCTCCCTCTAATACCACAGCAGAGTCGAGAGAATGATCAACAAAGGAATGTAAGGGGTTACTCTAGAGTACTATCCGGCTGTACAGCACCGCGGCTATATCTCCAGTATCTCGTACCAGCGATGGTCTGCTGCAGCTCCCAGGCGGAGGATTTTCGTCTATTGGTCGAGTGCTGCATGTCGAACAACCAGGGTAGGTGGCCTGGTTGGATGCACAATACACGCTTCTCTCGACACTATGTCACGGGGCTCAGCGACTGCTTATTGTTCTGGACTCTCAGATCCCCGCCCAGCCAGCCGCCTGTGACCCAACTGCCGACCCATTTTAAGACCTGCGGGGTTCATTCACAGGCGCTTGAAGATGACTGAAAGCTGCCCAAGCCTCTATCTTGTTGACCAACCAGGTCGCAGTCCACGACCACTTTTCCCTTCCCAAGAAATCCAACCTGGCTTCTCTTCCTGTTAGGGAAGTCGTAGATTGCCCTTTTTACGCCAGATATCCGATTTATCGGAAATTTCTTCGATAGACTGGGCGGCAGGATATTGTTATGCTTATGTATGCTACCATCCCATCGAGCTACGCTCTACTCTATGTGATGAAGAATGTGGGAGCATAAGCGTGCTACGTACACGCAGTGCAAGGCAGGACTCGTCTCATGGACATGCCTGCACAAGGTGCAGCTACCCTCAACGCTCGACCGACTGTATATACCGGTAAGTCCCAAAAGTCGAACTTCGCATCCCTCCGACCGTTGTTCTATCTTTGGCGGTATTTCTTTTCAATAGTTATTTCCTTTCTCGAGGCATAGACTTCCCAGCAGGCTGGCAGTTGACAGTTCATGAGTTCCCTCGCGTCGTAGTCATTCCATTTTCTCTTCAGTTCGCTCCCTTAATACTATATTTTGGCCTTATCCGACCCACTGAGGACCATTGACTCTCTATCAATTTCAGTTCTCCCGGCAAGATGGCAGCTCTGTCACTCATACTCTTATTTGCCTTGTTTAGACAACATATCGTGGCATTGCAGGTCACACCAAACTCTCCTTGTGCTTCCTTCTGTCTGGACTCAAATGACCTCGACTTCTCGGACCCCAAGTCATCCAACACGGAGAATAAGGATATTACTTGTTATGATGACGAGTACAAGACATCGCCAGCGGGGCAAAAGTTTCAGAGGTGCATGAGCTGTCTTCAAGACAGCACCTTCGCTCAGGGCAGTGAGAACGACCAGTCCTGGTTTCTGTGTAAGTTGGTCCAATTCTGTCAATGAGATATCTCTAACCATCTGTCAAGACAATCTCAGATACACATTTGACTACTGCGTCTTTGGCTATCCCAACGCCAGCGGAGTGGCGTCAACACCGTGTTCGACATCAACTGCGTGTGGAGGCCTTGAGACGGCCTTGACCAGTGATAATCTCGATGCCAATGGACTGGCCCCGTACGGTTACTGTGCCGCAGACGGTGGTGCTATGAAAGGCCCGTCGGTCTCGAAATGCGTGGCCTGTGTGGCCGCATTGGATGGCCAAGATTACTTGGCCAACTGTTCGTAGACCTCATTGAAACAAAGCCCGGCCCATGACTAACATGAATGGCAGTCATAATTGCTCTCGACACAGGGTGTCAGCAACAACCTATGGTCGGCACAGTTGTAGGACTGAACGACACTATCTTCTCCACGACCACGATTGCCGCGGCGGATCCCACAACCTCAGCAGCAGCTTCCAGCAATCAGCCAGTACTATCAACCTCGACAATAGCTGGATTAGTCGTCGGCATTATAGCTCTGGTTGTCAGCGTTGGTGCTGTCTTGTTCATCCGCCACCGGAAGCGGCGCAACCGACGTTTGCGTCTCGAGGGCACACCTAACCTCAGTGGCTCAAAGCGCAGCAATCACCGACCTGCGTCCTCCCTTTCCTTCCGCTGCCAGACGCATCTGTCGCCTCGATCTCCGCAATTCTTCCCAAATGTCTCTGAGTCATCCATCCCAGAAGAGAAGCCCTATGTTGTCTCCAGTGCAGCACCGGGTTCCAACCCCGTGTCACCGGAGTCGCCAGTCTCGCGGCATTTCATGTGGTCGGGAAAGCCAGGCTTTCGATCCAAGCGCACGTACCGCGGCGGCGATTCCAACGGCCTACCATTGCACAACATTGCGACCTCAATACCGCAAATTCCCGGTCATGTGTATTCACCCAAGGGAGGCGCCAGAGGCTACTCGCCCACGGACGACATGGTCACTCCAGCAAGCACGACCAGCACCAAGAGCACGGCGCAACTATTGCCGATGAAACCGTATAGTCCCGCAGAGTACGGTGTTATCGCACCACGAATTGGGCGTGGTGACAGTGCCGGTGCTGATGCAACGTACACCAGTCCCACCTCGGGGTCAACGGCTAGCCCCCTACTCAGTCGAACATGGGATCAGAGAGCGCCGACGTGGGACAAGCCGCTCCCGCACCGTGTCTCAAACCGGCCGAGCTCTAGCGTAGTGTCTACTATGCTCGGCTTGGGTGGCAAGGAGAAGAGCGTCAGCAATACGGGGAGTCCTGTTGAGTCTAAGAAGATTAGCACTAGTTTTCCTGCTCCACCACCACCTAAATCATGATGTAGGCTGAGGCACATGCACATTGATTATTACTCTCGGGGAAAGATGAGCCCACGGTAAAACCATGGAACGTATTTTTTTCTTCGGGAGTTTTTGGTTTGCTTTGGGTGGCCAGGGCGTCGAGGTCTCCAGGTGTCTGTCTGGTTTGCATTCAGGGACTGCTGTCTTGGCTTGTCTGGGTCTGTACATACTACCGCTTAGCAGAGCTGTTGTATTTCATATTGGATTAGGATACCCTGTATTGACAAGAAGCCTGCTGGATAAGTTAGTCGTTTCAATTTGCTAAAACCCGTGGTACACCCAGGTGAGACCGAGATGTGGTGCTTTCTTGACTTCTAAGATATATCAACGTGGCTCATCACAGCATCCTTTATGTTGTTTCCAAATGTTGTTTCCGTGATGGAGGCTATGTCTACGTGGGCTTTTATTCTACTAGCAGCCCTAAGTTAAACTTGAGAAAAGACTGTCATACACCATCGAGTTAAGTTCCCACATCTTGAAACCAGATGATATTTTGTGTTGTGGTATTCGACGAAGCGGTCACACGGCTGTAGCCCCAAGCCGACAGGCTAGGCACCGACCACATCGTGTTTTCTTGAAGACATGGTGTTACTCGAGTGAACGAGGTTTTCTTATACCTCATTTCGTCGTGTTTGGCTTTCGCCGGAATGTGGTTTCCCTGAAACAAACTTTCTTCTCTCCTTGTCCCATATCGTTGCTACCACAGTGAAATCGGTAGCTACTTCAGCTAATTCATCCGATAAAGGCAGTAACATCTTGTCTAGATGAAACGACATTTTTACTCGATCAGGCGGTCCCACAGAAGCTGTCAGGTCACAAGTCTGTTTTTGGCCCGAGACACTGGAGGAATAGCCCGCCAACACAGTTTCGGCTCGTCTCGAAAAGATATCTTCTAGACTAGGATTATGACATGTCAAGGAGTTCCTAGCAGGCTCGAAATAGGATCAATCATGTCGCCTCGTGGTCTTACGGTGTCTCGGACAATAGCAGATATCAGCTGTGCTGGATCTGGGTCTCAAGCGACATCGCAGTTCGGACCCGTCTACTCGTTGAAGTGGGGAGTCCAGAATGGAGGAGGTAAAATCTCACTTGAGCTCACTTGAGGTAGGCTGTCCTTACCCATGTGTGCCTTCAATTCGTGTTTTGCTAATGAGGTGTTGCAGGGCTAGTTGGGATAGCGCTGTTTTGTTTTGAAGGAAATGGCTTCTCGATCCTTTCACGCTCTACTTGAATCAGTTGCGTGTAGCACAGGCGAGGAGGCTAGTTTGAGGCAAACTGCATCACGAAGGTTGGGCCCCACCATGAAAGGGAGCGATGCTCTGTTTGTTGTTCCTTCCGTAATGTTCCACGGCTATGTGCATTTACAATCTTTTGCGTCGTTTGCCACTAATTTGTCGGTAATGATATAATCGTGGCAAGGCTTCAAGTTGAGCAATCGACAATCTCTGGTGGAGAAGCAACACCTCGGAACGTTGATATAAGGTCGCGTTGGTCGAGTGACTTTTTCTAGTGTCACTACCTCTCATCGCCATCTCGAGAACTATCTGACCAGGTCCTTCTTGAGACAACTCAACATCGAGATCCACCATGCAAGCCATTTCACTCATCGCCGGTCTGCTTCTCGGCGGCCTTGCTGCTGCGGCGCCATCAACCCAAACAACAGAAGCTCCTACCATCGTCGACCACTGGGTCGTCTCCAAAGTTGTGCGCACTCACTCGGAAGACCTCACGAACTGCAACTGGGACTTTCATGTCAGCCAGTCTTCAGTCAAGAATGACGTAGTCTGCACCTTCACCGTCACGGCCCAGGCAGGAAAGGACTGCCGCGTCGCCCCTTTCGCCAACATCGAGTGTTCTGGCGACAGCGCGTTCCAAGTCAATGCCGGACACGACGACGGAGGATTCATCGTCTTAGTGTTGGTAAATACCTTTGAGAATGCCTTGGCTTATTACGGCTACGATGATGCCGAGCTTGACGAGTCTCCCAAAAAGGAGATCAATAAACAAAAACAGCCTGCTACCTTGATCGAGTCCAAGAAGACCACGAGTCTGGGACTTGCTCAGCGGGCTGAAGTACTGGGTACTTGGACCATCGAGAACCTCTTCAGATGTAATGATGGCCATCCCTTGAGGGTACCACGCACACGCTGACCGCATAATTACTGCCAACAGTTGTTGACCCGTCGGACAACTCCATCAAAATGGAATTTTATCTTGTCGAAGATGGAATTACTTGCCGACTCAACTTGCAACCACCGACGGGCATGGACGCCAAGACCTGGGCCTGGTCTGCTCAGAAATGCGAGAACAACGACTACACCGTCTCATGGGGCTTCGACGAAATTCATGACGCTGGAATTATGACCCTCGTATCGTGAGTTGTCCCTCTGAGCCAAGTCGATTCGCTCGGGCTTCCAGCTGCTAACTAAATTGTATTTAGTCCTGAGAAAGACAGGGATGCCTTCTTTGGATGGAGAGACATTAGCAAGATTTCGTATCTAGGAAATGCAGGGCCAAATCCAGTCTATGGGTGTATGTGCGGATAAGACAAGTAGCCTATCTGGTTAGAGGTTGTACATCCGGGGTTGATCACAAATGGTACTTTTGTGTGGCAAGTTTCCCGGGGCACTTGTGGAAGTAAAAAACATCACTGGTCACGTAGAAAGTAATTGATGCTGGCTTAGACCACCGTCAAGGAAACTGCTCACGTTGAATAACTAATATATTTCATACTGATTTGCTCAACACCAATTGAATTATTATTCCCCGTAAACATTATATATCATGTTATGTAAGCTACAGAAGCACAATGGAACATATCATATTGAGGGCACACCCGATGTAACGTATTGGAAATGCTAACTTGACTCATCGAGTCGGCGCGCTTTAGCTCAACCAGAGTCTGGTCAATCACTCCTATCTCTGGTCTCCACGGAACCTCCATGAGGTGAAACGCCACACCTGTGAAATACGGCCTCCGCAGTCCGTCTTTTCCTCTCTGTCTGATCAACCTGACAACCCAGTCACTGTTCAAATTGCATTGCGGTGATAGCATAAACAACCCTACGATGCTTTATGTTAGATCTCTAGTGGGCCCTTTTGCTCATGCTTACATATGGAACGGGCCTTGCTTCCTCTATCGCCTAGGATGCTCCCTATTAATGATCGGATCGTGAAGTCCTTCCCATCGGCCCACTTACCCTTCGTCGCCCACCGGATAAGTCAGTACCTTACCCCATGGCGCGCACGACCTTTAGGTTGTAGAAATAATCCGTATTTAACAACCGTACTTTCATCAGACAGTCCAACTGCAGTTCAAGCGGTAGTGGTTTAGTGGTAAAATCCATCGTTGCCATCGATGGGCCCCGCGTTCGATTCGCGGCTACCGCAAGTATCATTTATTTTGCCTCCACAAAAGTTTTGATCGGGCCTTTGTGACATGAGGATGTTGTGCCTCATGTCAGATCTAAGTGCATAATTCATGTAATCCATTTGGCATTGTGAGATACTGAAGTGTATTAGCCAGTGTTACTGCGGTAGCTGCTGAACATCAGGTAACCGAACGCCGTAAAGTCGACTGGACGTCATCAGCATGCAGTCTCCATTTGATCTTTAGACCCCTCCAACGTCTTAGAGATTACGTTCAAGAAAAGTGCAAAGTGCAAAGTGCCCCTGAATCACACAGAGAGCGCATTGCCTCGTTAGAAGTGCTTGTCCTTCGCAGCTCATGGTCGACTGACATAATCTGAGTTGTCCACTGGCGGGAGCAGGTAGTTTGTTTAAGGTTATCGTGAAACGGCATTAGGTCTATAAGGTCCTGCTATCGTGTATATCCAACTGGCCACTCTTCACATTTCCATATCGCACCGCTCAATGGAGATCTGCATCAAGCAATGTACCGCAGACTTGGATGCTTTACTCTTCACAAATACGGGACGAGGAAGACATGGATAGATGGGATGAGAAATGTTCGAAATTTTGATTTTATATTCCAGGATTATGACCCTCACCGTGAAGTCGTGACAAGGAAAACACAGCTACACAAGCATCCTTTCAATCAACATATGGTGGCGGGGAGATCGGGCTGGGTGTTCACTCCCGCTCGAACAGGTGAGACTGGAGCGCGACTCCACGATGGGCTTTCACCGAGTCCGGGACCGCAGATCATCCGTCACACCCCCAAACCCCGCCAACTTTGATTGTGCGACCCTCTTCTCTAATCTTCCCGCCCCTGTCCTGGTATCAATCTTGTCGTCCTCCTAGAAACAGCCTGTGTTTCAACAGGCACGTTCTGCAAGGAGCAAGCTCTGATCGAACCAACCCCTCGGCCCCCGAGCGAGGATCACTAAAAATTATTCACCAGAAACCCCAAGCCTCCTGGGCTTCCACCGAAATTCACCTATTTTCCTTCGCCCTGCAGCCAGAAAATACATCGCGTTTGTTTGATGAATCTGAGAAAAATACAAAGGTTAAGCCGAGACAACATATATGGACAGACCCGGCAAGAGAATAGCGGAAAAGATTCGAGGTATTATCGCACGCAGCAGCAGGTGCAAATTGAAATGTGACACTGGAGGAAGCCGAGCGGATTGGCCCCCTCCAACAAAGTTGCGCAACGTAAAAATCAAAGGTACGATCCGCTGTGCCAGACACGCATGATCGAATGCCAAAATAAGGTATCGTCATGCAGTTTCGTGGCTGATACATTGGTGGGTTTGGGGTGGACAAGAACCGAAATCAGGTCTCGCCTGTCCGGGAGAGGGGCGGAGGGGGCGAAGGTGTTGTGTGGGAGTTGATCAAGATGAGAATCTCGAGAGAGTTGGAGGAGTGTGAGCCAAAGACAAGAGGTATAAAGTCCCGCAACGCCGATCGATGTGAACAACTAATGGTATCGCAGCAAACCAAGTCCCAAGATGTATATACGCCGTTCGTTCTCCAAACCGCACGGACGCACTCCAATAGCGCCTCGCGCTGAGAATTGTGAAAGTGATAAGATAAGCCATCCGGCTAACATCATTGCTGAATGTGCTCGGGCGACATGCTGGCGTGGTCCATGCTGTCGAACTGCACCAGCTGGTTCATGTCCATGTCTCCTTGGTTGGAATCCACGTAAGCGGGAGAGTGAGGGTGCATTGGGATATTGATGGTGTGCTTCGAGTACATCTCGTTCAAGCTGTGGCCATCCTCTGACATAGCAGATTCACCCATGGGGTAAATGTCAGCGGAAGCACTGCGCATCATGCCCATAGGCGGAGACTGCTCAACAATGGCAGGGTCACCGTGGCCAAAGGGCAGAGGCGAAACCGATTGCGGTCCCATGTTCGCGGGCATGGGTGAGAGGAATGTGCTACTATATGGGGTGTTGTAACTGGAAGCGGGAAGCGGTGTGCTCTCGGGTCCTTGGGAAAAGTAATTGGGGCTCGAGTACTCGGACGGAGCAGTGGTGGCAGCAGAGAGGGGGTATTGTCGGAAATCCATCCCGAAGCCAGCCTGTGTATCAATACGAAGATTGGGTCCCACAGGGCTGAGCTGATGAGGTTGCTGGGGAACTGGCGAGAAAATGGCAGGGCTGTGAGGATGTCCCTGCGTCTCGCCAGGATGTTGGATGTAGAACGAGGGCATCGGGTTCTGGAACATGGAGAAATCGACAGGCATGGGAACGGATCTGCTGCGCTGCCTCTTGTGACCCTGACCGCGCATGCTAGCATGGGCTGGGTTGACGCCCCATTGCGATTCCTGGAACATGCCAACATGAGACTGCGCAAAGTTGGGTTGCGACGAAGGACGGCCAGTGGGAGAGACTGGGGCCGACACAGACAAGGCGTGTCCCTGGTCAATGTAGGGGTTGGGGTTGGGCATATGGCGGTTCATGAACGATTCGAGGGACACCAACTTGGCTAGTTGGCCGCTGAGGACCTTGGGATTGCCACCGAGATGATGGACGAAGCAGTTGGAGGCCTGCTGGTCCTCCGTGAAGTCACCACACTGGAAGAAGCCGTTGGAGTTGGGAGACGAGTCCATGAAGAAGCTTGGCGGTCGGTTCAGCTCAATGACAATACCACCCAGCTTGTTGGCGTCGCCCTCGGGGTTTTCGAGGTAGACGTTTTTGATCGAGTTGAAGTTGTACTCAATCTTGTAACCGGCCTGGTCGTTGTTAATGTAATACGTCATTGTGCACTTCTCGGGCGAGTAGAAGATGATGAGATCCATGGTATTTTGCCCAACACGAGTCCACTTGCCAATGCTCAGGGAACGACAAGTCAAATGGTGGATGAGGACTTTGCCCTGTCCGCTCTGGTCACCGCCGAGCATCATGGATGAACCGTAGGGAACCAGACCGGTGCGGCCAAGGAACGTGCCTCCTAATCCCTTGCCTGACTCCATCGCCTGCATGGCGAGGTATTGTCGCATGGATTCAGGGATGGAATCAATGTCTTCGCCTGCTTCGATGTTCTTCTTTGCCATTAACTTAATCTTCGCGCGTCTATCCCATGGGCAATTAGTATAAGCACCATTCGACTCACGCGTCAATTCACATACCGGTTCTGGAACCAGATCTGAACAGACCTCTCCGTCATGTTGATCTCTTCGGCGATTCTTTCTCGAACATTTGCTGTGGGCGTGGGGTTCTTGTTAAATTCTAATTCTAGCGTTGACAGCTGATCCTGAGTGGCACGTTGGCGCTTCTGGTTCTTCTGCTGCTGGGTCAGGGTGCTCTTTCGTGGTGGCCTCCTCGAGGCGCTTTGACTGTTGGAGGTAGCCGAAGACGGCGAGGGAGACTGGCTGTTCTTGACGGCTACATTCGAGTTGGGTGCCGGGGTGGTAATGACATCCAAGCTCGACTGGTTGGGCTCCGGGCCAGTTGCAGCCGCCCGTGGCGACTGTTCGGTCTTGATGCAGTCCATGGTCGTCGCTTCGCAGCTTCGAACGCAAGGTATAGCTAATAGTGAGATTGGGAGATGCGTGAAGTTGGCACACAATGCAGATGAGCGGGCAACGGGCGCCGATATCGTACTACGACGCGTAGAATCGCTCTCGTATTCAGAGAAGTAGTATCGTGGAGACGGTATAAGACTATACTTATACTTGGACCACGTTCAAAGCTCACAAAGTGGAGCAATAGAAAACTGGAAAGGGTGAAGGGTAAGTGGTTCAAGGAGTGTCGTTCAAATCCAAAAGAAGTATGGATGAGTAGGGTAGTAAGTCTGGGATGGTCGGGGCCGCAAGATACTAGATAGGGACCACGATGATGATGAAGCCTAAGGAACGTAATGGAACCGGAAGGAGTGACGGAATCCGAAACTGGCTGGAAGATCAAAAAGAGAGTGTTTGTGAACGAAAAGGAAAAACGGGACGAAAAAGAAGTGTCTAAAACGACGATACCGACGACGAGGGAGAAGCTGGGGATGGGATGTGAAAAAGGGAAGGGGGGGAAAAGAGGAGAGAGGGTGAGTAGATGGTGGGTAGACCGGCCACACTAAAAAAACCCGAGCGGGTATCTCTGCTGGGTTCTAGGTTCTGGTGTGCTAGACTCCTAGTACCAAGCACCTAGGTTAGCTCCTTGGGGGCCACTGGCTGACTGGGCCTTGGCTCTGATGGACAACGCTGAACCATTTTTGCCAGTGCCCACACCGTCTTGTCTGCCATCCCATCCTGACAAGCCCGATGGGATGACTGTCGCTGCACAGAGCCTCCACCAAAATTGCACCAAGCAAGCCAAGGTACACATGCCTGGCCTGTACATCCCGTCTATATGTCATGCACACAGTCCCGGTACACTATCAGACCTAGTCTTCCTTTATTAGATCGCGCGGCACAACGTACTATGGATCGTAGCGGGCAGGCATCGGGCTCAGGCACAGGCACACGCCACTCCTTCAGACCGAGGGAGGCATTAAACGCGATTGGAGCGTTAGCCTGGTTTGGAACGTTGGACCCAGTAGTACTGTGGCTCCTGTCTCGCTGTGGGTTTCTGTCAAGCAAAAGACTCAAATAGGATTGGATCGTCGGTGGGACAAAAGAGACCTGTCAGCGTCACTGGATCAGTGAGACCCGTGCTGCCAGACCGGATCCATGACGCGACACCAATGCTGCCGTGTTACACGACACAAAAAAGGGCGACACCTCCCACAAAAAGCGACAGCAGTTGCCCGTGCCGCCGTGTGCTCTGGAGACCTCAGGGCGACTGAGCAAAAAGTGACAAGTGCTCTGAGTACCTCGGGGCTGTCAAGCTAAGGGAGCCTGTTCCCCTGACACTTGTCCATCTCGAGAAACTCGGACTGCACAGTGGGAATCCCCTGCAGGGCACTGAGGAGTTAGAGAAGCGAGCGTTGAATGGGTCGGCTAAAGATTTGAGAGACCCCTGTTGCTTGTCAAAATCGTTGTCTTCGTTCGCGCCCTGCCACGCCTGCTTGCGCCCTGGTTGGAAACAAACTCGGGGCTCTGTCTCAATCCTTGGGACATCGTTCAGGGATTGATTAGAGTTCTCAGAGTATGCTGGCGACCGGAAAGGGAAGTAATAGATGGGATTCTCGGGGCGTGGTTTTCTCACTGCGAAACGGTCAAGGTTTGCTTGCCAACTTTGCCGAGACAAGGTAGCGAACTCGACGATCTGCGCCTGACCAACCGACAAATGCGGCATTCTGACTGGCCTCGTACAGTGTCAAACAGCGACCACCGATGGGGTGACCTGACCTGATCAGCGACAGCAGGACCACGAGTTGACGAGGGTCCGGTCGATGGTGCCACACTTTTGTCTCTCGGTTTGCTTCGTTCGCGATGTAGTCTCCATGCAATCTGACAGTGCAGGCAAGGCAGGTTCAACCCTCTTGCGAATGAAGCTTGAACGATTGATCAAATTTCTTGGTCTCACAGAGGCGGCAATTATGCCAACCAGATGACCCCGACATCTTGGGTCTCTCTGCGACGGAAGGCTACATGATTGAATGTGTACTGTATCTTGACGCTGTTTGTTCTGGGTGCGTGTGGCTTCACAACAAGTTGGCTGTCTCTGGTAGGCTTAGCGTGTTTGGCGCGCGTTCTGGAACCAATGAGGGCGGCAGGGGGATCGGGTGCTTCGACGCTGGCTCCGGTCCTTCCACACTACCGGCTCCACGTTTGGAATTCACGGTTGGGCGCTCCCTGCCTGCCAAAGTTCCAAAGTTCCTTACTCGTGACCACTGACCAATGACCCAGAATAGGGGCCAGAGGGGTTCGTTTTCCCTAGCCAAGGCAAGGTCGCAAGAGTTGCCCGTTGTTCCGTGCATCACGGCAACGTCATCTGCGTACTCGTTCTCATCCTCGACTGCATTATTTTCCGCCAGACGGCGTGCACACTTGTCCAACTGGGCATCTGAATGCCTTCTTTACAGTTGCGGTTGACGCGAGCCCCTCGTCCACTATCGCTGAAGGCTTCAATGACCAAATATCCACCAACACGTCTGGGCACAGGTCGTCGCTATTGGGCTCGACGAAGCTTTCCGCACTGCGCGCCCATCAGTGCTCGCCGCCGCCGCGTTTCCGACCGCTCTCCGCTCTTCACTTCATCGTTGAGCCCACCGTGAGGGATGATAAACCGGGCCGCCATCAGAAATCGAAGTCCTGGTGACCAGTGATCCCTGCGACATCTCGACAGTATCCAGCATCAAGACGACGAGACATGACCCTAGTCAAAGGCCCGAAGAACCAATCATCCGTTGCACCTACGACTCAACCTTGTTCAGTTTCTGCTCGTTGTCCCCGTTCTTCGTTTTCGATTCCGTCTTGGGATTGGCCGTAAGACGGTGGTACCTGCGTCCTAGCCTGTGCCACACGGACCTGCAGCAGTTGGTTCCTGCAGTAGCCTGCAATCGGCCTCCATTCGTAGAAACTCCGCTTCTCACACTGTGCAACGTCCCAAAACAGCAAGGAGTGATAGGCGCTGCAGTTTCGTGGTAACTCAAATAGAGAGACTGAGAGAGAGTGCTGTGAACCTGCAGCTGTTGCGTACACCATCCCCATCTTCGTCCCCGATGCAGATTCAATTGCGCTTATGAGTAGTGTCATTGAGCATCGATTGCTGCAGTGGACCGCGTGACAGCATTTGGTGATGCTGACCACAGACCCCCTAAATCCCATAAAGCTTGGAGGCAAAAGCTCATTCATTCTGTAACGCTGGTCTTGGGGTCGTGAGCAATGAATTCAGGCGCCAGGCCGTTTACCGTTGCGCAAGTTACGGCCTCAACAAACTCGACGCTACGGCGATCCGTTTCGCGCATCGCCAAAGGAAATACTGCTAACGCATTCCGAACCTGCCTAAATACCATACTTTGTTTGGGGCGCCAAGCACAACGGATTCGCTCTAGCAGTTGTTGAGCGGTTGTTATAAACCGAGTTATCGAAGTCAGTCATCATACATCTCTTTTCACTTTGTAGGTGGCTGTCAAGTCTGACTTCATAGAAAAAGAGTCTGCGATTACCCGCAGCTTCCGACGCACCCCTACCAGAAGCGGCAGCAAGGCCGGCGCGGCTACCTCGTAGTCGTATCTGCTTGCCTGCTCATCCGTTGGCGGCGTTTTGCCATTATTCCACCTTTGGGAAGCAGCCCTTGCATTAGGGGCGCAATGCGTGGTTGGTCTGAAGATAGTTCCAGCCCTTCACCTAACTGCATTTGGCAATTTCAGACGGAGTATTGCCATGCCGTTTGACCAACCATTTACTCGTATGCCCCAAAACGGTTGCCCCAAAACAGTTGGGCCACTAGCCTCAGGATGCAGACCCGACCTGCCTTACGACCTTACGTTTCCAGTCGCCTTCTCATCTGGTCTGATGATCCTTGAAGCATCAGCTCGAAGCACCATTGCTTGTCGTATGGCCGGCCCTAAGCGCACCACAGGCGTCAGACACTGGCATGTGCCGGACGTGAAGTAACAATAACTCCTGAGGATGGTTCTGGGTACCCCCGTAAATAAAGTAGGCAGATCATGCACCGTGCGTGTGGCAGTCACACCACGGTAATAATCTGCTGCTTCATTGAGTGTGCAAGTGTGGGGTCAAGCTTACGGCGGTGTATCAGCAACGATCGCGCTGACGACGTTAGCTTCGTCGACTTCGATAAGAGCACACGGCCTGTAGAGGCGCTTACTTCAATCAACACTACACACTATCGCCATCCGGAGTGCATGGCCGATTATTCAGATACAGCCTATGGCAGCTCTTAGGCTGCGGCTGTAACTTTACATAATACACCCGAATGGGATTGCTAATTGACCAGCCGCTCGCCGTATTATGGAACGACGGGAGAGCTGACCTGCGATTGGCCAATGAGTTCGTCAACCAAGCCCCTTTTCCCGCCCCTATTCAAACACGTATGACCTTGTCAGGACCCAATCGCCAAAGGCAGCGCGGCGGATTTTCCAGACCACTCACCATGCCACCGCTTTCTCAATGCTTGGAGTAGCTTGTATCCCAGTCCAGATTTTAGTTCTCGTTCATGCATGAACAATCGCTGGTGGATTTTCCAGGTTGCCTGAATCACGGCTTAGCATCGCCCCAATAGCGAGGGGACTCCCCTGCGACGACCCTGCGGGCTCGCATGAACGATCAACGAAGAAAGAAACCATGGTTGCTTGAAGCGCGACGATCCATTTGAGGCCTGGGGGCATCTGTAATTTCTGGTCAAACGAGGAAACACCATGCTCAGTGTATGTTGTCCGGGCTGACCATCGTCCCGAAAAGCGCGACGATGAGGTTCAAGTTGGACCTTCTCGAATGCCGCCAGAACCTGTCAAGCCCCTTATCCCTGTATTAACATCTCTGCTAAGATTCTGCACCCATAACCCAATCGAGCTGAGTGCTCGTCAAGCCGATGCCCTTTCTTTAGTCGGCTCTAATATCACCATCCCTACTTCTTACCGGCAGCTCCGTGGGCGGGCTGATAAGCGAGTCTTCGTTGTCGAAACTTTGTTTTTTGGGGGAAAGGTTTTTTTTCTTCCCTTTTTCTTCTTCTTCTTCAGCTCCACTTCTCCGGACCCAGAGACGTGGACTGGTCTTTTTCTGGCGATGGAAGTGCCAGCATATCAGCATCAACTTCATCTCATATTGAATTCGTCAGCCCTGCAAGTACTTGAAAAACGTCAATCAACCATAACATGTCGTGCGGAGCATCTCCTCTCGGCATAAGGGACTTGGGGCTGACTACGTCGGTCTTACCTGCCGTAATCATTGGTGACAAGATGCCGCGTGGTGGGATCCTCCAAAGCCCTTCGATTAATCCTTCTTGGGACAGCCAAGCCCCTTGTTATATATTTACCTAGGACACGGCTAGTAGCGCACCGCTACAGATCGACACTAGCATGTTCATCTGAAGTCCGTGACAGCATGCTCGTGCTGGATGGCTGAATGATGAACCTTGACTCAGCTTTCCGCTTTGGGATCCCGGTTGACGGGTTTGACGGTCGTGGCCCGTGGCGGTGCAGGTTGCAACGTATCCATCCAGTCCATATTTTTAGCAGGATGATCGCTGAGGCCTAGCAGCCCGGGGATCATCACACACAAACCCAGATGGTCCGCACCGCATGACGATTGACGGCGGCACTGAAACGGTTTGTTGACTGTTCACCTGAGAAAGCGCCGCGCGTGGGTGTTTGGGCATCCCGGACAGTCCTCGCACGCTTGGCGGAGAGGAGCATCAGGATCTGATGAACCTTTTCACTTGGCGGTCTGGTTGGCATCGTGAGTTACAGAGACGTGAAATAAGTAACGATAGTGCACTGTCCAACAAGTGGTGATATTGGGAATGCTCTCTCTTCTTGCTTCTCTTCTCGGATGCCACATCACAATGATACATCGTCGGTCCGTGGCGAAGATTGTTGCATTGATCTCCGTAGACTGAGGCTCCATCGTACCGGCTGTGTTCCGTGCAATCGACATAGGATCCCTCCCCGGCCTTCCCGCCCAGATCGGAAGCCACGGCGCTACTCGTAGTGCGACGTGTCGTCCCTCCATGGGGCCCGGTAGCCGCGCCGGAGCAATTGCTGTTTTCTGGCAAAGTTCCGGCGTATGCGTTTCTTTACGGCTAGAGAGTCGGAAGTACGTGTCATTGGGCCTGTAACTGATTGCGGAGGCGACATTCCTAATGCGACTTAGTCCACCCCGTAAGAACGTAATAAGAATGACATCTCTTCTCTGCCGTTGAACATCCTTACGGAGACCGGCCAGTTGCTGCTTTGATAAGATCTCGGGTATGCATACTCACAGTCGGCATCGTGGAACAGCGACTCCTCTTTTCTATTTTGGAGCATCATGATCTCTGCCAGGGTAGTCAGCAACATCTTTACCACCTGTCTTTGGTTGGTATTCCATAGCACACAGCACATGGTCTCATGTCTTCGTGGGGCAAGATCGCTTCGCGCAGTTGATACCCGGTTGGCCGTCTTGGCCTTCGTGATTGATAATGCTCCTTCGTGCACCCCCAGAATCTGCTGCAGAATGTGGTCATACCGTAAAACTCTTGATTTCAGAACGCTCGAACTGGTAGTTGTTTTGATTTAACACAGGAAGGCAGTGAGCGTAAACATTCGATTCAATGCCCACTGAGGCTTCGTGCTTCGTCTGTCTTCCCTCACGAGTCATATACAACCGCCTCCTAGTCTACTGAGATGTCCAAACTATTCCCTCCACTAACCTAGTAGTATTAGAAATCTGCTCCACGGGATCCGGCCCTCTGTCCGTGTAGTCGGTTGCTGTTGCTAACCGCTACTTGGTCCGAAGATCCTCCGCACTTCGACAATGTAGAACATTATCGAAGCGGCTCTCTACGCATATCGGCCTTCAACTAAGTGACACACCAGCCGGGAGTACCTCTAGGCGTAAACGTGGTGGAATTTTCATGCAGCCATTCGCATCTGACCATCATCCAGAGAACACATACCGCACCAAGTTGTGAGTATGGGCAACAGCTCCAGCGCTTGCTCATCGCTATGATGCGGTTTCAACGTCGAAATGTCGTCATAATTCCGCTATCGACCTCTGGTTAGGGCATCGTTTGATAGCCCATCTCATGAGGCTGGTTGACTGTGTATTACAACTCCTTCATGACCTCCCCGACCGCCTTGGCCGCCATCCGTTTACGTTGATCCTCCGGTAAGCCCGCACTCATATCTCTGACTGCCAGTAGTTTCCGCATCATCCCATCAAGTTTCTGGACATCATCCTCATCCAGTTTATCGTCATCCACTGCACCACTTTCACCAGCTACACGTTTCTTCGGCTCACCGTTCATCAAGTCCTCTTCGTTGTCCTGTCCCGAGTTCCATATGGCGCGTTTCAAGCCTTCGAAGTCTTCGCGATCAAAGCCAAAGTCTAGGCTCTCGGGATCTAGATCTGCACCTTTATCACTTGCGGGGTCCCCCTTAGCGTCGTCTTCATCGTCCAGAGCGGCCTCGAAGTCCCCAAAGTCGGAGTCTAGATCGCCTCCTACTTGATCCCAGTCGTTGGCTTCGAGCGCCTCGAGTGCTCGCGGTATTCCCGTTTTCTCTGCCATATGTAAGCATGGTCTGAATCATGAGGCACCATCAACAGTGTACGCGTACCACCAAACTCGTTCCGGCTCTCAGAGCTTTTGGCCCTGACCTGGACAAATTCCAGTCCCGCTTCCGCAACACAGTCTTCCCACTCATCAACATCGTCGATTTCGCCCACGCCTAGACACAGTCCCACACCATCCCATCCCCAGCCTCCGAGGCCTACCTTCACAACCTTGCCGACTTCCTGGATGAGCGCCCTGGCTGTGTTGCCTTCATCTGATTGTGATTTCACCGGTAAGGGAAAGACGACAACGACGCCACCTAGTACCTCCAAGACCTCCTTGGCTTCAGGTGAGAGGAAAGAGGCTGACCATTCTGATGGTGTTGATATCAGGTCTAGCCAGATGGGAACAGAAGCTGTGTAATAGGCCGTCTTGAGTGAGAGCTGATGGGTGGTTCCTGCTATTGTTGAATTCGATGGTTCTGGTGCTGTACCCGTCAGATCTGGATAATATTAGCTTCAAATTATCTAATAATAATAGTCGGAAGTAATTTAATGGAATTATGGTCGCGGCTATTGTTCTTGACGGATTTTTGCAGTTGAAAGCAGACAGACTGCCCAAACTGGAGCATGAGGTACAGCCCAGGGAACATGTAGATTTTCCTAGATGATAGTCGCACTTACCTCTAACAACTTTACTGAGATGATGCGTTGAATCTGCCAGCGAGATGGCCAATATTCGACGCGGGTTTGCGATCTCCATTTTGGGTTGTGATGATGCTGTTGAAGGTGCTGGTAGTGTTGCTGGAGGGGCAATCTGGAGGACAAGCTTTAACCCCACCATGGTCCATGACTAAGCGAGATCTGTACTCATCAGGTGTGTGTTCGTGACGGATGATTTTGTATACAACAAACGTGGGATCCCGCAGGCTTCAGGACTTAGGACGCCAGAAAACATGTTAATTGAACCCCGACGCTTAGATGCTGTATTCTCTATCCAAACCAACTGTGCAAAGAGCCACCGCCCATCCCCAATGCCTCGCGCAAGCCAACCAGTATGACCGCTCCAGTTAACCCCTTCCCCCATTGTAATCAGCACCACCCGCCTTCCGCAACCGCACAACAATGTCCTTCTCGTCCAGATCACTCTTGTCACGTGCATCGACCTGGATGCTATGATGTCCCAGCACCCTCTTGACAGCACCGCTCTCAATGCTGACGCGAGCTTTGCGCATGACTTTGGTGTTCTCGCCAATCCAGATGATGAGGGCGAACTTGACGCGCCTGCTTTCGCTGTCATTGGCGTACTCGACGCGCACGTAGCCGTACTGGGCCTGGCCGTCGTCGAGGTTGGACGCCAGCTCCGACAGCCCGCCTTTGCCCATCGCCGACAGCTTCAGCTTGTCGCCCACGGCCGAGGCGTACGAGATTAGAAGCCAGTTTGTCTCGTCTTTGTCGGAGCGTACGGCATCATACGCCGCTATGATCTCGGGGGCGTCGGCGCCGGACATTGTGCCGATTGGTTGCGAGGATGAGTGAATTGATAGGCAGTTGGGTGGTTCGGGGGCTCACGAGATTGGCGGGGTGTTTCTTGGTGGGCAATGGCACCGAAAGGCTTCGTTCGCCTTGAAGCCGATCGTCGCTCTGGTGTCGAGGTCTTTGCTACGGAGCAGATTCGTTCAAATCGTGGCTTTAGACGGACAGGGGTCTTGCTAAAATTCGGACCGCCGAGAGCTCTGACACAGCTGTCACACAGCTGCCCGTCTATGGGTACCTGGCCCTTTACTTAATGCACCAGCAACTGCTTTCGATGCAAGTACGGAGAAAGGCATTCAATGTATTGTCTCTTACGAGTTGAGTCACGGCTACTAATACCAAGATGGTATTCACCCGACTTACTTTGGGAATCCGAATCCGAAGGCATCACCCCAAGAATGATACACATCCCGTGTGTAGCTGATTCGGTTGTAGTCGTGAAAGCTCTTCATATCGTAGGTGGTTGGATCTCAAGCAAGTTTGGTTTCCAACTTGTTCGTGAGAAAGAGGGAGTCCTTCTCGTATGAATTAACCACAAAACTCACGTACCCCAAGGCGGTCGAAGATGGAAAGGTTTACAGTAAACTCATCAGCTATGCTCCTTTATCCTCCGACAAGATTCTGATATGAGGTCGAGGTCTATCTCTTGAGAGAATCTACTTCTCCTTTGGTGGCAGAATCTTGGCCATAAAAGATTACCCCCAGTTCGACCCAACGCCCGTCTATACCTCCGGTGTCGATCACCTGATCCAAAAAGAAAAGAAGAACACAGGGACAACTTCTCCTCAACCGAGTTACAATGTCAAATATGGGATAAGACGGATAAGACATTGCTCGAGGATTTGACCAAGGCCTATTGCTAAAGGGAAGAAGCGGAAGCATCTACCCGAGTAAGTACTTGGTCTTACAAATCCCGAGAGTTGTGCTCGTGCTCGTGCTCGTGCTTTGAGTTACAATATGACAAAACCCATGACGCTAAATGGACCTACAAAGGACCCAACAACGGCAGGAGGCGAATATTTAGGGTATTGATCACAATCTGTTCAAATTTATCCAGCGCCGGGAGCATTTCTCCCATCCAGTCCTACTTGGGTAGAGCTCACTAAGAGGAAACGCGGCCCTCGGTATTTCGCCATCAAGCATCCAAACGACCTTGTCCATATGCCTTAACGATGGTGGCAGTGCAGTTTACCACTGAGGTCAAGGTAGTGGATAATTCCTGGAAAGGAGCAGATCAAATCATGCAAGGTTGTATTGCGCCACCAACTTCTCAGCACACGTCATCCCCGTAACGTACGCAACAGACTGCGTGTGGCAGCTGGGCAAGATGGGAACAACGCTCATATCTGCCACACGCAGACCCTCAATTCCCACGAGCCGGAAGTCGCTGTCTACCACAGTATCCACCCCACCCAGCTGACCCATCTTGACTGTCCCAGCCATGTGCCCCGTCGATACGAGGGTCTGCCTCCAGTGTTCCAGTAAACCCTCATCCGTGTGGGACTTCGGTGCAGATAACTCAACCACATTGTCCTTAGCGTAATCTTCGTATTGGGTGAAACGAAGTGCTTCCCGTAGCGCCTCGATAGCTGCGCGGCGGTCGAAGGGGTGGGCGAGGAATTTGGGGTCGAATTTCAGGGGGACGTTGGGATCGGAGGATTGCAGGGTGACTTCGCCGCGGCTTTGGGCATTGTAGTACCAGACTAATATGCAAGAATAGTTGAGGTCTTCGTTCCGAAAGCCGGGAATCAACCAATGCATTGGGAAATGTGTCATGATCTCGTAGTGCGGCACGGTTTCCCGGAGCAGGAACGCCTTTTCGTCGACTGGTAGTTCTTGAAATTCGGCTGAGGAAATCAGCTTGTCTGACTTGAACCAGCCGATTCCCATTTGGCAGGCGAACTTAGAGAAAGGCCCGGTGCACTCTACCTTCAATTGCTCCAAGGCGTCGTCCATAGTATTTTTATCTCCATAGAAGGCTTTGCGAGAGGTGCTGTTCTCGGTTCGTGTATACATTAGGGGGCAGGCCACGTGATCGCGAAGCCCTTGCCCAACCGCGGGCATGTCTAGAACTACTGGTATATTGAATTCTTCCAGGCACTTTGCAGGCCCGATTCCAGAATGCATGAGGACTCTTGGAGTATCTAAAGCACCAGCGGATAGAATGACCTCCTTAGAGGCCAAATCTAGAGAATTTTACTTAGCCACTGTAGCCAGAAGCCTGACACCTGTACTTACATTGCTTGCCGTTAGACTCGACACCTATAGCCATCTTGCCTTTAAATATGATGCGTTGCACCGGAAAGTTGGTCACGATGGTCATGTTCTCCGGTAACGGGACTAATAAGTCCTTTGCCGTGGAACGAATGCCACGATGAGCCGAGTTGATCAACACTGACATGCCCAGCGGGTCTCCAGAGTTATGATCAGGGTTAAGAGGAAACCCAGCCTCTTGAAACAGATCGAGCAGTGGTAGCACGTCATCCTCCCATTCTGCTGCATAACCTACGTGGATAGGTCCTGATGTTCCGTGATCGGACAGCTTTGGCGCAGCATATTTCTTATCGACGCCTTCTGGAAGCCCACCGTGAAAGGTTTCCAAGTCCTTGAATCTCTGATGCATCTTTTTCCATTGGAACGTATCGTCGCCCACGAACCTAGCCCATTCTTCATAATCATCATGAGCGCCGATGTTGTAGATACTGAAGTTGATGGCACTGGAACCCCCCACACCTCGGCCTCTCGGGTAGTCAATCTCTCGATTAAGACAGTGTTCTTGAGGCACTGTCTTGTATCTCCAGTTCATGTCCTGATTCCGCAAGGTAAACCATCGTTGGCTGTCGACACGGCAATTCCGATCCTCATTGTCGCCTCCGGCCTCAAGCAGAAGCACCTTCGGTTTCTTTGCAGAGTTCGCCAGTCCAGCCGCTACAGCGCTGCCAGCGGGACCACCTGTAACTTTCAGTTTCAGTGTAGCATAGTGTTAGTGTGATGCCGCACATGGAAAAACTCACTGCCAACGATCAAAAAGTCATAAGTCACCGGCATGGTGTCGCTTACTCTTAACGATATACGAAGGGAAGGTCGGTCCCTTCTACACACGCGACTGACTAACCACAAGCATGAATATGATCAAGCAAACTAGCCATCACATCTGCGTCACCATGGCCTGCGAATACTATTTTCACTTTCAATCGCGACAGGATATGGTTGCATCATGCATTCAACTGGAAGCGTCTCCGCGGGGATGCAAGGTTGTACCTAAGCTACCAGATGCATGCCAAGGCGGCTATGCACTTAGAGCGATAGGATTACAACTGCCGACGTACCGCAGTAGCACCTTAGAGCGGGGTTGCTAACAGAAAATATTGAGAGAATAGCAGATGTGCGAGTTTGAGGGTAATCAAGCCGGCGGCACGTCGACTAATGGCCGTTCGTCGTTCCTCAGAGTAAACTCTTGACGAAGGGAAAGCGAACAATGGAGACGCCACAAGAAACGGAGGTCGAAGTACCTCGATTTGTGCCCCGAAAGGGATCCCTTGTGGTCTAGTAATATATGAAATTGAAATGACTGTTGCTACTATGACCAAAATTGCGCTTTTATTGTAGCTCGACGATGACTCTATGGATTGCTACTTTGATGTATCTGATAATTTTGATTGGACTCGCTCTATGTAACCGTGCGAACTGCTTAATTCAAATCTCTAATATAACTCGGTGTTCCCTAGTAGATGATTCTATACTTATGTCTATAGTCGAATGCCGCCAATACGGCCAGGGTGTAAGCCAGGGCAGCGAACACCACCATTATATGCATGATCTGGTGGCTTGCGCCAAAGATATCGAACTTTCGCGGATACCACGTTTCGGGAACCTGTAAAATTGTTAGAGTTACCGACCGTGGCTATTTTTGATGGCTTAGTTGATCTCTTACTTTGAAGCCATATGCCAAAACTCCAGTTGCATTGGACAGAACAGTCACTCCAATCCAAGCAAACCCAACCTTCGCACTTTGCTCTGCAAATCCATAGATCAAAATTCCATGAGCTATCGGCACGAGAAATGAGCCGAGACCAAATGCCCCAAACAGCATAGCTCGAACATGACCCAAGTAAGGGCCCCCTATCGAGGGGTGAAACGTGGCAAAAGAACATAATCCTGCAAGCGCAGTTGTAGCAGTCCAGTACGAAGCTTGTAGAACGTTTCTACAAGGGAAACTGTAGTATATAAGAGGTATTGTGGATCCCCACATTAGGAGGAGAATACCCTGGTAGTCGAGTTTTACACCTAGATTGTAGACAGGTTGGCTGTGGGTCATAAAGGTGTGGAATCTGATGTCCTTCGTCAACAGTGTTCAAAGCCAAGAATATAACGAATATGCTTACATGGTTGAGAATGTGAAACATGTGGCAACTCCAAGCAAGTAAATACAAAAAACGATAATGTCGGCAGCTGTGGCGACCTTGTAGCGAGGCGGAATCTCAGTACTGAAAATGTAAAAAGGCAACATCAGGAAGAGAAACGCCCCTAGAACGTGAGAGAAGATATTGACTTGTCTCGGTCAGCGATGACTTCTGGCTCGAGGTAGTGGTAGAGCGGAGTGATTTTGACCAACCTGATTCATTATGCATGTACGTCCAACTGCGCATGCAGCTCCACAGAGACGCAGACTCTTGCCTGTATTCATTTTCAGCGATTTGGTGAGTTTCTGACTGATACGAGCGACTCTACCGATACCCAGTTTGAAGGTGCTCACTCCCACGCCTGGCACAACACTTAGTAAGCCTATGTTACAAAAGAATTGTCCTGCTCTACTTACTGTCGCCATGCCGCTACGCGCCTTATTAGCCCTGATGTGTGCGCCCTGCTCATGAGTATTGTACTTACACAATGCCGTCCACTCCAACAATTGCGCCTCAGGAACTTCCTCATTTCTGGTTTTTGGACCGTCTTTAATCGTCCTTCTCGGCCTCTGCGATGATCCTGTCCCCGAAAGACGACGGTGCCGGATCTGAGGCACGAAAACCCGTGCCGCCTTCGACGTCAAAGCCTGAAAACCTGATATAACGGAGACCATGTCGATGTCTTGTTTGTCCATAGTGCTTAAGAGCACAGAAATTCAGAGTCCCAGACCATGCTATCGATGTTGGCTCCTTCAAACTTAAGAATGCAGCTGATCGAACGCGGTATAACTCATCTTTTCAACGTTTTCTTGCCGGCCAGCCGGCGCGAATTTACGATGCAACAAGATCCGCACTGATCTGCGGAAACCGTTACACCCGAGAGCTCTTAGACCCTCGGAGCGAATCAAGGTATGGCAAGCGAAACGGCAGTGGGGCGGCATCCATGTCAGACTCTAATGTGCACGCCAGCGAAATCGGATGGTACACTTTAAAGAAATTCCATTTGATGCAACCCATCCGTCTTATCTAATTTCTACCCGGGTATCAGTATTTCCTCATGCCAGCTCCAACCCAAAGCCAATTTTCCAATATATAGACTGTACGTAACCACCACGATGTCCAAACATCATATCGCTTCGTTGGCGCTATCTGCATTGGTATCACTTGGGTGGTTCGCATCGCCTACCGTACCCGTCTGCTCCATCTCCTGCCAAAGATCCTGATCTGTGGGGAAGTATATCCTTCGCAAAGCAGTGACACAAAGCTCAAACACGGTCACAGCCGCCAGCCCGAGGAGGCATGTCACCCACCAGAGGAGCTGGGCACCAAAGTTGTGGACAAATGCGCCATTAACTGGATAGGGGCTAGGAGTGGGCGAGATCCAATTTGATCCCGATATGAACTGCAGCGTCGGGTATTAGTGACTGTGAATTGAAGCCAGAAAGAAAAGGTGCTGAGTAGTTACTGACCAGATTCCACATAAAATATAAACCAACCATGACTAGGAAGCCGAACAGCGATACCCAGGTTCTGTCGTGTGTCTCGAGCACGAGCATCTTGATGTTGATAAAGACGACACAGATGGTGAAGACGAGCTGACCCATGGCGAAAAGAGAATTGTCGCTGGTGAAGAGGATATCGTCGTAAATCGCCCAGACCACCATGTAGATGATGACGGTCTCGATGCAGGCCATGAACACCCAAGCCAGCTGCAGAGTGGAGAGTCAGCAACGGCTCTATGGAGGAGATAGGTGTTGTTACACTCACGTATTTCTTGAAGTTGAAGCCCTGATTGCGTTGACCGTACGTGTACAGCTCCGGAACAGCAAGCAGGGTCGAGGCACGTAGGTCTTTATCGAATATGCCAGGAATAATGACGGTCAGTGATGTGAAGAGTGCATTGAAAACTGTCAAGCTCCAGTTCTCATGTAGAGAGGTCCCGGTATAGCCGTTTGATCGTTGGTACTGAGCCTGCGTGAGGTAAAATATGATCTCCTTCCAGAAAGTTCCCAAGATATACTTTCCGGTACGCATATAATTCCTATAAGACGGTGATTAGCTGAATACATCAAGGCAGGGCAGAGCCAAACTTACCAGCGCCCATGCACAAACAACAACCGCTGGAGAAATCGAAACTGCGCAATCGAATAATCCGAGATACGCGCCGCCTGAAGCCCTTCCCGTCCCGAAATACCAATACCGACATGCGACGCTTGAATCATGGGAACGTCGTTCGCCCCATCGCCGATAGCAAGCGTAAGCGAGGAAGGATCCGTATCACGAATCGATTTCACCAGCATTGCCTTTTGCGATGGCGAAGCGCGACAGCAAATGACGGCATCAATGCGGATCACGAGTTCAAAGAACAAGAGCTTCAATGGCTCATCCTTCTCGATTAGGCCCAGCGTGTGGCCGTCGACCACTACCACGGAGTGAGCGATGGTCCCACGCCCGACGTCCACGTAGATTGCGGTCATTCTTTCCTGCAGATCTTCGTCCACGGTGGCGTCCAGGATGTATACTTCGGAGAACGGCTTGCAGATCCGGGCGGAATGCGCAATGTTAATGGCAGTTTCGCGCTTGTCGCCGGTCAACATCCACACTTTGATGTTGGCCCGCCGCAACTTGTCGATGGTGTCCGGAACTCCAGCCTGTAACTTGTCCTCAATGGCTGTAGCGCCAGCTAGTTCGAACTCCTGCTCGATCATCTCCCCCGCAGCTTCGATTCGCTCCTGTCGGTCTACTAAGCTTGTAGTTGCGTCGTGGTACACATTTTTCCATGACGAGTACTCGGCTTCTTCGATGTATCGGTATCCATAGAGCAATATACGCAGACCTTCTGACGCGAAGTCATCAATATGCTGGAAGCAGCGCTCAAAGATGTTACCTTCATTTGCCGATATTGATTCAAGCGCACTGGAAGAGATCTCGGGGCCATCCATCGAAATAGGGGATATCACCGTGGATTCGACAGACATTCTGGGCGCTTCGTCCTCACCCAGGGTGTCGTAGCGTTCGCTATGGTGGCGCCTTAGCCAAGCACGAACCTCGTCTGGGACCCCGGACCCAGAACGCATACTGATATCGTGCGACTTCCTCATGGCCTCCATGTAGAGTCCACTATGGCGTCTGCTGAAAGTCGCCGATGGGGCGCGAGGAGCAGTCATGCTCTGCCGCGGAGTGGACGCATGCGTACTGCGACGTATCAACACCCTCTTCGCCTCCATACTCTTCTTCATGGACGCTCTACGTCCAACTTCAGATGCTTTTTGGAGGGCAAGCTGCGAATTCTTCAGTCGTGGCAGGATGGCACTGTCGGCTCCTTTGCAGATGACGCATATTTTCCCATCAGGCATGCGAACGCCAATAGACATCCGCTTCCGTTTGCTGCTGAATTCGATGACGTCGAGAACTTGATAGGTCTCGTCGACTGTATGGCCTTGCGAGGTTTGGACGCGAAGGACGATGGACCGAGTCGGACGGTCAAAAAGAAAGTATCCCAGGTCTCGGGCGGCCTGGACTAGGGCAAGCTCGTCAGGCGATGCCGCTTGAAACTCGATGCCACCATTTTCCTTAATTTCCGGTAAACAAGTGTGGCAGAGTGCGATGCAGAGGAGGAAGTGCTTGGCCTTTTTGGAGAATGTCGTGTTAGGATTTTGGTGTATATAGGAAAGAAGTTTTTCGGTGTCCGGTTCGCGTTTTTCAGCACGATCGAGGTTCTCGATATCTGACTTCATGGCAGGACTTCGACTAATCTGCTTGCCTTTGCCGTCATCTTGCTGGGATTCCTTCGGGTCCTTCTTGGCCTCCATGGCATGGTGCCAGGCGGTTCCAGCGACACTGAGTTTCCGGAACCGCATTTTGTTCTCGGTCAGAGTACCCGTCTTGTCGGAGAAGACGTAGCTAACCTGCCCGAGATTTTCCAATATGGTTGTGGTGTTGGCTACCATGGGCGTGTCGGTCTCGGCATCGTACATCTCTACATCTTGCAGTAGAATGAACTGCCCAACCTTGATAATCTCAAGACTGACGTACAGGGACAGTGGGATAAGGGTGTTGAACATGATGATAAAACCAATGACGATCACGCCAGTCGATATCGTGGTGTTGTTCAAGTACCAAACCCATGGTTGATCGTTTTCCTCCCAGATCTCGTAGCCGATAGTTAAGCCGAGACTGAGTAATAAAACGAAGAAGATGAGTATAAGCACAATGCGGTTGACAATAGTTTGCATAGCTGGTGCTTTGGTGTGCACGTTCTTGTGGGCATTCACTGAGAGGATCGTTAGTAACAACCAGTCAAGGAAAGTGAAAGTGGCCACCCGAAATGCACTGCAATTGCAAAGAATAGAGATTAGAATGGGAGGAAGAGGGGCTTAGACGAAGCAGATTAACCAAAAACGTATAATAAGGAAATTTGTAGAGCCAGAAGACCATGTGGGAAAGACGCAGGCTCGCCTTCTTTCCACGTAGAAAAATGATCGAAGAAAGGCATGTACTACTTACTGCGTATTTTACACTCCTCACCAGTATTTACAACAAGGCCTACAGCACTGGTAGTGTTTCGCAGAGTGGAACCTCTATATACAACGTCGTTCATGGTGAGAGGTATAGTTTCGTCGCCAACCGTAGAACGTCCTTCGTAATTGTACAGATCAATATTCGGATCCTCGGATACTACCACAGCATCGCATGCCCTTAAGTGACCTAATGTGTCGCACTGTTTGGCTAATAATGAGCAAGCCTGTTTACTCTTGAGATTCGTTTCGCCATCCAGGGCCACAGTTTCGATGTAAGCGATACCATTTGGACCGGTCGCGCTCAGGAGAATGATGTCGGCTGGTATGTTGTCGTCCCTCTCGAGGCGGATAATGTCACCAACACTCAGATGCTGCCACTGAATCTTTGTCCACAACTCTGGCTGGTGTATCGACGTTGTGTCTTGAAGCTTAGTCATAGCCATCTCCCTGCCGGAACTTTCTCGGTGTTTGCCTTTCCGTGGGATAGACAGCTGATACCTGTGGGTAGGCGTCCTAGTCCTTCTTGCAGCTTCCATCACCTGTTCACAGTTAGCATATCCACAAGACTAAATAACAAGTCCAATTTCATAACTGAGCGAGTGTACAATACTATGATGAGAGTATAGCTTACCCAGACTTGACTTCGGTTCTCGGTCTTGTCTAACTGATACCTACGATAGTCATCATATCCCTCTTTAGCCATACTGATAGCTACGAAGACCATCAGTGGCACAATAGTAGTATACTTTCCGGTTGTACTTAGACCGGGTACCAACTGCAAGATACCCACTACTAGAAAGTAAAAGTTTCCAAGTTTGCTAAATTGGAAATATAGCTGCTTGGGCAGAAAGCTCCATAGGGAGTAACGGCTCGAGCGGATAAAGTTGGAGATATAGGGCTTGTTGCCCGTTCGTTCATCCGTCAGAGGGCTGTTGATGTGGCTCAGTACTAGTTTCATGAAGCTTGGGAACACACTGTTGTCACAGCTTTGTGATGTAACAACATGACAAGAAGTATATTCACCAATGTGATGAAAAGGGGTTGGTGATGAGAAAATAAATGGTATGTCGAGAACACTGACCTATGCCCGCCAACGGCTAGGGGTATGTGTCGACCATCGCGGCTTGGTGGAAGCGGATATTGTCGCAGTAATCGTTCCAAAATCCACGCCTGCCACCACTCGTCGAACGCCTTGCTCGCAGCCTTCTCCCATCTGGCCCAACGACTATGCCGCCTCACCCTAATGGCAGGTTTGCCACCATTGTCGCGGTTCATATTTGCCCGGAACAGGCGGCGCGCGCTACCTCCGACTACACTGTCTGCGTACTCGACGTGCCTTTCCTGCCTCCCGCGGCCCGCTTTACGGATACTGACTGCCGGGGTTTGAGGATCAGAATTGTTGCGAGAATCCATGGATTCGCGTCATGTCAGGGGGATCCACGCGCTGTTGCGACAAATTAAATGCAGCAGCTTAGCCCGGCGAGATGAGCCGTCGTCGGCGTTGTGGTATGGCTGTCTGGAAGCAGCCGTCGAACAAGAAGCTATTCCGCTCCGAAAGCCCGAGATGGCCGCCGTTGCCCTCCTCTTGCTACCACGAGAACATCTGCTGGATCCGAAATGTGTCGCAACATCGAAAAACGACTTTGGCCCATCCAGACTGCGAAATGTGATGTTGAGCGACTTGAATTTTGAGTTGAACCCTTGTCCCCGCACGTTGGCGTTGGGACTCAGCCCAGCTGAATAGGATCTAGAATGCGCCGTGGTGACCGCCGTGCAGTCCCCCAAAAAGGCCGTGAGAGTGACGCACGCCAGATGACTTGGGGGTAATACACTAACTAGCGATCGGCCACGCGTGCTAAATAAAATGTGTACTTCGTGTGGTGGTTGCAAGCTGATGATTCGGTCTTGGTTCTCTTCGTATTCCGTCACGCCCCATAGCCACAATCCTCCCCTCCTTGACCTTCCTCCCAGGGTCATTTTTATGCGTCCTCATTAAACCGTGTCCATTCTGTCCGTCGCGATTCGCGAATCGGCCAAATGCCGCCGAGCACTCTCTGGGCGACGCATCAAAGCGGGGTTGTCGCTCACATCCGCCCCAGCTCTTATTCAAGTTCAACCCACGCCTACGTAATTTCTACCAATGTCAACTGCTGCATTTGACCACCTGCCATTTCTAAAAGTCGACTCGCCCGCTTTCTGAGCCGGTTCATGTACTTGTCCAAAGTACCGGACCGTGGGTAGCCACCGTCAGATCCGCATGTGACGGACAGTAAATAAAGACGAATTGCTTACTCAGCGTGCACCTCGGTTCTGCCACGCCGTTGCTGCGAGTACTCTCGAGGCTGTGTACCCTCCATCGAGCCTGCTGTTTGCCGACGTTTCGAAACGCTTGGCTGTTGTGAATAAGACCCTGGACATCGACACTTCAGTGTACAGCGTGCGGACAACTATGCCCTGATTCTGGAGCACGGCAAGGCGTTGGCCCGGAAAGCCGAGACCGTTAAAGCCAAGACCGTTCTATTGCAACTGCCGGAAAGCTCGGAGTGGGTCAAGGAAATGCCACTCCACAGCTCAACGTCGGAACGGTATAACGGTCATAGTGAGGCGGTGAAGACGCGGGACTCTGTGCCCGATCGCGATGACTTATAATTCAAACATACCAGCATCGTGCATATCAAGGTTGAAGATTCTTGCTTCTATTTCAAGGGTGTGCAGGTATCGAAGACGAAATGTTGATCAGTACGGATACTAGTAGAGGTGCTAATCTTCCTCAACGCCGAAACGTATATAATGAAATATAGTAATTAGTCAGAAAGATCTTGAGTATTAACTCTATATAGACTCGGCGGTATGTACTGCCGAGCGCGAGTGGGGGTTGCTATATATCACTCTTCAAGCACAGCCCCAAGGTAATAGCCAACTAATTACTTGCATTAGGCTATCGTAGCCCCAGCTACCCCACGGTAGGGGTCGTCGATAACATGGATGCCCACTGATAACATGCCTCGTTGTTATTGATATTCTCTTGTCAAGCTTCTTCGGCAGCTGGGGCCAGCAGTAAAACATGGCGATGAGGATCTCCACTTTCGTGTGACGGAAAATGGATAACTAAAGGTTCCGGGGAGCAGGCGCGGGGCTTGGGGCTAGGGCATATGCTGGCAGTCGATTGTACTGTCGGGCGGGATGGAACTTGGGTGGATGCATGGCGATCAGTATCCAAACGGAGGTTCCACCGAGTGAACTGCTCAGCATTTCAGGGCACAGGAGATAGTTTCATTGGCCAGGTGTCAGGTTATGGAAAGTAAAGGCACCTTCTGCCTGACTGCGCTCCAGAACCACATCAAAAGTTCTCATGGTACTTGTACAAACACCATGACAACTGCCTTGATCAGGATTCTGAGGCATTGTTGATACCGACTCTCATTTTGAGATATTCATGCTTTCTCTTAGGAGTTCCTTGAAGCATATAAGAGTTTGCCAGTCGTATCACGCTCTACAAGGGTTTTGTATACACCTCAGTGTTGACACAAGAAATCTCAGTGCCAGAACAGTTTCATTACTTCTTATGTAAGCATATTTGTCCATTGGCTCCACGAAAGCCCGAGTTAACAGTGACCTGTAGGCGGCTTTACTGAGAATATCGGCGTACAATCGAATTACACCGTCCTGTTACACATCAGTGTACAATATGCTTACTCTATTTAAGCAGTGGACTTGTTATTTACATGCACGTGAGGCACTCTCACACACTTCCTCTGGCCCTGTTCTAAATCATCGAACAGCTAGTTCAAACCGACGATATCGATGCAGCTTGAGATGTCAGTAATATTGTGTTATGGGGAGGGAAAAACTAGTGATGATGTATTTCAATGACCTAGATCGTGACAGCATAGCACTATCTAGTGACACAGGCTTGTATCGCACAGCCCGCACGTGATGTCGTAAGTATCGTTTGTCGGTCTGAACCCTCAGAAACCCTGTTCCTCGACCTGCGCCTCAGCGGCCGCAATAGTTGCCGCAGCATTCGTATTGACAAAACCGCACCCATTCTTTCCATTCTGGAATTGTGCTGCCTCGGCGGAGCAGACACCAATGCCGCTGGCGTCGGTGCAACATGCTGAGGCGCAGTCGGCATCATTGACACATCCACCTGTGATGAACTGTTCTCCATTTCCTTGACCGACGTTCTTGGCGCCTGCGTCGTTGGGTGTGATGGCCATGACGCTCATGGCGACTATTTAGTACGTCTTAGTGTTGCTGATATGGAAAGGGCACGGGCTGGGGTTAACGTACACAGAAGAGAAGCAGTGAAGGTGATGCGGAACATTTGGGCGGTTCAATAGTGAGTGAAGAAAAGAGGAGGCGAATAAAATGATGTAGTGTAACGAATGGGCGACGCCAGGTCGTTCGGTGGCAATGATGTAGTGTTTAGAATGAATAGTGAAGATCGGCGATCTTCCTTTCTGCCAGTGAGGAAGTTGAGCCTGTACTTATACACGAGGACTCGTTTGACTTTGAAGTTATGCTAATTTATGCTTTGATCTTAATTCTCGGGTTCAGGTTTAATCCCCTTGCCAGATGCAGGAAGTGCCTGGCGCCGGGTGCAGAGTAGATATTGAGTGTTCATTTCTAACGCCAAGGACTCACAAAATTGATACCGACGTGCGAGTTATCAGCCCACAGACACATGGTTTGGGCATTTGGTGTTCGATTTTGCTCCCTCGAAGCGTTATATCGGTGTAAGTCGGGTCCCGCTGGTTTGATCGACCCCTGAACCACAACTCGCCTTGTTTCACTCAATGACGGCGCGTCGTCACTGCTACTATGCACAACCCCGGGTATCAAGATCCACGAAAAGCTCAAGGTCATACTGCCAGTTAAACGGTTCTACGTCGGATGCATTTCATAAGGTCCTTTTCCCTAGTTGAAAGACAGCTGGACTTCGGATGGAGCAGAGACTATTCCATGCCCTGGATGAACAACAATAATTGCTAGCGATATTTACGTGAGCTAACAAAATCTCTTCTATCAATTCGTCGAGTATGTCACAAAAGTTGTATTGCCTAAAGGGCGACCGCAAACAGCCTTGCTTTTCGACAACATTGCGAAGCCCGACTTGCTAGTCCCAACCGTCAGTAGCCACGACTGTTCTGTAGTTCAACCTGAGCTGTATCTTTGCAATTGGATGCCCAAGTTTCAGATATCCAGTATCCTGTTTCAGAGACAGATCATTGAATATATACATGGTTAAGTCGCATTTTTGCCCGGCCAAGTAATCCGTAGCATTGCCCCTTATCTCAACATACGATCTGTGCTTAACTCTGCCGGTGTACTTATACAAAAGGAGTACCGACATGAGGAACAGCTTTCGCTATGAAACTCGTTTTTGAAATTGAGAAATTCATCTACGGAGAGCATCGCATTCAAGTTAGTCCGACTACCACGTATTGATACATGCATTGTGGAGGGCTCTCGCAACATCCCACCTCACTTGGATGCCGACCACCTTCGAGTTACAGATAGGATCGAGGGCTTCCTCAATGTCATTATTTTGCCGCGTTTATAAGAACTTAAGCGAGAAAACCTTGGATACTTTGCAATTCGTCATCAACCGCGAGCGATTAAGCGTTCATTTTGACTTCGTCAAATACATTTCCGAATCAAATCAATAATCATTCTCGATATGCCATGAGTAAGCAGAGAAGTTGAAGATCGTAGTCTCATGACACTATCATGCCGTATAACTACTAGCTACAATGGAAGCAGTCGCGTGAATCTTTTACCCGTTGCACCTGACGTTTATGTCCCACCCCCGAGGAACTTCTACCCCTCACAGCCCAGGAGTCTTCTCAGACTTATAATAATAACGGTATCAGACAACCCGCTATATCAGACTACATTGTCTTTCAATAATAATGTCCTCGAAACCGTGGCCTTCAACCGAGTAATGACCATGTCCGACATCACGTACTTAGGCCCGATCCTGGAATCGACATCCCACCATGCGAACGAGTGTTAAAATCAGGAGTTTGACGCATAAAAAATCTCTGAGCAGCCCCAATATCCCAAAAGACACCTACGCATAGTCTGCGTAGGTGCTAGAGCCACGGGACTGCGAGTGGCCTATGAGACATCACCCGGCGCACTTTCCGACGTCTCGTTGCAGATCTACGAAAAGAACGGCGATGTGGGTGACACATGGCTCCGAAAAGGTATTCGGGCTATATATACGACATGAATAGCCACTGGGCTCGCAATCCGACTTAGTCAGAATATTAAAGGCCCACATGGCAGTACTTCAAGGACGCCAGTGTTAAATATGAGCTCGAGAAGTGTGCAAAATAAATACGACGATCCACGAGACCAAATGAGACGAAGAAGCAGGTCAGTGGAAGTTGAGGATCCAAGATCCGGTTAGTAAGACCATGGATGACTGGTGCGAAGTCCTGGTTTCTGCCTCTAGTATCCCGAAAGCGTAATACAGGGATGGACCTGGTTTGCATTTAGCATTCTTGCAGTCCCTAATCTGGATCAAAATTAGGTTCGATGCCAAGCATGCTAGTCCTAGCGGAATGAACTTTGCGTATAGTGCCGCTGAGCGGATCGAGAAGTTTAACGAGGACCCCGAGTCATATGATAAGTATTGCCATGATGTTGAGAGAGGATTGCGCCAGCGGGCTAATCTCATGCAACTCAACTCGAATGGCCGGAAGAACTCAAGAGAGGTGACTTCAGAGCTGATGAAGGAGAAGCTGTGCAGCGATTCTAGGCTCACCACGCAGTCGACGTGGTTATTTGCACCACTGTTTGATGCGACCATCGTGCCTCTTTTCAAGGTGACTGGAAGGGACGGAGTCGACATGCATTATCAGTTTGGTGATTTCCTGGTTGGAACACTGGTGGAGAACTTCGCAACCCATCAGTGAGAAAAGCCCTTTCGCATTAACAAATGTTTCAACATTTGAAAATATAACAGCAAATCTTGTCTACCTTATTGTTATTTGGCCCCAACGGACCAGGGAGTCACAGTTCCGTCCTCCAGTGCATGAATGGTAAACGCGGTATGCCTTCCAGATAGTCGAAAAAATGCAAAGAGAAAATATCGAGTCGTTTGAGCCAAAGAATGGTGTTATCAAGAATTCTTACAATCTACGCATGAGCTCCTGAAATACTCGTCTAATCAGCCTGCAGGTACGGAATTTTGATTCTAACCTTACGTGATAGCCTGCCGCTCCTGGTTCAAAAACCGCAATTTCTACAGACCTGTCGCAGTCGTGTACCCAGGAAACCGCCTCCATCACTTCGAGCTGTTGAAGGCTGTCCGCTGGGAATAATATGAGCTTAAGTATCGTTCAAACAACCGATTCCAATTCATGAAAAAATCAAATCAGGCACAAAGAGTGCCGTCCGGACAGTGATCCAATTTCGTACTTTGACGATGCCTTTACCAAGATCTACGGAGTTTTCCGGGGTCCACCATGATATACAAACCGGCCCGTAGAATCTGTAGCTGCCAGAGTTAGAATTTAAACAAAGAAATAGATTGTATTGTCGGACTTGAAGGAGATCAACAGTAACATGGCACGCAAGGCGTGAATCAACATCATGATATCGCAATCCCACTGGTTTATCACATGACATCGGCGAAACTTCGAAATAGTCAACTACTGTGGGAAACGGGCCTCAATTTAGGAGATCGATACACTGATAGTTTTCTTGTGAATCCCACAAAGGGCTGTTGTCTCTACAATACCGATGTGGTATTGCTTCTCCTCATGCCAACTTGAGAATCTCCCCTTATCAGCGCTTTCAGCTACAACACACTGACGCTCTGTAAAGACATCCCGGAAGGTTATGGGAAGATCAGCTGCTCCTATGAGAAAGCCATCGTGTGGTGTAATGAGGGAACTTCGTACTACGAGAACAAAGGCAGCGTCTTTGCTGACTACGCTCAGGAGATCCTGGATAAGTGAAAAGGGGGGAATGGCATGGCTGTGCACGGGATATAGTGGGGTCTTGGTTCAGACCACGATATGTCGATTCAGGTCGTGGAGTTTAGTAACCACGGTTAGGCATGGAGAAAAGTCCGGGTCCTATTGAGAGCTTGTCTTCGTGATGCGGGAGATTGGCTGGGCGCTTATATAAGGGTATGATAAAGCCCCAGCGAGCCACCTTAGGCTAGATGTCGTGCGAATGATACTGTCAAGTAGTGAGATGTTCCCAGATTTATTCCTGATGTGATATATCGAGTTTTAACGCGCTAATCTGTGACCCAGCATACGAACATCGAGACTGGATAAGAACCCCCCCGAAATGTACTGTCGCTTCCCTAGATCACAATCTCCACAGAATCAATACAGTCCCAGGACACCAAGCATAATCCATTGAGGTTTCATCGGTAGCCCATCGCGACATGCAAAACCTGTCCCTCTGCACACGATGGCCCCGTTCAGTAGCAATACTGCCTCGCGGCTTGGTGGATAGATGCATGCTGCACCAACAGAGCCTCTGAACGCAACGATGACATGGCAAACTTGTTTTGGGGTCAAGCGCCCCCCCCCGAACGCTCAGAGGCCCGTTGATTATTGCGGGCGTAGTAGGTTGCTCAAGAGTGGTTGGGAAGTGGATCCCGACCAGGGGCAGCTCTGACGCGATGTAGAGCGCGCCAAAGGTGGTTGAGGTGACAACTGAAAGCAATTTGGTCTACGACATGCTCGGTAGAGGTAAGAGAATCAGCAGTGAGCGTCTGTGATAGCTAAGAAACTTGAGGGATCTAAGACGATAACATTCCTAACACGAACTTATAACAAGAGTAACTACAGGTGTCTGTGGTTGGTGTTCTGATCTAGTTTCATATGGTTGACTTCTGATCCTGTTATTGCTTTTGATGCCGGCTCTCGTTTTGGAAAATATTTAGAAAATATTTAGACTAGCCCCTGACTTGATCTGAAATGGATGCCACCTCTGAAAGAAAGTTCCGTGTAAAACTGCTGCCCGCACGCCCAACTAAGACGCCTCAATAAATAAAAGGACCAGATCAGGACGGAAAAAATAGGACTAGCAGCCTTCTTATTCAAGACAGGGGCTTTTGGCGTGTACTCGCCGCTATGCCGCTGTGGCGACGCCCCTGAGACGGCAGAGCACGTAATCCTCTTTTGCAGGCTGTTGGAAGGACCGAGGGAACGATTACGGGCCGCTATCGCACCACGGCCACTATACTCTCGCAGAGACCTCGCAACGGCAACAGGAGAACCAGTAGTTAGTGGGACTATTGTAAGGTGGCTGCTAGGGACGGGTCGGACAGCTTCAAGGCCCAGATAGCATCGATCTTCTCAGGGGGGACTTTGTTGGTAGGTTGAGAACCAACGTAGTATGGTAGTGAACGCAACGCAGTCGCCAATAGGGTGAACCGACGACGCAGCGTATGTATTTAGTCCAGCCATTAGGGCACGGTTTGACATACGGGAGTACTAGCAGAGGTACCGGGGGCTTCGAACCTACGGCGTATTTAATAATAATAATAAATAAAAGGAATAGCAACGCCAAGCACTTGGAGGACGTGTCGTTAGATCTAAAAGATATGAATATTAAAGTAAGTAAAAGCCCGAACGCCTTGACCTTTCGGCAACGAGGATAGTATCTGATTTCATAATGGTACAGTCCTATTTTCGGTCCGTGAACTTGTCACCAGATATTACCTGTGATTAGAAGAATGAAAGACAAAACTGATAGAAGGACCGTATAGCCTCCGAAATCCCAGCCTCTCCGGATCCTGCAAACTTTTGGGACGCCCATGTTGCAATTACGGATGGTAAGGCAAGGATGCCTGCTTTCCTAATTGAGCCTATTTTCCAACGGTCCCTAAATTGAACTTCCGCCGATCAAGATTAATCCCCGCGTAACACAAGTGTTACCTGGATAATTCCACCAATCCCGACTCCAGCCCCATGGTAGACACTATATTAATGAGTTCCGCTCATATATCTATCCCTGACCATAGAACAGCAAATCCTGGGACGCATCCGTGAGCTAACCAACGCCCAGCATCTTATAGCGGGAGTATGGGTGCACGAGGTCCTTTCATGGCGGACCTGCTATCACCGTGTTGCCCAGTGCAGTAACAGATACACGCCAGAGGATATTCAAACCTGTTACTGAAACATTCGATCATGAAATGGGATATAGATAGGGTGTACTACTTATACGGCTGATTTGCTGCGACCTACTTTAATCTACGTCCCAGCATCATATAATATTTCAACTCTACCGGTTCACTCACACCTGGATAAATAGCTAACCATGCGTTCAACCACTTTCGCCCTCTTAGGAGCCCTTGCTACCAGGAAAGCTGCCGCCCATGCCACGTTCCAAGACCTATGGATCAACGGGGTTGACTATGGTGCCCAATGCGTACGACTGCCGGCTTCCAACAGTCCGGTCACGGATGTGACATCAAACGATATCCGTTGCAACGCTGGAAGCTCACCAGTGGCTGCTAAATGTATTGTCGCTGCTGGGGATACCGTGACAATTGAAATTCACCAGGTACGTTTGTTGAAGGGTTTATTAATTGCTGCCAGACGATGTTGCTGACGACTCTCCAGCAACCCGGTGACAGATCCTGTGATACCGAAGCCATCGGCGGGGCGCACTACGGTCCGGTACAAGCATATCTGAGTGCCGTGGATGACTCCGCCGCTGCGGACGGTTCGACTGGATGGTTTAAGATCTACGCCGACACGTGGGCTAAGAACAGTGCGGGCGCATCGGGTGATGACGACTTCTGGGGAACAAAAGATATCAATACGTGCTGTGGCAGACTGGACGTGAAGATCCCTACTGATATTGCATCCGGTGACTACCTGCTCCGAGCTGAGGCGCTGGCTTTGCACACGGCATCTTCAACGGCAGGGGCGCAATTCTACATGAGTTGTTACCAGTTGACTATAAGTGGTACTGGAACAGCGACGCCGGCTACTGTGTCGCTTCCTGGGGCCTACAATGCTAGCGACCCGGGTATTCTCGTTGATATTCATGCTCCTATGTCAACTTGTAAGTGTACCTGAGACAGAAAAGATTTGGAATCCGTCCCCTTTCTTCCAAACCAAACTGCTGACTGCATCTTTTTATGTAGATATCGCCCCTGGACCTACAGTCTACACAGGAGGCTCAACCAAGAGCGCCGGAGCTGCTTGCGTTGGGTGCGAATCTACTTGCACAGCCGGAAGTGGACCTACAGGAACGGCCTCGAGCGCGCCGCTGCCTACGGCGACTGGTGCTTGCTCCGTCGCTTTGTACGCTCAATGTGGCGGCATCGGCTACACAGGGTGCACGGCTTGTACGGTAAGTGGTGTTGTGCTTTTGAGCCGCTATGATGTGACTAACATGGCAAGCAGTCCGGGAAATGCTCGGTCCTCAGCGATTACTACTCGCAGTGCACAAACTGAGTGTGATTTACCGGTTAGAGACGCATTATCTTGAAACTATTGCTCGATTTTCGTCGTTCTTGTAAAATTGCATGAAATAGAAGCATTAAAGCAACCGCCAATCGTCCAATATTAGATCCAAGACTTGCTCGAATGACCGAAACAACATGACTAGCCGCTGGTTCAGTGACCATGCTGCCTAACATATTGACCCCAAAGCATATCAAACTCTTTCATTCTTCTCAGCCCACCATGAAGTTGTGGCCATTCCTGGTCATCAGGCAAACATCGTCATGTTGCCCATTCTCTCACCAGGCTGCAAATCTCTCATAAATCGCCGCCACCCTCCTTCCGAGGACTAGCAACTCTTTTTGCCACCCCTGTCAATACTGGTCCATGTTCACTACCTGATCTGATACAGATAATGTATCTGAACCGCGATGGGCTCCCCGTAAGAATCAGAATGGAGATAGGAGCCCGCTGGACTCGTGATCACGATCTCTCCATTTTCCCCATTGATGGTCCACAAAAAGCAGGCGTGTTCTTGAAAGGCTGTCCAGATCTGTAAGTAAAAGCCAGTGTGGCATCATGCGCGATGTCCCTTCTGTCTTTCCTCAAGCGTCCGTGGATAGCAAGAAATTCCGGAACGTCAGACTTGACAGTGTGCTTCATCTTCTCATCCTTGTCGGTGATCTTGAGAACAGGACGCTGAATCTGCATCCGGCCCTCGAACGAATCAAACTCATCCAGCACATCATGGACGTAGTTGATCATGTGTGAATAGGCGATATTGATGGGATTGCCGCCGATATTTCTCTCGGCAAAGTAAACCACACCTTCGGGTAGGGAGTCGGTGGGAAGCCAGGTCCCCAAGGCTTGTATATCGCTACTCAGAACGTGGCCGATGCGGCCCGAGTCTAAGACTTCTTTGAGCTTGAGTACAATGGAAAAGACGCGACTCTGGAGACCGATGATGCTGTTCGGAATCTCCTTGCCTCTTGTCAACTCAGTGCTTGCTTGTAATCCTTGGAAAATGGCCATTCCACATAGACAGCTTTGCCGGCCTTGATGGACGGTCCACGCTCAAGAAGTGCACATCGACCCGGGTGTTGCAGACCACAAAGTTGATATGGGGGTCTGCAACCAGTTCCCTGGGATCATCAAATACCTTCACGATTTGGGGTAGGTCAAACTCAGCTCTGGCAGCTTCTGCTGCGGTGACAATGGAGTCGAGCAGGGCAACGATCTCATAGTGAGATCTGCCTCGTGATGATAGGAGGTAGGGCAAGTGACCTTCAACGGCCCAGGAAGTCTTTGCTGTGGAAGAGAGGCCGATGAAGGCAGTGCGAATTGGAGCCATGGTGTCGAGGGCTACCAGGGGTACTGTCAGAGGGGAGACGTAGGGTTTGCTGGTGCTTGCTACTGTGTTCGAGATGAATAGGGTAAAAGAAATAAAGGCTCGTCCGTGAGGAATTCCGTTGTATTTATGCGCTAATCTATGTTACAATCCGTGGATTGGAAATCAGTTCTGGGTGTCGTCAATTAGCAATCCGTTCAGTATTTCTGACAGATGATGTAGCCCCAATCTGAACTGTGTGCTTGAGTACCCCAAACCCATCCTTGATGTGCCTTAACCTGACCTCCATGTGCGAATACGGTGATACTTACATGACACCTTTCCGCTTTAGGAAAATGATCCTCAAAAGGGGGAGGACTTGGGGGTTGGCTCTCACAAAGTCCTCCGTCGTGGACCCGCTGAATCTGTGCCGGTTACAGCACTGATATTATTTCGGGGCAGGCTGTGAGAAGTACTCAGTCAGGGGCTTGGCCAGCTTGACGGAATGCTGCCTGTGAATATGCACATGTTTCTTCTCGCCATGATTTACTGGACTCGAAGGTCATCCTCTTGTTTTACTAGGACAAATATTCGTTATAATTATCCAAGGTTCGACGTATACAAGCCCGAAGCCTCGCAGCTTCCTACACCAAACAAACTCCTGTCCATGCTACCATGCTGATTATCTTACCAATAAACAATTACGACGTGCCCTCTACTTGGGGATTATCTGATTACGTAATGTAACGCGATGTTGTCTCAGAAACGCTGTATTTGTCGTAATCCTTATTGGACTTCAACTATACCCAAAAATAGAGGCATATATTTGAATTATTCTCTCTGCAACTCTACGAAGTCCAACGAATGAAGGTAGTCATCAGGGCCTTGCGTACAGAGCGATAAGCGGTCCAAGCCTATCAAGGTTTTTGAAGTGCGTCACGAAAGTCTGCCAATCCTCCAAAGGCCAGGAATCATGCTGAATCAGGGCATACTCCTTAAGGTTATTTTGCTGAGCGACCTTTTGAGTTTCTATTCTGTTATTCTACCTGTTGAGACACTTCTATTGATCCGATCAGAGCGACAAGGTTTTTGTCTTCTGTTGTTATCCCCTGGGCAGCAGATCTTGTTGAAGATTTGTTGTACATCTCTATCTTCTTCATCGCTAAACTGCGGGCTTTTCGCAGTCGTCAATATCTTGTGACCTAGCAAAAACTTAACTAGCATTTTTCTTAACGGTTTACGTACGTTGGGTTTCGCTATACATACCCAGGAGTTGCGAGAATGGTAGAATTTACTTCCTATTCCCTTAATGAATATAGTAACCTACTTTGGATCTATAATTTGCAAACTTCCTACGTGTAGTAACCCTATTGTAGTCCTATTACTCTAGCTAGAGGGGGTAGTTATCGACTCGGCTTCGATTAAATCGTCCTTAAACTACTGTAATTATACAGATATTCTCTTAAAGATAAAGGCCGGGGCTATACGGCCTCCGATAAGGCGAATATACTCTTAAGATGATTAACCTAATTAGTAGCTGATAACTTAGCCTCCGTAACAAGTATCTAGTCATAGTATATTTCTCTATTTTGCCGTCCTTGAGGTCGCTGTAATGTTCCTAGTTAACACGAACAGTGAAAAACTCGTCCATTTACAACAGATCATTTGTCATCTTAAAATCTATCACATATAACGAACAAGATTCATAGAAAAATCGGCAAGCACAGTAGTGAAACACACCTGATCAAGAAAAATCTATAAAGTGAGCTGCCTTCAGAGCTCATATGTAGGAGTTGATATGTAGCGCCACCAGAAAGCGAATAATTAGGTTGTTGATTACGACGTCAAGGGGACCGCCCAAAATTCCTTATTCGCAAATGATGAACCATGTCATAACACGCCAACTGAATCATGTTGCATTCTTTTTACTCAGGGGCTTGCATTCATCTTTCGCTCAGACCTTGACGTGGAAGCACCTTTCATCACACGTCTTTGCGAGGCCTCAGATTTAATACCCGCATTTCATTCCGAGGTCTGAGATTCTGAACTGAAAAGCCCTTCATTCTAGAAGTTTAAAATTTTGGCGCAACTAGCCTGTAATCACTGCGGACAGTTTTCCTTACCAGGGACACCGAAGTTTGACCTTGTACCCGGCCTTGTCCAACCGCGCCATTAGGGCTGCTTTGACGCGCTATATCAGCCCACCTGCAAAGCCGTCCCATCTTGGCATCTGTATTGAGAAGCTCAGTAATCGGAGCGGAATACCTTCGACGTTTCACAACAAGATATCTCATTACGATCAGCTTCGACGGTTCTCTAGATGTAGAAGAAATGACGAAGATCATGGGGTAATTACACCGAGCCGGGCACAGAGCTCAAGTCATGGCGGTAAAAAGTGTATACTAACTCCATCACAGATTTGGATTTGATTATAAAGTCCCAGTAGACGCTCGATGTATGAGAATCATTGACACCCATTCCAGTCATCATCGAGATATCATTAAAACATATCAAATAATCGCTCTGATACCTTTCATACATACAATTTCCGAAAAAAATATCATCAAAAATGCAGTTCCTTACTTCCAAGCTTGCTATCATCTTCCTCGCCACCGCGGCTTGGACAGCCACGACTCCGGACGGTACATGCGGCAACGAAAAGGCTGGCGACAACAAGGCATTCACATGCACCAGGGAACTGCCGTGCTGCTCGAGCTACGGCTACTGTGGTGCATCGGATGCCTATTGCCTGTCGTCAACAGGCTGCCAGAGTGCCTTTTCCTTCTCCGAGAACAATATTACATCAACCGCTTGCTATGCTCCGAGAAACGGCACAGTTTCGCCCGACGGTACATGCGGCAGGGCTAGGGCAGGTGTTCATGGATACAAGTGTCCTTCTACCCCTGACATGGAATGCTGCTCAGTCGCGTAAGTTTTCCATTAGTGGAATGGGCGGAGAGCAAATTATGGATACATTACTGATATATGAAACAGGGGCTGGTGTGGAAATACTGCTGACCACTGCGCTGCTTCCAATGGCTGCCAGGCGTCGTTTGGAAAATGCATCTAAGGTATAAGGGCTGTTGACTCCAAGGTTGACTATCAAAGTCAAGCCGTAGGCTGAACCTTCTTCATGATGGAGATAATAAATTACTAGGAACATTTCATTTTGCCTTAGTCTATAATTAGAAATTAATATATCGAGATTGAGAGTTTATTTGAAGATTATTTAGTCGAAAATACAGGAGGGTACTCAACATGGCGTGTCCAGTATTTATTTATATTATCGTATACACAGTTATTGCTATTTTTGGGTCTATAATTCCACTTAAGAACGTGAGGTCAACAGCTTCATTGAGGCTCAGTGTTTCCACTAGGTCTTGCCAGGTGCATCATTCTTGGCCCAGTACAAGAACTGAACCACTTTTCCATAATACCCATCAAGTGTTGTTTTTCGCTCACCAACTTCCATAAGATCTAACGACCATCACCCTGGTCCCCCAAAAGCAAATTGCCGTAGGTGGGAAGGTACGGCCAAGTACAGGGCTACAAAACCCCGCCCCAAAACCAGAAGTAACCATCATAGAAGAAGAAAAAAAACATCCTTTTTTGGCCTTCATATAAATCTGCCGTAAATATTACATTGGCCCATATTCAGGCCGAGCCTGGTCGTGAAATAAAGATCAGATTCTCGGACGACTTGTTAACCACTCCTCTCATACCCCTCCGTATGTCGCATACAAACAGTTTCCGTCGTGGCGTCCGCTCTATACAAGCATATCGACATCCGACCAACGTAGCCAGCAAGTGGACTATGTACTTCCATTGAAATTCGACTTCTGCAGGTATTTATATCTTGAGCCCGACCACGTTAAAACTTTTAAATGAAAGGAAATAAAGAAGATCATTCACTTGGAAAAGAGTGACAAATTTCCTGAGAGAAAAAAGTGGAAAGAAAAACGAGCTAGAGGTTCAACATGCGATTGCGAAAAGACCACAGTTTGAATATTCACTTGCGATAAACGATTGGTGGCAATTACTTCTATTGTTATTTGAGCCGATTGTATCATATCACGAGCGGGCATTCTATATATACACTCAGAAGGTCCAAGCCAAACCCCGGCTTCGTGATTATTTTGGTCCAGACATAACGAGAACTCGGATGCACGACAATCAGCAAAGAATAACAACGACCGAATGAGAGCCATCATACCATCCTTCAAGTTGAATTTCCACAGCGGACCAGTGACTTTGAGACGGAACATGTCCCACATGGACGCTGCCGGATCATCGACTTCAAAATGATGGATCTCACGCTCAACATCAACCCATTGCCCATCCTCGATATGCGCATGACCATCATCCCATTCCAAGTTTTAGATCGCTCAGTCTCTGCAAAGGCAGTTATTTCTCGGTACAGGCATTTCGGGCTTTTTCGATGCCGCCAAATCGAACATAGCCCGGGCAGCAAGCTATCCGGCTCAGCCGTACTCGTACTGGTTACAGGCTCGCCTTGAAATCTTGAAATAATTGTTCGGCTCCAGACTGAAATCCTCCTGTATTTTTCACCAAGTCGTAATTGTTTGGGCCGAGGAAGAACTCGTAGACGGACCTCCTGGAGAAGACGCATGCCATCTCGGGTGAGTGGTTGGCACAGTTTTCGTAGAAGATTCAGGGCCAGTTGGAATTGAAACCGTACTCGGAGAAGAAGATCGGGATGCGAGCTTCTCTGAAATATTCAGCTGCGAGCAAAAGTTAGTTCTTGTCGCTGTTCAAGATTTGACAGCTCACTATGGATGCGTATCCAGACGTTTCCGTTAAGGATGGATGACACTACATGTAATTTTGAATTACCACAGGCGTTCTGTTAAAGTTGCCAGTACCAAAATAATATATTGTTACCAACTTAGAAAATGTCAACTGATTCCGCGTTACTGCCAATAGGGTATTACTTGAATTCTTTGAAGTGCAGAGTCATGACCTGAGCAGAGTCTATGCCAACGGAAAGTACTCTCTGGCCGGCCACCTCGGACGCAAGAGACATATATATCTTCACGTCTCTTGTCACGGCATGAAACAAGCTCGCCTCCCTTGAGTAATACACTGTGTAGAAAATCTCGTTTGCGAAAATGCCGCCGAGGTTTTTGAGATATGTGGCCATGCAGTCCACTGTGGCAAAGTACTGCTGCAGTAGTTCGGCCTTGTACAACTCGTAAGGCTGGTGCCGTCTTATCGAGCAATGTGCCGTTGATAGCCTCTTTTCATATGAGTAAATGAACACTGATGATTAAGGAAGGACGATAGAGGGTGAACTACTACTGCATCGTGTTCTTGTCTTTGAAAGTGTCTGACAAGAATCTCATCTCTGAATTACGTGCTTCGGCAATATCTTCCAGGTGAACAACGAATTAAGCCGAGCTCCTTGAACGCTGTTCATCTTTTCATATTGACAATGGATTTCAGCAAATTGAATCCACGCGCATGCCTTGTCGTGTTTACCCAAGGTTCACTTCATATCCAATGCTGTGCGATCAATCTACCGTGGAGCGAAGTTCTTAGTCCTCTTATGGTAAATTAAAGTCAACCACGATGCGCCTATTATTATGAATCAGCCGAGTCGTGTAGTATAATGACAAGCTTTCTTACCCAACGACTTGTCCGTTTTTCAGCTTTTGAACTGATTCGTTGAACTTGGAGATACCCACAATGGTGGGTTCCAAGCGAAGTTTACCTTTAGCCGTGTTAATCTGTACGTTAGTCTCTAAATAGGGAAGTTCTCTTACCCCGTTTTGCAAATTCCAGCGTTGCGTCAATGTCGGCCAGACTACTGACTAGCGTGCCTTTAACTGACTGATTGCGGAAGACTAACTTCGATGGATCAAGGTCGATATGAAATTTGCCTTTTGGTGGAAGTCCAATACTTTTGTTTGTAGTTAGAGAACTGAAGTCGTGGATCCCTGAGGCTGCAAACCTACCACATGACAACACCTCCAGCCCTGGAACCGAGATAGTCGACCGAAATGGGATATGACTGGATCGCTTATATAGTGTTAGACACAAGCAGCAAGTAAGCAATGAGACTTACCAGTCACGAAAACCGCGTGTGCACCTCCCTCAGTGATCTCTACCACTTTCGCAGCCGCGTTCTCCACCTCCTTGAAGTCTACAAAAGCCTCAGCGCCCATCTTCTTGGCCAGTTCTTCCCTTTCAGCTCCTGTGTCCACCACAATAGTTCTTATGCCCATTGCCGTGGCTAGCTGGACCCCTTGAATGCCAACACCACCGCCACCCCCTGGAAAGCAGGCCCAGTTCCCAGCTCGGATGCCAGATTCCTTCAGGGAAGAGTAGATCGTCGACGCGGAGCACATGACTGGGCCAGCTAGGTAATCACTGATCCCATCAGGGATCAGCGCCGTGTACCGCTCAGGCGACTTTATGTATTGCTTGTAGGACCCTGCAACGTTGCGAGTTTTTAGCTTTTCCTTTCCAAGTTTGCGGGGCAAGGAGAGAGAGTAATGAACTCATACCATCAACCTGTAGTCCAGCAAGAGTTGTATTTTGGCAATACATCTCTCGACCAGACTTACACTCGGCACAGGTATGACAAATATCCGCGATTGGTTTGACACCGGCACGTTGGCCAACTTTCAGATTCTTGACTCGGTCCCCAACTTTGACAATCACACCTGCGCCTTCGTGCCCGGCACATTGCGTCCCGAATTGACTCATAGGGGGCATTGACCAGTCGTTGAGCATGTAATGCACGTCTGACATGCACAATCCCGTGCAGTTCATTCGTATTAGGACCTCATCAGATTCTAAGGAAAAAAATTCAGCCACTGTTGAAATGGCACTGAGGCCGAATGGGAACCTGGCGTACTTATTCCAGGGACAGGTATATTCTTGACCTCGATTCGGAAATCTGGGCCTTCGTTTACAACGACGCCTCCGATACACTCCTTGGGGATATCGAACGTTGTGGAGGAGGCGATGCCACCCATTTCGTCCACTGGATATGAAATCAGGGATCAGGGGTAATAGAAATGTATCGAAGCGGAACTCAGTGCAAGATGTGATTGACACCAATGTAAACTTCTGGTATCAGCAACAAGTAGATACCACCTCTTCAACGAGAAAGTAATTCTAGATGGGTGACAGAACCTACCACTTATAAAGCTTGGTGCATTCCTTTTTTGGTATCCTAAGCTAACCATAATGCGGGGAACAGGGAATATGCCCCCTCTCTTGTATACCCCTCGCCGGGTATGTTTCGCGAAGTGTTGGATCGTAACAATACGCTACTAGCGATATGGGATTCTCCTCTTGAGCTAGTGATCGACCAGTTCCAAGGTTCACATTGCTTCTTTCCATGGAAATAACCTCGGTATCGATTGCTACTGCCCTACCTGGGGAATCTAATACAGGTTTGCCTAAGATAAGACATGGAAGAACTGCCCGTATCTTTAGTTTCCATACACTAGCATCGCATGGAGCTGAAATAAACCGAGGCATGTTAAACTTCAGCTTCATACGAGTCATGCAGTGCAAGGCTGCATCGTTTGATGGATACTTTTCCCGCACAGCATAGATGAAAGTGTCTAATCTAGATGCCCACTGAGAACGCTTCACTGTGACAATACCCCAATTTTCCACCCGGCCGGGAAACCCCATGGGGCGGAGATAATATCATGGGGCGTTACATACAGATCGCCGGGCTGTGATTTCCGAACACGGGGCCACGATTACGACCTCTACAGTCATGAATTAGTAACATTCCCATTTTGGATGCGTTGATTCTTCGATTGCCACGATGAAATACCTAACCATGCTCCGCGAGATGAGATAGGGACTGTCCCTAGCTAGTTATCTTTTGGGAAGAACGAGACTTGAAGTGCCTGTCGGCGACCATAAATAATAACGCCCCAAGAAACTCGATATGCCCCGAGAATATCACAAATCAATCCAACAACGTTTCTGACTTAAATACTCCATGCTTGGAATGGTTTCGCTGTTGAGATCTGCACTTGGAGTCGTCCTTTATGTATGTCCTGCATTGGTGACAAGTCCGTACTAGTTCAATTTCTACTGCTGATCCAGGTGATCAAGGGCATCTAAAAGCCAATGATAGTCCGGAACAAACATTGGGACAACTCTATTTTCTTTAACCCGAATTCACGTCCTTTTATGGGATAAACACAGTGTGACCGTGGCTTGGATAGCATTATAAGCCTTCGTGACTCGGCCAACAAAGGATTTATCAGCCTATTGTACCCTTGTTAAGAACCCCGTGCCATCTTACCACTACCACCCCCGCACGTCAGTGACATCATCGCCTTTGATGCTAGCACAACATCTGAGACCAATCATTGGATTTTGTGCTGTGATTACTCCACCTCATCAGCCGTTATCCAGCTTGCTTGCTTTCAGGTACACTGATGGCCATAGCCACAACCACGAGCTACCTCCCAGAGCATGTTCATGTGGTGTCCCTTTCGTTGCTGCTATCTTTGGAGGGATATCCATAATGTTGAGTGTGGTGGATTTTATTGCCTCTGTGATCGAATAATACCGACTAGAACAAGTGAAACGCGCCCACGGCAAGAATAATACGCCAAGAAGATGTAGTAGGAGGAGTGTGTAGTTGACAGATTCAATACTAGAGTCAATATGTCAGGTTCAGATAAGCCACAGTGTTTTGCCAGGCCCTAGCCTATGCGAAGGTAGGCAATGTATAAATAGGCTGCTGTGCCCTCCCTTCTCTTGGCGAGGAGCAGCGATTGACTTGTTGTTATGAGTCCCCTACCCTACGCTACTGGTGCCCAACTGGTGACTGGCAACCGAACTCTCTCTAGTACTCTCGTCCTTTATTCTGTACTTGAAATACCCGTGACGCCATAGATAATAGAACATTGCTGATTTCCGAGAGTAACCAAGTTTAAAGCAGTGTAACGTGCAAACTAGGCATTAAAGTAACACCCATGTCCCAAATAATCAGATCTCAGAATCATTTTCATTGAGGTTCTACTCTCCCGATGATCTTGATCTCCGACCCTGCCTCAATTCTCTCCGATATCTTCTATCGGATGAATAACTCGAAGTTGTGTGCCCTCGTGACCGATTGTGCCGTCTTGGACTGATGAATCTTCTCGTTGGTTTCGTCCTTGTCTCTGACGCCATTCTAGTCGACGGCATATTGTCACTCGAGACATCGAAATCCTCAGGTCTTGTCTTTGAAGAACTGTCCTTCTGCAGTTCGGCCACAGACGACTCGGTTTGTCTTCGACTCCTTCCTCCAGCAGCACGAGTCCTTTCACCTCGTCCACTATGTTGTACCTCATCAACACATTCGTCGGGATGATTGCCTCGGATCTGCATAATCATCAAACGCGTCTGGGTGACCTCTCGCTCCATCCTCCGAAGCATCACCTTCTGCACCATATCCGCCAGTTTCTTCACGTCTTCCTTTGATTGCCACCATATAAATCGATGCACGAAGTCACAGCGGTACAGCGATTTCCAATCGGCAAAACTTCCCGCTTCACCGTGTCGCTCAATGTCGTAGCGGACCTTCTCGTCGTCAAAATCGTCTTCGCACCACAGATCTCCTCGGTGAATTGCCTCGGCGCGCATGTCACTCGCAACGAGGAACGGCCGTTCTAGCCCCTTGAATTGTATCCACAAGTCGCGCAGTGTCATATAATGCAGCGCCAGGGTCTGATCAGAGTAGGCCAAAGGTAGGATCTCTGCAGCCGTGGAATATCCAAAGCGGTGTCTATGGCGACTGTGGGAAGTTTGATGCTGGAGGGCTTCCCGTTCCTCACATATCTGCTGCCGGAGGTTACCCAGAGCGTCACGCATCTGCCTGGGTGCAGCTTGAATAGTGGCGACCATATTTGCGTATAGAGCGAGTAAGTTTAGAACTGTGATGACGAAGGAGAATACGCCTAGGACGAAGTCCAGCCATGTCAGAGAGTCGGGAAAGTCGGCCATTTTCTTGCCTGCATCAAAGTCGTTAAATTTCCTTCATAGGAAAATGAAACAATAGTAAATCGAAAATTCAGGTGAAGTTTTTTGACTCTATGGCTTTTGTATACTGTCATTATCATTGTCGGCTGACGCGGCGATGTTGTCTTAGATGCTTCAATCATTTGACTTATAGCCAACAATGTAAACTCAGCAGGATCGCACTAACCGAGACAAAGAGTCATTTCCAGTGGTTAGGCATCAGAAAAATGTCAGATCTCAGTCAAAATCATAATTCCAGATCATACGCGCTGCATCTTGGATATGGGTATGCGTGATGCTAGTCCTGGTGACACCGTCTTACCCCAACCCTAGCAGAGACAGACCTCGATCTAACCCTAACCGAAGCCCTAACCCTCACTGAAGCCCTAACCCCGATGTAACTTGCAAAGAGAGTTCCAGGGTGCTTGTTGAGAACATCGACGAAGTTCCCTGTTGGCTTGGAGACTTGAGAAGAGCTAAATACTATCATTTTGACGAGTCAGTGGAATACTGGTGCATATGCATGTCGTAATCGTCGTGGCGCACGCTGATTCGGTCGTTAGGCTCCCAGGATGCCGGTTCCCTATCACAAACCCGGCTTGCTCTGTCAGATGGTTTCAACGCCCCTAGAATAACTTCCGTCAGAGCAATTCTCTTAGAGATGTCGCAGCTATCAAATTGAACCATAGTGTGGAAATTGGGGAACGGCAAGTGGCCTGTAGGCAGCCTGCCACACTAGAACTTATATCCTTGCGTTTAAGTCGGAAATAGGAATTCCTAGTGAGATAGTGCTCCTAGCCACAGAACAAATGAGAATTCTAGCGAAGAAGACGTTCACGACGCCAAAGGGAACCGAAGGAAAATTACACTTCGAGACCTGTTGGCTGAGACTTGGCAAGATCTTGAGTTATCATGGAGTAAAGTGTAGAGAGTTGTTCCAAGCAAGTCCATACCAGGATTGCAGAGTGGTGTTGACGACGAAATGTCTTCTGATCTCCCCATCAATGTAGACATTATACTTTGACATGATTTACGCAATGAGATTTACGCAATGAGATTTACGGCAACCGTATCCGCCGGCTCCGTTGTATGGCCCCCTGGCTTGAAGCCCAAATATCCTAACTAATAATGCGAAAGGGTCCTGTAAGCAGTAGAGTAGCCTTGTTGTTACCATAGAGGACACCACACAGGAAGACAGCAAGGCGCATTCTCACGATCTAGGTCACCTGTGAAAAATAAAACTAGCAAGACTGAGAAACAAATGAATCGGTCGGATTGCCGCTCGGCTAGAAACCCACCGCACCTTGGAAATTGAAAGAATACCAACCCACATCGTGCAGTGAGTAGACCATGTTTACTGGCAACCGATCGAACCTGGATTTTGAGTAGTCGCGTTGCTCCTAAAGAAATGCCCCGCATCAGCATGCAGGGAATGCAGACCTTGGAGATCCCGGCTGCGCGATAAATGACTAGTTGGAAGTGCACATCCTGTGTATATGCCTAGTTACTGACTGGAAGACTGGTTTCGACGAGATCTATAGATTGATAGATAATTCCCGGGGCATAATACCTATCGTAGTCTGGATGCATAAATGATGACACGGTGAGTGTCAATAGTCTAGCTGGACAACTTAACAGCTTTAGGAGTAAAAGTGACATGCTGACAAGCTGACCTGGCTCGCATCAAACCAACATGCAAATGGAGCTCGAGTGTAACCAGGTAATCATTTGTCGAAACACCAGAAGCAAGCAGAACATTGTTGCGGCAACCTTGGCCCGCGAAGGCGCGCTCCGTGTAGCGCGGGAGTCGTGATGAAACCCCCAACTTCGGGTTATGCAACCCGACTCGACGTCGATGCCGAGTCCCAGATACCTGCCGCACTCGCTCAGGTAGGTGCTCTCAAACAGGAAAGAGAGACAAGAGTGAATAGCCACACGCAGCGAGGCCGTTGTTGGGCTGAGCCTCATCACAGTGCGGGTACGCCCACTTGACGGTCAGATCAAGCAAGTGTTCACAGATCACAGTCACCTGCGCAATCAGGCCGTGTCGCCCGGTGCCGTGTGTATCGTCGGGCTTGTCATCCCCTGTGGGCTGTCCATCGTGATGGGATCGTAACGTTGATTTATAACAACCTTGATGGCCCGCGGCACAGCCTCGACTGGACCAGCGTCGCAGTTCAAACAAGACTGGCAAGGCGTCGAAGCCAACACGGCACTTATAGTGATAGCAATATACATCTCGAGCTAGCAGAATTTAACTCAAGCCAATCGAAAGCAGAGACAGAACCGAAACAGAAGAAAACTCGCGACAACCTTGCCAACACTGCAAAAACACGCATGAAAGCGGGTTTAATTTTAGCGGAGACCGACTTAAACCGGCGCTTGGAGGTGCCATTCAGCAAACTCTGGCCACTAGGAAACCAGACAAAAGTTATCGCAATGCAAAGAGTTGAGTCCCCTGCGGATTACGACGGCCTGCCTCAAACACGTGAATCTAACCTTATGCGGCACTTGATCGTCTGACTTGTTTGGTCACGACTTGCCGCATTTATTCGCCATCCATCACATGCTCTTTTTTAGTATATAAACAATCAGCCCCAGAAAGCTCAACCCGCTGCGCCTCCACCAACGCAACCCCCACAACCTTACGCCCTCCACATCATCGACCATGGGCAGTTACTTCAAGATGGCCGTTCCGGAAAAAGCGGCCTCGGAGCCTGGAATGGACCTTCCCGTCGTCGACCTGGACGTGTTCCTCCACAACGAACGCGACTCACCTCAAGTTCAGGCCGAGTGTAAGAAGGCCGCCAACGCCTTCATCACATACGGCGCGTTAGTGCTACACGACTCGCGGGTTTCGGAGGACGACAACACGACGTTTCTCGATCTGCTGGAGGACTACTTTGCACAGCCCGAAGAAGAGCTCAAAAAGGACGAGCGTCCAGAACTCGGCTACCAAATCGGCGTCACGCTCGAAAACACGGAAAAGCCGAAGTGCGCGGTAGACGAGCCGTGTTTGCAGGTTATAGAGCGGCTGGACCCTGCGGAGCGGCCCTTGGACATCAAGGCGCATGCACCAGATCCCAAGTGCAGATTCTTTTGGAGAATGGTGGAGGAGCCGCCCTACCAGACCAAGTTTCCGGGATTGAACGCGGAGAATATCACCCCTGAGGCCCCTCATATCCGTAGTCGATGGACCCCGGTGATGAACCAATGGGGGTCCTCGATGAAGAACGCGTAAGTAATGGGAGGTTTCGGGGGCGTTTAGGCACCACGTCAACTGACGCCGAACCACAGAGTTGCTGATCTAGCTGGAATGACTGCCGTCGGTCTGGGTCTTCCCGCCGAGGCCTTTAGCAATGCTGGCAGATATGGGTCAGTCCCCTGGAACTTTTGCATCCGAATGTGAATCTTACGAAATCTCAGACCTCACCTTCTGGCACCTACGGCATCAGACCTGAGGAAATATGGCAAGAAAGACAGCATTCTTGCAGGTTTCCATACCGATCTGAACTTCCTCACCATTCACGGCCGATCAAGGTATCCAGGCCTGCATATCTGGGCTCGCAACACGGGAAAGCGCATCGCCGTCAAGATCCCGCCGGGTAACTACCTTCTCGTCCAAGCTGGCAAACAACTGGAGCATCTCACCGGAGGACTCATCAAGGCGGGGTACCACGAAGTTGTGGTGAGCCAAGCGACTATCGACACGATCGAGCGGAGAAAAGTGGAGAACCCAGATCGGCCGCTGATCCGCATCTCATCCACCTTCTTCTGGCACCTCTCGTCCGACTACGACTTGACGCCGAACGCCATATTGGCAGAGCAGGCTCGTAGGCTCCGGAAGGAGCAGTTCAAGCTGGGAAAGGACGAGGGGAATGAGGTCGTATACCCGCCGATGAAGGTCGGGCAGCAGGTTCAGAAGTGAGTTTCCCAAACTGACAGAACGTGGTATGGACGGTTCACTAACCTTCATATAGTGAGCTTAAGCATATTGCATTGATGGCGTAATGGGGTGCATCATCATTTTAGTGCGTCGCACGGTGTTTGCCAGGAGGCGTTTATGTTACTACGAGTGCATCGGGCGCAAGAGGCTTTCGCTTTGCATGGATAGGGCCATCGTTATTGGGAATTCCGCATAGACCGGACTTCCTCATGCACCCAAGACTAGGGGCACAGGTGTAAATAATTAGGAATCAACCTATATCAACAGTCATCGTACAATTAGCTGTCAGGGGGCGATGAGAAGTCGCGACCAAGCAACAGGTAAAGCAGTGTTGACAAGGGAAAATGAGAAAACGACCGACAAGAAAGGGGGCATCGTTCATGTAATCACTCATAGTTTTGGAGTGAGAATCATCGTAAGATCGTGCTCCTAAAGCGAATATTATAGTTAAGGAGTAACGTAGCCCACAAGCGAACGGGTCACCCAACCGAACGGGTCACGCCAACTAGCAAAACATGGAATTCAACACGATTTCGCAACCACAACGCCGTAAATCAATTAAAACTACTCAGAATACTCTTGCCCAGATGATTCTATCTCTACCTGACAGGTTCGCGCATTATGCCCGGTCTTCCCGCATACGCCACAGCGCCGTTGCCGTGGCTGGCCACGATTTGATCCAGCGCTATTTCCACGCATTTCCTTCTGTACTTGCTGCGCAACGTCCTTTTGATCTTGAAGATCTTGTACGTCTTGTGAATTAAGTGATCCTCCAAGCCGTACTCGTGTTTTTTTTTTGGCCCTGCGCCGCTTGCTAATTAGAGCGTTTGCCTCTCGAAGTTCGGCGACCTCAGCTTGGAGTAAAGCCATCTTATGCATAATACTCCGCGCTCCTTTCGAAAACTGATCGTTAGCATCGTAAATTGACGTCGGGGAGCTATTTTGATGCCTGTCAATTGGTGATTTAATAAATTCGGATTGCGAAGTAGCCTCGGTTGGGTTGTTTGGCGTCCGAGAAGCGCAAGGAAGGGTTTCCCGCGTAGGGGGCCGGGAGGACGTTGGAGTCTGTTATTTCACATCCAGCTTCTCAATAACAATATCTGGGCTTAAAGGCACAAGCCCAGCCCCTTGAAAGCCTGCAAGAATATTGCTTTCGGTCAGGCTCTTCTTGAACGCGTCGCAAAATGCCGGAAGAAAGTCCTCCTTTGTGATATGCGAGTCGCATAGCAGTCGGTTTGCCATATCTTCAACAGCACTTAGCCGGGGAGGAAATGCTTGCGAATCTAGCTCAATTATCCTTTGAATAATCGTATTTTCTTCTAGTTTTGTTAAATTCCGACCGTTGGCTTCGATATTGCGACGTGATTGACGTTTTTGAAGACGCGCCTGGAGAGTAGTATTCGAGACTTTGTAGATTGTTGTAGCACGTCGGATACTAAGTGTTGAGTCATTTCTGATAGCCTGAGTTGCAAGGAGTAATTGAGATGCTTTTTGAGCAGAATCCATCGAGAATTAGTTGCGTGGTAAAGTTAGGAAGTTTAGTTCTATTTTTTGCTATGGGCGTGACCCGTTCGGTTGGGTGACCCGTTCGCTTGTGGACTACGTTATATCATGGTACATTTGCGATGAACGACAGTTATGCTCCACCTATGTAACTACCTTCAGTCATTACGTGGAGAGTAAATATAACAGGATGTCAGGGTACGGCTAGGCCGAAGGCAATAGTACAGAGTGATGGGGAGTAACGGGCGTCCCTCCTACGTAGCACCGGGTGGTCACTGGCGGTCTCAGGTAGGGGTGCCCACGGTGATGCATTGATCTCTGCCCTCTCTATCTTCCTCCGTCTCGACTCCTTACTTATAGCCAGCCGAGTTTCTCTCTTGGATTCTGGATGTTTGCTTCCGTATGTCTGTGTTCCTCCGACTTCGGCCAATATCTTGGACAGCGGCTCCTTATCTGCAACCAAGCGATTCCCTATCCGCTGCAAACGGCTTCAACGGCTCTCATTCGCCACAAGCGGCTCTCTAGCCGCCACAAACGGCTTCCTACCTGGTGGAAGCCGGCCCGCCTCGGATGACACTTGTGGCTCTGACAACTCCTTCCCTATCCTACTTCGAGATGGTCCTTATATAGATAGCTAGGCCGCCGCTTGGACCCGGCATAACAGCAGGGTCGGCGATGCCAAGGATCTTGACTCTCGTCATCCCAAAGCTTCACATAGATTGTAATCATGATTCGGGAGTCTTTTGTCCGAAACACCCCTCCGGCGGCCCGCCGGTGTCCTGCGTTCAGTGTCCTGACACCCACTGGTGCCTATGGCATTCTGTTCTCTGACACAGGAATTGCCACCCGAACCCGGGGAGCACAGCGATAAAAGCCTTCATCGTCGCCAGTTGGCGTCTCAAAGAAAACGCCTCATGAGTTGGAACTAACCAGCAAGCATAGATTGGCCGAGCAATGGAGTTACAGATACAGAGAAGTACTGAAGGGAGCAAGTGAGCAGGTTTGTCACTCCATTACCTCAAAGTGGAAAGATTGAAACGTCACACAGATTGTAACAAATCAAACGAACCTCAAAGAACAGTCCACCCTTGTGGCCGTGGATAGGCGATGTAGCAGCTACCCTTGCAGTATGCTGTGATGCAGCAAGACGAATTGTATGTTCTAAGGTAAACTGCTTAACACGCCATAAACGGAAGTGATTCCGCCGGGGAAACCTCTGGTGACATGATGAATGGGTGTGTTTTCGGGGGCCAAATCAAGCAAACCTCCCGAGATTGGTTCTGTTCTACTTACACGACTAAAAAAGAGGTGTCCCGTTCCACTGAACGATCCGGGAACTTCCCGTCGGCCATATGCATTACAATGAATAGCACATATAGCGGAAATACTTGCTCCTACGAGAGTCTTTTCTGCCAGTCGTACGGAAAAGTCGTCTGGGGGCCAGACCCTTCCGTGGTTGTGATCGACTTATGACTGCAGGCAGAGCGCCTAGGCAAGGTGGGGCTATACTCCGTTGTCGAGCCACGAGCGAATGACAGCATGCATTATTGTCAAGGTTATAGTTATGGGGCCAAACCTCCGCAATAAGCTTGAAAGCCTCAAGAGTTATTAGAGTTTAATGAAGCGACATGCTGGAGGGTCTAGTGATCATGCCATAATAATTCGGCTCTGGAGGTCATTTGTAGTCTATTTGACCATAGGCCGTCCACTTCGCACGATGAGAGTAGCGAGTAACTAGTCGTTCCTTCATTTCTAATCATTATTTCAGAAGTCGGTCAGGAGCTAAACGATGGAATGTGCAAATTGTTGTGGCCATGCATACTGATTGATGACACGATTATATGTTGGCAGATGCTTTTGTTGGGTCGTTTTGATGCACAAAAAGCACACGTCTAACATTACTGAATAGTCTGCCGGTTGGGTTGCATATGCCATGCGCAGCCAGTCACATTGCACGCTCGCTCAGCCACATTTCTAAAGTCCCAACAGCGCCCCAACTATTCCAGTCTCAATGCATTCCATGGGCTGAGGTTCGTGCACGCGGCTCTACCAACGTCGATTAGGCTCATGCTATTTCGGGAGAAGGGGGGGAGGGGGGTTACATGATGGCACGTCCGACTGTGCTGCAGTGGATGCTCCTAGCATTATACAGCAGCCAGGGGACTGAGACCACCAGAAGTCGGCGAATGACTTTTGTTGTGACCTTTGCCAGTTGCGTATTGGGGTAGGGCAACATGCGTGATGCAGCGAAAAGGGTATTTCCGCATTCCAGAAGAGACCGACCGATGTGGGAGGTGGGAAATACGACACCGTATGCTGGTGGAGTGACCAGCAGTGCACCATCACGCGCAAATATGTGACCAAGTCGTTGGTAAGAGATGTATCGTTATGCGCTTTCATTACACACATAAAACGAGGCGAGCCCGGGCTCGATGTTTGCTCTTGGATATGAGCAGGCCCCGAAAGTTCTCTTAAATTGGTTCTTTGAATGCATTCCTACCTCGAGTCGAGTCCGACTTACCAGAGTTTCCACAACACAATGGCTACCACGAAGAGTCCCCCGTCCTCGGTGGACCAACCAAACCTGAAGCATGCAGACGAGGCGCAGCGGCCCGGGAAGGAGGAATGGAAGCCAACAACGCATGTGAAACTCATCATCTACACGCTGGCAGTCACATCTCTCATCGTCTCTCTCGACGCAAGCGTCATCACGACATCCCTGAGCGTAGGCAGTTTCAGTCCTAGACTCCTGATGAGATGATAGACGGGGTAGCAACTAACACAGCAGTAGGCCATCATACAAGACCTCGATGGAGATTCTACTCAAGCATTCTGGATCGGTACATCGTATCTCCTTGTCAACGCCGTGACGATGCCCTTCATCTGCTCCGTCAGCGACATTTTCGGCCGCCCCATCTGCTTCGAATTCGCCCTGGTCATGTTCTTCATCGGCACCGTCATATGTTGCACCGCCAACGACGTGGCCCAGATGCTAGCCGGCCGTTGCGTCCAGGGAGTAGGGGGGGCCGGTATTCACGCTTTGGGGCTGGTCATCATGACCGATATTGTGCCTTTGCGATTTCGACCCAAGTGGTACGGCGTAACGTGAGTAAAACCAGCCTTAACGTCTTGCCTTGGTCTGATCAGCCTTTGACTGAGAAATGTAGTCTGGCTGGATGGGCTGTCGGACTCTCACTTGGCCCAATACTGGGCGGTGCCATCGTCCAGCACACCACGTGGCGCTGGATCTTTTACATGATGTTCCCCATCACGGCCTATGGTATCGTCATTGTACCCTACCTCCTTACAATCAAGCCCCGGACATCGACACTGCGCCAGAAGCTCGCCAGGGTGGACTGGATCGGAGGGGTTCTGTTCACTAGTAGTGCAACCTCCTTACTGATAGGCGTTTCTTGGGCCGGTGTTCAGTTTGCCTGGAACAGTGCGCAGACCATCGTGCCCCTGGTGGCTGGGATCGTCGGCATAGCTGCCACGATCATGTACGAGAACGAATTTGCTAGGGAGCCTTTCCTGCGTAGGAGCTTGTTTGGAGATATGAGCTCCACCGTCACCTACGTTGGCGGCTGTGCCCAAGGACTGACATGCTATGCATGGCTCTACTATCTTACCTTTTACTTCATGTCAGTCCTCGAGTTCACGCCGATCGATGCCGGAGTCGCTATGCTTGCCAGTTGCCTGTCCATCACCTTGGCAGGCATCATCAGCGGCCGTGTCGTGACTCGGTTCAACAACTACCGCTGGGCTATATGCATCGGCTGGCTGCTCGCAAGTCTCGGCGCTGGCCTTACCCTGGAGTGGCAAAACAACAACCACAAGGCCGTGTGGATTGTTACGCAGCTGATACTCGGATTCGGCCAAGGCGCCGTGCTCAATGCGCAGAACTTCGCCTGCCAGGCTATGTGTAAGCCTGGCGAAGAAGGTGTTGCTGCAGCCATGTACGTCTTCGTGCGCCAGTTCGGATTCGCTCTCGGCGTCAGCATCGGAGGGACGACATTCCAGAACGTCATGGCGCTGAAGCTGGGCCGGCTAGGTCTTCCAGTCGAACTCGCAAAACAGGCCGAGGGCTATATCGACACACTGGTTGCTATGCCTCCGTCCGAGGAGAAGAACAAAATTGTCGACTCGTACACATTTGGCTTCATGGGCTGCTATGAGGTTTTACTCGGTGTCTCCGTTGTTGCGCTGATCCTTAGTGTGCTGTTTGTCAAACAATGCGACATGAATAAGGATTTGGACACGGAGCACAAGCTACACCCCCATCGTATGATAGATGTGTTTAGAGGTGAACAAGCACTAGAGGGCAAAGGAGTGCGTCCCGAAGAGAGCACGGAGGCGCACCGTGGGGTGGGCGAGGAGCAAAGAGAAGAGCGACATGTGAGCCGGGAGCAGAGAGGCATGCGCAGAACCACGACTCAACCTGACCGGGTGTTTGACGGGACAGAGAAGACCACCAACGTGATTCTCGCTGAGATCATGAAGGATACGAACGCTGGTCATGACCATGGTAGGATATAGGCGAGTCACGAGCCAATTTCGGGGTTTCCTGAAGGCGGCCGACCCCCGGATGGGTTCGATAACATAGATTGGACAATGATAATAGTCTCAACCGGGTTGGGATGGGAAGCTGGGCCGATAGGCGCTGATCATGACAGGATCAGTGATCTGTAGGACAGGTGCGTCACTAGTGTCCATATGTAGTTTCCAACGGCCGAGATTAGGGAGATGAGGCAAGTAAGAAGAGTTGAACTCGAGTTTGTCAAGACGAAATAGTGATCGATTCTGTTTAGACTTACTTGTTCAATGGAACCTATCCAGAGCTTTGGGATTAGAGGCTGATGCAAAGGTACGCATGCCGTCAACATCCGATTGGCACAAGGGTATGCGATGTCCGTATAGAGGGTCCTGCGGCTCACCAGCCTTGGCAGTTGCCGGAAGCACCGCAACTCTTTCATGCACCACGGGATCACAACTCTTACATCAGATTCTCAAGCAACAGTGTTATTCCAATGTGCAACTTCTTACTTCTTGCGACGTATCAGTTGCTTTGGTACTCGCCGATAAGGCAACGAAGATACTCGCACATTCCCGACATCAATCTCGGTACCGTATCCACTCCGGCCGGATCCGATACCTAAAGATTAACGGCAATTCATTTGCCAAAGTGGGTTCTACATCCACATAACTTAGGCACAACCTCCACAGAAGCCAGCTTCCGAACTCCTAGACCGGCCTTTGCGAAACTGGGGACACTGCGCTATCTGACATGACACATAAATTTTTGGTATCAGCAATCGGGCCCTGTATCATTCGCACGACCCAGGCTTGCCCTTGGGTCTTGGCAATGCTGTCAAATGCCGCAGGGCAACCAACCGGGCACATTTTGGGCCGATAACCAAGTCATCCGAGCCAGCAGCTTGGACGCCTCTAGCTCAGCCCGTTATCTCTGCTGTTCAAGGAATATCTACCCAATCAGGAATAATTCCGTCCCTTGCCGCGACGACTCACACCTCGTTCCTAAGCTGACCTATTCGATGTCGATCGGACGAACCGGTCCCCAATATTACCCACCATGCATACGCATTAGGATGTACACCGCTTCGCGTCAGATACGACGTCTTCCATGTGGAACAATCTGATAGTCCGGCGCGGTCTTCTCAGGGAGCGATGCGGTTGGATGAGATGCAAGAACCCAACGGAATGGCTCGTCGGTCTGCAAACCGATATATAAAGGTTGGATCGCCAAGATGGACTGCTTTGTCTTCAGCTCGGTTTTATCGGTGTCTTCAGTCCCTCCAGCCCTCACACCATCACCATGCAGCGCTCTCTCTTAGCCCTGTTGGCAAGCCAGGCCCTCTGTGCCGCTTCTTCTTCTTTGCCTATTCGGCTCGAGACCAGATCGGAGTTGAGCTCACGCCTCGCCAATGTCCATGTCATCTTCAACGAGGTCGTCGAGGGAGCCTTGACTTATACCTACGGATCATGCTCGTCCCTTGAGCTACGTGATGCTCACCACACCGTTGGTCGAAGCACGGACGCGACTACGTCCCGGCTGGTATGGATCATGCCCGAGAATGCGGACTCTGCTGGCTGCCTATCAGCATGGGACAATGTGGGGAAATTGGTTGGCCGCAGTGAGCCGCAGCACTTCAAGCTCAGGCGGAGAAGCTTGGAAGAACGGGCCCTCAACAGCATCGAGATGTCGAATGCTACCGGCATCGACACCTGGGGCCCCTGGTTCAACGGAGTCGAGCTGTTGGAGAGCAAGAACCTCAGCAGTGTTGATGTGGAGACGGCCAAGTCAAAGCAGATCGCCATCGTGGGCGCCGGCATGTCGGGCTTGATGACCTATTTGGTCCTATCGCAGTCAGGATTCACAAACATCAGCATCCTCGAGGCGGCCCAGCGTCTCGGTGGCCGAGTTCACACCGAGTATCTGTCTGGCGGTCCCTTCAACTACTCATACCAAGAGATGGGGCCTATGCGTTTCCCAGAAACCGTAGTGTACTCGAACGAGACCTACAACATCACGGATCACAGACTGGTCTTTCAACTCGCCGCCGAGATGAACAAAATCAACGGTAACAACAAGAACTTGAGCGTCGACTTCATCCCTTGGCACCAGGCCAGCGAAAACGGCCTCTACTACCACAACGGTATCAAGCTTGACAATGGATTGCCACCTACCCTTGCCCAGATTGAGGCCGACCCTTCGCTCGCCGTAGCAAGTGTCGAAAACCCCTCCACCACTGCATTGGAGGAGCAAGTCAACATGTACAGGGCAAACGAGACGCTCATGATCGAGCTTGCCGAGAACATGTTCAAAACCCACAGCGAGTTTATCCGCGAGGGCCTTAACGGTCTCGGTGGCGATCAGTTTTCGGAGTTTGCTTTCATGGTCAACTATCTGGGCGCCTCGCTCAACGACACTGACGTGGTCAGTGGTGGAGCCTTCGGATCTTCGTTCTGGGATGACCTGTACGAGGGCATGTACTTCGAGGCCGCAACGTGGAAGACCATCGACGGAGGACTGAGTCGTCTGCCCCTTTCTTTCCACCCCTTGGTTGACAACATCACCTCGATGAACACCAAAGTTCAGCGCGTCGAATTCATCGAGGAGGAGCAGAAGGTCAAACTGCAGTGGAAGAACGACTACACCGACTCCACCTTCCAGAACGCAACCTACGACTACGCCGTCATGGCCCTGCCCTTCTCCATTGTCAAGAAGATGCGTCTTCCCTCGATGCCAGCCACCATCACGAACGCTATCTCTAACCTGCCCTTCGAGTCTGCCTGCAAGGTAGCCCTCGAGTTCCAGACGCGCTTCTGGGAGCACTACGAGAACCCCATCTATGGAGGGTGCTCAACCTCCACGGACATCCCGGGCGTTGGATCCATCTGCTACCCGTCGTACAACATCAACGGCACCGGCCCCGCCAGTATGCTTGCATCGTACATCTCGGGCGACTGGGGCGTCCGATGGGTGTCGACCCCCGAAGCCGAGCACGTGCAGTATATCATCGACGCCATGGCCGAGATCCACGGCGACGTCGTGTATGAGCAGTACACGGGCAACTACAACCGCCGGTGCTGGGCCTTGGATCCTTATGAGGGAGGTAGTTGGGCTAGCCCGCTGATTGGACAGCATCAGTTGTACATCCCGGAATACTTCAAGACTTACAACAACGTAAGTAGACCTTTGATTGTTGGAAAGCCGCAACACTGACACGATTTGCAGATGATTTTCGTGGGTGAGCAAACGTCGTACACGCATGCTTGGATCGCTTCGGCTCTCGAGTCGGGTATCCGTGGTGCCGTTCAGCTTATGCTGGGTGAGTGAATCCTCTCGAACAGAAGTCGTGAAGTTGGAATATTACTGACGGTGTGTGCAGAGGAGGGTCTTGTCGATGAAGCAAAGGTCGCTGTCGAGAAGTGGATGGCACGATGGATTGAGGTGGTAAGTTTGCTCTGATCGCGCCCCCCTGCCCGTCCCCCATCCCCCGTCCCCCGTCCCCCAAATCTTGTACAAGTGAAACTGACTCGTCCAAAGTAATTTACGATTCCTACGTGAACATGCTAAGATTATTAATAATGTAATACATGGCTGATGTCTCGGGAATGGAGGAAGGAAAAGATGCGAGCGCACAGGACCGCGTGGTACGGGGTCTAATTGTATCTTATATTATCATGATGCGACGTTTTCAAGGTCTAGATCCTTTCGAAGCATTATCTGTTAGGAAAATGGACCATTGACACTGGATATTGAATTGCGCAGTATAACATCTGCATCGCAGCTGTCCACTGACTGGTGGTGTTGTCGGGACCAGGATCTAGATAACAAGCTTCCATTCCGGCACTTTAGGCCTATCGCATCGAAGAAAGGCGAGCTACAAGTGGGCCCATGCATGCGCAAACGCGCCTTGGTTGCGAGGAAGGAGCGACCCGAGTATCCCTCCCTTCCGCGGGGTCGCTGATCACCTGAGCTTCTGGGTAACATCTGGTGTAAGGATGCTGACAAAATCCCGTTCACTCGCAACTGGATACAGCCTCGACGTTTGTCTTTTACTCTGCCTGTTCCATGCTCAACATCCCGCAAATATCTCAATGCACCTGCCATGGCGGCCACCACCACGAACCCCAATGCTGATCACAGCGACATCGACGAGTCCGCGATACCCGGCACCGTCCATCTCGTCGATTTGGAGCACACACTGGCCACGCGCCATGCGAGGAACCAGGTGGATATTGTCCTGGTGCCGACCCCTTCCGCTGACCCCGACGACCCCCTGAACTGGAGCCCGGGACGAAAGTATTTGGCTTTGGCATGCGCTCTCCTGTAGGTCCTCAGAAGCAGCATTCGGCGGCGGTGGTGTGTTGTACGGCTGATCCTCTCGGTGCAGATACACTTGGTTCAACGGCATGGCGCTCTCGGTGGTCTATTCTGTGCTCGTGCCGCTATCCGAAGCCCTCGACGTTACCGAGGCCGACTTGAACGCAGGAACCGGATACATGTTCCTTCTTCTCGGCTGGGGCCTCCTTTTCTGGCAACCCTTTGCGCTGCAGTACGGAAAACGCTTCATCTACCTTTTCTCTCTGCTTGCACTTACGGCAGTCACCGTCTGGGGACCGTACGCTCACGGCAAGGGGCAGTGGATCGCAAAGAGCGTCTTGACAGGGTTCTTTGCCGCGCCGATTGAGGCGCTTCCGGAGACGAGCATTGCCGACCTCTTCTTCGCCCATGAGCGTGCCACGTACATGGGATGGTACGCCTTCACGCTCGCAGGGAGCAACTTCTTTGCACCCATCATTTGTGGGTTCATTAATGACAGCATGGGCTACAAGTGGGTGTTCTACTTCCCTGCCATCTTCTGCGGCGCGACGTGGATATTCCTCTTTTTCTTCATGGAGGAAACCAACTATGATAGACGGACCGTTGGGGTGGTTTCGACATCGCCGCCGTCAGGCGAAAAGGAGTACGGAGTGAAATCAACTCCTGCTGCCGATGCAATCTTCATAGCGACGATTAAAGCCGAGTCTTCTGCCACCAGTACCAAGACCTTCTGGCAGAAACTGGCCGTTTTCGACAAGCCCCGGCCATTTATGATGTATTACAGAGCCTGGCAGTCTCTCAAGCTTCTTTCGTGGCCTGTCGTGTTCTACTCTGGGTTCAGCTACGGGACCTATCTGATCTACTTCAATATCCTCAATGCGACGAGCTCGATCATCTTGGGTTCGCCACCATATAACTTCAGTGCCGCGATGGTAGGATTGAGCTATATATCTTGCATGATTGGAGTAATAGCAGCGTATGCACACTCACGCCCCGCGTCTCTTGGTCCAACATGCTAATTGCATCACAGTTCTGCCTTGACTGGCGTCTTTTCAGACCGTTTCGTAATCCGTCTCGCTCGCAAGAACAACGGTATCTCCGAACCGGAACACCGTCTGTGGATATTTGCCGTATCGGCAATGGTCATTCCTTCGTCACTGATTCTCTGGGGCGTTGGAGCTGCTCACAAAGTACACTGGTTTGGCCTCGTCTTCGCCATGGGCACGACTGCGTTTGCAAACACCATGGGAATTACTCTATCTGTATCCTATCTTGTGGATACCTACCGCGATATCTCGGGCGATGCCTTGACGACATGCATCCTGATACGAAACACAATGAGTTTTGCCATCGGATACGGCATCACGCCATGGTTGAAGAATTTGGGATACCAGAATTGTTTTATAAGCGTGGCATTTGTGGGGTTGGCCATCTGCAGTGCATTCTTGATTATGATCAAGTGGGGTAAGAGGTTCAGAGAGATGAAGAGGGTTGAGTATTGGAGAGAGGTTGGGAAGAGGATTGACATGGGACTGGTTCACTGAACGGCGCGGATACGTTGAGTAATTTTCAAACGTCAAATTTGCGACGCGTTACTATGTGTATCTAGTCGAAGTGGCAACAGGAGATGGCAGAAAGGGGCGACGTTGAGAAAATCAAGTTGACCTTATTTCAGAAAATGGATTTGCTATCAGGCGCCGCAGTGAATCGCAACAGAGAATCACGAAGCTAACTACGATGGCGTAATCTGGTGTAGCACCACCAAGTAACTTATGTGTAACCATCTCCAAATCGTTCGCGTTGGTCATTTCTTAGAATCCAAACCGTAAAGACTACCGATGAATGTTAGGGGCACAGTGTGCATTCTCGGAATTGCGTCTTGGTTAGTTGATGTGAGACATCGCAATTTCAATTCTACCACGACGACAGTCGGTCGATATTTCCACTTGACGAATATGGAAAGCCCGTTTAGTCATGATGCACAGAGAAAGAGCCCCAACATGATTATCTGCTTTCTACCGCCTCGAACCCATTGTCGAAGAGCAAGATGGCACATGCACCGAGTTCATTGTATTCACCTAGAGCCTTTGTCGGATGACAACACCAACATTATATAATGCTGGTACCCCTCTTGCCCCCGAGTATTCTGCTGTACAAAGTAAATACTAAACTACCTACGGAAATGGCTTTATTTCTTAACAGAGGACTAGTGGCACACAGTCCACTGGCGGAGCCCTAGTTACTCCGTAACAATGTACACTAGTTAGATAGGTAACATTCTACCGTTACACCTGACGTAGGTTAACTGAGCTCAATCAACATCACAATCCTCCATGATTTCTCAACCAAAATCAAAAAAATAAAACCTGCCCATACTCATACCTCCATCAACCATCGTTACTAAAACCGAAATCAAATATGTGCCAACAATACGATTGCCGGCAGTTCTTCTGTGGTATGTGCAACCAGTTCCACGGCCCGAAGGATTACGACACCTGCAGCACATATGCCGATCCGCGACCCGTTCAGGCGGCTTCCGGACTTGTGGTAAAATCAAACGTCTCGAAGTAAAAAGATTGGATTGGAGGGAGTGCGAGAATTGCTGTAGAAGACAGTCGGTCCATGATATTTGGAAGAATAAAGATGAGTGCTCCAGACCAGGTTTTCAGGAGTAGTGTTTTGGCTAACATTACCGAGAGTTGAAATGAATTCTGACCTGGGACCATATTTCTAGCTAAGCATGCAGTGTGTTGAATAGTGCGTGGATATGATAGGGTGCCTGCGATTGTAGAGAGTGAATACTAAGGATTCTGCTGGTCGGACGCCGATTACGGAAGACCATGTGCTAGAGGCGATCAAGCTGGCCGAAACTCAAACACAGGTTCTAGAGGGGAACCATGGGGGAGGGGCGCCAATGAGAAGCCATGGGTTCAAGGCTGGGACAGGGACGAGTTCGAGACTGCTTAAGGGTGACAACGGCAAAACTTACACACTCGGAGTTATAGTGCAGAACAACTACGGGAGTCCAGTAGATTTGCAGATTGACGGGGTGCCGATCAGCAAGATCTTAAAGTCAAGGGCAGGGGGGGCAGGGGGGACAAGATCACAGTTCCACAAGTGCCAGAAAGTGGTAAAGCTGCGGAAGGAAGTTCGTAACATTCATTTTCGCCTACATCATGACACAAAGCTAACAACACCTGCAGGCTGCCTCGTACTGATCATGTAAATGGAGATAGGGCTGTCTCGCATCCACTTCGTACACTTGTCTGACTGTTTCTCAGTACCGACGTCCCTATGGTACCGCACCAACTCCAACGGATAGCCCAAAGATCCGGCATGGGACTCTCACAGGTTTCGGGACACGGCGTCGGTAGAAACTTCAGCGGGGAATTCTTCATGGCATTGTCAACCGGCAACAAGCCCGAGCTCCCAGCCAAATGGGATGGCATGACCAGTCTACCACCGTTTCTAGAGACGGATAACGTGGAAACCGTGAAGAGCCAGCTGATCGACACACTATTCATGGCCACGGCGGAGGCGACCGAAGAAGCCGTTCTAAACGCCATGACCTCGGCCGAGACGATGAAAGGCTTCCGTGGGGTCGAAACCAAAGCGCTGCCGCGAGATGTGGTCGAAGACCTCTTGAAGAGATACAGAAGAGGGTATATGAAGGATATACTTCACCCAAACCAGGAGTCTATCGTTAAGCCGGCGAGTCCATAACGGAGACACAGCGATACAAGAATTTCGTTGTCGCTCCTGAATGGAGGGACCTCCGATTACCCTGGGGAAGGACCCATGAGGACACGGTCCATTTGCATATGAGAGACTGAGAGGAACCACGAAGTAAGTCTAAACCCAAGTCCAAACCTAAGTCCGAGTCGGGCCAATCAGATATGATGGTGGTTCGAGAACGGGTTATCATCTTGTGTTGCATTAAATGATCATAAAACATCAGATGCTTTTGAGCTTCATTTAGTCTAATGCGTCAAAGTCATCAGATGGCTTGCAATTGGACCGACTGGACCCTACGCGCAGGTATCCACTGTGGAGGAGGCTCAACATTTTGCGGGGAACGCTATAACGTAACGATTACAAAATACGAAAAATTTTATAGTGGCGCGATGACAGAGTTTCCAGGATGCGTCTGGGCATTATTTTTGCGCGCATTACTATTAGGTGCGCTCGCCACCAAACTTTTGAGATGGGTGGCTTTCGATGTTTTTGCTTTCGTGGGAGATGCTGCCATGAGATTGCTTCATCGAAGTGTCTCGGTCATGCGCCGCACTTACATACCGAGTGGTCTTAAGTAGTATTCCATACGTGGATATGCCCATCTTCACAGCCCACAGCCCCGTGGAAACTCCATATGGACATGTGGGTCTAGAATCCAAGAAAAGACGAGTTAGTTAGGTTTAGGAGGACGGCCAAGTAGCTCACAACCAACCTCGGTACTTTCAACAGAGACCCAAACACGCAGCCGGAACGGCACGGGCGGACGGCCCCGTAACTTAAGATGGCGAGACTTTCGCCTGGCCCAGGGGCATTTCAAAGCCTTTCAGTCCGATCACGGCGGCGCGGTTCATGCCATTTTTGAGGATATCCGTTGGGTTTCGCATCTAGTTTTCTGATTTTCCCGTCCCTGTATCTTGAACCTTACGCCATTTGCTCATAATAATAAACCACCAGTCAACACCTGGAAACCGTGCCGCGCGTCAGTGAGCTACCAGCTCACCCCCAATTGAACCTCCAATGGCCACCATGACTGCAGAGAGTCCGAATACCCTCGCCGGTGAGAAGACCTCTGCATCGTCTGAGAACTTCGGGGACAAGAAGCTTCACGGCAAGACCGAATCGCCCAATGCTCCAATAACCGAGGCAGAGCCAAGCTTTACCCAGGAAGGGGACGGCTTGGATATCAATTACAGGACACTGACGTGGTGGTATGTGACTGAAACCAGGGATCAGATCAACCCCTCTATGAAGCTTCAAAAACTAACAAATCACCCAGGCAAGCCGGCATAATCATGATCGCCGAGACCGTCTCCCTCGGCATCCTCTCGCTTCCGGCCGTCGTGGCTAACCTCGGTCTCGCGCCGGGCATTGCCCTGATCGTCCTCATGGGCATCTTATCGAGCTATTCAGGTCTAGTCCTCGGCGACTTCCGACGCAAATATCCATGGGTGCAAAGTTTTGGCGACGCGGGAGAAGTCATGGGCCGGACTATCGGCATGGGTCGGTTCTTCCAGGAGTTGCTTGGCTGGGCGCAGACCACCTTCCAGATTTTCGTCATGGGAAGTCATCTGTTGACTTGGACCATCTGCCTTAACACGCTGTCGGATAGCTCGACGTGTACCATTGTTTGGGCTTTCGTGGGGCTGGCGGTGTTTTGGGTGCTGAACACGCCGAGGACGCTGAAATATGCGAGTTACATGTCGTTTGGATGTGAGCACTCGCATTTCCCCTTGGCCAAAATGCAGTCCAAGATTTGTTTCTGACAAGTTCAATAAAGCTTTCTTCTCCATCTTCACCGCCGTCATGATGACCGTCATTGACGTCGCCATCGAGCGGCCCATCGGCAGCGGCAGCATCGACGTTAGCCGCCAAATAGGCTTCACCTCGGCCTTCCTGTCCGTGACCAACATCGCCGTGGCCTTCTCCGGGCACTCGTGCTTCTTCGGCGTAATCTCCGAGTTCAAGAAGCCCGAGGAGTGGCCCAAGGCCCTCGCCCTCCTGCAGATCTGCGACACCACCATTTACCTCGTCGCCGCGGTCGTCATCTACTTCTACGTCGGACCCGATGTTCCGTCTCCGGCTCTCACAGCAGCTGGTTCTCTCCAGATCAGGAAGGCCATTTGGGGCATTGCTATGCCGACTATTGTTATTGCCGGTGTTATTTATGGCCACATTGCCGCCAAGTACATTTTCGTACGAGTCTTCGGCGGAACGAAGCACATTGCCAAGCGGACGAAACTGGGGGCGGTTGGGTGGTTTGGCATCACTATCACCGTGTGGTTCATCGCCCTTGTCATCGCCGAGTCGATCCCCGTCTTCAGCAACTTGTTGGGGCTGGTTTGCGCCTTGTTCGCCAGTTGGTTCTCGTACGGACTTCCCGGGATTCTGTGGCTCTTTATGAACAAGGGCGAATGGTTCAAAAACGGCAAGAGAATTGCTGGGTTCTGCGCGAATATGGGCTTGTTTTTGACCGGATTTATTCTTTGCATCATGGGTTTATGGAGCTCTGGGGAGGCTATGGCAGCAGACACCACAGGGGCAGAGCCATGGAGCTGTAAAAGTAATGTGTAGGCATACCAGTGGAGGTGGTGGGTTCAAAACAACAATACCAAGTTAACTGCTATGACCTTGAGCTCTAGTGGCCAAATCCTATTGCAGGCCCATAAAATATATTCGTCTTGTATAATGTGTTCTCCACAGCCTCTTTGAGCGAAGTCTTTTGAACATAACACGTGACTATGTCGAAATCCTCCGACCGACGACGACCACTGTTCAAGAGTTTGTTGATCTTGTCCCACTAGTACTCGTAAACCTTGCCAGGCATTTGTTGCTACTCCCAAGCGTCCCAGTGAATGAGATGTCGATCATGTCCTTCATCTGTTTCTTTGGCGCGTGATTGGCATCCTTCATCTCGCTTGCATACTTCTATACCTTTTTAGGGCGTGGCTGAAAGCCAGGATGCCTATCGCAACATCGATTCCAACCAATGTATATCAAAGACAGATTGCGTGAAGAAGGGATTTGAAATTGACAGAGTATGTGTGGACAAATAGTAACCCCTCCAAGTCTGCGTTGGTGTTCCATACCTGCACACAACGCTTTTTACCAAACTCATTTTCATTGGTCCCTTTCTTTCGGTGGGAAGGGCTTTGCATATCTCGTTTTCCAACGTGTCAAATACTTGACCTGTCCAGAATTGCTAATTTCTTCATCAACATGGAATGAGGGCATCCATGGACAAGGAATTCAAGTTTCTCAACTGAGGGCATTTTCAACAGGGAATCAGAAACGACAACATGGATATATCAAACATTCAGCTCCAGCTTTGGGTTCACATAGTAGCACCTCAGATTCATACACAACTCTAAGATACAGAAGAATATTTTACCTCAGCTCCTTGGCAATGCTGTCGCTTCTCATGCATAAAAATACAGTTGCTCAAATCAGAAAGTCCATCCACTCATATAAGGAACCCGGACTAGCAAGGGGAAGCCACATGCATGGTCTTGAACTCGAAGTGAACAGATTTCTGAGCGATGCTTGAATTTGCAAAGTACTCACGTAGGGATGGTTTTTCAAGTCCTCTTTCTAAAGTTGGTCGATACTCCTTTTCGTACAAAGCAAACAACAGTGTCATTGTGTTCCGCCAAGCGCTGCGCAACCGCACATTCAGCGGTGAAGGAACCGGATCCTCGTCGCAATCCACCTTAAAACTCGGCCGCTCCCCATATTTCCTGGCCATATCCTCGCGGTCCCACCCCAAGTGGTTCACAAGCCTCGAAACCCCAGACACAGACAGAGCACTCCACACCGCCGCCACCTCCAGCTCTCTTGTGTTGGTGCTTGCGCAACCATTCGATGCAACCCCGCGCACACTTATTGGGTAGAAGTACCACAACGAATTCCATGCGGCTCCGCTCCGTTAGGACACCGTGGCGGCCAACAATTCCTCCTTCGTCCACGAACGCCGAAAGCTTGAGTGTCGGTTTCGGGGTACCATCAACAAGTAATTCGAGACCGGCCCGGGTTGAACGTAATGCCGGGTGTCTTTTTGGAAAGCCGTACGACTACAGGATCTACACGGTCACGCCCGACGAACCAGGAAAGCTCTGTGTCCTTTTTGTCGCTGTCCTTTGTCTTACTATCTCGTGTGTTGACGACAGTCAGAGAACTATCAACCATGCTATAACTGTAAACCTGATCACAGTTCTGCCGCCATCGTTGAGGTCACTCTAAGCAAGGTAATGCTTAGTAAGTTTGTCTAGCATTGAAAGGGGGAGATGGCGGGCGTCGGAAAATAGTGCAAACTATCTCCACCGTGTTCAGCGTAAGCAATATACGAATCTATATCGATGTGATCAGGCATGGCAAGCCAGCATCCATCACCTAATTAAGTACGATTTGCAGGATCCCGCATCAGGAAGAAAGCAATCTGCCTTGAACAGAATCCATGATTAAGAACATACTTGCGTGTACTTCCGAGTTTGTCACCTTTCCAGGGGTTTCCTCACACCAGTTTGTACATCAAATTCCAAAAATCACTTGACTGGTACTACAAATAGTTAACCGCATTGACCACCTTATCAACCCGAATACTTCGTCCTCGTTTATTATTTACAAAACACACTTTATTTAAGCGCCCGAAACCTGAGATACATTCTTTCGAGCCCTCGTTTCAGGAGGGGCTCTTCCTTCGAGAACAGGATCAATTTCAACTACTTACCTGGTAAAATAGGTCGTATTCGCTTATTTCGCTTATCCTAGACTGTTCGGATAGCTGACAAGTTAATGAGCACTTTATTCGGGCCAGGCTCGACGGGCTGGCGTATATCTGGAGCGTATTTATCAAGTTTTTTATGTGATTGCTCGTTTTCGATACGTGATTTGGCTGTCTCGGCGGCCTGGAGTATAATAGCCTTGCAGAAAGCACAAGCCCTAGGCTCTTGGTGGTAGTAGGCGATGCGTGAGCATATGGGGCGTGAATAGTTGTGTTGGGAAAGCTTGGTTAGCTAAGCTATCTGGCTGGCCGAAGGCCCTCTTGGGCTATCTATCTTATGTACAGCTATAGGGTGATCCTCCTCGGGGCTACATAGCAAATGCCCGGCCACAATGGAAAATTATACTGCCCTCAGTACGCTCAATGTAGGGTACTTGCCGAAGACCAAATAACCCAAGTTACGCAAATCGCTGGGTTCGGAGGAGAATTCTTAAGCCAAATTCTGTATGGCGGAGGCCCCGAAGGCTTCAATTCAGTTGACAGGCCAAAGTATTTTTGTATCAATGTTGCTAGCTGCTGTATGTCCGACTTTGAAGGCGGCGACTGGCCAGTGTGAAGGGGATCGTGAGTTTGGCTGGCGCTGGCGGTAATGCGTGCCACTTGTACGGAGTTGCTCAAATAACTGGTTTCTTGACTCAAAGGATTCTTAACAGAAGTGACAGCGGCTTGGCTTAGGCCTTGTCGGCGTGTCTTGTACCTTGGAAGACGTTCTTTCACATGGCTTGGGGGCTCGCTGGCGCGGCTGTAGGCCTTTCGGCGATGAAGCTATTCCCATCGCTTTCACCAGTGTATCTCGGATCTTATTCGAACCGGACGCTCTAACTCGGCTAGCGTCTACGACGCGCCTAATTTTAGTACGTATCTATGGATAGCGGCTGACGAAGTGACCCCCCTAGTGTTAGCCGGGTACATCATTATCCCTTTAGGTAAGGGGGATTTCGGTCGTACAATCGGCTATATAACGCTTAATCGGAGCCCGTCCGCATATTTCTTCACGTAGTATTCAATTTACGATAGCTTTCTCTTGCTCTTTAGTTAACTTTTGTTATCCGGAGGCGGCGCCGCGGCGCGGAACACCGTAATGAATACGTAGGACATTGCAGTCTCCTTAATACTGTACCAACAGGCTGCTACGGCCTAGGAATAGCCCTGATGTACAAGCTCTTTAGCACGTTCGATTCGCTGCTTACAATCGTCCAGATTGTATTCCTCCAGATGAGCCATTTTAGATGTAGTTTTAGAGTACTTGCGAGGTGAATTAAGAGACGCATTGTTGTTAAGGCGCATGATTTCCCTATAAAATGGGGGTGCATGCAAAAAGGTGGTCAAGACGGTTAGTTGCTTCTTTCTCTTTTAGCCTTCCTAGGCGATGTAGTAAACACAACAACAAAATAACTTCTGACTAGTATCATAAATCGCTACAAAGTACTCGAAGCTCTTGGGTTTCTAAATCATACCTGTACTTCGCCTACTGCATACATTGATATGCATACAAATTAGTGGTGAGATTGCCGGCCACCCTAGGTGCACGCGTTTCTCTACTGTATACCACTTCCGAGCTCGGAGCCGAGGTCGGCTATACACGCGGGTATTCTCCACCTATGATCTATTGGGCTACAGAATCCATGACGCCAGGATCCGAATGAATGATGGAGATTGACCCTCCTGTCTATCACTTGGACAATCTCGACAACGGGACAATCTCGACGACGACACAATCGGACCAGTGCTGATCTTGGCACCCAATCCACATTACTCCACATCGTCTTTATACCATTCACCAATCAAACCACACTCTCGCTCTCAAAATGGCAACCGACGCATGCTCCAAGCTTGCTCCCGTCGTCTCGGACTATACTCCCCAGGGAACGTGGGACACAGTTGCTGGCTTGAAGACCTGTATGTCGTGTCACAGCTCTTGCGTTACCCTAAATCTCTCAGACATTCACAATATCCATTCACTCCCCTTCACTTCATCGCACCAACACTCAAAAACCAAATGAGTACATACTCACATAATGCAAGACACAACCGGCCCACCAAACCCCACCCGGGCCATAATCGACATCTACGACATCTTCGGCGCCGCGCCGCAAACCCTCCAAGGTGCAGACCGTCTCTCCTCTGCGCTCAACTGCCTGGTTCTCGTCCCGGACTTCTTCAACGGCACGCCTTGCAACCCGGCGTGGGTGCCCCCCGACACGGACGAGAAGAAGGCCGCTTTGGGGCAGTGGCGTGCCGAGCGGGCGGACGCCGAAGCCAATCTAGCCAAGGTGCTCGAGGTACGCAAGGAGGCGGGTGAGAAGTGGAAGAGTGTAGGTGAGAGGTGGGGCGTTTTTGGGCTTTGTTGGGGAGGGAAGTTGAGTGTCCTTGTTTGTGGGGAGGGGAATGAGGGAGAGGGGAGGATATTTGTGGTTGGGGGAACGGCACATCCTAGGTGAGTACAGAAGTTCTGGAGAGGTTCCTATGAGACTGACTGCGTGTATCTAGTCGCGTCGATGCTCGGGATGCTGAGGCGCTGACGGTACCTTATATCTGCTTGGCTTCCCCTGGTGAGCCGGTGGATGTCATTGCGCAATATAAAGAAATACTGTCTAAGCCTGGTAAGATTGGTCATGTTGAAACCTACGAGACTATGTTCCACGGGTGGATGGGAGCAAGATCCAAATTGGACGATGAGAAGAACAGAAGCGAGTATGAAAGAGGGTACAAACAGATTGCGGAGTTCCTCTCGAAGTATCTGTGAGTTTGGCCTGAACTTGATCAGCATACTCGGAAATCTTTACAAGTATAAGTATTGCTGACATCTGTATTTTGTCTCTTTACTCATGAATCAGTCGAAAGTACATTGTGCTTAATTAATGACCAAATCAAGCTGCGTCTCAGGACTGCCATGGTCTTGGACCTTCTTAGACCGTGTGAACATGAAAATACAAGTCGTACTGAAACTTACTGGGGCCTGGTGTGAATCTGGCTATATGAACTCCGAGTCTACTTGCCGTAATAGGCCAAGAACCCTCATATCACCTAGACTGACTGTGCCTTGTCGGGCACAAGCAACGAAAACGCAATGATAACACCCATCTTCTCCACAGCCTATCAGAGACATGGAACAGGATGCCCTACTCGGGAACGTTTACCTCTCCAATAATATCCTCAAGCACCTTGGGAAGGAAATACGCTGAGTCTCCCTGAAAGAAGAAATCGTTCCCACCCAAACCCGCACGAGCACTCACGTCAGGGTTGAACACTGCGACCACAGCCCCCCGCGCCTTCGCCATCTGAGTGTAACCCGCAGCAGGATAGACCGCAGCCGCAGTTCCAATGACGAGCATAACATCGATCTTACCCTCTTCGACCCAATCGTCAACCTCCTCCAGCATGCCATCCGGTAAGTTTTCGCCGAACCAGACGACACCGGGCCGCAAGGGCGATGCTTTGCCCTCCTCCTTGCAATTCGGGCATTGCGGTAGATCTGATAACTTGATTTTGGGCGTGGGGATGGTCGGGTCGAGGAGAGGCATCGTCTGGTCAGGCGGGTAGTCCTCGGCGGCGGGCGCGAGGGCCGGGCAGAGGGGATCGCGGAGAACGTTGGGTTCAATGTAGCCGCATTGGTTGAAGCATTTCAGGTCGAACAAGTTGCCGTGAAGGAGCCGGAGAGACCTAGTGGGGTGACTGGCACGTGGTGATAAGCCTGGTGGATTCATCGTCAGTCTGATAATCGCACATGTTCGAGCATATGCTCACCGTCAACATTCTGCGACAAGCACAAGAAGTGCTCCTTCTTCTTGGCCAACTCTGCAAGGGCATAGTGTGCTTTATTCGGCTTCGCCTTAAGGGCCATATGCCGTCGCCAGGCATAGAACAGCCAAACCAGTCCCGGATCAATCGCGAATGCCTCCGGGGTCGCCAATGACGTCGGTTCGTGGTTGCGCCAAAGGCCGCCCGCTCCTCGAAATGTGGGTAGGCCCGACGCGGCCGATAGCCCTGCGCCGCAGAGGGCTAAAATCCGCGTCGAGCCGTTGATGAGCTGCTTGAACTCGTTCACGTCCGTCCTAGGCATCTTTGTCTTGCTTACCGTCGATTGGGGAAGACGCGCCTGGATGTTGCTGATGGTGATGCGGGGATGTAGTGATGCGGCAAGGATGAGGATGCAAGATCAACCTGGGGAGCTGCATGTGGGCCAAGGGGGGGGGGACATGACGACCGGAGTCAGTCATGAGTGGAAGGGAAGCTTCTGCATTGGATCGGCCTGCTCAGAGGTAGAGGTAGAAGCTGATTGAACAATTCAAAGAAACCGCGGTTTACCGCTCGCCGCGGCACCGCTGAGTTGCACTGACCTGGTTGACATCCTTGCTGAGGTTGCGGGGACTTAAGGCGAAATGCTTTCAGCCCCCTTCCTGCCGTGTCTAGACTGCAGACATGACTTATAAGTCACAGCTTGGTTGAAAGATAAGCCGTTTTCTGGGGATCTAAAATTTCAAATTCCTGTAGTTGTAGGTTGGAGTTGGGTATATGCCGGTTAGGGCGAGGTAAATGTACACCTTAACTTATGGTAATGACCCGAACCCTACCCTAACCCCGAGCCAGGTTGATGTTCACTCCCAGCCCGTCGTGCAGTATAGTGCAGGACTCCACGCTCGTCCAACATTTATCAAAAGATCCAAGGGGTTACCGCTTATAGAGGATCGTAAGTCCAGTCCACATTGAGCACGAAACATATTCCAGCTATTAGCATTCAACTATGATACGTGACCCCATGGGGGTTACCCTGTAGCTATAGATAAGATAGATAAGAGCTATAAAAGAGCTCTGCCAGGCCAGAATAGCTGACCTGGCCATCCTTTCCCAATACAACAATTCACACCCCATATGCACTCGCATCAAACTATCCCGCAGAGAAGGTCTGGGATCGCTCTGGAATTTGTATTTTTAGTCAACTTAAGCGTGGAAATTCTTAATTTTGGCCTGTTCTACTTTAAAACTACTCGTACCTATTGGCTCGAATCTACCAACAGACGTCTCTAGAGACGGCCTATTTAAAGAGGCAATCCAGTTGGTGCCGCGGCTAGGAAAAACAAGCTAGCAGATCTCTTAAGATACGGTAAGCAGAATGATTAAAATCTAGGAAGGGTTAACGTAGTCCACGGTCCAATTGCACACTTCGGCAGATTTTCGTACGCTACCACTTTGACCTGCCGTTTTTCACCACATAACTATGGTTGGTTCTTGGAATGAAAGTGATATGATTCTAGCATTACATGCGCTTCAATCTGATCCAAAATTAAGTGTACGTCACGCTGGTCAGATCTATAACGTACCTTTTAGAACCCTTGCGTATCGACGCGACGGTAAAACCGCTCGAGCGATTACGCGATCGCCAACGCAAAAGTTGACTCCTTCCGAAGAAGAGGCAATCGTACGACATATAACCGACCTAGATTCGCGAGTATTTCCTCCCCGATTGAGTAGTGTTGAAGATATGGCCAACCGATTACTTCGAAGTCGCGACGCGGGACGCGTCGGCGTCAACTGGGCCTCGAGCTTCGTAAGACGACAACCAGACCTCCGGACGCGTTTAAATCGAAGGATCGACTATCAGAGAGTCCTCTGCGAAGACCCCGATGCGTATCGCGCGTGGTTTTACCTGGTACGGAATACAATTGCGAAATACGCGATCCAGGAGGAGGATATCTACAACTTCGACGAGACCGGTTTTGTGATGGGCCAAATCTCGTCCGAAATGGTCGTGACGACTTCTGATCGGCGCGGAAGGCCTAGAGCAGCCCAGCAAGGAAATCGGGAATGGGTTACAGTTATTCAAGGCGTTGGGTCGTCCGGTTATGCCCTCCCTCCGTACATCATTTTCGCCGGCAAAACCCACCTCTCGTCATGGTACGAAAACAGCCCATTACCGCCTGATTGGGTTATCGCAGTTACTAAAAATGGCTGGACTACGAACGAGAGAGGCGAAGATTGGATAAAACACTTCGATCATCACACTAAGTCTCGTACGAAAGGTGCTCATCGCCTATTGATCCTCAACGGTTACGAGAGCCATCACTCGACCGATTTCGAGGTATATTGCAAAGCTAACAATATCGTCACGCTTTGTATGCCTCCTCATTCGTCGCATAAGCTCCAGCCTCTTGATATTGGTTATTTTCGCGGGTTAAAAAGAGCGTACGGAAAAGAAATCGAAGATCTCATGCGAGCACATATAAGTCATATCTCGAAAGAAGACTTTTTACCGGCGTTTTTAAACGCGTACAACGCAACTTTCACGGTTTCAAATATCCAAGGAGGTTTCCGAGGGGTAGGAATAGTTCCGTACGATGCAGATTATGTCATATCACAGCTCGATGTGAAATTACATACGCCAACACCTCCGGGTAGCTCGGCTGGTCTCCCCGTCCCTTGGGAATCAAAGACTCCGAACAACCCAACCGAAGCCCAATCACAAAGCGATTATGTGAAAAATAGGATTGTACGACATCAAAATAGCTCACCAAGGTCAATTTTTGCTGGAATAGATCAGATTGTGCGAGGTACAACGAAGGTTATGCATCGGCTTGCCCTTTTAGAAGGCGAGGTCGAATCACTTCGAAAGGCAAATGAGACCTTAAGTCGACGTCGCCGTGCGAAGAAAAAACAGCTACAGAGTGGAGGGTCACTTCGTATACAAGCTGGACAGGACCTACAGTCTCAACGAGAGGTTGATGGGCAGTTACATGACGAATTTCGTCAAATTGGTGGTCGTACGAGGCGGCGAATTGCGCGTGTACGGCGCTGTAGAATCTGCGGCGAGCCCGGACATAATGCGCGCACTTGTGAAAATGATGTAGAGACGTCTGAAGATAACCATTCTGAGTAGTTTCAATTGATGATAGGCGTTGTGGTTGAATTAACTTATACATTGTCGTATAAGGTCTGCCAAAGTGTGCAATTGGACCGTGGACTACGTTACATACATAGCAAACAGTTCAATTATGTTTAGTGCAAGATCGATCCCCTGATAATGCGGTGCACAACTATAGCTCGTCGTTTGGGATATTATAGTTTTATGTAAAACCGTGTTCCGTGCTGTACGGACTATGTTTTATCTAAATCAGCACAGCAGACCCCACCATGTATATGGCAAAGGTATTGGTAAACTCCTTGGTATCAACTATGTGTCTATGGGACCAATACCGGACGCTACACCAGCATTGGCGATGGCCACATCAATGTGCGTAACGCCGGTGGTGGTAATGGTATTGACAGCGTCGGCTGGATCTATCCATGATGGGTTGTTGATTTCCACCAGGGTAGGTTTTGAACCAGACGCTTGAGGGATGGACTTCCGGGATCTTGACAGCGTTGTCACTCGTGTTATGAACGCCCCGAATGACAATATGATTCGGGCGGGAGAGGTAAAATCGCACCAAAGCTTTTCCAATGCCTGGCAACATTTAATCTTGGGTTTATGTTGTGATTCAGGGCATAATAACTCAATTCTGGCGACACCAGTGATGAGCACTGAGATAGAAACAGTTATGTTTTCTGCTTGTTTGCTTGAAAGTTGTATGGGTTATGTGAAAATGTTTACTAGTCTGCCGGTTGAGAACGGACAAGAGATAAGCTTAGGTGAAGTATAAAGTATCCATTTTTCAAGCCGTATCGATACTCTCTGAGTACACCTTTTCCAAATATATAATCTTTCTATCAGATCCTCTGGGACGTGGTTGCATGCTTACTTAGTTCAAGTAAGCATGCATCACCTGAAGCTCTGCTCACTGATGAATCTTACACTGCTTCGGTTCTTCTACATTGGTTGATGAATTCTCCGTAACCATGATGTTTCGGACGATACTAGTCGTGTATGATGAGAATTGCTTGAAGAGGTGGTAGCCTAGTTCTGGATATTCGACTACAGCTTAAAGCATATTTCCCATATAATCCCACCATCCCTGTTGTTTAATGTTTATTTACGGAGACTTCCTTGGTATTATCTTAAGAGACTAAAGATCATGCCCAGGTGGGTTCTATGGTTGGTAATACTGCGTACAACAACCTGACATCCTGGTAAACCTCAACGGTTACTAGTCTGGCTTACAAAAATGATAGTGTAGATGTTTCTATCATGAGATTAATACTATTGGATTGGATAGCATAAATATTATTATTATTATTAAATACGCCGTAGGCTCGAAGCCCCCGGTACCTCTACTAGTACTCCCGTATGTCAAACCGTGCCCTAATGGCTGGACTAAATACATTCGCTGCGTCGTCGGTTCGCCCTATTGGCGACTGCGTTACGTCCACTACCATACTACGTTGGTTCTCAACCTACCAACAAAGTCCCCCCTGAGAAGATCGATGCTATCTGGGCCTTGAAGCTGTCCGACCCGTCCCTAGCAGCCACCTTACAATAGTCCCACTAACTACTGGTTCTCCTGTTGCCGTTGCGAGGTCTCTGCGAGAGTATAGTGGCCGTGGTGCGATAGCGGCCCGTAATCGTTCCCTCGGTCCTTCCAACAGCCCGCAAAAGAGGATTACGTGCTCTGCCGTCTCAGGGGCATCGCCACAGCGGCATAGCGGCGAGTACACGCCAAAAGCCCCTGTCTTGAATAAGAAGGCTGCTAGTCCTATTTTTTCCGTCCTGATCTGGCACAGCGTAGACGCCTCCAGTCGGTTCAGGCCGAAATACTTGCCCCCTTTCGGTATCTGCATCGAAGGGCCCTCCGGTTCCTCAGCGATAGCGCGTCGCTGGCGATCGTGATGCTCTGCTCCGGTGAGCCATCTCTTCCTCCAGTGGCCGAGGAGGGCAGCCGGGACCTCCTTTTCCTCACTCATCCACTCGGAGCCCCGGGCCTCCTTCTCCATAGTGTACCCTGCCGGTCGGAGTAGCTGCGACGCCTGCTTCCTCTTCGCCGGCCTATCCTGCCGGAGTATATGTGACGCTTTAGCGCTCGCGCTGCGAAGCAGATTTCTCTTCCCGCTAAGCCGTAGCCGTTCTTCAAACTTAGCAGCCCGGGCACTAAGATAGAGGTCTAGTGGCGGGATTGCTGCTTCTGCTTCCAGGTGGCGAACCGGCGTCGCTTTGTGGGCGCCACAGACTACCCGGAGGCACTCGTTCTGTATCCCCATCAGGCTCTTAGCTGGCCCTGTCGGTTCCTCACTTATAGTATGCCACGCAGTCGCCCCGAAGGCGATCGCGCTACGGATAACCACCGTATATAACAGCCTCGCCCGTATAAGATCGCAGCCCCACGACATATTGACTAGCTTTGTCAGGGCTAGCTTTTGAGTTGCCATTTTTGTTTTAACACGCTCAACATGGGCGTGCCACGTCAGTTTGCGGTCGAACCAGCATAAATATATCATAGTCTTTTTCAAACCCTATAATACACATAATATTGTGTGGGCAATAGAGGCAAGCACGCAACATATTGTTTGGTTCTGAGATGAGAACTTGGTCATTGCCGATTTGACAATCCCATGCCTCTTTTCTCTTAATTCACACTTCTGTCACCCCAAGCTATATATTTGACCGTTCACCAATACATGAGATGAAGGAATAATCCATTGGTTAGAGGTGTTTTCCGCCTAGGGGCTTGGGTTGCCGCTCGTGAGATTATCCAATAAGATACTCATGGAAATTGCCATGCATCTGTATTCTCAAGAAGGATATCAAGGATGGAGATTGCCAATCTATGTGGTGGGCTTGCAAGAATGGCCACATAGCAACGATCGACAATGTCTTGCTTTATGGTGATGTGTACCGTATTTCGACCCCGACTACTTCGAGGGGAGCCGCGGCAGTGGGGTTAAATGAGCCTCATGGAGGAAACATTCAGTTGCAATGGCATGGGGAGAAAACAGTACGCAATTAATGGTAGCCATTCGCGGGCATCTAGTGACCAAACTCAAAGCTCAAGTCAATCAGCCTGATAGAACACTGTGGACGACGGGGTGCTCCTTACTCCACACTACAATACCTGGTGTCCGATAACCTGGGCCTGTGACCACACGAAACAGCGCATCGATCATCCCGCTGCACCACCACCTCGGATTCTCGAACCCTTCTGGGCTCTGAAGCAGATCCTGATTAATTGCTCGTCGTGGATGTGAACAATCCTAACTTCTATTTAGCACTTCTCCGCAGTTTTTCCAGGCACTGGAGTTCGGGGCGTCCCCAGACACTGTCCGCATGCTTCTTCAACGAGGTACTGACGTACATATAGCTCGACGTATAAGTAGAATCAATCCTATGGCCATGAGTACGTATGCGGAGGCAGCTACATCAAGATGCTGCTGTATATGGAATAATGTTGGCTCTTCTGTTACGCCGGTTAAGTTCTGAATACTGTGTCATCATGAGCCACCAGGTCCATGCTTCAAGACCGTTGGCCTTTATACCGATGTGTGAATGAATCTTTTGCGCTTACAAAGCCGCCGTACTGCAGAGTTTCTTAAGCAAGGGCTTGAATGGCGACGTGTTGTACTCTAGAGGCGGCCCGGATGGAATAGACCCTCTGCACTATATTGTATTTGGAAGGCAACGGGGAACAGAATATCAGGTACCATGGGGAGCAAACTTAGAGAATGAGACCACATTTTGACCCATACAAGCCAGCTTGGACATGCTGCGAACATTTCTTGAGGCTGGAGCTGCCAACGGTGATTGGGATCTGATCGTGGAGCTGATGAAGACACTGTCATGTGAGAAGGCTGACTGCGTGACTGAAGCTATGTCTTTGGCCCACAAATACGACTCAAAATGAGATCACTACGATGAGGGTACTGGAGAAAATGCCTTGGAGAGGGCCTTGTACGGGGCAGGCAGACTTTGGTCAATTCTGCCAGTGCTTCGTGAGACCCGCAATCCCATCCATCAGAACTACCATGGCCAAACCGCTCTTCACGTCGCCCTTTGGATGTGTACAAGACCGAGAGACAATATAAAAGCCGTCTTGATGCTTCTTGGGCTAGAACCAATGTCAGCATGAAGGATCACAGGGGCAGACTGCAGAGGATGCTACAAGGCATCAGGGTTATCACAACGTTGCGGATATACTTAAGGACGCAACGGAGCAAGGGCGACATGAATGCAACGGCCAGTGAGAGAATAAAACAATACACACTCCGGCAATAAGTGGGGAGCTTTCCCCAATATTTGACACTGGGGCCGGGTCTACCATTGTGATAATTCAGTTAGTCACGCCTCTTGGCCCCGCTGCTGAAATGCACCGAAGCCGCACACTTCAATATACCCGCTGACCCACTAAGACATCCGATTTTTGCACCGTACAGCACATCAGTTGGTGCAAACGAAAGTGGTGTTGGTACATGGAGAAAAATGCGTTCCCCATTCCTGGACTGTTGGTTGTGATGTTGGTTCGCGTAAACGGTAAAGCCGCTCGATGGTGTCAGGGTACGGCTAGGCCGAAGGCAATAGTACAGAGTGATGGGGAGTAACGGGCGTCCCTCCTACGTAGCACCGGGTGGTCACTGGCGGTCTCAGGTAGGGGTGCCCACGGTGATGCATTGATCTCTGCTCCTTCCCTATCCTACTTCGAGATGGTCCTTATATAGATAGCTAGGCCGCCGCTTGGACCCGGCATAACAGCAGGGTCGGCGATGCCAAGGATCTTGACTCTCGTCATCCCAAAGCTTCACATAGATTGTAATCATGACTCGGGAGTCTTTTGTCCGAAACACCCCTCCGGCGCCCCACTGGTGCCTATGGCATTCTGTTCTCTGACAGATGGCCAGATGCGGCGAACATGGTGAGGTTGGTTGGATATCAAGTCGGACACTGATGGCGCCGTCTGAGGCATCGCCATAACATTAGTACTGCCATTAAAAATCATTTAATCTCTTGTCCTATCATATTCCATTCTCTCCACGTTTATTGCATTTCGTTGGCCATCGTTAGGTTCCTTCACAGTATCGGTGGTTCTCAAGCAGGCGAATTCACCTCCCCACATTCATTGACATCACAGGGTTTTGGCTGCTGAGGACGAACGAATGGTCAGTTTCTACCTTGTTTTGATCAGGGTTTCAAGTAATCATACACGCCAGTTTGTGTTGGCTATACAGACAAGAGGGTTGTATTGGTGATGATGGTTGGACTCAGTCCCAAAGGCTGCAACTACGGAAGGGCTATTTATGGGCAATTGCCCTAAGCGCTGCAACTAGCACACAGGCGGGGTGCATGGGGCACGCAACAGTGTGTATAATTTACCTCAGGGGTTCACTGTTCACCCGTACTAAGTGGCTGTGGGCACAACGGGGCCTTGTTGAGTGCATCTACAACTTCATGTACTTCTACTTGATTAATTTACTGCTACTGTCCAGGAAGCTAAAAACATCAAAGCCGGTACCTACGAGAATAGGAAGGGAAGCCTTGAGGGGCGGAAACCTGAGATTCTATCGAGCGTTTTCAAGATCAGCCCAGGTGACGAGATCGGTTGTCTTAGATGATTCTTTCTCCCAACAAAGGCGTTTGACTGGACCCAAAGAAGTTAATGAGCATACGAGGACTTCCTTGATAGCCTCACATACATCGACCAAGAGAGATGATGAAAACTTGACACTCGATACGATGTCTATCATATATATTACTACGTTGATGACGGAGGGAGACACCCGGTGTATGTATCAACGTAACCTGCTGTGTCCGTACCAATAACCTCTCGGAGCGAAGAGCTTGGTATTCTTATGGATTCCCGAGACCCTTGTGTTAAGGATGTGATTTTGAGCGGTTGCGATGAGTTGCCAGCACTCAAAACAACCACGGACAAGCATAGTGTCACCGAGGCTGAAATTGGTTGGAGTATAGTTTCCCATCGAACAACGAGGGCTACCCCACGTGGCAATATACCAACGCCGCCAAGCCGTCATCGGCAGAAAACGGTGGTATTCAAGTCATCTCCGGAAGTGAAATACTACGAATACTGTCATAATACCCAGCCGTGGTGGAACTTCTCCAGAGCAGGACCGAGACGGGGAAGTTGTTGACGTCGAGAATGCCAGTATTGGAGATGTGCCCATATAGGCGGTCGGCCTCAACGACATTGCCTGCGACGAAGTAAACGGCAAGAAGTCTTTGGCGGATAAGGAAAGCCCTATCAGGCTGGTTCAGAGAATGGCGATGAGGGGTTGGATGTCAGTGGCGGTTAGATGGCTCAGGGAGCAACGGCGCTAGCAAAGTTGTCTATGGGGGAGACAGACATCAATCTGGTTGTTCCTGAGAAGGCAAGTGACGATAAAGCTGGGGAGGATGAGACGAGGCTGCATGTGGCAAAGTTTCAGGGGCTAGGTATCGTAAATATCAAAGATGACTCTCTGGGGGCCGTGAATCGAGGACTGCTTCGAGGAACGAACTGCATCTACTTTCAAGTAGTTATACACTCTACTTTTCATGAAGTGGAGCCAAAGTGTTGGCCTGCACCTAATGCCATGTGATACATGCGTCACGTCCAGGAGTCCTCGAGTCCTGAAGACTCCTGGACGTGGCCTGGGATTGGGGTCCACACAGCAGCCCAAGGCAACAAATGCAATTGCAGGAGAGGGCGCAATACCAACAAAGGTATGGTGCGTATCTGGGGGCTCAAATAAGACTTGAGTATGGTAATTCGATGGCCCTCGCCCAAGAGCCGCAACATGGCGAAGATTGAAAAGGACCACCTTCGATGGGATAATACATCCACATAACAACCATTTCATATTTATACATTGTGTATCGAATCATACACGGAGAATGGGGGATATCATATCGTATCTCATTAGCATTGCGCCGTAATTTCAAGATATGCTGAGAAGAGAATGATCATGCCACACCAAACGCGGCCAGCCTCTTCGTTTTCCATCCTTGCTATCGCCAATGATTCCCTGCGTTCCTCAAAATTCTAAACCCCGTTTGGCGTAAATTCTTCTGCACGACATCGTCGTCTGGTCTTTAGAATTCACCTTCACCACCACCTCCGACAACACCCGCCGTCCACAGCCCTACTAGACCCCACCAGCTGACCTTCCACCCTCTCCAGAGTCCTTCAACACCTTGACCTCTCCTGTACACTAGCTCGGCAGTCTTGGCATGTTTGGCCTTCTTGGCCTTCGACCGAGTCTTAGATGCCACCGGGATAGCGTGAGACCCTTCCTCGGCCACAATACTGTACATGGTGCCCACGACCCCCCGGTAGGCACCTGGCTGCACAATCAAGTCTGTCCGTTCAATTTCGAGTGCTTGTGCATGCGTAGACTCGGTCAAGACAGCTGCCTGACCTCGGCGAAGAACTGTCTCGAGCGGGAACTTGGCGAACAGGGAGACGCACGACGTACAGAACTTGGCAACGGAGAAGGTAGTCGGCGAGAGTTCGCGATCGATGAGGAATTGAGATCGAAGGACCAGGGGAGTGGAGAGGGTGAGAATGGGGTGGATTAGCGAGTGGAGGATCGTTGGTGCAATGAGGGAAGATGGGCAGATCCACGAGGGCAGAGAACGAAGAGACTGTATGGTCCTTCGCTGGCCACGGTTGATGGATGTGAGGATTAAGCGAGTTCGCACGAGATCGAGCGGTGCGAGGATGAGGCCCGTGGCAACGGCTGCTGTAGCTGCAACGCATAGCGATGCCCACGGGTAGGGAGAGGCAATGTCAACCAGCCGGTCAACATCGTCTTTGACGCCCAAATCTGGGACGTTCAGGAGAGCACTCAAGAGGCTGCGCGACCAGTTTTCGAAGAGTGACTGGAGCACAGTGTAGAGGAAGGTTGCATTGGACCCCTTCCAGACGCCCCACGCAGATTCCTTCGCCCATAATTGTGATAGCACATCGAGTATCGAGTCCGGTCGGCGCAGATTGAGCTGGTGCTCGCCTATGTCTACGGGTTTTTTGGGGACTTTGGGTGATTGGACGGGAGAAGGTACATGCTGTCTTTGGTTGCGAGTCGAGGGTGTAGGTGTAATATACGGCGCATTGGTGGAGAAGTACGATTGCTCGTCGTCAGAGTCAGATTCAGCGTACTGCATGTCTTATATCAGCACAAATAACCACTAGACTAGACGAACGAACCGGGGAATCCTACCTGGTGATATATTGGCTCCTTTGGACTGGCAATTTTCGGTATCACTTCCTCCGCCTCCACAGATGCCAGCCCTCCTAGATCGTCCTGTGTCCTTGCCTGCAGCACTGTCTTGGCCACCTCGAAGGGCTGGGCCATGAGCACACTGGTGTACTTCCATAGCAGCTCATCGACAAGCTCCTTGATACTCTGGATCGTGGATGGCGATGGGTCGTTGATGTAGTCTTTGTAGTCCAGATCAGGAAAGATGTCACGCGCCTTGGATGCATATTTGCTGCTGCTCGTCGCATTCGCATGTGATGTGAATGGATTTGATTGTGCCGGCAAACTATCGGCTGGATCGCCTATCGTAGGTGGCTTGTAGTACGGACGCAAAGGATTCACGCCTTCTCGTGTGGACGCCATATTGATGTTCTGTATTGTTGTTGTGTGGTCATTCTCTACCTTGATAGGCGGTGGCTGGAGAGACGCTTGCTGAAAAGACGCTTGCTTGAAAGTGCTCACTGCTTAGGCTGCATTATTTTGCATGACGAAAATCAAGCCAATATCCATGCAAGCGCCGCCAAAAGTTCTCGGCGATAAGAAACTGTTCAAAATTTCGGAAGTCACGGACTGAAGTCTACAAACCCCGACTTGACCGACTTTCTCCACCACCTGTATCGGAGCAGCAAAGCACCATCCAATAGGAAGTCTTCGAATTTTCTTGTCAAAGATCCAACCGCTTTTCGCATCGCATCGCATTGCCGCCCATGCCAGTGAATCCAAAATAACCTTGTCTAAGCCTTCTGTTGTTTGTTCGAGCAATGCCACAGTAACATTGCAAACACCAGGCAGTTTGTTATTGGAGCCTGATTCACTGAATTTGCCTCGTTTTCTCCGTATACTTAAGCTCGGCTTGGAGCTTCCTTACCACCCTCTACTTAGTGACCCTCTGCGGGTCAGCTTTGAATCCAAAATTTCTGTAATGGCAGCAACACCACGAAGCCTCTCTCGGAGCCTGCAGAAGCTCGCTTCGACGCCGCGTTCATCCCTTTTGACCCAATTCAGCAATGCATATCGAACAATATCAACACAGTCCCAGGCAGTCCGATCAATACCGTTGGGTCCTCGGATATTTGCGTCCCCAAGGCGCACCTTCACATCGACACCCACCCGATCCCATGGCCACATAACACCGCCGAAGCCAGGCGAGGAGTACGTCTCGTGTTGCCCCTGCTGCGTCCAACCAGCTGCTAACTCTAAGCCAGGCTATGGGTAACGTTTATCGACAAGGAGAACCGCGAACATAAAATCGCCGTGGCGAAAGGTGACAACCTCCTCGACGTAGCGCAAGCACACGACCTCGAGATGGAAGGAGCCTGCGGCGGCTCCTGCGCATGCAGTACTTGCCATATCGTTGTATTGGAGGAGGATATGTACGAGAAGATGTCCGAGCCGGAGGACGATGAGAACGATATGCTGGACCTTGCGTTTGGTCTGACCGAGACGAGTAGGCTGGGGTGCCAGGTACACATGACGAAGGAACTAGATGGACTGCGGGTGAAGCTGCCCAGCATGACGAGGAATTTGCAGGCGAGCGATTTCGGCTCCAAGTGATGAAATCACGAAAAAGGTGGATGACGAGCGTGGGGGGTTCCCGGGACCTGGAATGGCATTACACATTGGCCACTACCTAGGATGAGGCAACGGGACCGTGTATAACGTAAGTGCTAGAATCTGGCACGTCTGGGTCTCAGATTTGTGTCTGTATTATATCGTGCCAGAGCTTCTGGCCGGAGACCCAACTCCTATCGAAGCCCTGATCTTCGCTGCATCCCGTCTTCCATCCTTTACATCGCTCAAGCTTCCTCCAGTGCGCCTTTCTTGAGATTGCCTCCACCGCTGGCAATGAGATCCAAGAAGCCCTTGCGACTCATCTCGTTGACCTTTTCCTCCCGCCTCTTCACTCCCGTGAACCCCTCCTTTCTTGCCTCGCGTTCTGCCTCTTGGCCTCTGACTTGGGCAGCGCGAATGGCGTTGTACAGCTTGACCACACCTCTCTGAGCCACCTTCCTCAACCTCTTCTCAGTCTCGAGAATCTCTGCCGTACTAGCCTCTTGTTCGCCTGTGGCCTCATTTCGTGTCGCAACCAGGACGTCCTTGACTCTTCCCTTTTCGAGTGCAAGCAACTTCTGCTGCCGCGCCTGTTTCCGCGCTTTGGCTTCGAGGGCCGATTCAGTGACATTTTTCGCAGCTTGATGCGCCTCCGCAGAGCGCGAAAGTACTGGGTCGGAACGACGAGATGTGGACAGCTTGGTGGAAAGGATTTTACTGAGCGACGTCGCGAACGCGTTCGGATCGTTGCGTTTCGACTTGGTGGTGCGCGATGTTGCTCCTGTATCCGAGCCGGATTCTGAGTCTTCGTCCGAGTCGGCGCTCTCGTCAATCTCGTCCTCTAGCTCTATTTCCACGTCCACATCGGAGGCTGAATCATCTTCTTCCGCAGATTTGAGCTGCGCGGGCTTGGGCTTTGCACCTATGGGCTTGCGCTTCTTGAGGTTTTGGCGGCCTGATGTTTCGTCATCTGAATCAGATCCCGAGGCCGAGTCGGAGTTTGATGAGGCGCCGTCATCCACCGCGACGTTTTCAAGGTCTTCATTGTCCGAGTCCAGCAAGTTTACTGGTTTGAACTCGGGATTCGCGTCTTCGTCCGAGTCGTCGCTGTTGTACGCACGAAGTTGTTGTTTCCGTTGTTTTTTACTCGGTCTTTGCGGTTTCGATTTCGACTTGGATACCAGGTCCTGATGAGGACGCTTCCTGGAAGTTGTGCCGGCCATTTTCTCGGTTCGCGGCTGCGGATGTGGTGGTGACTTTCATAGATGTTTGCGGTTTGGCAACTTGAGAACATCAAAAGCGTTCAAGCCATACGATTTCGAAATTTTTGGACAATCGCGGTCGAGGGGCCCGATTAAGTCAATCTTATCGCCTCATTCCCGTTGGCCAATCGTATGCCGAAGTGGGCCGACCGCTTGCACTTTACTGCGAGTAGTCAGATGACGGTCAGTCCGTGAACTGCGACTTGATCATTCAAGACAGGACTGGATCCATGTCATGAACGCATCTAAATGTCTTGACGATACTCACTTTGACGGCAAACAGCCAACCCTTCTCGCTCAGTCTCCCATTCCCATGTCCTCTTCGACTCATATTAGTAGTGAGCGAGCTCTCTTAATTTTGTGCCACCGACAGCCAACATGTATCGCCGATTGGCAAGCTCCACATGCAGGACATTGAAGTTTCCGAACCAGCTCGGATTCCGCCCAATTCAAGGTCAGGTACTGAGCGCTGGGAAGAAAAGTAATGCAGATTCTCAGCGCCAAAGAGACCCAACTTTCTCATCAGCGCCATGTCGTCAGTATAGCGCACCCGCCAATCCTATTGAGTGGCTCAGGGAGAGAACGAGGTTAGCAGGCGTCCCGGCGCAAAATGCTGCCCCCAAAGTTTACAATGACGAGTTCCGGAGAACCGAGGACACGACTCTATGGGACGTTGAAGGCTCTGGTTCGTCCTTGCTGCTTGACGGCAAAACCGTTAGGCTCAGCCATCCGCATGTTCACAACCTCGTCACCTTGGACCGGCACTGGCTGCGGGATGCCTGCACTTGCGAGTTGTGCGTCGATCCCGACTCCGGTCAGAAGAATTATGGTACCTGCGATGTGCCCCTCGAGCTTCCTATTCAAAACTGTCGGAAAACGGCCGAGGGAGAGCTCGAGGTCGTTTGGCAAAACGACTTTCTCTCTCGGCAAGGCGAGAATCACGTGTCAAAATATTCAGCCGACTGGATCCAATCCTTCTTCTTTCCAGCACCATATGGAAGCTTCAAGTTGCCCAATCGGATTTTCTGGGATAAGGCGATATTCGAGAAAGATCGTATTACCCTTGATTACAATCACTGGATGGCTAGCGGGCGGGATTTCGTCCAGGGCATGTTGCAACTGCGGACTCACGGCCTTCTCTTCCTGAAAAACGTTCCGGAATCAGAAGAATCGGTCATTCACGTTGCCAACCAGATCGGCAATCTTCAAGAGACGTTGTATGGGCGCACTTGGAACGTGCGATCCAAGCCACAGGCTGAGAACGTAGCGTACACCAATTCCTTCCTTGGTCTTCACCAGGATCTGCTGTACACGGTGGATCCGCCACGCATTCAGATTCTTCACTGTCTGGAAAACACATGCGAAGGCGGGGAATCATTATTCAGCGATGGGCTGCGAGCGGCGCACCTCATGAAGCTTGGACCGGCACATTTCTTTAAGCCCCTCATTCACAAGGTGTTACGGTACGAATACAAGAAGCACAATCACCACTACCAACAGGTCCGTGCAGTGGTTCATCAAAACCTTGAGAAGGTGTACTGGTCGCCACCATTTCAAGCCAGCGACCAGAACCTGCTCAAGACGGGCCAGGGCAGCAAACATTATCGGGCATGGGTGGAGGCCGCGACAAAATTCCGGAAGCTCCTGGAAGATGACCCATGGATGTATGAATACAAGATGAAGCCAGGCGAGTGCGTGTTGTTTGACAACCTGCGCATTCTACACGGTAGGAAGCAGTTCGACACGAGCTCCGGGAGGCGTTGGTTGAAGGGGGCGTATGTCGCCCATGACGTCTACAGCAGCAAGCTGGCGACGTTACTTCCGCGACTCAAAGAGTTGAGTTGGGAGCATGCAAAGACTGGACCAACAGAACAGGCCATGACGCTCGTGGATAAGCACGGCGTCTGGGATTCAGATGCCAAGGGGGAGAGGCCTTGGGGACACGTACCTCAAACGTCAGGGAAGACAGTGACAGATACGTCCTTTTAAGGACAATGCTGTAGGTGTGCTGTAGAAAGAGTGCATATGATCAATGACTGGACGAAAGACGGACGCTTAGCAGTCAGTAATGTAATTACTCACTAATGCGCCTCGCACGAAGGATGCGGCTTGTAAGAAATACGGAAGTTCCTTTTTGAGTCACCAGGGGTCCAGGGCGGACTGCAAGACCTCGATAGTTATCGCCCGCAGCTTCACCTCATAATTACACACTCACTATGTCTATCAGGATATTGTCGAACAGTTGCTGTCAACGTCGCTGGTCCTGCTACGGCAATCTTTCCACTCATCGAGTCTATACCTAATGACGGCGAATCATTCAATCCAGCGCTCAACAGCAATGATGGTGCCCTGGCCTTATTATTACCCCTTAGCCATCTTTGCGAATCATCTCAGCGTAGGCAAAGTGATCAGCCAAGAAGGGCATTATGGGTGAAACGAATTCTCCACAGCGGAGCTCGTATAAGTCCCACCTTCCGTGTACGCAGCCCTGCCAGGCAGGGCTCGGCAACGGCAAATGCAACATCGCCAATTCCGGGCAATGCCGCTGTTTATAAGCTTAAATACAAGTCTTTCCCTTCCCCTGGGACCTTGTTCAACCCGTGCAAACCACCACCCACGTTCATTACCAACTGCAAGACAAAATAAACGGTGCACTCAGGTGCCGTTACAGGTGTACACTGAAATACCAGGCCATCCCTTATTATTACAACCTCGGTGCGCCGTTTATTCCGTCACATTCTTCGTTACTATGTTTACATCCGTCACTCGTTCAGGCCTGGCTTCGCTGCTGCTATCAGCCTCATGTCTTCTGCCGGCCGTCCCTGCGGCAGTTCTGGAGATGCCGATTTGGTTCAAGAACTCCTACGTGAGTAGTATCCAAGTGCCCAATCCCAAAACCGTGACAGCATGGTTCTGACTACCGAAGGCAGGCAATTGTGGAGACTGAGATTGGCACCCCGGGTCAGAAGCACTTCCTCCTCTTCGACACAGGCAGCGCAACAACATGGCTTATGGATGAGACATGCGCCGATTCTACCTGTTATAACTACAGTGGCTTCCCCCGCAGCGGCTACTCCGCCAACGCCTCGTCGACCAGCAGCTCGCTGGGGACCTACACCTCGATCGACTACCTCGGCGGCGCGACAGCCGGCTTTGGCCTAGCGGACGTCTTCTCGCTCCCATCCGCCCCCAATGTCATTTGGGAGCAGACCTTCTTGGCTGCCAACGCGTCTTCTTGGTTTTGGATCCCTTGCGATGGATTTCTGGGCTTGGCTTTCACCACTATTGCCGACGCCAACACGAGCACGTTCGTCGAGACGCTGATGCAGCAGGGCAAAGTCGATGAGCCGCGCTTTGGAATTTACTTTGGGAAGGAATTCAATGACACTGGCTCCGTGGCGGGAGAGGGTGTGCTCACTATTGGCGGCTCTGAAGAGGAGAAGTACGTCGATGGGGACCTGACCTGGATATCGCCGCTGCAGCGGCTGGGGGCGGAGGGAGAGTACCAGCTCTGGCGCAGTGACATGGTCTCCATGCATGGGCTGGAGCTTGGATCCAACGGCAGCGTGGTCAACGATAAAGCCAACTACTTCGCCGGAGACTGGGCCGTCTTCGACACGGGCGCGGGTGGGATCACGGTCCCGCCTAGCCAGATCTATGCCATGTACGAGTCATTCGGGATGAACTGGACTGCGATTCTCAATGGAGATCACATCCCGTTGTGCACTGAGTTCAACTCGTCTTGGGCAGTCTCTTTCCAGTTCGGGTCGAGTGACGCTCCCGCTACGATCACCATGACGGGGGATCAGCTTGCCCGGTCGGGTTTTGCGTATGAGGAGAGGTATTGCTTCCCGCCGTTTGATATTGGCGATGTCGATGGGCTGTTCCTATTTGGCGCGTCGTTCCTGCACCAGTTCTACTCCGTGTTCGATTTCGGCGCGTTCGAGGTGGATGCGTATGAGCCGAGGATCGGGCTTGGGCAACTTAAGGAAGAGTGGAGGCCTAGTGTATAAGCATATTCGGATAGAGATATTGACTGAAGTGCATTCTCAGCACTCAAAACCATGCTCTCTATCTTTACGATACCAGTACATTCCAGGTCAGTCAACATGTTGCATATCACATCTAGCTTCTAGACACCCTCGCCATGTCCTGTAGAGGCACCCGAGCCCCGGCATAATCCTGAAACCTCACCCAATCTAGTTGGTGGTCACCGCCATCTTCTTAATGCTCGCTGCAATCAGAAATTTGCAGCAGACGGGCGCCGCATTCAAAAGCACCAAAGGCCACAAAAATGTATGCTTTGAGGCGCACACTTGCCTCCACCACTGAGTGGCTGGTTGTGCGTTCCGGGCAGCTTGCAAGCATTCAGTAGATATCTGTCGCAGCCCCGTTTTTTCACTATGAAATAGGCCCTCGTCAAAGGAGATGCCGTTTTCCAACTGGGTGCGTACGGTTCTGCCTAATCGCTGAGGACCAACCAAGAATTTCGGCACCACCTGAGGGTGTGATATCAACCAGGTGGGTACGGTAGGGACGTGTTCCCAACCCACAATATCCTTGCTATACTGAGATCTTGTTCAGCGTGAAGTCGCCGTTCATAAGGTCGTGCGTTCGTTATCGCCAGCAGCACGAGGGAAGCCGTTGGGTGGAATTTTTATCAGTTTCTTCATCATATCACAAATTCGTGCAGGTCCTGCTTCTGATTTTCGGTTCTGTACTTGCATAGTATTTTGCAAAGGTGGCCTGTGACTTCAAAAAGGCTCCTAAGCCTCGGGTGTGCAGCCGCATGTTTCCATTTCGAGGTGGAAAAACTGTATACAACATGTGGCAGCTTGGATGTTCCGATTTCCCAATGATGTCCCTGTTTTTCACCTCGGAATATTCTCAACCGGTTGGACTACTACAACTCTCCTAGAAGTAACCACCATTTCATTACACCTACGCGAGTGAAAGCTTACTTTTCTTACAGGAACCACCTGAACTCGGGAACCTTCGGTCCATCTCGCAACTTCCTCGTCGGGATGTCCTTCGCAGTAAGAGAAACACCTTGCTGGCGGTTTCTTCTGTTGTTGTCGAAGATCATGTACATTCCCAAAGATGCGGCAATGAGGCATCCGGTGGCGCCAAAGGCCGCAGTCGTAATGAGAGCGGGAAGATATTTTGGTGCATCCCTCTTCTGGAATACATTACTCGCCACCAACCCCATAAGGTTAGCCAGTGGGACTCCCACGGATGTCAGGGTTAGTCTTTCGCCTTCGTGGGCGACGTTATTGTTGTACCACTATTGGCCGTCGTCAGCAACTCGAACACGCAGAAACAGGCGGTAGTTATGCTTACTGTGCTCAACAGAACAGATGGAGCTGAAGTTCCCCAGCACATCATGAAAGTCGCGAAGTATGCCACTCTAATCTGCGCCTGGACGTCTTGAATGGCGGCGTAGATAATGAAACCTATAAAGGTGAAGGCGAACCCCAGGGAAATAAAGGGGAACCGAATTTTGAAGCCGTCAGACGTAAATGCAAGTATTAGCAGCATCACCGCCCCCTAAAATCATTAGTAATCTGGACTAGTGCAATATGGTGAAGACTCATACGGTGATGTTGGGTGCCACAGTATACAGATTGGTCTTGATGCTACCATATCCCAAACGCTGCACGATTTGTGGCAAGAATAACGAGACTCCCTGCAAGGGAACGCCAAGGCAGATCTCGATAAGCAGAAACCCGTATGTCGAAGGACGCTTGAAAATCTTGAGAGATTCTCGGAGGTCAAATTTCTCGTTGACCACGGAGGAGCTGTCGACTTGGATGCGGTGAAATGCCAGTTTTTTCTCTTCATCATTCAAAAACGTGGCCTCGGCAGCACTCTTCGGTAGATACCAATAAGCAAAAACCGAGAAACTGACGGTGGCAGAACCTTCCTGGGAAAAGCCATGTCAGTGCAGGTTTGCGTCCAGGAGCCAAGAAATGGCTTCGCAAAACCATCCGGCCCCAAGGCTACGATGAAGAGATGCGATCTTTCTCGGGCCGACTTACGATGATGAAAAGCCACCTCCACGGATGATCAACAAGGTGTGATTTAATTTGGAAGACACCAAACGCAAGCAACCCACTGAAAGCGTTGGCGATATTGGATGCGGCGTAGAAAATAGCCAAGCGACGGGCCAGTTCACCACGGCGATAGAATGTGGTTTGGTAGTATATAACCAACGGGAAGAACGCGCTTTCAGATATACCCAAGAACCACCGAAGGGCGAAGACGCCAGAGAAATTGGTTACCGAGGCCATGAGCAGGGTCAGGGACCCGAAACAGAACATCAGGATGGGCAGCACACGAGCCGGACCAAAGCGCTTACCCAGCATAGCCACTGGAGGCGCAAATACGACATAAGGGACGAAGAAAATGCCCACCTGTAAAGTTTCAGGGTTAGTAACACCTTGGCACATCCTGTTTCGTGGGCCGAGAGGACAGGCAGACTGGTCTTCCCGGATTCGACATCCCTCGACTGAGACGCGACAACAAAGAGAAGGAGTTACCTACAATTAAGTTGTATTGTCCATCAGCAAAGTGCAAGTCTACACATTGAAAGTATGTTGTCAGCTGATGTCCTAGGGGCTCCAGAGAACTATCAACCTACCACCCGAGAGACCAGCGGTCTCAGCATTTCCTAAGTTGCCTTTGTCGAGTGCATTGAACAAGTACTAGAAACATTGTCAGCGCCGAAGCTGAGTTTTGCCCCTAGCAGCAAATTTGATCCACGCAGTCGCTTGATTGTCTGTTGAGTCTTTCGACTTTAGAAAATCCTACGGACCATTGCTTACCATGACCGCCAAGACAGGCAACAACCGGAAATCGAATTTGCGACACAGCGCCCTTTCGGTAGCCCTATCGATGACGTGCACTATGTCGTCGGGAAAGATTTCATTGTTGCTTCCCACGTTGACAGCCTTACCGCCCGTGAAAGAATCCTTCCGATTCGAGTCCGAGTCGGCCACGCCCCGCTCCCCGGCTGATTGATTTTCAGCCATGTCAGCGTCGTACGAGATGATTTCCACTGGGCGGCACTCGCGTTCGTCCTGGCAGTGGTGCGGGAAGCAAACGGAGGCGAAGACGGCGATATTATGGTGAAAGAAGATGCTGCAATAGTACTATAGACACGAGATAAGCAGAGCTCCTCATATACACGTCCAGGACAACCATCGGACTTGGACGGAACAGGTGCCAAGCTGCGATCTCACATTTCCAAGGTTCCGTAAATTGGACTCCGTGTTGGCTCCTGCTATCTTCACCGATCATCATTGTTCAACGTGGAGCAAGTGCGGGCAATTTGGGGAAAGCTCGCTGATAAGAGAGAGCCGTCGGGGCCTGCCGGTAAGCAGCGGCCACCCTGGTTGCTTGTCTTAGTCTCACGGCCTGCACTTACCGATGCGTGGTACCCTGTGACTGATAACACCAGTAGTCGATATTATATAACTAACACACACATGAAAGTGCACGTACATACCTTCCCGAGACCGATAAAGCGATGTGTTTGCCCAAATGCATACTTGTTCGACTATCGCATGAAATAAACCATGATGATAGATTTAGGCCTCTTTTAACTTTCCAATTAGTAGCACCCCAAACCGGCTGACGAGGTAACACTGCGGCGTCTGGGGGTGCTCGCGGTTGGGATTGTGCCAAACACCTGTCAAATTGCAGTCGCCGCGTGGTATATCCCACCTGCCGAACTCGTGTATTCCTTCCCGTTATGCAACCCTTTGATGTCTGCTCATGAGACCACCCATCTAAGAGGATGCACCAATATATCAATTGATGTATATCGGGGATGATGGTATCTGTCCAAAATAGGAAATCATAAATCTGAAGCCAACCCCCCAAACGCATACACCACCCCCATCGTGGCTGGAAAGACGGCTGTTATCACGGATAAGGCCCCTAAGCAGATTGCAGGCGTCTACAGCCATAAAAGCCAACGACTTCGTCCTCGTCTCTGGAGCGGTCCTGGTCGACCCAATTACTAGGAAGGTTATTGATGGTAATATCTAGGTACACACTGTGAGTTTCCTATCTCGATTAACTCTCTCACAACCAACATGGTCAACTTTAAGGTGCCTTCAACAGACATCGACTCAGTGGCAATGTACGACCAACCAAAACAGCACCAATGTATGTCAACGGTTACCATTCACGTAAGTCGACATGTCGGCCATGGTGATAAGTTTAGCCAGTCAGTACTGCAGAAGTGAATAATTTCGCGAAAATGGTACGTATTCAAGTCGCATAAGATATACATGTTCAGCTGTTGAACTACGGCTTGATCCATCACCCCGAATTGCCTCGGCATATCTCGCTTCCGATGCGATATGGTCCATGAGTGATAAAGACTCGAGAACATAAGTATCAAGGGGTAAGAAATAGGAATTATAAAGTTTTCCGACAACGCGTGTAGATCCATGATAGGCAATAAATGATATTTGAAATTTTCCGTCGACATCAGCTTCTGTGCTATAGAGAATGAATCCCATTAATCATCAACAAATGAATCCGATATCAATGGTTATGAAATGTTTGTCAGTCCTCCTGCAATTACACATCGATCGATTCTCATATCACAACCTCCCTTACCAACCCTGTGGATATACGGTGCTGAGAAGGATGTCAGTGATGTTCATCAGTACCTTCGCTCCCGCATTTAGAACACCGTTCATGCCAATAAATGGATGGGTTTGACTCTCCCTGCCGTCCAGATGAACCTTGCCAGCAGTCAACTTCAGTTTCTCTCCGAACTGACCGCTCTTGGTAGTACGCCTGAATTGCACCTTCCAGTATCTCGACAATACCTACTTTACGCAGGTGTCGCTTGATCCACGTTACTGGCAGTTCTCATGGACTTTATAAAATACACGTGTCCATATTCAATTTCAGGCAGGAGCCTCCAACGGCCTGCCTACCTTAGCCAAGTTTCTGTGCCTGATGCGAAGTATCCGGTCATGCAGGTTCGTACCAATAAATTCCGAACCACAAACCAATAAATTGTCTAGTCAGACAAGTACCTTCATTTTTTCATGGGCTCGGATTCCATGAATGGTGATTCTTTATGCTCACACGATGCTACTTCATTGTAGGCCACGCTGCAGAGGATGACAAGATCGCTGATAAGCTATACGGTAGCTTGACAGAGCTCTCGATTCAACCATAGGATAAACTTTGGTAAAGCTCTTGCAGGCAGTAAGGATAACATGGAAGAGTATAATTTACAACACGAACTCCTGACTGGAGACAATTCGCGGTCAACTATGGTTCACCATCTGGGGGTCGCTTGTGTCTAAGATAGCCCGATTTTCGATAAAAGACTCATCAGCGTTTCTAGTGCTCGGAAGTATCTGGTATGGTGAATGACATCACGATGTGGCTCTGCTTTGGGAGCATGTACGTCAGATACGAGAATATAGATGACGCTTACAGGCGAACGTTCAAGTGGATCTTCGGAAACAATTATTTGGAAACCCTTTCTTGTGAGAATCTTGTGGAGTAACTGCAGCGTCAGGATGGTGTTTACAACTAGATCAGGGGGAAGGCAGGCTCCAGCATAGACTCTCGAAGTTTCTTCAAGAGGATGAGCGCATGAAAAGAGTCTCGGGGAATGAGTAGGGGAGACACCTATTGGATTGTGGGCAAATTGTCTTGTATTGAAAGTGTCATGATCTCTGGAGAGTCCTGAGAGAAGTGAAGGGCGGCCATAGGGGCCTTATATAGGTAGAAATGACTGATGCCTGCCCCACAGCCAGGACTTGTGTGGTTCTGTCAGGGTACGGCTAGGCCGAAGGCAATAGTACAGAGTGATGGGGAGTAACGGGCGTCCCTCCTACGTAATACCGGGTGGTCACTGGCGGTCTCAGGTAGGGGTGCCCACGGTGATGCATTGATCTCTACTCTCCCTCTATCTTCTTCCCGGGCCTCCGCCCCTTACATAGATAGCTAGAACCCGACGTCGGAGCCGCGGAGCACTAGTTTCCCCGATTGTTCCGCAAACCAAGACTTCCATATCGTCATGACTCGCACATTCCTACACCAGAGCCCCACCGGTGTCCCACCGGTGCCTATGGCATTCTGTTCTCTGACAGGTTCAATGGGTAGAGGTCATATTGACCCATACTTCGTACGGTTTGCGGCTTTACTTTTCTCCTTTGACTTAGCAGTCTTGACGGAGTAGCCTTGAAGGTCCGAAAACACCTCTCCTCATCTCCTGTCACTTTTGGAACGCCGTTACTTCGCTTCAAGAGTCACAAGCCGGTCCCTTCTGCTCGATGTTACGTCAGGTTCTCAATTAACAACCATACCTAGTAGACTTTGCATTTCCTGACTTCCATTGCTCCAACCCAGAGGCTCAATATTCACCTCAACGTTCAGTCAGCAGAAGCAGGCAAGGACGAGAGATCTAGAGGCCGCTGGATGATTTCTATGAAAAGAAAGCGACAATAACGGAATGTACTTAGATATTTCTCAACGCAACCAAGAGTCTCGATGTAAAAGCTCTGCTATCCAGGCGAGGTCAAAATCAGACCGCGTATTACTGGCACGCGTTCTGTTTCACCACCGAGTAAAGCATACGGCAAGATCACTGCCGAATGGACGCGACTATTGACTTAGGGACAGGGCTTTTGGGTGATGTTTTTCGGCTGTCGGATGAATAATGTAAGCGTGCTCTTGACGGTATTTATTATTATTATTATTATTAAATACGCCGTAGGCTCGAAGCCCCCGGTACCTCTACAAGTGCTCCCGTATGTCAAACCGTGCCCTAATGGCTGCACTAAATACATACGCTGCTACGTAGGTTCGCTCTATTAGCGACTGCGTTACGTCCACCACAATACTATGTTAGTTCTCACCCTACTAACAAAGTCCCTGTCAGGGTACGGCTAGGCCGAAGGCAATAGTACAGAGTGATGGGGAGTAACGGGCGTCCCTCCTACGTAGCACCGGGTGGTCACTGGCGGTCTCAGGTAGGGGTGCCCACGGTGATGCATTGATCTCTGCTCCTTCCCTATCCTACTTCGAGATGGTCCTTATATAGATAGCTAGGCCGCCGCTTGGACCCGGCATAACAGCAGGGTCGGCGATGCCAAGGATCTTGACTCTCGTCATCCCAAAGCTTCACATAGATTGTAATCATGACTCGGGAGTCTTTTGTCCGAAACACCCCTCCGGCGCCCCACCGGTGTCTTGCGTTCAGTGTCCTGACACCCACTGGTGCCTATGGCATTCTGTTCTCTGACAGTCCCCCTGAGAAGATCGATATTATCCGGGCCTAAGCGCTATCCGGCCAGTCCTGAGTAGCCACCTTGTGATAGTCCCGCTGACTACTGGTTTCCCCGTCGCCGTTGCCAGGTCTCTACGTGTATGCAGCGGCCATGGTGCGATAGTGGCCCGTAGGTGCTCTCTCGATTCTTCCAGCAGGCCGCAAAAGAGGATTACGTGCTCCGCCGTCTCGGGGGCCTCTCCACAGCGGCATAACGGCGAGTACACACCGAAGGCTCCTATCTTAAATAAGAAAGCTGATAGTCCTATTTTTCCGGTCCTGATCTGGCATAGGGTAGACGCCTCCGGTCGGTTTAGGTCTGAGTACTTGCCCTGTTTCGGCATTCGCATCGAGGGGCCCTCCTGCTCCTCGGCGATAGCGCGTCGCTGGTGGTCGTGTTGTGCTGCCCCGGAGAGCCATCTCTTCTCCCAGTGGTCTAGGAGGGCGGCCGGGACTTCCTTCGCCTTGCCTATCCACTCGGAGCCCCTAGCCTCCTTCTCTATCGTGTACCCCGCTGGTCTGAGCGATTGTGACGTCCGCTTCCGTCTCGCCGGCGTGTCCTGTCGGAGTATGTGTGACGCTCTCGCGCTCGCGCTTCGAAGCAGGCTCCTTTTGCCGTTATTCCGTAGCCGTTCTTCAAATTTCGCCGCCCGGGCACTGAGATATAGGTCTAGTGGCGGGATAGCTGCCTCTATTTCTAGGTGTCGGACCGGTGTCGCTTTGTAGGCGCCACAGACTATTCGGAGGCACTCATTCTGTATCCCGACTAGGCTCTTAGCTGGTCCCGCTGGTTCCTCGCTTATAGTGTGCCACGCAGCCGCCCCGAAGGCGATCGCGCTGCGAATAACCGACGTGTACAGTAGTCTCGCCCGTATGAGATCGCAGCCCCACGCCATGTTCACTAGCTTTGTTAGGGCTAGCTTCTGAGTCGCCATTTTTGATTTAACCCGTTCGGTATGGGCGTGCCACGTTAATTTGCGGTCAAACCAGACCCCTAGGATGACGGTATTTAAGGACCTGTGTAGGTAGTCAATCTCTTGAAGAGAAAAAGAAATCCAAGCGGCCAATCCAGTAGTAATGGATTCTCTTAGCCTGTTGAGGCACCTGTCGAGGCACCAGTTATTTTGATAACCTGTTGAGGTAATTTTATTGTTCTAATAGCTCTGTTTAGGCCTGTTGAGGCTATTGTTCCATTGTTCACCTGCTGAGGTGATACAATTCTATGGCCTGTTGAGAAACTATTCTTTTCCAGTCTGTTGAGGATCTTGTTGTCCGTTGCCATCATCACACCTTGAACCTGCGGGCATTTACTGCCCGTCGTCACTATGAGGATGGTTATTTGACCCGACCTCTCCTCTACTGTGGGAGCACGAACAGGCTACGGTGAGATTTATGCATACGCGGGGTTTGAAGAGATGGTTATGACCGCGGAAACACCACCCCGATTGCCCACCCTCTCTTCTCCCAACCCGCCAGCAGTGAACTTGCAAACTTGCCCCACTGATGCGTGCACCTAGGGGGGAAGATGCTATAATGCAGCAGTGCGCAACGTTATAGTATCTAATTGAATGGGATTCACCTAACCAGTGGGTCCCCCTACCTTTTCGTATCACCCACCGAAGCTGTAACGAAGGATTCTCCGCCTGTTATATAACCTAAGGGATCGGAAATATCTTGGGATAGAAATTCCCTATAAATGATTGTCAATATCTACTAACGTGAATGTACACCGAGCTGGCCATGACACCGAGCTGGCCACTTTCATGCACCAACGCGATCGGCCAACTTAATCTTTGATTTTCTCAACAACCAATTATGGCAAAGTCATACAACGAAGCAGACTTAATGCTAGCCCTTCAAGCTCTCAAACATGACCAAAAACTTCGTCTCCGACAAGCGGCAAAAATGTACCAAGTCCCCCGAAGCACCCTCCAAACGCGTAAAAACGGCGTACCTTTCCGACGCGATATTTTGCCCAATTCACGAACTATGACAGAATTAGAAGAGGAGGTCATTATCAAGCATATACTGGACTTAGCTGCACGAGCGTTTCCGCCCCGGATTGCTGATGTGGAAGCAATGGCAAATTCTATCCGCGCGACACGTAACGCAGGGCCCATTGGAACGCGCTAGGCCTCGAGGTTCGTCGCACGTCGCAAAGAGTTGAAAACTCGTTGGAACCGTCCTTACGATTACCAAAGGGCCCAATGCGAAGATCCAAAGCTTACTTCAGATTGGTTTCGGCTTGTAGCGAATGTTATCGCGAAATACGGTATCCAAGAGTCGGACATCTACAACTTCGACGAGACTGGGTTTATGATGGGCAAGATCTCAACCAATATAGTAGTTACGAGCTCCGAACGACGTGCCAGGCCGAAATCAATACAGAAAGGTAACCGGGAATGGGTTACCGTAATCCAAGCGGTCCAGTCTACCGGTTGGGCGCTGCCGCCGTTCATCGTTGTTGCGGGCCGATACCACCTCTCTTCTTGGTACGAAGACGACAACATTCCGAAATATTGGAGAATTAGACCTAGTCCAAAAGGATTGGCGGCTAACGAGATCGGTATGGAATTTATTAAACACTTCGATAATTGTACGAAAGATGGAAAGTCCGGGATATATCGATTGTTAGTGTTGGACGGTCACGAGAGCCACGTTTCCGGCGATTTCGAGCTATATTGCAAAGAACACAAAACTGTAACTTTGTGTATGCCTCCGCACTCATCTCAAATCCTCCAGCCACTTGACGTGGCCTGTTTCGGTCTATTAAAGCGGGTGTACGGCCAGATGGTAGAGAAATTGATACGCCGGTTACTAACACATATCGCAAAGGAGGACTTCTTTCCTATCTTCAAAGACGCCTTCTTTGCAGTTTTCGGCGAAAAAAACGTTCAAGCTGACTTTCGAAGGGCAGGACTTGTTCCATTTAATTCAGAAAGTGTGATTTCAAAGCTGGACGTACGATTACAGACCCCGACGCCTGTTGCCTCCCCAGAAATCGCAACCCGACCGTGGGTATCAAAGACGCCACAGAACCCGATAGAGGCTCATGCACAGTCTACTTTTCTGAAAAAGCGCATCTCCGAGCATCAGAATAGCTCTCCGACGAATATTTTCTCAGCTGTCGACCAGTTTGCAAAGGGAGCAAAAATGATAATGCACGAGCTCGCCCTCGTACGGGCCGAGTGCGCTGAGCTTCGAGAGGCAAATAAGATGCTAAGCCGGCGCCGGAGGACTAAAAAAATGCAATTACGGGAAGGAAAATCACTTATTTTCCAAGAGGGACAGGACCTACGGGACTCTAGGCAGTTGGCGACGCAGATACAGCAAGAAGAGCGCCGAAATGGTGGTCGCGCAAAGCTGTTGAAACGCGCCCGAGGCGCTGTGGTATTTGCAACGGGACTGGGCATAATGCGCGAACTTGTAAGATCGCATTGCCATCTTCTGGAGAGAAAGATTCAGAGTAGTTTCAATTGATTTACGGCGTTGTGGTTTTACTATCGTAAAATTTCTATGCGAGGTTATGTAAGGGTGGCCAGCTCGGTGTACATTCACGTTACTACTAGAAACAGGAACTTACTAAATTTATTATTATATCGCAGTCGGCTGGTGTAGTTGGTCACTTCGCTGGTAGATAAGTCCCGATTTGAGCCTCGCCCACTTGGGTCGGTGACGAGTCGCGGGTTCGAATCCCGCAGCTGACACACAAGGGGGTTTAGTCAACCCTTACGGCGCGCTGCCCACCTTGTTGACTTCGCCTACCTAGCGATAATAGGGAGATTGGTGCAGTTTAGGATTACGAGCATCCTAGCCAGTCGACCGTCAAGCACTACGTCGGCGGAATATAACTCGACAGCCGGTCCAGAATTCGAATCGTTAATCCGACCCCTTATCGGACCTCGCCTTTCCGATAACGCTCGTCGGCGAACCCGTCCCCTCACGATAGAAGGCGCGCAGCACGCCCTCTCGCCGCGATTCTTGCGAGCGTCTGACCACGTTACGGTCTATCCACTTGAGCGTATGGTTGAGATGTATACGCTCGACGAGAACCCCAATTAGCAGATACTACGACTTGTCGCGACAAAAAAAATAGTCGAGCATCTTCTGCACATCAGCAGCATCCCACCCCTGAGGACGAATTTAAGTGCCACATTACCACACTTATCGGTAGTTCAGGCAGGGGTTGTAGCACAGACTTAGGGAGGGACAGGAGGTTTAGTAGTCATTTGGCTACAAGTTTACCTGTATAACCGCCCGACGCGGCTTAAGGGCCCGCTATATCATCTATAGCCCCTTAAGGGAGTACTTGTAGAGGTACCGAGGGTTAACACCTACGGCGTATTTAATATTATTTTTTTTATTATATCGCAGGATAGGCCGGCGAAGAGGAAGCAGGCGTCGCAGCTACTCCGACCGGCAGGGTACACTATGGAGAAGGAGGCCCGGGGCTCCGAGTGGATGAGTGAGGAAAAGGAGGTCCCGGCTGCCCTCCTCGGCCACTGGAGGAAGAGATGGCTCACCGGAGCAGAGCATCACGATCGCCAGCGACGCGCCATCGCTGAGGAACCGGAGGGCCCTTCGATGCAGATACCGAAAGGGGGCAAGTATTTCGGCCTGAACCGACTGGAAGCGTCTACGCTGTGCCAGATCAGGACGGAAAAAATAGGACTAGCAGCCTTCTTATTCAAGACAGGGGCTTTTGGCGTGTACTCGCCGCTATGCCGCTGTGGCGACGCCCCTGAGACGGCAGAGCACGTAATCCTCTTTTGCAGGCTGTTGGAAGGACCGAGGGAACGATTACGGGCCGCTATCGCACCACGGCCACTATACTCTCGCAGAGACCTCGCAACGGCAACAGGAGAACCAGTAGTTAGTGGGACTATTGTAAGGTGGCTGCTAGGGACGGGTCGGACAGCTTCAAGGCCCAGATAGCATCGATCTTCTCAGGGGGGACTTTGTTGGTAGGTTGAGAACCAACGTAGTATGGTAGTGAACGCAACGCAGTCGCCAATAGGGCGAACCGACGACGCAGCGTATGTATTTAGTCCAGCCATTAGGGCACGGTTTGACGTATGGGAGTACTAGTAGAGGTACCGGGGGCTTCGAGCCTACGGCGTATTTAATAATAATAATAATATTATTATATCAATATATATGTAAACAGTATTAGACTGGTACCATACTATATCATACTTATATTTTGGAAGTATTGGTAATCAAGTTCGTCAGTTTCAATAGAACGCTGGGTTCTTAATATTACTAAGCTGGGGGAATAAAAAACCGGATGTCTATTAAAATACAACCACAGCCACTAGCCAACCAAAAAATTACTCTGCAAATATTATACATTCCCCAGCACGCCTGATCCTCTCACTAATGCTAAGTCTTACGTTTTGTCTGCTATTTGGGGGGAGTTTCACGCCGCGGAGCTATTACTCGACAGCGATGTGAGCAAGAGGAAGAACAAAAGAGCAAAGATGCACAAGATGAAGGCAGTGGGGGAAACAGATAGTACTCCAGACTCAGGTTCTCCCCATGAGACCTTGCGGCGTCCACATCTTCGCCGTAAACGCAACCATGCCGCCGACCATGCACAAAGCGCCGCTGAGCATGGATACTTGGAAAAAACCCCCGTAGGTGTTGACGATGGCCCCGTTCACCGGTGGGCCAATCAACCCCCCGATGCCGGCAATGGCCATGCCCATGCCCATGTACGTTCCGTTATTGCGGGCGTCTTGCGGACTCGTAGAAAACGCAGCGGATCCACCCGAAATGATAGTGCCAGAGGCGAAGCCGAAAAAAATCGAATACACGATCAAACCCGCGTTACTAGTGGCGCTATTCATGCAGAAAATGACGATGCCGGTAATGACGCCCCCGAAGCCGAACATGTTGATACGGCCATACTTATCGGCAAGAACACCTGGGATGATACGGCCAAATGTAGAAGCGGCGTTGAGAATAGAGAGTAGATAGCCAGCGAGGGTCGGGCTCATCCCTTGTGAGGTAGCATATGTGGGGAGGAAGAAGAACGGAGTAAACATTCCAAAGAACATGAAAAATAAGGCGACAATTAGAAGGAGGAATCGTATGTCCTTGCAAGCCGATAAAAGCCAGAATTCGGTATCCCGTGGGGGTAGACGCGCCTTGATGCCCAGACAGGCCAGCACCATAAAAGGCAATATCAGAAAGCCAATTATGCGGACGGACCAGCCAAAGCCAAGCGAGGTCTCGTTTAACATTTTCGACAAAGCGATGGGTATTACAATGCCACCAATGGACGAACCAGAAGCCACCAGACCCAAGGCAGCGGCACGATTCTTATCAAAGTATTGCGAGACGGCGGCAAATGCTGGAATTTGCAAAAGCCCCATTGTAACGCCCATCAGGACACCTTGCACCAGCATCGTCTGCCAGTATGTATAGCACAGACTTAGCATCATCATGGCGAAGACGTAAAGGGCAGCGGATGGCCACATAATCTGTACTTGGATTTGATATTCCCGTTGAAGGAGCAAAAGGAGGGCACATATGCCTAACCTGTATGTATTGTAGCTAACTCTGGTCCTCTCTTCGAGGGTCTATGTATGGAAACAAAAGGGTTCTTATATAGTCAATGAATGGTAGACTTGCTGATTAATTCAGACAAGTTGTAGAAGCATATAGATAAGTAGGGAATGTTCTATCCTCGCCACATTTCTCGTAATAGAGGTATGTGGGGATGGTCGCCGTTCTAGGTGGCGATAGTGGCAAGTATAGGACCCACATGGCCCACAGGGCCCATATTGTCCAACTTCTGTTGTCATCATGTCAGTATCTGTTCCCCGCTGTTACATAAGAACCCGATTATGGTAAGTCGGAAGGGAGAAGACACAGAGCAACTCACCTTTGCACCATAGCGATCAAACAAGGGTCCGCTAAGCATGCCAGTAAAGAACTGGAGAAATATGGCCAGGGAGCCAATCCATGAGACGCTAGAAGCCGAAGATTCTCGCAGTTGGTGAGTCAGGTAGTACTGTTCAAAGGTACCGAACGAATTGGCAAAGCCCAAGGTGGCAAAGAAGATGGCACCACTGCCGGCCGCGACGAGCCAGGCACGGGCGCCGCCTTCAGGTGCGGGCCCGTACTCGAAGGCATCGGACGCCGACCTTTCGTAGGCTTCACCGGACTCGGTCGTCATGTTTGAATGTTGCGGCCCTCGTCTCTCGTCAGACCGAAGCGAGGCTTCAGATTCTGCAACTGCAGACGCCGTTGGGTAACATGAAGTCGCAATGATATGCAATGCGATGTCAACGCAGAAGTAGGCCCTTTTTTGTTGTTGAACAAGTAGGAAAAAGGAGGAATGTGTGAAGCTGGACGCAGGATGCCAGGGTCGTGCTGGTGTTGTGGTATAGAAGCCGACGGAATGTGAGGCGTTGTCTTTGGTTGTCGACTGGGGAAAACCAACGTTCTCATGAGCGAGAGGTTGCTATTCTGGAAAAAAGATAACTTGAATAAAACTTTATATATACATATATAAAAGGCCAGTATAGGATCGCCTTTTTCAAGTGGTTCTTAGTCGGGGATAATTCGCGCCAAGGAGACGGGTATGAGACGGGGTCGGTCGTCGGGGCGGGAAATGGCGAACGATATAGACCATAAGCGCGATTCTCGAGCTTGAAATCTTGTCTGCGTGGCCCACACCACTATAGGGTTACTCCAGGGGGAACAAGTAAGCGATAATGGAGGTTCTGATAGGCTGCGGCTTGTCTGCAACCAGAGACCTTAAGTAGAGTCGCATCACAGCTTACGGGATATAGGCGCTATAGTTGTGGAAGAACTACGTAATACTGCAGACACCCAATGTCAAATTCACCCGCCGAATCGCAGCTTTGGCGATTCCCCGCGCAGTCCCGCTGCTCTTCGTGTCGTCGAATCGTGTCGCCTTATCGATGAAATAAGGTATATGTGTATCATAAACAAGGATATCGCAGCGACCGCGCCGAAATAAGTTTCGGTTGTCGGCGATATTGTTGCGAACCGGGTGCATAATAGCATGGGGCAAGAGTTTGGTGGTGCTACAGCAGTCCGGGGGTTCCACGTCCGAGTAAAGATAGGCATGCAGTCGCCGTTTTCATGTTGCTGGCTAATAGTCATCAGGAATCTGAACAGCTGTGCTGGGAAGTTTGCTCGAGACGAGTGGTTGAGCAAGTAGCCAAGTGTCGATAAATAAATAATAATATTAAATACGCCGTAGGTGTTAACCCTCGGTACCTCTACAAGTACTCCCTTAAGGGGCTATAGATGATATAGCGGGCCCTTAAGCCGCGTCGGGCGGTTATACAGGTAAACTTGTAGCCAAACGACTACTAAACCTCCTGTCCCTCCCTCAGTCTGTGCTACAACCCCTGCCTGAACTACCGATAAGTGTGGTAATGTGGCACTTAAATTCGTCCTCAGGGGTGGGATGCTGCTGATGTGCAGAAGATGCTCGACTATTTTTTGTCGCGACAAGTCGTAGTATCTGCTAATTGGGGTTCTCGTCGAGCGTATACATCTCAACCATACGCTCAAGTGGATAGACCGTAACGTGGTCTAGACGCTCGCAAGAATCGCGGCGAGAGGGGGTCCGATAAGGGGTCGGATTAACGATTCGAATTCTGGACCGGCTGTCGAGTTATATTCCGCCGACGTAGTGCTTGACGGTCGACTGGCTAGGATGCTCGTAATCCTAAACTGCACCAATCTCCCTATTATCGCTAGGTAGGCGAAGTCAACAAGGTGGGCGCGCGCCGTAAGGGTTGACTAAACCCCCTTGTGTGTCAGCTGCGGGATTCGAACCCGCGACTCGTCACCGACCCAAGTGGGCGAGGCTCAAATCGGGACTTATCTACCAGCGAAGTGACCAACTACACCAGCTGACCATGATAAATAAAGGCGCTGGCGAAGGAACTTGTGGATGTAGGTGAAAGACACCAAGCACCAGACTGATGCTCTGAATCTGCCAGGTATCCTATGATGGCCTGCCGTATTCTAGGAATTTCCATGTGAGTGTGCCTAGACTACGTGACTGCATCCTCGGAGGTGCCACTTCGCTAATCATCGAATAGCCCAACTTGGTTGAGGTGTTGAAGGTTGGGACGACGTATTCGTGGATGGAAACTATGCACTACAACTTTTTCAGCAAGCTCAATGAATGTTGCACTTGGCTACAGGAGTGTGGCTATTACCAGAGCATGCTTGAACAAAGGCTTCAGGGCCTCAACACCCAGCATGGACAGAATATTGTGCTAACAAACTACACATGAATGTCATGTAAATAGCAACTACGATCTAAGGGATATGATCACGTATTCACCATACATTGACTTGTGCAGATTTATTATAGCTCACTCCAGATTCTAAGTCTAGGGTGACGTTATTGTCTAGGGCTAGAGCATTTATGAAACCAATATATATATGCCTATGGCCAGCAGCTTTGTGGTAACTTTCGTATGTATGGCTCTGCCAAATTTTGATATTGGGTGTTCCTGAATTACAGGTGTTTTTTGACGTGGTTGCCTCCTCAGGTTGGTTGCCATTCAAACGTTCTTGGTGTGTGCCCTTTGGAACTCCCACTGTTGACTTCACGTCTGGACATGCTCTACGTGTTTTCCCTCTTAATCTGTTCAAGTACATGCCCTCAGCTATTTCTGCACGACTCACAACACAGTCAACTCACCCATGTTCTTGCCGGATGGCCCTGAGATAATTATTCATTCTAATCCACCCACTCCTTCGGCAACTAGTCTTTCCATGCCTTCAACAACCGACACACCTTTGTTCTGACCACCACCACCCGGTTTTTATTTCTTCCCACCTGCTATCTCGGCGACCACCTCTTTCATCCTCTCAACGACTTCCTTCATTCCATTCTCGCAAAATCACACCAAGCCTTTCGGCCTGTTCATCTTCAACCTTGTCTTTCAATCACATCGCAATATTTCGATCCAGTCAAGTACGGACATCATTAACGAAATCTCCGCTGCAGTTGTACTTTTCTAACTTCCATCAAATTTGACACAGACCATCACAATGCCTTCAAAGACGGGTGGAACCGGTGATTCCACTGCTTTGCAGACCATCGCCATGCTCTGCCGCCTCATTATGACAGATGAGAACTTCCATCCCCAGCCTACCAAGCTTGCCGAGTTCCTCAACGTCTCTCATGCCAAGAACACGTAAGCAAGCTGTCTCTCCCGTAATTTCATCAATCGCCAAGCTAACCAATCCAGTCCTCGCAAGATCAACGTCATTGCCAGATTTTCTTTTAGAGATTGTGCGAGCTGTCCTGTTCACAGGGTAGCCTATTTCTTTCTCCATTTCGCTTTGACTCAAAGAAATTCCATGCCAACAAAGGAGTTGAATTCCTTGTATGTAGAGACAAGCCGGTGAGGTGCTAGATCTTCCATTGCCCAGAATACCAAATGGTCCAATCATACCATTTTTGGTATTATCGAGAAGCCTCTCCAGAACTCACTCTTGAGGTAAGTTGTGTTCAACGTCTGCGGTGTGACAAGTGGGGTTGTCCTGCCGCTATATGCTATCTCCTATTAAATTTGATGAAGCTACAGTTATACTGGAGTCGTTGGGTGGACCCCCCGCTTTCCCCTCTTACGTTTAAAGATGGAGTACCCCATCTTCGCCTGCGCAAAACGGCCTGCTTCCGTCATCAGCCTCGAGTATTGCTCACGCAACCTCAATTCAATTCAAGGGAAACCATGCCGGATCAGACCAGTGCCCAGGAGTACGACGTGCGCATCGAGCTCATCGACAATGAAGATGACATTATAACCAGCTTCGACTGCGCCTGCGAAGCCTTTGGCCACCAAATCAATGACGGGATTTGGTCCGCCATCTACCCCGGCTGGGACACGCCCGAGGGCAGAGCCTGCGGCGCCGCCCGTCGGGTGAAGACCTGGCGCGGCATCACAACCAACAATCAAGGCCAGCTCAATGCACTTTTCCTCAAGGCCACTGTGCCTGATCCCCAACAACCCGGCGGTGAGGGCAGGGTCATCGCGGGGTTGGCCAACTGGGGGCAATATTCTGTGGTAGACGGCTATGGCGATGCGCCCAGTGATGATCTGGGCAAGGGCACTGATCTTGAGACGCTGTATCCTGGGAACGAACGGGAGCAACGGTATGCATACCAGGTGTATCGTTCATTGATGAAGCAGCGCATGGAGGTGGTTAAGGAGAAGGCCACGGCGGACCCACCGGCTATCTTCGCGCTGGATTTGTGTGCTGTCGATCCTGCGTTCCAGCGCAGAGGTATTGCTGGGAAATTGGTGCAGTGGGGTTTAGATGAGGCCAAGAGGAGGGGGTTGGAGGCGACGACCGAGGCGTCGGTCATGGGGAGGCATGTTTATGCGCGTCTTGGGTTTAAGCCGCAGTTGCCGGAAATTCAATATGAGGTTGATGAGGAGTTCTTGGAGAGGGAAAGGCCGTCTAATTTGTTCATGCGTACCGGTGACAACTAGGCAAGAAGGTAGTCTCGATACGTATGGTTCGTGCTAAGGTGTTGAGGGGTTGGGGGCTGTCTAGAATAATAGCTCTTCTAGCATATTGCATACACAACCAAATTTGTTCTTGCGGCTTGATCTGGAGCATGTATACGAATCTATTGACTTGCAACCCGTAGTGTTATGGGAGTTTTGGGCTTCCCCAGTGCTTGTCAATTCCTAATCTAGTTTTGCATATTTTGTTGGACCTTCAAGGCTACTCCGTCAAGACTGCCAAGTCAAAAGGAGAAAAGTAAAGCCGCAAACCGTACGAAGTATGGGTCAATATGACCTCTACCCGTTGAACCACACAAGTCCTGGCTGTGGGGCAGGCATCAGTCATTTCTGACTATATAAGGCCCTTATGGCCGCCCTTTGCTTCTCTCTGGACTCTCCAGAGATCATGACACTTTCAATACAAGACCATTTGCCCACAATCCAATATATTTGATGCTTCATCACTCGGCTCTACCACTCACAAAGACTATATACTAGCCACATGGGACACGTGGTTGGTAATGAGGCTTTATGTGTTGCGGTCTGTAATGCAAGTGCAATGGGAATAAGGCATAAGTACGCCTGCCCCAGGGTCGGCCCTAGTAGGCTTACCAATTATATAGCCTCAGATATCTGCTAGTTTACCAAAAAGCGCAATTCTTCCAATTGATAATCAGGAAAGCAGAGGAAATTTTGGACACATGCTAGAGCTGGGAGGAGCATTTGCATATATGGAACAACTATTCATCAATGGGAGTCCGCACTCTCCTCCTTTAAGACATGGCAAGAGGTGCGCTGATGACACGTCGGTATACATATATACCATATATAACCACAATAGTTGCAATCTCAGTGACTCCATAATAAAACAAACTTGGGGTGCACTTGCGTGTCGGAATAAAGGTCATAATGTCACGTCCCGCACCTTGGCTCCTCTGCTATTGTCACTCACGACGGCTTCACCTTTCGTGCACCAGCAGGCAGTCTAATTCGCAAATCTCATTCCCACCCCACCAAATTGTAGACGATGTAGTAAAGGACTTGCCAAGAAACGACTACTCTCTTTTAATTCATCCACCTAGCAGAGCACAACTTCTTCATCCAACCAACACTGCCCATTTTCGTACTTTACTTCAGGTACTCAAACGCTCCATCTCAGTCTATATTCTCCAGTACCAACGCTTGTTACTTCTCAGCAAGCGCAGTGCGACAGAAGCCGCCACCGAAGTAGCTATGGCGAACGTCATCGCCCGCGACCGCCCGTCTACGCCCAAGAGACGACGAACCCAGCCGTCGGACTCCTCCAGCCTCCCGCACATTATTGATCTCACTGGCATTGATGAACCTTGGCACAACTGTGATCGTACCGTCGTCTTCACGGAAATCCCAGCAAGCGATTCATCCACCACGATGAACCAATCTCTGAAGCGCGAGCACCCTGATGACAAGGGCGCGAACGATGACGACAACGAGAGTCTGTTCGTGTCCGAACACCAATCCAAAGAAAATACTCCCGCCCCTACTGTTCATTCTAGAGTCTCGGAACAGCAAAACCAGGGTAATTCAAGCGAAAGCGATGACCGAGTCCCCCTCGAGGGAAAGTCCAATCTAGAAGGAATCGTCGTAGACGAGATCGATACACTGTACGGGTTGAACAACCAGGACTACCTGATTCTGCGTAATCAAACTCCGCTCCCTGTCCCCAGCCCTTCCTACCACTCACCAGAACCTGCCGAAGATACGGTGAAGTTACAAGAGATGCGTATCGGCCATCTGAACGACCAGATCAAGGAACTCCAAGCAGTCAACGTGGAACTCAGCGACAATATCAGCAAGGAAGCCCGCATCAACGCACAGTTGCGCTTCGAGAACATAAGACTGCAGGGCAACCTCGAAATCGCCAAGGTCAGACCGCCCTCCGTCGCCCAGTTGCAAGCGAGGGTGCAAGAGCTGGAAAAAGAGGTATCCATCGAACATACCCAACGAGTTGGACTCGAGGAGAATATGCAAGTCTACAAAGAAGTGGAGCAAGCTCAGTGCTCGAGGATTTGCACCCTGGAGGCGAACTGCAAAGATCTTCGTGAAATGCTTAGTGCCATGCACAAGCACCGCGAGGAGCGCCGCGATTCAGTCAGCATCAAGTATCAGGAGCTGCTGGAGAGTCACGATGCAGCCAACGCAAAGCTCAACAAGGCCAAACTAGCGATCACAACTCTAAAGTCTATTATTCGCACGTTGGACGAATGTGTTGATCATATTGACGGCAGCCCAGAATGAGTGAGGACTATTGGGTTTGTGCGCACAAGCACAGCACAGCATCAAGCCTCCTATTCTTTCATCGATCCGCATCTCAACTTACAATTCCCATGCTGAATGTCCGTTTACATTTCTGATAAGCCTGCTTCATCTGGCGGAAGTCCACGAACGAAGCGGCAAGTATTGCGTTTCTGGAAGCCTGGCTCGTCTGGAAGGGGCACACAAAGGCAAAGAAGTCGTGTTGCTGAGGATTCTGGCTCATTTGGCAGAAGTCAAGGAGAGAGGACTCACTTCTTCCACAAACTCTGGCTCGCTTTGCAGAAGCTGCGACTGGGTTAAACTCATCTTTTCACGAAGGCTGGTTCAGTTGGCATGAGTCCTCATGGGGAACAGCTCGTGTTTTCAGAGATAGTTTCAGCATTTGTCTTCGCTTTTGATAGTCCCAATAAGACACTCAATCCTCGCCAAGTTATGTTGCAATGGGACCATGATGGAAAACGGGCCATCCTCTCTTTACATAGTCGCATGTCTCTGCCTAAGGCGTAAAACACTAGGCTAGCCTGTGAAGGTCCCCACTCAAATAAGATACCAACCGTACTCCTTCGCCATATGCTATATATTTCCATTAAAGTTGTCCTGAGAATTATGCCATTTCCATGCCATTCCACTTGTGATGCACCACCCAGGTTCATATGCCCCCATGAATGGCGCCTGGCCCGTTAAATCAGACTTGGGGCCTAAAAGTGCTCCATCTGCAGCAGCATATGGCCTCTTCAAACAATCTCTAAATCAAGACTCCAGACCAGTCAGGTTGGCCCGCGCCTCCAGATATCGAGTTTGAAAGTCTGCCATTTCAGGCATTGTACCATTCTCTATAGTGGTCGTAAGTTCATTCTTCGTATCTTTGAACAACGATGAAAGGTTCGAAGTGCAGTGCTCGAGGCGGGATGCCCTGAAGGCGAGCCAGAGCTTTTCCACGAGATCGTAGGCCGAGCCCGTCCAGTCTTCCGGACTGGAATAGGAAAGGATCTCTCCTAACTCATACCGTCGCAAGTTTGCGAATAAGGTGGCAAGCAATGATTCGTCCTTTCCTACTTCGGTGACGCTGTTATAGGGGACGAATGTGGAGAGTTTGTTCACTAGTTTCTCGAGGGGTTGGAGAAGAGATTTAATGATATCTAGACGTGCGGCGTATATGACACCTGCGATTGCGTTAGCTCCGTGCAATTATGGTGCATGTGTATCTCCTAGAACTGACTATATGCGCCAGAGGGTTCCTTTGATTTCGAGAATAGGGGCTCATTTCTCAGTCGGAGGGAGCCCTCCCTGATGGTCGTAGACCATGCCAACTCACGCAGAGTGTTTTTGAAAGCGATTGCATGTCCAAACTCCCATGTAATCCAGAGATACGTATCCAAGGGGAGGGGCAGCTCTTCAGCCGAATTCTGCTCATTGTTGCGAGTGTGACGGTCCAATACTTCGGTAAATGACCGAGTCCAGCCGTCAGCCCATGGCCGAAGCAGCGACGTGACTTCGTACCGAGTGGTCAGCACCGTAACATCTAGTAGATCCTGAGAACCAAGAGATTTGCCGACGGGTATTTGGTCGAAGTTACTGTGCAAGATGTTGAGTATGATAAGCACCGCGTTCGGCTTGACGTCAGGTATGCGAAGTATCCACTCTTCGGCATCGGGCGGTTTCGACAAGCATTGTAGATCTCTCCACCCGGGTATCTTGCGAAAGACGGTCCTGGAGCAAACCTTGAAAGCGACCAAATCATCTCCGGCGGCGCGATCCCCTGCGACGAACAAAAGATCGCCTTCGGGGTCGAGGATCTCCCGGCGGTTGGGGATCAGCCGGTACGGCTCGTCGTGGTCGTGTAGGTCCTGGCGCGACCGGGCCCGAAGAGCAGGAGCTGGTCGCCGCTCCGTTCGTTCGTCCTCGTTGTTTTCTTCAGCGGCCCACCAGCTGTCCCGGCTGCGCTTCTGGCTGCTGCGCTGGGACGGCCGGGAGGTCATCGCGGATCCGGTGACTTTCGGTGTCGCTCCACCCTTGTCCAAGTACGAACGCTGGGCGGAATTGAGTTGTGAAAGATGGGACGAAGGGACTGACAGAACTCTGTCGACTTTGCACTTTGCCAAGGTATGACGTAGTCTAGCTATTCCCTGACTTGTCGCGGTGCAAGGTTTCTTAGCTTAAGCGCACGATGCGCGGCGGTTTCCGATTGATTCGCACAGTATATCATCTCTCAATGCACGTTGAAGGACACTATTTCAGCGACGATGGCGATCGCGGCCTAGGCATTTGGAGTGTTTCAATTCTATTTGAGGCTGCTGGTGACCAGGTGGGCTCAATGTGTAGAGCATCGAGGTTCGTCAATGAGAGCCCATTCGGTGCCGTACCCGTCTCTGTGGGGTCTGAAACCAGGAGACGCGGTGTCGGCATCGTTTCAACAGAAGCATAGGTGTGTAAACTGCCGGAGTGGTCTCGTGCAGGTTTGGCTCGTGGGAATGTTTGCTGCTGTCCCAGGTCCAACATCCATACGACGAAGCGGAGTTCAAGTGCCGCCACGCTTCTTGACATTTACCATCAGCGGCGGCTTCTCCCACAAGGTAAACGTTTTCTGGTCCATCCAATCATCTTGTCCCTTCACCAAAGCAAAGTCGAAATTCCACAGCATCTTAGCCAAGATCAATCTCATCTCCGCATACGCCAGGTTCTTTCCAATGCAGTTTCTCGGGCCCACAGAGAAAGGCTGCAGCACGTCGTAGTTGTCGTCAGCAAAGGCTTCGTCGCCCAAGAAGCGCTCCGGTATGAACTCCTCAGGCCTCGTGAAGTTAGACTCGAGACGATTGGCTGCTAATTGAGGAAAGTGTATCATGGTGCCTTCAGGAAGATACTGGCCATGTACCGTGTCTCCCCCGGGCGGAACGACGCGCAAAGCGTGCTCTGGAACTGGCGGGTAGATTCGCATCGTCTCATCCAAGACGGCAAGTGTGTATTTTAGGTCCGTCACGGTGAATAGATCTATGTCGTCTGAAGTAGGAAAGGCCTCTCGTATCTCGGCGACCACCTTGCTCATCACTTTGGGGTGTGTCAAAAGCAGGTATACGCACCCAGAGAGCAGGGTTGCCGTGGTTTCGCTTCCTCCAAGCACGATGTTTGCCGCCGTGGAAGTCATCTCGCGCATCGTCATCCCTCCCTCTTCGTGGCTGTGTTGAAGCACGTTGTCCCAAAAGTCGCCGCACCGATCCGCCCTTTCCAGCCTTTCCTTTATTTTATCCTGCGAGTATGCAAAGTTGTCGTTCCTCAACTGAACTGCCTCTTTGGAGACGAGGTGGTGAGCGAGCCAGTCCAGACCTAAGCGCTTCATGGCGGAAAAGAAGACGCCGGCTTTGACGCTGCCGAAGATTGCTTTGATCCAAGGGTGCGTCTGCCCATGTTCCAGACAGTTGAAGGATTGATCAAAGGCCAAGGCACCTATGACATCGAAGGTCGTCCAGTTGAACCACTCAACTATATTCTGGGGCTCCTTCCCAGCGCGTTCTCTCAATCTGTCGACGAGGAGGTCCACATGTTTCTTGATGGTCGGATGCTGCTCTCTCATTGCCTTTTCCGAGAACGAATGCGACAACAGTTTTCGGACTCGACGATGGTCCATCCTGCTGGCACCCAAGATTCCGTAGGTTCCATTCGGCGGAACAACAATCTGTAGGGAGGTTTTCGAGAACTCCTCATGCCCCTTTCGGTAAGCCCACACGTCCCTCCACACCGCCGCTTCGCAGTACGAGAGTTCATTGGGGCCAATCCGCACAACCTTGCCGTACCTTCGATGAAGTTCGAGCTGCGTCCTGATGATGTTTCCAGCTACAGAGTGTCGCACATACTGGATTTGAGAGACGGCCCAGCTCGTAGGCCCTGGGAAAGAACTCAGAGGGTGAAAGTAGACGGCATAAATGGCCTTGTATGCGATGTAGATGATGCCCTGGTACCTATCAGTTGGATGAACAGTTCCACCTTATCCCAGGTAGAACGTACCAGCACGACAACGTACGCAGCAAGGTTCAACGCCGATGTTGGCGACAACCTTCGGAGCATGTGACTCTGTAGCTCGAACGTCATCTTAAGCCAGCGATCGAATGAAGTTCGTCCGGATCTGTTCACCCTTTGAGATTGATATGATGCAGACCAAATAGAGCAACAGGAGACTTGGCAACCCCGTTCCTTGCTGCGGAACAGCGGGGCTTTTTATGACCTTCCAACAGTCCAGTCCCCGCGTGGAGTTCCGACCTACAATGCTACATTACGAGGGTTAGTGCTTATATTGGTTTGAGATGCCGAGGTCAAGGAAATACCACGGACTTATCTCCACCTGTACGCTTATCTACAAGTAAATAGACAGATAATACCAGATGTTCGATCATATAATTCAGATTGCCCGATCCGTGTTTGCAGAGCAATTGTCAAAGCAAGTCTGACCTGTGGTGTATATTACTGAATCTAGGAAAATTCCCTATCATGAATAGGAGCACTGATCATTCGCCTTGACCTTCCCATGTAATTCAGACGAGAATGCGATCATAGGCAGCAAGATACTGCTATCAATGATATCTGACGAAACTATTGTTCTTATAAGGATTTCTGCTATTCCGGCTAGACTTCCATGTGTGGTAATAGGAATATCTTCTCTTTATTTTGAATTTCCCTACTCCCTACAAGTACTGCACTTGCGTCCGTCACCATGTGGAAGCTTCACAAAACTGCACCTAAGCCCAGACTTTTGCTACTGGTAACAACATAAGAACGAATGGAACCTAGATGAATCTTCATGCTTAATCTCCAACATTTTCAACCACGTTGTACCTGTTTTGAGTGTCTGTCACAGTATAATATCATTAGTCTCCTTTCTTAGCACTTCCTTCTCACTCAACCGACATGATGCGATCCCTTGTTGACTTGTATTTATCCAAAGGTTGGATTTACCTTATATGTATAATGAATCTTATGAAATAATATGGACGCAGCATGAGATGAGTTCTCGTCGGTGTCTTTCGTCAAAGATGTTGCTGTCGTTCACTCTGTGACCCTGGCACAATCCATGACGTTGTTACGAACCGTCGGCCCTGAACCAACATTACAGGCCCGTCGACAGGCCAGGTGGATACAGACGCTAGGATCACGGGACCCCGCATCGGAGGAAGGAAAGGACCGACAGATCACGTGACCTACAGGGGTGGATATGTTGGTCAACTACATATCCAACCAACAGGATATGTTGGCAGACACTGAACAGGAATGTTAGATGAAGACAGTCCCCTGTAACATAGATTCGACTAGCATAGACCATGCCGGCACTGCGCCCGGCACGTCTCACGTGATGAGACGTTAAATTTCAATCAATCAATCAATCGATATGTTGGCAGAGAACATATCCAAGTGGGGATCAGTGAAGGAGAGACGGATATATAAGGGACAGGACTCCCAGGCATTTCATAGATAGACAGTCTCTACTTCAGTGATCAATCTAAGCATCAATCTAACCCATTGGTGAGGCAAACTGCCTTGACGACTCTATTCCCAGTTACCCTACTTGAATACTTCAGTTACCCAGAGCCCTATACTCCATACGTCAGACCCCGATATTATTGCTTGAGGACTCCGCAGCAGGACTTACTTACTAGCACAAACCCTTACACACTCTTTAGTGGTTTACGCAGCTAGACTATTAGAGGTTTCTTACACATTGGTCCTAGTAACTACTGTATACAGCACTCTGTGGCTATGTTATGGCCAAGCACTGCGACATAATCTGTCACAAGGGAGGACCAAGCCCCTAAGCTAATAGACCAAACGATCTAGAATGCCAGTGGATCACTGACACTTGGTCCCACTAACTGCTATATACAGCACTCTGTGGCTCTGTAATCGCCAGCGCTGTGACATAATCCAACAAATATCGGACTATTGTTTTATTACCTAAGGCGTAAATATATTAGAACGAGTTGATTCTTATCTTTTGTATACTTCGTACAACTTCGTAGATATCTCCGGGTGAAGGAATCGATTGTCTGATGGAGTCACTGCACGTGTTAGGTTCGTAAGGTGCAGGCCGAAAGTAGGTTATTGCATTTATAGAGAAGAAAGGAAATAAACCTCAGCCACTCTCAGAATGTGTTATATGCAGCATTCGGATCGGACACAGTCACTACTGAGACCTGACAGGGCCCAGAGAGCCGAATTGATCCACAGTGGGCATAGTCTCATGGCATTACCCTCCCTTTCGTAGTATAGCGATTCTACTATAGGTCTAACGTTACTATATAATACGTGACTCCAAGGAATATCACCTGGTAGCTACAGATAAGATAAGAAAGGCTGCAAGGGTGCTAGCTGGGTAGGTAACCAAGCTTTCCTGATAGACACTTTACCCCCCTTATGCACTCGCATCACTATAGGTCGGGGAGTAGCCTAAGTATTTCTCTCGTACAATCTATTAGGGTAGGGTATTCTTGTCATAATTTGACAGTAGCTAGCAGTACTATCTTCGTGTTCAAAGATATACTTATCATTATCCGGGCGGAGAGGGCGGACAGGACGACACTCTGCTTCTCGGCAGCCTTACGTACGGATATTTCATTGTCTCTAACTTCGAGCTAAGCATCGGCTACCTTATCGTCAATTGCGTCCATCTTGAAGTACTGGTATCCTATATATACGGGAGAAAATAAGGGAGGAGGTTCAATTGCGATATCCAGGGGCTGGCTGCAAATACACCACTTTCTAGAAGTAGTTTTCTGTCGCGCAGAGTAGCCGGAATCTTATGAAATTATAGAAATAAAATCACTTGGATTCTTCGATATGAGTATATAGTTTGTTTGTAAATCGCCTCAAAAATAGTGAAGCTCTGTATAAGTGTAGTCGTTGATGTTTTGGTGAGGTCACAAGCTTATTGCTATGAATAATTGTTAAGGTTATGGTTATGGGGTCAAACCTTCACGATCATCCTCAAAAGGCCTCAATTGGCTTGTATGATCAAGACATAATGATTTGGCCCTCAAGGTCATATTTGCAGTCTATTTAACTGTAGGTCGTCTTCATAGAATCAATACAGCAGGCAGTCACTCATTTATTCTATTTCTAACCATAATGTAGGTAAATCAACTACAGTCAACATTTCGATTACCATTACCAGATGGGAAGGTACGGCCAAGCGTAGGGCTACAAAACCCCGCTTCAAACCAGAAGTAACCATCATAAAGAAAGAAAAAAAAACATCTTTTTTTGGCCTTCATATAAATTTGGTGCTCAGTATAAGGAGAAATATCATTAGCCTTCTAAGGCATTGTCACTTATTTAACCTACTCGTTTTATCAATTTCTACCTTGCCTTCTCAGTACTATCTCTGATACTATGCTTCTAGTCCCAGATGGACATATCGGTGTAATCAATAGCCCGAGAAAACGGCAACGCAATACTTCGAGGCTAAAATAGACATGCAAACTCGGTCTAGACATACCAGCCACTATCAGTACAAAACCGAGACAGTGCCATAGGGCAGTCCGTAGATGCGCCCACACAGTATGCAAGTGCGAGGGCATTTCGAACGTCTACAGTCTCGATGCCTCTAGACTACACCAGGCTCGGCGATGAGCGCAGGCGAGACACCGTACAATACCATCATAGGTATCCCCGCTTATGTGTTCGTACTTATTAAAATTGAATAGCCAATATTTTGAGGGACATCCACAGCGGGCTTTAAACATGGATTCTCATCATCTAAACATGAATCTCTAAAGGCAAGACTCCATGACTCTATTTCCAGTCCATATTTCTCTCGTTTTACCTTTCCGTGCCCGCCGTGTCGCTACTTTAGTTTGAAATAAGTATTACTAGCCAAGATATTTAGTATCCTAGAAATGACCTGGTCACCAATAAGCATTTCAGTTGGGGCTCGTCGTAAACCCTATCTCCAGGAATGCTAGTAAAAGGACATCGTGCGCACGTGGCTTCTGCTCAGCTAGCCTCTCCCGACACGTCTCACAACTTTCTTCAATCGTAGATACTTCATAGTGACCTCGAGCCTTTTTAACATAGCATCCAGTTGAAGGAGGGATAGCAAGGACACATAATAGAAAAAGAGACTGCGATATCGATCACAAAAGGCGGCGAAGTCCAAACGGGTTGAAAACTGAAATGCTGGAACACCCTGGTACGCTTCTAGAAGGCGAATGGAAGTAGATGAGTGGCGATTGACGTTTGGTGGCTCTTCTCTGGGTAGAGGGGCTATCAATCTCAAGATCTGGAATACTGCAGCCACAGGACTCTCTGATCGCGCAACTCTCTCGTTGTCTTACTTATCAATCTCGGATCAAACGGTATGTGGTGATGTCAGATTGCAATCGCAGGTCTCCTGATCTTGGAAGCCCAGCCACAGCCGCGCATGGGGTTCAAAAGGTCCGAGTCCATCCTGCGGCAACTAGGCTCTAGTCGAAAGTGGATTTTGATTTTGTGGTCCTCGTATGGCGTATCTCTTCCGAAGGACACAGACGCTCTCTTGCCGTTGAGCCGAGAGTCCTCTTGCTAACTTGCCAATCCATGTAGAGAAGGTCAAATGTTTGTGGTCGTCTGAGCCATGATACAGTCCAGGTAAATACCGTAGCTAAGCTAGGAGATCCCATGGCAGTTGATATTGAGTTTAACTTGACAAGGCAGCCAGGCAATGAAACTGGCCTGTCCAATAGCCATCTCTTGGGCCGTATGTATGGAAGTTTTCGAACGTTTCTTTTCACTAACTTTTCACTAGCCTGCATAGCCTGAATGTCACCTACGTGCGTATCCGGAATCTGGACGGCCCACCTGTTTAAACCCGAAAAAGGGGAGTTCTAGCGAGCTCGTGTGCGCTACGCCGACCCCGAATCTTAGTGGCAAGAGCGATGGCGGACGTCCAGATGCTTATAGCCACCAAATTCGTATTCTAGCGAGTCAAAGGCGTTCATAAGTATGACAGGCCAGACGTGGGTCACGTCAAATTCGCGCGAGGAATGCCACATGTCGCAAGCTTGGTTTGGCAACACGGCAGGCGTGTGGACGGACCCAAGGTGCCGCCGTCGTCATGACGGCTTTAGATATTCGAAGGAGAGCAGACAAACTGCTGACCGAAGAGCTATGCTACAGAGTATGTTCGTATTTATACGCGTCCATTGGATCTTTATATGCTTGCCGATGGGCAGTTTGCACCTCATTAATCTCATCCATGTCGCCGTGATAATACCACCATGTTCACTCCAGTCCAATAATAATTACACACGACCACGAGGAGAATAAAAACGAGAGCAACCGACACGATGCCTTTAGCTTCGTCGCCGTCCGCAGATTCAGATTCTTTGGATGCCAGAGTAATATCATGCGCCATTCTCACACTTGTCATTTCGGCAGTCGTTGTGGCTCTGCGCTTCTACACGCGATGCAGAATTATTCACGCATTGGGAGCAGAGGACTGGTTTATACTGGTAGCCTGGGTGTTTGCTCTAGGCTCTTCAATCGGAACCTGGAAACGTGGGTGAAGAAAGCGGGCATAGCGGACAACAGATGCTGACCATAGCGAACAGAGGCATATTGGGCACTAGGACAGCACCTCGACACGGTAACACCCCAGGAATTATCCTTTTTCTTACGCGTGCGTATTAGACCCTCCCTTCAAGCCTGGAGCCGCACTCAGTCCAGTTTGCTGATCGTCTACAGGCGGTGTGGTGGACCATGATCTTGTACATTGTGTCCTTCACCTCAACCAAAATCTCGATTCTCCTGCTGTATATCCGTGTGCTCACGTCATATGAGAACTTCCGACGCGGAGCGTGGGCCATGCTCATCTTGGTTACCATTGGAGGCGCCAGTATCTTCGTAACATCGATGACAGCGTGTATCCCGTTAAACAAGTATTGGGATTTGGACACTGAGGGTTATTGTCACCCAACGGGTGTGTGGTGGTACAATACCGGGTTCCTCATCGGGACGGACTTTTTGATATTCTTGTTACCCATGCCCGTGCTCATCGGGTTGAGGATGCCGATGAGACAGAAGTGGGAGCTATTGGGCGTCTTCGCCATAGGCTTTTTGTGAGTATCCACCAAACCGACCACAATCCAGCTAGACTTACTTGATAACAGTATATGTCTCATCTCGATCTTCCGAGTCATTTGGCTGACCCAACTGGCTGGATCCGTCGACTATACTTACGACAACACGCCTCTCGCGGAGTGGACTTGCGTTGAGCTCAACACGGCTATTGTCTGCGCGAGTCTCGTCACCCTCAAGCCCCTTTATCACAAGGTCTTCCCGCCGAAACAACATTTGATGCTAGACGGAGAAACTGCACAAAGAGATCACCCAATGACCATCGGGGGTCTCCGAATAAGGCCGCTGCAAGAGGGCCACTATGTAGACATGTACGACCAGTCTTCACGACCAATGACAGGCACTCGGTCACCTCGTTCGGGTTCCATGGGCAGAAATCATGACACGGCGAGCGATGACACGTTGGTAGGATTGGGCCGTTGTGACAGTGCAAGCAGTCATTTTGGGTATACTCCACATCCTACACTAATTCTCACCTTGCCTCCAAAATCATTGCAAGCCGACATAAGAGAGGCGGAGAAGAACCGTAGATTGCCCCTGGCAAGGATAAGCGCATTGAGTAGCAGTGATCAGAGCGATGACTCGGTGAGGGTATGGTGACACGCCAATGCACATATGCTTAAGTGGAGTTTGGAGTCAAAAAGGAGTTGAGATTAGGTAGCGGATGGCAACTACTGTTTGAATCGTATTTGCGCATTTGGTCCAAATAGGAGTGGCTCCCGGAGTCAGTCAGAAGCCTCCACTGGAAACGAGTCTATCCAACAATGAAATGCATAAAACGTGTGTTCTTTTTAATTGTGAAGCCTCGTGGACCTTGACGGATCGTTCATCACTCATCGGTGTTGACATTCTAGTTTACAATTCTAGTATTGCAAGAATTAGCTTGACCTTCCAAGAGCAACAGACTCTGAAAACCCACTCTCAACAAACATTCCCCATTTCCTCCCACGGTCCATGTTCCCCATTGTCTCTTGACGCCAAGGGCTGACAGATGCGGGAAAGCATCGGTGGCGCATATTGTCGAACGGAAATTAACCAATCATGAAATCAAGTCCGCAACGTTCATCGGCATCTCGTCGATCTGGGTTGAATAGTACACTGACATAGTTAGCACATCGTGTTGATATCATGTCGAAGAGAATCTTAACTTACATTCAATGTCGCGAAGAATGCGCACATCCTCGCTAGTAACAAAGTTGATGGCAACACCCTTTCGGCCGAACCGGCCACTGCGACCGATCCGATGAATATAGTTCTCTCGGTTGCTTGGAAGGTCGTAGTTGATGACCAAGCTGACCTGTTGTACGTCGATACCACGCGCCCACACATCAGTCGAGATTAGAACTCTGCTGTTGCCTTGTCTGAAGTCCTGCATAATACTATCTCTCTCCTTTTGAGGCATATCTCCATGCATACTGCTGACGGTGAAGTTGGCCTCCCGCATCTTGTCGGTTAACCAATCGACCTTGCGTCGTGTGTTGCAGAAGATGACGGCTTGTGTAATTGTAAGAGTGTCGTATAGATCACAGAGGGTGTCGAACTTCCAGTCCTCCTTCTCAACAGCAATGAAGTATTGCTTGAGGCCCTCGAGGGTCAGCTCGTCACGCTTGACAAGGATACGGACCGGATCGGTCATGAATTTGGTCGTCATGTCGAGGACATCGTATGGGAGGGTAGCGGAAACGACGACGACTTGGGTGGCCGGAGGCAGGTATCGGTAAACGTCGTAAATCTGTTCGCGGAATCCCTGGTTCAGCAGCTCATCGGCTTCATCCAGAACCAGCATCTTAATGTGACGGGTACGGAGATGACGGCGGCGAATCATATCGGCAACGCGACCAGGGGTGCCGGACACAATGTGTTGGCCGTAGTCGAGCTTTCGAATGTCCTCACCGACGTTGGTGCCGCCGATACAAGCATGACATTGGACATTCATGTAGTCTCCAAGAGCCATGACAACGGACTGAATTTGGGTAGCCAGTTCACGCGTTGGCGACAGGACGAGGGCCTGAGTCTCACGAACAGCTGTATCGATGACTTGCAGCATCGAAATAGAAAAGGTGGCCGTCTTTCCTGTACCAGACTGAGCTTGGGCAATGGTGTCGCGACCCTTGCAGACCTGTACGATGGCTCGCGATTGAACGGCAGAGGGCGACTCATAGCCGTAGGCGTAGATACCGCGAAGAAGGTTCTCCTTCAGCGACATGGACTCGAAGGTGGGATGAACGGTGACCTCCTTGGAAGTGGAGAACTCCATCTTCTCGTCGGCGCGACGATCGATACCGCCTCCTTCAGCCATGATTGCGGTCGACCTGTCAATGGTGTTGCGATTGTGGAAGATATCTCGAAGACGCATTCGCAAGACTTTAACATGGAAGTTGCCAAAGTAAGGCTGAAGCTTTCTAGCAAAAATTGGTGGAGCAGGAGCTGTAGCACGCTTGTGCTTGCCCCGCGATTGATCCGAATGTAGGCCCACCTGGAAAGATGCAAATGCAATGCACACGACAGGAAGCACAAACGTACTTCGTTCGTACTTTCAGGCTTTCCCAAAATTCTGGCATTATTGTTTTGTAGGATATTGGAACAAGCCGGGTATATGATGGTCAGAATGATAACAAAAGATAGGGGAACGGATAAAAAGATATATGACAAGAGTGGGATTTGAACCCACGCCCCTTTCGAGATCCGAACACCCTGTTCTGAGAACAGAAAGATTGCTCTTGAGTCGGACGCCTTAGACCGCTCGGCCATCTTGCCTGATAAGATTTGGCGAGACTGAGAATCGTTGTCCCCATTTTGCCTGGTCTGCTGCATGGAGAGATTTGCCTTTTTTGCGTTCCATACTCCTAGCTAACACAGTATCCAACACGGTCCAGCGAGAATCCATCATAATTGTGGGCCTCAAACCTAGCTATGATTGGAAAGACAAGCAACGGATAATTCCAGCCTTCCCAAATTCGAAGTTCAGCCTCACCTTCGACGCAAGGAACCTGGGAGCTCAAACGACTCTCGCTGGTTGCACATTTCAGGAAATCCCACCATAATAGCAACCCAATTAAATCGCCAATATGTTGTTGGAAGAGCAACGTTTCCTCCACGAGGATCTCGAGCGTCTTGAGCAGGGAATTGCCGATCGCATTGGCGAAGAGCCCAAGCACATTCGCGATCGGCTTGCTCAAGACCACCAGATCGCCCAGTTCCTCGATCGCATCTCCGCCCAGTCCTCGAAGCTCCTCGAGATATATCATGATGTCGACGGCACAAGATCACGCGAAATCCAGCAGATTGGGACGGGGGACCCTATGGACGAGTTCTACAAGCAGCTGTCCGATGTCAAGGCCTTCCACGCCAAGTACCCGAACGAGCCCGTCGAGAATCTAGAACGCGCATACCGCCCCAAGAAACCCGCCGAGGGAGAGACGGCGCAATTGAGCATAGTGGACTCTATGTTCACAGGCGAGGAGGCCTTCGGCCGTTTCTTCGATCTGCATGCCTGCCACGAGATGTACCTGAATCTGTCCAACGCGAAGAGACTTAGCTATCTCCAATTCCTCGACGTCTTCGACAAATTCTCACCGATTGCTGGTGGCTTGAAGAGGAGCGAGAAGATGACAGATCAGTACTTCAGATACGTCGGTCAAATCGCACAGGATCTCGAGTCATTTATGAGGAGAACAAGACCACTAGAGAATGTAGATAAGGTGCTTGCAAGCTTCGACAAGGAGTTCGAGACGGCTTGGGAGAAAGATGCAGTGGAAGGTTGGAATTTGGAGGAAGCAGGCGCGCCATCAGCAGGCACAGCACAACAACCCAGCACGGCTGAAGCAGTCTGGTGCGAGGATTGCGAGAAGGAATTCAAGAACCAGAATGTGTACGAAGGGCACCTAAAGGGAAAGAAACACGTCAGGGCTGCAGCCGAGCGCAAGCACAGATTAGAAGAATCCGGGGATGCAAATGGCGCATCCAATGGCAGAGGACCGTCAGCAACGAGATTAAAGGAGCGCGCAATCGCCGAGCGCGAGTACAGGGTCAAACGTCTCGCCAGCGCCATGAGTACGGAGCGCAGCGACACGAGAAACAATATAGAACGCAAACAAGGCATGACAGAGCGGGAGCGTCATCAAGAATTGGAGAACCTATTCTACTCGACAACGACCACCCAGGCAGTAGAAAACGAAGAAGGTGGAGACGAGGACGACGATGACAGGATTTACAATCCGCTCAAGCTGCCACTGGCATGGGATGGCAAACCTATTCCCTTCTGGTTGTACAAACTCCATGGGCTGGGCGTCGAGTTCACGTGTGAGGTCTGTGGAAACTTCGTCTATATGGGACGACGGGCATTCGACAAGCACTTCAACGAGGCGAGGCACATATATGGCCTGAAATGCCTTGGCATTACAAACACGTCCTTATTCAGGGACATTATTCGTATCGATGAAGCGCTGAAGCTGTGGGAAAAGATACAGCGGGATAAGAAGGGTGGCAAGATTGATGACGGTAGTGTAGTGCAGATGGAGGATGCCGAGGGCAATGTCATGCCTGAGAAGGTTTACTACGACTTGAAGAAGCAAGGGCTCCTGTGAACACCACAGGTCTGTGTCCCAGCACTGCGCGCTGTTCGTAGCTCTCGTCCCGAGGTCCCGAGGCTGACTTGTATGATATATCATATAGCTAGACTGTAACGGCACAATCTGTACCCGGTGTAGATTCATAAGTACCCCTGTATATTCTGTATCATTTCCCGTGCGTGCGCAATATCAGTAGACCTCGAACACGGGTGAGTTTTCGTATTCAAGGTTTTTGATGGGGTGTGCTCACATAACACTGTCTAGAACCTTAGCCAGTAGCACTGTAAAATCGGCCACACGGCCGTATGGCCCCCACCTTGCTTAGATCATCCAGCTCGTTGTTGGTCACAGGGCCGACTTCATCAAAACGCGCAATTTCCAACTCATCATCCCGCCAATCAAAGCTGGGTTTGAATCCTGACGGCCCTCCTGTGCACACGATGACGTCTACCTTCAAGGCAGGTCATTTCCAGACTGTGGACTTCTCAATTGCGGATCAAGTCGTCATCCAGGATCAACTGTACGGCAGCCACACCGTTTCAGAGCCGGTACTAGTGGAGCTTCTCCGGTCTCCCGCGCTCACGCGCCTCGCCGGAGTTCACCAACACGGAATATCGGGTCTGCTAAACTTGACGCCAAGGGTCACTCGATTTGAGCATTCTGTCGGCGCTTTCCTTCTGGTGCGATATGTCGGCGCCGGTTTAGATGAGCAGGTCGCCGCACTGCTTCACGACGTTAGCCATACCACCATGTCCCACGTCGTGGATTTCGCGCTGTGCAAGCCAGGAGAAGGCAGCTTCCACGAGCAGCACAAGGACCGATACGTGAAAACGACACAGATACCGGACATCCTCGCCAGACACGGCTTTGGGGATCTGAAACCTTTGGACGAGGAACTGTATCCGCTCGTGGAAATGCCCGCACCCCACCTCTGTGCCGACAGGCTCGACTATGGATTACGCGATTGCGTTGGTTTGGGCAAGATGTCTTTTGAAGATAGTCGGCGCATTCTGGAGTCTCTCAAAGCTTTCCCTAGTGCCACCTCCCCAGATCGCTTTCTTGTGCTTCAAGACGCACAACTAGCATTGATCCTAGCGCGGTCGTATCAGACATGTGACCGAGATGTGTGGGGAAACCCGTCTCATGGGGACTTGTACATACGCACGGCGAAACTGATGGCGTCGCTCATTCGCAGCCGAAGGGTGGAGGAGGAGGAGCTATGGACCCTGTCCGACGAAGCATTTTGGGCCAAAATGCGTCAAGCTGCCAATGCTCAGGAGCAGGATGCTATGGATCGGTTGGAGTCCGAGGGTCTTCCGGATGGGAAGGGCTTGCTGATTCCAAAGGGCGCAAAGATTCGAACGCTGGACCCTGATGTGTGCTCGTCCGCTTCTGACAAGGCCACACCTCTGTCTGTCCTGCTCCCTGAGTACGCGACCGAGAAACAGGAATACATTCGGGCCCGCCAAGCGATCTATGCGCAGAATTAGGCCCTTGATATCAACTTAGATGCGATAAGGAGCATTGAGGATTGGTCAGATTGCGAATTGCGAATTGCGAATTTCACTGTGAACATATCGTCCCCCTTCGTTTGGAGTTTGGATGGGGGAAAACTTCTTGAGCAAGGGAAGTACACGGACTCACCAGAGCGTATCCCATACCGCAAACACAATTAAAGCACATTCACGTCTTTTGGCTCCAGTCACATCCGTCAAGGTCAAAGAGAGTCTGTCAGTGAGAGACAAAAGAAATATCTTGGTGCTATGAATATAGTTGGTATCGTTCGCCTCATCCGCCATCCGCCAAAAAGCCAAACCTTGTTGATCGGAACCATCAAGGTCCCTTTTCCCCTTCGTCACACTTCAAATAAGCGCGATCAATCAAACAGGACCATGTGCCCACATGCTCCCCTTTCGTCGTTGTCCAGCTGTCGTACTAGGGGGTATCTATATCGTCCCCTCTTCCATCATCTAGGTGCTCGATTTCAAGGTGAGCCAATGGGCAAATCTACGAATGCTGCTATGGTGAGCATCCTTTGTAGATCTCACAAAGGGCTATAATCCACACGGCAGGTGAATAGTAAACCCATCGTGACTCGGTAGTGCTGACTGATACGCACATGCCTGCACTTCGAGTTAGTGATAGGTGTAGTGGAATTAGGGTGTAGGGTATGGACTCACCCCGGCTGAAGAGGGCGACTCGAACAAGGTGTCGTGTCGTCCACTTCCTTCATCGACGGTTGACGTAGAAGTCGACCTTGTCAATCCTGTTGCGGACTGGTGGAAACCGGGATCTCCGCGGTACTTGGATGCCAGGTCGACATTAAGTCTGATGAAAGGTCAGCTTCGCATTCATATTGTTGCTGGTGGCCTGGTGGAACTTACGCGCGGAAATATCCCATATCGCCAGTGTATACCCGTTCAGGTTCAACCGAGTCGTCTGAACCTATACAGCAATATCAAGTCAGCCTTTGGTCCAGGCCAGCGACGCATTGCGGGTCGAGAGGAAATCCAACATACCAAGTTCAACGTTGATGACCGGGGATTCAATGGAGTCGTGCATCAAGGAAAATGCATTTCGGTGGTGGGTTGGAGAGGTTGAACGATGCCAAATACTCGCAGCAGGCGCAAGAAAGGGCTTTCGAACAATCTGTCCCATAGGGAGGTGCAAAAACAATTCGTAACATTCGTCAAATCCAAACGTAAAGGCGTGAAGAAACAAGATGAGGAACAGGAGACCGCCACCCGCCTTGTTGACGGCGGGCGTGGCCCCTGTTAATTCATCTGCCATTGAAAGCCGGCCCATGTCTTACATCATGGCGGCGGCTGCTTCGGACCCGCGAAGCCGCCTGCAATATCAGGGTGGTTTCGTTGTTGGGGTGTTTGGGGTTGGAAATTTCAACAAGAACCTCTTTCAATTGGAGGGCGGAGGAGAGATGTTTATATAGACCTGAAGGCCTAGATCTTAGACCCTCATTCCTGGGAGGCTGGGTCGCTCGTCTAAACCGGCCTGTCGGATGTTTGGCAGGATTAGCTTTTACACCGCTAGACTATAGGTTCTCAAGTGGGTCGCTATACCCGCTTTCCGGCGCCTGCACTAGTGCACGACCATCTGCCCCGGACAGGCCATACGGTGAGAGACACGTCTGCAGCTGTGGGCACGGATCGCATGTTCATGGCCCGAAAAATTGGCAAAAAGGCTCATGTGCTACGACCCAGTGTTCCTCCTAGCCTGGCAGAATTCGTCTTCCATTGGTAGCCTTGTGCAGTCGGTAGCTCCTGAGCATGGCCGTGAACGGTGGAGCCTCCGAGGCGTGCTGTTGAAGACGGTGAATCCGACTGATCAAATCGCATCGATATCATAATCCACCTTTGAGTCCCGTCGGCGAGGATGGGTGCCGATAAGCCAGCCAAAAAAAGGCGGGTGACAGACGATGGCTGGCACGAATTGGTCAAGAATGGGGCATATCCACCAGCCTAGGCAGGTTGGATGTTCTTCAAGGCGGCTTACATGAGGCTAATCGATTTCGGGCTCCGCATTTATCATATGCTGCCGGACTGATATTGCGACGCTTTTCGCATGTTTAAGGCGCTCGAAGAGTGCATATTAAATGATATAGCGTGCGTTGATGCAATTGGTGGGTGGGAGCGATGGGAGCAGTCATCATTCGTTGCTATATGAGTCAGTACAGATCGGAAACCAACATTACAACTAATTGGGGACATTCAGAACCGATTCAGCAGCCGAATTGCAGGTGTCCCCGCAGCAAAAACGGTAGGTATAATCCGCGAGTCGATGTTTGCATGGCACTAGGGGAGTATAGCCCCAACTATACTGTTCTCAAATCACAACTTGCTCATAGCCTCCGGTACAAGGAATTTAATGGGCGCCGGCACATATACAGACCTCAAAAACTCAGCAAACCCCTTTCCCAAGCAGTCCAGCCTGGCGGAACTGCTTACTCCCCGTCCTAGAGCACCATAAATGACAAAATGCACCGCCCTGATACCCGGGAACTCAACCCTTTCCACGTGAAACCAATCCCTCCAATCCTCTCCCATCATCTCCTTAATACGCAACCTCGTCAAGTAGCTTCGCAACCATTCCCACGTGTCATCGTTATCCAAGTGCGCCCTCGGCGTAAAACCGACATTCACATTCGCCCCCTTGTCACCCGACCTACCGAGTACCACGTCACCAAGTGGCACCATCTTTGTCAGTCCAAAAGCATCCAAATTCTGGGGTGATGCGGGGTCGTAATTCTCCCTTGGCTGCAGCTCTTCCGTTACTTTCGGTGGGCTGACCTGGATCCTTTTCTCGACTTTATCGTTGCTACCCAATAGGTTGACGGCCTCCTGTAGTCGACTCTGTTCAATTAGCGCAGGGAAATACCCCAGAAAAGCCAATGGCTGCATCAGTCGCCAGTCGAGCGTACAGGCAAAGCCTGGGAAGTGCTGCATGAAGGTATACATGAAAGCCTTCAAGGTCAAGCTCACTGTCTTGGCCAGGGGCGCCTGCACGAAAATGCGCATATAAGTCGTCGCCTTGAGCTGGCTCCGCGGATTTTCCTGCGGAATGCCCACTCGCTGGAATTCAAGCAAGCTGATCTTATCCGTGAGTTTCCATTCCTCGAGCTGTGTGCGCAGTTGGGCTTCTTGTAGGTCATACTTCCGATCCGTCGCATACCCCGTAGCGTTGACGGTCAGTTCGCCCTGAAAACCTCCTTTGTAGAAGACAGCTAGCTTGGTCGTCGGGGGTGGGGGATAACCCTTCGCCCCTGAGACGTGGACACGTGTGTCAGACACCTGCTTCACACGCACCTTGGTGAGATCCGCTTTGACGTCGCTATTGAGGTAGATGTTCCCCTGTAACTCATACAGCAACTGGCACTTCACTACCTCTTCAGTCACGATACCATTCAAGGAGTCATGTTTCGTGATTATGCACTCGCCGTTAGCTGCTACCTCGGCGATGGGACATCCCAACTTCAGCAACTCTTTGATCTCGTACTGATCAAAACCCGCGAAGTTGGCACCGGTGCCGTAGGTAGAACACTCGATGAGATGTCCGGCTACGAGGGAGCCAGCCAGTTCATCCCAGTCGTCCTCTTTCCATCCGTGCCACCACGCCGCCGCACCCATGACCGGGGAGGCATCTGCTACTCGGCCACAGATGATGATATCCGCCCCCTCATCGAGACCTCGTCGAATGGCCCTGCAGCCCAGGTACGCATTCGCAGCCACAATCTTCTTGTTTGGGTCGTTGAGAAAGTTTTCCGCATCCTTAGTAAGTTGAACCTGCTCATTCTGTCCGTCCAAATGAGGCAGCCGCCCGTTCTCGTCGGGCTTTATGTGCTCGTGTACTCTGGGCAACAGATCGTCGCCATCCACATATGCCACTTTCAGGTCATACCCTTTGTTTTGCACTATATTATGTGTATCCCGAGCAAGCCCCTGTGGATTCAGGGCTCCTCCATTGATGATGACTTTGATCCTTTTCTTGTTGATGGCGGCTAGGGACTTGTGCAGACCGTCCCAAGCCGAGGCTACGTAGCCAGGATGCTGGCCTGCTCCAAATGCCTCAGCGTATTGGGCTAGATTTGCTTCTGCAAGGTAGTCGCCTATTATGACATCCACGGGGCCGGCAGTGGCTTGCGTTAACATGATATCCCCTGGATCAGTGGCTGCGCCGGAACAGTTGGCAATCCGAATAGGGCGTTTAGGTTCCATCGTCGTGGAAAACTTTGGCTCCGTGGCAGTAGGGGATGTGCTGGGTTCGAGAAAGAGACTTGATTTGGGTAACAATGCGGGACTGCGACTTCTGTGTCGTGGCTTATACGGTCCCTGAGCTCTATATTTGGCTCTTTAATCGACGGATGATTCACCTATCTCCGGATGGTTCGGGAGGGTTTTGCAACTCTATCACACGAATAATTAGATTCTAAACGTCAGTTGAAGTTATTCATCAAGCCAAACTATGAGATGGCGATGATGCCATTGAACCTTGGGGCCAGCATCTTCTCCGCATTCTGTTCGCCGAACCTCGGCATAGCATGAGCCCCTCAGCACAGCATTGCGTATCATTATGCTGAATTTATTCCGGGCTCTCAAAGAGTTAGTTTATGTTACACTAATTCCTCATCCCGATGGGGAAATGTTGTTCATTCGAGTCTTCGCCAAATTCGCGTATAATACCAACCCCCTATTCGTTAGTTTTGGCGTTTTCTGTCGGACGCAGAGGGGCTTGGTGTGGCTAGGTTTGATACTACCGCTTAGCATCAGGATGGGTGAAGTATACAAGTGCACTGGTTCGTATTTTGTATTTCTCGTTGCACCTACCGAATAGGTGGAATATGAGTGGTCAGACGGATCAACTCTTGTAGACAGGAGCGCATACGGGCCTACACTAACTCTTGCATCCCCTAAAAGTCGCTGGGACTTACTAACTCACTAAAGTCTAATTAATTGTATAACACTATTTATCTGATACAAGTCTCTAGAACCGGTTTTTGTGCGGCGGTTTCTGCAGCAATTATATCTGCGCCTCACCCCATAATTGAGTTTGTTGATTCGGACACCAGTACGGACAGTCGTACTCCCACTCTATGACGATCGTCAAAGTTCCACTCATTACTCGTGGATCAAACGCTTCTCTTTCAGGGGGCAGAATGTTATGGAAGTCTTGGGATATCGTTGAGCTCGAGGAATTCGGGCATAGCAATTAGGAATAAGGATTTGGCTTTCTGTGTAAGGAAAGTGTTTCGGAGGAGGAAGAAGGGAAGCTCAGAGATCAACAAACTATTCTGGGCATACCCACCCGTGACCACCAGTGACTGCCTGATGATAAACAGCAGTAACGCCTGTTTCTCCCCTTCTCTCTGTACTATGGTCTTGCGGTCTAGCCGTTCCTGACAATTAAATGCATGGCTTTCTTCTGTTCTCCCGAGACTCCTGGGATAACCTGGGATAACATGCTTGGCCTTTTCTAGACTCCGAGTCTCCTATTCCTTGGGCTGATATTTTGACTATGCAACTTTTGACCTTCATGTGTATCTCAGGTCAAATTCAGTGGCCACCAACAAGAAATACTCAGGGTCTTTGATCGTAATTGCCGCGTCCCCTCGGGTCCACTATTTCCTACTATGAAAACTATATTATCATTTTTCTTGGAGTTCCCAACACTCATGCTCGGCAAGAGCTATTTAGTACGTTCTCGACAGTGAAAGCAGCGCTGTTAGCTTGGAGATAAATAGAACAGAAACTTCGTAACCCCTACAGCCTTGATGCGCAGATTGACGAAATGCGGGGGACGGTTCATATATCTAATCGAAGGTAAGCAAGGCTCCTTTTAATATGTCATCTTTATTATATATCTACCAGTATGTATTTGGATACATCTCACACTGATCTCGAATCTTTCTAACCTAAAACTGAGCCTCGGAGAATGAGAGTGGAGCTTACCGAAAGTCGCAAGTATTTCTTACCACCGATTTGAATACCTGGCAGGTCTCAGGAGCAACTAAGTCAGGCGACTCAGACGTTAGGAGCTCTCGTGCATCAATATGGCATCCAGTATCGATATCTTTGCGTGTCAGGCAGAGAACGTCGTTAGACTAGCCGCGAATTCTACGACTTTGGCGAAGTAGAGCCGGTGCAGCCTAATGGGGAAGAGGAGGCTCTTCTGCGAACTCCGGACTCCTTCAACGCTGGTTCTACTCTTGTCTTACGTAGCGTCGACTTCGACTTTGAGATCCGCGCCACGTCGGCACTCTTCCATTTAACTGAACTCGAGCGGCTTGCGGAGTAGTGGAATCGGCTGCAACACGGAGGCGGAGGGATATGGAAAGCTGTGCCGCATTCCGGCTCATCAGCAGTGCTGGCATAGATGTCGGCTGAGTTGAAAAAATGGAAAACGGTGGAGAATGTTGTGATATTGGAGCAAAAACAGCCAAACAAGGCTCAAAGGCGGCTTCTTGATAAATCGGGCGAACTGGGGCATGGCCTAGTCCTAGGAGTCAGCTCTCAGGAGAAACATATTTACTCAGAGTTACCTGCACCTTCCCAGTATTGATGACACCAAGATCTTCGGAGCTCACGACTTGTCGAGATTATGCTGACAATGGGGAGACTTGGAGTTAAGTATTGGTGCATGAAATCGACAGCAAGGTACTAAATTGCATGATAAACGGTCGTATTGACCATGCACATCTGAAAAAATAGGATCTCCGCTCGGTATTGGAAGAGCCAACAATGACACCATGATCTATCTGCCTTAAGCTAGCCATAACACTAGCCTTTTGAAAATCGCACTACCATACGGGCCTTTCCGATAACTCCACTCTTCGCTTGGCCGTCCTTGTTATTGTCCTCGCCTGGAAAGGTGGTGACCAGCGTAACTATCTCATCCCTGACGATCCAAATTTCCTCATACCCTGTCTTTACAAATCCCAGCTTCTCAAAGCTTCGCCACCCGCCAGGGGTGGCTGTGAGCGCTGTTACGAACGCAAGCATCAGCTATCTCAATCTTGAGTCTGGGTGGAAAGCTCGGCCCTTGCGTGTCCATGCACCTACCTGAACATCCCGCAATCGTCCAGCCCTTACTTCGAGCCGTCTCCTTGACCGCGCTCAATGCCACTCGCGTGAATCCTGACAAACTATCATCAAAGCGCTCAACGTGAAACACATGCAATCCCACCTCTTCCTCACCACCATTGCCCGATGGGAACATTGTCGTAGCGTCGATGTCGGCCTCGGTTAATTTTCCCTGGAGTAGAGCATGCCAGAATCTACCCACGATGGGAAGAACCATGATTGTGCCGGCGAGATGTCCATCATTCTCTGTCCTCTCGGTCAGGCAGAAGCAGCGAGACAAGTCTGGACAACCGGTCACCCAGCTGCGCAGTTGGTCGAGAGTCAGGGGCGCGGGGTACATGTCCTGATCCGATGCGAAGATTCTTTTCAGGACCTCGTCCGTCATTGGGCCCCCTGTTAGTGCCGGCGTAGCCTCCATGCTTGACTTTCGGGTGGCAAAAGCACCTATTGATGGGGTAGATGTATCCCGAAGTTTGCTGTTCTTCAGTTGATAGTTGCCCAAATTGAAAGTAATGGCATGCAGGGGAAAGGTGGGGGGGGGAGATCCACCGGCTGGCTGTGCCTAGAACGGCCTTGTTTACAGCGGCATCCCGAAATCGCGAAGTTCTAGGCGCGCGGTATCCGACAGCTACATCCGAAAAGGAGTAACGGCCTGAGGCCGCTTTAATGCTGGATTCAGAAACGCAAATTGCAAGCCATTAGTATGCTTTATTTGCCTCTAGTACTCGGGCGTAGTGTGAAATTTAACGCGATGCATAATAGTAATGCCTGCTTCCACTTACTCCCTAAACGGCAGCATAAAGCCATCGTAATCGTACATGTCGATGATTTTCGTAACCTCCTCACCCAAAAACGCCTTTCTAGTTTCGTACGCGCCATGAAATAAACAACATACTATCATATGAGAGTGGGATAATGGATATCGCTCACAAAATCAAGAGGGAATCTCATGCAGCCCAGGAGAGAAACTCAAATATAACGCCCCACACGCCTCAACCAAAACACTCAAACACCACCTCTGTGGTAGAACACATTGTGTGATTTAGGGAGAGTCGAGAATCACCATGGAGTCTCGTTCTGCCTCGAAACTTTCAGCAGTGAGCGCCTTGTCCTTGTCTTTCTTGCCCTCGGCGTCTTCGTCGTCAGCATTCGTTAGGTCCAAAAACATGCGATCGACATCCTTATTGTCTTCGTCTTCGGGATGATGAGCCAGTCCACTTGGTCCACCAACTTCAATAGCGGATCGCCGATCAACATCCCAGACATCGCGGCCAAAGATCTCCTCGGCCCGGCGCCGTCCATTCTCGGTCCGCCCGAGAATCTCAAGGGCCTTACCCTTGCCGGCCTCGCTCTGCAGATTCAGTCCGTCGTCTTGTCCACTCAGGAGTCGGTCCTCCAGCGACATGGGCTCGCGGTCCGACGCCATAAGTCTGGGACCAGGGCCGTTGCTACCATTGCTCAGGAAAAATTGGGGATGCAAGCCGGCACCACCACTGCCATCAAGATCCATAGGATCAGCGCGCAGAGCAGACCCTGGTCTGCTAGACGAGGACGAGTCCGAACCACGAGGCGGATGGGTGTGTGCTGAGCTTGTGAGAGCTGGTGTCGGTGGCTGGGAACCGAGGCCGTAGTAAACATGGCCGCCGGAGCCAAAGGAGTGTGTCGATGGACTGGTGGCATTCGGCACCATGGCACTGCCCGACGATGAACCGGTAGCCGCCGCCGCCGCCGTCGCCTCGGCATTCAAAGCCTTACGTTTGAGACTATTGGCCTTGCCCTTGATATTTTCAGGCAAGTCGTCTGGATCTTCGACGCCGTACTGCATGAGCATCCGTTGCAGCTTGGTTGGGCGAGGTTTGCGGGTGCTCTTAGACACATCTAGCACTGGCGGGGGCTCTGGCGCGACAGGGCTCCACTTGTGCAATTCTTGGCGGAAGAAATTGGTCTCGAATGCGAGAAGGATCTCGGCGCCTTCAATCTTGCGCAGGTAGAAGCGCTGTGTCTCAGCTTCAGAAGCGGTGGCCATGATCGGGTTGCAGTAGGCCTGGATGTGGTTCCTGAAGTCCTGCGCGTTGTCGATGATCCTCGTCAGCACGTCCTCCTCCTCTGGCTGGAATGGCAGATTCGGGATCTCTTCCTGCCACGCAATCAGATCTTCCAGTTTTGGTCGAGCAGCATCACGGGGTATCTTGACACGCCAGTCGCAGATTGGACAAGTGTACTTGTCGTCCTCCTTCACCTTGCCACGTGCGATCTTCAGACACTTGCCGTGATACCACTCATGACACAACTCGCATTCAATCATCATGCCGGCCTCTACCCGGCGGCAGATGCAAAACACCTCCCTGAACGTTGGGTCGGTCCAAGTACGAGGGCCCTTATCCTCTCGTTCTTCACTTGGCGCTCTAGAAGCAGGCTCGGCCGGTAGTCGAGGTTTATCGATAGTAATGTCGAAGCAGTCGTGATTGCGGTCCAGCACGTAGTCCATGTGAGACTTGAGGATGTGGAGTGGGGCGTTGGTTTTGCCAAACAATTTCTTACCTTTTCGCATCCAGTCTTCGTGGCGTTTTTGCTCTTTCTCGAGGTCTAATGTTCCTGTCGGCTTAGAATTGAAGTCTTCCAGTTTCTTCATGATCTCGGCCACCTCGATATATTTCGGCCGTTTGGTGTAGTCTGACTCCCGACATCGCTCTGTAAGGTCAATGATCTGACGGTGTGCTTCTCGTTGCTTGAGGAGGATCTGATCGACCGCCCAAAGGGTGTCAACCCCGACTGGTAGACAGTTTTGTTTGACTTGGTTGGACAGAGCCTCAAGTTGGGGATAATGGACGATCTCCGCCTTGATGAGTTCCTTGGCCTTAGTCTCCCATTGTCGGCCCGCCTGAAATTTATCGTTAAACCATTTCATGTGGTCATTGTATGGTGGTATTTCCAGTCGTAGTCCATCGGTTACGAGCTCCGTCACTTCATCGAGAGTCATGAAGACGCCTCGGAGTGATTTGGCCTTGGCATTCCACCGCATCTGCTCGAGTATACTAGCCAGCTTATCGATTTCGGGCATATCGACATTGAAGCTGCGTCCCTCCTCGAGTAGCTCCTCGATACTATCCTGGCTCTGTATGAGCAACCGCTCAAACGCTTCCTGTGCACTCTTCTGAAAGCCTTTGATGGCCTCGGCACGTTCTCGTAGCTGGGTGATCTCGGGACAGTCGAACCCGATGCGCTCGGCATCTTCGATTAAGCGGTAGATGTTATCGACTTTGCGCATCTCGCGCTCCTTTTGCTCCTGGTAGGAGTTGCCGATGGACTTTCGCATACCGCTCTGCCAGGCTTTGTCGTTCTTTCGGCGGTTCTGCTGCTTGCGTACCGTATAGTTAGTCGCCTCTTCGACCCATTCGTTGCAGCGATCAACGAATTCCTTGAGCGCTGGCAGAGAGGGGAGGTCGTACGGAATGCGGTCACCCTCGCTGAGAAGAGTACGAAGCGCTTTCAGCGTTGGTGTAGCTCCTTCATCTAGCATCTTCTCGTACTTTTCCTCCCAAGCTTCCGGCAGATGTGCTTTGTCCGCAACCTTACGGTATGTCTCGGCGAGATCTTCGTTCGATTTTCGGTAGAAGAGGATATGGTCTTTACCAGCGAAACGGGCCGACTCGGGGAGGTCGCAGCAGGCGTGAAATCCCGCGTGTTGTAGACATAAGAATTTCCCTGAACGATTGCATTTGAATCTCGCGAGGTAAGCAAACGACTTGCAGTATGAACATTGATACTCTTCTTCCGGGACGTCTTCGTCGAAGAGTTGGTAGGTCAGAGTGCAGGGCTCATGCGGGTCGGCCGTTAAAATGCAGGGGTGGTCGTTGTTCTCCAAGTGTTTGCTGATGAACTGCTCACGCCGGCAAACTTCCTTCTTGTGGATTCGCTCCAAAGCCGGTGCGAGCCATTTTGCTGTTTGAATAGTAAGTCCAGTCGTGGCTCCTTCGGCGGCTGTCCAAAGAAGTTCATCATGGGAGAAACAAGGCTGTTTGCGATACTCCTGAAGTCGTTCCACGCCAGCCAAGCCGTGGGGTTCCCAGTCGCACGGTGCGAAGTTGACAGCCTCATTGAAGTTGAAGCCGTGATTGAAGCCGGCGTGGTACGCTTGTGGAAAAGTGATGACGAACTGCCCCGCCCGCTGATCCAGTGCGTAGACTCTCACTCCAGACTTCTTCAGTTGTTCTGGCGTGAGCAGGGTGACAAGTTGGAAGAGAAGATCTGGCTGCGTCTCGAACAGCTCCGGAACCGCTTCACGCATGGCGTTTTCAAACTTCTCAGCATCCTCGCCCGGAATCCCATACCATGTTTTGGTGGCACCGAAATGCTGGTAGTTGGCTGAGTACGCGTAATGGTCCTCATTGTGCCAGCAGAAGGTCGAAAATATCATGCCTACATACACCCAGGGCACAGTCATACCGGATATGTCAGTCTTGATGTGCCTAAAAAGCGACTCGGGGTGTAGCGGCAGAATGTTTAAATTCCAGAAATCAGTGGAGTAGGGGTTGCTGGGATTCCTCTCTGCCGTGGGGAAACCGGAGCCGTGGGTCGTGCAGTGAATGTCAGCGCCATACTCGACCTCAACCGTCTCCTCGATACTAGCAACCAGCTTCCAGAATTCGCGCTCGACATCGTCTTCGGTGACTGGTCTAGGGCAATTGAGTACAGGATCGAACGGCATCCGGTTCTCGAAGTAGCCTTGCTTAAAGTCGGCAGCCTTCTCCTGGAATTGTTTCAAGGAATAGAGACCTCCCTCCTCAAAGCCGAATTGGCCATCACCAACAAGGCATCGTGGACAATTCCATTCGGTTTCCGGTTTCTGTTTCAGTTGGGGATCCAAGCATGTGCCATGATAGCCGTTGTCGCAGGATTCGCAAACCGCCAGAAAACCCGACTCTTCACCTTTGCCGCAAGTCTCACATCGCTGCAAACATTGTCAATGAACAATACCAAGAGGGTTGGTATGCTTAGAAAGTTGGTGGCAACTCACCTCTCCCGGAATCGACGATTCGTCCCGCGGCGTTCGGGGACCTAGGGGTCGGAACAAGGACATATGCGAGCCAGCTACTGTCGGTACGGTTTCTGCAAGTCAATTGCATTAGCCACACAACAGGGCCCAATAAGAAACAAGGATGTGACTTCGCGGCAGGTAGATCCTTGCCATCCCTGGAAGCGTGCTGCACGGCGGACCGCATGACTCGGTGCGCCAAGCCCCGTGGACCACCGACTGGATGCACAGCTCACCACATTTGGGGCCGCTGGGGTTCCTGTGTTCCACGTAGATCTGGATGCTTACGACCAACGACACGTTGTGTGGCAAGCCAACCAATGTCAAGGAAGTTGATGTGACATGTATCAAACAGAATTATGCAACAAAAAATGCCGAAGAATGTAGTTTGAACAACTGGTGCTTACCTTTCTTCAGTCGCTTACTCCGTCGACTGCCATTTTCAGAGTCGTCTTTGTCGGCACTATCCTTCTTGGCAATGTCGAGACTGTCGCTGCTCAGCTGTCGCTTTAACGAATTTGCGATGCCCAGCCCCGAAGGCCTCAAGTCTGGTGTGTTTTTGGCTGATAAAATCGGGCTTCCAAACTGCTTCGGCGGAGTAAAGCTCTTTGCTTCAACCGGAGTCGGCCGGTTGACACTGGTGAAGCCGGCATTGACTGCAGTGAAACCTCCCGTGTTAATTGCTGTGAACCCACCGGAAGTAGGAGCTGGCGCTGGGGTTGGAATTGGCGCTGTAGCATCGGTCATAGATGTGTCACGGTCACCCTCCTGTTTAAGACCGTTCAAGCTGATACTAGCTTGCAATGCGTCGGTCGCGTTCCGTGTGGGCGAATCTCCCCTCAGGCTGGATGGCGTATTTACGGTAGACCGCTTCATCGGACTCGGTGCTGGGCTGGGAGTGAAGGGGCCGCCGTACTCGTACTCTAGCTGTTGGTAGACACCAGGTTTGGCGTGGCGGAGATAGTTCTCGTAGGGATTAAGCCAGCGATCATAGGAATTTTTGAGAGACGTCGACAGGGACGACATGATTTTGCCACTGTATCCCAGATCGCGACCAATCTCTGCCCACTTCTTCATCTTGCACACCTTGTCAAACCCACCACGGGCTTCGACCGCCTTCTTGAGCCGGTAGAGATCAAGGGGCTTTTTGTCGACGTATGGTAGTCGGTTGAGGTTTGTCCCTTGTTGTTTGTGGAACTTTGCAAGGGCATCGAGGTAGGTTAGATTCGCGCGTGTGCCTAATTGTGCGATCATGTCAGAGAATCGTAACTAGCATGGAAAGTACAGACCACAGAGACAACTTACTGCCTTCGACTGAATTCAATTCTTGCTTTCGGGTCCTAAAGTGGAACTTCTATACCGACGTCAGTAAAATCAGGAAAATCAAGATGGGTTGTTGCCATTTCCGCGAGCGCCTCATTGTACTCGGGAGGTTACCAATCCTCACCTCTGTATCGATTGCAAAGTCAGGATTCCACGAGTCGGGCGGGATAATCTTGCAGATGCCGTACTTCGAGGCCTCTGGGGTGATCTTCCTGATGTATTCGAAGGGATCTCGCCAGTCGTCTTCCGTGGGGCGATACGTCGGAGCTTCCTGAAGGCCATGCGGACGGTTTCGCTTCGACGGTTCCCGGCTCGCGGTCGGTTGTCCCCGTCTCTCAACCGATCTCAAATCCAGTCCGGCGCTGCGCATCGAGCTCAGAGGTATTGGGGGGTTTGTGGGATGGTATCCGTTGCCGTTGAGTGATGTCTTTGGTTTCATTCCGTTCGTAGCCTGAGCTGGATTGCCCATGGACGAACTTATTGCCGGTGAAGCTCTGGAGCTCACGTTTCCACTGCCTGTGCCGGTATCCCGGGGCCCGCCCCAAGCCATGTTGAGCATTAATTACGAATTGTGAGATAGATTGACGGCGGGAAATGAGTGATTCGAGGGGTCCTAGTTGTCAAAGTTGGAGTATGATGGTGCTAGTCAGTGTCATGCGAGTCGAGCTTGTGCATTCACTGGCCAGATTGGCGCATTGTCCGAGGGTCTCGCAAGCATAAGACCCGTAGCATGAAAATGCTTCGAGGCAAACGGCAGATGTCACGAAAACCGCTGCGATGGTTGCACGGGGAGGTGCAACTGGTTGGTCGAGGGCGCCTCGAGAGAGAGAGAGAGTTGTGTGCAAGAGTAAAGTTGGAAGGTGCCGAGGATTGGCGGAGACCTGCTAGATAGACGACTTGACGATGGGTCCCGTCCCCCAGCTGAAGTATGCTCCACACAATGGATTATTCGACACCTGAACCATGACACCACTGGTGCTATGCGAATATCGACTTCAGCGTTTTTGTTTCTGCTTATTCACGGCTGGGCATTGGTGCGCAATGATTATATGGGAATTGCGTAGAAGGGGTGCTGGTTGCGCTTCCAATTACGGTGGTAACCAAGTATTTCGTACTTTGGTACGTACCCGTAAACGGAGCTACTAGGGCTCTCTAGAAGAGGTGTTGGAAATTGCAGGTGATAATATAGGCTCGTACTAGAATCCAAGCCTGATAAACCAGAATTTGCCAAGCTTGGGTGGAAAAAAAAAGCAATGGGATTACCGGTTGTACCAATTAATGTCACTGGCTGGAAAGTTCGCATCAGGTGTATGGAAGGTGCGAAATGCGAGATGGACAGAGTGACGGGGGGTGGGTTGATGCGCAAGTGGAGGGAGGCAGTCAAAGAACGGAACGGAGGAGAATCAACGACAGCGGGAATTTGCCCAGATGATGCGAGGGATGGTGGGTCTGCATGTCGGTGCCCCCATAGATTCTAAAAATGTGTCATCTACCAACCGATCTCAGGCTCCCAGGGCCCAAAGGCAAATTCGCCCGTGCTAGCTAGCCTATTAATTGGGATGGGGTCGCAGATGCTAAGTGGAAAAGAGGGCGGAAAACGTCAATTGTTCTCAATTAATGGAAGTGGTGAGGTATCGGAGGCGCCGTCCGGATAGGTGTCCACAGAGTTGAAGTAGGAGAACGACAACGACGCCTAGAGGTTAACATGCGAGTTCATGGGCAAGGGGGGGAATGGACAAAGTCTGTGTCTGATATTGACATTGACGATAGGGACCTTGCATCCACAGCTTTTCTTCGGGGGCCTACCTTGAGTAGGCAATAATTTGGATCTCTCACGAAAACTCAAAATTAGGACAAATGGCTCGATGCTGTCATTTGCGCAAGACTCGCTGGTGCATGAATCGCTCATTGCAGCAGAGGTGCGACCGCGATGAAGACGGTCGCAAGTAGCAACATTACCGATCGAGGGAAGAAAAATCAGCGGCAATCAGGGCAGTTGCCTGATTGCCAGGGACGATGCTCCCGTCTGCCGGGTCTTTCCATTCGGTTTTGGGATGTCAGATGTCAAGGTGCGTTTGTGCAACCCTTCGAACAGACTCCCATTGTCCAGGCAGTGACGGTAAATGAGTAAGCCAAATCAAGAATGACGGAGCCATCTGTTGTAGCTACGTCCCTCAATTGTTTGGGTGCCAATTTGAACTTGTCTTGAGTTTTAGTTCCCAACGGAACAAACAACTGTGTCCAGACTAAGTTGGGTGTCGTCAAGCTGATCTGATAATCGCGGGTCGGGCTGGCAGGGGTCCAAGCAAGGTGGATCACTAGTAGCCAATGAGAGAGGTATGAAGTTGGGAAAACGCGCCGCGGCCCCCTCTTCTCCCCTGGTCAGCGGCAGCTTTGGACCTCGTCACCGTAAAAAAAAAGGCTCAAGCGGAGGCCTTTGCGGGGCAAGAGCTGATCCGTTGAGGCTTCCCGCACATGTGCCGAATTCAACGTCGTTCCTTCCATGTCGTGAAACTTACCACAGCAAAATTGGACAGTGCAAAGGAGGATCTAGATTCACGCCGTTCTCTATTCATGTGGAGTCGAAAGGCACGACGTCCAATTGATGGAATGGGGATTTATTTATTGTTATAGACGAAGTTTGCCTCCGGTTTATCTGCTTAGCCCATAGTCCATTTTACTGAAGCTACTGTTGCTAGCGGGCGGAAGCCAATTTCTGTTTCACTACCCCGCCTGCTAACGTTATTCCCTGATATAAAGTCACCAGCTTCAGTTTTCCTATCGTGCTTGTACCCCAGATACACGCTAATTTTGCAATTCAAGACTTGGACGTGGCCGGTTGAGACCTGGACGACCTGTCTACGAGGGTTCGACGTTGATGATATGCTGTATCGCCTGTGTGGCGTGTGTAGCATCTTTCCATATGCAGTCACAAGAAGTGAGCCAGCAGTAATTGTATCTCGCCGTCTGATTTCATTCCCTTCGCACGTCGCCTTAAGTGAGTAAACACGTCAATCTATCCAAGCCTTCATAGCCTGTAGATGATATATGACTTTCTGTCAATACTCCACGCTTCCCAGAAGTACCAGAAGTATTGGTGTGATCGTTAAATATGTGGAGAAAGGCAGGGACTGTATGGTGACTCCCCAAATAGGATTCCCTATCCCCAAGAAAACTTTGTCGAGACATCGATTATATTTTTGAATGAGATAGAATATCATTATTTTTGTTTTGAGGGTTACACACAGCATGCCGTGTTATCTTTATTTTGCTTGTGATAGGCAACACCTCCCCATCGAGGTTAGAGCAAGAGAGTAGTTTGAATGCCCCATTGCAAGTAACATGGTTTCGTGGCTCATCAGACGATGGGTTTGCTCGGAAGCCAGGCCATCCATCCTTGGGTGTGTCGCAGCCACTATTTAACCAGTCCTGCTAGGAGTAGTAACATACCCTACCCTTTAATTCTTGACTGATGAAGCACATAAATTAATTGTCCCCCAGAGTGCTAGGAGAAACCTCACATGAAAATGTGTCCTAGAAAGGGGGCTTGGATTTGTCTTCGTACCTCATGTTCAATTGTGTATAATAGTTGACTGTTGAAATGTTGCAAAACCCTTTGGGAATATTAATGCTTTACGTCTCTAAATCCTAGCCAAATGCATAAGCACATCTATATCCTGTGCATATTGTGTTCCTCTTGTACCGCTGATAATGTAGACAACGTAAGGGGACCCTGGCTATATGTCATTATGACCGATGTGTGACAATTTGGCACGGCGTGAAATCAGATTGTGGATTAACACTTAAGAAGAGTCTGGTAATAAAGCCTGCAAACAAGCATTTCAGGCTCTCTCGCAACGTAGGAAAACTAAAGGCTTTCTTTCGTAGAGGCCGTAAGACATGAGATTTAGGATGACCTACATAGTGTTGAAAGATAAACCGGCAGGTTGGTCACGATGGGGCATAGCAATAGTAAGAATCAGGGGAGGAAGAAGATAGCGCTGAAAATCAGAGGCCCACATATAGCCCATGATGCATGATTCGCACAATTCCTCGACAAGTCAGTTCTAGTGATGCTTGAAGTCTGTGCAAGCGCGGTTGAAATTCAATGTATGGCCCGTGCATTCGGTTGCCCCGCCGTTCGCCTCCGAATCAACGTAAACAAGTTCACATCAAGATTCAACTGAGCTCGCTTCTTTCACATGCGCCAACCTACTTAACCACAGCTTTTGCACTGAGTACCCCTCCGTGCACGCAACGATGAGGCTTGTGCCCTCCTTTGAAAGCTGGCAACCACGTTCAACTCGGTATCCTTGAAGCCACCCTGGAGCTGCAACGGAGTCGACGACAATGTCTGTCTTACCCAAACCAATACCTCCACTCTACACCGTGTATATCCTACGGTCGACCGTCCGCCGTGCGTCACTATATGTTGGCTCTACGCCCCATCCCCCACGACGGCTGAAACAGCACAACGGGGAATCCAAAGGCGGCGCGGTACGAACATCACGAAGCACTTTGAGACCATGGGAAATGGTCGGATTGGTGTCTGGCTTTCCTGGCATGGTCGCAGCTCTGAAGTTTGAGTAAAAATAGCACAGAATGGATTCTTGAGAACGCAGCTGACAGATATGCAGATGGGCTTTAACAAATTCGCACCTTTCCCTGCACATTCCGTCGACGTCTAGGATCAACGTCGCGACACAGAAGAAGCGAAATGGCCATCCAAAGCGACCGCCTCACAGTGTAACCTCGATCCTGTCGAACCTACATCTTCTCCTCCGTGTCCCCAGCTTCGCTAGATTGCCAATAAAGCTGCACTTTTTCGCGCCAGATGTACATCGTGCTTGGATCAAGTGGTGTGGGACGTCAAATGAACCACTTCGAGACACAATCAACGTTGTGACAGATTTTGGTCTCGCAGCAAATGCGTCTACGGAAGGGGATAAAGAAATTACAGATGCAACATCTCAGCCCTGGGGAATATATGCCCTCTCACTCGATTATGCGCCCATCAAGGACTACGTGGAAAAAACGCAGTCCGCCTTTGCTTTTGAACGTGAAGGTGATTGCGTTGTGTGTGGTGAGGGTCTGAATCCCGGAGAGGGGCTATATGCAGCATGTTCTAATGCTGGTTGCGAGGGTGTAGGACATGTCTCGTGTTGGAGCGAGCATCTGTTGGGCAAGGAGAAAAACGACAGCATAATACCTGTGTCAGGACGATGTCCAAAGTGCGAGGGTCAGGTGAGGTGGGGAGAGATGATGATGGAGATGAGCTTGCGGCTGCGAGGACAGAAAGAGATCAGCAAACTCCTTAAGAAGCCGCGGAAACGAAAGGCTGCAATTTCTAACGATACTTGAGACGTCTACTATGGCGTTATGGCTGGGGTGCGATGGGATTACAGCAGATGCTTGGTTTCCCGTCGCATGAATACCACGAGTCCACGAGTTCATGAATGATACCAGATGTCTCGTCAATATCGACTATGCGCCGATATTCGAGCACCATAATTGCCTTTACTAGCGATTCATCATCTTGCTATCGGCCTCGTCGGCACTAACGGATACATAGAGAGCTCGGTTTCATTGCCGGCTTGGCGGATATGAAAACTTGACACTTCAGGCTTTCAGGGGCCTGAAGTTGGAATCGACCCTTGTCATTGGATTATGCAGGGGTCGAAGGGCAGTCTGTCAGATATTCATAATGGTGAGGAAACCGATATGGTGCCTATTCCGAGTTTTCCATCCTCTTTCGCGCTCGTTCTTGGTGTTCGGAGTTTGTTCATCGCCCAACTTTGTTGCATGCGACGTTTGATCGACGTTGCGTGAGCACAGGCCAGTCTCCGCTGTGTGGCCTAGTTGGGAAGCGCCGGTCACATGTGACGGCCTCGATTGGACTCGCTTATTATCATATGTGATAGAGACCCCTTTGAAGACAAGATGTCGGCCCAAAGTGGCGACGGAGCCCTGGCCAAACAGCCTGGCCGTCGACCCTTTTGCTCGTTTGGTTTCCCTGGAGCGGATCACAGTGGATCGCCAGCTTGCTCGGATCGTGCCATCTTGGCATCGCTCATCACCAGATTCGCCCTCTTGGGGTGCAATGGCTGCATCCCTCTGCCCCCTGACACCTGCGATAATTTCCCCTATGCACGACAGTTGGACTTTGAAACTAGCTGGCCACCATTGGTGATACTGAGGGACCGGTACGACACTATTGTCCTGTAGACTGTAGATAGATATAAGTAGTTGAGTGTCGCTCAGTTTGAGTTCAGCCATTCAGTCATTGACCCAACCTCACCCAATCTCTTCTCACTCCCTTGAACCAAACACACTGCATCATTGACCAATCACACGATATCTGCCAGCTACAAACTCTCTCTACCTTTACCATCCCTCCCGGCATTGCGCTCGCACGTACTATACCCCATCATCAGACTCACGAACCTCATCTCCAATACATTATGTCACTTCACAGCCCCATGCCCATTTCCAGCACGAATCCCTTGTGATCAATCCGCTCCTAACTCTTTCCCTACTATATTTGTCGCCTTATCCCGCAGCATAGACACCGCCCACCTGCCCAAACTGCCCAAGCCACTTCACAGCTCCAACCTCAGTCACTTCACAGACTCTATTGCATCCCCATCACGGCAATTTACCCCAACACATCGCCTCCCAGCCCAAGCACACCACCTCTCAACCCCTCCTTGATTCCTGACTACATCCCCTCGCATCTTCATCCACCCTACAGAACCACTGCCACGAACCACGTCTCTCCTTCCCCAACATGGTCATAGCATACCCAAGCCACTTCTTACCCCCATAAACTTTCTGACCACACGTTCATCCACTGCCTACCCATCAACACTACCCACACAAGCACCATTACCAATCATATAAGCCCACGGTATTGAACCTTTCCCCCCTCATTGCACACAACCCCTAACTCAGAATACCAATCCTAAGCAACTCTCCTTTCAAGACAGGAAATATTCCTTATGATCCCCATTCCACCACGCTGCCCCTCAATCACACCATCTATCATCAAGTTCCTCGTCCTCTTCACCCTCCCTCCCTCATCGAACAACCCGTCTCGCTCACTTCACGAGTCTAAATCGGTACCTTTATCCCTATCTTTTCCTCCCGCCGAGCCAGTACACACCTTCAACTACTACACATATACTCCACTACCATATATACTCTTTTCCACTGCACATTACCTCTATCATTAGCCTCCCTACAACCTACCGACAGCATCAAACCTTTTCTCCCAGTACAGATCACACTATCGTAGCCCAGTTCCTTCCTGACACCTCTCCGTTCCCAGACGTCCCAATAGTCTCCAAAAACATAACCCAGGTTGCCGTCCCATGTTAGATCCTTCCTGTCATTGCCCAAAATCCTCCTTGATCTCCAATCACACAACATATCACTTCGGAGAACCCCCTCGCAACCTTCCTCCCTTGCCTCTAGCATTGCATATTTGCCCTCTCTCGATCAACTCCCATCCTCCACCTCCATCGATTGCCATTCCACCTTCAACCCCTTTCGCCAGCCTCACCCTGCATCCCTTCCAGTTACCTACCATCAAATACCCGTTTTGCCAGCCCCGCTCTACAGCCCTTACCTTTATTATTTGCCTCCATCCTCACCTATTTCCTCTTGAGCTGGCTTTCATAGTCCTATGGCGGGGAAGTCTGAGCGGGGGATCTTTAACGAGTGCGTTGGTCTGGAGATGGAATGACGATTGGATCGGGGTCGACACTGCGCTGTTCTGGCTGTTGGAGCGCCAAGGGGCTTTTGCGATTTATTTGCGGAATGGGGATCAACGATGGATGGTGGATGGGAACGTGGCAGCGAGCGGTGGTTTCAATAATATCGTTTGTTTGCACGCACCTTATGATGATCCCAATGAGAGTGAATCGTGACCAGTGCTCAAACATGTTTCCATAATACTGCTAGAAATCATGGAAGATGGTCATCTATGTCTACAAGATTTTTCCATTTTTACCTGAGTTTGTGAGCTTCCTTCCAGTATTGCTGACAATTCGTAAAAGAAAAGGGGGCCTTCGGTTGGGCTATAGCATGCCGGAGAAATGAAAGCAAATCGCTCTTTCTCGAGAGTCAATACACAGAAATAGGTATCTTACCCGATGATACTTGTACCAAGGCTGATTTATCGGGATGTTACGCACTGGCAGATAGACACATTCATGGGATAGTAATGGCGCTATGGATATCTGCTTCATTGGTACTCATAAGTCGATATCGAGACTCCAAATTCATACATTTTAAGTCACACTGTCCTCGGACGCTTTTCAGTCCATGGGATGCTAAACTATTAGCACATACTCACCTGTGGATGTTGTTATGCTACCAAAGCCAAGTAATGAATCATTGTTTCAATCTTCAATAAGTATCGATGACGCCAGCATCTAGACCGGACCTGTCGTGAAAAAGTATGCCTACATCACATTTTGAACCTCTCAAACGAACGATTGTGCCCAGATCCATGGGGTTTGAACAAATAAGTCGACTGACCTTGTTATTCACCTTAGTTGGCTACCACATCTGCGGGTAAGAGAGGAGGTCTGGGGTCATATCGCCCTATTTATAGATCATGTGTTCCACATAAAAACCTCCATGACCACCAAGGCCTGGTGCAATTGGACATCAAATGACACCCACATGGGTTGGGTAATGCAAGATGGAAAACCAGACGTCTAAAGAATAAAGTACCAACATGAGCCACCTCTGCACTTCGGCTTTTGCTAAACATCTTGTGTTTCCTCGTACAGGAAGGTGTGGGTAGCTGGCATATAGGTGAAGCATTCTTGACTAGCCTGGAAGCCAGAGCATTGTTTACAAACCTCACTACCTTCCATTGTGAGGAGTTCACACCGATTGAGGTTTCCCGTGCTGAACGATCTCGAGTCGTTCTGGGATATTAGGCACTCATTGCCTCTACGATGGAAGCACTTTCCGCCGACCATTTTGCTAAGTAAATGCAATGCCACTTGCAGATGGCGTGGTCAAGTACTGCCCCAAGACCCCAGATAGGAAATAGACTTATCTGACCTATACTCCAGACTTGGCGTGATAATCCTATAGTCTAATATGTTATTCAGGAACTCGGAAAGGAATTCAGTAATTACGCACTATTCGGCCACATATAACTGTCACTAATCCAGCTAGATGGTTTAAAACGAGGCCTATTGGCCCACTTTACAAGCACTTGAACACTGTAAAAAGTATAACGTAGTCCACGGTCCAATTGCACACTTTGGCAGACCTTATACGACAATGTATAAGTTAATTCAACCACAACGCCTATCATCAATTGAAACTACTCAGAATCGTTATCTTCAGACGTCTCTACATCATTTTCACAAGTGCGCGCATTATGTCCGGGCTCGCCGCAGATTCTACAGCGCCGTACACGCGCAATTCGCCGCCTCGTACGACCACCAATTTGACGAAATTCGTCATGTAACTGCCCATCAACCTCTCGTTGAGACTGTAGGTCCTGTCCAGCTTGTATACGAAGTGACCCTACACTCTGTAGCTGTTTTTTCTTCGCACGGCGACGTCGACTTAAGGTCTCATTTGCCTTTCGAAGTGATTCGACCTCGCCTTCTAAAAGGGCAAGCCGATGCATAACCTTCGTTGTACCTCGCGCAATCTGATCTATTCCAGCAAAAATTGACGTTGGTAAGCTATTTTTATGTCGTAAAACCCTATTTTTCACATAATCGGTTTGTGATTGGGCTTCGGTTGGGTTGTTTGGAGTCTTTGATTCCCAAGGGACGGGGAGACCAGCCGAGCTACCCGGAGGTGTTGGCGTATGTAATTTCACATCGAGCTGTGATATGACATAATCTGCATCGTACGGAACTATTCCTACCCCTCGGAGACCTCCTTGGATATTTGAAACCGTGAAAGTTGCGTTGTACGCGTTTAAAAACGCCGGTAAAAAGTCTTCTTTCGAGATATGACTTATATGTGCTCGCATGAGATCTTCGATTTCTTTTCCGTACGCTCTTTTTAACCCGCGAAAACAACCAACATCAAGAGGCTGGAGCTTATGCGACGAATGAGGAGGCATACAAAGCGTGACGATATTGTTAGCTTTGCAATATACCTCGAAATCGGTCGAGTGATGGCTTTCGTGACCGTCGAGGATCAATAGGCGATGAGTACCTTTCGTACGAGACTTGGTGTGATGATCGAAGTGTTTTATCCAATCTTAGCCTCTCTAGTTCGTAGTCCAGCCATTTTTAGTAACTGCGATAACCAAATCAGGCGGTAATGGGCTGTTTTCGTACCATGACGAGAGGTGGGTTTTGCCGGCGAAAATGATGTACGGAGGGAGGGCATAACCGGACGACCCAACGCCTTGAATAACTGTAACCCATTCCCGATTTCCTTGCTGGGCTGCTCTAGGCCTTCCGCGCCGATCAGAAGTTGTCACGACCATTTCGGACGAGATTTGGCCCATCACAAAACCGGTCTCGTCGAAGTTGTAGATATCCTCCTCCTGGATCGCGTATTTCGCAATTGTATTCCGTAACAGGTCAAACCACGCGCGATACGCATCGGGGTCTTCGCAGAGGACTCTCTGATAGTATATCCTTCGATTTAAACGCGCCCGGAGGTCTGGTTGTCGTCTTACGAAGCTCGAGGCCCAGTTGACGCCGACGCGTCCCGCGTCGCGACTTCGAAGTAATCGGTTGGCCATATCTTCAACACCACTCAATCGGGGAGGAAATGCTCGCGAATCTAGGTCGGTTATATGTCGTATGATTGCATCTTCTTCGGAAGGAGTCAACTTTTGCGTTGGCGATCGCGTAATCGCTCGAGCGGTTTTACCGTCACGTCGATACGCAAGGGTTCTAAAAGGTATGTTATAGATCTGACCAGCGCGACGTACACTTAATTTTGGATCAGACTGAAGCGCACGTAATGCTAGAATCATATCACTTTCATTCCAAGAACCAACCATAGTTATGTGGTGAAAAACCGCAGGTCAAAGTGGTAGCGTACGAAAATCTGCCGAAGTGTGCAATTGGACCGTGGACTACGTTAATATTAATCATAGAAAATTAACTAAACTATTAAAAGCAAAATTCCACCATTATATAACTACTTATGCTAACGCATATATTGTATATAAGTGTAAAGAAGAGCTGTTATTGCAGCCCGGCAAGCTGGGTGGGGGAGATTTCGCCTCCAATTCATGAGAACTCTGGGGGTGCCTCGACAGGAACAGGGTATCGTGGTCATTTTCATCCAAACTTGGATTCCTTAAGAATCAGTCTTGCAATATACGCATCCGTATTACCGTGGCACCACAGGCAGCTCTTTGCTCTACCTGATTAGTACCTCTAAAAGAATAAGCTATCGACAAGTAGCCGAGATATATATCGTAACCAGAACCTCTTTACGTGATGAAATAAATGATTATACACGACTTAGTAAAGCTAGGCTAAATTGCACACTACTAGCTAAAATAAAGGATGTAGCAGTAACGGGTAGAGTAGTTTCGTATACTAGATTATTCCCACCTCTTTAGAGAGACACTTTGCTAGAAATCTTCAGCCACCAAGTAAAACGCAGCGTTGAGTGTAAGTATTGCAACACCTCGGAAAGAGCATGAAAATCGAAGAAAGGGGGTCTTTGGGGGCGCAGCAAGAGACCGATGAGCAAGGCTGATCCCTGCTCCCCTTTTGTTAACTTCGTTTTTGTGCACCAAGCGATTCAGTAACCTCTGTGTGCATCAACGGCAATTCTTCTGCACATTTGGCAACCGGCAATGAGTCTATGTCCACGTATACATCCGGAGATGATTAATAGTGGCCGCAAGTCAGCTATGTCCCTTTGCGTATGAAGACCGGGCTAGCTCCGTCTACCTGGGGGTCTCAGGGTCTTGGGGTCTTGGAATCTTGGGGTCTCGGGGTCTTGGAGTCATCTGATGTCCCTAAATAACGCGTAACACCAAGCATCTTGGTCGAATCTGATCCATTTTTCGAAAACTACCAAGACTTTGGCACTGGAAACGAGATGGCATTGGGGCACACGAGATCTTCCAGAAGTAGACGAGATTCTGTCGGCGGCCCAGCTACACGACTCCGTCCAGTTATTATCTCGACTCGCAAAGTGTGGGTGAGAAAACACGTTGGTTGGTTCGACAGAAGCGTCGAGGTTACAACAGACACAGAAAACTGTGTCGGACTGTTTGTTTGGATCGAACTCTACTCAAGCTGCATACAGCATTGACCAAGCAAGCCCTCTATCAGGTCCGCATCAGACGTCTGTTCATAGTGACTATATGCATGTAGGCTGAGTGACCCTGTAATCTCAAAGTCAACCACCTTGGCGTGGCCCTTTTCCTCGGGCTCCTTTTCCTCGGGCTCCTTTGTATGGAATGAGGCGCAATGCGACTGTCTGGTTCTAGAACACTCTCTTCTTGATGGTTTTAGTCACCGTCAATAGCTGCACTGGATATAGGATTGATCGATCACATACAATATTTAGTGGTAACGTAGTCCACAAGCGAACGGGTCACCCAACCGAACGGGTCACCCAACCGAACGGGTCACCCAACCGAACGGGTCACGCCAACTAGCAAAACATGGAATTCAACACGATTTCGCAACCACAACGCCGTAAATCAATTAAAACTACTCAAAATACTCTTGACCAGATGATTCTATCTCTACCTGACAGGTTCGCGCATTATGCCCGGTCTTCCCGCATACGCCACAGCGCCGTTGCCGTGGCTGGCCACGATTTGATCCAGCGCTATTTCCACGCATTTCCTGCTGTACTTGCTGCTGTACTTGCTGCGCAACGTCCTTTTGATCTTGAAGATCTTGTACGTCTTGTGAATTAAGTGATCCTCCAAGCCGTACTCGTGTTTTTTTGGCCCTGCGCCGCTTGCTAATTAGAGCATTTGCCTCTCGAAGTTCCGCGACCTCAGCTTGGAGTAAAGCCATCTTATGCATAATACTCCGCGCTCCTTTCGAAAACTGATAAATAGCATCGTAAATTGACGTCGGGGAGCTATTTTTATGCCTGGCAATTCGAGATTTAATAAATTCGGACTGCGAAGTAGCCTCGGTTGGGTTGTTTGGCGTCCGAGAAGCCCAAGGAAGGGTTTCCCGCGTAGGGGGCCGGGAGGACGTTGGAGTCTGTAATTTCACATCCAGCTTCTCAATAACAATATCTGGGCTTAAAGGCACAATTCCAGCCCCTTGAAAGCCTGCACGAATATTGCTTTCGGTCAGGCTCTTCTTGAACGCGTCGCAAAATGCCGGAAGAAAGTCCTCCTTTGTGATATGCGAGTCGCGTAGCAGTCGGTTTGCCATATCTTCAACAGCACTTAGCCGGGGAGGGAATGCTTGCGAATCTAGCTCAATTATCCTTTGAATAATCGTATTTTCTTCTAGTTTTGTTAAAATTCCGACCGTTGGCTTCGATATTGCGACGTGATTGACGTTTTTGAAGACGCGCCTGGAGAGTAGTATTCGAGACTTTGTAGATTGTTGCAGCACGTCGGATACTAAGTGTTGAGTCATTTCTGATAGCTTGAGTTGCAAGGAGTAATTGAGATTCTTTTTGAGCAGAATCCATCGAGATAGTTGCGTGGTAAAGTTAGGAAGTTTAGTTCTATTTTTTGCTATGGGCGTGACCCGTTCGGTTGGGTGACCCGTTCGCTTGTGGACTACGTTACTGCACGTCAATTTCGGAAAACCATCTTAGTCGGCCAGAATCCTAGACAGCGCGAGTCGTTGGAACCATTCGCAAATAGCACAGCTGGTAAATGTGATACTACCCCATTCTGAGACTCCATTCGCAATCATGCTGGGCTCGCGTATTGGCCTAGTGCTGTCTCACCATGCGGGGCTATGTCGCTACGTTATCCAGTGGCCCATATAAGACACCGCAAACAATATTGCATATTCCCAGGGCTCGAATAAAACAGAGTACATCCGTCATTCTATATGATTCATTCGATGTTTTTTTATGTTGGTTCGTCTTAATCATCCACGGCTAATGGCGCCTGAGAGTGTGTCTTTCTCTAGGCATAGTATCTCCACCGTTCGCTTCTATATTATAGAATGCCAAGTCTTGTAGTGGGGAGTTCAGTCTTCAATTAGATGGATGGGATATAGCGCCAAGGTCTTACGGACGTCACTATAACTTCCACCCTGCTATTAGAACGGCATTGTTTTGTCAAAATGCGCCCCTGCCAACCAGCTCCACTTGGCAGATAGCCGGACTCGTTCGTCGCTGCTATTGGCACTTCAGTTCGTCAACATACCATTCTCTATAAAGCTGGCATACACCACCCTCAGTGCAATAGCTGACCTTGAAGTACTCCATACATTATACAATCTTTTACATTCCTTCCACTCTTTTGAGTCGGTCATTCATTTGGAATCTGTTACAACATGAAGTTCCAATCACTTATTTCTTTCCTGGTCCCCACGGCTTCGGCTATGTGCGACCACGGCACCAGTCACTTCTACAAACGCAACCCACTCAACAGCCGCGCCCAAGGAACCTTCAGCCATCAAGGAGCCACCGGACCAATAATATGGCACACTTTGGCCAACGTCAACTCCGCCTGTGCCCTCGGCACCGCTCAGTCTCCCATCAACGTCAAGGCCAGCAACTCCAAGGAGGTTGCTGGCAGCTCTTTAACTTTCGCCGTCGACACCTATCCCGAGGGCGCGGAGCTCGAGAACCTTGGAACCGCTCTCCAAGTGCCCGCAAATGGGACCCTGACCCTCAAGAACACCAACTACTCGCTCGCACAGTTCCATTTCCATACACCCAGCGAGCATCTAATCAACGATGAGTACTATCCCTTGGAGGTCCACTTCGTGTGGGAGGCAGCGGGTAAGTTATCATCGATCTTCATCTTTGGTAGTCAGGCCAGAGCATGTGGCTAATAATTCAACACCCGCAGACTCCTCGCTCGCCGTCGTTGGCTTCTTAATCGAAGTTGCCAGAACATCTGATGAATTGCTCACAAGCATATTTGCCAACGTCGCAGATATCACTGGGGCGGGTGACATTACTCACACTGAGTCCCTTAACTTCACTGCCTTGGCTACTCACTTGAGCAAGAGCACCGTGTTCCAGTCAGTATAACCCTATCTCCAAGGCATCTTGAAACCCAAATCTTTGGCTAAACTCACCCCATCATAGGTACTCTGGATCCCTCACCACCCCTCCCTGCACTGAGGGTATCTCATGGAACATCGTGAGCGAACCCATCAGCATCGACGTGGCTACCTATGTCAAGGTTAAGGGCATCATGAAGTTCAACTCGCGCTACATTCAAGACATAAACGGCGAGAAAAACCTGTTGCAATCTGCCATGGCAGGTATTCAGGCGCTCACCGGGTAGGACAAACGTTTTGATCTTGCTTGTATATATCGATTGCTACCCACGTTATGACTTATTAATACCACCAACCCTCACTTCATGACAGCCTGCAAACGTCATTTCGTAATACGAATATGGCACTGTTTACATATTTCCTATATTCTGACCTTGTTATTCTCAGGAGGATATGATAAGTTGATGCAGGGACATGGGCTGCGACGTGGTGCAGGATGTTCAATTGCTTACTCGATATTGACCTCAGCTATCCTGTCACAATGTGCACGGAAGAAATATAACGCAGAATCCAGCCCTTACAGAGATGGAAAAGCCCTGCAAAGGGCACAAGTCCAAAGGGTGCAGAAGCGTGGGTGGTAACCGAGACCGCCAAATCAGAGATGATCAATAGGGGGTGAGTCTTCGCCAAGACGCTGCGCTTGGTAAAAGTCCACTCGTCTACTCAACACAATTTTCTTTGTCTAAATTTCTTCCAACCCTATGTTGTTTCTTATATTTTCAAGCTTGATGAGTTAATACGAGGATACGAAAACTTATGTAGATAATTGATAAAACGTACAATACTTAGCCGCTATCTTGCAGAAGCTTATGTACTTGTGCTGGTTGTTATGTTCTGTTACTCTTTTCAAGACATGTATCTCTTCAATGCATTGCGTAGCCTCATTCCCGGATTGCCAGTTGTGTCGTGGTCTGTTCATGAAATCGAGACTACAACCAGGACTATTGTCAGGGTACGGCTAGGCCGAAGGCGATAGTACAGAGTGATGGGGAGTAACGGGCGTCCCTCCTACGTAATACCGGGTGGTCACTGGCGGTCTCAGGTAGGGGTGCCCACGGTGATGCATTGATCTCTACTCTCCCTCTATCTTCTTCCCGGGCCTCCGCCCCTTACATAGATAGCTAGAACCCGACGTCGGAGCCGCGGAGCACTAGTTTCCCCGATTGTTCCGCAAACCAAGACTTCCATATCGTGTCATGACTCGCACATTCCTACACCAGAGCCCCCACCGGTGTCCCACCGGTGCCTATGGCATTCTGTTCTCTGACAACTATCCAGGGATTTGATATGCAGTCTCGGGCGAAAGTTTCACAAACTCATACAGCATCCAGCATGGGTAACCATAAACTTATCACACATCAAGGTGAGTTAACGGTTTTACTCTGGCTGTCGTCGAATCGCCCAGGGATTCTCTTATAATTGAATCGCAAGGACAGCAATGTCTTGCGCATGGAGCGGTAGTCATCATTGCTCACGCATTGGGGCAGCGGCTTCTATTAAGAGTAACACACTAGCTGGATAGCCACAGTAATCCGCCACATACATGACCCTCTGTCATTTCAACGGATTGGGGCTTTTACCCACCACTTATACAGCAGTAGTTTCATTACCCCGTGAAATGTGTTTGCATAGTCGTAATCTCTTCACCATGCATCGGGCCGCAGCGTCCGCCTATAACTTACGAGGTTGAGACTTTGACTAAGTTCCTTCCTTCCTTCCTTCCTTCGTCGGCAACTAACCTAATTAGGTGCAGTAGAAATTACGGTAGCCCCGATGTGCCTGGGTGGATTTAGCAAGGATCGGCAAGATGAAGGCCAATACAATTTGGGGTACCCAAGTGAGATAAAAACAATACGAATCGGCCGCTGCTCGCTCATCAAATTTTCACATTTTCTCTGTCTCTCCAGAATTTAATCATCATTTCTTACTTGTACCTAGACACGTTTGCTCTCTGTTGGTCTTGAGTTGTGGCAATCGATGTTACATAGGGTTCAGCCACTGGCGACGCCACCCTCACAAGCGTTGAGCTTCTAAGAGAACTGCCGTGACAACGATGACCGTCCTTAGGAACACCGGGTTTTGGTCGATATCGGCAGTTGCCCAAGTAGTCATTACGACAACGGCACAATTGAGCCTGTCCAGATGTTGGTCAGATAGGTTTGCGGATGGAAACATGATTGACTGGACGAGCTATGACGGCGACTGGTCCGTCGTCAATGAGCGGCTTACCGTGAGTGGCTCGCCTGAGGCTAAAGTCACGTTGGATACCAACTTCACCGACCTTATTTTCGATGCGTCAGTCACTGTTCGAGACATCGACGATTCAATATATGATCTTGATAATGGGAGTGAACGGCATGGTCGGAGCTGTGCGGGATATCACTCGAACGCCCTGGTTAACGATGCCTTCAAAGCCGGAAACCCACCTACTAACTATTTCGTTCTTGGCTCAGTGTGGTTTCAAACCATCCAATCCTCGACACTAGACTAGCCATTCAGCTATGGCCTTGTCTCATCGTGCTGACTGAAAGTTGTTCGCGCTCTTTATACATGGTCTGTCGCTGGGAATCACCGTGGTTTGCTGATAATCCGAGCTGTATCCCGACTCACCATTTGAATATGTTTGAAATGCCTCCAGATATCAAAAAGGCAAATAGGCTTTCCATATTTCGTTCGGAAAGGTTTCTGTTCTATAAGCATAGCGACAAATCAATGGCTCAGGTGATGACCGTAAACTGGGCGCCCGTGTCTCTTTTTGCAGGTGTTTGAAGGATTCGATCCTTCCTGAATGCTCTGGTGTCTCAACAGCATGATTGCTACTTAGTCTCGTGAGGTTGATCGCGGTGAACTAGCAGAGCAAGGATACCATCAATCTCTTGGGTTTCTGACGTCGGAGATGGTACAAAAATTGACTATACCGGCGCTTAGGTGCAGGAAGAGGATAGCCGCCAAAAAGGAATCGAGGCTTCACCAAAAACCCCAAACAACCGAACTCGATGGGGCTTTTCGAGGAACTCGGTTAACGTTAGAAGCGGCCGATGCTGAATGGAACGAAGTTGTGGCAGAGATCAGAACTGGCACTATTAAGTTGGCCAACTTCATTAATTTACATAGAAATGATCGGTGACACATGTAGATACCGTGTTTAGCTAATTCGGTATTCAGCATAGCCACCCCGCATAGACATCACATAACGAAAGAGTTGGCAATATTTCCACTAAAAAGACCTTGTCTTCTTTCAAGTATGATAAGCACCCATTTCTAATGAGCATCTTCCTTGCTCGCCACCCAATCTTTAGGCGTTTCTAGCAGGCCTGCTCTCGAATTCCTAATCCCCTCTTGCAACCAACTCGGAAAGCCCCTGATACCTGATAAGAAGCCGTAGTAACTTGGCATCACAATCTGTCCACTTTTGCCGCTTTTCACTTGCTTGACGATAGCATCGGAAATATCTTGGGGCTCAAGGTAGCGCTCAGCGTTTGGTTTGTACTCGATTAGCTCTGCTATCATGGGTGTTCGAACCCAATTCGGATGTATGATACTGGACAAACGCATGTAAGCACCCAATATATCATCTATACGAAGTAGTGAGGATCAGATTCGTACCTGGTGCGCACATTCATGGCTTTGTAGCGGTGCCTCAGCTCTTGTGCTAGTCCTTCGTGGAATGCCAAGGCAGCGGCTTTTGTGCAGCTGTAGTCAATGATATTGGCAATGGAGACGAAGCTTGCCATGCTGGCCACGGTGACTATGTGCCCGTGGTTTTTTTCGACCATAGAAGGTAGAAACTCCTTTACCGTGATAAAGTGGGAAATGATATTGACATTGAAGGTCTGGCGCACTTCTGCTTCTGGCCTCTCCAGGATGTTCCCGTAAGAGCCAACTCCTGCGTTATTGATGAGAACAGTAGGATGGCCGATATCACGGCGAATCTCCTCTGCTGCTTTGCGAAACTCATCAGTCTTGGTGACATCAGCTTTGTAGTAGATGACGTTGTCAGGGAATGGCATCTCTGGGGGGTGCAGGTCTATAGCAATGACATTAATACAGCATTTGGCGAGCTTCCGAACCACGTCTTCTCCTATTCCCCTGCATCCGCCTGTGACTACTGCGATCTCCGTTCTCCAATCCCACGGTGGGTTTTGTGTGCGATTGTTCAGGGCCCGGTTGCTCAGAACCATGTTGAGTTTGCGAAGCATTGCCCAAAAGGCGAGGACGACGGCGGCATTGCGGACGACTGGGGGCGTAATGAGTCGTTGTAAGTGACTAGGTATCTCGGGAAAGTGCAGGTTACCGAGCGCCATGCTTAATTGACAAATGAGAATTTCTTGAGGGGAGTTATCAGGTAGTGCGTTCAAGGCATTGGCGGAGAGTAAATCCGTTCAGCTAACGATGCAGATACTAGTCTGACAGGAATCTAGGCCACTGCAGCTCACGTTTATATTAATCTTGGGATAACACATGAATGGGAGGCTAGCGCTAGACTTTACATCGGAGTTGCCCAAGTAGTCCGAGGTTGCAATGGGACGATTTGTGCTAAGGAAAGCAGCTTCCGATAGTTTAACTCAAGCCAACACGGCAGAGCTTCAGGCCGCTCAGAACGTAGTAGGATTCTATTGGCGGGTGACAAATGTACTATTCCAGACCGAGGCACTTATGCGACTGACTCCAACTCAAGTCGTGGCTTAGGCTACATGCGGGCCGTTCTTTTATTCCTCAAACCTTTCGACGTTGAAACTTGAAATACCTTACTTGTAGGGGTCCCTCAAACCATCTCGGTTCCGACCTTACGTAAGTGAGTACCTAGAAGTTTCGAGTCCCAAATACTGACATCATAGTGCCTTCCCTACTGATTATATACTCTATGAACACACCTAAGCATGTTTGTGCTACCGTATCAATCAGAGTAGTAACTGCCACCCCCCGAAGTAGTATGAATGGAAGGAGGGAGTGCATTATGCAATGTGATGAGCGCATGATGTTTAAACCGGGCAATCAAGTCGGCGCGCACCTCCTTCAGTTTGTGGGGAAACATGCTTCTAGAGGTGAATGCCGTTGCAATGGACCCCACTGCAGCATCCGAACTTCAAGTAGCTATATATGCACGATTGACTCCAAATTCGAGTTGCCGAGGTCCGCATCTATGACCATGGTTTAGATGAAACAGACCGTATAAATGTCTTGGACGTGTTTGACCCCTGTAGAGTTTGTTCACGCGCCCTCATTCTTTTGTCAACATCATACTGCAATTTGCCATACCCAGCTTCAACATGTCGGAGACTCAGTCATTGGCAGATACGGCGTTGTCCCTTGATGTTCTTGTCATCGGCGCAGGTATCAGCGGCATCAACACAGCATACCGTCTCCAAAGCCAACTTCCACACATCAAATTCAACATCCTGGAAGGCCGCAACGCCATAGGCGGCACTTGGGATCTGTTCAAATATCCAGGTATACGGTCTGACTCAGATCTTCACACCTTTGGATTCGAATGGCACCCGTGGCCTCACGAGAATCCAATAGCCGAAGGCCCTCTGGTCATATCGTATTTGCACGATGCTGTCGCCACTCATGGTCTTGAAAAGCACATTCATTTCCGCCACAAAGTGCTGTCCGCCAATTGGTCCTCGAAAAGCCAACGATGGACAGTCGTGGCAGAGCATGATGGCCACATCAAAAGTTACACGGCGAGATTCCTCATCTTGGGAACTGGTTATTTCGACTACGACACACCACTGAAGACCGAGACACCGGGTCTACAGAACTTCAAGGGGAAGATCATTCATCCACAGATGTGGCCAGAAGACTATGACTACAGCAACAAGAAAATGGTGATCATCGGCAGCGGAGCGACGGCGGTGACATTACTGCCTAACCTGATGAAAAAGGCCGCCTCAGTTACCATGCTTCAAAGGTCGCCCACTTACATTATCGCACGAACGAACAGAAGTCCTGCCTGGCTACGAGAGTTCGTACCGCGTCCCGTCCTCAGTGTTTACGAGCGTCTCTTGTTCATGACCGTTCCGTACCTATTCTACGTGCTGTGCATGTATTTCCCGAACATGATGAGGGCGTTTTTGAGGCAACAGACGATAAACCAGCTGCCCCAACGAATTAGCTTCGATCCCCACTTTAAGCCCCTATACAATCCCTGGGAGCAGCGCATGTGTTTGGCACCGGATGGCGATTTCTACCAGGCGCTGCACGATCCCAGAGCCAACATTGTGACGTCTCGGATCAAGACCGTCACAGAGCATGAGATACACTTGCTCAACGGCCGGACCCTCGAGGCTGATGTGATCATCACAGCTACTGGACTTCGAGTGATGATAGGGGGCGGAATTTCATTAACAGTAGATGGCGAGAAAGTCAACATAGCCGATAAGATGCTGTGGAACGGGACCATGATCCAAGATATTCCGAACATGTTTTACATGATAGGCTATACCAACGCGTCGTGGACCCTTGGCGCAGATAACTCGGCCTTCCTCTTTGTCCGTATGCTCAAGCATATGGCGCACACTCAAGCCACAGTGTTGGTGTCGCGAAAACCACAGCATATGGATGCTACGCAGCCGGTTTTCACGCTTACATCGACGTACATGAGAAAGGCGTATGAGTGTCTGCCGAAGTGCGGAACACAGAGGCCATGGACGCCCCGAACCAATCCAGTGGCTGATCATTTCTATGCTCGGTGGGGAAGCTTTGCGGAGGGCGTAGAGTTCACTGCTTGAACTTGATTTTACACCAACCTCTACACACATTGGTATAGGTATTTGGTACTAATAGATGAGTTATTCCTTGCGCTTGACACAATAGATGGAAATGATACACACGGTGCTTCTGCCAATATCACTGTCTGACACAAGTCGCGTGGCTATATTCCATACCAACTCGATCAAACTCAGTAGAGTATGGAAATCTTGACATCGTGATCATTCGAGGAGAGTTGCGTCTAGGTCGGGCGCGGAAATAGGACTCACTCCGCCTCCACATTCCGGGATTCTCGGGAATGCTCAACTAGGCCCGGTTATAACAGCTAACTATGGTGCAAGGAGGATGAACGACTCCGGACAATCCTTGTCATCCCCGCCATGATTTACGATAAGTACCAGCGCCTCAGCGCTACATGACACCTTTTTCGGCGTGCTGCAGATTTGGCTTGCACCATTAATATCTTCATATCAAGTGTGTAGAACCTCGGAAACTTATGCCGCATCCAATGTCATTGCTACCGAGAACCTCGGCGGTCACGCGGAGATCATGTCCATATCTGATAAATCAACCTGTCTCTACATTCATGCCTGGTTGAGAATAAACCGGGATGCACCCAGTCAGTGATGCGTTGTTTGAGCAACCTCTGGCGAGATGCTGACGCCTCCAAGCCTATTGGCTTGGCAATTGCCTATTCCGTGTGACCACACTTAAGACAATATCGGCTATGTGCGGAGGGATTCTCGGCACGTTAATGATTGACCCTAAAGACCTGGTGCTTCAAAAGTATACCTGAAGCTGCAAGTCAATTATGCATACATCCCTACCGTACATACTCTCGTTGCTACCGGAAAACAAGAGCGTTGCTATAAGCCATGGCGAAAACTCCGCAGGTTGGCACATCGCACATTCTCGTCGCCACACCTGACATACCCCCCATCTCGTTCTTCGACGAGACGCAATGGAGGGTGTACTACGCGCTCATGGACACCGTCGTCCCGTCCATCGTCGCGGGCGACAGTAGTCGGGGCGATCTGAAGCGGCTGGAGCTAGACAAGAACGTGTGCGACGCGCATTATGACAAGATCCAGGGGAGTATGACGAACGCACCGAGTCGGAAGGACTTTGAAGCGTATCTCTCAGAGAAGCTCTCGGACAACCAGAAGTTCAGAGACCACACGGCCAGAATTGTGGCTGCGCTTCCAGGTGAAATCAGGGATAGGCTGGGGTTGATTCTGAAATTTCTTGGGTGAGCCTATGCTCTCGACACCATCTTCCTCCCTGGAATGCGGTGAAGTGAAAGCTAAATGACACCACAGCACGCGGCTTGGTAGCTACCCTCTCACCGGTTATGTTAAACCCCTGCCCGACCTTCCCATCAGTGCCCGCGAAGCCGTGATCCAATCCTGGCAAACATCGTGGATCCCCTCGCTCCGCGGCCTAGCCACGTCTCTCACGGTCCTCGGCAAGAAAATATTCGTGCAGACGTCCCCCCTATTCCGCGAACTGAGCGGCTGGATCGACTTGCCCGAGGACTACCGCGCGGGGACGAGGCAACCGTATGCCTTCAAGCAGTTTGCTCTTAAAGAAGTGCCCGAGGTCGTCAAGACGGATGTCGTCATCGTGGGATCCGGGTGTGGCGGTGGCGTGTGTGCCAAGGTCCTTGCGGAAGCGGGACATCGCGTGTTGGTCGTGGATAAGGGGTACTATTTCCCGCCTGCGCAACTACCTATGCGAGATATTGCCGCGGAGGCGAATTTGTTTGAGAATGGAGGGGTGGTGCATGAGGATACTGGGTGTTTATCCATTCTCGCGGGGAGCTCTTGGGGGGGAGGGGGGAGTATCAATTGGGGGGTTAGTTTGCAGACGCAGGATTATGTCAGGAGGGAATGGGCGGAGAAAAGGGAGTTGTCGTTCTTTGCTACTGATGAGTATCAGGAGTCGCTGGATCGGGTGTGTGAGTTTATGGGCGTGTCGGATAACGTTCGCCACAACCACAGGGGTAATGCGCTGCTTGAGGGGGCGAATAAGTTGGGCTGGGACGCAAAGCCCGTGCCTATGAATTCGGGCGGAGCAGATCACTACTGCGGCCATTGTCATCTCGGCTGCGGGTCGGGTGAGAAACAGGGACCAGCTGTCAGCTGGCTTCCAGCTGCAGCAAGAGCTGGTGCTGAGTTCATCGAGGGGTTTCAGGTCGAGAGAATCACATTCGAGGCGTTCGCTTCCGGCAAGAAGGCGTCAGGGGTGGTGGGGAAGTGGACGTCGCGGAACGAAGAAGGTGATGTCAATGGTCCGTTGGAGGAACGAGTCGTTCGTGATGTGGTCATCAAGGCTAAGCGGGTAATTATCTCATGCGGATCGCTCTGGAGCCCCGTCATTCTACGAAAGAGTGGTTTGGCAAGCCCGCAGATAGGGAGAAACCTACATCTGCACCCTGTCAACCTTGTAGCTGGATACTGGAAAGAGGACATCAAGCCTTGGGAAGGTAATTTCATGAAATCCAGGAAGAGTGACACTGCTTGAATGCCGCTGACAATATACAGGCTGCGCCATCAGCAGTGTATGTACCACGTTCGAAAATCTAGACAACGAAGGCCACGGCGCCAAACTGGAGCCAGTCTGCATGGCGCCCTTGGTATTCTTCCCTGCCTTCCCCTGGACGAGCGGAATCGACTTCAAGCTATCTGCCCTGAGATATCGCCATATAAACTCCTTCATCTCCCTCACCCGCGACCGAGACACCGGCTGTGTCTACCCTGACCCTGTGTCGGGCAAGCCCCGCGTATCGTACGCCCCGAGTGCATTTGATAGGGCCCATACGCTCGAAGGGGTGGTAGCGTTGGCGAGAATATGCCACAGCACTGGCGCTCGGGAAATAATGGCGTTCATCACAGGGGTTAGGCCTTATATGAGACCCGAGGAAGAGGATCAGGATGCGGGGAGGCAGAACGAGGATTTTGAGGCGTGGATTAAGGAGGTCAGAAGGATTGGAAATCCTGTGACGTCGCCGTGGGCGAGTGCTCACCAAATGGGTTCGTGTCGAATGAGCAAGTCGGAAAGTGATGGTGTTGTTGACCCTACAGGAAAGGTGTGGGGAATCGAGGGGCTGTATGTCGCGGACGCTAGTGTGTTTCCCAGTGCAAGTGGTGTGAATCCTATGATCACGGTTATGGCGATTGCGGATCATATTGCTAGGGGGGTTTCGAGGAACTTGAAAGAATAAGTGGAAGAACAGAATCATTGGTTGCCTCAATTACGGCTTTTGAGGATTGCATGACATGTAATACGGCTATGACCGACGGATGCCAATCTCATAGGCATGACGGCACTTGTTTTGCTTGCCAAATCTACAGCGACCCGAGTCGTCAACCATAATACTCATCCGACTGCATCTTTGCTTTGGCGTCCAACGTATCATCACGAGCATGTGCTTCCTTGCCCCAAAACTGGGCCCTCTCGTCTAGAATGTCCTGCGCCCACGCCTTCATCTCCGGCGTCTGCACCTTGGTCGCCACGTACCCAAACTCGCCCAAGTCCTTCTTCCGCTCCTCGCGCTTCTCGTACTCCACCATCTGCAACAACAACTCGATCTTGTCTAGATCATTTGCAAACTTGCTTTCGGGCGTCTTGCCCTCCTCAAACTCGTGCCAGATGGCTCGCAGGTCATCCCCATGGGCCCCGCCTTGGACGTTGCCCAGCAGCCGTTTGGCGATATAGTCGATGCTGGTCATCTCGCGCCGTTGCTTTTCCGGCTTGGAGACGCCGTCGCGAGGGGTGATGTCACCTACCAACGACTCAGCCAGGTCGTGGATTAGGCACATGCGCATGCACTTGTCCCTGTCAAGATTTGGGGGTGCGAACATGGCCAGGCAGGCCATGCGGTGGGAGTGCTCAGCTACGGACTCGATGCGTCTTGTCATAGGATTAGTATAGTCGAACCATGGGAAATTTGGGCTGCGGGTGTGGTGACAGACGATCTTACCCGCTGACGCCATGCTGTATCCAGCCTGATCGTCGTATAGTCTTCAGTTGTCCCACTTGGTGGAAGAATGGGACCGCAGATTCGGAGTCTTCCACTGGTTTTTCTGGAAGACGCTTGAGGGCTGACTCTATAGTCCATGGCTCGGCAGCGGCTTAAGGTCAAGTGAAGTCAGCATTACAGAAGGCGAAGAAGATTCGCGAGGTATTAACCTGATGTGTCCTTCGACATGACTTTGATCACTCTATTTTTGGTACTTGGTAGCTCGTGCTCTCTAGTTGGGTACAAGGTCGTCAAAAAAATCAAGTGAAGTCCATAAACGACTGTGGGTGGAGGCGGACGTGGAGGGTGGAGTGTGGAGTGTGGGGTATGGGCTGCAAAACCCCCTCTCCTGTAGGAAGTTGCTAACAATGCGCACGGCCCATGAGCAGCTGTGTATACTCCGTAATTCGCCGACTACCGAATCCGCGCAGCCATTCGTGCTGAACGACATCGGACAGGCCAATGGCATCATCCAGATACTTCCTGTGTTGGACTTGACAATAGTTTCCCTCAGTTCGTCATCGACGACGCCCTGAGTCATCCCTAATCTCGGAAGACATGGCCAATATCAACACCCTGGTCCAAGCCCGCTACGGCTCCGCGACAACGTTGAGTTTAGCAGCTGGCGGAGTTGAGGCCGCGAATCCAACGTTGGCAACTCTTCTACAACACAAGTCGACTCGAAATTTCTCTGCAGAACACCTGGAACCAGGGACGCTGGAGATCATTGTGGCAGCAGGCCAAAGCGCGGCCACATCATCCAATTTACAGACTTGGAGCGTGATAGCTGTTGAAGACCCGGTCCGCAAAGATAAGGCAGCAACGCTCTGCGGAAATCAGGACTTTATTCGACAATCACCCCTATTCCTCGTCTTCTGTGCGGACCTCAACCGTCTGACCAATTTGTCCGAGAAACAACAATCAGCGGGCGAGGGACTCGAGTTCACCGAGATGTTCCTCATGGCATCCATCGATGCATCTCTCGCCGCACAAAATGCCTCAGTCGCCGCCGAATCTCTGGGATTGGGGACCTGCTATGTGGGGGCTGCTCGAAACCACTCACGGGAACTGGCTGAGTTGCTGCAACTGCCGCAACGTGTTATTGCGTTATTTGGCTTGGCTGTTGGTAAGCCAGACGATACTGTGGCTGCTTCTGCTGCAGTCAAGCCTCGGTTGGGACAGGATGAGGTACTACACCGCGAGACCTGGAGTGTGGATAGCGAGGCCCAGTCGAGGCATGTCACCAAGTATGATGCAACGCTGGCGAACTTTGACGCCCAACAACAGCGGACGGGCGCTCTGGCTTGGACACATCGATCTGCTCGACGAGTGGCATCTGCGAGTTCTCTATCGGGGCGGCATATTCTGCGTCAGGTCTTAGAAGAGAGGGGTTTCAATCTTCGATAAGGTGCATAGGTTTTCGTTATGTCGCGCGCCCGAGTTGTTGTGGTATACATACACTAGGCGCAAACGACGGCACAAAAATCATTCCAATCCTAATCGAACCTGTCTGGCCGATCATATAGAACTGACCGTTATCATCAGGTCCTGTCGATACCCTACTGGAAGATTTCACATCTTCGTCTTTGCCATCGTGTTGAAGGTCTGCTGTTGATACAAACTCGTTCGAATACTGCTCAAAATTATCAGCATGTGTCATCAATATCGACATTTGAAGGGTGCGGGTTTTACTGGAAGACATTTACCTTCTTTCCCTGGGGAACCTCACTTATTGACCTTCCAAAGAATAGAAGGCCCTTTGAGGTCAACCATGCCGCCGCAACTATCTCCACAGACTTTCATCAGTCGCTCAAGTTTTATACCTTTTCTCCTTTGAGCAGCTTTCTTGTCCTATGACCCTTCTTGTATGTTGTGGTTTGCAGTCTTCGTTATACCTGGGGCATATTCGGCGCACTAGGCAGCAGTTTGCCGAGTGAAAACATGACTACGAGAAACCGCCCTTGCCCATGCCTGGATCACCGATTTAAAAATCTTCACCTGTCTTCAAACTTTTCTGCTTCCATTATCTCCTTGAGCTTCTTCTGCTTTTATAAAATGACCGGGACTGAACCACCGTACAGGATGCGCACCAGGTCACCTTCACGCACTTCAGGACATGCCGGTCCTGTCGGGTCACGCCCGCCTTTCTAGCTCTATTATGCTCTTTCGTGCTCGACAGCTGATTTAGAGTTTCTTAAACTTGCCCTGGTGTAAGCAGCCAAGAGGCACACTTTTCTGTGTTGAAGACCCTTATGGCCGGCCACCTTCACTCCTTCGAACCCTTCGAATTTGGGGAGATCAGAGATACATCCAACCATATGCTTTTTTATAGCTTGCAATAAGTCCGATAAGTCCCAGGGCACCATCTTTTGTTCTGATCAACGACGTGTTTCAGATGACAGACACTCTGCACCCTGTGGCAAAACTACCGAAGGAGTTAGTTACGCTCATAACGAATCAGCATTTTGGTGTTCACTGCTCCAGACCTATATCCCATCTCAGAGTTTTCATATCGACCGTTTCTTTTGAGCTGCATTGTAGCTGCCATGTATGGCTTCGGAGGTTCCTACGAGCCTGGTTGCATCCCGCCGTTTCAGCAACGTATGGCCTATACCTGGGCGAGGGCAGAGAACGAACGTACTGCCTTTGTGGTTGGAGATACAGGATGGCAAGCTAGTGGATTCTCCACGCCTGTTTCCGCCTGTGGGAACTGAGCAACGGTTGGTGTATAATTCGACACGGTTTCTGTGATGCCACCCCCTGGTCTTGGAAAGTACTTCAGAACCTCTCGCAGTATTGGGTAGTCGCGAATGTTGTGCCTATTGCCACAAATTCAAGACTGTTCGGGATCACAGATGCACCCACATATTCTACCCGATGGGTTTCCTGTATTCTCTGTTGGATATCTGCAGACCCCATTCCGGTACTGAGTAGCTTGCTAATTCACAGTAGTGCCAGCTTGTTCGAAGTCTCGGCGTTCTAGGTTCCAAGGTGGCAAAGAAGTTCGGAATGGGGCTTTCTGCTTAATTTTACCCGAGACCGCATGTTTGTTAGACTCGGTGCCGTGGTGCTGGCGACCGATTATATCCCGCAACACCGGCGTTATCATCACGCAATCCGACGTGCTAGTAGCTGAGGCTGGAAAGCCGAATGCCCAGAAAAGAAAATGCCATTGGCCCAAGACAAGCGGTCATCCAGGCGGGACTGGCGGGATTCCTGGGGTACATTACCAATAAGGGGGACCGATGAAGGGGCCATTACAGTAAAAGCTGACCACGGACGCCCAGCCTTCTTATGCACCTAGTCTAGCATGCGAGCAAGAGTTCAATACTAGCACAGCGGCTCCGATCCTTGCTGCAGCTGGAACTCCATCACGATATCTCGCCGCGCAGCCTAGACGCAGATACTTTGATAGTACACATCATACGGCTCCGCCATCCAAATATGTCCGACGCCATGCTTGTCCTTGACTCACTTCTCGCCGACCATGTTCATCTCGTACCAGAGGCGGTGCGTCTTGAACAGCCGCTCCATGAACTGTCTCATTTTGAAACAAATACTAATGTCATACAAAGTTCTGAAAGACAGAGAAATTGTAAGTAGGAGCCACTGCAGCGCTGCAAGCTGATTTTGTCGAATCCTTTGGCCACAGTTGAGCTTACATAATTGAAATTGCCAGTCAACTCGCAGATTTCGCAAAGGAAGCTACTGGTAAGCAACGCGCCGTCAATCGAAATTGATGCATATTGAACTTGGTTGACCAGGACCCACCCAGGCAAGCTCCTTCTCCTGCTCGAGTTCCAACAGAAGCTCCAGGGTAGCTTGCCCCACTTTTACCCATCGGAGCGGACTTTCATCTTCGCCGCCGCGAAAAAAAGTTATTGGTGATATTTGAAGCTCTCTAGACTCGACGAACTCGACAAGTGCACCCTATCCCAGTCGCCGTCACCACGATCAATCCGACTCCGCTCAAGGTCACTCTCCCATCGTCAAACTATCCCCGAACAATAAGATCAACACCGTCAAAATGCATTTGATGTACACCATGCAAGACGGGAAGCGCACCTACACCCTCAAGAAGGTGCTGCAAGGCGAGGTCACCAAGTCGGCACACCCTGCGCGTTTCTCCCCCGACGACAAGTGGTCGAGGCAGCGCGTGACGCTGAAGAAGCGATTTGGCCTGCTTATTTTTGTGGATGGTGAGTTCTTGGCCCGTGGAAGCTAGAAATATGTTGTCTAACGAGCTTGGTGTGCTAGACGCGAAGAAGATCAAGGCGCCGTGATCGAATGAATAGATGCCACGATACAACAAGGGGAAAGGACTCTGGAAAATCTCTTCATGGAAAACGGCGTTCTAGGCGTGATAGTTTAGGGCGATGGCGGAATGGGGTCGACCACTATGGAATCTCCACGGCATGGTCGCTGTTCCTTCCGGCCACAGATTTACGATCCTTGGGCCAACAGGGTAGGGTCGAGGACATTGGTTGTGACCCCTGTTTGCTTGCCCTGGCGGTGGTCCGTCAATCATTCAAAGCGCTAGCGGTGTATTCAGTATCGCCTTCACAAGAAAAAACATCGATACCCAAATGAACTTGCAAGAAGGCTCCCAAAGGCCATCGCCCATGGTTCATAGGTGTGTCTAGCGTCCTGTTCACAGATATTTCGTCAAAATGACATGTTTTTTCTTCACAAGTGTTGTGGTATCATCTATGTATTCCCAGTTGATCGTGAATCTATGCGTGCCTCTTTTTGGAGTTGATATTTCTCCCAGCGCCGACTCGTATCTTGCCATGACCACCCTGGCGGTTTCCGGTCAAGATACTAGGGAGATAATCCTCATCCATCAAATCCTTTTGTTTTATCCGCCGGTCCTCGACCGCCCTCCTAGTGTACTCCTTTTGGTCTTCCGCCAGAATGAGTTCCTGGCCCCATCCGTTCCTGCCACCTCCCTGTCCTCTGTACTTACCGTTCGCGGTCCCGTGTGTGGGTTTCGGTACGCTGTACACGTTGCCCCTGGTGTTCCATTGGAAGTTCTTCTTCAGGTGGATCTGGAAGTTGCCGCTTTGGTCCGTGGAACAGCTCACGCGCGTCAATGTTGGCTGGCCACATTTGGGGCAGAACGTCTTTGACATATCCCGCGTGATTTGGAAACAACCATGGCAACGAAGAATCCAAGTCTTGACACGGGTGATGCGTGCTAGTCTGGGAGAAACCAGGTTTAGATTCATTCTGAGAAGGACATTCTGCATGGCGTAATCAGACGTGAGAAGAGCGACTTGGAGGAGCTTCTGAATGGGTTCTTCCGGGGAGCCATTCTGATCTTTGGCCAGGTGTGTCTTCACATTTGAGGGTGTTATCCATCCAGCTTCATCGTCATCATCCTCTTCCGCAGGATTTCCCGCGAACCCGGAAGCGCCCTCGGATTGCGGAACTTTAGTCGACGAAGGCTCAAATGACAGAGACTCTAATTGGTGAGAAACCGCCTCCTGGTCAATAACCGGCTGTTGCTCTTGCTCTTGTGCTTCAGGCGCGACTTCGTCAGGCTTGGGAGCTTCGATTTCAATGTTCGACACGTCTGCGGAAATCGCCTCACCTGTTGTTGGTGATGCCTCCTGTAGCGGTTCTAGCGAATCGACAATCTTGTTCTCGACCGGCCGTTCGCCCTCAGCAGCGGATTTTGATGCGGATTGTACGTCCTGTGGGATTTCTGGGATTTCCGGGACTTGGGCAGTGTTGCTCGCCACTGGATGTTCGGTCTCGGCACCAGTTTCTGGTGTGGCCTGCTGTTCTTGCCGTTCAAGCTCCTCCTTCGCTTTCGCGGGAGACTTTCCGTTCACTGTCTTCTGCCCCGGTTCTTTTCGTAAACGCCAATCGCCTCCATTCCTTTCTATCTCCAGCTCGTAGGCTAGAGCAATAAGATCCAAATCGGGTCGACTGAGGACTTCGAGATCACCTGTTCGACGCGCGAATCCGGTAACGAATTGTCTGTTGAGTTGCGATTAGCCGCAAGTTTGTTGTACCTTTCTTGTCTGGATTTATGTCACCTGGATTCTGGTTTAGGGCTGCGCAACTTGATAAAAGGAAGCAACTGTGTCTGGACTCTCGCTCGTGTAGCTGCATCTTTGATCTCGGAGATGACTGAAGGGAGGGTGTAAAGCTCGTGCGCTTGCGCGATAAGCGAACTGACGGGAGGGTCGTTCTTGATCACTGAGATCGCCTGTTAGCAACTTCTAGCCTAATGACGCGGCGGTATATCGGGAGCCCGAGGTCAATCTCGGCGGTTGGGAGTAACGCACGCGGTCCCGTATCGAGAATCAGGGTATGTATCGGTTTCGTTGGCGCGGAATAGATCTCTGGAGATTTCTTGGAGGCTTCATTTGGCGTCTCTAATGACTTCTCTGGCACTTCCATCTCGGTAGGTATCATATGGAGTTCTGCGGTCGCCATCGTGTCGGCCGTCTTGTCGCTAATCTTGTCGGATAGTGGGGTGGACGAGTTGGAAATTGGGTTCAACTGCAATTTGGCGGGGTGATGAAATTTTGGCGGACAGTGCGGGCAGAATTCTTATGCCAGTAAGTGCCCCCCAATAACGCTACCTGGAAGCGACCGACCTCTTAGTGGGTTTCATGCGACGCCGACCTGGGCATTGCTCCATTCAACTGCCCCGTTTCAACTTCAACCACTACACGTGGATGGATATCCTGCGCGACCACACAATTTTCTTCTTGTGACCTCAGGTGAATTCATGGAATCCTCGGATTATTTCCTCAGCCTTAAATAGTACAATTAATCCTACTGAGCCACATTCATATTTCATCGAAATACGTTCGGTCACGTCGCATCTCTCAGTTTCGGCCCAGTGGATTGCGCTCGCGGGTTTGTACACATTCCTCGCCATAACTGAGCTTTGTTTACATTATGTTATTACGTTTAAAGATGGTAAAATATTAAATCCCAGCCTTCTTCCTTCAAATAGCTCACTGTCTGGTTCCTTTCTCAGCCAGCGCACGAATTTCCAGCCGACCACTTGTCTCACCCTCACAGCTCCTAGCCTCTTTCTCCTTGCAGCCTCCCTCATGTCTAACTAGGAAGTCTCTCAATGGAACCAACTCTTCACGAACTCCACAGCGCGCTTATACGCGCCATAGCTCCCGTATCCACCGGCAGGTGCCTTGTAGTCGCCATAGTCAGCCGGCTTTGCAGCTCCACCAGCGCCGGCGTAATCGCCGTACGAGGCAGGTTTGCCACTGACACCGGCATAGTCGCCGTATGAGCCGTACCCCGAGGCTCCAGTTTTCCCACCAGCATCAGCACCGGCGCCATCGTAGGCGCCGTATGACCCATAGCCGTCGTAGTCTCCATAGGAACCATATTGGCGCTTCGAGACGCCGTTGTTTGGGGTTTTTTGGAATGGGACCGCGAGGACGAGGGCCCCGGTTGCGAGGGTGAGGATAGTGAAGGCCTTCATGGTAGATGTAGAATGGATACTAGTGATTGGTGATTGGTGTCGTTTGGTGTGGAGCGTGTTTTGTCAAGCTTCGAGGTGAACAATTGGTGTTGATCCTTTGTGTTTGATAAGACGGGAAGGGCTCTGGAGATGTGGAAGATGGACGATAGACTTTCAACTGCAGGAAAGAGCTCTCTTTATGCTATCTCCCAGTTCGCAATAGGTGTGACTGGCCAGCTCGATTTGCTCTGTCTTGAAGTTTAAGGAAACAAACTAGGAATAATGTGGCAGAACACAGGGCCGGTGGTGGCCATGGAATGGAACTAATGTGAGACTTCGGAGATAGCAAATTGTATTCATTGTATTCTGGCATGTCGCTTTGTGGTTTGTGAAGTTGCGGCTGTAAGTAAAAACAATAGCCAGCATACATCGGAGCTGAGACATTTTGAGCAAGCTCTGCGCTCTCGGCATAGAATGGACAGCCAAAGTCCGTCATCGCTGGATCCACAGATCATCTAGGCTGTCCACCTGACGTTGGATGCTGGAGGAGCCAAGACAATGGTCAAAATCACACATGCGGCGTTGGTTGTCTAAATGATGAAACCCCAGCCTTGGTTATTGTTAGTTGTACCCCTTGCACAAGTGTGTAGATCATATATTGTTGGCGTTCATGGTGTCTACATCTTGATCGGCTAGCGCATGTGACTAATCTGGTTGTCTAGTCTTCCGAATATTAGTCTGTTGGCGTTCAGCCGCAACCTCGCACAAGACCTCCCGATCTGGAAACTTTACATCACGCCATTGGGATATTATGCTCAACGAGTATTTTGTAAGCGAGTAGGCGGATCCAAATGGCCAAAGACTGTAGCCACGTCGCTGCCGTTACTAGTACAACCTAACTTCGTCTACTATGAGTTTGAAGTCCACGAAGCTGAAAACGTTGAACCTTTCCTTAGAAACCGTTGCCGATTTGGCTCACAGTTGGACTGTATCTTTCATTTTCTCCGTTGTGTTGCGTTTTGATAATTTCTACTGCCAAGGGTGCAAATATGGACTTCGAGAAGGATGAGCAAAGCCAACCATTGGCGGAGCACGTTGATGGGTTTGATGATGATTGCAATACTCTGGCATCAACCTCAAACTCCCGCCAACACAATATTTCACATATCCTATCCACATCGATCCTATTTGTAATATATGTCACGATATCAGGTTTTTTTGGTGCTTACATCGGTCGACGTGGGGGCTTTGTTAACTCCAGCCTCGATTCTCAATGTGCCGCCTTCAGCTCCAGCATGTGTCAGTTTTCTCCAAGCCTAAAATGTCGAACATCTACTGATCGCTTTCCAATAGCACCCGTATTAACCGATGTGGACATTCACTATGCCATGACCCCGTTTAACGGTTCTTTCATGCAAGAAACCATCCACCGTCGTCCACATTCGCCAGAAGTTGACGCAGCTTGGGAAGCTCTCGGTGTTGACTGTGAGCATGCTCTACCAACCAGCCTTAACAAAACCAATCTGACAGCTTATAGACCGGGCCGGTGTAATATCCAGAACTTCTGGGCTGGCGAGTGGTTTAACGCGACGTCATGTGCAGCGGGCAGAAAAGTACGGAGGTGGTTTCCTGGTCAATGTGGAGGGAATGCATCATTTACACTGCCTTGTGAGCCAACCCACGCCTTTTTGTTCTGTGTTGGGTTCTGATAGGACTTATTACGGCAGAATCTCCTCCGCAAATCTTTATACTTCAACTTCAACTACTACAAGGCACTTGGCGGACATGAATTCAAGAACGAAGACGGAATATTCCAGCTACACGTCAGTAAGTGAATCGTATCCGGCCCGCCTGCTCCTGTTAATCTTCGCAACTAACGGCAAATCAAAAGCACATTGCTTAGACACGATCCGGCAGGTGTTGATCTGCAATGTTGATACCGGAGTCCTTGGCCAAGTATGGGTACACCCCGACAAACCGTCTGCATTCCCCGATTTCAATACCGAGCATAAGTGCAAGAATTATGACGATGTGCGAAAATGGGCTGAGGTGCACCAAGCGCCACCCCTGGAAGAACTACCACCAGACTATCTTGCAAGCCCGCAAAAAAGCGATGTGCTGGTAGGAATACCGTGAGATGACCTTGGGATTGGCTTGGGAGAGGTTACCCATATATGGGGCTTTCTTTGCCAATATTAATAGTTAAGGGGCACCCACCTTCATCATCAAATGTATCCCTTATACTACAAGCCATAGCTACCCATTGTGTTGAATAGCATGAAAAGTATAGTCAGGCACAGTTTTATGAGCTTTGAACTGTGACTAGTTGTCGCATCTCTTTATTGCAAGTCCCCGAATCATAGCTCCGTTTGCTAGGGACTGAGCAAGAAATGGCTCCATTCCACCACATGAGTGCAGCAGCGAAGCCAACACCGGAAGAACCTCCGATAAATCGGCAAGAGTTAGTCACCAAGTCTCCTAGGTAATCTAGCATTGAATTCAACTCACCTGTGACAAGAGTGACCCTCTTCAAGCTCGAGATAGAGCTTGCTTCGATATTAACAGGCGTCATGACATGGCAACCCGTTTTCTCCAAACAATGATGCAGCTTGTGTCCTATGAATTGATAAATTACTAGATGTTTGTTGTGATCTATGCAACTGGACGGATTCAGCAGACTGGCCGACACAGACATATATTATGGAGTGTAGTGGACAATGGGTTACGTCCCACTCGAAAAGCTGGCAACGAGAAGTGGAGCACGCCAGAGGATGTTATCCGACTTTGGAGAGGGGCCTTCCCAAGATGAATGGTTGCGTCATGTAAAACATATTTTACATTTCTCTTGAGGCGGCTTTCTATAATAAAATCATGGTCAGAAAGTCTCGAGCCCACTTGACCCACTTCTCAAACCGTCACGTTAAACTGAACTCCTCCCCTACTTACACCTAACATCAACATGGTCATATCTATAGGCTCTGGAGGAAGCCCTTCTATTAAAATACATGACTATTAACGTGGTTTAACACCGAGTCGCGCATATCACCGAGTCGCGCACTTTTTCAACTTTTCCAACCTTTTGACTTCAACACTTATTTCGTCAACAACAACACCATGTCAGCTCAAACCCAAGAAGCCAAAATCAACCTTGCCATCGAAGCTATCCGATCGACCAAAAATATGAGCCAACATCGAGCAGCAAAGCTATACGGTGTACCCGAGTCCTCACTCCGTGACAGAATCCACGGTCGCACCCCACGTACCGAAATCTGGCCGAATAGCGCACTACTCGCCAAGATAGAGGAAAGAGCTATTGTTCAGCATGTACTTGACCTAGATTTTAGAGGGTTTCCTCCCCGGCTAGAGGGTGTGGAAGATATGGCCAATTCCATTCTTGCGACGCGGGGTACCCGACGCGTCGGCAAGCTCTGGGCGCATCGCTTTGTAAAGCGAACCCCAGAGTTACAGACGCGTTTTTCTCGCTCGTATGACTTCCAGAGGGCCCTCTGCGAGGATCCAAAGATTGTTGAGGACTGGTTCCGGCTTGTATCGAATATGAGGGCCAAATACGGGATCCAGGACTGCGATATGTGGAACTTCGACGAGACGGGCTTTATGATGGGCGTTATTCAACGCTCGACGGTCGTTACCTCGTCTGAACGTAATGGTAGAGGCAAGAAGGTCCAGCCAGGTAACCAGGAATGGGCCACGGCGATTACCTGTGTCAATTCGGAGGGTCGCGACATCCCGCCATTTCTGGTAATTCAAGGGAACTATCACCTTGCTAATTGGTATACTGAGGGGGACCTACTAGCCGATTGGGTAGTCAAACCGACCGAAAACGGGTGGACGAACAACGAGACTGGTCTAGACTGGATCAAACATTTCAACAAGCACACTATCTCGACCAAAAGAGGCGTGTATCGGCTGTTAGTATTGGACGGGCATAAGAGTCATACATCGGCCGATTTCGAGTCTTATTGCAAGTCTAACGGCATTATTACTATCAGTCTGCCCCCGCACTCGTCTCATCTAACCCAGCCACTTTATGTCGGGTGCTTTAGGGTCTTGAAACGTATATACGGTCGAGAGATTGATATATTTATCAAGTCCCATATTAACCACATTACTAAGGTCAAGTTCTTTATCGCCTTTAAGGAGGCTTATTTAAAGACAATAACCGACAAAAACATCAAGGCAGGGTTTCAAGGGGCCGGCCTAGTCCCCCACGACCCTGAAGCCGTTATCTCGAAGCTGGATGTTAGGATTCGGTCGCCTACACCCGTTAGCCCCTCTCTTCTAGATGCTGACCCTTGGGTTTCGCAAACGCCAAATAACCCGACAGAGGCTCTCTCGCAGTCCGATTTTGTCAATCGCCGAATCGCCAGACATCAGGGAAGCTCTCCGACCCCAATTTTTGATGCTGTTGGCCACCTTGCGAAGGGTATAACTCGATTAGCCCATGAGAATAACCTCTTGAAGGCTGAGTGCTGCACCCTTCGCAAGGCAAATGAGGCACTAAGCAAGCGTCGGAGGGCAAAAAATCGCGTGTCCGGCAAGGAGGTGCACTTACTGTCGAGGATGCCCTGTACATTTTGGCCCGGAAGGACGTGGAGGCCCAGGTAAAGGAGGACAAGCGCTCTAGGGGGGGTAAAGAAAAGGCTGGTCCGTCGACTGTACGACGATGTAGTAAGTGTAAGAAGACCGGACATAATGTAAAGACTTGTCAGGTCGAACTATAATTGTCAGATGTATATAGCTCTGAATAAATTTCAATAAACTTTAGTCTGTTGTGGCTTTTTAATTGAACTTGAAATTATAGTGTAGTAAAAAGTGCGCGACTCGGTGATATGCGCGACTCGGTGTTAAACCACGTTACCTTAATTTAGCAAGATAACACTATAATACACACTTCTAGGGCTTTATAAGAGTAGTTGGAAGCCTACAGTATATAGAGTATTGATTAGCCTGCTTATAATCCTGATTAGTCCATAATCGAGCATGTGTGGTCCTATGTGAGGTTTACATCCACAAAACTGTTAAATTTGTGAAGGATAAAGAGGCTAACATAGAGGCCATGAAGGACTGGATCTAGGAGACCTGGTGGGTAATGCCATAGGCCATCATTAACCAGCTAATCGACGCTGTGCCTAGCCGCGCCAGAGAGCTACGTCGTGTACGGGGCTGGTATCACTCAGCTTTCCTACACGATATATTCTCATTTTTCAAGAAGGCTCTCCTATATTGGTTGATGAATACAGAAAAGTCAGGTACTTCCTAAACACAAATCGTTTCTTTACCTCATAGCCCAACTAAAGGCCGTTCGATGCTGAATGGCATTGTTTACAATGAACAGACTGGAAACGAAGGAACTTCGGCCAAAAGACAATGTCTCCCACCTCGTCGAGATACCACAACAGAAGCTTGAGGCTATCGCAAGCTCCCAATAAGTCTCGAGAGACTGACCTCTTACTCTTGAAATAATTAACAGCGAGCGGCTTTCCCAATCCCGTAGTCTTCTCCCAAGCATCTAGGTCAAACCTCATGCGGCGAGTGTTAGGCAAAGGCTTCCCGCCGGGCGGTGCATGCTTCTTTCCATCGAAATCAGCCTGCTGCTCGTACAGGAAGAATGTGTACCGGTGCGGCGAGCTCCCCGGCGAAGGCGCGGGGCCGACGTAGTTGGCGACAAAGGGTTCGGAGGACGTTAGGATACCGTTGGCATTTGCCTTGAAGCCTGTTGAATCCAGTGCAGAACGGGGCCTAGGACTCCGAAGGAAGGAAAGGGGGCGTCTAGGTCGAGGGCGACGACGACGTATGTCGCTGTCGCAGAGGCGGCGGGGAAGGAAATCTTGGGTGGCGACTGGGCTTCTGTGGCGGATGAGTCAGTCTTTATTCAGTATTCATGATGATGGCGAAGTATATGTACCAACACGCGGGATATAATCCCCAGTAGAGATTAGTTTGCCCGCGAAAGAGATGCCCAGGACTTTCGATTTGTCCGTCTCAATGGCTTCCAGGACCTCGTTGACACTTATGTTGACGGGCATGATGTCGGTGTGCGATGATGATTTGATGGAAATTCGATGGCTGATAATGATTGACAACTATTAAATACAAAATCCTTGGCGGGTCTACTTACAAGATATAAATATAGTAGTGGTGAAGCAAGACACCATCTGCAACGTTGACACCGTCTTGTCCCGATTCTTCGGAAACACTGTGCTCCTAACATCAGTAACCCCGACACCTCTGCATTTCCCACTTTCAACCTAGCGAAATAACTGGTCGTAATTGGTTCTTTGGCGTAATGATTCACCTTCTTGTTGATGTTTTTGGAAATTGCAGCATGAAGTTGGATGCCAAAACTTGGCCTGATGTGGCACAGTATAACAAATAAGTAGCGGTACAGAGTGACCGTATTGACTACCATTCGCATGGCCCCTCCTTTTGCAGGGTCCAACAGAACCGACACTAGCGCTTCATTCTCAAGTATCACATGCAAAATGTCGGATTCCAACTAGTGGCGTCTGTATTTGTACTACGAAGGTGCATGGGGGAGACTAATCCCCAAGTTGGCCCCCGAGGGATCCCCAAATACTATAATCCGGCCTGTCTGCCTCGCACGCTTCCATACCCGAGGCCACAGCTTCCTGTAACTAGTAATTATCTAATATAGAGAGTCGCTATTTGGTACTCCTATGCTCTATTTAAAGGAAGAAACTCTAATCTAACTACTGATACGTAATAACTCCATTACTCGTAGGTGTTTAAGAAGGGATAGAAGTCTCGGATCTTATTTAATCGGACGCTCTAACTCAGCTTATGCGCTTCGTTTTCGTATATATCTACGGAGAGCGGCTAACGAAGTAATATACCTAGCAATCACAGAGTAAATTGACGACGAGTTCCACGGCGAGTGTCACGGCGAGAGCGCTGGGTCTAACACAGGACTGATGTTGTGCTATAAGGAAGGAAAGAAATAAACATGTAGAAGGTTGCGCGCAGGCCCAAGGTAAGTGCTGTGCGGATGCATTGGTCAGACACCAATGTACTTGGTTAAGGTCAGGGTTGGTGCCTTGATAACCGGCGAGAAGGTCCCAGTGTAAAGCGAAGAAGATAGAGATGGACAACAAGTCTTTAACCAGCTCAACAGTATGGGACCTCAATGGGTTCCTTACCAGAATCATCTCAACACGTGTACAACAGATTATATCTTCAACCGGCTTGGACTGATCAACTATAATCTCTCAGGTCCTTGTAGATTCTTCCAGAAAGAAAATCATTGCATCTTTCATCCGAGAGTAATTTTCAACCCCCTATCCCTATGCCAGTAGTCTTGTCAACTTACATGAAGAGAACCTCCAAAGTAGTGTCGGTTACATAACGCTTATTAGGAGCCCGTCTGTAGAGTTATTCAATTAGAATCTGGTTAGCGTTAACCTGCTTTACTCGGGCATTGACTTTTATTACCTGGCGGCTATCGCGGTACAACGTACAGTCACGAATGCGGTAGGACAATATGGTCTCCTTAACACCGTACCGGTGGGCTGCCGCGGCCTGGGAATAGCCCTGGCGGGTTAGCGCGCTTGATTAGCTGCTTACAGTCATTGGCATTAGGTGTTAAGGTTATGGTTATGGGGCCAAACCGTCATAGTCGGCCTCCAAAGATATCAACAAGCTTGGTTCGTTGAATGGCTAATTGGACAGCCCCTATGATCACGCAATAGTAATTTGGCTATCAACGTCACATTTGTAGTCTTTTAACCATAGGTAGTCCCTTCGTAGAATCGGTCAACAGTCATTCATTCCTTCATTTCTAACACTATGTTCCACTAGATCAGCCATTTCATGTATTGTTGTAAAATAATCGCGAAGTGAACGAGAGACGCTCTGTTGTTGTGGTCGGATAGTTTTCCTGCAAAATGGGGGTGCGTGCAGATAGGCGGTCAATATGGTTAGGTACCATAAGACTAGGGTCGATCTCCTTTCTCGCCCAAGTAGGCATGCTTAAGCAAGAGGATACCGATGGATTATCTTCAGCCACTTTAATAGCCGCAGGGTCACCATGATAGGCCTGAAAGCAAGTATTGTCCGACCGGTGCCCATGAATAGCCCGACCAACACACCGTTGCTCTCGCATAACTTGTGTAATACCACCTAAGTCTCTTTTCATGGCAAGATATCTCCAATGTCTGCTGCTTTGAAGTTGCTCCCCGTGTAGCATTTATTATGGGTCCTCGCCCATTTTACCCCATGTCCAGGGTTCTTAGCGCGAGTGGTATCGGCATGTAACGTTTCCCATTTCCCAGCTACCGATACTGAACACGACATCGCGATAGGTCAGGTCCAAAGCAACGCTCATCATTCAATTTTCTGATTGTTATTATTTCACATATTTGATTGCAATAGCTACATTGCTTCACGCTGAGGCACCATCTCTGTGCGAAATCCTACCAGTGGACAGTTTCGTTCTCTTTTATTCGGGTATCACGTTGACAAATGATTACATTATGTACTTGCACACTTGGATCTTGTTTGTGCCTTTAATAGGGTACTTAAACACAGCGAATGGCTTTGGTATGTCTTTTAATCCATCAGTTATCAGGACTTCAATGCTGATGTGAGAACGAGACATTATTGACCAGCAACCGCTCGTAAGAACCCAGCAGAGCGGGGTTGGATCCGATAAGGATGCGTTCATAGATGATTTGATAGGGAAAATGACACTCCCTGATCTTGGTAAGGCTATCCACGTACTCGGCTGTGTAGATTATTGTGTCAGATAAAACGAGCTAACTGGTGATACAGTCCTTCAGATGCACCTGATGTTTGGCGATGACATCGTCGGTCCAAACTCGGATAATGGGCTTTACGGTTTGGATTCGGGAATTTACCTTATTTTAGATCATCTGGCTAACCCTGAACAGACTATACCATGCGATTCAGCCCAGAATCTCCTGTAGGAGTTATCCAAGATTGGTATGTCCCATTGTCCCACCCGAAAGATCAAAAGGCGAAGCCAGCTCAGCCGTCCATAGGTACCCGATCAACACGTCAAAATACAACGAGCTGCAAGAGCTCAACCTAAACAAGTCTCGGCTCCACATCCCATTTATGCATATCGGTGAATGTCTTCATGGAGTGGGATCTTTCAAACAGTCCATGTTTCCACAAAGCATCGGGCTATCAGCATCTTTCCATAGCGACCTGGTGTACCGCGTAGGACGAGCCATCGGTACTGAAGCGAGGTCCATTGGGATACACGCGTGCCTTTCACCCGTGCTAGATCTCGGACTAGACCCGCGCTGGGGCAGACTTCAAGGTGCGTCCCTCAGAAGTCCCTCGTGGGCCAATACATTAACGAGTTGCAGAGGCCTGGGGCGAAGACAAGATCCTGACCTCGATCATGGGCGTGGCATACTCATCAGGATTATCAAAAAATGGTTCATGGTCCGACACGGATGCTGTTGCTCCCGTTATAAAGGTAGATATATAAGTTTGCCACACAATTCAGCATGAACTCACACATATTAGCATTTCGCCGCCCACGGCTCGCCACAAGCGGGACATAATGCAGCACCATTCATCGGACAGGGCACCCGTCAGATGCTTCAAGACTTAGTTTTGCCCTTCAAGTCGGCGATACAGCTGGGATATGCGAGGGGCATCATGATGTGCGCAAGAACCCGTGGAGTTCAAGTCTCCGGCTAATTAAGCTTATAGGGCGTATAATGAGTTCGACGGCCTGCCCGCCGCCATCAATCCACTTCTCTACGAGTTGCTGCATGAATGGGGATTTGACGGTTTCGTCATAGCAGACGACTTGGGTACGATGTCAAGGAGCTGCCCGTAATTTCAGTCACTGATGATGAATAGGAATGGAGGAGTTACAAACGTGGCATAAAGTGGCAGAAACGCCCAAAGATGCTATCAAGCAGTGGTTCAATGCAGGTGGGATGATTCAGTACTACGACTACCCATTGGAAACCTTTCTCAACGTGAGGCATTGACCGTCCGTTTAGAAAAAGCTACTAAATTCTCCATAGGAAACAGTCGCGTTGGTAGACGAAGGCGAGGTTTCCTTGAACACCCTTCAGGCCCATGTTCGAAGAATCTTAAGTCTCAAATGGGACCTCGGGCTTTTCAACGAACCCTTTGTGCCGTCTACCGTTGAGCCCCTAGAAATTGTGGCGAGTCATCGGGACTTGGCTTTAGAAGCAGCGCACAAAAGCATTGTCTTACTGCGCAATGAAAATGACACACTGCCGATCGATCCAGAGATCCAGAAGATCAGAAAGATCGCGCTCATTGGTCCTTTCATTGATGAGGTAAACTACGGGGGCTACTCGGGACAATGGGGCCAGTATCCAATCGGCAATGCGTCCACTTTACGGCAGGCTGTACTACAACACATCGAGAATGGGAAGCTGGACGTCACAATTGAGTCGGGTTGGGGAGCAAATTCATGGGAGTATAATGCGCAATACGCCATCCCACCTTATCTGCTTTCCGTCAACGGAGCCCCTGGCGGCCTGCTGGCGACTTACTACGCATATCCGAACTTTACAGAGCCCTTGGCCCCAATCGTCGAGACACCAGTTCTGGATTGGGGATTATATCCCCCACCCGGTCTACCGAGCAACAACTTTAGTGCCGTTTGGGAGGGTCAACTTGAGTCCCCTGTCGACACAGATAGTGTTGAAGGTTGGATCGGCCTCGCAATATCTGCTAACTCCTCCGCAAAAATATACATCGATAACAACTTGATAGTCTCATCAGACTACTCGTCAGATGGCACCATCATCCCCAACATCATGTCATTTCCTTTCATCGAGAATAACAGCACCTCCCCTCCAGCCGGAGGCGCGGCCTTCACATTTACCAAGAGCGTTACCTACAACATCCGCATCGAGTTCCAAACCTGGAACAACGCCAAGAAAACAGCCAACGAAGGCTCTCTAAATTCTCAAATCCTGCTCTTCTGGAATCTAGTAGGCTTCCAGGACGACGCCGTCTCAAAAGCAGTAGCCGCCGCAAACTCATCCGATCTGATCCTGCTATCCCTAGGCGCAGCCTGGAACAGCGATGGCGAGAACGCCGATCGAGCAACACTGGGCCTCTCGCCCAACCAAGACGCCCTTGCTCAAGCGGTCTACGCCCTAGGCAAACCCGTCGTCCTCGTCCTCCAGGGCGGCCGTCCCTTCGCCATACCAGAGTACTACGAACAGTCCGCTGCGGTACTGAACGCCTTCTTCCCCGGACAGTCTGGGGGACAGGCTATTGCCGATGTGCTCTTTGGTGACGAGACGCCCGGGGGGAAAATGCCGGTCACGGTGCCCAGACATGTGGGGCAGGTGCCAGCCTATTACAACTACAAGCCGTCGGCGAGGGTTGCAAAGTATGCTGATCTGGATACGAGGCCTTTCTATCCTTTTGGTTATGGATTGTCTTATACCACATTTGCGGTCTCGGCTTTCACGACCGCTAAAAGTACCTTCACCGCTGGGGCCGAGATCGAGTTTTCTGTCAAGGTCAAGAACAAAGGAAAGGTTCGCGGAAGCTATGTGGCTCAGGTATATTTGCTAGGGCGGGTCTCTCAAATTACGCAGCCGGTGAGACAACTTGTCGCGTTTCAGCGGGTGTACCTGGATCCGCGGGAGGAAACCACTGTGTTGCTTCATCTGGAGGTCGACCGTTATCTGCCCATATTGAATAGGGCTTACAAATGGAAGTTGGAAAAAGGGAACTACACTTTTGCGCTTCTCGACCACGGCGGAGATGATGCAGACACGGGTCTCAATGTTACCTTGACCAGTGTTTAACCAATTGCGTCCTCGAAGGTAGGTTTGCATGATCCAGAGTTCATGCAGATGTCCCATTGTACTTATACAAGATATTGCTTCAACCCCAAGCTGCCTATATAAATAAAACTGCTATTGGTACTGAGGCCCATATCTCAGTTGTGAGCCATCTGCGGTCAGCATCGCTAACACCTTTCTCGAATAAGCGGCTTTCATAAATACTAAAGCGCTACACTTATAGCGGATAGACTCTATAGTGACACGACTTGATTTCAAAGATCTACTTTTATTAATAGAGGTACCATATTTCCTGTGCGCAGCTGACCACGGTTGGTCGTCGGGCCTCAGCACCTTCAGCAATTCTCTATATGAAGCCATATTGCTTGATCCACAGATCATGCCTCGAACTCTCACTCACATCAGAACCGCTAGACACCCCGGACCTCAGTGGGTATTAACATGATTGCCCGCCTCATCCGAGCAAACTTGTACCTCCATCTTCTTCAGAATAACCCCGTGTACCCGAATATTCGGGTTCAATTCCAACTAAATCTCTATGATGTTTGCACTCAACTTGTCCCAACTGACGCCTAAAGCCTTATCAGTCGTGTGACTGCGGAACACCCCGTCCTTAGGTTCTCCATAATGTGAAACGCTAGCCACCTTTATCGCTCTCTACAACGAGGACCCCTGTAGTCTGAAGCACCATCGGAAAGAAGCCTGAGGACGGACAGACAGGCTAAAAGACCCATAGTTGGCTCCATGACGGACCAAGTCGAGACCATGATCGTGCGCCGTGCCCAAATCCCGTCATCACTCTCGGCATAGATAAAGTTCATAATGGAGGCCAGCAGGGCAACTCCGAGCCACATGAGAGAACCAATCATGAGCCTCTCGCAAAGCGGTCGCTTCAAGTTCCAGAGGAATTTAACGGGCGCCACTGAAATGTCATTATAAATAGCAGCGCTAACAGATGAGCTGAAGCATGTCGCCTGGGTTCTTTTCTCTTCTCACGCGTTTGAGATGGGACGACACTCTAAGAGGAGGATGAAGACGTTGTCGAGGCCCCAGATGCCTGAGAACCCTGTGATGCATCAGATGAATATCTTGACCCAACGGGATTGCGGAATGTAGACGAGTGTCAGTCCGACGGAGACTTTAATGAAGGACATGGCCAGGCCCTAGACAGTTGGGGTGAGAAAGGCACATACCCTTGCTTCAGTGGAGGTTCCCATTGTTCAAATTGTTTCGGGGATGGACAGGGTGAAAGAGGCTAGGGTTAGGGCTTGTTGTATTGGTAATATTAGTCAGTTGACTTTCTGTGAAGATAAGTGCTTGAAATCGTATGTTTGCTGAAAACAGCTGGAATGTGACACTGGTGCGAGATAAGGAACTTACGTATAGAAATATGATACACCAGTCTCCCCACTCGGGCTTTCGATTCATCGGCCTCCACACCCGCGTCTAGAATGTCATGGATATAGTGCTAACCAATGATATTGTCGCTCCGTAAACCTTGCGCGTCACCCAAGGCGTCGATTCAGACAAGGCCAGAATCGCTGCACGTTTGGTGGGGGAGGAGGAAACGAATACTGGGAAGGCATCGGCGCCAATGCCGATGACGCCCTTGTCGGACGGGACGTCATCTTGTCCGTGATTTTTATTCTATCTCACCAGAAGGTTTAGAGATAAAACACCAAACGGACGAACGAAGGACCACCGAGTTAGAGTAAGAACTAATACCTTAAATTCCTTCTTTACCATGTTCCGCCCACGATCCATTCAATCTACTTGCTATACTCGAAGATTCCATCTTGAATGGGTACGGGTCCTGTGCGACGTTCTTACCCCTGTCCACCAGGAGAAGGTGGTAAGAATGCTGTAGGTGATGGGGCTTTGATAGCCGATCCGGGAAGTACGTTCGCAAGATGGTTGTTCGACCCCAGCTACACTAATTTACTTGAAATAGTCTTTGAAAACCCTGACGACTGTCAACATTTTGATACGTGAAGGTAGCCATCAGAGCTTTAATTACAGACCAATACGAAGTCTTTCTCCGTATTCGAGATACTGACTCAAGGAAGACTTTTGTCAGCGAGGTCTGACCCTACTGACGTTTCAGCATGCCAGGGGTTACGCCAGTATTAAGGTTGTTGAAGAGTGAATTTCACGTGGCTTAGATGGGGTGACTGGTTGTCATTAAAAAGTCTAAAGTGTACAGGTTTACTTCTCGATCGGAAATGATATATGACAGAGAAACCAGGCAGGACGTTCTCCACAGTCTTGGGCACGACTTGCCGCCGGATACCTTTTTGACTGCGAAGTATGTCTACGAACTGACCCTGTTCTGACTAAATACTGTGCCACCTTCCCTGTTGTTGGTGAATATCACCTACTTCTAATACGTTACGAAGTATAATGGGTACTAATAAGTCCCTTAGACTTGTCTTCAGCACTAGTGGAACTGGAAATAGGCGGGCTAAAAATCATGTATTTTGTCCGCTATGGCTCGTAAACTCGATTTCCTCTCGGTGTAATGTTCTTGGAAAAAACGAAACATATTGTCGAAGATCGCACACATTCGCCCTATTACACCCATTTGCCATACCTACCTCTTAGTGGCAAAAGTAGGCAAGGACGGAGAATTGTACGAGACGCTTTGTTTTAAGTAACATATATGTGTTAGACAGGGCTGTTATAGTTAAGGGCCCTAATTGGAACACGTGTCGAGAACGGAAAAAAGTGTTATTTTCCAGTAAAGTAACCTAGTGGAAACCGAATTTGCAAACTACAGCGTGCAATTACTTGACAAGGGGGTCTATTCATTCGGGCTCCTACCTCGTACCCTGAAGAAGGACATGTTCGTCAATATGCACAGAAACAACCTTTGTGCCACGATAGATGACATTTGCAAACTGTAGTATCGGTCAGTTACTTCCACCATTCATTGCAGAGTGCTCTCAAGTCGGCGCGAAGTGATCAAAGGAAGGTGTGGCCCAGTCTCCTGGAAGTGCCTAGGAGTCGCCATTCAGAACGGAGAAGTTCGTGCTGGTTACGAACACCTTGTGATGGGTTTTCCCTTGATCGGGAAGGGGAGAGAAAAGTGCTCGCTGGGCTATAGAGCCTGAACAGGCCCACGGACGATTCTCAAAGAGGCAGGTAGATTTCGAAGTTGAGCTTGGGAGATCTGATCGCCTAGCTATCGAGACAACTCCTCATCTACTGAGGACTGACGATACGACCCCAGGCAGGAAAGGAAACGAAGTCGTGATATGTATTATGTGACTGCCACAGTAAGCACTTGACAAACCACCTCATTGATCGTAAGCTGACAGTCTTTTTCGGCTTTCCGCTAGTGAAGCCAGTTGACTGACGATGGATGAACCCTGAGCACCAACCCCTTGGCAACAGCAACTGTTAGAACTTGGGCGAAACCTCAGGTGTATGAGACTGGCTCAATTGTGCAACCAAACGGCATATATTTCTGTCCTTAAAGCCCCTATGACCACCTTGTTTCCTTTGAAGATGTAGAGACCAGAGCCTCACTAAATTCCTTGCTTTGTTACAATTTTCAACAAGTCCGAGAACAGCTGTGCGGGAAGATCAAAATTGTCAGCCAAATCAAATGAGCCTCCTGCTTGCTCGTTCGTTTAAGCATGCCGGGTATCTAGACGCCATGATGAACCCTCCCGATAAACCCAAATATGTATGCAACTGATAGATTATATCTTGAAGGCTGGAGAGAAGGTAGATAGGCATGAAGATGGTATTCCGAAGGGGCCCATCAACTAGAGAAACTACAGGCTATAAGGACTACCATATGGCTCAGCCACAATCGACACCAAGGTCTCAACTCTTCGTGGCCCCATCCCCGCATAGGCTCAGTGAGTATATGTAGCGTTATATATTATAAAAATGCCATTGATAGCCAAATGCTCGTGTATGTCAATAGTCGGATTTTGGCAATGGGAATGACACGCAAAAGTTCCGCTTCGGTGGTGACCACTCCCCTGTGGAAAATAATCTCCTCCCTCTGTATGCCACGGTTCTTATTCCGTCAGACGAAGACCAGGTAGGCGAGGGAATGCAAAAACTTACAAGGGGGGGTTAGGTGCTCTTGTCGAGATAAGTAGGTGGATGATACAGGCAACCCCGTGTTGGCGATCCCTTCAGAGTAATCAAAGCTCAGCTCAACCAGGCTCTTGTCCATATAGCCATCATACAAAAAGCCATTCCACGCTAGAGCGTGATAGCACTCAGTATTGAATATGAGCGGAGACTCGTCATGATGCATCGCAAGGTGTCAATCCTTCGCATGTATTGCTACTCCGCGCCTCAGCTGACCATAGCGTGATCTGCTATCTTGAAGAGATTGATCAAAGACCTTGGTGCCTTTCCTGGAGCACATCTTGTTAGCTGCTCCAATGTGCGCTCAGCTATTCCATAGGCTGCGCATCTGCAGAACCCGAGTTGGGATATGATTGCCCCGGTCCCAAGAAAGGTCTTTGGCGACCGAGCTGCTTTTGAGGGTCAGAGTCCATTCGAGACCAAGAAAATAAGGAAAAAAAAAGGTGCCATGATCGCTGGGCCTCATACTATGGTTTGTGGGAACTCTGCATTCAACCACTCGCTGGAGAACCACGAGACAGATTCCAAGCCCGTGTTCCCGAAGGATTCCAGATTGAAGTCGAACCCATCCATCGCACCCTCGAAGGCATTGTTGTTATCCAAGCCTTCAGGTGGATCGACTGGAGGTAGGTTCACCTTCGGCATGCCCGCGTCATCCATGGGCATTTCAGTAAAGCCAACTGGCCGAACTGTCGTGAGTGAGAGGGCCTGGAGTGACTGAGGCGTGTGGTGATTGGAAGGGCCGCTCGCGCTCACATTACTCTGGGTCAATGGAGACTGTATAGATGGCGATTGAGTTGGCATATCGGTAATTTCGCTCTGGTCGACAAGTTCCATCTGGTGTACAGGGTTGTGTCGCGATAAAACTTGTTGAGGAAGAACGCTCGGTCTAGTGATCGTTGGGCTGCTCGGGTGACTAGGTGTTGTACTTGCCGAAAAGCCGCGGGAAATCAGCTTTTCCAGGTCGGCGTGCTAAGACGTGTAAGCAGTAGTTCAAGTGGGAGGCGACATTTCAATACACACAACTGCATGACCGGCAGGCACATGGATCATATGCCTGGTAACCTGCAGACATCGCTGCGCGTGGTCGTTCACCTGCTCTACACTGAACTCGCCACCGTTCGTGTGGTGCGCCAAATATAGCATTCTCGCACACTGATAAGCGCAGACTGGTAAGTCAAGGTCTGTCACAGGCAAGCCACCATCGAGGGACATGATGACGCGAAAAATTTCCGCCATGGCCAGTGCATGCTCGAAGCACTGACGCTCGCATAGGGTGACAAATTTCGACGGCAGGCGATCGATAGCCGAACGTGGCAAGGCCTCCTTAAGGCCTGTCATGACGATACGGTATAGATCGCAATGGCACTGGCGCCACCAAATGTGAATCATGATGAAAACACAAAGCCGAGGAGAGTATGCGCGTAGTCGTAAATTACTCTCGGAGAATTTAAAGGAGGCAGGCAAATGCTCATTGAAGTCTTTGAGTTCTTTGCTCAGGGCCTCGACAAGCCGTGGTAGCTCCCGAAGTTCCGTTTCGGTCATTGCCAGTGCGTTCTTGGTGCAGTAGAGAATCCGACTCCGGATCCATAGCAATCGGACGTGAAGTGCTAAAGATCCGACGTCGTCGGGGAAGGGTTTGTCTGGTATTGGCCGCAGATGTTCTGTGATCTGAGGTAGATCGAACTCGAAGTTCCGCTCGTTGCACGGAAGCTGGATGTGCATTGCCTCTGGGGGCAGCAGCGTGAAGTCTGGATATCCTCCGTTGATGCCTGAGTCAATAGTGAGGAACGCCCACATCAACCTCCTTCGTGACTCTCGGGCTAGAAAGCATAGGTTGGGGTTTTCGTAGTTGAGGCGGAGGGCATATGAGAAACGTCCGGCTGTGGCAGCTAGCATGAAGGCTCCCGTAAATCGTCGAGTGAGCATTCGATGCTTCATGACTAGAACGAGTGCCTGGATCTTGATTGTTGATGGGTTTTCAATGTCATTCAGTATCATCTTCTGGCATTCATCAATACATTTGGCGCCATACTCCCTTGTGCCCGGGCCTAAATCTGTGAGTAGGGATGTGATGCCGACAACGGCCAAAAGAAGTGCCTTGTCCATCATGCCAGCATGGTAGCGTTGCATGAGCGATGCTCTGTGGAGGAAAGAGAAGACTGGCACATGATGGACGTGGCGGAAGAAGTTGTTAAGGGTACGGATGATGAGAGCTTCGTCGGGAAAGGTGATGTTGCTAAATCTGATGTCAATTCACGCCCACCAGTACGTAGAGAGGCAGTCAAGCTACTTACGGCTCATAAGTCATTGGCCATGTTCCATACCCACCTCCTTGGCCTGAGTTATGGTCAGGACCAAGGTTCCTTGAGTTCTGAGAGTTGGCATCACCCTCTAGCATCCTCCTTTTCTCTGGGGGTTCCGATGAGACAGACTCATGCTCCGAGTCTCCCTGGTGTGCGGTACTGGTGCCATTTACTCCCCCGGAGCGTTTTGTCGGACGATACACACACTCGATCCCTTGCGCCTGACACCTTGCACATTTTGGTGTCTCTCCGCTACACCTCGCCTTCCTTGAGTGACAGTTGATACATGCAAGTCTGACGCGACGTCGCGGCAGTGACATGGATGAGCCATGTTCAAGGTCTCCTTGGGGCGACGAGTCCCGGAATGAGCAAGCGAAGCCCAAGCGGTCGCAATTTGCACAGGATGTTCCGTCACTCGGTAAGCATCGCACCTTGCGCAGACGACAAGGCTGGCATGTGTTGGATGAACGTTTTGGCGGTCGGTTTGCTGGATCAGCTGCAGCGGCCTCGGCAGCTATTTCGGCGGCTGTGTCCTTCTGCGCCACCTCGAGGCTCATGTCTTCCATCTCCATGACGCCGAACGAGCGTCGAGGACGGCCAACGTCAGTACCCTAACGCGCGCGGTGCGATAGTATCCACGTCCGGCCGCATTACCTGAGTCGCCGAAGGTGCGATGTGAAATGAGAAATCCGACGGCAGAGCTTGGTCGGCAGTAAAATGCGCGGGGTCCGCAAGTTGAACACGGTCGGCTTGTCAGCCCGTTCAAGTCAGAAAATCAACTCGGGCACGGTGCAGAGGGCGAGGTAGTGTGGCGGGCTCCATGATTTGGGTGCTATGATTCGCCAATTATTGCTTGCTGTGGGACCTTATCTGCAAAAATACGGTTTCACGCACGGTGTCTCCACAACGGCGATCCGGGAGCGCTGTTAGCAAACACCGCACAGGCCCCCAAATCCCAAGTTGACGCTCAAGACCCGAACTAACACTCTCTTCAACCCACGATATTTTAAATTTTACTACTGACGGATGAATAATAATGTTTGGCTTTAGTCAAATGATTTACCTTTGGTTAAGGTTAGCGTTAGGCTATGGTTAGCCAAGTTGAATCTAACTGCTTATTATTACTTGTAACCAATTGTTGAAGTTTTTTAGGTACTAAATTTGCTGTTACTATTCTAGTGAATAACGTACCCCAGAAGCAAGTTGGCCACTTTTTCTTGGCACCGTACGAACAACCTTTTAATTAACATCTTTACACATACCAAGATGGGATCGAATTGGAAAGAAAGCGACATGATTCTAGCGTGTCAGGCGCTTCAATCGAAACCCGAATTAAGCATCCGACGCGCTGCCCAACTCTACAATGTCCCTCGTACAACTCTAGCTAACCGAAAACGCGGACTACTATCTCGACGCGATACTCGACAATCTAGTCAAGAAATTGAAGACCTAATACGGGCGCATATAACCCATATCTCGAAGGAGGATTTCTTTTCGGCATTCTATAGGGCGTATCGTACGACTATAACCAAGTCGAATATCCAGGCAGGTTTCAGGGGGACAGGACTTATTCCGTACGACCCGGAATATGTGATTTCACAGCTGGATATTAAGCTACATACGCCTACACCTCCTGGGAGCTCGTCTGGCGCCCCCTTAATCTGGGAATCAAAGACTCCAAATAACCCCACCGAGGCGCAATCCCAGTCTGAATACGTTAAAAACAGAATCGTACAGCATCAGAATAGCTCCCCGACGACAATACTTACGGCTATTGGCCAATTTTTACGTGGTGCGACGGCTGTTATGCATCGGTTAGTTTTACTTGAGGATGAGGTTACTACACTTCGGAAGGCCAATCAAGAGCTAAGCCGTCGTCGAAGGACTAAAAATCGACAGCTACAAGATGGAGGATCTCTTAATTTACGAGACGCTCAGGACTTACAGTCTCAACGGGATATTGAACAGCAGCTACAGGATGATATACGTGTAAGTCGTCGTCGTACGAGACCGGCCGAACCACGCCGACGGCGCTGTAGGATCTGCGGAGAGCCCGGACATAATGCTCGTACTTGTGAGAATGGTAAAGATACGTACGAGGAAGAGGATTCCGATTATTTTGAATTATTATTTTTTAGTTTAGTTAAGTTATTGAAGTTATTCATACGGTGCCAAGAAAAAGTGGCCAACTTGCTTGTGGGGTACGTTAACCCAATAGGCTTATTAGTTACCTATAGGAGACTTTGACAACGGGCAGTGAATGCCCGAAGGTTCAAGGTGTGATGATCATGGCAACGGGCAAGATCCTCAACAAGACCTTACTATCCGGGAGGTGGAAAGAATATCAAATCGAGAGCCTTCTTCCTCCGATCAAAACAAAGTACCCCAACAGGCACTAACAACTGATGCCTCAACAGACACGAGGAGATCTATCGGAACAATTAAAGTACCTCAACATGTCATCAAAACAACGGGTGCCTTAATAGGCGACAAGAGTTGATTAACTATGGACTTAGGCCGCTTGGTTCTCTTTCTTCTTTCAAGAGAGTGACTATTTTGCTCCGTAGGAACTATTTCTAGTACAATTCTATCGACTAAACCCAGGCATCGTACATGATGGTAATTTAAACCATGAAAAGAATAACTTACTTAAACTTGTTGTTTTCTCTCTTTCTTGATGGCTACTGTTGTGGCTTCAGGTTGTGTAACACGCAGAAGATGAGCTCGATCATTGTGTGACTCTATTCTTACCATACTCCTTATAATTGCAAAATTCAACTCCAGACATGTCAAATCCCATGGCAAGCCTCAATGAAGAAAGGATTGCAGGAAGCCGCCCACCGCATGCGAACTTCCGCTTATGAGCTTATGGTTGTCTCTCGACGCAAGTGTCAGCTTGCTCACATACCCCATAGAACGTTCGATGCTGGGCTCCAGCCTAATATGTGAACTGTGCTGGAATCTCAGCCGAGACTCCGGCAATCCCTGAAAGTAGCACGTCATCATACGACACCCGACGCGGAAAATAGTCCGGGAATAACATGTAATGAATTGAGGATGCTAGTCGCGCTAGCACCCATGTTGAATCTCGCTGGCCGTAATCTTGGGCGACGATGAGAACATGAACAGCAAGTGACATGCTGTGGAACTTGGAGATGTCAATCAAGAAACAGTTCTCAAAAGCTCTAAACCTTGATGTCTATGGTGCATTGGTAACCACTGACAGCCTTGGAATCACTTACGTGGTTGTGTATACCATTCAGAACCAATGTAGGCTCCCCTCCGCAATATTTTAACATTGCTGTAGCATGAGAAATAGATGACAGCTTAGCAAATATCAGCTGGCACGATTGGGTCCGTGTCCTTCGTCTCATCCATCAATTCCAGATGGGAACGGACACAGCCAAGTGAAACAGTTGCATTATTACGTTGAATGTTATATTTGAGCTGCATCGCTTTGGCCGCGAGACTTGGTTCATGTCCCATGAACTGGAGAACTACGCTTTTCGTGAAGGCCTGATTGATCATATCTTCAGCGGCGATTCTGTCATGTATAGCAGCACATGCGAAGGCAACAGGATTGCAGATTCCAGATACATGCCAAGAAAGTCTTTCTTATGGCTGAAAGCTGACTGCTATCTTTTGATCGTTGGCATCATGGGAGTTGCATGCTAAGTCACCTAGGCATCACTCTACCAGTCTGGCTAGACTGTCAAGTAGGATTCTCGTACGGAAGGGCGCCGCCAGTGTAGTCTGCCACCCGAAACGAATATTGAAGACATGGACGAAGTCCAGCGACGCATGTCCAGAAAACGGACCCTGTTTGGGCCAACTGTGTTTATACATCTCTCAATTCCGGTAATAGAGGACCTGTGATAGACCGTCATCTAAGGCACCAAGGACTTGAGTACCTACGGGACATTCAGTCACATGTTTAACTACCATATTGTCCTGAGCCGACCGGAATAGTCTACTGTGGGCACCAGGGCACCACGAGTTCCACAGGATCATCAACCTCATCCAGGAGTTTGCCAGCCACCGTACCAAGATTCGTGCCGAGATCGTATTCAAGTTCACTTTTTTTCTGTTGGCGAGCCTCGTTGCGATGAAGTGCCACGGCTGAAGTGAGGCAGCGGGCTCTAGAGAACTTCAAGCGCGTTATCTTTCGTGTGTGGATGGAACAATAGTGGCTTCCATTAAATGGCTTCGAGCACCTATTGAAATGGAGGAGACGGAAATGGGTCCACCCACAACCGTCCGTGTACTCGTGGCCGAAGATGGATTGGAAAGTAGACAGTCGTCAACTGACGACCCACCTTGTAACTTTGGTGCATGACCTGTCAACACCAAGCACCCGCCGTTAGTGAAGGTGATAGTTGATCTTCAAACCACGTATTAATCCATCGTTTTACGCGCTAATGCAAACAGTTGTTCAGCAAAAGCAAAGTTGCAAGCCGTCGTGGAGCGTACGGGGAACACCCTATCCTGAAATCGAAGGTTTTGAACCGGGACCTGGGACGAATCCCAAATTCATAATGCGCATTTCAGCCCTGCCGAACACCATCCAGTCCTCACCATCTTTCGGCTCGCGTCCCCTTCCCATGACGAAGCGCAAGTATCGTTCCATGCCTTGACAATCCTCCAGGACGCACTCGCCACCGCGAAAGTCGGACGGTGGCAGTCGTTCAGTGTACATGAGCAGCACAAACTCTTCCACTTGGCTGAACAGCGTCTTGGACCACCAGCGCAGCATGGCACCAGCAAACTCGTGGGCCCAGCACATGACACTCAGGCCGATTCGTTGCATGCCCCGGCCCGTGGGATCTTGGGCCTGCACCGTAGCGAGCAGGGCGGTCATCCGCTGATACTCGGCATCCCCAAGAATCACGACCGTGTCAACGGCGGGATTCAAGTAGAGAAAGCGGTAGCTGTTGTGCAGAGGGAGGGCGACGAAATAGTAGGAGAGGGCCTCCATCCTAGATTCGACACAGACGGACAGGCCGACCGGGTTTGCGGAGTTGGACTGCCAGTGATGAATCTCGTACTTGTCTCTGGCGTAGTGGGAACTGAAGCGCGGGAAGTGCAATTCTAGAACACGAGCACAGAATGAGTGCCTCCAGATTTTGATGCGGAGCTCTGCCGGAAGCGTCGGGAAGAGAGTGAATTGACGGGCAGTTGCGTGCGACGCTTGTGGATCTGACGTTTCCGAATCCATTGCAAGAAGTGACTTAGCCCAGCCAATTATTGCAATCATAAAAGACGCACGACGTGAACCAGGCGGCCTAGTTCATGTCGGGGTTAACGGCCGGAGCTGTGATTGTGCATGAAGAAAAGGTGGAAGAGAAGGTGGAAAAGATGGGTGTCGTGATGCGGTGTAGTTTTGAGATGTTCGACGTTTTGAGATACGACATGACATCATCTCACCTGTTGCACCTTGAGGGCCGAGTTACCAGGGCAGCTCAACCTCAAGGCAGCACCTACTTTGAACTTCTGGCTTTGCGCAGCTGGGCCGTGAAAAGGAAAGGCATCGTGACTCGAGAAGCCGTCTCGTGTCAGCATGTTAAAGATTAGGAACCGACAGTGTTTTGGGGCGTCGCCACATCCCCCGCCTTACCTTCTTGGAGTACCAGGAGCGATTGGCCAACTCCCCCACACACAAGCTTGCCACCCCAAAGTACACCAAAGCATACCACCCTACGTTCGCCTCAGCACTTTGGTATCCATTGGCCCTACCTTACACGTCTTCAGTGGAAAAAGTATCACTTCTGAAGTCGGTCCAGCATTTACCAACAAGGGCATTATCCACTGGTACTCAATCACGGCGCATTACTTCTAGGCCCCTATTCCCATGACTGAAACGACCAAACCAAGTCTACCATACACATCTCGTACCATGGCAACAGTCTCTTGTTTCATGGTTTCCAATTTTTGTATCCCCGAATCGCATATCAACAGTATTGCATGCCATTAAACAACCCGATACGAAGCCATGGCAGCACCAGCAACCAGCATCCACGTCAAGCGTCCAAAAGCTGGTGCCGCCGACTCTGGCGTCGTCTGATTACCCACTCCGAGCCACTCCTTCAGATGTGCCAGCTTGGCGTCCCTGATCTGTACCTCTTTATCAGCCAAATGAGACTACCACTTCCACAAAATGGTTAACCACGTACCTGGTCCAACCCAGGCCGGACACCCCGAGGTACCACAGCCTCCGAAAAAGTATCCTCCGCACGCGCCGTGCCATTCACTATAATCACCCGTGAGTGATTATAGCTATCTGCCTCCGTCAGGATGGGCGCACCTATCGCAGCGATTGGGTCGAATTCGCCATGCACTATCAACAGCCGCTCCATGGAATCCAAGTTGGTGTGGGATAGCGCGTACTTCTCGGTGAAATACTCATTGGAGCTGTTATAGTCGCTTGCTTCCCACTCCGGATTCTTGCAAAGGTCCACCGATGTCCTGGTGTATGCTTCGGGGAGCAGGTTGTTGCTCGGAATAGAGCGGTGGTTGATGGCGTAATAGGAGCACGTGATGTAGTCTTCTGGAGATGTAACCTTGGGTGATGAGGCACGGGTGATGTTGCGGTTTGAGGGATCGATGCACTTGTTGGGCTGCTGCCATGACGATGCCAGGAGGGGAATGCGTATCACCTCTCCGTCAGTCTTGGCTGGGAGTGTTTTGTTGATTAAGTCGTCCAGCGGATATTCTGTCGGAAAACGATCCACAAAGGGATAGTTGAACTGAGAGGTTTCAAAGTAGTTTTGCACCGTCGCTTGATAGATGAGCCTATAGTCGGTTCCATTAGGCTTCCAGCAGATGTTGAGGTCAGGAAGGGCATCGTGGCAGTTTTCATCTTGGAAAGTTAGCATCTAGAATACCAAACATCTCTTTTACTTGCCAATAATGCAGAGTTTGAAGGTATTCATCGCATCACGAATCTTTTGAGCTGCCTCTCTGGATTGATTGTAGTATACTTTGGAAAGGTGGCCGGCTGCCGCAAATTTCAACCTGTTCTCTGGCATCGGACCTAAAGACATCAGAGCGGGCGACGAAGCGATGGCCCCGGTGAAAGTGTCGGGGTAACGCATGCGTGCCTGGACGGCCAGAAATCCGCCATACGAGGAAGCTGCAGTCTCATCAGCCTTTCGTTCCTCACTACGTAATAATGCTGTTCTGACCACCTGTGTATATGACCTTGCTGTCCTCTGCTCCCGGAATAGACTGCTTGATCCAATTGACGAAATCGACCCCGTCTTGCAGAACATTGTCAAGCGTTAAAGGGGCATATGAATTGTCAGAGGTATCGTTCTTTGTGGATCTTTTATTGAAGTTCCGAGGAAAGCTGCCTCCTGACTTATCGCCGAAGTATCGATGTTCGAGAATGGCCACCGTTGCATTTAGCTGTGGCGCGTAGTCTATCAAGTCGGTTGTCCATATAGGACTCATTTCTTGCTGTGCATTCTGCACGAACAGGATTGGCCCACCAGATTTGAAATAGTGCGTGACGAGTTGATACCTTTGGGAAAACTTTCCAGTTTGGTCGGAGTCGTGGTTCAGAATCTGATCGAATTCTCGAATAGGGGGGTCGATGAGGGTGGAGCGCTGCTGTGCCTGGACATGGCCTAATATGGCCATAGCGACCAGAAATGGCGGAACCATATTTATCAAAATTTGACTCAGTCGGTTCAAATAAAGATGGAAGGTATGTTGTCAAAACGAAAACACGGGTTGAGGAGTGGCGAGTGTTGGGATTCGAGACAAACTTGCAGTTTAACTCGGTTCAAATCGGCAGTGTGTCAGTTTTGACAGCCCATTATATCGCTTTGAACATTCAGAAAGGGTTGAGTTGGAATTCCATAGAATTAGACGTGACACGCACGCCTTCGGCGAAAGGTCATATATGGTAAGAAGAACTCCAGCTGGTGACGCGGGCGGAAATTGAACAGCGAAGAAAGACTGCGTCGCGAATCGGCATTAACTTATCTTATTTTTAGTAGGGACGGTTACTGTTTATAAACAAAACATTGGTGCTAGATACGAGTGTCAGATTACGATTCAGGTACGTGCATCTCTTCCGGCGTCTACACAGCGATTTTACAGCGAGATGGGAGCTTAAAACTAAGTTGCGGAGCAACTACAACCAGTCTCAAGGGTTATCATTTTCTGTAGGCTGGTCAATTACTTCGTTTCTAAAACGGGTATGTATTTAACTTGGAAGGAGGCCTACTACAGAATTGGAGTTAAGTATTAACATATGTCGTTTGGATACTCAAGTTCAAATGCTGATTTCCAAATGGAGCACTACGATTACTATAACGCGATTAGAGTATTGAGGAAAAGGTGGCGTATGCTAGCTGACAGCTACTCCATGCCATACTTCCAGTATTTATCTATTCATATATACCGGTATCATCTCTAAAGTCAGGAAGGGATTGCTGTTTCGCTAGATGCTGGAGTATTTACTTCGCTTAGGATAAGAGAGGGAATAAACGTCTGTATAGCTATCACAGGACTGTAGCTTGATGATATAATAAAAGGATATATGTTATACACTATGAGTTTTCACTTACACATTTTAACAGATTTAGAAGCGATAGAGCGTATTTAATTAACTATGTTAAAACGCGATCTTTAACATAATCTAGAGGAACAAAAATATGTCCAAAAAACAACAAAACATACAACACCAGGGATTCGCTGGTGGTCACCCACCCAACTACTAGTCTAGCGGTTTGCAGCTTATCTATGGGAGAGCGGACGGGATCCCGAGTTTTCTGCAGCCTATGGTCGTATGTATCTAAACTGTGTGGTAAAGTAAACTAACTAGGCAGAAAATGCTGACCACTAGATGTATTGATTTACACCGGTAACGTACAACCCCACCTTTCCGGCCACCTAATATGCCAACTACAACAACCTTCGGCACAACAGATTATCGTCGGTATTGGCTATTATTATACAATGCCTCGATATTCAGTAAATTCGATTCAAGGCGCTCTCAACGATATCAATCAAGGGATATCCCAGCGCCAGGCTTCCCTCCGATGGGGCGTTCCACGCTCTACCCTCCAATTACGACTCGGCGATGGCCTCAGCCATTCTGACGCGTCAATCGCGTCGATGAAGCTACCTAGGGGTCAGGAAGACGCGCTGATTGGATGGATCCTCGAAATGGATCGCGAGGGTCGTAGCCCGTCGGCGCTATTCATCGCTAAGATGGCGTTGATTCTGTTACCTCAGGATCGTCGGTCAGAGGGCCTCGGTCGCCATTGGGTTCATCGCTTTATTCAACGCCATCCAGAGGTCGGAAGTATCCAATCTCGACGCCTCGACCGTCAGTGATTTGATGGCCTATCGACGCAGAATATCGACGATTTCTTCGAGACGTACGAAGCCTTAATGTCAGCTCACGACTACTTTCCACATAACGTCTGGAATATGGACGAAACAGGCATCGCGATTGGCGAAGGGATCGAGGGTATAGTGTACGGATCGTCAGAGAAACATACAACATTCGTTCGGAGTGACGAAAGCCGCGAATAGGTCACTATATTACATGCTATATCGGCGATGGGTAACTCGTTGACCCCAGCAGTAATATATACTGGCAAGAGCCTCCAAGCCCAATGGTTTAACGATTGCGACGATATACCTGATTGGCAATATACTTATTCGTCTAACGGTTGGATCAGTACAGATATCGCCGTTCGATGGCTTCGTGATATCTTTATACCTCGTACACAACCAGTTGATCCCGACGAGCAGCGGCTCTTGATATTAGATGGTCATATCGCTCACGACAACGTCGAATTTATGTGGTTAGCCTATTGTAACAAGATCTCGTTACTATTTTTGTCAGCACACTGTTCTCACGGGCTCCAACTTCTCGACGTCGCCGTATTTGCTCCATTAAAGCGGTACTATCGCTCGTTAGCGACCTCTCTCTCGATCGAGTACTGTTCTATTCCATTTAAAAAGTCGACGTTCCCCTCGCTATACATCGAGGCATATACGAAGTCGTTCACGATCAGTAATATAGAATCAGGCTTCTATGCAACTGGAATATACCCATTGGATCCATCGCGACCTCAGCCGACGATAGCCCCCCTATGTCAGGGTACGGCTAGGCCGAAGGCAATAGTACAGAGTGATGGGGAGTAACGGGCGTCCCTCCTACGTAGCACCGGGTGGTCACTGGCGGTCTCAGGTAGGGGTGCCCACGGTGATGCATTGATCTCTGCCCTCTCTATCTTCCTCCGTCTCGACTCCTTACTTATAGCCAGCCGAGGTTCTCTCTTGGATTCTGGATGTTTGCTTCCGTATGTCTGTGTTCCTCCGACTTCGGCCAATATCTTGGACAGCGGCTCCTTATCTGCAACCAAGCGATTCCCTATCCGCTGCAAACGGCTTCAACGGCTCTCATTCGCCACAAGCGGCTCTCTAGCCGCCACAAACGGCTTCCTACCTGGTGGAAGCCGGCCCGCCTCGGATGACACTTGTGGCTCTGACAACTCCTTCCCTATCCTACTTCGAGATGGTCCTTATATAGATAGCTAGGCGCCGCTTGGACCCGGCATAACAGCAGGGTCGGCGATGCCAAGGATCTTGACTCTCGTCATCCCAAAGCTTCACATAGATTGTAATCATGATTCGGGAGTCTTTTGTCCGAAACACCCCTCCGGCGGCCCGCCGGTGTCCTGCGTTCAGTGTCCTGACACCCACGGGTGCCTATGGCATTCTGTTCTCTGACACCTATCAGAACGACCAACTACACCACCAACAGCTAGTAATTGTCTTGATCCTACAATAATAGCGACGCCAGTGACTAGCTTAGTAGCTAGGGAGAGTCTGGCAGCGATTACGCCATTGCGATCGTCGCAACGGCTATTGTTTCGGAAGCTGACTCGTCGGCTAGATGTACAGAGCGTCGAGGTCGCTACTTTGACCCAACGTGTACACGCATTAGAAGCCGATAACTTCGTTACGCCCCAAACCACGTAAGAAGGTACGATTAGGGCCTAATGAATGATTTGGTAACATTGTACAGATTAAGGAAGCGATGGATCGAGCCCTTGAAGTAGAACGGCAACGAGACCAGGTACAACGTCGGAATCAGGTAATACTGGACCTAGCTAAGGCGTCAGAATCTATCAGATCTATACCTCAGGAAGCCCTAGAGCACAGCTTTCTATTAGAGCTGGTTGTACCTGAATAGCTATAATAGTACGTTGAATACACTGTTTCGAATACCTTCAATTTGATTGCAATATGTGGCCAGAAAGGTGGGTGGCCGGAAAGGTGGGGTTGTACGTTACACCGCTCTAGTAGTAGGGAACGCTCACGACCGATCGAAATTCTCAGATTACTTCTACAGCAGATAAAAGGCACTAACTATAATCAATTTCTAACTTCGGTCAAACTAAAGAGCAAAAGAAATAACGTTAATATCTCCTTAAATAGGCAAATAGGAACATAATATCAAAAATGTTAAAACATACAACACTAGGGATTCGCTAGTGGTCACCCACCTAACTACTAATCTAGCAGTTTGCAGTTTATCTATAGGAGAGCGGACGGGATCCCGAGTTCTCTGCAACCTATGGTCGTATGTGCTAAAATCCAGTCGTAAAGTACATTAAGTAGGCAAAGTACACTGACGACTATTGTAACGGGGTAAGGCCGGACGCTAGGGAAAATAGGTGACGGAATGGGGAGGATCTTTTGCTTTCTTTAGATGGACTTGTGGCTGCAACTTTCTTTCCAACGGCACCCCTTTTTAATCACTTCTTTTATCCCTTCTATTCTACACAGTCAACAGTCAACAGTCATCGTGTTATTTTTTCCAGCGCAGTTTTCAAGAATCCATCCATCTCTTCCACTTAGCCTTGACAAGTACAGGGGCCTTTATCTTGCCCTGATCAGACCAATCCAGTTCCGGTGACAGCTTCAATTCCGCTCCCAGAGCAGACGTCCTGTTCTGAGAATTATTCCGTCATAAGTCTCTAAGGCATATCCCAACAACTTACGCACAAGACTTACAGGAGCTTCGCTCTTGTAGCCAGTACCACAATCTTCGTCTGATCAGGCCAACAGATGGGATCTGTTGGTACTGGAGCCGTCTGTCCAGTGTGTTAGGTGGTAGGTATATCCTACTGACCGCCTGACCCCGTTTCAATATTTGTGAGTTGTAAAAGCATGTCATTCTATCTAATGCTATCGATCACGAAAGTTGGACTTAGTCCCCAAAGGGCTAAGTCACGTGGTAACTTTAGTGGTCTTGGCAAAGCCCACAAAGGTTGCCTAACACTTTACCAGAAATCTAGTTCCTTTATTTTGGCCGAACTCGTCAATTTTCTTTAACTTCTAAAGTACTAAATAGAATAAAGGAGTTCTCTATTTCTTAGATGCCAATAAAGTGCTTTCTTCTGTATTTGGGCGGGCTTCCGACTTGGGTCCATAATTGGGGAGGTGGCGAAAAGGGGGTACATAATGATCTTGTGACGGGCTCACTGCGAAACTATACAGCTCAACATGGCCAAATACTGTTAATTATCTAACTGAGGAGGAAAGTAAAACCAGCGAGTTTTCCTAGAACACAAACTATGTTTTTATATGCCCTCGATGGTTCCTTTGTTGGATCCGGACGCAAGGTTCTTGCAGCTCCGGATCCCATTTCAGGCACAGCCTGTCACAGATCTGCTTTGATGCCGATGTCATAATAGAGCGGGCTGGAAACTATAGAACCCTTTTTCACTCTCTTGTATTACTATTTCTTTCATACTGCAAGATATACATTTTTGTTTTCATACATAATGAGTTCGAAGAAGATTATGCGCTCAGCCAATGTTTCTAGTGTTTAAATCTAGGTTTTATAGGCATGTATGTACGTAAACAGGTAAGCTTTTTCCAACATTGATTTCTCTGACAGGACGAGCCGTCAACCTTAATATGACATTATTTGGTATTCGCGGTCCCGCTGACTCGGGATGACTTTGGCTGACGCCCGGGCCCCCGACACACATACGGGGATATCCACGTCGTCCCCCTAGTTAGGGGAACGTGGATATTCGTTTATCTCCTTCCACCATACATGGCGGCTGACGGCCCCGCTGGCGACCGCCTAGCTTATTGGCTACAGGCCCCCTGCCCCCTGAACCGCTAGGCCTCTACAAGGCCAAGTGCCGCTGACTGGCGCCCTAAGACCCCTCCGACCCCACCCCCCCCCTCCCCCCCTCCCCCCTCCCCTCTCCCCTGGCCGGCTGCGATACAGCGCTTCGTCCAGTGTTTAGAGCCGCTGGAACGATAGGCCTAATACTGCTAACCTGACCGAATACAAATACAGGGGCGGCACAAGACGATGTACGATGTAAGTTGCCCCGCGCTCTCCCCTTTCCCTCCTCTCCCCCCGGCGCCTCACCGCTCTCCTACCGGCTATCCGGCCTCGCTACTTATTTGTCTGTCTGTCTGTCTGTCTGTCTGTATATGGCGAGGACGAAGGAGACGGGGCGCGTTGCGCGTCTCGGAACCGATGCCGTTAATAGAGCTGAGTTACGGGCTAACACACAGAGGATCCTATCGCTTATCGACCAGTCCAGGCCGAAGAACACTGTTATAGCGTACAAGCCGAAGCAGAAGGAGTTCCAGGTATGTTGTTCGCTTACCTATCGGCCCCGTAGGTTGCCCGGTACGTAGCTAACGTCTTTATATATAGGAGTTCTGCCGGCGGAAGCAGTATGAGGATGCCGATACGGTTACGGAGGACAAGCTCCTCCTCTTTCTTGTTGAGGTCGTTACCGACCGGCCCCTGAGAGCCTGGAGCCGGAAGGCCGACCAGGGCGTCCCGCAGGAGGAGACGCGGCTCGGGTGGCGCTCCGTACGGAGCTATATTACAGCTATTACCGACCTCTATCGGACCCAGAGGACTTTAGGGATGAACACGCACCCCTCCCCGCGGGAAGACCACGTACGTGAGTACGTCCGGTCTCTCCAGCGGCGGGATGCGCAACGGGAGAAGGATCTATACGCGGATAAGGGCCGGGAGACCATCTTGGACGGCTATACCGAGGAGCAGTTCGAGCGGATCTGCTACGAGCTTTGGGCACATAGCAGCTCCTCGCCCGAATGTCACTTTCGGACACTCGTTGACCTCCTTCTCGGCCATTATATGCTTACTCGTGGCGGCGATCGGAGGGCGGCCGAAATCTCGGACCTGTTTACGTTTGAGCTGCAGGGCGAGGGCTCGACCCCTTGTATGCCGGTTATCCTAACTACCCGTGCGGGGAAGCAAAATCAGCATGGACGACTTGAGACCGCAGGGGCACTCCGCAATAGAAAACCGCTTATCTGTATGCTAGGTGGCCTTGCTTTTTACCTGCTGTACCGCTGGGATCTAACCGACGAGCCCTTCCCGGACCTGAGCCGGCGGTCGGCCTGGTACGATATCCGGCTGATCAAGGGGAGCGGGGCGGATCGTACAACAGCCTTCTCGTATAACGCGCAGCGGGACTGGGTTACTAAGGCCTTCCAGTACGCCGGGGTAACGTCACAGAAGAAAACGCATATCGGCCGCAGCGCTGGGGCTAAAACAGCTGAGTTGAAAGGCGTAAGCGAGGAACAGATACGACGAGCGGGCCGGTGGAACCAGGAGCAGATGGTCGGGTGTTATCTCAGCTCGTTACCCCGGAAGTTTATGCGTGTAATGGCCGGGCATCCGCCGCAGATGGGATGCTTCGAGGTCCGGCGGGCTACTATCACGCCCCCGGAGGCCCTGCTTAGGGAGATCTGGCCTGAGCTTGACAGCTGGAGGGATAGGTTCGGCCCTAGCCAGGACCAAGTTAGTGACCTAGCAGCTATGGGTCTAGTCGAATTACTCTTCCACCTCCGGAAGGTTATCCTACAGGACTCGGCCCTGCTACAGGAACAGTTCCCTAATAGCCCTATATGGGATCACCGGGTCTTTCAGCATAAGGCTTACGCGCTATTCGCCCGGCAGGTCCGAACTACAGCCCAGGAGGAGGAGCGCCCTAGCCAGCTAGCTCTCCTGACTCAGGCTATGCCGACGCTAGCTGACTACCTGAGGTCGATCGACGTACGCCACGAGGCAAGGATAGCTGAGCTTCAGCAGCAGACGGCGAAGCTTCAGCAGTCTCTCGATCAGCTCGTACACTCAGACCGTACCCAGTCTACGCAGCTCCAGAAACTCACGGCCGGCGGCCTTACCTTTCGCCTTGAGGCTACTCCAGTAACAGCACCTGTACCTTTACCTACAGAGGTAACAGTAGTAACAACAGTACCGACAACAGCATTAGCACCGGCCATAGCAGAGGGGCAGATACCAGTATTACGTAGTAATCCCTCTAACCGGTCGAACCTAGCACCTACCGGGCGACCTACTGAGCGTAGTTCCCTAAGTCCGCAGCCGTGTATCTGGGCAGGAAATCCAGCGCCCCCGAAGCACAGTATGTGCCGTACGACGCGTACAGTGGAGGGGCTATGGAGGGAGTGGACGATCGGGATCCATGGCCAGCCGTCGGTTACCGAGTTAGACAGGCGTTGGGGCAGCCGGTGGAGATCTGGCCGCCGGAGCGAGGTACAGTGGTACTCTTTACGGGGCGAGGTTATCGTTGAGATTAGGAGGCAAGCACAAGCAAGGCGATGTAGCGAGGAGTCGGCGATGTGGATACTTAATTTGCAACAGCAGCAGATAGGCTGTTCTATAGACCAGCTATGTAAACGGTTACGGGCCGGGAGGAAGGCTCGCCTAGTATAGTAGGACCTACCCTAGCGGCCGGCCTTAGCCTACCAATAATACGTATATATTACGGGTACGAAACGGGAATCGACGCCTTACCTAGCTTTGTATTATATCTTTTACCCCCCGGAGCATCTCTCCTACCTGCTAGTTTGGTATCCGGACGTCGCCGAGCGGCCGGCCGTTAGGCCGGCCATCCGATGTGGTGATATTTGGGATATTCTCACCTGCTGACTGCACGGACGGTGTTTCGCCCTAGTGTGGCGCTCAGCCGCTGAATCCGCCCGCCAAACACCCCTGAAACGCCACCGTGGATATCCTATTGCTCTCCACTCAACGACTTCAGCGTGCGATCATGATCTCATTTAAACACCACAGTTGTCATATATATATGACTTACCCGTATACCTGACAATCACCAAGTTTTCGCAACCCAGAATCGAGCTTCTGTTGAGCCTCGGCAACAGAAATGATGCTGATTAAAGTTCCAAGGTCTTTGTTCTTCCTCATGTAAGCAATAGTGTTTCCTCCAGCGTCGTAGATCGGCTCCAACACCGTGGCGCCAGTACCACTGCGAGGAGCCATGCCAGCGGTAGCATCGTTGGACGCCGCAGGACGAGTTTGACTAGCAGCGCCTAGTCAAAATGTTTTAGTTAACCGAAGTTATTTTTGTATTAAGAGACAGAATAACTGGCTTACTGTTGCTCCCCTGGGGTTTACCATCATCGTCAGACTCGGATTCAGAGTCAGAGTCGAGCTCACTTTCCAATGTGGCAGGCTCGCCACGGGCCACGCGCTGTGCTTGAACGTCCCGAGCGATTTTCTTCATACCCTTCGCATGGACTCGACATCTAGCGTGACGTGACGAATGAGAAATCAGTCAGTGTGGAGGTGTGGAAGTTTTTGACCTACTGGCAGGCATCCTTCGACCGATTATAGCCTTTTGCGCGAAATAGAGCGATAATCTGCGCCCATTTTGTGATATCACCGTTGACGGTGAACTTGCCGTGATCGTTCAGGATCTGCTGTAGATCGTTGTGAGAAGTTTCGTCCCATCCTCGTGACTGTCCTTGATTCGACATCTTTGACTATTAGCGATCTGGTTCGTGAGACTTATGAAATGGTTGCGAGTTAGACCAGCTTGAAACCCGATATAGAAGAGAGCATGGATGTTTAATATCAACGCTGTTCTTAGAATATGATCAAATGTTGGATGATTTCATCGAGAACAAATCAAGGAACATGCGAGGTGAGGTATAAATAGATAAGAGGCGAGTAGGCAACAATCCACTGAATATCTTTGATCAATGTGGATGGTTTTATTGTTTCTAATAGTTGTGAATGGTTACAAGTGCTGAGTCCAACAAAGGAACAATGAAAGTTATCTGCACTGCATATCTTAGCCACACTATACATTCACCGAATTTGTCAGCAGCAATAAATTACAAGCCGTAGAAGGATGGTCTATATTTAAGGTGAAGTTCGAAGTTATTCGAAGGCCTAAGAAGAGATGGTTGTGCTCTATCATATACTGGGTATACGCAGATAACCATCCACAGAAACATCTAATAAGACTTCACATAAAAGGACATAAAATTAAGATAGGCTCATGTCTGAGACGCCCGACTCTTCTTGCTGCTTTGTCCCTCTGTTATTTAGGTAATAAAGGATACCCATGCCTCCTGTAGTCAAAGGTTAGTCTTAGTAAATGCCTGAATGCTAAAAACTGATTCAAAGATGGTGAGTTCCTGAGGACACTTTATTTGAATCGGAATGCTTATATGTTCAGGTACATGATGTGGGACGTGGAACAAGCTGGGATATACATGTAAGGAGGCACTATATCAGTCATAACAACTTTTCAATGCCACCGTCCGTTATTTCTCCCTTACAAGGTCCCATACATAGTTCTATTAATGCCAGCAAGGTTAGTTTCTACACATATGTCACTCATAAAGTAGTATTGTACGGACCGTACTTATAAAACGCTGTGGAGGAAATAATAATTTATTAGGCTAAGTTCTAGAATAATAAATAGCTAGTTACTACAGTTACGCAAATTGAATCAAAGGTATTGATTTTATCATCGTCTCGCTGTGGTAGCCTTTAGGATAGATGGTACAGTCGAACCAGACTCCGTGACATTGTTGACACAAAGAGTTTTGTACCTCAAAGACAGCGGGCATCTGGAGTATTAGATATGTAATATATGTTGGATTTCGTAAAATATATTGTTTATAGGTTAAGGTAAAATAAGTTGGGAGCTTTTCCTTAGTATGTTAAGTAAAATAAGTATTGTAATATATAAGGAGAGTGGTATTAGGTTCTATTTCTACATCACATCTACTATTATCTAAGAGTATACTATTCATATAGACTCCAGGTGGCTAATAATAGTCTATGTGATTGAAAATAGGATCCGAGCGACTAACCAAAGAGCTAAGCAAACAGTGAATGTCTATTCGTTAAGGGCTCTCAAATGGTGTATTTCGCGTTTTGCTAACTAAATTACAGAGGGTTATTAAAATATATGCATTTTCCGTACATCTATGAAATGGAGAGTTACCGACAGGGCAGGGTAACCAGGAACGTACGGGGATAGATGATAGCTAGACCTCAACGTTGATTTCGTCCTTTCTCAAAACCACTGGCTCTACAAGCGCATTGCAAAAATATGTGTCTTTTCCTTAGCACTGCTATCCACCAACCATAAGACCTTGTGACAGTATATGCAGCCTTAAAATTTGACAAAGCAAAGACGAGATAGCTAAGCGGTGCAGTGGTTTTGTCGCGGGGCAAATATTCAAATATGGTGGGGATTACGAACAAGTCGTACCTTTGGGAAAGGGCCGCGCTGGAAATACACAGACTCCCCGAAATGGCGAAGACGGCGAGCGTGACCTAGTGCAGTAATAGGAAGAGGTGATTATCTAGAATGTTTGCAATCTGGCCTTGTCGTATGCTTCGTTACCAGCCTGGGCCTAGTCTATTCCTCTGTAGTCGTGTTCTATTCCATACCCCCAGTTGCACACCCAGCTTCGTCACCGAAGTAGGGGGGTCTCTTCGCTCTCATCCTCAACATCTCCCTCTCTGTCAGATGATCCTTGCGTACCCTGGTAGTATACGTCGAAGGCCTTTTCCCGTAGAAACCAGGCCACAGCTAGTCCAGCCCCTGGGCCCATAAGGATAGAGATCGCAATCATCGTGACACATGCAACTACCCCGGCCTCAACCAGCAGCCAGTAAAGGATAGTGACTGCGATGATGGCAACATCTATCTCGATAAACTTGATGGTAGCCCGGGTCATCTCTTTCCGATCATCCCAGGCAAACATATTCCAGATGAGGAAGCCATGCGAAAGTACCGAGCAGATGACTGGTACAGCGTACATGGTGACGAGCGGAACTCGGTGCGACTCGAGGTGATACGGCCCGGGATCCGTGACTACCTTCATAGCGACGAACTTGACGGCATATCGAACCGTCGACACCCAGATAGGAAAGAACAGCCAAACCCCTATAGTGATCGGATGAGTCAAGACCAGCATCACAACGCTTGGCACGATGAACCCCACCACCACAGCAATCGGAATGGCCATTGCCTCAACCTGACTCGAAAGACCCCGTACCCCCTTATCGATCTCCGGATCCGCCTCCCTAGCATCTTCAGCACTGGCCGACTCCCTCGCCGCCTGCACATTTTTCGCCTGGCTCAAGTACGAAGATACAATGACCAAATCCCAAACAAGCACCCCCCCAACCAGATTACTCACAAGCCACGGCAAGGTAGGCTTCGAAATGACCCTGCTGGATTTGTTGCATATCCGCGCCGACTCAACGAGACTTATCGTAAGCAGCGCGCCCACGAAGGACAAGATAACGCTCATGCGAGCAATAGCGCGCACGGAGGTGTTGGCGTACTGAAAAAAGCTGACGAGGAAGCAGGCCGGCGCGCCGAGGACGGGGATGTGCGAGAGACCCGATAGCCGCGACCGTGCGTGGCATTGTGAGTAGAGGGCTACGATGTTGAGGTCAGTGTGGATGACCAGTATGGCGATGGTGACGACGGCGAGGAGACCGGGGACGACGAGGAGCCAAGGGAGAGCGAGACGCTGGATTAAGGGCCGGTAGTTTGGCCGGTGTATGGGATCCATGATGATGATGATGAGAGCAAGATATGATCTGGCCTGGGTGCTCCAGTAGTAAAGGAGACCCGGTGGTGGAAAGAAAGCTAGGGAAGGGTAGGGTGACGTTGGTTTAGACCTGGAGAAGACGGCACTAGCGGCGACGGGCATCATCCCTTGGTGGTGGATGCAAATGGAGACTAGCGCATTGCGGGGCATTTGCAGGGAAGCGCCGTCCCTTAGTCCTGCCTCACTCGAACGTCCGCTACTTCACCGCCGCTTGCCCCATTCTTCAGTGGAATGTTCCTTAAGAATAAACTTGACGGATTCTAGGCTTTTGTACTAATTTCCCCAGGTCGAATAGGCCATCCAGTGGTCATTGTAGCCAGCCGGTTTCAATTGTTTATTTCGGTATTCTGATACAATTGAGTGGTATCGTTAGCTGCCGTGGGCAATCAAATCTGGCAATCAAGTCACTCCCTTCGCAATTTTGAAATTCTGTGAATCGGCTAACGAGTTCAATGCCGCAAAGGAAGCTCCAAGCATGTCATGCTAGTGCAAGGCATCATGCTCGAAAGCATCCTATGCGAATAGGCCGCATAGAGCCAGCTTGCAGTGAAGTAAAATTTGCAGAACCGCAGCAGCTATCCAGCTGCCCTACTCTATTCAATAGTGTCAATCACGTCTAAATGCTCGACTCAGAAAAAGTTAATTTCTTCACGTGGTCGCGGGATCATGCGGGAATACGCATAAAAAGCCAGTCGAAAAAAGAGTGGACGTTAATATATCAGGCACACAAATCAAGAGAAGTCTACAGTGACGGAATTACGTTTTTGGTCATCAGAGGCGTGTCGAACAGGGCGAGACCACCGATACAATTATGAGGCTCCCCTATCAGTCGTGCAAATGCCAATACGAACTGGACTTTCAGGGAGGAAACGATGGTCGCCAGCTCCTCCTACCAGAAAATTGACTGCAGGAGGGCCGAATAAACAACAAGACCATCGCAACAATGGCAAACCGCTAGACTCAGAAGGTGCTCCCAACGAAGGTGCTGTTCTTCCTCAGTCTGAGGCCAGAGCGAAGCCATATCCGAACATGTCAAGGAACGAACTCCCGCCCCTTCCCTTAGCTACCTACTGAACTCCGCCTGAAGACCTGGCGGATGCACCTGCAATGACCTCGGATCCGGGCTCATCCACACTTCCGACTACATTCAATAGCTTCACTTCCGCAGGAACAGTCTCGGCGCCTTCGCCAGCCGCATCTCGTGGCACGCTACTAACACCCACTGCGCTCTGATGGATGTGTGCGTGAAGGGTAAGGAGGCGGCGCTGTGCTTCTGCCGCGTAAGCCTGTACAATCGATAACCGGATTTCCTCTGCCGGCCCGACTATATCCACTCGGAGTTGGATGTGCTGGTACTTCACTGGCGGACTGATTAGGCGCCCTTGGACCATCTTCTACTCGATGTCATGGCGAGCGACCCGCGGGGTATAGGCGCCGTACATCTCGAGTTCCAGGGGCGTATATATCCGGCCAGGTGGGATCTGGACGGCTGCAGGGCTGTATGGACATCAAAATCAGCTCGCGAAATCTCAAATCATATACCGAGGGCATCAACGGGTACGAGCCGTCCTTTGGTAAGTGTAGAGATGGACAGGAAAGGTTTCATGACGTTCTCCCCGATACTAAAGCAGCCAGACACATCTCCCCAGTTATCGTGGTAAAATGTGTTAAAGCGGCCGCTGCTCGACATATTTTCGGAGGAAACAATACAGAACGTGGCCGTGTAGACGCTCTATACGGAGAATACAATAAAGGGGACTACCAGAGACAAGTGTTTCCACACACGAAAGTGGAGTTGAGCTGGTTGGCTGTGTGGGGCGAGGAGCGGTATGAGGGTGATGATGGGAGATTTTTATATTTCAGGGGTTTAGCAACACTCACAAGCAATGGTACTAACCCGTCGTTCTTAACTTCTCATCCCATTGTTCTCACATGAAGTGTCAACAACTGCTCTCGTTGGGGTATACCATAGATGCGCAAGCTTGGAATGGGCAGAGCCAGGTTCTTTCGTTGTTTGCGCTCTATATCGTCATACAATGAACATGTTTTGTACATGGCGGTACACTCGTCGTCAGAAATTAAAGGCTTCGTCTTTTACATCCGCAGCTTCTTTAATACTCTCTCCCTAAAAATACGACTTGCAACCTTTCCACCGTGTTGCAGAGCAACGGCGCCGATAATAGCATATACGGTCCCTGACATGACCGCCTGTATTCCAGACGATTTCAAACTTGAAGTCTAGTCTCATGTTAGCGTTAACTAGAGCCAAGAGCAGTATCCGGCAAGACCTACATTCCGCGGCTTCCACCGCATTACTTCCGACAGTCCCGTATTCACAGCCAGCTTTTGCATATTCTCCTTGGTCAACAAATTGTCTGGATGCGTGACACTCAGATTGTCTACCAGACGCAGTGCCGGTTCCTCAAACGGCTCTCTTCGCCCAGCATAAATGTCATTCTCAGGCGCCTGGAAAGTATCCTGACTCGTGATGATGCTCTGCGTGGCCTCGAAGATGGCGATCTGGCGTCCCAGGAATGCAAGTCTGTCATTGAACCCGCGCCTTCCTTGGTCGAAGCTTTTGTGCGTAACTGCAAGCCATTTCAGTTCTTCTGGGAGCAGACGGTCGCCGCCCTTGCCAAGAAAGGTGTTGAGAACGTTGTCAAGTTTCTGTGGGTCATCGTTGACCTTCCAGATCGAGTTTTGCGGGTTTCGTGTTATAGAAGGGGAGAAGGTGGCCTTCATTCGCGGAGGCGTGCGGGAATGGCGTGGGACTTCATCGCTACTAGATTCTTCTTCCCATCGACTTGCTGGGGACGACGAGAAGGGTTGGGAGGACATCAAGGGTCGGAAAGTGACCACTGATTGACTCTGTACCTGTCGTAAAGCTTGACTACCAAGCCGGACGGCTGGTCGGGCTGTGGTGAGCGCCATTGAAGCTGTCTTGACAATGCAATGGTCACTGTCACTAGAACTGAAGCTGCAAACATTCAACTTTTGCGACCAGGATTTTGGATGACCAGGCCAGGATCACGTGGTGTCGGGACAAAAGTCGTGATTTCCCCGATCATGATCCTTGCATCTTCAATTTACACGTCTCCACATTGTAGCTTCACGCGTCGTGATCATCAAGTACTACACTCAAATAGTGATTCGTAATGGCCTATAATTGAGCTTCAAAACGGACTGAGGAATCCAACTTTGAACTGGCTCAAGGTATTGAAGCCTCAATACGATGGCCAACCTCAGGCATTCCCTCGACCCCATCCCAGACTACGACGCCCTCGTTGATGAACTCAGCCAAGTCCTGCCGAAGGATGTCAAGTTCACTGCCCACCACCTCTCCACTCCACCTACAACTACCGATGCTCTCTGCCATTCACCGGCCTACCCGCCAAACAATGCGCAATATGGCAATGCCATTGAATCAACCGAGCGAAGGGCAAGAAAACCACTACGAACGTACTGCGAGAAACACTTTTTGACCATCTCGATTGATTCCCTCGACTCAAAGGAGAAAGTGTTGGTGCTCGCCTTGGAAATCTATATATACACTACGGCATACTCGACTATTATTTTTGTGGCCAAGGCCGACTCTACAGGATATCTGAGCCTCCTGAAGCTTCCCAAAGCAACACCCTCTCCAATCCGGGAGATAACCACCACGTTCATCACGTTCTTGATCGCCAGTCGAAGACGGAAAGGCAAGCAGTGCATCGTCAACCTTTTTGCGCGTGCGCAATCGCAGTATCTCTTCCCCGGAAGTGTCACAAACAGCTCAAAACATGTGTTAGATGACAGAGGACTAGTTCGATGGTGGTGTCGGGTGTTGAATCCACTTCTCGACGGAAGCGAGAGTGCGAGCGGGAGGAAAATATGGCAACACATACAAGGCTATCTGGTTATACCAGGTTTGGACGAACATGAAACTCGCATGTTCTTACCCCGAAGTCCAACTGCCACGAAATGGACTCTGGGCCACCCTTTGGAGCACATGTCCCCCTACACCACGGACCCAGCGACATATGGGAGCACCGTCCCACCAAGATGTCTCATTCCAACGTATCCAGATGACCCGAAGGCTCGCTTTGTTGAGGAGCTGGAAGAGTCGACATCCGAGAGACTCAAACTCAGTGGTGGATGGAAAAGCCTAAGGACACTTGACCAGTTTTGGGAGATGATGGCTTTCCGGCAAGAGTGCTCTAGTGGTAGGATGACGGGGTTCGCATGGGTCGTCTTCGATCCCCCTCGCTCAGCTAAGCCCATACAGTCGAGGCCATCTGCTGCAGTCATTCCAACCCCGAGTGCCTCTTACAGTGGTCCTCCTAACGACGCAACGCGGCTACAGACGCCTGAGCCGAATCAGGAGCTGCCTTCCTTCGTGACTCCTCAATCAACTCCTTCCAAGTCCACGCAGTCAACTCCAATGAAACCAAGAGATCGTCCAAAGAAGCGGGTAAAGAAGGTTCTAAAGGGCCGCATTGTTCCCCGGCAACCTCGAATCAAAACACATCAGCGGACTCACTTCCCTGAAAATATCGAAACACCACACTATTACTGGCCGGAAGAGGGCAGAGGAAAGGTAATTCTCGATGAATCTGGCTACAAGCGCGCCGTGGAGCTTCTGCTGCACCTTGAATTTGGAACACTCGAGTCCGCGATATCAAGCACTGCTCGGTGGATCAACGAAGTTAATGTGGGCAGTGACTGGGATCAGGAAATTATTGGTCGGCGCGAGTTACCAGCGCCAGAGCCAGCATCCTCGGCATTCAGCGGCGCCGTCAACGATTTGTCAAGCATGATTAAAAAAAAGAAGCGACCAGCGACGGAGCTAGCTCCGGATACTTCAGCACCGTCCGAGACCGCCACTGTCAACACACTTGGAGCTGGCCTAGTCAGGAAGAAAGCTAAGATCACCTAAGTGAGTAGGTCGATTCCAAGCACTGTTCCCAGTATATTGGAGTAAGGTTGATATTGTTTGTTTTTATGGGGCGGCTGGCGTTGAACACAAGTTTGGATTGGAAACTCTTAACTTGAAGGTATAGCATTGATGGTGGAGCAGCCTGGAGATACATTCGCCCACTCCGTTATTTAATTAACTGAGGCTTCTGGGACTAACAGATGGCTGTGGCAGCTTACAGCCTTGATCAATACATCGCACTTTCAGACGCTGCGCTTGACCTCGTCCTACAGCGAGTTGCTACCCGCAACGAAAGAAGCATTTTTCGTTACTCGCAGTCCTATTTCTCCGGCAGCGTATTTTTAGCAATAATCTTTGAGAAACTATTGCGAGTAGTCCGTCGGGTTAGTTTCCCATTGACGTTGAAACTTGTCCTGCGGTTGACCCGACTTACTTGCCTGCCCCGGCTTACACCAGCGCCTGCCTGCAAGCAAGCGAGAATTATGTCCAGCTCCCGGGTTTTCATATTAATGCCCATCTTTGCGTGCATTGTATTGAAATGCCGGTCGCCAGATCCCACCGTTCGCTTGCAGTGGCGGTGCCAATAATACACTGCCAGCTTTACGATCCTTGTCCTGCGCCAGGCACTAATTCCTTCCGTGGTCCCATCGGGCTGATCATTCCAACCACCGATTTTCTCATCGTGTTCAGCCGCTGAACCGCTAGCCCTGGGTCGAGGTGTGTTAGGTGTCTTCCATTGATCAAGCAAAATCACCGTGGAGAAAGAAGTTTGTTGTTCAAAAGTGGAGCTGAGATATTTTTGGTCCCCGACAAGCCTGTCCACAACCCCTGCCATCGGCTACTATCATGACAGTCGACGATGAGATCTGAGAATGATCAACAAATGTCCTGAGAGCCTCAACTATGGACATTTGTGGGTGAGTGTATTGGTAAGCAGGTACGCCAAAATATCTAAACGGGCAGGAAATTGGCACTGACATGCGATAGGGCAACAAACTTCTGTATTTGTGTCCCAGACAAAAGGTCACGGTTTCCATCGTTCAAGGTGGATGGCGAGAGGGACATGGAAACAACTCTGTATATCAATGACACGTCCGTTCTGAGTTATTGGTAGTCAGACATTGTCTCGGGTTGTTCCACAGTCAACGCAGCTGGCCCGTCATCATGGATCTCTATTCCTCAGCAGCTTTGGACGTCTTTTTCTTGTACATATGCATTTTGGGCTTATCTGGATTATGGTCGATTGAGCCAGCCATATCCTGCGAAAATCCTCACTGCTATCCAACCAGAACACTGGATGAATACGAGATGCATCCCTCATAATCTATCACCTCGACGTCCAGTGGGGGCCAAACATTCATTCACTCTTCTTTATTTCGCCTTGTATCACCTCTCGCCATCAGGCAGTGCATCCTTCGCTATTCGACTAGACCCACTGAGGCTGGCCTCTGAAAGGCCCCTGCAAGTGATGGACAGACTTCACAGGATGCGTGTGGCTTGTCTAGCAATTTATTGATTGCGGTCCCCTCTTGCCAGTCTGTCAGCTTCTCTTCTCAGATCTCCTCGCAACCTCTGCAGGCACGAATGCAGATATTCACCGACGACAATCTACATCCGGCGCCGTATTATTCAATACTGAATTTTGGTGATATTTACCGGCGAAGTCGTACCCAGACTCGGAACCGATAACACCAGAATTTTTACCAGTCAGCGCCGCAGTGTTTTCGCACTTGTTCGCTCCAAGCGGCCGACCTGCTGAAACGAGCCTATCGCAACCTTATTACGCATGCAATATCACTCACGACTATGCGGTCAACAATATTTTTACTCGCCGCTGCGAGTGGCGTGAGCGCAAAGTGGATAAGACGGTCCGGCGAGAGGGCACGGTTATGGACACCACAAGAGACGGGATATGTTGCCGAGGAGGATCAAGCCCTAGGCTGGACACCGAAACCTACACCGGCTCCCGGCGTCAAATCAGAAGGCGAGCATGTCCTGGATTTATTGCGGCGAGAAACGACATCGACATGGACGAACTCAGAAACTTGCGGATGGGTCTCGGGCATTTCATGTAAGTCAACATATCCCCGCCACAGACGAGTGCTTCCGGCATGGCAAACTGAGCATTTTCTAGCATATCCTTGGACGTGCGCCGTAAATTCAACTTGCGCCACAAATTTTGACAATGTTGTCGCATGCTCATCGGGAACTTATGCGCCGTTTTTCTCGGTTTGCTTCGATTATGCTGCATACCAGGGCAGCCAGTGTAGCAGTATCGGTTCTTTGACCGGATGTTGGTAAGTCGCATCAGCTTTTCCCATAAATTATTGCCTTGTAAATTGACAAGTCGACAGCAATTTGTCGCAATATCCCGCGTGCGGAACTTATATCTGGACGGGCCAACCTCCACGATCCATGTTTAGATGTTTCAGTGAAGCAACAATTATCTCCATGTTGGACGAGCCACAATTTGTCATTGACGCCTCGCTTTCTTCGAAGACTATGTCTACTACCAAAACAGGCACCACCGACGGCGCTGTAACAGCCACAGACAATGTTGCCACAGCTATTCCTGGTCAAGGTAGCACTACTACGAGTAATCCAAGTTCCTCAGCCAGCAACACCGGCGCCATTGTTGGCGGAGTCGTGGGTGGAGTAGGGGGTCTGGCCCTCATCGCGGGTTTAATCGCCTTCCTCGTCTTGCGCAATAAAAAGAAGAAGCGCGAGGCACAAAGCTATAATACTGTTCCCGCTAACGACCAAAACGAGCCTCAGCACCCGGGTGTGGCCACACCTGCAATGTCGTACATGAACCCTGGCGAGACGACCTACCCACCACCATTGCAATATGGCGGACAGCCACCAAACCAGAACCTTCGGCAGAGTATGATCAAGCCGTATGACCCGAATACTCCGCAGCAGCAGCAATACGACCCCAACGCTCATGTTTACTACGGGTATAACAACAACGCGGCACCAGGCCAGTCGAGTCTCAACGACTCCAATGCCCTGTATCACGGCGCGCGGAGCACAAGGACGGGATCGAGTCCACCGCACAGCCCGGGGCAGTCGGGGTATCAATACCCGCAATTAACAGGGAGTTCGGTGGGGTACGAGGGACAGCAGAATACAGCACCAGTTACCGAACTCGATGGGGATGCACCAGCGGGCTACCATTCGAATCCGATCGAGATGGCGTCGGCACCGCAGCGGTATTAGTCGTTTCACTATGATGAGACGTGAGTGCTGATTAAATCTAGATGAGGAGCGCACGGATTCGATCAGGATACGCCTACTTATTTATACTGTACATAATGTGCCTTTGCTGAAATGCTCTTTTATGAAGGTACCCGAGCGAGCCTGGATAGAGCCTAGCATGACTTGCTATAGTTTATACCCAGAGATATACCCAGAGATTTTAATGGTGATCAACATCTGAGAAAGTTAGCAATCTATGCTCGTAGCTAGCTACAATGTTAATGCAACTCTGCAAACTGTTCTGCACAAAAACCCCTGAAGATGATGACACGAGAATGTAAACCGATCTACGTTAGTGACGACAGCCCCTTTCCATAAACCCATAACTTGGTCACCAAAGCTATTCATATACTCATCCCCGCCCGCCCCACTCCCAACATCAATATCTACCCACAATTCCAACCCAATCTAGGGATATATGGGCCCTGTATGTATGTAACTTATAAGCCCGCCCATTGTACACCATTCACGTTTGTCACTCTCATGACACCGTCATACTAACCCTGCTCATCACGACTTCTGCAAATACTGCAAATTCACCGGTGTAATGGCATCCTTACCGCCCAAAACCGCCATGATATTCCTCATACTTAACTCTTCAAACCCAATATGCGTCTCCACCGTGCCCCCTGCGTTATGACACGTCAACAGCGCTCTCGACCCGGCCAGCGCCAACAGCCGCTTATCAACATGCGGCTCATCGGAATGCACATCCAACGCAACGGAGCTCAACCTCCCCTCTTCCAACGCATCCGCCAGGGCGGCCTCGTCGACGAGCGATCCCCGCGCGATATTCACAAACCTTGCGCCGGGCTTGAACCAACCCAAACTCGTCGCATTGATAACCTTCCCCGCGCCCGACGGCGTGCACAAGACCACACAGTCGCTCGCGCGGATGACGTCCTCCATGCTCGAGCAGAATTGCGCGCCGAGCGCCTTCTCCACCTCGTGGCTTTTGCGGAGAATGTCGAAGTACAGGATGTTCATGCCGAAAGCTACGCGCAGCTTCGTCGCGATCTGCTGCCCGATGTTGCCCAGCCCAACCAGGCCTAGCTTGTGGCCTCGTAGATTTCGGCTCACGGCCGTCGCGTTGGCGTGGCAGTCGGCGAATTTCTCTGCGCTTCCTGATGATGCGGCGCCGATGCAGAATGGTAAGGAGCGGAAGGTGGAAATCACCATGGCGACAGCGAAGTCGGCGACTGCCTCGGCAGCTGCGAGCCCGCCGTTGCAGTAGATGATCCCCCGCTCGCCGAGAGCTTTGGTATCGGCCCAGTCGAACCCAGCGCCGGCGCTGGCGAAGACTTTGACAGTGGGGGCAGAAGCGAGATGAGTTCGTCGTCCCATTGGCCCATTTCGCCGCCGCTGCCCCAGAAGGGCCGGAAGATGGCGGCGAAGTCGCCCCAGCGGTGGGAGCTCAGGGCACGGATGAATTCGGGGCGGTGGCGTTCGGATTCGGAGGGGCGGACGACATCGAAGAGCCGGGTTAGGGTGGCGTAGGTGGTGGGGTTGTATTTGATGGGGTCGCCGATATGGAGGATGATCGGTTTCCTGGGTCCCGGTGGAGAGGTGGACGAGGAGGTGGAGGCTAGATCGATAGCCGAGGCGGATGGGGTCGGGAAGCTGGGAACTGGCGGCGGGACCGGGGACATGGACCGTGGGGTTGCCGAGATGGGGGTGCTGGGGGGCATGGGCGTGTTTGTTGGTTCGGCCATGGTTTGTGAATGAGGTTGAGAGAGTCGATAAGTGAGTAAGTAGTAATTGGATCTTTGATTGAGGTGATTGAGAGAGGGAATCCAAATTGTCGACTTTGGAAATCAATCGCCAACTCGACGAGTCTCGTGGTCCAGGTGGGGGATTACCCGAAGCGTGGACCTTTCACCGCCCCGGTCTTCATGCGTCAAAACTCCAACTGTCCGTCGCCCAAGCCGCTGCCGCAATCTCTGCCCGCACTTGGCGCTAAGTGGTGAACCTTGTGGTAATAACCGAACCAGCTCTGTTTCCTAGATCAGATATGTTACCTTCAACTAGGAGGGTCAAGGAAATCGTCCGTGAGAGAAGAAATGAGCAAGCTTCGCCGACTTAGTGAAATCGAAAGAGCTTACAGTAGGAGCTACTGAATTCACACCACGCAGTCACGTTGAACGGGATGCCGATTCGGGATATCCCTGCTCAGAAGATGTCGAAGCAAGTTGAAGTGCTTTACGATGGCGGATGGCATCGATCCATTGCTCCGTCTTCCCTAATTGTTTATAGTGTCTCCGCTCCAACACCGCTAAGCGAGGGGCGTGCCATGTGGGGGCTGTGGGGGTGTTTGTTCCGACGACATCTCATCCAAGTTCCAGAAATACTTCATATCTGTACTTCTTGCTAGGTTGTATGTTCTAATAGGTAAGACAGACACTTTGTTCATATGTCAGCGGTGTTAGATTTTCATTAGTTGGCCCTAATGAGGCCCTGTATTCACATGATGCCTCTTATCCGCGTGTAACGATTCATCCGCTGTTTTATTAGTTCGCTCATACGGTGGTGGTTTCATCTTCATAGATCTGCAGTTTTGTCTCTTACCCGTACTCATCTGATCTGACCCTCCTACAGAGTCCCGTGTGGCGTTGATGAGATCACACAATCGTGGTGACACTCAATCGCCTATATCCATCTTTGGAACCCGCCTGTCAGAGAACAGAATGCCATAGGCACCAGTGGGTGTCAGGACACTGAACGCAGGACACCGGCGGGCCGCCGGAGGGGTGTTTCGGACAAAAGACTCCCGAATCATGATTACAATCTATGTGAAGCTTTGGGATGACGAGAGTCAAGATCCTTGGCATCGCCGACCCTGCTGTTATGCCGGGTCCAAGCGGCGGCCTAGCTATCTATATAAGGACCATCTCGAAGTAGGATAGGGAAGGAGTTGTCAGAGCCACAAGTGTCATCCGAGGCGGGCCGGCTTCCACCAGGTAGGAAGCCGTTTGTGGCGGCTAGAGAGCCGCTTGTGGCGAATGAGAGCCGTTGAAGCCGTTTGCAGCGGATAGGGAATCGCTTGGTTGCAGATAAGGAGCCGCTGTCCAAGATATTGGCCGAAGTCGGAGGAACACAGACATACGGAAGCAAACATCCAGAATCCAAGAGAGAACCTCGGCTGGCTATAAGTAAGGAGTCGAGACGGAGGAAGATAGAGAGGGCAGAGATCAATGCATCACCGTGGGCACCCCTACCTGAGACCGCCAGTGACCACCCGGTATTACGTAGGAGGGACGCCCGTTACTCCCCATCACTCTGTACTATTGCCTTCGGCCTAGCCGTACCCTGACACCGCCAATCACCATCGCCTCGTCTCAACTCTGCAAGGGGTTGAACTCGGGATTGGTTACCACCTGCTGAAGAAACCAGCATGCTGATTCAAGTTTCCTGCAGCCCTTGCCCTGGTTCTCTGGTACCAGCTTTCTCCAATTTAGCTCTCCTTCAAACTTCATTTCATATCGATGGATCTCCCCTCTCGGACAAGCCAACCCGGTATCCATCAAAATATCATCGTATATTATCGCCATTCTCCTCGCTTGACTCCATCATGATCTCAAGCTAAGCCGGGTTGTACTAGATCCAATGCTAGTCCTGAACGGGACCTAGTTGGTAGACCACCACTACGATCTACGGGAAGTTCTTGTGTGATCTACGCAACTCTCCACTCTAATAGTCTACCAGCATTATTTCGTATAACGTAGTCCACGGTCCAATTGCACACTTTGGCAGACCTTATACGACAATGTATAAGTTAATTCAACCACAACGCCTATCATCAATTGAAACTACTCAGAATCGTTATCTTCAGACGTCTCTACATCATTTTCACAAGTGCGCGCATTATGTCCGGGCTCGCCGCAGATTCTACAGCGCCGTACACGCGCAATTCGCCGCCTCGTACGACCACCAATTTGACGAAATTCGTCATGTAACTGCCTATCAACCTCTCGTTGAGACTGTAGGTCCTGTCCAGCTTGTATACGAAGTGACCCTCCACTCTGTAGCTGTTTTTTCTTCGCACGGCGACGTCGACTTAAGGTCTCATTTGCCTTTCGAAGTGATTCGACCTCGCCTTCTAAAAGGGACTTGGATTTGATGTTCCCGTTGAAGGAGCAAAAGGAGGGCACATATGCCTAACCTGTATGTATTGTAGCTAACTCTGGTCCTCTCTTCGAGGGTCTATGTATGGAAACAAAAGGGTTCTTATATAGTCAATGAATGGTAGACTTGCTGATTAATTCAGACAAGTTGTAGAAGCATATAGATAAGTAGGGAATGTTCTATCCTTGCCACATTTCTCGTAATAGAGGTATGTGGGGATGGTCGCCGGTCTAGGTGGCGATAGTGGCAAGTATAGGACCCACATGGCCCACAGGGCCCATATTGTCCAACTAAGGGCAAGCCGATGCATAACCTTCGTTGTACCTCGCGCAATCTGATCTATTCCAGCAAAAATTGACGTTGGTGAGCTATTTTGATGTCGTACAATCCTATTTTTCACATAATCGGGCTTCGGTTGGGTTGTTCGGAGTCTTTGATTCCCAAGGGACGGGGAGACCAGCCGAGCTACCCGGAGGTTTTGGCGTATGTAATTTCACATCAAGCTGTGATATGACATAATCTGCATCGTACGGAACTATTACTACCCCTCGGAAACCTCCTTGGATATTTGAAACCGCGAAAGTTGCGTTGTACGCGTTTAAAAACGCCGGTAAAAAGCCTTCTTTCGAGATATGACTTATATGTGCTCGCATGAGATCTTCGATTTCTTTCCGTACGCTCTTTTTAACCCGCGAAAACAACCAACATCAAGAGGCTGGAGCTTATGCGACGAATGAGGAGGCATATAAAGCGTGACGATATTGTTAGCTTTGCAATATACCTCGAAATCGGTCGAGTGATGACTTTCGTGACCGTCGAGGATCAATAGGCGATGAGCACCTTTCGTACGAGACTTGGTGTGATTGATACGTGACCCCATGGGGGGTTGCCCTATAGCTAGAGATAAGATAGATAAGAGCTATAAAAGAGCTCTGCCAGGCCAGAATAGCTGACCTGGCCATCCTTTCCCAATACAACAATTCACACCCCATATGCACTCGCATCAGTGATGATCGAAGTGTTTTATCCAATCTTCGCCTCTCTCGTTCGTAGTCCAGCCATTTTTAGTAACTGCGATAACCCAATCAGGCAGTAATGGGCTGTTTTCGTACCATGACGAGAGGTGGGTTTTGCCGGCGAAAATGATGTACGGAGGGAGGGCATAACCGGACGACCCAACGCCTTGAATAACTGTAACCCATTCCCGATTTCCTTGCTGGGCTGATCTAGGCCTTCCGCGCCGATCAGAAGTCGTCACGACCATTTCGGACGAGATTTGGCCCATCACAAAACAGGTCTCGTCGAAGTTGTAGATATCCTCCTCCTGGATCGCGTATTTCGCAATTGTATTCCGTACCAGGTCAACCCACGCGCGATACGCGTCGGGGTCTTCGTAGAGGACTCTCTGATAGTAGATCCTTCGATTTAAACGCGCCCGGAGGTCTGGTTGTCGTCTTAAGAAGCTCGAGGCCCAGTTGACGCCGACGCGTCCCGCGTCGCGACTTCGAAGTAATCGGTTAGCCATATCTTCAACACCACTCAATCGGGGAGGAAATTCTCGCGAATCTAGGTCGGTTATATGTCGTACGATCGCCTCTTCTTCGGAAGGAGTCAACTTTTGCGTTGGCGATCGCGTAATCGCTCGAGCGGTTTTACCGTCGCGTCGATACGCAAGGGTTCTAAAAGGTACGTTATAGATCTGACCAGCGCGACGTACACTTAATTTTGGATCAGATTGAAGCGCATGTAATGCTAGAATCATATCACTTTCATTCCAAGAACCAACCATAGTTATGTGGTGAAAAACCGCAGGTCAAAGTGGTAGCGTACGAAAATCTGCCGAAGTGTGCAATTGGACCGTGGACTACGTTAGTTGATGTAAAGTATACCTGATCTTCGAAGACAAGGCGTAAGTGGGGTGAAATAAAGTAAGGTTTCACGAATCATCCTTGTCGGATCGATACTTTCGCCTGGCTCTGCTTTTCTCCAATCTCGGGAACTATCTTGCCGCGACATCGACGACTATCTTGATATCCCTATCTTTATGGTGTGTTAAGGCCATAATTCCATTCTCAACAACCCTATCAATAGTGATTGTACGTGTGATCATGTCCTTTGCGTCTATTGACCCATTATCCAGGGCATGGATAACAGCTTCGAAGTCCGCTGTAGTGTAACTCAGAGCTTGGTCAAAGTCAGTATTGATCAATATAGTACTGAGTGCGTTTCTCAGGAACATCACCTGTCAAAAGTCTCTTTTCCCCGAACAAAAGGTTATTCATGTTAAAGGGGATATCGCCGTCCCAAACCGAAACATTCACTACCGTGCCTCCGCTACGAGTTGCGAGACATGCTGATTTGATGCTTGCGGCAACACCGGCGCAGTCAAACGCCATGGCGGGTCCTTGGCCATCGCACAGTAGCTTGCAAGTGGAGACAACGTCTTGCTCCCGTGGGTCAATGACGGCCGTGGCTCCAAACTGCTGTGCAAATTTTCTCCGATTAGCCGCGACTTCGGCTACGATAAGTTGCCCTGGTTGGCGAGCTTTCAGGCATTGGATCACGGCCAGTCCGATGGGACCGGCGCCCATGACGAGAACGTCATCTCCAGCTTTGAGGGCCGACAGTGCAACAGCATGCCACGCGACGGCGAGCGGTTCAACCAGAGCTGCTTATGCTTAGCCCACCTCTTAGCTGGATATGCTCTCCGAGTCCTACTCACCTCCAATATCCGATGGGATAGTGTCAGGCAGTTTGAACGCGAATCTCGCATCCACGCACACGTAGTCAGAGAGGCCACCTCCCCAACCCATCAGTCCTACAAATCCAAAGGAATCACAACAGTTGGTTAGACCCTCTTTACATGGAACGCATTGGTTGCAACAGATGGTGGGCTGAACAGCTACTCGATCCCCAACACGGATGCCGTTTCGGACTTCTGACCCAACTTCGACGACTTCTCCAGAAAACTCGTGGCCCAGGGTTACAGGCCATTTCTCGCCAGTTATAGGATGGGGAGTATCCTTGAATGGTAGGCTGTTGGAAGATTGATAAACGTGTAAGTCTGTACCGCAGATGCCGCAGAAGGAGGGACAAATTTTAACCTGGTGAACGCGACATTCAGGTTCAGGAATGTCCATTTCCAAACGAATATCCCCGGGGCCGTGATACCGAAGGGCCCGCATGATTCCGTGAGTTCTGACTAGGTTAGCAGGTTAGGTCACCTGTCGAAATCGTGTACAAGATAAGAGGGTATTCCATTCACTAACTGTTGAGCTCTGTGAATTTGAAGAAGCGGCTGCTTTTTGGAATTAATGAGAATATAGTGAAAAGGGAGCACAGGGGCCGACACAATATTATATGCCTGCATATTCTGCAGTCTTAATGGTGCTGATGACACAGTCAATGGCTTTATACCAAGTACGGACATACTAACAAATCTGACGTCAGTCCAGCACTCCGATGCATGCGGGCTTATCTTCAGGGATTCCTTGCTAGGGTTTGCAGGAGTGCATCTAGTAATCCTGCAATGCATAAGCTTGCATAAAGCTCTACGGTAGTCTTTTCTATGCACGACAAGGACAAGGGTCTACACGTGCTCGACGACTGTGGTTCCCATCTACTAAATTAGCAGCAAAGTTCAAGCGAACGCGACATTGAAACCTCGTCAAGACTTGAAGGGCGCTGTTAAACAACATGGCGATCAGCTTGGATCAGCAATGGGAGGAAACACAGACTGTTCTTCTAATCTAATCTCAGATGTGGCATGAGAATATGCGTCAGAACTGATTTGAGAAGCATCCAGAACTCCTTTGCTTTCTACAATCCTGCCTGTTCAACGAAAACCTAGTATACATCTCGTAAATGCAGTCCAGTCCTTATCCTCAATGATTCAATCTCTTCGATGGAATCAGAAAGGCCAGCAGAATAGTCAATCCTGCGCCAGCCATCGAGAAGGCGAAAACATCCTTTATCCCGACCATATAGACTTCAAGCACTGCGTCAAGATCTGCACCGCTGAAAACCTGTCGTATTTGGGTTGCCCCGGTAGCCAAGACTTTTGCTGCATCGATATTGGGCGCTACACTGGAGAGCTCTTCCAGCAGACGATTCGCAAAAAGAGACTGAGCTGCCGTGACAAAATATGCACCACTGAGGGCATTGAACACTGGTTTGAAAGTCAGCAAGACCTGTCGATGACTGGACAGTTCAGCTTTGGAAATATGCAAACAAAAAACTCACTGAGCATGATGCCCGTAGCAGACTCTACTTCCTCTGGCTTCGAGAAGCTCTGTACTGCCGTCATAGGGATCTGGTTCCCGAGCCCAACACCAAAGCCCAGAAGTAGCTGGGGCCCAACATAACGGGCTAGTGAGGAGTCGACATCGAGTGTGTAGAGTAAAGCGGCACCAGCCGTGGACAGGATGGCACTGGCTAGGTGAAAGGGTTGCATGAGCCCTGTCTTGCTTATGAGGTATCCGCATAACGTGGTTCCGGCGGCGAAAAGAGCCACATATGGTAGGTTATTAACGCCGCTTGTTATGGCTGACTGCCCGTGGATAGATTGGAAGTATATGGGCAGGTAGAAGATCGATTGAAAGTTGGTAAGGTTGTTTCTTAACATCCGTAAGTCAGCAAGCGCCGAGGAGCTATGGAAAGGAAGGGAGAGTATGGGGGCACCCACATGAGGCCATACAAGGCATTTGACCAAGTCATTCGCGATCTCATCAGATTCAATGGCACCATGGCATAAGCACCTTGCCACCATTCAACCAAAACGAAGGCAAGAATCAAGGTAATCCACATGACCAATGTAGCTATAACACTGCCATCACTCCATGGCTTAGACTGGCCACCCCACTGAAGAGCCAGAGTAAAACAGATGAGAGAGGTGAGAAGCAAAATAAAACCCGGTAGATCAAGCTGTAGGATGATCTCCTTCCATATTGCAGCCGTGGTCTGTACATGCCGAGGCACATAGAAAAACAAGAGTATGAGCACGATCACGGGTCCTCCGACAGGAAGATTTATCCAAAAGCACCAGCGCCACGTCACATTGGTTGTGAATGCACCTCCAATCAGTGGCCCAAGGGTAGTAGAGATCATAAAGACTCCCATCCACAAGCCGATGTACATTGGCCGGCTTTTCGGCTCGACCACGTAGTTGATCATGAGCACAGAGCCGCTGAGGGTACCCGCGCAGCCCCAGCCCTGAATGGCGCGAGCGATGACCAAGGCAATGCTGTTAGGAGCCGTTGCGGCCACGAGACTCCCGATCAGAAACATAGCAAAGGCGGCGAGATAAACGACCTTTGCGTTCATGTATCTGTAAACTTTCCCCCACATGGGCGACGTGGTGCCGGCGAGCAGGAAGATGGCGCTGCCATACCAGCCCACCTGGTCAAGCTGGTGGAACTCATCTGTGATGGCGGGAATGGCCGTAGCGACGATGCCCTGTGAACCAGACCTGTTAGCAAGCTGGTGGGGTAGGACGACATGTACGAAGGAAGTTTTACAAGGTCCAGTGCCGTGAGCAGGGTGCTGAAGCATATGGTCGTCACGATGATGACCAGTCTCAGGCCAGAAGCGTATTCAGGCTTTGTAGCGGACTGGTCGCTTGCTGGTCCGTCTAGGTCCTCCCCAGAAACATTGGTTGGCAACAACTGAGCGTCGCTCGTCTTCTCGGCCAGCGAGCGGGCTACGTGAAGTGTTTCTGTACTGAGGGCCGGCCTCATGTGCTGATGCAATTCGAATTCTGAATTAGACTCCATTGTTCGTGCTCTTTCAAAGGGTAATATTTGCTCTCATTAAGCACTCGAAAGGAGAAAACTCTCTTTTGAGCTTGAACGCCTATGTACTCAGCATTTACATAAGGCTCGGGTAAGGCGACTCAGGAAGTGTATCAGGAGACCAATCGTCTTTCGACGGATTGGGGGCTGAGGGATCAGCACGGAGGAACGGTCAACGCATATAAGGGGGCTTACATGCGAAGGCTTTCCGGACCGCGATGGTATTAACATAATTAAGTCCGCGAGGCGAGCGCGAGTGAAATTTCTGTAGGATTTACCAGTCATCCTTGCATGCTGACTGTTACAGCGCATCCTTTAAGAGCCAAGGTACTTTATTGAGCTGAGGCTAGTAGGCCGTCTTGGAAAACTGTATAGGACTTATTATATTACTGCATATGTCTCTAGTTCTACTGGTCGTCATCCGAGATTGCAGTCCTGCGCTATTTTACATGGAACCTAAAAAAAGAAAAGGTCTACTTAGCCTCAGTGATCTTTTGTGTGACCAGATCCGAAAGCATGGTAAGCGTTGCAGCAGGAGAGAGGAGCGTCAAGTAAGGAACGTCGGTCTTAAAGGCCTGGAATATCCATGCGCGGAATTCAGCCGCAAGCATGCTGTCGACACCGACGCTGCTGATGGGCTTGGTGACATCCAGCTTATCCTTGGGAATCAGGACCAAGCTCGAGAACTTCTGACAGACTGTGCTGAGGATGGCCTCTTCTGCCGAGCTGCCTGCCTCGATGGCCTCAGCCACCTCAGCTGGCAAGCCGTTCGTCGTACCGCTTGCGCCGGTGCCCGATGTTGTCTCATCTAAGGCGGCTGACAACAAGAAGGCGCGAGGGTCGCCAAGGACTGGACTCGTGCCTTCGAAGCCTTGCGCACGCAGTGCCTTCAGCCCCAGCGGCTCTAATCCTGTCAATACGTGGCCTTGGGCAAAGCTATCATACAAATCGCCTGCGCCCGTCTGTGTGGTGGTTCGAGTAGACAAGGCGATGTCGATTATATGCAGCATTTCGTCTTCGTTGATGGCTTGTATACCCTTACGCAATAGTAGAGCCTCGATCTCGGGGTTTTCGTGTAGGTAACCGACCTCCGAGATCATACCAAGTCCCACAGAGACAGCAGGAATACCGACATTGCGGCAATACCGTGCAAACATATCGAGGAAGTAGTTGGCGCTGCAATAATTACTTTCCGTAGCTGTTCCGACGCTGCCGGAGACAGACGAAGTCATTAAGAAAAAGTCCAAGTCCTTCTCACGCCCAGCAAGGGCGTTGCGCAGGTTCCAGGATCCCACGACCTTAGGCCGCAGTCCAGCAAGCCAATAATCTCTGGGCATGGTAGTAAAGAGTGCTTCCTGTGTACGCGTAAATGATCAGTATAAGCAATGTAGACCTTTTCAAGAAAATATTCAAACGCGGAGCTCCAACTTACGTCAAGACCCATAGCAGCCTGAATGACACCGCCAATTGGACCATGTATGTCGGCAACGGCGCGGTTAACGTCCTTGACGTTCACAACATCGCCACGTACAACTGTGACTTCGGCGCCCAGGGACTGCAGATTCTCAACAAGACGACGAGCCGGAGCCTTGTCCGTTCCACTGCGGCCCATGAACACAAATTTGCGGACACCTCGCGACAACATCCATTTGGACATACTCCTACCAAGCCCTCCCAGACAACCGATTAGGAGATAGGTTTTCTCTGGACTCATTTTGGTGTCATACTTTATGGGCATGACGGGAATCGCGGACTCCTTATCCTCTAGGGAGACCACAGCTCCGCCGTGATGGTGAGTCTCCTCCTTCTTGGAGGCGAGGGCACGGAACGTCTCTTTCACGTCGGAAATGTCCCATACGCGAGGGGGAAAGGCGATGCCGTCCAGGTCGCCGCCGCGGTATAAGGCAATGGCATCAGCCAGTAGCCTCCGGCGCAGTGACTGCCCCTGTGGTGTCGGGCGGGCGATCAGACTTCCGATATCAAACGTTGATAGTGTAATATTCCGGCGCAACACGGTCGGATCTATAACAAGCGCGTCCGCAAGCCCAGATCCACCCGAGCCGACTTGCACAAGGCGAGCGCAGCCCCCACATATGGCCCCTATGTTTGTGGAGGCCGACATGTCGGCGGGTAGCCCATCATCCGTGAAGGATACGATGACATCGACGCCTCGGTGTCCTGTGGCCTGCGCAATCCGAGCACCCAAGTTTGCATCGTTCGCCTTGAAAACGTGGTCCTGCGGAAGCTTCAAGTCCTGGAGGAGCTTCTCCTGGCGCTTGGTGCTGGCACATATAGCAAAGACCTGTGCGCCAACCTGTTGAGCAATGCGTATGGCAGCGAATTCAGCGACGGCATCATTCTCGTTGCTGTCGCAAACAACGAGGATAGATTCATTGGCTTCAAGGCGGGCTCTATCGTGAATGGCGTAGATGGCCGTGCTGAGCGGGAGCGGGAGGCTCGCCATGGTCTTGAAGTCCTCGTCGTCATTTAGCTTGTGGCAAGCCGACTCAGCAGCGTGTTCATGTGTAGCGAAATAACCCCGAGCCATGGAAACAACACGATCGCCGGGCACGAGGGTCTTGACATCTGTGCCGACTCTCGTAATGACACCAGCGTACTGAGACGTGCAAGTCGTATCGCTACTGGTCTCAGCGTTGCCACTGATAGACTGGAGATCCCTTGCATTCAAGCCGACGGCCTTCACTGAGACCTCGACATGGTCTGCAGCCAAGGACGTTTCAGCCGCCGGTTCTTCTTGACGGAAAAAGATCGAGTCCGTTTGGCCGACGGTCTCGACATCCAGGCGGCATGGTTGCGCTTGGCCCAGCGCGAGCGATCTCTTTTCTGCGCCCAACTTCTCTCGGAAAGTACTGTTCAGAGATTCCGCAGGAATGAAGCGACTCACATGGAGGGAGCCGGCGGTATGGATGAACTCGAAGTCGGGTTCCAGATCATTCACGGCCTGCGCCAACACGTCGATGACGTGCGCGGCCGTTGTCTCGATCTCGGAAGAGGGAGAGCTAGCGTCCACGTCGACATCGACTACGAAGAACCGTAGCGAGGGCTGTTCGAGCATCAGAGCCCGCGATAGCCCGAACACAATACCCATTTCCGGCCTCAATCCCTGCAGCAGCTGGCCGCCGGTCACCCAGATCAGGTTGGCACAGTTGTCGGTGAGAATTTTCACGAATCGCATCTCATCCTCGGTGACGCACGATAATAGCGCGTCTTCGAGCTCGACGGTTGCGATCACATTGGCGTGCGCCTGGACCAGATCAGCAGTGATCTGATCGAGAGCCACGCGATGGACCGGTCGCCCGGTCGCGATGTTGATCTTCGCAACCAGCGCAGCGTTGAGACTGTGTTCAGGACTTCGCTCGACCTAATTCCTCACGTTAGCGTGTAGAAGACACTCGAATGACTCGGGCGAAACTGACGATCAGAACCTCTCCTACGGATTTGACCCCCTTCTCTTCCGAGCTCGCCTGACCCGAGAGGCGCGCGAAGATAGTCTCATACTGTCCACCGAGCTGTGATTGAAGAGGCAACTCAAATCCTTCCGTCTCAAGTTTACTTGCCTGGTCTGCGGAGCCGAGACACACGAGGGCTCCGTCTGATGCGATCAAGTCTTTGATGGCAGCAAGATTTGCAACCGATTGAGTTGCGTTATGAGGACCGAAGAGCACGACATCAAAAGCCAGATCCCGGCGATCGCTCGAGGGTTTGGCGCCAGAAGAATATTCTTGGAACTGTAAGAGTCCGTCATCTGTATAGGACCCACGCCACAGCGACTGGCATCTCTTGAACGCAGTGGCGAACCTGAGTGTCTCAGCCAGGTAGGATTCCTCTGTATCATCAGCAAGGAAGGTGAGTATTCGCAGTCGAGGTTCCTTGTGGGCCAGAAGGTCAACAACGGCTCCCAATCTCACCAGCGCGTCCTGATGCTGATGCTCCGCAGCAGATTGAGCACGCGCTACGTACTGCTTGATATAGGACGAAAGCTCGGCTCCATTGCTGGTGCCCAGCTTGGTGATATCGGGCTTCCAGAGAACGCGCAGCATTGGGTGTCGCTCCTCTTGGTCCTGCTGCTGCATCCCGCTCTGGTATGCGACGAGGCGACACCCATTGATTTGCAAGAAGGATGAGCCTTCAGCGTCATAAAGCTCTCCCGATACTCTGATAGTGCCGAAACCGACCGGTTCCGAGACAGCCTTCACATTCAACTCTAGAGGCGATACGGTCAATTTGCCTGGCTGAGGCGGCCGTACTGTCATCTGCTCGATGTGAACAGGCACCTTGGCTTGGAGCTCTCGAACGACGCCGCTTGTGCTAGCGATGATTCCAGCCTGGAAGACGGCGTCGATGGTGACGGGATGAACGGTGTAGGTGGACTCCAGGTTGGTCCCACTGCCGCTGCCCTGTAGTATTTCAGTACTGGCTAGGATCTTCATCTCCTGTCGCTTGGCCGGCACGTGGACTTGTGTCAGAGACTGGAAAGAGCCTTGGAAATTCAGGCCACCCTCGGCGAACTGCTTGTACCAGGTCCGAGGAGCAGTGGGTTCCATGTCCTCGTGCTTTACAGCGGATGACTTTACTGCTGTCTCATGTTCCAAGTCCACAACCAGTTTGATGAATCCCGTGGCGTGAGTCGTAGCCTCTCCTAGGACGTAGGAGCTGATACTGAAATGATGCCACTCAGACTTACCGCGACCGGTAAGTTGCGCAGGCTGTAAGGTTGTGAACAATTCAACCCCGGTGTCTAGTCCGTCTTCTTGGGGCAGGACGAGAGCCTTGGTAATATGAACGTCTTGGAGCTTGAAAGCAACACCCTGTGCGGCAGCATTCCTCACGTATTTGGCTTGAGTCATGGCTTCGATTGCCACAGCCAAGTAGCCAGCGGCAGGAACCACGGTCGTGGTGTCTAGCTTGTGGCCCTCGATCCATGGCACGTCCTTTGCCTTGAGCACATTCCTCCAAGTTGTCATGATCCCATTACCGCCATGAACCTGCGAGCCGAGAAGATCGTGGCGGAGGTATTTCCTGTTTCTCCACTCGACACTGGTCCGCGACTCCTGGAAAAGCTTCTGCTGCGGATCATAATCCCAGTAGTACTTGGGTAGGTCAACAAGCATTGCGCCTTGCCGTGGCTGGACCATCAGGTTGGTATTGGTCTTGAGAGGCCACGAGCCGACCATATTGACCTCCTCGAACGATATGGTGTGGTCGTGCAAGTAAAGGTCCCCAACCAAACTCAAGACTGTGGCGACTGAGTTTTTGCCCCGAGAAAGAGCGGTGCCGTAGTGCACCTTGTCTTTGCCGATGTTGAGTTTCGAGCAGGTCTGCTTTATAGGCATCTGCAGTGCAGAATGTGGCCCAATTTCGACGAGATGATGTGGACCGACATCGCGCAGCAGCTTTCCGACTACGGTCTCGAATAGCACCGGAGACTCTAGGTTCGCTCGCCAGTATGCCAGGCTCAGAGTATCACGCTCCACAACCTCACCGTTGACAGACGAGATCCATGTAGCATCGCGTGTAGATGATGAGGATTCCCTGGAGTCCACTGCAGATGCGGCCGAGACAAGATAGTCCTCATACTCCTCTCCAAGAGCCACCATGTGGCGAGAGTGATAAGCCTTGCCATCCGTTTTCAGTTGCCTAGCAAAAACACCCTCGCTGTCCAGGTGAGCCATCAGTTCTTGGATGCCGTCTACATCTCCACTTATCGTTACGCTCTCAGGGGAGTTCACGCAAGCTACGTTGATCTTGTTCCCGAGACCAAGTGAGTTTATCTTGTCGTTGGCCTCTGCACGACCAAGACCGACCGCCATCATAGCACCCACAATTGCCTTAGAGCTCCTCGTCACGGTGTAACCGCGGTAGTATGCAATGGCGATGGCTTCCTCGGCTGTCACATAGCCAGCAGCGTAAGCTGCTGCAATCTCACCTGAGGAGTGGCCTAAGACGTATGCGGGCTTGATACCGAAAGCGGATAGAAGTTTCACCAGGCCAACTTGGATAGCGGTGCAAATAGGTTGGCTGCGCGACGCATGATTGATCATGCTGGTCTCAGCTGATTCAAGAAGAGTTCCCAGCAGCGTCCAGGTTGGTGGATGTGGCAGCAATTGCAACTTTGAGTCGAGCATCTGGATAGTGCGGCGGAAAATGGGGAACTCAGCCAGCAGTTCTCGACCCATTTCGGCCCACTGGGCGCCTTGACCCGTGAAGACAAACGCCAGAGGCAGCTTGGAGTATGCTTTTCCATCTATGCGAGTTTGCAGCTTCTCGAGCATCAAATCCTCTTTTAGATGACCAGGGCGGGCGAGTAAGTAGCCTCGAACCGGGAGGTGGGACCGTCTGACGCCTAGGGTGTAGGCCAGATCTACGGTGTTGACATTAGGGAGATCGAGTAACGATAGATCAGACACTCTGTGCTTCAGTGCGGTATTGTTGTTTGCTGAGACTGGTAAGAACATTGTTGTCCTTGCTAAAGCCGTGCTCTTCTCTTCTGGTGACCTCAGCATGTAGTCCGAGGGCACATGCATGGAGGCTGCATCGATGATCACGTGCGAGTTCGCACCGCCATAACCGAACGAATTCACGCCTGCCCTTCTAACCTGTTGATCAACATTATGTGGGGAGTTGGACGGCCAAGCCGTTGTTTCGGTCACAATCTTGATGTTCCATTTATCAAGCTTGATTTTCGGGTTGATGTTCTTAACCCCTACCGTAGCCGGGATCTTTCCAGTCTCCAATGCAAGGACAACTTTGATAATGCTGGAGATTCCGCTCGCCGCCTCACTGGACTCCAAGTCAGAAGCAGTGCCATTGGAGGACGGGTTGTACATACCTGTGTCCGAGATTGGTCTTCACCGATCCAACTAATAAGGGAGGAGAATATTGTGGCCTTTTGAACACTCGAGATGTGGCCTCGACCTCAATAGGATCCCCAACAGCGGTGCCGGTGCCATGGCACTCAACGTAGTCGGTTTCATTATATCCAAGGCCTGCTTGAGCGTATGCCTTTCGAATGACGGCTTCCTGTCCATCTGCACTTGGAAGAGTAATACCGTTTGTTCTTCCGTTGCTGTTCATCGAATCAGTTTGATGCTCATATACTTATACGCCTTAGCCGGTGTTCGTTCAAGGGGCGACCATACCTGTTTACAGCAGTGCCACGAATGACGGCGCGCACTGGATCTCCATCTCTAATAGCGTCGCTCAATCGCTTTACCATCAAAGCTCCAATGCCATCTGCCCTCCCGTACCCATCAGCAGATGAGTCGAAGGTATGGCAAGTTGAAGTCTTGGACAAGACCCCTGCTTTCATTGTAGCAAGCTGCTGTTCGGGTGACTGTATCAGGTTGGCGCCTGCCACAACAGCCGAGTCGCAATCCCTCGATAACAGGGCAGAGCAAGCCGCATGGAGACAGTAGAGAGAAGAAGAACAAGCGGTGTCAATCACAAAACTGGATAAGGTCATCAGCCAAGGGGACGGGATACACTGATCGAGTATGAAGGGTAGCTTACCTTGGGCCTTTCAGGTTGAATACATGACTGATACGATTAGCCAAGATGGTGGTTCCAAGACCTGTTGCTGTGTACCGATGGGTGTATTCTGAATCCTTGAGCTGCATTGTGATAAAGTCGGTCACGAAGTTGCCGACGTAACACCCAACGTTTGCCCCTGAGAGTTGTTCTAACGTCAGACCAGCACTTTCGAAACATTCGAATACCACTTCTAGAAGCTTCCGTTGCTGAGGGTCCATGAATGTAGCCTCTAGATTGTTGATACCGAAAAAAGAGTTTTCGAATGCCCTGATGTCTTCATCGATGAAATAACCCCCCGCAGTGTTGAGACTGCCAGGTCTTTCACCATTCGGGTGGTAAAATCCATCTATGTTGAATCTGGAAGTGGGAAACGGCCCTTGAGCCGACCGACCGGCAATCAAGAGATCCCAAAGCTTGGAGCAAGATGAGCTCTTGCCAGGCAAGCGGCAACCTATCACAAGTTAGTAATAGTACTAGCATATGAGAGCCCTGTGGATGGACGAACCCATTCCAATGATTGCAATTGGCTCCGCGGCGAAGTTCTCGGTGGTCTCATTGTTGTCGATTGAGGTAAAGGAGTCTCCATTGAGTGACTGGCCGTTAATGCTGGAATGTCCGTTGCCATTTACATAGCCGTTGCCATTGGCGTGCACTTTGCCATTCAAACCATGACCGTTTGTGTTGGCAGAAAAAGAGGTGGGTGTGGATGCCCCTAAAAAGGAGCTGGGCGTGGAAGCCTGTGAGTTCACAAGGCCAACCATATTTTCAAGCTATCTCCCGAGGAAACTTTGCTTGAGTGAAAGAGGTTCAAAGAAGCCTACTCAATGTAGGAGACCAAAACTCTTCAGGGTGTTTCTAATTGCGGGTATTTCAATCTAATCCAATTCGTTTCAAACACTATCATAAGAGAAACCGCCGAATCCCCTTGGCAGTATATTTATATTTGGACAAGCTATGCTTTGACATCTCATATCTCTGTTCGATACAGGAGGAAGCCGTTGCGGTTAGCCTCCAGAATTCCTATTACTTCCTTGCCTGGTGGCACTTACACTCGCCGAGACTTTGCCACCTTGACTGGAAACTCCGACCCTTGAGGTTGTAACTTGAGTCTACCATCAGCACGCATGATAATCTATCCTGTGGGTCCGTCCTACCTTAGTGAGGCATTTTGGAAGTTGGGTATACACAGAGGTGTGCATAGTAAGAAGATAACAGCGAGTAAAGTAGCCGCTCGACAGCATGCAGTCATTGCCATATGCAACTGAAGCGACGCTACAATGCAGCATGTTCACACAATTGAAAGCGGTGAGGCTTACAGATCGTCCGATATATAACTCAGAAACACTGTAATATCTGCATGGTAATCAGGCAATTCCAGATCCTGTACCCCGCAAGCAAGTGTTCATTGGGCCGTTATCGTTAAAGGAATCATGTATGCTGCAAATAAGATTAAGGGTTCTGATCCATCTTGTTCTAGACAGCGGACTTTAGGTCGGGTTCAAGTACCTTACCGACACTATACAGGCCATTCCATGAGATAGGCCATGCTGTTACCGTATTGAATACATGCTGATAATGCAACTTTGTGGATCCGATGCTTACCAGTGCAATATTCTCGGTCTGATCGTGAACAGCTACCTTCAGTGATTCTGCCCATACCAATACTATGTGATAATTGCAATTACGGAATATCTATGTCTGATTTCTAGATGTCGAATTTGATAGTATTACTATGTTCCAAGGTTGAAACAGAATGTGTTTACTGCTGGTCTAATGGAGAATGCGTGGGATGAGTTTTTGTTTACGTCTTTAGATAGCAAATTTGAGATGCCAATTTGAATTCTTATGGAGCAACAAATAGAATGCGGTATACTAAACCAAAAAGCTGGATCTGATTACTACCGGCTAGCTGACCTAAGAAGGAATGTTGTGTGTAAAAGGACATTAAGCCTTTTTGTTTGGGCCCTCATTGTCCTTATACTTGGCATACTCATCCATGAGCGTGCCCATTTCGAACTCAAGCGCCTTCCCATTGACAATAATAGGCTTGACATCCAGCATGACAAAAAGCATACGGGCTGGCTTCTCGCTAGAGGTGTTTCGCCAGCGATGCATGGCACCGCGGTTAATGGAGACGTCACCAGGACGAAGGATCTTCTTATCTTCACCACCCAGCCACAGCTCGATCTCACCCTCACATACGGTTCCAATGCCTAGAGTAAGAGCACGGTGGAGAGATGACTCAGTACCGGGAGCAAAATCGATCATTCGGACGACGCAACCGTTGGGGATATGGAGGGATGGCTGTTAAAAAGAAGAAAGTTAGAAATCAATGAATTTTCTTGATCAAGGTGAAGATGGACGACGATGATTTCAGACGATACGAGATTCAAGTAAGCTTACCTGTTTCTTGATATACTCCAGATCGACGTCTTCTGTGAGCTCGATTGGATTGCGGTCGCTGCTGTACATGATGGTCTGGGCAGCAGCGCCACCTAGCATTGGGGCGCCGTGATAGCCATGATCGGTCTATGAAGACATAAGCTTGAGCTTTCCACGAAGTGGTGCTCCTGTACCTACTTGAACGAAGATTGAGTTTCCCTTGCTGTCGTGTCCGGTGAGGTACCGGTTAGGGTTGCGCAGGCCAGGAGCCGGAAATCCAGTACAAGGACCAGAGGTTGACATTGTAGGCCTTCGAGAAGAAGAAAAGGGTTGTCAATAGGTTTCTGAGGGATTCAGAACACTGACGAAGCAATGAGACCCTTCACGACAAGCCAAAGCGGTGATCTCCCAAAGCTGAGGTTACTTATAAGCAGGAGAGGTGACTTCCATGCAAAACTTAGTCTTTCTTCTACTTCGGGGAGGCAAAGGTCAGGAAGACTGAGTGGATAATGTGTTGACTGAGAGGCTTCAGTTGTGAGTTCAAGATGGTTGGGTGAAGTGCGAGATACTGGGATCAATTCCTGTTCATGCGTGACCGGCTGACTTTAGCCCGAGTTCACAGTCAGTCTAACAAACCTGGTCACACTTGTACATGAAAGACCAAGCAGACTCGGTATGCTACCTGTATATCAGCCATGAGATGGACCGTCGCTCCAAATGTCGCCAACATAGACCCCCTTTCTCACATCCGTTCTGGATCGGAAGATAACAAGACCCACTAGATAACCGTATAAGCTACGTATATCATGCTGCCGACGTAGTATCGGGACGTTTCGGAACCAAATCCTTGCTGAATTATAGCACATCTTTGGATAAGAAACTCGCGGGACCGCACTGCAGCGTTCGTTCGCAAGGGTGCAGTCACATAGCATGCTGATCTATATGTAAGAAGAACGAAGGAATGCAGTCAGCATGTGGGTGGGTTAATACAACAATAACAGGTTCCGCTTGTGTATCAATGGGATACAGGCTTATACGTGTTTAGTTTATATCTGCTTAATAGACAGCGCGACAAAAAGCATTATGAACTTATCGATTTGAGCATGTACTTCCTCTCTTTCTTCGCGTCCGCAGATCGGCATGCAATCCAGTCCCGAAAGATGAACATCAATCAGCGAGGTCCGCATTGACTTGGATCTCTGCCATGATCAAGCAAGTACACGACTGATCTCATTTTCATGATCAATATTTATGTGGCATCATTGAGTCATCCCATCATTCCTGCTTTACAATGCGGAGCATTCGCCATTACCTTTGCCTGGCTACCCTCGTAGCAAAAGTAACTTGTGATGCCGTCGTGGACGGGAAGCTATCATTTTACACCTCGTCTTGGGAGAGTTGGGACGAGAATGTAGCGCGATGGTCAGCGTACGAAGCCCCAACGTTCTCCGCCATATTCAAACCAGAGACGGAAGGCGAATTATCTCAGGGTGTCAGTAACAGCCTGCACCCACCTCCGTTTCTATTACATGCTGTTATACCATAGTTACTGACATGGCGTGGTTGTTTGCAGATCGAATATCTGGCAAGACATAAGATTCCGTACCTGGCCACCAAACCAGGCGGTCACGGCAATGTACCGACGCTGGGTACGTATCAAAATGTTGTCCAAATCAATCTGGACAATTTTCGACACGCCGTTGTCAATCCGGACCATAGCATTACAATCGGTGGTGGCGCAAAAATGGTGGACCTCATTCCCACGTTGCATGCCGCAGGCAGAGAGATGAGTGAGTTTTCGAGCCAACAGGCATCCATACTCAAGAGATCTAATTGTGTTTTGCGCAAGCGGTTGGATCCTTTCCTTGCGTCGGCGTCCATGGTGTGATGCTTGGCGGCGGCATGGGCCGACTGATGGGCAGGTACGGATTGATAAGCGATGCATTGCTACGAGCGAAAGTGGCGCTCTGGAACGGCACGATCATCGAAGCTTCAGAGAAGGTCAATTCTGACATGTTCTGGGGCCTGCGGGGTGCTGGACACAATCTGGGAGTTGTTGTCGAGTCGACCTACAAGACCTGGCCGGACGAGGGCGGCCTGCACTACAATGCGGACATGGTCTTCACAGATGACTCCGTTCATGGGGTGGTAGAGACTGCTAGAAATATTATTGAGGCTGGTTTAGACCCATCATTATTCTTGATCTTGGGTTATGTGTATGGTGCCGAGGCAAAGAAAGTGAGTGACTCCATCCAGTAACGAAAGAAACACCTACTGACTTTGCCTGTCATCAGCCTCTGCTGATTGTGAATATCGTCTATGCGCATGATGAAGAGGAAGGCCGCAAGATGGCCCAGAGGTTTGCTTCGAGCCCGAAGGATGCTACAAATCCTATTACGAGGCTTTCTTTTCGAGAGACCAACATGGACTTCTCTGAGCTCGGGTCAGGGAAAGCCATCCCTGGCGTGTGCGACGTAAACCTCAAAAACACCTTGTATACGGCCAGTACACCGACCTTGTTTGATGCAGACGCCATGAAAGCTGTCTATGAGTCATTCGGCTCCTTCGTGCGAGAGCATCCAGGTGCCAACCGCTCGATACTGCTCTTCGAGGCGGCGAGCGGCCAAGCCATGGAATCACTCCCACAGGACTATTCGGCATATGCACATCGAGGAAAGATGACTACCAACGCCATCATCCAGGCTACTTGGGACGAGGACCTTGATGGTAGTGTGGCGAATGCCGCTAATGCTTGGGGAAAGGGGGCTCGTGACTTGCTGGCAAAACCAGAGGTATCCGGCTATGACAAGCTTTACGCATATGTGAACTATGCGAACAAGGATGAGCCGCTTGCTGCTCTGTACGGATATGATAAGGAACACCAGCAGAGGTTGACATCATTGAAGCAAAAGTACGACCCACATGCCTTTTTCAATGCATATCGCCCTTTGCCGCTCGAAATAAGCGGGTGGGATCTACCTGCAAGCTCGAAAGCTTCTCAGAGCGACAGAGATGAGCTATGAAACCTTGAGGGATGGCGTTACGAGAAGCGACAGTAGACTATATAGCTTGGGTAGACGGTATTCATAGATCTTCCTAAACATTGATCATGCCGATGCACTATGAACGCCCAAGCATAAATGGGAAAGAGTCAGCGGACAATTCATCGGTGAAGATATACATCGCTTCGAACAACTTCACCATTTTGCCAAAGTAGCAAGTAAGAGATGACCTCGTGGGACTGCAACCAACTGAAATTCACTTCAAATAAGCGGACCGTTTTATTGTTTGCTGAACATGATCAACTACTCTAGTATGGTTTACATCACGATGAGTAGTCTTGGCTGAGGACATCCTTCACGAACTCTCCGATGTACCTGTTAGACTCCTCGGGACAATGAATCAGGATCCAATGTGACGCCTTTGGGATGACACCCTTTTTCAGACCCTTGGCGAAAAACACTTCCTGGCCATCGGCTAGGTCTGGGGTGAGGGCCGGGTCCTGCCCAGCCATGATCAACATGGCGGGAATCTGGAATCGGAATGCCGAGGCATCCTTTGCCAGCGGTAGCTCCTCTTCGCCGTTGATGGACCGCGTGCGGTACCAATTCATTGGCCCGTGCAGGCCGTTGCGCGAGAACTCGGACACTGAATCGCGAAGAAGCAAGTTGGTCAGCACTCACAGCACACACACAATGACTTTAAGTCAGAGTTGCGAGCAAAATACATACCATAATGGTGCATCGCTTCGGGCGACACCAGCGGCGACGGTCCAACCTCGAGTAACCGATCCGCTATCAAACCCACGTAGGGATCAAAACCAGGCAGGCCATCGGGCGTCGTGCCGCCGAACATGGCGTTGAGGAAACCGCGCAAGTGCGCGGGGGACTGGCCGGCCAGGGCCTCGGCCTCGGGCCCGGCGTTCTGGAGCTGATAAGCGAAGACAGGATTTGCCTCGACAAAGTCCTCGAGCGGCACGACGGCGGCGGGCTGCGGCGGCGCGAACGGTATGCAGAAGCAAAAGACGGCGCGCACCAGGTCCGGGTGGTACATGGCCAGACGCCATGCCAGGAAGGCCCCCCAGTCGTGCGCGCCGACCACGACGGGCGCGTCTGGCGATACGGCCCGGATCAGCTGCGCCAGGTGGTCCGACATGTTTCGGAGCGAGTAGGCCGCGGGCGCGTCTGGCGCTGACGTTTGTCCGTACCCGAGCATGTCGGGCACGACGACCCGGAGCCCGAGGCTCAGGAGGTACGGCACCTGGAATCGCCATCCATGGGCGAGGTCAGGCCTGTTAGAGGTGTCAGTTAGGGGTGAAGACTCAAGCGGGTTTTGGTTGTAGGATACTACACACCATCCGTGCAAGAGAAGTACAACGGCGGCTGGATTCTCTTGGGGAGATGCCACTATGTAATGGTATTTGATATTTTGATCGACTTGTAAAAAGTTATGCTGGACCCTGGGGTCATTCACTGAAAGCGCTTCAGGGGCCATTGTGACTTCCTTCGTGAGGGCTGCTGAAGTCAGATTGGTGATTTACTTAGGTACAGGAACAAGACAAAATATATGCAGATGTTAACTCTCTATGGGGTAGATCATATTGCATATTGCATATTGATCTGTCCAAGTATACTGTCATGTGTGGTCGAATCAAAGGCCGGTGCGGTATCGGACCCAACTATTCAGACGACGCTGAAGAGTTCGATCGCAACGTTTTCATGGGCCTGGTCATTCATGCATACAACTATAGCTAGATATGCCGCTTAGCGCTTGGTTATAACAGAGAGAGATTGAGTACTAATGAGGTACAGTACAACTGAAGGCGACCGTTGAGAACAAAGCTGACAGAATATGTCTACAACAAACCAGGCAGCTCAAGAAATTTGAATGGATTTGCTTCACGGTCTGCATTTTATATAGCCAAGTCGGACTTCTAAGAAATAAAGACTTGTGGAATTTTTGCCTTCTACTTCATCCAAGACAAGCTACGGGACCAGGCCATCTAACATTTACCAAGGGACTTCAGTTCCATCCACTGCGCTGATGAACTTTCCAGAGGTAGCCTCACGTGTAGCATCGTCGATCTGAAGATAGAGATATTAGCCTTGAATTTGAAGTCTTGTGAATAAACTTGATCGGGACTTACCACTTTGACAATGCTCAAAGCGCTTTCGTCCGTAGTGGTTGGGGCCTGCTCCAGACCGACCTTGCGAGCCACCCAGTTCCCTTGACCCGTTTGAACAAGACTAACAGCTGGTTATTCGGGCCGCGAGGCCGTGAAATGTTTCCTCTGGAAGACTTACCCTGGGTGCAGGGCCACAACCGTGAGCCATTCATTCTGGAAGTGGATCGACCTGTGGGTCAAGTTTAGCCAAAATGCCGGGACTTGAAGTATAACCTGGCGTGTCCACGTACTGTGTAAGCCAGTTCAACGCGGCCTTAGAGGCACCATAGGCAGGGAGGATGTGCGAGCCGATGACGCCGATGTAGCCGACAGATCCGGCGCTCGTGGAGATGGCAATCCACTTGGGCGCGCTGGCCTTCTGGAGAAGGGGCTTGAAGGTCTGGAAGAGCAGCAGCGGCGCTGCAGCGTTGACCTCGAAGCAGCTCAGCAGATCCTTGCGCGAGACACTGTCCAGCTCGACCACGGGCGGGTATCCACCGGCGTTGGCGATGACCACGTCGATGTGGTCAATGCCTGCATCTTGGATCTTGCTCAACGCTTTCTGAGGGTCGTCGAGAGACGCGCTGTCGATGTGGACAAGGAGAAGCTTGGTGCCTTTGGCCGCGGGGAACTTCTTGAGCTCGGCGACTTCTTCTGTGGTCTCATCGCGGATGCTTCCGATGACAGCATGGTTCGGCCTCGCAAGATAGATGCGGGCCAGGGTGGCTCCGATGCCTGGTTGATGACGGTTAGTTTATCGTATGTTGCAGGGGCTTCGTATAGCCAACCTTTCCCTACGCCGGTGATGAAGACGATTGTTGGGTTCCCCATGTTGTGAAATTTTGTATGGTTGAAGAGGATGGAGATAATGCGTCGTTATCTTGAAAGGTGGTAAGGCCTAGACACGCCGATGCAGCAAAGATGTTGAGCTGCCGGCCATTACCAAAGGGGCAGGCTTTATCCACTGTCCAAAGGAGGTTGAACCCAGAGTTCTGTCAGCGCGTCGTATTTTTCCTTCATCCGGGAAGGACCAGCAGGAGTTGGGCCATGAGGCTGCAAGAGTCGCGATAGTTCGCGTATCAAACAGAGCGTAAGTCCGGACGACTTACATGACATGATCTCGCACGTCAGATCTGGCCTTAAGGCCCTAACTCCGTACAGCCTTACATGGTAATAGACAGCGAGACTATAGTATGCAGAACATATACACGAGCTGCATGGCACACCGCCTTTCCTCGTAGGATTGCCGACTTTAGGCAGGGTTAGATCTGGGTGAAGGATTCTGATGGTATGATAGCAGAAGCGATGATGACCTCATGAAGGATCGGAATCTTGCCGAATCAGGGAGTGACGGCAGAAGGGCACTGTCAAGTAGGGGTCTTTACGGGCGGCAGGCGGGCCCTGCCGCCACATCATCTCGTCTAGCTAGCGTGGCGCCAATTATGTAGGATCTGGTTGCATGATATTGAGCAAGGATACCTTAAAAAACGGCACCGATGTTCCTTCGGCGCGGGCCATCGATCATCTATGGGGCACCTTGGGGTGTGCATATTCTTAGCCATGGAGGCTCGGCTACATGCATATTCCCGAATCCTAGCCTCCATATAAACTCTCTCTGCTGATTGGCCGTTTATCATGTGAAGGATTTAGTCGCAAATGAATCAATCAAATCAGACTATTGTTGCTGCATTGCTGAGTATCATATCATATCATAGCCACGTCGTGTATCACGCTCTAATATGCAGGCCTGCTAGTATGTACCACGCCCAACATACTCCTTCTTCAGGTCTCCGAGGTCACCCTCTACCTTCTTGCCGTCAGCGCCGATCACCGGCTTACAGTCCAGTAGGACCCACATCATCCTACCGGGCAGTGTACCATTGCCCGTGATGTTCTTCCACTTGTGCGCCGTCGCCCGCTGCACGCAGATGTCGCCCTGCCGCATGATGCGCTTCTCGTCTGAGTCCAGCAGCAGCTCAAACACCCCCTCCACCACGATGCCATAATCAATGGTCATGGCCCGATGGAGGGGTGACTCCACCCCGGGGCCAAAGTCGATCATCCGCACTATCGATCCGCTCTGGTAATGGAACGGAGGCTGTGGGCATAGATGCTGCCGTCAGTAGAGGGGACATGACACAATACGAAGCTCGACAGACCTCTTCGGCTTTAGCCTTCTGGATATCTACGTTGTCATTGAGATCGACTGGCGTCTCCCTCGTCGAGTACAGGATGTTGGCCACGGCTTGTTTCTCCACCATCAGCCGGTAGTGGTCGCCATGGTCCGAGTGCAAGAAGACGGACTGCCCCTGCTCATTGTGGCCAGTGATGTGCCTGAAGATCTGACGAAGGCCCGGAGCAGGGAAGGTTTCGGTGTAGTAACCTTTGGGATCCGAAGTCATCGTGGATAACCTAAGTGTGACAAGATCGTAGAATTCACAGGGATTAATGTCACTGGACAGTGTGTCAAGTCTATAATCATTGCTATGTACTATGAAACCGGTACTTATAATCAGAACACCTCGATTGCCAAAGTCCGAATCCTCTTTGGGACAGGGGTAAATGCATCTACACCTATAAAGTCCGAGTCCTTGTCTTTGATCGTCAGGGAGTCACATCTTGGCGTCAGCATCTGTACGTCAATTCACACCGCGCATTAGTGATTACAAAATTGAGCAGGATTAATCTTTTCTACGTTTTATCCACGCCCAGATGTGCCGTTTGTAAGGCTTTTTATCAGTGCACAGGTGTTGCAGAGGTCTGACATGCATTTTTCCGTGCTGACCTGCGCTTTATACCTTGCTATCTGACCTGGCACGAACTTGTGCATCATATGCCTACATGGTAACAGAATCCTATCTGTCTGCTGACAGCGTCGTACCCCCGTCCAGAATCATATTGCAACCAGTGGCGTAGCTAGACATAGAACTGCAGAAGAACATGACGGCGTCAGCCACCTCATCTGCGAGCGCGATCCGTCCAATAGGCACTGCAGCCTTGATCATGTCTGCCAAGTCAGGTACATCATCCATAGCCTTGCGAACCATCGTTGTATCGACCCAGGATGGGCACACGCTGTTCACCCGGACTCCATGGACTGCATTGTCGAGAGCTGTGAGTTGTCAATTATATTGGCCGAAGTAGGATTCTCGCCGTGGGGGTCCACTGACCTGCATTCTTAGTCATCCCAAGCACGGCGTGTTTGGCTGTCGTGTATTGCACCATGTTAGGTGTGGCGACCATGGCCGATGCCGATCCTATGATAACGATACTCCCTCGTGTACTTCCACGCTCCGGCGACCCAAGCCGCAGAGGAATCGGTTCCTGGGACTTCATGATGGTTGAGATTGCACGCGTGACGAGGAATGCCCCGGTCACATTGACCTTCAGCATACGCTCGAACTCGGTGGTATCTGCCTCTGCGACCTGATTGGCGACTTTCACGCCGATCTTGAAATGACAGTGTGGTCAGCAATTCAGAACGGTACAACACCGTCTCCCGGTCTGGGTGAGGCTCTTACCCCTGCGGCATGGACGCAGTAATCAACCCTACCCAGCATTTTGGCCACTTGTTTTAGAACGGTGTCGACCGAATCCTGCGAGGTAACGTCGATGCTTACTGCCTCTACGCGCAGTTCCCGAGCCACGGCTGCAGCCCGGCACTCGATTACTGCTGCCTTGGCAGCGTTGGAGTCGATGTCTGCCACGACGAGGCTTCGAACCCCGAACTTGGTGAAGGACAATGCGCAAGCCTTGCCGATCCCACTACCACCTAAACAAAGTCAGCCACCTGGAAAGCAGGCTTGAAAATGCCCGGTGTCACGTAGCCGGGTTGAGGTACCTCCAATCACAAGCGCCGCTCCGTTGAGATCCATGATACTCGAAGGATCAAACTGGTCAGATGGTGGCTCTGTATATGACATTCGTGGCCAGATTTAGGTCGGTCGACCCAGGTTCAGGCTTCTGAACGATAATGAGACGATATTTTTTTGGTTTGGATAAGAAAGTGGGATGCAGATGAAGCAAGAACCATCTATGCTGCACTTCGGAACTACCGCATTACTTATTTATCTCCACCAATCTCTGGTATTATCTCACATGGATACATTCGTACAGCAGCGAAGGAATCCAAGTAAGCATGCTTGCAAGGGCCCTGTACATCACAACGCCCCTGGCGGTCTCGCAAGCTTTCCTTGGTCAAGTAGATGACTCCTCCAAGAATGCATATCCTCCAAGCATGCATATCGTGAGGTTAGGCAAGTAAACAGGACTGGCTTTCTTTTGGTCGTCATCATGGGCTATCTTAGGCCGTAATAGGACGATGAAGAGGCAGGCATGATGTCTAGACGTCTTCTACATCCGATGACGGAGTCAGTGGCAAAACAGCAGACTTGGGCGGCAGTTCTAGTTAATGCACGGACACACGATGTTGAAAATACAATAATTGCCGACCGGAACTTCGATCAGCGGGAGTTAGGGTCGTGTGGGATAGAAAACCAGATGCAGGAAACCTCCGAGGTAAGTAAAAGAGTAGCATTGTGAAACTCTAATCCATGTTCATCATCCTCTGGGACCTCAACTGCTAGCATATCGTTATATCCTACTGTCGCAATGACTGAGGGTAATTTCCGTGTCATTATTGTCGGTGCAGGCCCCGTTGGGCTGTACGTGGCTCACGCCATGGAGAGGGCAAACATTGACTATGTTGTCTTGGAGCAACATTCCACGGCACTGAATCCTTCAGGGCAACTGCTCTTTACCTGGCCTCAAACTGTTCGACTTCTCCACCAACTTGGTCTTCACCAAGATGCGAAAGAAGTCGCCATCCCGATTCATTACAAGAAAAGGGTTTATGGCCATGATGGAAGTATTACTTCCACTAATCAATTCTGGGACTACGTGGAACCAAGGTGAGATGAAGACGGTTCAATTAAGATAGACGAACGCTAATAATCCAATCAGTCACGGATACCCCTTCCTTCCCATGCTCAGAAGTGATCTGATCAAGATCTTCTACACGAATCTGAAAGGAAGAGACACGAATATCATCACTAGCGCCGAAGTCGTCGATATTGAAACGGACAGCGAGGGAGTTCGAGTGCAGCTCGCCAACGGCCGAATCGTGGAGGGCTCCGTCGTAATCGGCGCAGACGGTGTTCATAGCAAGAGCCGCAAACTCATGCACAAGCTCGCCGGACAGGGGCCTCCCGAGGAAATGATTTCCAGTTTCCATGGCATTTTCGGGTGGGCCGACATTTCAGACCTCTCCATTGAACGCGAGGTGTTCTTCGAGTCTCGAGGCGCCGGGGCCGTTATCCAATGTCTTGGGACACCCAAGAAGCTGCGCTTTGTTACGCTGAAGCCGCTCCCCGAGACTTTCACGGGCCGCAAGAGATACACGAGACAAGAGATGGAGGAGTATGCCGCATCTGTTGGCGACATCGCGGTGTGTCCTGGAGTGAAATTCAAAGATGTATGGGAGAGGGCAGAGAAGGACAAGGCGCAGATGCTGAATCAGGAAGAGGGATTCATGAGCCGCTGGCATTACGATCGCCTGGTCCTGGTAGGTGATGCAGTGCACAAGAGCACGAGCGTCAACGGCCTGGGCATGACGTGTGGGCTACACTCTGCGGCGGTGCTTGCAAGCCTACTGCAAGGTCTTGTCAAGGCTACATCTCAGAAGCCAACAACAGATGAGATCGACGATGTCTTTTCTCGCTATCAAAAAAAGCGCCAACGCGAGGTGAAGCCGGTATGGGAAGGTGGTTACTCGATGGTTCGTGAGGTAACACAGGACTCATTGTGGTCCTGGATGTGGGACAGATACATATTGCCATGGTTCGATGTTGAAGGTCTCGTCAAGGGTCTCATTCCTTCTTTGTTTTTGATCAGACATGGGGACATCCTCTCATATGTCCCCTTTGTAGGCGAGCAAGGATCGATCCCTTGGTTACGCCGACCAATTTCTTAGTAGAACTACTTCAAACTGCCAATTGAAAATGAAAATGGCCAAGTATTCCAAATTGGCAAGACTGGAATTGTGCGGCGTGAATGACAGCTTCCTCCCAAGAATGAATGATATGACAAGTATCACCATAAAGCGACATAGAGATGTGATTTTTAGACGGGGCTCTAACAATAAAAGAAACCCTACTTGAGGTACGACGCCCCTACTTTAATCACTGATGACTAAGAAGTCAGCTTTGAGTGATACAAGCATCCAGTAGGCTTGGAGCGCGTGGAATTAAGGAAGGCCGATGCTTACGTCCGAGTTCGCAGTGTATGCAGGCGCGCCGGATTTAGAGTGCCTTTTTGAGCGAGAAAGGCCTTTGTCGCTGAACATAAATATGTTACTTAAACGAAACCAACTGCCATCAAAACTCTTAATCAACACATCAAAATCAGAAAATTAACTCCGCAATGCCTCAAGTAATTCTTCCAAAGACTCTGGCCGGGAAGCCTGTAGGCCCCGTAGGCTATGGCATGATGCGTTCGTCTGCACAGAAACGAAGAACAAAGCTGATCTCTGCTAACTTGTGCCTATACTAGTCCTCACCCTGCTCGGCGGTATTCCTTATGAAGAGTGCGTCAAGCCGATGAAGGCAGCCCTGGAGAATGGCGCCAACCTCTGGAACGCTGTAAGAAGCCATCAAATGTTCCGGACATGCATCGCCTACTGACACCTTCCCAAGGGCACTTTCTATGGTCCGCCGGACGCCAACTCCCTTCAACTCCTGAGTTACTACTTTGAAAGATATCCCGAGGATGCCGACAAGGTCGTACTCAGCATTAAAGGAGCATACGATGCGTCCAAGAATGTGCCAGCCACTCGTCCTGAGCAGATCCGGGCCTCCGTTGACGAGTGCCTGGCTATTCTTGGCGGCAGAAAGTCCATCGACATATTTGAAGCCGCGCGCACCGACCCCAACGTTCCCGTTGAGTCGAATGTCAACACCTTCTTGGAGCTCATCAAGGAGGGCAAGATCGGGTCGTACGGCCTCAGCGAGGTCAACGCCCAGACAATCCGGCGCGCCCACGCGGTGAGCCCGCCCGCCGCAGTCGAGGTCGAGTTCAGCATGTTCTCGCGGGATGCGCTCGAGAAGGGCGGCGTCTACGACACATGCGCCGAGCTCGGCATTCCCATCATCGGCTACAGCCCGCTGGACCGTGGCTGGCTGACGGGCCAGCTCAAGACACTTGACGACATCAAGGAGGGCGACTTCCGCAAGTTCTACCCGCGCTTCCAGCCCGGCAACTTCGAGCAGAATGTCAAGCTGGCTGAGTTCGTCGAGCAGATTGCCAAGAAGAAGGGCTGCACCAGCGCCCAGGTCGCCATCGCATGGGTGCAGCAGCAGGGCGTGATAGCCATTCCAGGCTCCTCCAAGGTTTCCCGTGTCGTGGAGAACACCACCCCCGTCAAGCTTACCGAAGCCGAGACTGCGGAGCTTCAGCAGGCTATTGATAAAGTAAAGATCTCTGGCCATCGGTACCCGGAGCCTTTCCACGCTTACCTGAACCAGTAGAAGCCCAGAAGTTAGCTGAACTTACAGGACCTGTTCGATACTGATAACGGTTGTCATCTCTCCCATAGAGTTAGTTGAAAAGTTCAATTTCATCTTGCTTTGTTCATAAGTTATCAGCTACACCGTCACATGTGCGAATCTGAGGGCGCTCAAACAGTCCGTTTATGATTCGCTGTGATGCATCAGCGACAAGTACGAAGTGAAAATGTATGGAATTCTTGCCTCTACAGCTCACAAATGCTCGTGTTGATCTCACACCTTAGCTCAGTATTGTCTGTCACGAGTTTTCAGATTACCGAGGAAACGCTGCGAAATCGCCCGATGGACGATATCCGCGCTGTACTAATCTTATAATTACATCAATGACATTCTTTTCCCTATCAAGTCTAGAAGGTGGTATTGAAATCTACGTGAAGATTACTGCGTCTAGTACAGCGCAGTCATGCATACATGCGGCGTCAAACTATCTCATCTTTCCCCATATCATTCCTGACTCCACTCGGGTCAAGGAATATTACGGACCAAAAATAAGATTATACGGGACCGTCTATACGGAACCGCAGGTCCCTCAAACTGATGCCTCTTGCAGTCAGCTCAAGTGCATTGTATCCGTGCTCATCGATTGTTCCACTAGCCACATGCCTCGCAGATTCAAGAAAAGCTTATCCTACGACTACAAGGAGGGAGCTGAACTTCTAGAGTAAGGCTGACGGGCATAGCTGGACCCTTGAGGAACTCCATTCCTAATCCAACATAAGCGTAACCAGTACCATTGTCTAGGCACAGTCCTATTGTTAGCTACGGCAAATTGCAAACGAGAGATCAATAATCTACGCATCAAATCAGATCATACCAGGTGGTGTTCTTAACCAGCGAAACAATGGTAACACCAACCTAAGCTCATCATAGGGGGCGGATGGCGGCTTACCAAATCCTCTGATCCTTCCGTCAAGCCTTTGCACTCTTCCTTCATCATTAAAAGTGAAATCAACACCAATGACACCACTAGAGGTCTCGATGACTTACCGAAGAGCCCGTCGAAATGAATACGCCAGCTACGGCCGCCATCTATCATAGCCCTGCCTCATCCATGGCGTCTCTTCCTTCGGCGCTAATACGCCTACCATCTGCCTGGAGCAGCTGATGTGAAGGGCTTTACATGCCAGCAGTACGACATCCTGAACAGAAGCCATGGTCAAAGCGGGACTACGGTGGCGTGGCCGGATGGTGGACGAGGTGTCTCACGCTTTGTTTAGGTAGTCATTGAGGGCAACGTGAGGACGCCTAAACTATTTAATTCAACGATACGATTTAAAAAACCGAGAATGCCGACCTCAGGATCCTCATTATCCGTCTCTCGTCCAATTCTGGGCTTGCTCTACATTCTCTAACAGCAGAAACAGCTATGGCTTCACTCTTCCGCATTGCTGCGCTTCTTTTTCCATTGGCCGCTTCTGGCCTTCACATATCAACGACTCTGGAGTATAGCCACTTTACGCGGCGCCTGGTGAACATAACTCAAGCTCAGCACGAGCTAGGCTCGCACTTATCTTCAGCGGCGACGATATTTGGTCCCACGGACCCCGACTGGGCCAATGCGACGGAGCGGTACACAACATACGCGCCGCCAAAGATCCAACTCGTGGTGGTGCCGGGCATAGAGTCTGATATTCCCACGATAGTAATTCATATCCTTAATCAAGGTTCCAGTCGGGAGATAGGCTAATGTACATGACCTTGTTCTCCAGGTCAAATGGTCCAACCAGAACAGCCTGCCGTTCCTCGTCAAGAACCGCGGTCATTCTTTAACGAGCTCGACTGGAAAGTTCAATGGCATTCAGATCGACATGTCTGGTCTGCGGAACATCGACATCCAACCCGATGGAAAGACGGCATGGTTCCAAGGCGGAACCTATGATGGCCAAGTGATGGAGTACCTTTGGGATCGAGGCTATGTCGCGAGTGAGTCAAGCATATGAAAAATCTTCTCAAATCCACTTTAGGTTACTGATTTGCCTATTTCTAGCAACTGGATCCTGCGCTTGCGTTGGGATGATGGGCCCAGGGCTTGGCGGCGGTCACGGACGCTATCAAGGCCTATACAGCTTGATCAGCGACAACCTGGTCAACTTAAATGTCGTACTAGCAGACGGCTCTGCTGTCGTAGTGAATGAGACTGAGAACTCGGGCCTGTGGTGGTAAGTGCTCCTTAAGGACAGGAGTAATTTCGTCGGGTTCCCAGGCTGGGGTACTGACCGGACGATATATAGGGGCATGCAGGGCGCAGGACACAACTTCGGCATTGTCACCAGCTTCGAACTCAAGATTTATCCGAAGAACCTCGACACATGGCACTACCATAACTACATCTTTACCCAGGATAAGCTTGAACCATTCTTCGACGCTTTGAACACACTTCACAATAACGGGTCCACTCCCGTGCTCATGGCTTTGGAAATGGGTGGATTTGCCATGGATCCAACCATCAGTGAGACAGAAGTATTGCTTCCCCTCCTTTCCCATCACTGCACAGATATTAACTGAGTACACTAGGCTATCCTCACGTGGTCTTTTGGATACGCTGGCCCAGCCGAAGATGCCGAGAAGTTGCTCGAGCCATTCAACCAGCTTGGCCCCGTCCATGAGGACACTGGCGACGTCCCATTCCCTGATATCCCAGCGGCTATGGGGACTGGACAAGATGAGCCCATCTGCTCAGGAAATCAGACGCACATACAATCGTCAGCCGGCTTGCAGGTGTACAATATCACTGCGGAACGCCAGATATATACTCATTTCAACCAGATGATTGCAGATCACCCTGAGTTCGCCGTCTCTGTCGCTTTTCACGAGGGCTACGCAACCGAGGCCGTCACCAAAGTCGACCCGGCTCTCTCGGCCGTCCCGTACCGGGACTACTACCTCCTCACGTGAGTGACAAAGCAATTTGTGCCAAAATCTTACATGATAAGAGCTAATGGGCATCTTTACCACGCAGATACTTCGAGGTCAAGGTCCCCACCGACACTTCTACTGAGCTGAAAGACCTGGCTCACAAGTACTCCCAAGAGATCCGAGACCTATGGAATGCCGGTGCTCCGGATCTCAAGCCCTTGACCTACGTAAACTACGCCTTCGGTGACGAGTCACTGGAATCCATATATGGTTACGAGCCTTGGCGATTGGAAAGACTGCGCGGTCTGAAGCAACAGTATGATCCGAACAATGCGTTTGCCTATTACAATCCGATTATATGAAGTCTCTACGCTCTGTGAGGGTTTGAACGTGACTTCATATGCTTTAACTTCATATGCTTTAAAGTATCACAGTTCTTTATTTTTGTTCATATATTAGTTTGTATACGTACTTGGCAGACTTAGACTTGGAATACAATCTATTAAATATATTAACGTAGTCCACAAGCGAACGGGTCACCCAACCGAACGGGTCACGCCCATAGCAAAAAACAGAACTAAACTTCCTAACTTTACCACGCAACTAATTCTCGATGGATTCTGCTCAAAAAGAATCTCAATTACTCCTTGCAACTCAGACTATCAGAAATGACTCAACACTTAGTATCCGACGTGCTGCAACAATCTGCAAAGTCTCGAATACTACTCTCCAGGCGCGTCTTCAAAAACGTCAATCACGTCGCAATATCGAAGCCAACGGTCGGAATTTAACAAAACTAGAAGAAAATACGATTATTCAAAGGATAATTGAGCTAGATTCGCAAGCATTTCCTCCCCGGCTAAGTGCTGTTGAAGATATGGCAAACCGACTGCTACGCGACTCGCATATCACAAAGGAGGACTTTCTTCCGGCATTTTGCGACGCGTTCAAGAAGAGCCTGACCGAAAGCAATATTCGTGCAGGCTTTCAAGGGGCTGGGCTTGTGCCTTTAAGCCCAGATATTGTTATTGAGAAGCTGGATGTGAAATTACAGACTCCAACGTCCTCCCGGCCCCCTACGCGGGAAACCCTTCCTTGGGCTTCTCGGACGCCAAACAACCCAACCGAGGCTACTTCGCAATCCGAATTTATTAAATCTCGAATTGACAGGCATCAAAATAGCTCCCATACGTCAATTTACGATTCTATCGATCAGTTTTCGAAATGAGCGCGGAGTATTATGCATAAGATGGCTTTACTCCAAGCTGAGGTCGCCGAACTTCGAGAGGCAAATGCTCTAATTAGCAAGCGGCGCAGGGCCAAAAAACACGAGTACGGCTTGGAGGATCACTTAATTCACAAGACGTACAAGATCTTCAAGATCAAAAGGACGTTGCGCAGCAAGTACAGAAGGAAATGCGTGGAAATAGCGCTGGATCAAATCGTGGCCAGCCACGGCAACGGCGCTGTGGCGTATGCGGGAAGACCGGGCATAATGCGCGAACCTGTCAGGTAGAGATAGAATCATCTGGGCAAGAGTATTCTGAGTAGTTTTAATTGATTTACGGCGTTGTGGTTGCGAAATCGTGTTGAATTCCATGTTTTGCTAGTTGGCGTGACCCGTTCGCTTGTGGACTAACGTGAATGTACACCGAGCTGGCCACCCTTACATAACCTCGCATAGAAATTTTACGATAGTAAAACCACAACGCGGTAAATCAATTGAAACTACTCTGAATCTTCCTCTCCAGAAGATGGCAATGCGATGTTACAAGTTCGCGCATTATGCCCAGTCCCGTTGCAAATACCACAGCGCCTCGGGCGCGTTTTTACGCGTTTGGAGGGTGCTTCGGGGGACTTGGTACGTTTTTGCCGCTTGTCGGAGACTAAGTTTTTGGTCATTTTTGAGAGCTTGAAGGGCTAGCATTAAGTCTGCTTCGTTGTATGACTTTGCCATAATTGGTTGTTGAGAAAATCAAACATTAAGTTGGCCGGTCGCGTTGGCGCATGAAAGTGGCCAGCTCGGTGTCATGGCCAGCTCGGTGTACATTCACGTTACGTTAATAAAAATACTGTTAAATAAACTTTGAACGTTGTTCCAGCTCAAATCCGCAACAATTTGAACGGGCTCCCTACTGGCGATTCCTCGTTTCATGCTATTAAGCTTTGTGAAAAGCACTTTTGATGCGTGCACCTAGGGGGGAGGATGCTATAATGCAGCAGTGCGCAACGTTATAGCATCTAATTGAATGGGATTCACCTAACCAGTGGGTCCCCCTACCTTTTCATATCAACTTTGAAGAGAAGACCGGCTTTTCCAGAAGCGTCCATGAGGTACTGATGACGAAAGGACTAATATAATAATTGACTGATTCTAAATCCAGAACTAACCCACAGCGTTAAGACTTTTCATCGTTCACTTTCACTACTTCAGGCTTCTTGGTAGAAGTTGGACAATATGGGCCCTGTGGGCCATGTGGGTCCTATACTTGCCACTATCGCCACCTAGAACGGCGACCATCCCCACATACCTCTATTACGAGAAATGTGGCGAGGATAGAACATTCCCTACTTATCTATATGCTTCTACAACTTGTCTGAATTAATCAGCAAGTCTACCATTCATTGACTATATAAGAACCCTTTTGTTTCCATACATAGACCCTCGAGGAGAGGACCAGAGTTAGCTACAATACATACAGGTTAGGCATATGTGCCCTCCTTTTGCTCCTTCAACGGGAACATAAAATCCAAGTGTAGATCAACACGATTAGGTGGGGTTTAGTTATCTGATACCTTATGATTGGCCATCATCTTTTACGAAAACACTACCTATATTGGTCGGCTCAAAGCTTAATCTCCTCAGCCTTCCTTAAAGCTACCTTCGAGTGTCTTCAGGTTAAACCACCTGTAGAAGAGCCAATCCTTCAAATTAAGTTTACAATTAGTAATTTTGTATAACCTATCAGGCGCCGAGATCTACGTACGAAGGTTGTGCGGGGGAGAAACGTATCCAGCATCCTCACCAGCAGTGTTGAGTTCCCGTGCCAGAACCACGCAGGTGGTGACGGCGTCAGGACCGTGGCCACGACTCCCCTGGCGTACTCATCCGGAGTCATGGTATCTGGATCAATTCAATGAATAAGAAGCTTTCGATTCCCAAAGGACCACTCACTGGGCGTTCTATTGACATGAGCTTTGAAAATGTCTGCTATGGGAGCATAGATCGAATCTAAGATAACGTCGTCAGACCCTCAATGATCCACACAGACTCCCAAAGGAGGCCACCTACTATCTGGCAACGCACGACTGTCACGCACATCACTCTTGAGAATGTTCGTAGAAACCTCTCCTGAAATGATGTTTACTACCCGTACACTGTACAACAACAGCCCAGCGAATTAGCCTTTTCATTCACACCGTACAAGATAGTCATCAATCGAATCATGATCATATGCAATGTATGCTTACCCGAAAGGCTTCATCTCAACGCGCAACGTGTTGCCGTAGTGATGCAGCGCGGCCTTAGTTGCATTGTACGAGGCCCCGAAGATATACGGGCACACGCCGCCGATTGACCCGATGTTGACAATGGCGCCTCGGGCATGGACGATCATCTTGTGAAAGTGATGAACCATGCGCATTGGTCCAAACACGTTCACTGCGAACATCCTTTCCACCTGCCGCACATCTGTATCGGCCGCCGTCATGGTGTAACCTGGCAGAGTCAGTGGCATGATAGAGAGGCCTCTCACTCACAGCAGGAGGACAGGTACGTACATATGCCGCTGTCATAATGTTCAGCAGGTCCCTTTGTGGTGTTCAATGTCTTGTGCAGGCACTTGCGAGCTACTTACGCGTTGTTGACCAGGACATCGAGGTTGCCGTCTGTAATGCTCTCGACTTGCTTCTTGAACGGCAGCATCTCCTCCTCGTTGGTGACATTGAGATCTACTACATGGATCTGGGGATGGTCCAAGTGCTTTCTTCCCTCCTGGGGGAGAAGTGTCGCAATGACGACGCAGCCATTTTTGACAAAGTGCTTCGCGAGAGCGTGACCAATACCGCCCTCGCCGCACCTAGGAACCGTCAGCAGGAGGGGCATGAGTTGAAGTACAGGACTTATTCAATAGCACAGAGTCACTGGTAGAGCCCCAACTCACCCGGTGATGAGAACGTATTTGTTTCGTTGAGTAGTCATTGTGCACAAGCGTATCAAACTCAAGTACAAGTAAAGGCTATGGAATTGGAATTCGTAGGCAATGGTGTTTACGATACACGATGATATACTTTCATGGTTCAAAGTCCATATCTTACGCTATAGGTCAGCGATTTTTGCTAAGGCCTTCCAGTATCTTGTCTCCGCGCAGAACTCGATTATTACACCGCATGGTTCTCTCAGCAGTCCAGAGCGATCTCGCAACGAGCTCTAATCCATGAAGCGATTATCTCTTGCAGCAGTACCGGACCAGCGAGACAAGGTCTGTTTTTAGAACACGGCAGATGAAAGGCGAGCTGGTTTCGATCCAGAGCGCCACTTCCAAGAGTGCATAACCTAGTTGGAGGAATCTCACTGCATCGTGGGGGCCTTGTATAAGTACGTACCTATGGTGTAATGCATATATGTATAGCCGCACGCCCTGAGGTGATATTAAAGCGACATGCAGCCATCCGGAACCAAATCATCCAAGTTTTTATGCGGTCAGCTTATGATGCTTGAAAACAATCAGGCTGTGAACGAACGAAATGGCTCGGCAACTTTTATAAAATATCTCGCTAATGAAAAGATACAAAATAATAGAAAAAAACGGCAGCTGTTCTTTTAGTGGTAATTTACTATTAACTCGAGTTTTATACGTATTGCTATATCTTTCACAAAGTTCTCTTATACAAGGCCTTCTAGACTTCAATTTCAGGTAGCGTCCGGATGCATTTGTCCACAGCCTGACAATTGCCCCGTTTTGTCTTATGCAAGCCTGACCCCAGCTTCGGACAAGCAGTCTACGGCTGCTAGCTACATATATGGCCCCCTTTCCGGACCGATCTGAAAGTAAGACCTCGTTATGGCAGGGAAAAGTAACGTTGGGGGCAACGATACAAGGTTCAGGCATGTGAGGCATGCGAGGCACGCTCACCTGCAGACAATTATATAGATCCTTCATCCTTCGGGAATAAATTGTAAAGGAGATAGGCCGCGTCGGCCAATAAAGAGGCAGTACAACGGAATACAGATAACGTGAAGCACAAGTAAATGGATTTCGATCCACTCATCTTTCTTTGCTTTGACCGAAGTCCAAGGCTTCCGAACCAATTTTCTTCTCCACCAAGGCGATTATGCTCCCCATCCGGTCTGGAAGACCGAGCTGTCCACATCACCCTTCATCTTCAGCACATTTACTTCCATGGTTTCTAACAATAAAACCCCTCCTCCTATTGGCTCTGCTTACGATGTCCCTTCTTCCCTCATTCAACAACTATCGTCATGTCACTGGCAAACTAGGCGCATGATAAGTTCCTTTCGAGAGGCATTGCAAATCTAGTACGGTCTGAGACACCTTGATCGAAGCGATCTTTCTCAGAATTACTACAAGCAAGCGTCAGTGCAACTCCCGAATTTTGGGCAAATGCTCACTTGTCACTCCGCTTAACGCAGCTTTCTCTTTCAGCCACCAGTGCCGGGGAAAGTTGGACACAACTAAATGACAACTCCAAAAACATCGTGGCCGCTGACATCTTGTCATTTTCACCTCATGGCGGCTCTTCTAACGCAATTGGGACCTTTCGATCTGCCAGTGAACGGCGGTCCCATGATCGTGATACCGTTCCATTTGACCGCTGATACAGAATTGCCGTCGTTCATTTGCAAAGATATAAGCGTCTGCCCTTATTCCCATTACTTTCCAAGCTCTCATACATTTGGCCTGTGAATCAGGTGAAATGCTTCTCATCGTAGAGAATGATTTGTGAGGACGATTGAACTTTTTCACAGAAACTGCGACGGCTCATCCAAAGTGTTTAGCCTTAAAGCCGCTCCAGATAGATTAAACACATTGCTAAAACATCACGATTGGAACAAGACATGCTGTTACATCCGATCTGCTTTCTTAATTTACGCTCCGCAGTCCCGGGGCGACTAAAAATATACTCTCTTAAGGGTAATGGTGTGCGCTTTTCCTACGAGTAAGAATAGACATAACAGGTCTGTTGAGACGATAAATCCCGAGGTGATTGCCAGGTCTAATCCAGATTTTCTATTGAGAGCAACATTCGAAGACTCAAATGTAAATCTAATGGCCTACAAATTATCACAGGCTGGCACGGACGAAACGCAGCTGCTGCGCGGTCATGAGCTGGAAACACCGGTAGTTCCAATTAAAGGACATGACAACATCGATTCCGAGCCGATAGCTGTCACGCGGCACCCTCGTGACTACCTCCTATCTCACATTAAAGTGGGTATCTTCACTGTGCTAGACGGCTTTGGGGCGTTCTCAGGGGGTCTGGCTACCTTTGATGACGCTGCTTCGGGGCAGCTTTACGTCCTAATTGATCTGTGCCAAGCTTGTTCCTGCCTTGACAAGTTCAGTGGATCATTGCGTGAAACCTTAGTAAGCTTAACAAATCACGGTGGGCCTAGAAGCTGAAAATAATAACCCCCAATTCGAATACACGATAATGGTCATCCGACACTGTCTTCCCAACCACTATCAGGCCATAGAAGTATGTGCAACCCGGCCTGTCAGTGCCAGGGAGCTGGGTAGGCTCAGCTCCTTCGAGGCCTCCTCTAATCCTTCATACCGCCCCTCAGCGCTATCCAACACCTGGGTGCTGAACCCCCTATTGACAGCTTTGAGTGAGCCCTGCGCCTCAAACTCCACCGAAGAAAGATTCCAGCAAGCTGAGAACGACGTCCATGGTGCTTACCCGGCGGCGAGATGGAGGATCTCGCGCCGCGAATATTACGGAACGAATTTGATATAAATATGGACTGGTGCTCTCTTGGCCTGATCTTGGAGCGTGCTCACACACATCTCCAGAATACCAAGACCAGGACAAGATGCGTTATTCACAAGCTCTCCTCTTTGCTGGCTCTTTGGCCGAAGGTGGTGTTGCCTCGTCATTATACCCTCAACATCAATCTGGCCTAGCAGCCATCCTGGGCAATTCGAGTTGGTCCGCAGGTACCGCCATCTCGTATCCCAATAGCACATCCTTCATCGACTCCACGCTGAGATGGACTATCTACGCTCCTCCTTCGTACCAGGCGGTCATTTCGCCTAGTACAGAGGGCGATGTAGTGCAAGCAGTAAATGCTCCTACCTTTCCTCCTGCAACAGTCCAGCTTGAGATTCATACTAACAGACCATAGGTCAATTTGGCACGACGGAATAATATTTCCTTTCTGGCAACTGGAGGCAGGCATGGGTATTCGACAACATTGGGAGAGTTGCAAAACGGTCTTGCCATTGATCTGACCCTCCTCAACCACGTCAGCATAGATAAGGATGCGGCCCAACTCACCATTGGCCCAGGGGTACGATTTCGAGATATTTTTGGGCCCCTCTATGAGGCTGGGTTCGAGATCCGTGAGTAGACGAACAGTCTTCGGTCACTTTATTACGTGTTTTATACTGAACTGTCATGTAGAAACCGGGACTTGCAGCTGTGTTGGCATGATGGGAGCGACACTCGGTGGCGGTATCGGGCGCTTGCACGGCATACACGGGCTGATCATCGATGCTCTTCTGTCTGTGCGCCTTGTGACAGCCGGTGGTCAAATCGTTGAGGCATCAGAGACTACCAATCCGGATTTGTTCTGGGGTGTCCGCGGCGCCGGTCAGAACTTCGGTATCGTCGTTTCAGCAACTTACAAGCTTCATCCCCTAACCAAAGGCGGTGTCTGGACAAGTGCCGATATCCTGTTCACGCCCGAGAAGAACGTGTCGTACTTCGAGACCGTAGAGAAGATGCTTCCTCTGCCTGCCGGGCTGACAGTGGAGACTATCATGAACTACAACGGTACTCTTGAATCCGTAAGTTAATCCTGATTCATTATGGGGGGGAATCTGTTATGCTAATACACTGCATAGCCACAACTTATGCTGAGCGTTGTGTACGCGGGGCCTCAAGACGAGGCTCTTGAGGCCATGAAGCCTATCCTCGACCTTGAACCATCGTATTCTCTCATTAAAGAGATTCCATGGACGGAACTCAGCACGCAGACGACTTTCCTCCTCGACGGACCGGTCTGTGTTGATCACCAGATCTACGACATCTACGCTGTCAACCTCCGTAACTTTTCTGTTCCTACCATGGCCAGCAGCTTTGAGAAGCTGGCCCAGTTCTGGAAAGAGCAACCGGCTGGACGCAATTCGGTCATCGTGCTTGAGACTTGGCCGGTTCAGGCAGCGACGGCGGTCCCAAATGACGCCACGGCCTACCCCTGGCGAGACGCCACTACCTATGTGTAAGTGTTCTCCCGCTTTACCCACCGTGACAAACAGGCATGCTAACATGTATTCCCTTCAAAGTATGATTCAAATGAGATGGGACAATGTTGGCGACCCCGTGCAGGGCCCAGCTGATGTCCTTGGGCCTGAGATCCGCAGCGACATGGCTGCGACCTCCGGATATGACGACCTTACTGTCTACGTCAACTACGCGTGGGGAGACGAGACTATTGAGCAGATCTATGGGAAGGAAAAGCTACCGAAGTTGGCTCAACTCAAGGCTCAGTATGATCCTGATAACGCTTTTGGCTTCTATCATGCTCTTCCTATGTCGTACCCCTGAGGCGACGTTTAACATCGGTAAATAGCAGTCTTCTCTTCTTCATCTTTATCTTCTGTTTACATTTTTAGATCTACTATATCTGGAGCGGTGGGCAACTATAGACATAGAATGAACAGGCAAACTTTAAAATAAATACATGTGACAACATTTGGCAATAAATTTTCGATTATTGATGATGGATTATTGATGATGAAAAATAAAGAAGAAGAAGATGATGATTGTGTGCTTTGAACCCTTACAACCAACCAGGGAGTTCTTCCATCAGACCATCAACTATGCCATTGAATACCTCATCTATTTATTTGGGCATCTTCCAGTCGTGTGTGATTTTAGGTTTCCATTTTGCAGTTGGATTAATCATGTTTTAGCTCGGGCGCGGTTGCTCTTATAAGTTATACTTTAGTCTATTCTCAATGAGCTAGTGATTATGTCGGCTCAGTTGGGTAGCATGCAGTTGAACAAAACTGAGCAATCCTGTAAATTAGATCTGTCTGCTATATATGATGAAGAGCAACGATCCTCGTTTGTCATCTCGTTAAGTTTCAAAAACACTAACTTCTACGGGAATAAAAACATGTGAATACTTCCTGACTTTTGAGTATATTTATGCTGTCCGTCGTCCTAAGTCTGAATTCCCTTTTGTGCAAAATGACCAGCAGACTTGAAAGAATCGTAAACTGTACAAGGGCCCTTGCACCTTCGCGTTCCGAGCACGGGGATAAGAGCATTCACGTGGCTTTAGGGCTGAACTGCAAGGTACCTGACCGGATAGTTCGCGGAATTAATGGCTATAAATCCGGGAACTAGGAAATGCACATTTTTGCCCTTGTAAGACACCCTTGGTTACCAGGTCGGATTGGTCACCATATGGTCTTGCCTGTAATCCTGTAGGATCTCTTAGCTGAGAAACACAAAATGATACAGGTACCCGATGAATTGCAAAAATGGTATCCTTCATGAAGGATCATCAGCTTGCCATAACAGGATCTGGCCGATTCAGCCGTAGCTGACCGGAAACCACAGGTCACTCTACTTGATTTTCCGTACACGTGATATTTTGTCACCAGGTATTCGTGAATCCTGAAAGTATTTATTTGGTTCTATATCTTGGGCATCATTCCTGCACCTGAAGCATATCTTGTTATCCTTTGTACTACGAACCCAAGTATTCATTTACACATAACAAGATCAAAGACGCTCATTCGATATCATGTTTCTTGGCAAAATCTTTGCTATTATTCCCATAATGACAGCACTTGGCGTGAACGCTCAGCCTGCCGACCTTCAAGTCATTATCCAGAAAGGGACACCGACAGCAGATGTCAGCGGAGCTGAGCTGGACGCAGCAAAGAGGGTGCTGGCTTTTCTGAAGGGCCAGATCGGCGGCGATGAAATCCAAACGTTACTTGCAGGCGAGATCGCGGCTGCCAACACATACTGGCATCAGCTGCTCGCCAATTCGACAGGCCAGTGGACACCAGTTGAGGCCCAAGCGAAGGCGGTCGTAGACCCCAGCATCCTGAACTCCCAGTCGTTTGCCAAGTGGATGGAGTCAGCAGGCAACGGGTATCCCAACGACCTGATCGCAGGGCACCCAGAGATCTACTTCGAAGAAGAGCCGTCGAACGTGATCCAAAGCTGGGGCGGCGGTCCCATCACACAGTTCTCGCATGACCCGGTTGACAAGCAGCCCTTCATGCCCGACCTCCTTGGATGGAACATCACCGCAACGGTTTCGCAGACCTTGCGTGACAATACGACCTTTAGCTACGCCGTTAGTGCTATCAAGGAGGACGCTGACGGTTTTGCGCTTTACTTTGCAGTCTATCTGCCTATAAATGCGCCGGAGGACCGCGTGGTTGGGCTGAGGAATTATCTCACCGTCGAATGTACGAACTGGTTGAAATATGCGTACCAGTTTGCCACTAGATAGAAATGAAGGGAACATAGCTTGAGCGTTGTATTAGGGCATTGCATCAGACGGCTGGAAACACTACAGAGAACGTATGTAGGAGTAGCTTTCCCAAATTCTGGATACTAGATAATATAATTATCTTGAGCGAGTTGACAATGGGTTTCAGCTATGCATAGGTATGATCGGCTGTGAACATAGCTTCTATATCATTAGGCAAATCCTTAGATATCCTTCGTCTAAGCTAAGTAATAAGGTCTTTAGCGTGTACAGAAATCAAAATAGCAATGTCACAGGACGATGTTACAAGAGGCTTTCAAGGGTCGCTCTTCGGTGGGAAAAGTATGAAAATTGTCTTTGTAGCTCGGCTAATCCAGCAGTGATCTAGCTAAGGCAAAATTACACAACAGCTTGACTTGCACCTGTGACTAATTGCCATACGATCACGATAAAGACTCTTTAAGTTTATCAAACATGCGTGATCTACGAAATACTCAGAAACTGACTACCGGCAGGCAGATGACAGTCGCAGGCAACTTTTCTCTTAGTTCTAGTCTATCGGCATAGTAGCTTGCGTTCTGTTACTGGATGGGTAATTATCCGTGGATCGCTTTCAGTATAAGACGCAGCTCTTTTCATCGCCCTTTGGTTTCTTCGCGGTCGCATAACTCACTATTCTCTGACGTGATAGTTTGCAACATCTCTCGAGAAATCAAAATTATATCACCTTGGACAGATCTTAGCTGAGCTATTAATAAGTCTTACCGGCAGGAACCACAATATCATGCCTCTGCATCAGCCGACGAGTCTGTACGGCTACTGTAAACATGACTCCAATATTGGCGTTTCTTGGCTTGTAACAAGGAACGATCTCGTGTCTTCAATTGGAGGATAACGAGAAACGGATTTCGAGAGCGGAGAAACGGGTGCAGCCAGGGATCACAGCGAGGCAAAGAAGGACCCGCTACAACCTAACAGACCAGCTCCATAATTCCGGATAGCTTCGTGGCATGTGGTAGACGGTCTGGAGACATGATGATAAGTGACGTCCACGTTAAGAACAGAAAGACCAGATGATCACGAGATGAGGAGGATATGAATAGAGGCGCAAGAACGCCTGTGTTCTGTAGGAGAAGAGAAGAATGAGAAGAATGATAAAAGAAGGAAGGAGGTCACTCATTTATATGGAAGGCAGTTTGTTGCATATCCCCAACTAAGCCACAGTCAGTGGTCAGTTTGCCGGAGCATTGCCTATATAAGCTCGCATTAGACACTTCTCATGTCTACTTTCTCTCCTATTTGTACCCAAATTCACAGCGCCAGCTCGTTATACCCTTGTCGTCGTAACTGCCACTGACTCACCGGCTTCCCATACTGCTCTAGTTATTTGTCAAGCTCATCTTCATATTTACTAGATGCCAGGCCATCAAATAGGTTTGCATAGTCTTTTCTGATTCCAGAGACTGATTCTTCTGATCTTCGAAGAACGGATTCAAGAGCCGGGCGGTCTGAGTAAGTTGTTCGACACCAAACAGGTGAGAAGCATCTCGCCGGATGGTTTTGGGATTCTGCCACTTTTCAGCAGAGCGGTGCTTCTGGATTTATCGAGTGTGCGCGACTCTTAACCTTATCAGCCTGGAGCTGCAGCTATCCAATATTTCGGGACTACAAGTCCATCGGCCCTACTGGTAATGTACTTGTTGACTTGTATGTAACGGCTTAGGGCTAGGGGCGGAGGCTGCACAGCTACGCTCTGGCCCCAATTAAAATATTGCTCCTGGTCTAACTTTGGCTAATGAGGTTCGCGCTCTCGGGTGTGGTGCTGTATGGATCTATAAGATTGGAAGCATCATCAGAAACTGCTTGACCAATTGGTTCAAGACTATGTGAATAGAAATGGAGAAATAATATGGCCATCGGTTACGAGTGTATCCCGGGGTCTACTTCAATACTCCGAAGAAAAGGAGCAATGGGCTTGCCTCATTTTCAACCTTTAATACGCTATCTGACAGCGTATAGAATCTTAAACCTGCTAAAGTAACCTGCTTTCCGCTCACAAGATTTCCTTACCAAGAAATACAAGAAAAAGAACAAGGACCTCCTACCGTCGATAGACTTAGCGGTCAACATTCCTGTTACTTCTAGCAATGCCTCTACGCCTACGGCAGTTTTTGGCCAAGCCGTAACTAACGGACACAGTGAGACGCGGATGGCAGAGATTAATTCACTATCATAGTACGACAACCAGCGCACCGACTACTTGGAGGCCGAGTGATTCGAAACATTTGGCGTAAAGTCCTTTCTCGTATCCTAAGGAAGCGATATGAAAGCTGGAAATCATTATAGCCTGTAGATTCACTAGACAAGCTGTCCCGAGAAATGGGAATGATAGGGACAAGGGAGCTTCTATTTACTATAGAAGGCCCTTGCATCGAGGCTAAAGAGGTCATATCCCGAGGTGACGAGATTGTATTTACATATTTCGCAAACCAGATCAACAAAGTAGTTAAGAGGCAACCACCGTATGAGCATAGGTCCGGGCGGTTAGTCCATTAGATTGACGTTGAGGCAATGGGTGTCAAACTATAAACACGTGGACATCGGGTGGGATAAGCTCTGAGAGTTACCCGATGGCAGAGTTGATAGCCTTCGGACCTGAGTCTGGCGTTAGTCATAGTGAAGAAAATAGAGCATACGGCATGATCCGTAGCTCCTAGAATACGGCTGTATCGTTAGTGAAGATTTATTCAAGATGCACCAAATGACTACAATATGCGGCAAATCATCGTCCTGTCTAGGAAGGTTGATCTTCCATGACCAGATTTCGCAAAACCAAGCTATCTTTATGTCTACTCATTCACCATATGCCGACAATATGGGCGATGGCTGCGAATGTACGGCAGATCCCACAGTGCATTGGCGTTCGTCCATCGGTAGTATCATTACCAAAGGAGTCATACACGAATAAGCCGAGTCAGCACCAGGCTGATTGCCACACTAGGCTAGCGTTAGTCTTGTTCTTCGTCTAGGGAGAAAATATACCATTTCATAAACCACGCCCAAGTCCATCTATTTCGGTTTATGACCTATATAAGATGATCATACTTGAAGCTGAAGCGGTTATGGACTTTAGTTGCTTCGTTATATTTTCTTAACAGTACTCGCCTAATCTTACTTAACGATGTTCCCTTAGGAGTTGTTAATAGTGAAGGTTACAGAGGATAGTTGTAGCGTTTACCTCAGATTACCTGGCCGGGGTGTCTGTTAACCCCAAATTCCGTAAATTTTATTGAACTTATTTGTGAATATCGCTCAAACATCAACAAATGGAAGGAGAGAATCCATTAGATACGTCATCGCATACCGAGTTTCTTTTGAGTATTGTATGCCTCCCGGAAAGTAGCAAAAGCCATGTCTATTCTATTCACGATGTTTTAAGAGTATCAGAGTTTTCTTGCCGTAGACATAGTTCCGAGTAAGTAATTGTAACCAAATGGATCTTCACTACACGTCGGTTCCAGCGCCACCTTACATGATTACTTCAGATACTATAGGAAACACAAAAAACGGACTACTATTGGAAGGGGCTAACACCTGATCCAGTCTCAGCTTTGATGAATTCGTGTTCTCGACTACATTGTAATGTTGAAGGTGTCCTAGCAAATACAACCAGGCGAAATACTAGGCACTGGGTCCTTATTTGGACGGCTCGGCAAGTAAATATGTTTTGTTATCATGCACTGATCCCCGTACTAGAGATATCATGGATGGTACAGTCACCAAGTGCATGTCTAGTGTACGTATGTCGTACTTGTCATTAGCTAGCATTGTGTTGTGTCCCACCGCAAGAATGCAGTAGCAGTAGCACCAATTCCTTTCGATGACGCTCTCTTGCGTCATGAGTCTGGCTCGTATGCAGTACGTTCCAGGGGTGACGTATTCACGAGTAAGCAGCATCATGAAATAGACTGGTCAGCAAGAAATCAGATTCGGCTACTCCAGGCATCACTCGCACACACCATATCTCTAGGCCGACTAAGTAAACTAATCTAATGATATCCATGCTCCGTGGATTTCAGAGTGTTGACGGTTTGACGGGGTTCACTCTTTCATGTTAACATTCGTGAGGGACAAGGTGACGGTGGGTCACAACTGGACCGTGTTTAACTATGCATATTTATCTGTCTCTCCTCAAGATTGAGGGGCAACGCCCCTTTTCCAAAGTTTCCTCCATCGGGTACAGCTGTTCATCCAATATACCAAGATTCCGAAACGATTTCAACCCCCCAGGAAACTAGTAGGTACCATCCATACACTAAACACAAGCGACGCCCTGGCTTCCGTGGACGCAAAGTTGATTATTAGGGCATTTTGTGTATGAATATAATCCATTGGACTGGCAGGTGCCGACCCATTTTGGAGGATCGGGCTGATTGTTTTGTTAATGCGAGGAGTATGCGAGACAATTTAGGCAGAAGTTGACTTACATCGGGGCCTCGTGCTGTTAGACTTCGCGTTAGCTCTCGATCGGATGGTAAGCAAAAAATTGGTTTCGATAACTAACCGCAGGTCTTTTCGCCGGACGTGCATGCGATGGCCTGGCTTGCGAAGAGCCCTATCAAGATAGTACTGATTTGGAACTTCATGGTGCTGGAGGTTCTCTTGGAATTCGATGAGTCTGTACAAAGGTATGAAATGAGAATGTGTGAGTTGGATATAGTTCGTGATGTCGAGGGAAAGTTCATCTCAGAGTCGGAGACCCATCCGACTTTATATTCATCTTCGTCGGGAGAACCTGTCATGAATCAAAAAATAGCAACGAGAGCATGGCGATATTTTTCCAAGGCCATGCATGTCCCGTAAATCATTCACCGACATCTGTCTGCCGTATGTCCTCGTGGGTGACATCAGCATCGTGTAACGTAATGTTCAACTGCGGTGTTCCGCTATTGGTTGGTTCCTGTTTTGGAACGGCTTGGTAAATTGAGGCTGAGATCAGCTGCTCGTAAAGGGTTATATATCCCACTTAGCAGATGCCGAGCATCCATTAGCTCGCAAGATATAACTACTTATCGGCGGGATCACCAGTCTTACTTCATTTTCGCACTAGTTTCTATGTTGATCACCATTTCCAGATCTTCGCTTACAATGATCTTGGCGACTTATTTGAGCCAGGTGAAGTGGCATTGGTACGAAACATCAAGTCACCCGACGGGTCATATGGTCTTGGATACACAACTATCTGACGACGCGAGTCATGGCCCATGGGCTTCTGTTATACTCTTACTTCATCGTAATACACTTTCGCTGGCCTGGGTTGGAGCGACGATTACTGTTCTGTCTCTTGCATTCGATCCTTTTGCCCAGCAAGCTTTGAAATACCCCACTGTGAATTTCCCGATTGTACCAGATGGAGGGCTGCCCCGGGTGGAAACATTGTTTCTCCCGACCCCGGGCATTGACAATGGGGCAGTGCGGCTATGCATTGTGGCTAAATCCTGCGTTTTCGTTCATATAGTCTGTTCTTCGTCAAACTTAGACTTGATCAATACACGTTCTTTTTCATGACTTTATGATATATTTGAAGAAGATTTTACCTGATCGGATCAATCGAATAAAGCCCTTAATTGTGGTATTCTATTTATATTATTTGGTGTGTTGTTTTTCGCCCCAGTTCAACAATCCCCTCAGCCATGATCTCGGCGATATGCTTAACTCAGCTGTTTGGAGAGGGCCGGAAACCACAACATTTCTCACAAAGGCCCCAGGCCATGAAGCCAACTGTACATGGCAAAGCCTTGAGACTCTCGAGTTCTGTCATTCCTGTGAAGATAGAACGTTCGATCTGACATTAGTCGGATGCGAAACTATCTTCAAGCATCTGGAAATCGAGGTCTATGATGAGCTCCGGATCGTTCACAGCAACACATGTACGCTACGCTTTGCCGAAAGGGGGCAAGTATTTCGGCCTGAACCGACTGGAGGCGTCTACGCTGTGCCAGATCAGGACGGAAAAAATAGGACTAGCAGCCTTCTTATTCAAGACAGGGGCTTTTGGCGTGTACTCGCCGCTATGCCGCTGTTGCGACGCCCCTGAGACGGCAGAGCACGTAATCCTCTTTTGTGGGCTGTTTGAAGGACCGAGGGAACGATTACGGGCCGCTATCGCACCACGGCCACTATACTCTCGCAGAGACCTCGCAACGGCAACAGGAGAACCAGTAGTTAGTGGGACTATTGTAAGGTGGCTGCTAGGGACGGGTCGGACAGCTTCAAGGCCCAGATAGCATCGATCTTCTCATGGGGGACTTTGTTGGTAGGTTGAGAACCAACGTAGTATGGTAGTGAACGCAACGCAGTCGCCAATAGGGCGAACCGACGACACAGCGTATGTATTTAGTCCAGCCATTAGGGCACGGTTTGACATACGGGAGTACTGGTAGAGGTACCGGGGGCTTCGAGCCTACGGCGTATTTAATAATAAATAATGAATCGTAGCACACTCAAGTGATGTGAAATTGGCCAACATGTGTAGCACGTTACCAGCTTGTCGGATTCGTTGCGCAATGTTATGGATTGCGAGCTTTGTGTTGGTCTGCAACCATAATACAACAACGGGTAACATTGGTCATGACAATGATCCGAGCCTGGACTCAAGGGTGACTGTCTTCCGACCCCGGGCGCAGCGCATACTTGACAACCATGAACTTGTCTGCCGAACGCGATTTCCACCTCATAAGACAGCTATTACATCAATTTATGTCCACAACACCATTGGATGTATTGTTGGAGCGTTGAAATTGACGCGCAGATGCGCGTCACTTGAGTATACATGTGCAAGTTAGGCAGCTCATGACAAACAGCAAAGAAAGCGCCAGTCTCGAGCACACCATATCCATAATTGAACATGTCTTGAAGATCTTAGTGACAGTCACCAACTCATTCCGATGGAGAGATGACTGCGAGTTCATTAGCAATATTTTGTGGAGATTCACATATCTGCACAGCAACTTAGCCGCTACCATGAGTCGGACAAGACGAAAAATTGTCTATTTCAAACTTAGCAGCGGCGGCGTGTCTGAGGGTGACTTGCTCAACCTGACCAAAACCAATGCAACATAATGAATCTCTCCGCAGTGGAGGGAGCACTCGCCTTGTGGCTTTATACACTAGGTAGATGACGTGAGGCCTTCGCCGTGCCGGGATAGCGGGGACTTACTATAATTTGCGCCTTGTCATGAAGGGGTTTCGGGGATACTAACAGACTACCATGTTGGTCCCTTTGAGCGCATTGTTGGGGTTCTCAGGGAAGATCCTTATCTGAATGTCGAAACGATGAGGGATTGGCTGGGAGTGGATATTCTCCTGGTCCCTTGCCCGGATGTATCAACTAATACGAATGCTTGTGTCCTCACATTATCAAGGAAAGTTTCCCCCCACCTCCACTCTTATTTTTCTTTTTGAGTATTTATCTAATCATTTTCTGCGCAACTGCCAGTTTTCAAGGCTGCAATTAGATTCAAATATATTTCATTCCTTTCGATTTTGGTTAGAAATTACGATACCTAATTGGCAATCTGGTATAGCTATCTTAGCTCAAGTCCGCCAAACGAACAACATAAAGATGATCCACAACAATGTACTAGACCGGCAAAGTGTGAAGAACCGCAAAGGTTGGCGAGCAGCCTGAGTCATCTGAAGCTATGGCGAACTTCCCATACAACCACACGAACATCTAAACACGTGCCGACTCCAGCTTGGCAGTCCAGGGTGCCCAGGAGATATTCTCCCTGTTCATAATCGTCATCGCGTCAAAGATCAAACGAGTCGGAGAGACTGCGGTGTTTGACAAGGTGGGGCGGATCAATGCAACTGAACTGGGGCGTATTACCAGGTCTTGGCAGAATTCCGTCTTCGGTCACCGTTCTAGTGAAGTTATCGATGGCGGACTTGTCCATGATGTGATTGAGGGCCCTGACCCTGATTGTTCTCGCTTTCACAAAATATGGCCTACTACCGACAAAGACGCATACTGAAAAGAACCCATTGTCATCGCCAGAACAACAAGATACGGAAGTCAATGAAGGGGGTTTCCGATCACCGAGACAAGAGGGGACACTTTTCATATCTTATGGCCACCTCATTCCCGCGAAAGCTGAACAGAGCCTTCGAGGTTCTTTGATGTTTGAGTTTTTCGGGAAATGAAACATTTTTCCCTATCTCCTTATAATTACCTTATTGGGGACTTATACTGGTCTTCAACCAATGGGGGCTAGACATTTGGTGATAACGACTTGAATAGCGCCTGTTTATGTGATGACGAACGCTATGAGTCATTTGGCTTAAATTTAGAGGGACCACCCAAACACTCGGATTTTGAATTCTCGATCAAAACAAACTGCTAAAGCCCGAACACAAGCTTGTTTCAATCAAGTCGTGGCACCCTCTGTCATAGCATCTGTCGTAATTTCTTGCGTCCTAAGATCTCTCTCTGCTGCCTCTTCATCGAGATTTTGGGGTTTTATCAATGATTCATTCACTCATAAGATGCCCTTGTTAACTCTAAGAGGAAAAGGTTATAATATAGCGACGCCTGTCTAAAATAATGATTCATTCACTCATAAGATGCCCTTGTTAACTCTAAGAGGAAAAGGTTATAATATAGCGACGCCTGTCTAAAATAATGATGTATATATTGCTCAAAGAAGCCTGCCATGACGATTATCTCATTCCTGGCTAAAACTAGAAAGTTAGAATTCAAACCCACGAGCATGCTGCGGTGGACTTGGGCCAGTATCCTGGATAGTGTACTCGGTCGTGACAATAATCTGGTTTTCGATAGTCCTCCTCCGGGACTTGCTCCGATTCTGCTCCTTTGAACTCCTCGGCATGCTCTTCTCATTGTTACCGGACATGATGTCGCGGTGGTGCGACTTGGTGGTCTGCTGCTCGAGCGACGAGGTTTCGCCACTCGATATATGTACCTTGTCCGCGACGATATGCTCCTTGGAATCGGACTCCCACGTGGTCTCGGCCGGGATGGAGAGCGGGTGCTTTCTGGGAGCGGTACCGCGGCGCGGGTAGCTGTTTAATCGGTAGCCACGACTGTCGGTGCCGGTGCCTTTGCTGCGGCTGGAGGATCGGGTCTTGTCGATGTACTTCTTGACGAGGGGGTAGACCATGGGCATGTTGGTGAGGACGAAGGAGACGAAGGACTCGCGGACAGACCAGTAGCCGGATTGGGCTGGGTCGACGTCACCCAGCTGGTTGGAAATATAAGTTAGCAAGATTCACAACAAGCCCAAATTGAAGTGGGCACAAGTAAAGTGAGATAGGGGCAAGACATACTGTCAGGATGGATACGCAACGAAGTATACCGAAAGCCATCTCGAGGAAGCCACCGCTGAACATGATCAGGAGCGTGAACTTCTTCCTAAGGGGCAAGTTTGACTTCCAGACCATCTAAAAGAGGGGTTAGTCTTTTCCCTTCACGATGGACTGGCTGGATGACATACAGGAATCGGAATCGCCATGAGATAAAAGTCCGTGACGGTGTTCATCCCCATGACGAAAATGGTCTGTATGAAGGACACGGCTGGCATGCAGTTATTACCAGGAGAGGGGTTGATCTGCCACTGGTGGTGAAAGGGGATGCACTTCAAGAATGCGACCAGAAGGCACGCGACGTAAGTCACGGGCATGACGATCATAGCCCCTAAGATGAGTCTCCGCATGTTATGTACACCCTCGCTGTCGCTTATGTTAGCTAGCTTCCAAGTAAGATCGATGGACGCATCACTAACGTAAGGCGTTTGTAGTAGACAACCCAGCAAGCCTTGAGCAGCCAGAGGAGTGTCGTGTAGAGCAAGAGACCAATGACGTGCGTTTTGGAGCCATTGACCCGTAGCACCCATTCTGGCGAGTCGGCCTCGAGGGTTGCCCTTTGGTCATCCGTCATCGCATTATTCGCTAAGCCCTGCCAGTACGCGACGACAAAATATGCCGCTACTGATTCGGCCGTATATACCAGCTGCATGTTGTAAGGTTAGCCATTACACAACCTGTCGTGGAATGAAGGATGAGCTGTCTGTGACTCACGGTTGCGAGAAGCATGAAAAAGTCGTCCCATGCCAGTTTCTGCCATCCCACCGTCTGGATTCTCGTTGCGTATCTTATTCCGACCACCAGGTAGGCGGTTCCTTGGAGTCCCCAGACCTCCTGGATGAACTTCTGTGCCGCGTCCGCCATCGTCGTTGGTACTATTGATGCCCTGAACCAGTCAAGCCACTATGAAAATTGACTCCCACCAAGAAACTAAAGGAGTGACAGGGTTGGTTGGAGACAGAGAGGGTGTCGTCGGACTAGACCAAAAGGAAAGGATAGACCCTAATAAGTAAGTGGTCTCGGGTAGTCGATTATCCCATTTGGTCACATTGGTTGCTTGTATAGGAGCACCGATCCTCTCTATTACGGAGTAGCCAGTTCACGCAAATCATTGGCTTAGGGCCTTTGAAACAAAGTCCCAGTTCATAGTCGCAGTGCCGAACCCGTCATTTGCAGCCTTGCTCATTTTTGCTCAGGTTTGGTGACGCCACTGCAAAATCCACTCGTGCCTGCTGGTCAGAATGCAATTGCAGATCTGGCCCAGTCAAGCTGTGGATGCGATTCATAATCGCGGGTCCAAACGTATCATGTACTATAGTATGCCGGTACTTGATAGAGGCCGTGGTATAATCTCTGGAGGAGCCTGAACCAACCCCTGGCCCTGGACACGGATAGGGTCTGATCCATTGGTCCAGTGGAGTGGTGAGGCCAGGGTCCTGTACGCCTTTAATAAATCCCGAGTCCTATCCATCTCAACGCGTCAGGCGGTCGGACCTCTTGTGACCCCACATATATACCACAATACTTGACACGATGCTACATGTGGAATAGGTAGACCTTTACCAATCTGTATGTCAAACGCTCATCTTTCGACCTCTCTTCCCCATCCTCCGCCACCACGAGTCAGGCTATGGGACGATATCCGTGCCCACCCGCTGTCCCTCATGCACTCGCGAACTTTGATTTCTGGGCTGGTATCCATTCAGCCGGCCCGGAGCTTGGGGGTGGGGGTGTTGGGCTGCGGGAGGAGCAATACATAGTATAGGGAAAATAGCGCAACAACGAAGCACAGCAGCTGTTCGACATCTTGGCGCCAAGAAACGACAATGTTTTAGAGACGGAAATCCTTGCCTGGTTTGTGATTATATGCCACACAGCCAGCCAGACAATCGTCATGAGTATTTGTTGCATGTTTGCCAAGCTGCTGCCCTCTTTGATCTGCATAATGGCACTTGATAGGGTTCTGGAAATCTCCTTTTCTGGGAATCTCCTGGCCAAATTCTTCGGCCGACAGCAGGGTCTGAAGTTGAGACCGCATTACCCATGTAAAATTCGGTAAGTCGGGATTGAATTCGTAATGGCTGATGATCCTGTCCGGGTAAGGAAGAGAAAGCCGCCGGTCGACCGTTGTAACGTATCCACTACTTAGTGGCTCCAGCGCGTCCAGCGAGCCACCTATGGTACCTCTCAACAGAGGTGGGGAAATAATTTGGGAGGGGAATTATTTGGGGACTGACGGACTTTGTATGAAAATAGAGATGAAGCGGTTTTCCAAAAATTATCAAAAACTCGATTTTTGTCAGTCTTGACCGGGCACTTCACATTTTGTTTTCAGATCAAAAAGGCTATAGGAAACCTTGTCTTCTTACGATGCCGATAATCATTTTGAAATTTGAAAGTGAGACATAGTGGTAGAGTTCGTGTCCGATTTGTTTCTATACATACACAATGAAGAGTCCCAGATTATCTCCCCCATCTTTGTTAAGAGGTGGCTCGCTAGAAACGCTGGAGCCACCACGTAATGGATCGGCACCAGGAAGAGGCGCTGCGAAACAAAGCGCCAAGAAGCATACTCCCGGCAAGGCAGGACTGGGGAGATATTAGTGGCCTCTAACGCACTGTCCCGGCCCTCCACTTATTTACTTCACCAGGAGCCTGACCAACCGACTTGGTCCTTCACCAACTTGCGTCGCAAGTGCTAATGACATCGCAAGTCCCGAGATTGCTCGCTCCATTTCATCAAACTGCGCATGTCTGATCGATGGATAACGCGGCAAGCTTGGTGATCAACATCTCTGATCACCGGTTTAGATTGTCGGCTGCAAACAGCTGAGGACCAGGAAGGATTTGTCAACATTAAACTACTTAAAATCAACTCCAGTAGCTACTCTTTGGCCTCGAATTAACGAGGTGAAAAAATCAGCCGCACCCCATGCTGCCACTTGCATGCTGACGACGGATATGACCGCTGGAGAATTCCGGCGACTTGCAGACCTCGAAAGTGGCCTAGTCAGTAATGCATGACGCGCAGATTGACTGAACACGCATGAGCAATGGCTTTGACAGGTCGACAGCTGCCAATGAGAGCAAGCACATCCACAGCTACTACACCTCCACCGGGGTCAGACGTCAGTGCAGTGAATTACTACAGGGGCCCTGGTTGATTAAGGATGTAGATTTTTTGGCTGAAGGTCACTTTTGTAGCACTTTCTGCGAGACAGCTAATTCCGTACGGATACCAGCGACAGAGAGCTCTTAGAACAGGGTCAAATCTCTTAAAATTATACATTGTAACGTCTGCAGATCTGATTTGAGTCCTAAAACCCCTTAGGGGCCGACCTATCAGCTATCCCCTTAATCCTTCAACACTAGCAATACCACGTTTCATTCGCAATACGGACCTTGTTCGGGACCAATTGGCCAAGATCCGAGCCCTTCAAGTGGGCCAACAACCTGGATGTACGAGGAGATCGAACCATAGACACCCTACTTATGTGGATAGGCTCAATTGGCTTGTAATGGGCCTATTACTCCTCAGAATATGAGACCTGAGATAGGGCTAGTTAAGACCCCAGAGAAATATTGCTGAAGCTGTGGCTTCTCGAAGATAAGCTTAATGGCTAGATTCCTTGGTTTGACCTCCGGCTTTGTCTCTCTCCTGAGCTTTCGATGCATATGGAGGTAGCGGTCATAACCGCTTTAGATGAAGTGGCTACCTAAGAGCTATTCGCTATAAACGGATTAGCAGAAGAGAAGCCAATACGAGGGCTAGCGTTACCTTTACTCGCTTATTACTTCCACTTTGACTACGGTTCGAAGAGAGGGCAGGGCAGTATAATAGTCTCTGATAAGATATTGGCAACGAATAAGACTGCATGGAAGAAATGGATAATTATCCACGATACGGAAGATCCGACATCATTTTCCCCAGGACATTCTAGGGCTCAACTGCTAATAATAAGAAGGAGCTTCTTCCTTTTAGGAGAGGGAGTAGAGTGGAATAATAGCACACAAGTATAGCTTTTTATACAGCCTCTAGTATATTATTGCTTGCGCGGTGACTCCGACTTGGCCGTCTGCTAACACGAGAATGCTCTTTCTTATCGAGCAAAGGGTATGTGTAAGCCACCTGAAGTACTACTGCCTACTAATTCTTCTAACCTGAGCCCAAATGAGAAGGTCCAGTGCGGGATTAAGCCTTGGATCAAGTCTCGACATAATTTTTAAAAGCCTTTGAATCATAGAATTACGCATAGTCGTTTAAGAGGCGTGGGATACCGTCCTGGAGGAGCGGCTCTAGAATTGACCCACTGAATGATTCGAAAACTCGAGCTAGTGACAGAAAGATGGAGACAGCATTGAGTACTAACAATTGCTCTGTGTGCTCATATAAAACTATGTATAGCAACTTGGCCTTTTTCGGCATAGCACGATGTAACAAGTTACTGCACTAACGTGCAGCGACCATGGTGGAGGTGTAGATACCTTACCATGGTCGAGGTGTCGGCAAGGATTCCATGCATGATTCCTTTAAGTGAAACGGGGATAGCCAGCCCACCAGCTTGGTCCGATAATATTGGGGTCATCCAACGTCGCCAGTCAGCTTGCTTGTTTCCAAAATCTCCAATAGAATCAAAGGTCCCCCTGGCCCCGCTTCCGACACAAGGTTTGGGTTTAGATGCCGCCACCCGACTGTCACAATGACAGACGAACCGTTTGCGAACATGGGTGGGGTTCTCGTCGACTGCATTCGTGCTACTGTGTGATGGACACAACCCAGATAGAGGGGCAACGACGAGAGGCCACACAGCCAAACACGGCCCCATCCCGAAATAAATACGCCATGCTGATGAAGGCCGCTTGTGTCTCTTATAACCTGGCTCCGGTTTCCTTCTTAACCAAGCGCGCGTTCAATGAAACCGAGTTCCTTACTCGTCGTCCCGTCTTCATCTATTCCAATATTGCATGATTCCAACATCTCGAGCTGAAATCTTGTTTTCTCACTGCAGCTTCTCCTCATCTGTCACACACCCCGGCTATAGTTGCGTCGTCGTGACCTCTCATATCTCATAACTCTGAATCGTACTCGGGCGTGACCGGCAAGATGGCGGAGACCGCAGCGAACGGTCACATTCCTGAATCGAACATCGATGTGTAGGGCATCCAGCCCCCCATTGAATCGCAGTATACCTTGATACTAATGCAGTGACTAGTCTGATCATTGGCGCCGGACCCTCAGGGTAAGCTTCTTCCACTGCATACTCGCCAATGACCGGCCGGTATCTTAGCGACGGTGACTAATCATAATTACAATGCAGCTTGATGGCCGCAGCCTGGATGGCACACTGTGGCGTTAAGGCACGTGTTGTCGATAAACGAAACACAAAGGTGTTCTGTGGCCAGGCCGATGGGCTCCAATGTCGCAGTCTTGAGATCTTTGACAGTCTTGGTTTCGGCGACCGGGCCTGGAAGGAGGCCAATCACATGCTCGAGGTATGGCACCTCACTTGTATATAGCTTTACGTGTAACGGCACTCTGACTGATCATCTATCGCTCCAGATTTGCATGTGGGTAAGTAAAAGGATCCCGCATGGACACTTACAAGTCGCATTTCTCACCTTAATGGCAGAACCCCGGCAGTGATGGTGTGATTTGTCGCTCAGATCGCATCCCAGACACCATCGTCGGCCTCTCCCGTTTCCAGCAAATTGTCCTGCAGCAGGGCCGCATTGAGCGCTTTTTCTTGGACAACATCAAGAAGTACTCAAAGGATACCATCAAGGTTGAGCGGGGTGTTCTGCCCGAGTCTCTCGAGATCGATGTGTCCAAGGTTGAAGACGACTCGGCCTACCCCGTGACGGTTAAGCTGCGGCAACTCAGTGAGGAGGAAGCAACCCCCAAGCAACAGATAACCGCTAGCAAAGTGAATGACGGTATCTTTCGAAGCAACTTGATAGTCGAGGATGACGAGGATGACCTGATCAAGAAGAGTCAGTCTCGAGGCGGATCAAGCGAGATTGTCCACGCCAAGTATGTCATTGGTTGTGACGGTGCCCGCAGTTGGACGCGACGAGCTCTCGGCTTCGACCTGGACGGCGAAGCCACTGATTTCATCTGGGGTGTTATGGATATCATCCCCATCACTGACTTCCGTGAGTACCGAACGCTTAGGCTGCCACTAATCAAAGCAAATCCGATCTAACGTGGCCCAGCCGATATTCGCATGCGATGCGCCATCCACTCTGCTGAGAATGGCAGTCTCATGGTCATTCCTCGAGAGAACAAGCTCGTCCGTCTTTACATTCAACTGAAGGAGGTGACGCCCGACGCTTCTGGTCGTGCGGACAGAACCAAGATTGCCCCCGAGCTCATCTTCCGTTCTGCCCAAAAGATCATCGCCCCCTACAATCTTGACTACCAGTACTGTGACTGGTGGACTGCTTACCAAGTAAGACCAGCTGATGTAAACCCCCGGATGACCCTGCTGCGCAGATACTAATTACGACACATCAGATTGGGCAAAGGGTGGCCCCCAAGTTCGAGGCCCACGAACGTGTCTTCCTGGCTGGAGATGCCGTGCACACGCACTCGCCCAAAGCCGGTCAAGGCATGAACGTGTCAATGCAGGACTGCTTCAACCTCGGCTGGAAGGTGGGCTTGGTGGCCAAGGGTGTCGCTAAGCGCAGCATCCTGAGCAGCTATCAGAGTGAGCGCCGTCGTGTGGCCCAAGACCTTATCGACTTCGACCACCGCTTCAGCCGACTCTTCTCGGGCCGACCGGCCAAGGACGTCATGGACGCTGAGGGAGTCAGCATGGAGGAGTTCAAAGACGCTTTCGAGAAGGGCAACATGTTCGCGTCGGGCTTGTCCGTCAACTACGGACCCAGCACCCTCATCGTCAAGTCTGGCGATGCAGCTGAGCAGGGCGATGGCAGCAAGGTGGCACAGTCTAAGGCCACTCAGATCACGGCCGACGCGTTCGCCAAGAGGCAAGGGCTGGCGACGGGTATTCCCATCGGAATGCGTTTCAACAGCTTCAAGGTGCTCAACCAGTCCGATGCCCGTCCGTGGCACTTCCAGGAGCGCCTCAAGGCCGATGGGCGATTCCGCATCATCCTCTTCGCAGGAAACGTCCTCGATGCCGCGCAGAAGGCGCGCGTGGACAAGTTCTGCGAGGCTCTCGATGCGCCCACAAACTTCCTGCGCGCTGCTACTCCCGGCGGCGCCCCCATCGACAGTGTGATTGAGGTCCTGACCATCCACTCATCCAAGCGCACCGACACGGAGCTGCTCCGAGACTTCCCTGAGATCCTGCACCCCTTCAGCGAGCAACACGGCTGGGACTACAACAAGGTCTTCGTCGACGATGTGAGCTACCACGAGGGCTTTGGCGATGCATACGTCAACTACGGTGTCGATAAGGAGAGGGGCTGTGTGGTGATTGCTAGACCCGATCAGTATGTCGGCTGGATTGGTGAGCTCGAGGACTTCGAGGAGATGCAGCAGTACTTTGAGGGCTGCCTTGTGCTGAGAGGAACCCAGGCGACTAACGGACAGACGTTGGCTGTAAGGTAGATGACGTTTAACAAATGAGGCATGTGGATCAGGTTAGGAAAGATTTGTATAAAGCTTGGGATATGTAGCGAGCTGTAAGATCAACACGTTCATACTCAACTATTGATATCTTTGTTGATGTTGTCGATGCTCGGCCTTCCATAACAAAGTCAAAGAGTTCTGCCTCCTGCGTCTCTCACGGCTCTGTCGCTCTCCATTCTGAAAATACATCATTCAATACTTGAACAACCTTACATCCCCAGTCTCGTTCTCCCTTAAGATCTTCCGGTTACGGAATCCGTAGTACAGCCTCAGTATCACGCACCCAGCTGCAACCATGAACAATAATGCCGCATTAGTCCAGTGTCCAGTGGGGTACCCGGCCTTAGCTTCGTTCGCCTTATAAATCCAAACCCCAACAATCTGGCCCGGTGCACCACCCAGACCGATATTTAGAGCAATAGCAAGACCGACAGAGGCGGTGCTGAAGATGTTGGACGACAGCCAGCCGAGAAGGGGGGGGATGCAGGAAAACGCTCCCGACGCAGCTACGATAAGGCAACCGTAGCGATGCGCGTACGCATCGGCTGGTAGCACGGCCGAGGCGAGGAATCCTACGGCGCCGATGGTGGCCATGGCGGCTGAGTGAAGTCCACGGGCGTTGAAGTGGTCCGCGGACCACGAAGTAAGTATTTGCACAACTGGCGTAGGATGAGCAAGCTTGGAATAGTACACTTTGCTTGGGTGGGGGGTAACTTACTGTAGGCGACTGCATAAGGGGGCACAGTCATGAGTTGAGCCTGCAAGTCCACATAACCCAGGCCGGCGGTGATGGACGGTGTGAAAAGCGACAGTGAACTAAAAGGGGTCGAGATGCCAAAATACACCACGTAATGGCCCCATAGCCTCCAATCAACTAGAGTTGCTTTGGCATCCGGCCAAGACATGGCTTTCGCCATACCCTTACTGCCTTCGAGACGCAGCCGGTGAACAGCCAGGTCCCTCTCCTCTGCAGTCAACCACTTGGCGTCCTCGGGGTAATCAGGCAGGATGAACCACACCGCAACAGCAGACAAACACGACGGCGCGCCCTTTCGTGGAAGTTAGTCATCATTGCCCAAGCAAACCCGCACTGACAGAAAACCAAAGCAAAACGGACTCCTCACCTCAATGATAAACAACCATCGCCAAGCCGACAAGCCGGCCGCCTGGTTCATGTGCCCAATGCCAAACGCAATCGCGCCCCCAAAGGCCCCCGCCAGCGTCGCCGAAGCCAGGATAAACGCGACCCTAATACTCCTCTCCTCGGTCTTATACCAAAACGTCAGATAATACACCAGTCCCGGAAATAACCCGGCCTCAAACACCCCCAACAAGAACCGCACGACCGTCACAGCGGCATAGCTTTTCACCCCACCCAAACCCATAGTCAAGGCCCCCCAGCCAAACATGAGAAACGCGATCCAGCGGGAGGGCCGGAGTCTCTTGAGAAGGATGTTGGAGGGGACCTCGAAGAGGCCGTAGGCGACTAGGAACACCATCAGGGCGATGGTGTACTCGAAGTTGGACATGCCCGTCTCCGTCATGAGGTCGTCGCCCGTGGAGTGGTTCATGATTTTGGCATTGCCGATGTTGGAGCGGTCTAAATAGCAAAGAAAGTAAATCCCTGCCGAGAGCGGGATGATGCGCTTGTCTTGTTTCCATCGCAGGGCTTGTTCCGAGGCGACGTATTCTGGTGAGGATTCGCGGGTTGAGGTGGATGCTTGCTGGTGATGTTAACCAAGCTACTACGAAAGTCATGACTTATAGATTGGTGGATTGGTTCAGGTCTTGGGCCTTGGTACGCCACAAGGGGGTGCCGTGAAGCTTTATTTTAAGATTTGACAGCAACGGACGGTGGATTACGAACCTTGACATCTTCTGCGAAAATCTTTTCCGCCATCCTCGGCTGCTCTGATCTCAAGCCTGGTTCAGCGAAAAGTTGAGCGAGAGTTTGCTTCGCTTCGTTGCTCGCGCGTCAGCCGGGAGGATGTGTCGAGAAGAATTCTATCGACTGGAAATGCGTCTACGAAACAGCGCAATGAGGTGAGAACGTGAAGTAAGGAAACGGGAATTGACCTCACTCAGACTGTGGCCGCCTCATGGGGGGGAGTAATAAGATCGGAGCAAAGTGCGGTAGGGATACAGGATGCGGGGATAAGGTAGTTGTGGGGATGTGACCAACACTATTGGACGAATCGCTGTTCTGTTAGTTGGGGTTCAGAGGGGTAATCCTCGAGGCTGGGGTAGCTCTGTTTATTGCCTACGATAGGTTCGAGCATAATATACCGTCTTGGTACTCATGAAACCACTCTTTCAGGTTTTGATTAGAGAGACTCAACGTTATATCGTCCACATGGAAAGTACTAGACACTGATGACAAGTTTCCGAATAGTTCCCATCCAGAAATTATACTCGTGTAAGGGTGTGCAGCAGTTCTCAAGCCCCGGCCGTTGTGCCATTGGCGCAAGATACCGGTACCCGGTTCGAGTGTTATTAACCAGGTGCGTCGTGGCTTCCATTTGGATTGAGCAAGAAAAACCGATATGCTTGGTTGGTTTCGTTCACCATGACCACACGAGAGGCCCAGCAATTGCCCAGAGAAACCCCGAGTTGTGTTGTAATCAGTACTTAAGCACGTAGCGAGAGTACTGAACCAGGGTCGACTTGCGGTGTGCGAGGTCTAGACTAGTCTCCACCGGGTAGTTTGCGGGGAGGTGTTCGGAAACCAAGACCCGCGAGACTAACCTTCAACTTGACAATGATTGGAAGAGTTGGTGAGTTGCTGTAGTCCAGATATTGCCAATCACCAATAGATAACTGGTCAATACATGGCGAAATTTCTATTAGTAATCCGAGTGGGGCTTGAATGAGTGAGAGAGCTTTTACTACGGAAAATAACTATAGTCAATGGAGCAAGCCGAGGGTCCCTCCTAAAAAGAGGGCTCGAAAGAATGTATCTAAGTCTTCGGACGCTTAAATTAAGTGTGTTCTGTATATAATAAATACGGCTGAAGTATTTAGGTTGATTCAGCTAGACCCTGCAAAATAGGGGTGTATGCAAAAAGGTGGTCAATACGGTTAGTCATTCCAGACTTCCCATTGTCAAATCTACGGAACCAGCCATGGAAATCAGATTATCTTGCGTTGGCACACCGCCTGTGTGCTGGTTGTAGCACTCGGGCCAACTCCCCACAGATAGCCCTTCTGTAGCTTTAGACTCCGGAGAGTTAGTCCTATCATCAGCAGCATCCCGAGTAAAGTCCTTTTGCCTGTATTTCCAGCAGATAACTTATCGCATTTGGACCAGGGGCCTTGCATTGGTGCCAAAAAGGTATGTGGGGGGACCAGTGCTGAATTGGCCTCTGGTGATTCATAAATACACAAACCATCCCTGTTCGGATACGCGCCCCTGGATACCTGAAGCCACAACTTCCCACATAACTAACTATCATTATTCTGGGCTTGTGATAACTTCCGGATGGGCATGAGGCCTGTGTGATCATACTGAGACCATAGTATAACATGGGGTATTTGAATTGTAAGACAATACGTAGTTGACGAGAGAGGAGATCGTTTCTAGTAATCTCAGTGAATAGGAGTTTACTAGTTAGTTGACATTATCGGCGGACATAAATAATAGAGAAGGAAGGGGAGTTTGGAAACCGGGGAACAACAAGACCGATCTTATTTATTGTTTGGCCGACGCTACTGAACGTTCGATTCCCCTGCAACCGTATTGCGTTATTACTTTCAGATTCAAGGCCCTTGAACATTGAGAAAAGTTCAGTTCCCACAACCTTCGAGTTTCATAGTCGTTGCTACTAAACTTACTTATCATGACATTACTGGTTCTACGAGCAAGACAGATATCGGTTTTCAAGAGAGCCCCGATCGCGGGTTGGGATTTCTTTTCGGTCCGGGACTGCATTTTACACTTCCCACCCAGACGAGAGACGGAAGCCCAGCCCCGTAGATAGATCACCGTCCCACTGAGGGAGGTGTAACACCTTTTTGACCTTTTGCTGGATTTCTATTGGTCCACTTCGATACGAAGACTAAACTTGTACGACGTGTGCACCCTTTTGAACCTGGCATGCCGACATGATCAAGTTGGTGATGTTGAATTGGAGGGAGTATTGGATCCACGGGAGAGGAGAGGACCCTGATGGGCACATGTACCACCTTGATGGCATCTTGGAATAAGACATCTGCTATAATGCATCTCAAATACCCGGATGGCTTGCAAATTCGTCGACGGTGATTGGTCCAGTGAAACTCGTATATAAGTCCAGCACTCCCAAGATCAAGTTTATTGTTGTGTCTCGAATATCACTCCGGAAAATATATCATCATGGCAAAGGGTCTGGTAAGTGTGCCTTCGAAGGCGAAGGCGGCAAGCAAGAACAAACAAGTGAAGGCTGCACCACCAAGAGCTCTGCCAGTGACATTGCTCTCGGGCTTCCTGGTAAGCAGTTGCACCGTCTAATTTGTGACAGAATTGTGCTTCTGACAGAACTTTTCCAGGGGAGTGGGAAGACTACGTTACTGCAGCATATCCTCAAAAGCGATCATGGCCTTCGAATCGCTGTGATCGTCAATGATATTGGAGCGTCGGTTGTCCCATGTCCCCAGTTCTGTTTCGCAACCCGAGCGCTAAACAATTACCCAGAATCAATGTCGACGCATCTCTCATCAAGAAGAACTTCCGCAAGACCAAGGAGAAAGTGGTCCAACTCCAAAACGGCTGCATCTGCTGCACGCTTCGCGGAGATCTGCTTGAAGAGCTGGTGTATCTGTCCGAACTCGGAGAGTTTGACTATGTCATTGTCGAGAGCAGTGGCATCAGCGAGCCCCAACAAGTTGCTGAGACCTTCGACTCTGAACTCGCCTCTAGAATGGCCGAATTGGGCAGTGGAGACGATGCATTGGATGAGAGCATGAAGAAAGTCCTCACAAGAATGTAGGCTTTCACACTTGACTCCACACAAATTGCCAGCAAACTGATCTTTCTTTCAGAGCCAATGCCGGTGGTGTCGGAAAGTTTGCCCACATTGACACTTGCGTTACAGTCATTGATGCCTTCGAGATTCTGAATGACTTCAACACTGACCAACTCATATCTGCGACTCGTAACGACGTGACGAAAGAGGACGAGAGGACAGTCTCGGATCTCATGATCGACCAGATTGAGTTTGCAGATGTAATTGTTCTGAACAAGATAGATATGGTGGGTCAATCTCTCGTCCTCTCTCAGCCGTGCTAACATGGTCTTCTCATATCAGGTCGACGAAGCAACCCAACGTCGTATCATTGATCTAGTTTCAACGCTAAATCGCAACGCAAAAGTGATTAAGTCAAGTTACGGCAAGCTTGACGTCAATCAGATTGTGAACACAAAGCTGTTCAACCTCGAGCGAGCTCAGATCGGCTTTGGGTGGCTTCAGGACTTGCATGAAATGACGTTGCGAGAGGCAGGTCTCCCACTCTTGCATGCCTAGCACCCTCCAACAACACCATGAAGCTAACATGTCCCGCTCCAGGTCAACGGCCGCATGAAAGTAACACCAAAACCAGAAACAGAGGAATACAACGTGCGAAACTTCGTCTACACGAGATCACGTCCCTTCCATCCGCGAAGACTCTGGAAACTCCTCTACGACAAATTCATTCTGCAGATGCAACACGAGGACGACGAAGAAGACAGCATGGATGAAGACGATGAGACCGACGAAGAAGACGAGGACGATACTGACGTCGACATGGAAGACGAAGACGAAGATCCCCTGAACCCACCCTCCAACCAAGAAATCCTAGCAAACAAGAGCTCCAACCCCATCATCAGCCGCCTCTTCCGCTCCAAAGGCGAATTTTTCCTCGCCACTCGCCCTCACCGCGCAGGCGAGTGGTCGCAAGCCGGCGCCATGCTGACACTCATCGGTGGCCGGCCTTGGTTTTGCACGTTGCCAGAAGAGGACTACATCACGGGCAACAAGGAGATCGATGCGCTGGTGCTGCACGACATCAAGAAGGGCGGCGAGTGGGGAGACCGTCGACAGGAGTTAGTCTTCATTGGTGAAAACCTGGACATCAAGGGGATTTCGGGATTGCTTGACGAGTGTCTACTGAACGATGAGGAGTGGGAGGCTTGGGTTGAGGTCATGAGTGATTCTGAGTTGGAGAGCAATGAGGCAAGGATGGAGGCTCTGGAGCAGTTATTTGATGATGGGTTTCCGGATTGGCCCGAGGATCACGATCATGACTCTGAGCATTGAACTGACGATCATTTAATAAATATTAGGAGCCAGTCCGTAGAGATATTTATATATAATCTCGTTAACAATCACTTCCTTTTGCTCCAGAGTCTAATTTCATTACACGGCAGCTACGGTCGCGGTATGAATTATAACTACGAATATGGTAGGGCAATTTGGTCTCTTTAATACCTTACAGGAGGGCTGCCGCGGCCGGGGAATAGCCCTGACGAATAAACTCTTTAGTGCGCTTGATTCGCCGTGATATTTCACCGCATTAGCCATGTTATGTGCCGTTACAGAATAATCGCGTGGTGAATGAGAGACACGTCGTTGTGGTTGCATGATTTTCATGCAAGATGATGTTGTGGCAAAAGCATTGTCTTAATATAGCGCAATGGTGTCGCGTTTCGTAAAGCCATGTGCTGGTATCGTCGGTTGGTCAGTCAGATCAACGCCCTCGACTTCTTCTACACCACGACAGCTTCTCAAGCCATACTGGACAGACATCTCATTAATACGCATGATTCTATCGTTGCTGCTATAGTCGTCCTTCCTGTGCCGATATGCGGCTAACGTGGAGGAACTTGCTCCAGAGGTCCGAATTCAGGTATCCAATCCACCGCCCGAAGGAGGGGTAGGCGGTCTTCACCAGGGTTTAGTAATGTGAGCAGGCTAGTAAGCGTTGGTAGAATTCATGGAAAGGGGTAATGTGGCTTATATGGCATATTGTCTCTTTCGCCTATGGTTGTGATCTGGTGAATTTTGACGATGCCTACAATGCCAGCGCTGTACTATGTTTAGTTCCTTGACCCTTGATAACCCGAAGGCTTGGGTGCTTATAAAAACCCTAAACTCATGGCGACAGTGGCACCAATCTTTTTGTAGGGTTTCATGAAATAGTGTTGGAGAGGGTCATGCCAGGGGAAGTTATCGTACATTCATGTTGTGAATGGCATTGAAAGCGAGTTCAAGATTTATGCTGATGACGAGGAACCAAATTAAGGATCTCTGCCGGTCGTGGACGATACGGACAAGAGTGAATACGAAGGAAGTTTGTGTGAGACCCCATGCGTATCGTCGGGGATGGTGGACAAATTATGGATGTGAGATTTGAAGGTTTGTGTGCCGCCGAACTTGATTCTCATCAGCTCGATGATCAGGGCTTTGGTGATGAGGAGGAAGATTTGTTGATTGGCCAGGAATTGTAAGCTGCTGACCAATGAATAGATTATAGAGAGAGATAGCCATCCTAAGATCAACAGGTAGCTGCGTTGACCACCTTTTTGTATGCACCCCATTTTGCATTATGACGTCGCATTCATGCGTTTTGAAGTCTTAGTCCTTACAAACCTTAGTTCAATACGGCAAATGCGACACCAGACCACGTGAAATCATTCAACTTGCGGTTGCTAGAGTGACATTTGCGATTATACATCTCCAACTACATAGACGGGGCTCCTGGTGCCCGTAATATACAAGTCTAATACAGTATAATATACACACGAGTCTAACAGCCCACCTATGCACGATATTTTGCGTCCCGGGCCCGCCTCTTCAGTCTATCTGGACTTACCTCCCGTCTATTCGTCTCTACTCTATCCCTGGAAGGACCCGGTGCAAACACCTTTGAGCGTTCCGACACATCCAAAACGGCCACCGCAGCATCAAAGACATCCGACCTTAGTTTGCTATCGTGGATACCTTTCCGGCCTCCGTCCCTCGTCGACTTGCCCAAGTGTGCCAAGTCACCAAACGCATGCATCAGCATCTTGTTGAGTGAAGTTCGGAACTGCAGCAGGTTGTTCGCCGAGTGCCAGCCGGAGCGTTCGCATCTGACAAAGAATGGCAACCATTCGTTTGCCGTAATGACGGGACCACTGCCGTCGACCTGCGTCAGCTTGCTGGCGAACAGCGCAACGGCGAGTGGGTTGACGGTGCTCGCATCCCGGAGGAAGGTTGAGCCCTCGGTTGACTTGACGAGGTTGGTGAAGGTGACCAGGATGGGATTGGAACGCGCGCCGTCCTGGGTTGATCTCGGGGGTGCCCTGGTTAGAACACTTGTTTGTGGCAAGAGCGAAACCGGCTCGCCGAAAGTTCGCCAAATTCGTGCCTCCCTGCCCGTCGCGATAGCTACGTTGGGCTGTAAACCAGCAAGCAAGATGGCCTTGACAATGTGGCTTTTGTGCGAGTGCTTGTTGAGCTCCTTTCCTCCGAACATCCGTGACCTGTCCCGTTTTTCCCACTCTTCGGGGCGAGATATAAGGCCGGCCTCCAGGAATATCTGCTCCATCTGCTGCGCAGCACCGTAAACAGATTTCCAGGCACCAAAATGGATGAGTTCTTTGTAGGCAACATCCCTCGCCCGCCTTTCATCTTGAGGGGAGTAGTTGTCTCGTACATCGCAGAAAGCATTGTACAGTGCGAGGTGGTCGCTTTCTGACCCGGCAGCATACGAAACTTTGTTCTGCGCGCTCTGGGACCTGACATCGGGCGCCGTGATAAACAGGCCTCGCTCTTCAGCAGCGGCGCCCACAACCATGATAGGATCGAGACATTTGAACAGCACACCGAGCAGGATCATCTTGCCCAGAGCGGGATGCACGGGGAGGGAGGCCAAAAGCTTGCCCAACGCCGTCAGCCCATGGTCGCGAGTGAGGGCGCCCAAATCGGCGAGATTCTTGAGGGCTTCTTTGACGCTGGCAGCACTGGGTGGCTCAATAGCGGCGGCCAGGAACTCGGTCACATCGACGCCGGGGATGGACGACTTAATGTTGAGACACGTCGTCTGCAAATCGGAGCGGAGGAGCTCTGGAAGGCCAATAGCGCGCATCGACTGGTGCCGTGCCTTGGTGTACAGGGCGAGATAATGACCATCCTGGACTCTACCAGCTCTTCCAGCGCGCTGTTTCGCGTTGGACTTGCTGATCCATGTACTCTGAAGTGCCGAGATGCGCTTCACGTGGTCGTAACGCGTCTCACGCACCTTGCCCGTATCGATGACGTGCTTGACATCGGGGATCGTGATGGACGTTTCACCGATGTTGGTGCTCAAAATGATCTTGCGGACCCCTGGAGGCACAGGGTTGAAGACGGTCTTCTGCGCATCGGGAATAGACGAGTGGAGTAGGTAAGTTCTGTACTTGGAGGTATCCATCATATCGACACCTAGCACCTGGTTCTGCAGCAACTTTTCAACCCGTTGCATCTCGTCCAAGCCTGGGAAGAACACCAGAATGGCGCCGTCACTCGTGGTCCTCAAGACATGCGCAATGGTGGTGGCGATAAGACCATACGGTGTGATGGCGTCGTCAGCAGAATTGCCGCCAAGCTCGTTGTCGACGAGGTTCTGCTTCGCCTTCCAATCGATGACGCCGACCTCGTCATCTCGACCTGTTAATGCGCCACGGGCAAAACGGTGCTCAATGTCCAGGTACTGTGCAGAGAATTTATCGGCATCGAGAACTCTCAGCTCTGCTTGGGTATAGTTTTTGCGTAGGTCATCCAAAACAGCGTCCAGATGTCGCTCCGTAACCGGGAACGTTCGGCCTGGGACAGAGAGAACAGGTGCCTCGAATTCCTCGCCGTCAGGCCCGATGTTCTTGAAATAGTTAGCAAACAGCTCGGTGTCCAGCGTAGCGCTCATCAAGGTGATCCTCGGGACCTTGAGTCCCTGCATCAATCGTTCCGCTACCGCTTTCTTCAGGATAGTCAACGTGAAGTCGATGATGCGGTCCCGCTCATGGACCTCGTCGATAATGAGGTGGGATACATGGTCGAAGATGCGGCCGGGATCGGATTGAAGCTGTTGTAGGAGGATACCAGTGGTGGCGTACGTGACGCTGCCACCCTGGCGTGGCAATCGTGCATCAAAACGGACGTGATGTCCCACGTGAGCCTTGAGTTCTGGGCCCATTTCGTCGGCCACTCGACTTGCGACTGAGGTTGCAGCGATTCGGCGTGGTTGGGTGCACATGATGTTGCACTCGGCGCCTTTGCCGCTCTTATAGTACTGCTCCAAGATGATCTGCGGCACTTGGGTCGTCTTTCCGCTGCCCGTGGCGCCAATGATGATGCTGAAGACGTTGTCCTCAACCAGTTGGTAGACCTGTGGCTTGTACTTGTTCATAGGCAATTCAGATTTGATCTTGCGCATCGAGGCCATCTCATCGCTTGCGAGATAGCGATCATACATGCCGGCCAGGCCCTGCGACAGAACCCGCTTCTGCTCTTGACTAAGATGCTGTCGTGTTGAGTATTTATGCTGCTGCTCCGACTCATCAATCGCGGTCAACCTGGCGCCAGCGCCAGCGATGCGCAAGTCTTTCGTCGCCCGCACTGTACGCTGCATCAGGTTCATTGCCAGTTCTGGCACTTCCAGCGTGACAGGCCCAAGTTTCCGCACGATGCGGCCATTGCCCTCCTTCATTGCTGCGGTGAACAGCACCAGCAGTGCCGGCTCTGCTTTGCAGATGTTGATTGCCGAACAAAGAAGGGCGAGATCCGAGGCCAACTGCTTTCCCCTGGCCTGGATTCTAGAGTTCTCCGGGGCACCCGACCGATCCGACTTGGGAAGGACTTGGGCTTCGAAAATGCCACCCGTCTTATCCACACGCAAGTCGAAGTCGTAGGATTTGCGATGCATCTGTAACCACTCATGGAATTTGGATGCAGTGTCGACGGTTAGGCCGTTATGGTCGCCCGCGGCTTGGGTATTGGCTATGTAGCCTTCTGCCGCGGCCTTGAACTTCAGAGCTGCACCGATCTCTGCGCGGTCGACAGAGGTCGCCGACGCCGAGACCTCAATGCCTTGCTCTTCAAGCCGGATATTACAGGTGTACGATTTTGTCTGCATTCGTGTCCTTTTACCAGCCACCATTTGGGGTACGACCAAGTGTCTGGCACAGTAGTTATAGACGTCTTTGATAGCATCCTTCTCTGCGGTCAAGACAGCCGCGCTCAGCTTCTCATGTTGAGGCCACAGCTCTTCCACCAGACCTTCCTTGTGCAACAGCGCCACGATTCGGAGCGCCGCAGCTCTTTCGGCACCTTTCTTGGTTGCGTCCTCTGCCATGGTTCTCATGGTCGTGATGCCAGGCAAAGTCGCAACGGCGGTTGTCTGGAAGCAGCGAGAGCGGGAGCTTTGGATCGTTTTTATTTTGAACGATGCCCCTCTGATGGATCGGAAACGCGAATGTACAACACTGTATGGGGATGCTAGCAGATGCGCAGGCCCTTCGGGCAACTCTTCGGAGAACTCTTCGGAGGAGGGCATGGTGGGCTGGTCTGCAGGTCCAGGACCCTGTGGCTTCTTCGTTACTTTTGCGCGGTCTGATAGTTTTATATGCTTCTTCCGTATATCGCTTCCCGTGCGTCGCTTCCCCTTCTGTGCGGAACTCGTTGTTGCCGTGGCCCTTGCCGCATCGGCCCGGCGCGACTGCTCTCGATTCTTGGAATTCCTGACCGAGGTCGTTGTCCACAGGACAAAATCGTTCTGGGCGGACGACTCTGGACGCTCCCGTAAGGCCGCTGCCTCGCTTTGATGACGCAATGTCATAGCGGCAAACCGAGTGGTTGGAAATACATGAGTCGGCGTGAGGACTGATGGACAGCACCTTATGGTGAGCTGCCTTCGGGCTAATCTCAACATGGTGATATGAAGGAGCGTCGGGCCAATGTGGGAGGAGGGCAACAAGGTTCGCGTTGTTCTATATATTCAGCAAGCATTGTAATATCCTAGAAGAGGAAATAATGGGTCATGACTGGATCATTACCTGATACGCCTTGCTGGTCAAAAGAAAAATTCTAATGTTCCCGTCATGGCCCAGAACATCACCTGCAGAACCCGACAAAATTGCCCGATAAGAAAAGCTGTGATAAGATAACGATAACCTTCCCCTGCATTTCCTTCAACCAAACTCATCAGCGTCCGAGGTGGTCTATCTTGAAGGTATCGAGCGCCCATCATGCCATGGATGACAGGTAAGACTGCGAATTTTTGGATTGCAATGTGCCAATCTGAACTTCTGCTTCATGAATTCCTGCTTGACACTTCAAACCACAGGTTTCATGCACAGAACAATCGCACGTACAAAGCTGCCAGATTGAACTGGGAGTCTCATGACAGCGGCCCTGGGCTCGTGGTTAGCCCTATCATAGTGATTATCATGATGGCTGCAAAGTATAACCTCCTTCGATATAATCCTAGATAACGACGTCTTAATCGTGAGGCTCTCAGATTCCATTTTGGCTGAACCACAAAACATACAAGCATCGGTCAAAGGCACCTCACAAATGGCCACCAAAATCTCCTAGAAAGTACTCCGCTGGTGTACTCGCTTATGATATTTGGAGTACCACCACACAAGGGGCTCGAGGCAGCCTTCTAGTCAGGCAGGCAGAAGCAACGCAAGGCGCCAACCCGCATGTAACCTGATAATAGCAACTTCAGAATTACTGACGAATCGATCATGGTGTCATCCACAACTGTATAACGCTGCTTGAATATACCACGACATCTTGGGTACCGTTTTATATTTGTACTGACATAGCCCCTAAGTGGGAACCCAACTGGGTCATGCTCTTATTCTGAACGTATCCGGGCCCCCCGTCAATCTGCAACTCTAAAACCGTGGTTCATCTCCCGGGTCCAAAGAGGTCTGGACAAATCCACTTGTTCGTTCTGCATGGGCCAGGGTCCCAAATTGAACTTGCCATAGATGAACGATGATGCAATACAACGACTCGTATCTGAATATCAATTAATTCCAGCTTTTAATGGTGGATCATCGCTAATAAGGGGTATTTATCATCCGAGTCCCCCGGCCAGCCGAACCAGCCAAGTACTTAAGCATCGCTCGAGTATAAAGCTTGCGCTGTTACGAGGCCTGTTTCATTTGGAGATCCACTGTTCGCTGATCCTCTAAACCAACATGGCATCCTTCTTTCTTCTCGTTGTGTCAGCGCTTACCAGCTTTGTCTCCGCAGGCCTCTTGGCACCGCGTCAAAACACTACCTTGGTCAACATCACTGCCCTGGAGAAGAATGTGACTCCGAGGTCGGGGTCGGGTGCCGTGAGTGCGGCAGGGACGTTGTCGCCCTTCGGCGAAGTAGGTTTAGGGTGTGGAATCAATTGGCAGGAAACGCAGTCCGTTGGCGGTGAGTACAAACTGCTCGAAGAGGCCAGCGCATATCTCTGACAGCTGGGTTCCAGGAGGATTGCAAGCTGGATCGGACACTTTTGGAATGGGTTCGGGTTTAACTATCACCCCTGACGCTATGAATGTTGGTCTCGGCATCAGTGTCATCCCCGCTGACTTCAACTCGACGTAAGGCTTCCATACGCGTAGCATGGCTTTGGACTCGTGCTAACTTCTAGCCAGTGTCAGTGTTGCAGCTGCGGCCAATGGGACCATCACTCTGGTGTTTGCCTCGACAGGAAATTTCAGCTGTGAAGACACGACCGTAGATGGCATGAAGGCTATGAAATGCACCTCCAAGTAATAGCCCCACAGATGTTGCCCGATACTGGATGAGCAAAGTTGTGGGAACATGTGGCACCAATAACGGAATCGGAGAGGGTTATCTTCTTGTACGTATTTCTTATACATTACCCTGGAAGTAAGTAGCTCTGCTCCAACTTTCTCAGCACAAGACCGAGAATGATTTCACTGAGGAACGTAGCGAATTGCCACACCTATCATGATACGAATTTGACTTTTATATAAAATAATAAAAATAATATTAAATACGCCGTAGGTGTTAACCCTCGGTACCTCTACAAGTACTCCCTTAAGGGGCTATAGATGATATAGCGGGCCCTTAAGCCGCGTCGGGCGGTTATACAGGTAAACTTGTAGCCAAACGACTACTAAACCTCCTGTCCCTCCCTAAGTCTGTGCTACAACCCCTGCCTGAACTACCGATAAGTGTGGTAATGTGGCACTTAAATTCGTCCTCAGGGGTGGGATGCTGCTGATGTGCAGAAGATGCTCGACTATTTTTTGTCGCGACAAGTCGTAGTATCTGCTAATTGGGGTTCTCGTCGAGCGTATACATCTCAACCATACGCTCAAGTGGATAGACCGTAACGTGGTCTAGACGCTCGCAAGAATCGCGGCGAGAGGGCGTGCTGCGCGCCTTCTATCGTGAGGGGACGGGTTCGCCGACGAGCGTTATCGGATAGGCGAGGTCCGATAAGGGGCCGGATTAACGATTCGAATTCTGGACCGGCTGTCGAGTTATATTCCGCCGACGTAGTGCTTGACGGTCGACTGGCTAGGATGCTCGTAATCCTAAACTGCACCAATCTCCCTATTATCGCTAGGTAGGCGAAGTCAACAAGGTGGGCAGCGCGCCGTAAGGGTTGACTAAACCCCCTTGTGTGTCAGCTGCGGGATTCGAACCCGCGACTCGTCACCGACCCAAGTGGGCGAGGCTCAAATCGGGACTTATCTACCAGCGAAGTGACCAACTACACCAGCCGACTATATAAAATATTAAATACGCCGTAGGTGTTAACCCTCGGTACCTCTACAAGTACTCCCTTAAGGGGCTATAGATGATATAGCGGGCCCTTAAGCCGCGTCGGGCGGTTATACAGGTAAACTTGTAGCCAAACGACTACTAAACCTCCTGTCCCTCCCTAAGTCTGTGCTACAACCCCTGCCTGAACTACCGATAAGTGTGGTAATGTGGCACTTAAATTCGTCCTCAGGGGTGGGATGCTGCTGATGTGCAGAAGATGCTCGACTATTTTTTGTCGCGACAAGTCGTAGTATCTGCTAATTGGGGTTCTCGTCGAGCGTATACATCTCAACCATACGCTCAAGTGGATAGACCGTAACGTGGTCTAGACGCTCGCAAGAATCGCGGCGAGAGGGCGTGCTGCGCGCCTTCTATCGTGAGGGGACGGGTTCGCCGACGAGCGTTATCGGATAGGCGAGGTCCGATAAGGGGCCGGATTAACGATTCGAATTCTGGACCGGCTGTCGAGTTATATTCCACCGACGTAGTGCTTGACGGTGGACTGGCTAGGATGCTCGTAATCCTCAACTGCACCAATCTCCCTATTATCGCTAGGTAGGCGAAGTCAACAAGGTGGGCAGCGCGCCGTAAGGGTTGACTAAACCCCCTTGTGTGTCAGCTGCGGGATTCGAACCCGCGACTCGTCACCGACCCAAGTGGGTGAGGCTCAAATCGGGACTTATCTACCAGCGAAGTGACCAACTACGCCAGCCGACTGACTTTTATATAACAGGTTTTCCGTGGTGTCCTTAGTTGACGCTGCATAGGTTCGTCTAAGACCAGGTTTACTATATGGCAGTGTATTTGTTTAAATGCTACTGTCTCGCTATGCTGTGTTTTAACTCGGTAGTTGACTCCTTTGCATGGCTTGCATGGCGGGCACGTACTTTTTCGTAAGCTGGGTGGGACGGCTCCCTAGAATTGCAGGATTCGGGTGGGCCAACGGAGCTAGACCAGGGTGGCATCACAGCTGTCATACATCGTAGGTCAAAGGTATCCCACATCGACTAACCCATCTACCGAGTGCCACAAGGGTGCGAAATCCGATTTCATGACTTTTCATCGATGCTTCCCACCTCAACGTTTCCTCAGGCATTCACACTTTCTGTATTCATCAAGTAACCATCTTCCCCACATCAATCGTTTCCGCAACGCATGCCTTGCACGAAATGATCCTCGAAACAAGTTTGGTTACGCAACTACCATCGGATGGCTGGTTCGAAGGATTCGCAGGCCTCACCGACGGCCACATTTTAGTCACCCGTATCGACCAGCCGGAACTCTACAAGCTGGATGCCGAAGACCCAGATGCAGAGCCGCAACTCCTATACACCTTCTCCAGTACTGATGCCAGTGGGCTCGTCCATTTATGCCCAATTCCAGGTCACGACAACGATTTCTTAGTGCTCTCGGGCAATGTCGACCTCATCAGCGTCAAAGCGGAGAACTACATCGTGTGGCGGGTAACGCTTGGCACGAACAGTGACCCGCCTACAGTGACTCAAGTAGCCCATCTACCTGATGCAGGTCTCGCCCTTGGGCTCGTGGCAGTTTCGCAGCACATGTTACTTGTGTGCGATTCGGCGAAGCATTGCATTTATCGAGTGCATCTGCAAACAGGGAAATGCTCGGTGCTTGTAACCGACCAATCCTTCCAGGCCGCTAGCGCGGAAGATTTTTTTGGCATCAACCGGGTTTGTGTGGTCGGCAGCTATTTGTGGTTCACAAATAGCAGCCGCGGTATCCTGGGTCGTGTGCCTGTCGAGCTGGATGAGGCGGTTGAGGATTGTATCCAAACGACAGGTGCTGTGGAAATTCTGACGGATGATTTGCCTCACTGTGATGGATTGGCTGTGACGCCAGATGAGAAGACTGCCTATACTGCGTGTATGACGGATGGCCGGTTGTGGAGGGTCGATATTGGGAGCGATAGGCAGGCTTCGACAAGTGTTGTCATGGAAAACCTTGTCAACCCAACGGCTGTGGAGTTCGTTCATACTCACGGAATATCCAAACTGTACGTTGTGTGTAGCGGTGAGATACAGTTGGGCTGGAGGAATTCAGATAACTCATCAGCTTCGTGGAGTGAGTTCGCCGACATAAACAACAGTGTGACGGTCACTGTCACAACGGTAGTTGAGAATGTCAAACCCGCTTGACTGGGCATTCAATTTATTTTATTTCACATTCTTTGTTACTGTATCTCCATACTATCAGACCCGACGAATAGGAACTGGTCCACCAACGCATCCTTCATATTATGAATACCATCCAGTAAATCTCATTGTGAGACCGTGTATGAGAAACACGACTGCGAAATAACTTGATACATAGCACCTATTCCTCTCTACGATCGTGAACAAGGATATGCATATTCCTTGCAGCCGCCCTTATGCACCTCACTGGCTTGGCATGGGTTCGGGTTCGTCCGGAAATGCTGCATATGACATATCAGTTCCCAGCAGGCTGGCTACCTCTACGAAAGTAAATGAGCCTATTCCGCCGAATTAGTCAGAGTCGTATGATCCATCAAAAAAAAAAACTTTCAGCTAATTCACAACCGCAGTGCCGTACGATTCGGTGGCGTCGCTCCAGTCCAGTACCACGCCGCTTAGCTGCAGATGTGCCACCTACAGATGAGTTCGGTTCGATTGGTTTTGTTCTGATAGTGCCCTAAACCCTTGCATAAGGACATCCAGCCACATCTTGGCACCACACTGTGACAAACTGGAGACCAATGACACGTTCGATATTCGGACCTACCTGAGTTACTTCCATCGCTTAGTATACTCTGATGAACCCCGAATGCCACAACTGCAATGTTAGGATTGCAACACTGTCTGAGAATCCCTATGTCCACCGACTATGTTGTGGTGTCTGCACCTGCAAGGCTTCTGCGAGGTTTCTCCTTGGGGTCTGCAGCTTATTGTGTATATGTCGGAACTTCAAGTGGCTATACGTGTACTCTCTGGGTCTCGTGCAGTGAATAATGCGGCCCGGTGAAGTCAATGTTTATTCGTGCTGTGATTGTTCAAGGTAGAGTAAGACCGTGCGGTTGCATGATGCCGCAACCGCTCATCGCTCGGGCTGCCGTGTTAACCACTCACGGGGATATCTTTACCGTAGCCCAAGTTTATGTGGGCTCGATGTATGCCTCTTCACTGCTTTCCCCGGACTGTTTCCCTTGCGTGCGAGTCATGTCGACCTTGTACATCATCTACTGTTTCTGCAAGCGTTTCACCAACTAACCCCAGCTTATCCTCGTTTTTCCCTTCCCAGGCGGCATGATTATGGCTTGCCACGCTCTGGATGTAGAACCGTTTTCCAGTCCTACACTTGCTTCGGCCAGCGTGTGCCTGTTTCTTGCCAATATCACATGGACCATGGTCCATGACACCATCTGCGTGAGACCTCGTGGTAGCAGTCAGTCAGGGCCATTCTATTTTCTCTAGACGGACTGGGTTCTGGATAGAGTATATTTCGCGCCGCTGGACACGGCTCGCGCCATGTATATCGTTCTACCAGACGGGGCCGTCTTGGCTGCTGTGCCTGCCGGGACCGTGATCTTGGGTTCGTAAGACTTGGTCGTTCTTCTCAAAAATACTGATCAATAATATATCACCTTGCCTCATAATTGCTAGCCACATCGCAGACTCGCCCGCCAACACGGCCATTTCACAATCACATGCCGGCAACAACCTCTGGCATACTACTATTACAAGCTTATCAGAGATTCAACAGAATCTTAACTTTGATTGTCGAGACAAACAACTTCATCTGACTCGCAATACCATACAAGACCACGACAAGGCCTGAACATATTGACGAAAGAAAGGCGAAACGATCATCCGCAACGTCCTAGCGAAAATGGCCAAGTGGGTGGACCATTTCAAAAGGGTAATAATAATCCCGGACGTTCTCGAGGAATGCGAACCAAATACACGCCGCAATATTTTGGATTGTTTAGAGCGTATCCTGCGATATTCGTCCACCCTTGTTAAGATATTCATCTCTCGTCGTGATGACGATGACGAAGATATAGTTTACAAACTCAAAAGCCAACCAGCCTCGAGCTGTCGTCCAATATCAACTCCAACGACATTAATACATTTGTTAGACCAGATCGTGATTACTAAGGTAGTGATTAAGGCCACAGCTAGGAACAAATGGAGCGGCAAGGAGGTGATGCCACTTCTCCTTGATTAACGAGGAGATCAGGTCGTGATAACTCAGGGAGTAATCGAGGGTGCAACTGGAAATAGAAATTTACAAGCTATTATAGCAATACTCCTAGATGTACGAGGGCGAATGAGCAGAGTACCAAGATGAATGCCCAAAGTGGACGTTTCGGGAGTGCCTTACGAACTGCTTTACTTAACGGACACGATGAGATAGTCTAGGTACTTCTTAATAGGGGCGTCGACATATCTGTGACGGCGAAGGATGGGTGGACGTCACCCACTTATCTTCATACAAGGGGTAAATCGAAGTCGTCAAGCAGTTATTGGGAGTAGATTCGCCAATGGTGTCATTACCTACTCGGATAAATCTGGTGATCATAGCAGAGAACTCTCCATCAGCGGCAGTCTTATCAACCTCCTAGATACCTGTGGGAGAACGCCATTACGCCTTGCAGTCATCGCCGGCAACACTGATAATGCCCAAGCTCTCCTTGGTCACGATGGCATGGACCCAAATGCAGGCGACAAGCATTTTCGAACGGCACTTTCCTAGGCTGCCGGAAAGGGCCATGAGGCCGTGGTGGAGCTCCTTATTAAGGACGTCCGGGTGAACAGCAATTTGCCCGACTATGCTGGTTGGACGCCGCTACTGGGGGGGTTAAAGAGGCATCATGGGATAGTTGTGAGGCAACTTCTCGCTGGTTGACATCACGAAGGCCTCTGTAGCGATGAGCTTGTGACTTATTGCTCAGTATACGGCTAGCTCGCCCTGCTTACGAAAATCCCTTCGACATTCAACCCCATACTGTCCTTAGCTATAACCCCGTCGTTACAGCACCGCGTTACCAATGCGCATACCTGCGGACTCGTACTAGAAGAAGTACAATATAGAGGCTTTTACTTGAATGTACCACTCTTCGTCTCGTCCTGGGAAAACCACGGATGTAGTAGAACTTCCGCAGGCGAGGGTCTCGCCGCAGGATCGTACTGTAAGATCCATCGAATAAGTGTCTTCACTTGGTGAGCTTCTTGCTCCTCCAGATCTGGGCCAGCCTTATCAAACAACTCCTCCACCATAAGCGGCTCCGCCCCCTCTGCCACCCCCCGAGCGCACAATTGAAGAGTTTCCCTTCGGGGGTAAAGTACAATGACGAATTCTTCCACTCCCGATAGAGCTTGTCGGGGAGGGCACCGAGACAGGCAGTAAGGGAAAGGAGATGGTCGTCATCTTGGTAGGATTCCGAATCATACCACGGTACGCAAATAAGGGGCTGTCCGGTAACAATCTGGAAAGTGAGGCAACCGAAACTCCATATGTCAATGGTTCTGTGAACCTCTCCTGTCAGAATCAACTCAGGAGGTCGAAGCCCGAGTGGGGTAACCGGCTTCTTCGGAGGGTCCGTGAAGAAAAACGCTATTCAGAGCAAGCAGACGTAAGTAAACATACTATGAAGAGTACTTTTACGTAGAAGTGATCACACCGGGATATACTAACCTCCACCCATATCGGCGAGTTTAATCTTGAAGCCTTGGTTGCAAGGCGTGGAAGGCACTAAGGGTTTCGCGATGCAGAGATACCGAGGAGCCCATTTATCTTGCTTACCATCCAGCCTTTGTACGGGCGCGGAGATTGAATTGCTTGTGCATCTTCTTTCTGCCGCAACTCGCCCTCGGGCTTCGAGTCGATGTTGTCAAGACCGAAGAATATGTTCCCCGGCTGGAAGCCTCCGTGAGCTATACCATACTCATGTAGAACTTTCAGGGCCTGAAGAGACTGTTTGAGGATGTTCTTTGCCATCTGAGGCGGGTAGCGTACCTTCATTCCCCACTTGCGAGGTTTGAACTGAGGTAGCTCTTCGACCATGGTATTCACACTCGGACCCATAGGCTCGAATACCAGACATTTATGGACGCCATTAGGGCCACAGTGTTCGAAATAATCTACAAGCTGCGTGATGTGTTGGGAACCCTCTGTTGGTGCATTTTGCGTGATGTAGCGCAAGATTTGCAGCTCGGAAGTCGCTTCCGAACTTCCGACCAATATCTTTATTGCGACGTATTTACTGGTCCTCAGGGGACCTTAGCAAAGCGTATCGATGGCGTCACCGGCAGATCGCTTACCACAGATCTCGGGCCAGCCAAACCGTTGAGTAGGAGCCCTCGCCGAGCTTCCGCAGGATCTTGTACTGGCCATTTTTGAAAACATCACCCAGATGAACAGGGTGGTAGCCTCCCGGCTGATAATCCTCGATCCATTCACAAGGTGATGTCATCTTTTTAAATCGCCATTCGCGATCATCTGGAGCACTTGATGGCGGCGTAGGAGGGGGAGAGGTTTGCATACTTGTGGTGGGGATGCCTTGTGCAAAAGTTGCCAGTGGGAATATTTTGTAAGAAAGTTAGAATCGCGAGGGGAAGGCTTGCATAAGGGAGCCCGGAAAAGCAAGTGAGAATGTCGAGTATGCATTTATAGGCCCATAACGGTGCCGCCGCCTGGAACTTGCTGCAAGAAAAAGTTGCGTCTCGACGCGTGACGTTGGGCGTGCGCGAACCATGTAGTGTAGATTCTGACACGTGACCACTGCACTCAAAAAGGATTTTTTCCTGGGCTGAAGGGCATTACACTAGAATGACGGGCGAGATATCATTATTTGGAACAGTTTCGGTCATGAGGGACAGCAGCTTCGCTCTCTGTCTCAACATACTCGTTACTATGGGAAATTTAGGGGAGTTTGGCAGACTGGTTATTGACTGGGTTAAGGCAAAAGTTGGAATGAGCGTGGATATGCCTAGGTGACACTTTGATGTATGAGTAGAAGCTACCGCTACTTGACAACTTGGGATATTTTTCTCGGTATAGCATTACACAGTGAATTTTTCTCCTTATGAAGCAAGATGTTGTTCACTTCTCTCTTTGCCGTTTAGCGCTGTGAAGTTATCTTGGTGAACCAAGTGACAATAATGTTTCTTATCCCTCTCGTCGATCACTGGATAATCAACCGTACATCTTTATGGGATTATGGTGATGTAAGATGAAGAAGGTAAGGATTTGAGGGCGCAAAGGAGCAAGGGTGAGTTGTTACTAGGTTTGATAGGTGGAACTACATGGGTATTGAGAAGCTGGCGTTTTCGATTTTCGGTACCATAAGCACCTGCTAATCCTGTGGATTAATATATTAAAGAAAGAAGCTTTTCCAAATGGTGTGAGATGAGAACAAGGATGTGGAGATAGTATCCAAAGCAGTAGTCGACGTTGACATGGTCTAAATGCACATTCTTCGATGCATAATTTCATTCTTCTGGCAAGGCCAATGACCGCAGGATAGGAAACGGCTCCTACCAGGTCGGGTCTGACTTGGGTCTCTCGCTGGGATTCTATGCCCATGCCTGCGGGTAATTGCCCTTTCTCTGTGGGCTATGCTTGGTTTGATGGAGCTTGAGGTGCCTGTTAGTTGTGCTTTTTGGTTCAAGATGGACTTTTGGGATTATTGGTGGAAGCATTTCGGCTGGGTTCTTTGCGCACTACATGCGTTGACAGATCTAGACACCATAAGTCTTTCTTGATAACACTGTTTCTGGTTTTCTTCGGCAAGACAAACAGTCATATTGTATGTTTATGCAATATGTTTCGGTGGTTGGGAGGCAAAGGTCACATGTTTTCTATATTTCATTCCTCTCCCAGACAGAGAAAACTGCATGGCTACTCACTCCGGGGTTTGTAGGAAATTTTGACGACATCCACCTCTATATTAGTCGACCGTATTCCGCAATGTTGTGCTTAAACTACTCAAAGAGGTATGCATACAATAGGTTCGTGTTCATCGTATTTACCCCTCTTTATTATGATTGAAGAACTATAAACCTTCATTAGTAATGAGTATTAAGTATATGATTCAAACTAGGGATCCTTTGAATCCAGGAACAAACACCATTTGATTCTTTCCCTTTTTTTCTCCTATACGCTACCTGGAGCACCACAGTGTATCCTTTGCTTCCAATTTGATTTAAAAACCGGCTGTGGTTTATAGTAACGGTTAGGCCGGTCTTGAGAATAGCACCAACGGACTCACTATTGGCTTCCTATCAAGCCAATTTGATTTTATGTCGCCACTCCTGTCTCTATTTAACAAATATCATGTGCCAGTTAACTTCCTCCCTTATTCATAGCTCACAGCGAGTCCAAGCTACTAAGGCTTCGGGTGATGACTCATGGAATCGCTAAGAAGCATTCTCAAATCCTTCGTCTTCAAGAATTTGTGGGAGCTTGTCAACCTATCTGCACGAGGCATTTAGTTGGCATTAACCATTTGGATAAAACAATGGGATGTAAATTCATGTGTAGTCCCCTCCATGCCTCAACCTCTCGAAGACAGTGTTTATGTGGGTGGATTCCGCAGCCAACGATCCAGCAGTAAGGATTTTGTGGTGCCCAAAGACATCAGTTCGTCCCGCTGTAGATAACTTACCGGCTTTGGCGAACAGCGCTAGCTCTGGAGGAATAGAAAAGTCCAAACAAGTATGGGTAATACAGGAAACAGGGTTATATTGGTGATGATGATGGGACTATGTGCGAAAGGCTGCAGCTACGGAAGGGCGATCTAAGGGCAATGGGCCCAAGCGCTGCACCCAGCACAACAGGCGGTGTGCTTGGGACACGCAATATTAAGTGATGGATACGTGCTAAGCGATTTGTGGATGTGACGAATGATCTTGTAGCGCCGATCCGTGTCCCTCCCTACCGAGATCACTACACACAAATGAGCGACATCAAAAAAGCCAATTAGTTCAGATCTTGCTATTGTTGAATTCGAACCATGTTGTCTGATTGCTCTACCCAAACTAAGAATCGAAGTGATCTAGAGTGAATCGAGATGAATTAGAATGAACACCAAATTTGATGTTGTGGTCACTTCACGCCACGGTAGAAGAATCACCAAAGCGCCCGTGGAAAGGTCCAATACCCACTGTGGCGATTGGCCAGGACCCATGCATGCTTACGCAGCAGCTTTACACAAGCACTCCTAGTAGATAGGCATGCTTCTTGATGGAGCCCCTTGCCTTAGACGTGTATCAAGCCTTTCTTTGTTGGCACCATGAAAAAATACAGGACTATTCCGTAACTTCCGTATGTTGGTGAAGTTGGCGAGTTCTTTGTTTTCATGCAGATGATTTCCCGCAAGCCATCACCTAACACCTGTGGCTTTGCTGTCCTGAATTTGCTGAGATGACCATCAGCATCGCAATAATTGTGTGTTTCCTTGTTGACACTAGGGTCAATGGTCTACCATTCTGCATATGGATTATTCCTCCCGAATTTTCTTCAAAGCCATATTGATACGTGACCCCATGGGGGGATACCCTGTAGCTATAGATAAGATAGATAAGATAAGAGCTATAAAAGAGCTCTGCCAGGCCAGAATAGCTGACCTGGCCATCCTTTCCCAATACAATAATTCACACCCCATATGCACTCGCATCACATATGATTACTAATTTTACAAAAGGTTCATCAAAAAGGGGGGATTCATAAAAGAATGCCTCATCTTACTTGCTCGAGCACGAGATTCTGCTCCTACACGTACGGTTAGGGAAGCCTTTCTCAACATCGAGATGGAAGAAGGAAGAACCCACAATGGAAACCAAAATCTATTCTCTGCTCTAGCCATGTGCAAATAATGAAGTTCTTATACTCACTTGGCCGTACACTACCAAAACGACATGCTAAGTTTGGTACAACTACCACTAAAGCTTTCATGTCCATTCCGAGGCATAGCTTATCGCCTGAAGCCTATATCTCAAGTTAGTATAGTACACAATTTACCATTGCCCAAGAGTTCCTCGTCATATCCGCCCAGCTCTGGGAAAGTATCGTTCTGGAGATAACGTAGCGGGAGGACACTATCAAGTGAATATGCTTGTGGTAACACAACACCTTGCTCCATATTTGTGAGGCGATGGAATTTCATTGTCGGGTAAGTCCAGCTCGGGGTAATTGTGCTTGTACAGAGCGCTTTGCAACGCTGCTGCCTCGGCCAAGATATACTCCAGCACATCTTGACCCGTTTCGTCAATATCACTGTAGTGATCTGGACAAGCCGACAACATTGCGTCTTTCTTGAATGGGTTGGAAGGATTCATGTCTGCAATGAGCTGATCAAGGTAATCACCAGTCTCTCGGGACCGGTAGGGATAACCTATCAATGGCATGGGTTGCATGGGATCTGGGGAAGGCGCTCGAGAAGGGAAATTCAGTACAGGGAAGGTTCCCTTTGGCAGAGGCGAATTGCAACCCTGCTGGCTAACATCCGGCTGTGGCTGACTCGATCTCTGTCCAGCCGCAGTATTTGGTGCCACGTCCCCCGGAACAAGGGTTATTAGCTCATGGATCAACTGGGCCTCCTGATCATTCTTCGCTTCGAGGTCGTTACGAGCAGTGTTGAAAGTCTGTCGACTCTGAACCTCCCACGTAAATCTTTGGGGTCGGCGTCTATCCAATCCTCTTCTAAAGGCATCATTGCGCATGGCTTTGTTGAGCTCAAGCCGGCCCTTTCGCAACTTCTCGTCTGGCTCATTGGATAGTTTACCCTTCAAGTTCCAGATCTTAAGGATATAGGCCTTAGTCTCCTTAGATGTAAGTGGGCGAAGGGCACCATCGTTGAGCTTCTCAGGTTGGCGCCAAGGTGCGTCCTGGAAGTCTATGAGGCAATTTCGTGATGCCATGGCGAGTTCTGTGTTACGAAGCTGGTAATGTCTCTGAATACTTTTGTTGAGTGCAAGTTTGAGATGAGAGAGCTAGATTTAGTGAAAATATTGGCACCTCTAGAATACTACTTGTGTATAAGTGCATGCATTTTCCCTCAGGCTATTGATTGCTTATGAGTACATTAGGGAAACTATTTCCATTGTTACTGCCTAATTCTAAACAAATAAATTGTATTGGCTTTGTTCTCTTCGCATGATTCCCTTGTGATAGGATTATCAACTTAAAACTGGCGTTGATCTGCAACATGATGCTAGGCAGGCTTTGCGATTTGCAACGACTCACCAATGATACAGGATGTGGGCATGGAAACCACGGTATACAGGAGCCTACGAGAAAGACATTACACAAAGACAGAAGATGGGCGTGTTGAACTAGCAGATCATTGCTACTACTGACCAATACTGCTCTCAGGAAATATGTCAGCATGCCAATGACTATAGCATATGTTTTAAGTTTTACTATGTTGTTGCTTGAAGCCTTGAACCTGGCCGGGCAAAGCCTGTCCTAGCCCTACTGTCTTGGTTTTCCTTGCTTTCACCACCTTGAAGTTGGAAAAACTTCAAGCGTCTCCATTGGCGGTTCCCGAAAGCTGCCTTTACCCGCAAATGACTCTCGTCAGTATTGCGAGCCCTCATTCGTCCAAAAGAAGACATGCATCTGTTCCAGCGTTACTTCGGGAAAATGAAGTGTCAAGAAATCTTACCTGTCGCACATATATCCTTTAAATATTCGGGGATATTCAAATACTTCCAGGTATAGAGAAATCATGCAGAGGATAGAGATGTCAGAGAACAGAATGCCATAGGCACCAGTGGGTGTCAGGACACTGAACGCAGGACACCGGCGGGCCGCCGGAGGGGTGTTTCGGACAAAAGACTCCCGAATCATGATTACAATCTATGTGAAGCTTTGGGATGACGAGAGTCAAGATCCTTGGCATCGCCGACCCTGCTGTTATGCCGGGTCCAAGCGGCGGCCTAGCTATCTATATAAGGACCATCTCGAAGTAGGATAGGGAAGGAGCAGAGATCAATGCATCACCGTGGGCACCCCTACCTGAGACCGCCAGTGACCACCCGGTGCTACGTAGGAGGGACGCCCGTTACTCCCCATCACTCTGTACTATTGCCTTCGGCCTAGCCGTACCCTGACAAGAGATTACTCTGTATCGCAAAATCTGTATAATCTGATAAAACCCTATCAAGCCGGAATCATCTGTCTTCGTGGCGACAACGGATCCTTCGACTTCCCGCAAACATTCTGCATCCCGCGTTTGAGGGGCTAGAGATCCGCGCGCCCCAGGGCGAGGCGGATCTCATGGTCGAATATAATGCTCTGTCCGGTAGCTGGGGCTGTGGCGAGACTTTGCAATCAGTCACATGCAATGACATCGTATTTCCGATTACTGAGAATCTCATCCAAGCAGTGCGGGCGATCCGGCGCCCGATGATCATGTTCAATAAAACTCAGTGGATGCAATCTGTATCAATCAAAGCGACAATGAGGAGAAGGGTGAGCAAGTATGGAACATGCTGGCGATCTGCCAGGAAGATCCACCATGGTGATTGCTTGGCTGAGTACCGCACAACAGGACTTAGAAACCGATATGGGTGTCGAGTCCGGAACCAGTTGATTTCTTCTCGCCGGCGGTTTTAGATCTAGATACGTCTGGAAGGCGCAGAGAGATCACATTTAACAGAACATTGCCCATCCACAGGGATGTCATCGCCGCCCATGAAAATATTCTGGCGTTTATCTCCCACAACCCTCTCAAAAGCAGATGCCAGAATACGGCAAAAGATATGACGCAATGAAACGTCGAGACACCTTTCGAGGCATCAAACCCCCTCAACGCAGCCTCTCTCACCTCGACAGGCACCTCCATCAACTTTGAGAGAGAGCCTCATCCTTCTGCTCCGCTAAGGTTGCCTCGGCATCTGCGCCACCTGAAGGTCCGGTGCCTTGGCCTTGTTCTTGTGCCTCAGGTTGCATCTGCCATTCTCTGTAGGTGCAAGACTCGCGAAAACTTGGGCTAAGGCCTATATTTTCGTGATAACATAGTGGGGACTCGGGTTCTTGTCCCCTTTTGAGAAATAGGAGCGTCCAGAAAAGCGCCTCAGCCCACGAGATGCAGGCGATGTACACCCCTGCCCAAAACTTGATCCAAAAGAGGGCAAGATCCTTAGTCATGAGCAACGTCAAGGTGTTCAAGTATCAGCATCCGAATATTAGGACAGCCCGGCGTGCAGCGAGACGGAGTGCGATTCGAATTTTGAATATGTCGTGGGTGTTCTTGCATATCAGGCGTACAGGTCAAGTCTCTGCTACTCAATCTCTCGCCTCTGTGATGGATGATGTAGCGAGATATAACTAACAAGACATTTGCTTTAAGCAAGAACTAATGCGGTCAAAGACACGCGACTGTTAGGCAAACTTCTACAACACTATTTACTTTCATTCCAAAAGATAGCCACTCAACTATGCGTACCTGTGCTTGAACCAGACGATATGAGGCGTTGCTCCGCCGCATATTCCTTCCAAGTAACAACCGATTGGTACCAGCGAACGACTCAATACGACGGCAAAAAGGAACATCCCGTTGCATTCCACCATGGTCAGGTTCCAGGCCCATGATGCGGACACAGCTGAGGCATACGCGATTTACAAAAACCACCATGAGAAGAATCGCCGGACAACCCATCACTATATGTTGATTCTGCCCTTTTTTCCTGTGGCACATTGGTCCTTTAGATCCAGCTATTGCAGTTTCCTGCAGTGGCGAGACGTTACCCAGAATGGCCCGATATTTCGGAGGGAATGTGAACAGCGCGGTAGCGGGGCTTCGAGAAACATTGCTGACCAACTGGCTGACGCTTATGTATTTTCCCTGACCATGTTGTTTCGATAACAATGATTGGAGCGCATTATAGTGGGTTATCTACCGGGCTACATTGACTATTTCTCTTGGTGAGCTGACGAATGCCGGGATTTGAATAAGCAACTTCAGGCAAGAGCCGACGTGGTAGCAAATATGAGACGCAGGGAGATAGTCGGACTAGATTAACACAGACGAATGGTGTGACGGTACTCCAGTGCGGCTAGATGATTCACATGTGTCAGAGACACTGAACGCAGGACACCGGTAGGGTGCCGGTGGGGTGTTTCGGACAAAAGCCTCCCCAGTCATGATTACAATCTATGTGAAGTTTCGGGATGCCGAGAGTCAGGATTCCCGGCATCGCCAAACCTGCGGCTACGCCGGGTCCAAGCGGCGGCCCAGCTATCTATATAAGGACCATCTCGAAGTAGGATAGGGAAGGAGTAGAGATCAATGAATCATCGTGGGCACCCCTACCTGAGACCGCCAGTGACCACCCGGTGCTACGTAGGAGGGACGCCCATTACTCCCCATCACTCTGTACTATTGCCTTCGGCCTAGCCGTACCCTGACAACATGAATCTTGCGCTCCACTTAGGAGGTGACACTGGAACTTGTCGTCAAGGTGTTCACTTACTTGAGTACCACCTGGATAGGATGAGCTGTCATAACTCGCAGTATATGTCAAAACTATAGTAAAACGCTATCAGCCAAACACGAACATGGGCTAGTTACTATAGAGGTATTAATAAAACAAGTTTCTGGATTGCCGATCAAGCCGAAAAGAGGAGCTGTGAGCACAGTGTGCATTACGCTCAAGCGAGCAGTCTGACATAAAAGTCGGCCACCACGACCTGAGGCATGATGCAGAAGATGAACTGATCTATGTAAGCATATGATAATCTAAAGATTAACTAGACAAGGGAAATTCCCACTTGCGGCGAGTGCCACCATGTACGAACATAACATGCCAACTTGAGCGCGCCAAGATCCAAAGGAGCTCACTCGTGGAAGACACGATCGACGGACAATATCGCATTGTCATATTCGAGGTGGAATTTTAGGAAGCTGCATACTGCACCCCAGACATGCCCTTGACTCCCACACCCACACCACGTGTTGCCACGGTCCTTGGAAGTTCTGGGAAGTCCTTGCCACCATTGGTGGAAAATGCACGGGCATCAACCGTGATTTGGTCCTTCCAATTACCGGCATCGTCGCCCCACAAACGATCTGAACAGGGGGTAGATGACCCCGGTGTTTCTCAACCTCCATCCACTTCATCCTTTGAGTTCGTCGCCGTCGTCCGTCATCACGACTACCCCTCGCTGGTGAAGTGTGTCACACAATGGCAACATGTCTGTAAGGTCACAGAATCACCACACCACACCCCCTTTTTGGAAATTGTCAGCCATTCGGATGGATGTCAAAGACAAGATTGTCGGTCCACCTTGCGCCGGCGGCCGAATGTTGGGGGTCCACGGGACCAGGATGGTGCCGAAGGAATGGCGCCGCCCCTGAATAATTTACATCAGCTCCCAAAACGTGACGATCTCATAGGCGCAAAATGGTCCCCAAATCTCGCCGCCTGGGTGGACTTCTGTTTACACTTTAGACAACCCCCGCTCTCGGGTTCCAAATAAACAATGTTTCGATGCTGCTTCCGGAAGTCATCTAGAATAGGAAACGGACTCTACGTCCAGGCCGCCGGGCACGGCTGAGCGGTCTTGCTAGCAACAAGGCGAGGGTTTCTATACATAGGCCGGCCCGCCGCCGATCAGGACCCAGACTCCTTCGAGTCCAGCACCGGGACACTTGAGCTCACATTCGTTTTGAAGGTTCAAGATGTTTTTCGCCGTTCTCTTCACCTTCCTTTTCGCCTGGACCTCGTCGGTTCTGGGCATCACTGTCACGACTGCCACGGCGTCGTACACCATCAACACCGAAAGCAGCTATGGCATGACCGTGGTTATCAGTCGGTCGACCTGCGACGTTACGTCGATGAAGTTCATGGGCACTGAGTACCAGTACTCGGGCACCTATAGCCAGATCGCTTCTGGCTTGGGATCTGCCACTGTCTCTTACACCACCAGTGGTAAGTATCTCAATTCAAGACTGCTGTGGACTAGCTAACGGGCGGTTCCTAGGAAACTACGTGATCATCAAGTGCGTCGCGAACAATGACGCGTTCGACCTCACCCACTACATGGTGTTCGAGGATGCTTCCAACGCCATCTACATGGGTACCTACACCGCATCGGAGCCTACGGTCGGAGAGTTGCGCTACATCTACCGTCTCACTGGCCTGACCGATGCCTATCCCTACGGCGATGTTTCCGACATCACCGGAGGCACTGCCATCGAAGGCAGCGACGTTTACCTCGTTGACGGCGAGACTCGCAGCAAGGTCAGCAGCAGATGTGCACGTACATGATACATAAGAACCACGGCTGACAACATCTTAGTTCTACTCGTCCGAGCGCTTCATCGACGACGCCGTGTACTGTGCGACTAATAGCGGTGCTTCCGTGCACGCTTGCTTCATCCGCCCCAACAACCAGGCGACGGAGAAGAGCTCGGGTGGACCCTTCTTCCGCGACATCAACCTCAACGAGGTCGGCAGCTACCAGTCGTTGACGTACTACATGAACTCGAACCACGCGCAAACCGAGGCCTACCGCCAGGGCTTCCATGGCCCCTATGTCTTCCAGTTCACCCGCACGGGTGTCCCCAAGGCGAGCGACTTCGACGTTTCCTTCTTCGACAACCTCGGCCTGACAGGCTACGTCGGCGCTTCGGGACGTGGCTACGTCAAGGGCACGGCGTCGGGCGTTTCGTCCAGCTTCCCCATCGTGGTGCACTGGTACAACGCCAACTACCAAAGCTGGGTCTACGCCTCGTCCTCAGGCTCCTTCACCTCACCCGCCCTCGTTGCCGGTACCTACACGATGAAGCTGTACCAAGACGAGTTCCTCGCTGCGACGTCCACCGTTACCGTCCAGTCCGGCGCCACGGTCACGGCCAACATCGCCGCCACCAACACGATCCTCACCTCGTCGCACACGACCATCTTCAAGATGGGCGACTACGACGGCCAGCCGACGGGCTTCCTCAACGCCGCCAACCAGCTGCGCATGCACCCCTCGGACTCCCGCATGTCCTCGTGGAGTCCCGGGACCATCGCCTCGACCGCCGCCTCGTCCTTCCCCATGGCCATCTTCAAGTCGGTTAACAACGGTCAGGTCATCTCCTTCTCGCTGTCGAGCGCCATCAGCTCTACTGCCACCCTGCGCATGGCCACTACCCTGGCTTTTGCCGGAGGTCGGCCTCAGGCTATCGTCAACGGGTACACGTGCTCTGCGCCTGCGGCCCCGACAGCGATTGATAGCCGTGGTGTCACCAGGGGTGCGTACCGCGGCCTGGGAGAGGTTTATGATTGTAGTATTCCGAGTGGGAACTTGAAGAGTGGTACTAACACGGTGACTATCAATATCATTTCGGGAAGCAGTGGTGATGAGTTCTTGAGCCCCAATGTCGTAAGTACTATCCTGACTCTCTTCAAAGTACCGCCAATGCATTCGTGCTAATTCCTATTTAGATCTTCGATGCCATAGAGCTATTCTACTAGGCCCTGCATGGTATGGATACCAGGGGAAGGTTATTGATCTTTAGTGTATATACGTTCCATTGGCACAACTTCTTCGTAGGATTTCTTCCTTGATTTTCAGAAGGTCTTCATATTCGGTGTATATGAGCATATGAACCTGATTTCGCCATCGTATATAGTTTCTTGCTATGCCATTTCGTAATGGTCACTTTGGACTCCTTATTGCTGTGATTGTATATCATTTGGCGCTACACTTGCCGCAGTGGGGTTTATATGGGGTTCTCCCTTTTCAAAATCCTTCCCCATTTCAATCACCTGTGCCCCTCAAGGACCGGTGCTGATGTGATCTCATACGAGATTATGATTCTTGTATACCTTCTCACTACGATCCATCGTAGGCAAGATAGATGAGTCGGGTTGAAAATGCCTCAATTTGAGTTGTGAAGCGTATATCCGTATGCTCCGTGCGTACGTTAACTGTACAACTCCTATTTAGCAACTACGTGTGGCGTAGTTGGGATGATACAAATAGAGAGAAACCCAAAATATAACAAATGAACAATGCCCTGTTTGAACGGCACCACAATTATCCGTCCCAGTGCGTGCCCTGGTATCTCGTAACAAAAACGTCCGATAATCTTAAACCAGTTGGTGAATAGCCTGCTCGATACCAGCAACAGCGACTCCAACTCCAGCGACAATCCAGAACCACTTGTTCTCCAGAACATCAGCTTTCGGCCAGACCGAGTTGTGGCTCTGCTTAAACTTCTCGAAGTCGGCATGCTTCTCGACGCTCGACTGGGAATATCTTCGCGTCTGGTGCTTCTCAGTCTGCTTGTCTCCGCCAATGTAGCGCAAGAACAAGTAATTGGCGATACCGCCGAGGACCTCGATAGGAGCTAGCATATCCGATCCGTAAAGGAGTAGGGGGAAGGACAGATGAACCAAGATGTCACCCAGGTAGCTGTCCACAAGGTTAACGCAAGTTCGAAGACTGGCTTCAAATCAGGTGATTGACTTACTTTGGATGTCGAACCAAACTCCAAACACCATGCTTGCACAAAGCCGTCTTATCCTTCTCCGTCCTCTTGAATCGGTCAAGCTGCACATCCGCCAAAACCTCCAGCGCAAAACCAGCTGAGAACAAGCCCACAGCACACGCCTGCAGAAGCGGATGATACCCCGTCAGAACCGCACCCTGGTGGTGAAACGGTGCCGTAACTGGCAACGTAACAATAGTCTGTACCAGCGCCTCCGGCAAGAAAAGCGTGAAAAGCGCCTTGTTCCAGAACCCCTCCTCGCTCTTCTCAACCTCGTACCGCGGATCATCATCGCCCCTTCCTTCGCGTCTGCGCTGAATGCTGCGGCTCGCAATTCTATAGAGCAGTCTCCCGCCCCAGAGCGTAACGCCTGTTAGCAGCAACCTCTCAGGCCTTGACATCAACGCCAGAGCCTGGCTCAGGGTCAGACCCCGGTAGACTTTCCGGCCGATGGCACTCCACCAGCCGTTGATGACCGGGCCGACGGGCCATAGCCAGTCCTTGGCCTCAACGCTGTTGGTGGCTCTGCCGACGCCGTACGCTACAAGGGCTAGAGAGCCGTGCAGGGAGAGGCTGGGGAGGAGGGTATCTCTGAAGATCCCCACGTCGAGGAGTTCGCGCTGCCATGAGTGATGGTCAGAGATAGTGGACGGGGAGACGGGGGATTCGAGGGGAGGTATGCCAGAGGCGTTGTAGAGCCGGCCTGGGCGGCCGGGTTGGGTACTCTCGAAGTAGTGCATGGGTATCTTAGGTGGGACAATGGACTCAATGGTTGATTTGATATCCAGCCAGAATGACTGGTGAGTTGACTTGAGTTAGATCTGGACGGAGATGGTAGAATTCGTGGGGAGGGGTTATCACATCCAGCGTGTTGCTGGTGTCGGATCAGATGACATGACATCACACCTGGTGCGGAGAAGTTGACGTCAGGGGCCCAGACCGATGTGATTGCCAAATTTACAGTATGGTTACAAACGGAAACTCAAATCAAACGTATAATCTCAAGGCATCTACATGATCACGAAGCTTGGTTCTCATAGCTTTGGTTTGGATAATGTGGAGATAACGACTTATACATGCAAATATCGCTAACCGTTCACCCAATCGTAGCCCTTGGTCTAGGCCGCTAGCGAATGGGTTACCAGGGTCCTCTGGACAGGGCCCCGATTTCGTTAGCTTGGTGCTTGTCAAGAAGGGACCAATGCGCCGACTGAGATGGTGAAGAATGGATAGTTTTATGAAGGGAAGGGGAGAAGCTGTAGAGGTAAGGCATGAGAGTGAGTTTCGTATGTATCTGCCCTTGCTCTGGACTGTGCCCATGGTAACATATGAAGACACTCGTAGTCAACAAAGTAGAGGTCAGAGGATATCAGCCTACAATGAACCACCTATATGCAGTGAGTAATTTTCGACATTGGATCGTGCGACAAAAGCAATGTCTCATCCAAGGCTTACTTTCTCGGTTTTGGTAGCATCATGTTTGTTGAGAGGGGAACAAATCTCATCATTGAATTCCCATGATAATCTAGACGCCCATCTATGCTCCCTCGGCCCAACCTTCTCTTGACGCTGACGCTGACGCTATCCTTGTGGTATCTCTCTATAAGCAAAGTGATGGCCCTATATTACATTACGCAAAATACAAATGCAATTCCACTCCATGCTCGCAGTGACAGTCCCACATGACAATGCCTTGACCATCCCACCACCGAAACCGAACTAGGAACAGGCACCCAGCACACTTATATCCTAGTATTATTCGAATGCTGCATCTCTGCCGGATCTCGATTTCGATATCGGCTCGGCGGGGGCCTCTTCTTGAGTTTCGTCGGGGTCCTCGTCTTCGCCGGCCGGGTCGGCTCCCTGCGAACCGCACTACCACCCGACTCCCTCCTCAGCCCTACTGCCCCTGCCCCAAGCTCCCTCACCGATCCCCGCCTGGATGGCTCCCTCGTTCCCCATGCCACTGGAGGCTGCCACATCACCCTCTCATACCTCTGCGGTGATTGCGCCTCCCTCAACAATGCAACCGGCTTCACCGGCCTGGGAGGCGCCAACACCCCAGCGCCTGGTGGCCTAGGATTACTATCCACCATCGTAGCAGACAGTAACATGGGTCCCTTGGCGCTCTTCTCCGGACTACTAACGATTCGGATCGGCATTTGGACCGCGACGTCCGGCTTCTCCGCGTACCGCACGGTAGACAGTCTGGATCTTCTTGCGGAACTCGAGATGCTAGAGCTCGGCGTCGCTCTCCTGTGTTTTCGCACTGGACCACCTGATGAGGGGACTGACGTCTGAGATGAGACAGCCGAGTTCGTCGAATAGCGTGATGATGAGGCATAACTAGAAGGAGCCACAGTCGAAGCGCCGCCCGCCATTGAATTCTCCGTCAGGGCCAGCACGCCGGCTTGCTGCGTGACGTGGTTCCACTCCTTGCGCCGACCTCGAGGTTTATACGTCGGCTCCGGAGGCGACGTCGGGACAGCAGGGACAGGGGGCAAATCGTGCGCATCCATAATTGGTGAGCTAGCCATGAGTTCCGTCTTCGCATCATCATCGTCCTCTGGTTCCCGGACGACGGTGATAGGCTTCGGCTTCTGCTTGCTGGTTTCACGCAGCTTCTGACTTACCAGGGTGCTGGAGGCCGAAGCGCCGGAGCGGCTCCTCCGCAGCGAGGCGCGACGGGACACGCTGAGGTCTGCCTCCAGGTCGTCGTTGGCGAAGGTGCTCTCACGGCAGGTTAGCAGGGAGCTGTGCGAGAAGCCCGTCGTGGCGAAGGGGTTGGGGTTCCGCTCGATTTTGCAGGAGATGAGTATGAAAGAGAATCTGCGGTACACATTCCATCATTAGCAGCAAATTCACACGACAATACAACAATGTAATAGTCAAATCTAGGAGAATGAAATACGTACACCGCTCCACAGCAAACCAATAGGTTAAGATATGGCACCCGGCCCGCGAATCCCTCGAGTGGCATTGCCTTTGCAATCATAACCGCCGTCGCTATCAAAGCCGCTACCCAGACCATGATGGCGATTCGAGCAATGAGTAGCGCGCTCGCATGGAGGTAATTGCCGTAGATCTGCGGAGGCCCAGGCTGTTCCCTCGTGTAGTTCTTCAGCGCCCCCCTAATGTGCACGCCGATGTACAGAATGGCCATACACGAGGCGAATAGAATCAGGTCACGCGATATGCATGCAGCCTGCACCTCGACCGGATGGATCAGCAAAATCACCGCGAGCGTGATGCCACCTCCTGCCGAGATCAAGAGGACCAGTAGCGTGAGGAGCATGATCCAAGGGCGCCTCGTCCGACTTTCCTGCCGTTTTTTCAAGTCCTCGAGCGACTTGTAGAGAAGTTGGGCCTCATAGTTGCTGTTAAGCGATAGTTGGTCCTTCTCTTTCGCCATGGGGTAATGCGATGCGCTCGCATGCGAGTTGGTGTTTACTGGTAGCTTGCCGTCACTGATGAAATGTAGACCAGCTATTCAAGAAAGATATGTATAGAATCGAAGCGCTTGTCAAAAGGACCCGATTCAAAAAATACAAATAATAGAGAGACAAGAAACAAAAAGATGGATGGCTTAGGCAAGACCAAACTCCACGATGATAGGAATTCAACACGATCAACACCTGCTCAGCACGTTCGGGCAGCCACATGAGACACAGCTCTTATGATCATCGCCATCTCGTTGAATGACACGCAGCGCTCATCGTCGTCTGGTGAGCGGTAGTCCGGTTGGGGAGACCGACCTCTCTCGCGTCTTGCCCATTTTCTTTTGTTCTTTTGAGTTGGGAGAATGCTTCTCGCCATTTGACCATCGTGAGCATTTTGCCCCGTGGTTGGCAATGGCGACGCGCCTGGGCCCCACAGATTTCGACAAGAGGTAACTGTCGCATGGCCGGTGCACTTGCCGATTACCACGTCTTGGGACGTCGCATTGTCACCATTTTCCGTGTGGGAGGTGTGGGCAGTGTAGGAGTTTGAACCTCCAAGCATTCCAACTCAAGGTGGTGAGCTTAAATACGAGAAACACCCGAATCCCGGACTGGCCAGGGGCTAGCGCCCGGGGTTTAGAGCCTCATCTGGACCTCAATGGTACTTAAATGCGTTGAGCTCAGGCGATGGGGTCACGGTCAATGTCTGAGCACCCTGGCAGCGCAACATGCTGCCCTGGAATGCCCACTCCAAATGCCGCCGAACCGTGCGATGAACATCCATTGTTGAAACATAAGTTGAGACATGTTTGAACTATGAATTTGGCAAAATGTGAATTCCAGTATGGCCATTGGCTAAATGTGTATCATTTGTTCGATGGCTTGGCATAACTAGTGCAACTCAACCCATTACCCGCCACTCGATGTCAACGGGGATAAAACGGTATCGTTGATTCTTCTTGAATTTTCCAGTCAAGCTCAAGATCCGTTATTCAGATGCTTTGTGGGGGCAAAGCAATGTCAAGCTCCAGACCGGAGAGTAGCGTCCCCATTCAGGTTCCAGGCACCACAGATGTGTCCGGACCCTTTGCTGGAGTCCGTTAACCCTCATTGACCATACATATCGTAATCATGGCGTCGATGTAGACCCTGTTCTGGGCGGTGCAAGTAGTGTCTTCGTGCCAGCTTGACTTTCTTATTGCCGGTTGCTACTGAGCATATCCACACTTTGTTAGCCTCCGCAGTCCAACGATGGGAGATATCCGATATACCGATGCACACTGACTGCTTGTGAGGTTAAGGTAGGACGTTGAGAAAGGTAATGTTTGAGGAGACATTAGTTGGCGTCACAATCCTGTCTGGTACCAGAGAGTACAACTTACTGCCTACAATCTAGTTTGAATCATCACGAAGGCGGCTTGGTGTTATTTCCCATTCTCCCATCTCAAGAAGGAGCTCTGGCTGCGCCACGTCCTGTTGCCCAATATTGTGATCGATGACACGACTGCGCATCAGACCAGTCGATTTTGGTGCCTCATTGAGATCCATGGACTGTCTGGATGACGACTCTCCAGATTGGATGACGACTCTCCAGATAGGCCTCAAGGACCTATTCGGCAACTGCTATCATCCGTGTCAACGTAGCCGTCGTCTAGTGGTGCCAAGGCGACTATACTGGCCTCCAGTTCTGCATTCGAAGGCTCGCTTTGCCGGGCTCGATCCAATACCACATATATTCTAGTCCTGGGAGGATGAATAACTGCTACCAGGGTGTGGAATGTTTTGTATTTCGTGTTGCTGGTCGGTCAACTAAAACTCGGTTTGAAGAGGCCAGCTAGAGATAAATTCTTAGTACGTGCAAAGACTCATCGCTCCCTCTCCGTTACTAATGTCTCGGATGGAGATATCAACATCACTGGCGGACGGTCGGTTTTCTTGTGAGGATCGGGAAGTGAGGGCGCAGGCATTGGAGGCTCATTGGGGTCCAGTGGTCGCCTGGACACGACCACAGGTCGCTTACGACAAGCTACGTGACCTGCCATTGAGAAGGTACAGCTGAGGCAATCGTTGAATAAATCGAATTGGTATTACTTCTGAAACAGTAGTCAGTAAACCAACTCGACGTTGTAACAAGTGTATATATGAGCAGCTACGGTATTTTGAGATCCAAGACTCAGGATCTTAGAGAATAGTGTCCTACATGAGCGAATTGGCCAAACCCAAGGAAGACAATGATATCTGTGTTGCACATAGCCGTCAGTAAATATCATGCCATAACCTTCGTCAAAACGTCCGAGTCCGCTGCAACTCACTTATTAACTACATGGCGTAGAGGCGACGGCTTGGGGTATCGTCTATGTCTTTGGTCGGCTCAGACCCGCTTGGCTCCAGGATCAAATCAGGATCAAATCAGAGATAATCTGATCTGCGGCGAAGTCTTCGTTAATACCAGGCTCTGCATCATCCTGAGTAAGTGCATGCTTTTCACAAGATGAAGAAGAATTCTCGTGCTGGTGATTTAGTGTGCCTGGTGCGGAATCTTGTTCCATGATATCTAGCAATGGGACACTGCTCATAGAGCCAGATGGCCTAGGTAGCTCCCTGGCTGAGAATCCAGCCTCCTATATCTCACTTCTTCTGCGTTTTCTGTTTGGGAAGTTTTTACCATCCCCTAGTTTCCACAATATGCTTGAGGTCAGATCTCTGTTCCAGCCTTCTGCTAATTTATCTGGACCATTGGGAGAATCGATAGCCTCAGAGCCAATAAGCTCCTCCGGTGAAGGAACTGCGACGTCCAAATATCACTGGTGACTCTCCATGGCTCTGGACTTAAGGGATATTCAGCTGGATTCGTACGCTTCGAGTCTGTCGGCGCAACCGTCTTGGATGGTATGCTGATCCCAGGTTTGCTCTCCTTTGATTTTGAGATGCTTTGTCTTTCAGGGGCTTTTCGTCTGCGCTCTGCTCGTTGTCACGGGTGACTTAATCTCTGGTTTATTGCCAGCCAACACACCGGAACCCGGGGGCGGCCGCAGTTTATAAAGATCAGAGGGTGTGTATGCTAGGTTGTGTTCACTGCCCGAGTTGATTTCCGTCTGTAGCAATGCCCGCAAGCTTTCCGGCATCGATTTGGTAGCCACGGCTTTGCAAAGTGTTTTGGATATCTCAGGCCCAAAAGGATGTGACGAATCGTTTGTGATGCCAGTAGTGCCGTTATGGCATCTGGACCCCAGTTCTGTGCAGAATCTAGCAGGGCTTTCCGGAGCCAATGTACCTTCTTCCATGGATAGTCAGCGCCTTCGCCGCTTTTATTCTCGAGACAGGCCCTATGATAAGCCAAGTTGGAAATTGTAGCCATGAATAAGGCATCGTTGGCCATGTTGCGATTTCTCAGGCAACTACCACCGAGTCGTTGTCGTGCCTCCCGGGTACCCATAGCTCTGTATCCTAATTCTTATTTGCCCACCGCTCGCACTTGGTGCCCAGTTGTCGTGTCAGCGTCGCGTCGTGGGCGTCAAATGACCTTCAAAGATCATTCCAACGCATCACCACCAAGATGAAAGATACCAACTCTTCATTGCTGCTTCAACAAAACTGTACAATTCTTCGCAAAAATCGACATCGGGTACGGGCTTGAGTCAAGATAGAATCAAGTACTTTGCGAAGTGACTTGAAGTATGTGTGAATTGACCTCCATCTCAATTCAATGAGCTGGTGCTTGTATTGCACAGGCCAACATGGACTGAAGCCTGGCAGAGCCTCCCCCTTCTGGAATGCAAGGAGCTCAGGGCATGATTCAAAAATTGCCACAAGTTAAGATCACAGACGGTGCGTTTGCTTCTATCTTTACATCTGAGGTCACATTTTCAAGGCTATTTTTTCTACGCAAAGGAAACCCCGAAAACCAAACCCAAATCCCTCGAACGCCAACTGGAATGCTCGCTTGCTTTTTGCAGTGTTCAAATCCAATTTCCATTCCCATATAAATTGGTCCTAATCCCAGGCACCCGCCGTGCCGACATTATATGATAAACAAGAAATATTACATAGGATGAAACTATGCACGGTTTATCGTAGCATATATGTCAGGTCGGGTAGTCTGGCTATAATGTCTCGTACAAGTTGTTCCTGTTCCCCGTCTTGGGATGGCTGCACCGGGCTAAGAGAGACTCTGGTTGCGGGTGGAGCCTTGTCAGGCATTGGACTTGTGGGTTTCTGTGAAGGTAGCGAAGGGTCGGTTGATAACGTGGATGTTTGTCGTTCGGTCGATGTTGCAGATTGTGTTGAGGTCGCCGCTATATCCTTGAACAAAGAAAAGTCCGCAGATGCCCAGGGATCTGGATTTGTGGACACCAGTTGAGGGGCAGGTGCGATACTGGGCGTCTGCTGCGAGAGCTGACTATCTGGTTTGGAGGCCGCGGTCGGGTTCGGTGTGGCAATAATACTGTCAATGCTCAATGAAGCTCTGGCAGTTGCAGGTGATTCATGCTCAACAGACTGTGGTGTATGAATGTCCAAGCTTGGCTCTGGAGAATCCAAATACTTACTCTCCACTGTGAATGCACGACTGATCGTGACGGGTGCTTCATTAATAGGTGATGAGACCATTTCTCCCCAGTCATCATCCTCATCATCCTCGGGCCTTGTAGTCCCTGTAACTGACATAGGAGGTTGGGCATCCGGTGGTTTCGGGACAATTTTTGATGCAGCGTCGCCCAGCGACGGGGTATACTGTGGCGGTTTGGGTAGTTTCGCAAGCTGCTGGATGTCTCGAGCAGCGGATTGCTTAGCCGAAGGTTGTTTAACGGCAGTCGAACTCCATCCAAAACTTGCAACGGTAGCGGCGGGGGGTGGAAGAGAAGTGATGCGCCCCGCTGATTCATGTCGCTCATCGATGCTGCCGGAAGACCTTGGTTGTTGTTTTGGTGGGTGCGTCGAAGCATTTGAATCTGCCCTTGAATGGAACGACTGCTTGCGTCCAAATATTTTGTCCAACTCGACAGGGGCTGCTGTGGAGTCCCAGTTGAAGGTGCTGGTACGTTTGTTCCCCAACATCGCTTTGCCGGAAAAGGAGTCTTCTTCCATCCACCGCCGAACAACACGAATTGTGTCATCGTGAAGGTTGGAGGTCCGCCAAGCCACCCGGTGATAATTCTCCTCCTCCCCAGAATTATGTTTTCGCATGGACCCATACCGGGAAATGCGATACCAGGCCTTCCGTTCTTCAATTGTGGTAAAGCTGTCAAAGATGATGCGGTCTGAAACCCCACCGAGATCCGGTCCCTCATCATCATGGACCTGCGGGGAGTCAGGGAATAGCTTATCGATGGCTTGCAAGTCAATTTCGAACTTGATGGGGCCAAACTTGTCAATAAGCTGCTGGACGGGTATAGACGGCCCCGTCGGGATAGGAGCTTTAATAAGGCTTGTGTCGGCCTTGGACGCGAAGTCCACGAGACCCTCACGCCTAGTCTTGGGAGTCATTGAGCCATTGGATGAGGTAGAGGTAGTAGACATTTGACGTGGCCGTTCACATGCTGGGTCAGCATCCTTGAGATCCCCAAAATCCGTAGAATGCTGGGGTTCAGCCGCTATGACCCTGCTTGAGGATCTTCCACGGCTCTCAATGGTTGTTGAACTTTGCGCAGGCGGTTCTTCCGAGGCAGCGCGTGCCATTCCATCGAATTTGTCCACGAGTTCCAACACCCTCGTAGACACCTTCCTCCGGACGTGAGGCCGGAATTTGGGATCTTCGTCGATCGATGTGATAGGAGAGTCTTGGCGGTCGGGTCCATGCTCGCTATTCGCGGAGAACGTAGAAGACGGTCGGGATGGACTGTCGCGGTGCTCTACCCCAGCGACTGATTCTGTATGGACCTGACGTAGTTCAGACGAAGCCACTGGGGGCTCATCCCAAGCTATTCCACGTGGCACCTGCTTCCCTTGCCCTTCGCCTGAAGGAACCGCGACACTCCCTTCGCTTTGTTTGGCAAGCTCGGGCTCGTCCACGTGGATAACAAGTGCGTTTTGGGGCTCGGATGGCTCAACTACCCCAAACTCATATTCGTCAATTGGTATACTCCCGCTCTTTGGGTAGACTGGCGACGGCTCGTCCGTTTTATCATTCCAAAGAGAGCCCGCAGCCCACGGATCGGGCGAGACGCTGCGAAATATAGAGGACGCGCGCGATCGCTCGGCAGGCCTCAGGCCAGGAGAGGTTGCAGCGCTGCCGGGCCATGCAATCGGGCTCGCTTTCCCTGGCGAGTCGGCCCTGAGATTCAATTGGGGAGAGTGCGAGCCGAAATCTCCCCATGCACCCCATCCTGGGGATGTTGCTGTCTGTTCCGCCTGTTCCGCGCCCGTCCACACTCTTAAGCCATCGTCGCCGGTCCATAGGGAGTGGTTCGTCAGGTTCGAGAGTCCTCCAAAGAAGGCTTTGGGTGGAGGGCTCAGTAAATTCTTGGGAGGCGACGGTGTAGGATGCTCATTCTGCGTCGTTGCCGCGTCGGAGGACGCCCAAGGCGAGCCCCATGGATCGTCCATTGTGGTAAGAAGCAATGCGCATCGTGGTACGAGACAGTCGTCGCGCTGAGAGCTAAAGTGCTGAAGCTATTATTTCAAACAAGAACAGAATTCAAAGCGAGCATCGTCGATGGCCTTTCCGTCCACTGCAATTGTTCTGTTCTCAGATGGCCGCCAAGATGTCAATGTTGCAACTGTGGTGCCTCGAAACACCTATGATGGGCCTCTTTACCAGCTGGGACATAAGGCGTTAAGGGGCCCCAGGCTGGAGATTTCCAGGGTCAATCGGAATGTCTTTGCCGCAAATGCTCCCGCGAATCAGAGCAGTTCATCTTGGCGTCATTGGACAAAGGTAGGGCCCCCTAGCTCCAAAGCTGCGACGGAACCACCGACCAACATCGACCCTCCGGCTGGACATCGAAAGTCAGTGCTGATTTGACTTTGACATGCTCTAAATACAAGTGGCTCTAGTGGCTCGGCCTCTTACATAATTCACGATTGGTCGCAGTTCTCCGTGGACCGAGGGCGACCGATTTCAAAGTTCCCGCGCTGCTGATAAATGCGACGCCGATACAGGCCGATGGTGCGTCTTCGAGGACAAGAAAAAGTCATTCTAGCCTTCTGAGCGCAAAGATGCCACATCTACAACCACCCTGGTCGCAAACTGGTTTCTGGCTTGGTACTCCGAAGAAAGCAACCTTACGTATTAGCTATGTCGCTTTCAAAAATCAAACACATCGTCCTGGTATCTTTCCCCAGCTACGTCTCCCAGCTACGTCTGGCAATTGCTAACATGATCGCTTAGGTACTGTCAGGTAAGGGTGGCGTGGGAAAATCTTCGGTCACGACCCAGTTTGCGCTCTCACTGTCGCTTGCCGGACACTCGGTCGGAGTGCTGGATGTCGATCTTACGGGCCCTTCCATGCCGCGCATGTTCAATATCGAAGACGCAAAAGTCACCCAAGCACCAGGAGGTTGGTTGCCAGTGACAGTACACAGCGCGAACCCTGAAGCCGGAGTTGGAGAACTACGATGCATGAGTCTCGGTTTCCTCTTACATGCTCGAGGCGATGCCGTCGTCTGGCGAGGCCCCAAGAAGACAGCGATGGTCCGACAGTTCCTCTCAGATGTGCTATGGGGAGAGATGGATTACCTCTTGATCGACACTCCTCCTGGAACGTCCGATGAACATATATCACTGGCGGAAACCCTACTTAAGGACGCCTGGCCGGGGCAAGTAGCGGGTGCCGTGGTGGTTACAACACCCCAGGCAGTCGCAACAGCAGATGTCAAGAAGGAACTCAACTTCTGCACCAAAACGGGCATCCCTGTGATCGGTGTGATTGAAAACATGGCTGGGTTTGTCTGTCCGAACTGCGCCGAATGCACCAACATCTTCAGTAAAGGAGGAGGTCAGGTTATGGCGCAAGAATTCAATGTACGCTTTCTGGGCGCCGTACCTATCGATCCCCAGTTCGTCATGTTGATTGAAACGGGAAACCGGCCGGTCTACCCTCAAGGCACCATTATCAACGGCCAGGATTTGTCAGGCAGTGTGGACAACACCACGGCAGAACCCAACGGACAAGTGACCAAGGATGCTTCTTTGCTTGCATACAAATATCGGAATTGCTCGCTTGAGCCCGTCTTCCGGACGATTACACAAGACATTGTTGCTGCGATCGGTTGAGAAAATGGGCACCCTATCCGGCTAAGTAGAACGACTGCGTTCGCTACGTAAAACAGATGTAGGCCGTCGGATACCTGTAGGTTGAGTAGCAGATGCCAGAGCAGGCCACGGGCGACTGGTCTTGCTCAGTTCATGACGACTACGGGACGCAACGACGAGATTATAACTACGGTTTTCGATTGCCGCGCCACATGTAACACACGAGAGGTGTTACAGCACGCGTCGAATGCTACACGCGGAAACCACATGGTGCAATATCGGGAAGCCACATTGGCCAGTCGTGGGCTGCCTTCGAGCGCATAAGTGGCCCAAATAAATAAAAATAAAAAGTTGGACATTCTTAAGGCAGCGACGAAGCCGATTGTTAGTAAGCCAAAGATCGCAGTAGTGGAGATAGCGAATGGCATTGTTGGTAGAAATTGTTTTTTATGGGATAAACACATAGGAAATGCCCCATGTTGTCCTAGATGCGATTTTGAGTTGATCCAGTGGTCATTTTCTGACTTTTAGATGAATCTCGATTGCCCCAGCACCCCCCAGCACTGCCCAGCTTGCCCCTCCAACGTCCTACACAAGTTTTTACAGATAAAAAAAAAAGCCCCCCCCCCACTTCCAAAGGTCGACCTCACACGCGCAAGCGCAAACTTGCTAGCTACTCTGGAAATCTCTCACGGACCCAGATTGAAATAAATTTTCGACAGCTCAATCTTTGCCCCTGTGTTACCACCAAGAAGCCAGGTCCCGCGTCGTTAATATCGACACCCGCTCGTGGATCATTAGGCTCTCATAGCCACAATCTCTCAAATCGCCTTGCATTATCCACAGCAATCCACGCTCAACTCGACTCGTCGCACCCACTCTCGCAACGTCTATGCGATTACTTGTCTAAGCTGAGGACAACCCTATGTTGGACATGAGCACGTAACGGCAGCAATAACGATACTGGTATTGCAAACACAAGCTCCAGCTTTCTTTGTCATTCCATGAACCCAGCAGACTTGCTACGCTTCCTCTCTAAACCAGCAAAGTAGGTCACCCACTGAAACCGAAAAAGTGTCTTCATGGTTCCCTACTAACCAATAATGAAGGCCCCGATAGCAACCCTACGATAATTTCACGTCAGCTCTAGACGCTGCCGGGTCAAGTTTTCCAACCTCCACCGACCGTACCCGCAGATATCCTCGTCTGTTAGGTCCGATACTCCACCACAGGTATCGGTTTCTTGCCAGAACGAGGTCCTAAACGAGAAGTCACAATTCCTTCGTCAAAGGTCTTCCTTCTCCCCCGCGCGGCCGCCCCCCTTAACGTCCCCTCCGTGAGACGTTGAGCCTATATACCTGCACATTGCAGCTGGCTTCGCCAGCATTACAATCACCCATCGATCTGTGGGCCTACTCTCTCAAACGAGCACCGCAAGGTTCGTTTGGGCGGCAGTCAGTGCTCCGCAGTAGCTCCAGGCGGCATCTGCAGCAAAGGATCCTGACGTGAGTCAGCCTAATTACGATACCCGTACTTTTATCCTTGAGCCTTTCGCGAGCTCTGTACGGAGATGGTCGAGTTTGTGGTCCCTACCGACATTCCATTCTCGTCGTCTGAGGACACACCTCAATTGACGATCAATCATGATGTCGCCGCGGAATTAGACTCTAGTAGCGCCTTCGAGGGTGAGTCCCCTATCTTCGCTGAATGGCTATTTGGTTACTCACAAATTGTACAGGCCCCGAGAAGCTCCTTGAGGTGTGGTTCGCCCCCAGTGCTGAATCTCTGCCCAGTGGTGTCAAGCCCGATGGGTTGAAGTCAGTAGCTGCCGATATTTGGGTGCCGATGCTGGATGAGGTCCATTGCAAGGTGCTCTCGGTCCTCAAATCCGAGCGTGTAGATGCTTATCTGCTGTCTGAATCCAGCATGTTCGTCTTCCCTCATAAGTTGATCTTGAAGACGTGCGGCACTACCACGCTTTTGTGGGGTCTTCGCAGCCTTTTGCGTATTGCCGCTGTCGAGGCTGGGTTTCCCGTCCACAACACGCCGTCTGTGGACGATGAGCGCGCCGCTGCAACCCCTTACCGAGTGTTCTACAGCCGAAAGAACTTCCTTTATCCAGAGAAACAGCCAACTCCTCATCGGAGCTGGCTGCACGAAGTCAAGTTTTTGGATGAGACCTTTGAAGGGGGTAGTGCGTACATGGTGGGAAAGATGAACGGAGACCACTGGTATCTCTATATCACTTCGCCAGAAACCACCTTGACTCCACCTCGGACCCCTGATGAGGAGAGGACTCCCATGAAGCCATCTCGTCACTTCAGGATCCCCACGGGGCTAGCCTCAGCCTTCAATGGTGTGCCCGAGAGTAGCGACGAGACTCTTGAAATTCTCATGACAGATCTCGACCCCGAGAACGCGAAGAAGTTCTACCTGGAACACGTGAGTGCGGTCGCGAGCGCCAGGCTCTCTTCGCAGGCCCAGGAAGCACGGGACAATTCCGTACACAGTCTCGGTGATTTGGCCGGAAGTACTGCCACTATCCGGACCGCGAGCACGGCTGAAAGCGTCGTCGATGAGACATTCGACGTATCCAGCCTTGGCAGCGACTCTGACAACCATGGCTCCTACACCCCGGTGTCTGAGCAGCTAGACCCAGCGAGTCTCACAACAGAAGGCCACGCGCTGGGCACCGTGGTGTCGGACAATTGTGGTCTTTCGGACGTATACCCGACTTCGAAGTATCCGGATGCCAAGATCGACGCCTACATGTTCAGTCCCTGCGGCTTCTCTGCCAATGGCATCATCCCGGCCCCGCAGAAGCAAGAAAATGACACTGTCACCAAGGCCGGCCATTACTTCACGGTGCATGTTACCCCTGAGCCTCATTGCTCATATGCGTCCTTTGAAACCAATGTCCCAGGTGGTCAGAACGGACGTGAGACGTCGGAGGTTATTGAGCATGTGGTCGGCATTTTCAAACCCGGCCACTTCAGTGTCACTTTGTTCGAGGCCAAAGCAGCCAATGATGTGGCGACTGGTGCTGCTCGCAAACGCTTCGACAGCCTTGCCGGGTATCGTCGCATCGACCGCATTGTTCACGACTTTGACGACTACGAGTTGGTGTTCAGGTACTACGAACGCGAAGGCTGGGTCTCGGGTACGGGTGTTCGCGTCGGTGAGGAGATCTAGCCAATGGTGGGGATTGCTTTCAGATGTTGGGTATCGAATGGTGATGACGCCATGACTTCATTCGTTTCTCACTCCGTACTTCCTTTTGCCCGACGAAGTGTCTACGAGGATTGAGACAAAGACTGGATCGACATAGCTGAAAACTTGTCAGCAACACAGACGACAGCCTACTCTTTGCTTCAGCCATCTTTTTACCATGACAACCTCAAACTTACTGCATATCCATCTACTGTAACTCATATTAGTCGTACGCAATACGTAGTGTTCTCGTTTCTCGTTTGGCCCAGACAATTGGTGACAGCAAGAAACATGGTACAACGTGTATTGATACGGGCACCAAATGCTACTCTACTGCTAGCGGTGCTACCGTCTCACAGGACAGGCGTCTGTAATGCTACCGATTATTCTTTGCCACGGAGCGGCTGGAAGGACTCGTCTCAATTTCTGTCATGATGAAGGGGACTTATACAGTTGTGATTCGAAACCAATTCAGCTCCTCTATTGGCGTGTCTCGGTGGGAACCTCGTGATCGAATATTCCATCATCATACTGTGACTTGAAACGAGACATATCCAGCCTTCATCTATTCGTACTGCCAACAGTTCAGCTTACAGCGCGGTTGCTGATAGTGTTTTGGGTAGCGATGGCTGAGATGTGTCCGAGCTAATTTCCACCTTCTGGTCCTCAATTACCAGATCGTCGGTTTCCTGCGACGCGAGAATTATCTCGTGGGTTGTGCTACATCGCAACCCACGTGAACGACTGTTTCTCGTGCTCTCGTGCACTCGACCGTCGGAGCCTCTACACGTGGGCCTTCAGTCAAGAGGAATACTATATAAAGAAAAGAACCCGACCTGTCCTGTAGCCTAAACGAAATCTAACAACCCATCCACATCTCAACACAGTACTCCTTCCTTGTCCATCAAGTCCTACCCTCTTGCTTCCAAAATGAAGTTCCAGGTTGCCGTGCTGTCTCTGGCAGCAGCCATCGCCCCTACCGGAGCAGCTCCCTCCTTCCCCGCCGGTGCGCTTGTTGCGCGCTCCAACGAGGCCAACTTGACGCTCTACGAGAATCCCCTTGTTCCGGGTGATACGATCAACCCGTCCTTCTCGCCGACGGATGCCGATTTTGTCCCTGGCAGCTACGGCAGAGGCTGCAGTACGTTCCAAACCTCTGTAGTTGTGTTTGGCCGTGACCGCTCTGAATGTAGGGATGACTTATACTGATTTGCGATTTCCGCTGTGAACCAGGTCCCTTTGATACCACGACCTTGCCCTCAGGCTGGACGACGGGGATCACGGCCGCTACTAGTAACGTGGGGTGGCTTTGCACGCTGTACAGGTACGTTTTGACTTTCTAGTATGAAGACCTTGAGAACGCATATATGCATCATTCATGCGTACATACATTCTGGCTAAAACTGACTGGTGCGCTCCGTGCAGAAACGCCGACTGTTCGGCCGACAATGGGTATCCCATTACTAACTGCACCGCTGGCGATGTTGAGGGTGACTGGGACCATTGCGAGGTGGACGCCCTCCCGATTGGCGATGATGGTTTTGACGACAAGATCGTGGCGTATCGATGCGACCGTATCTTGGGTTAGGTTGAGGAGTGGACACTTCAGCTCGGGCGGCGGCAGTGGCGATGTGTACGCGTCAATGAGGCTATAAGGGAGCGGAGGCTAAAGTATGTGACTTGCGGTGGTCGTATTATTTTCTCGAGATAGCTGTATACGAATCTATGTTTCGCTGTGATCTGTCATCACGTTTGTTAGTCCTCCGTGATGCTTTGTGTTATGGACACGCGAGCTAAGCCTTGATGTAACTCTATACGGTATTGGGAGTGATTCTGCATGTGATCCGAGGAATTCGATGGTTATAGTGATTGTAACACAGCCCGGCATATGTAAAGCCCTATACGGAATACATGTGCTCGTTGGTTAGGTAAGTATACTTCCCAAAACGGCAACGCAGCACCTGACTCAGTCGGACTGCAGTCTTACAAGATTAACGAAATAGAAAAATCCAGAAAACTCGTTTAGCTAGTCGTATAGGTGATTTGCCTCTTAGCTTAGCTTCGAGGAAAGTACCAGGTCAGCTTCACGTCTTCGTCGAGATGGAACCTGCGGGCCTGCCAGAGCCAGAAGCAGACACCAGGGAAATCAAGCCCTCATTCCTACCAGCACCGGTCGACTCCCTACCTATTCCAGTCTCGCTACATTCCGACCTCAACGTTCAAAAATCACTATCCGAACCCCAATTTCCTGAAGACAACAACAATGCCTCCTTCTCCATCTTAACCCCCTAGGAAAAGCGCTGGATCAGCTTCGCTGTCTCTTTCGCGGGCATGTTCTCGGCCCTAAGCAGTTACATTTACCTTCCCGCTCTGGTGTTCCTGGCGCTGATGAATCTCACCGTCACTTCGTATCTGCTCGTGGCCGGGAGAGCGCTAGCGTTTATGGGAGACATGGCGGGCCAGAGCGAGACGCGGCCGGTGTACATGGTCATATTCATATTAATGGCGGGCGCAAACTTGTGTATGGTGCTGGTGAGAAACTATGTTGGGTCGTTGTGTTGAGGATGGTGCAGAGTGCAGGTGCGTTTGGTTAGCATGATGTCGAGACATTTGCGAGCAGGGTCATGGAAAGTTGACTGGCTGGTTTTAGGGATTATCAGTGTTGCTGCTTATGGTGTCCTGGCAGCATTGCACCGATTGAGGGGAGAAGGTCGTAAGACAAATTAAATCTAATGAAATACCATCATCCGCTTTTCATCGTTGCTCTTTGCGGAGAACTTCAAGGACAATAGCGGCGATGAAGTACTCGTGCATCTCAGCACGCAAGCAGTGTCCTTTTCCCGACCCCCTTTTCGTCTCTTTCCCAACCTTAACTCCATCGCTTCAAACAGAGCCGCTAAGCCAGTAGGGTATACTTCAGGCAATGCTTCGTGGAATGGATAAATCAGAAACGAAAATGGGTGTTGCCATTTACGTTTGAGAGGTCGCATTGGTTAACGTGTGCCCCTTGTGGTTGCTTTAGATATCCAAGGCGGCTTACACACCATTGGCTCCGCATCTCGGCCGTTGGTGACGGTGGATGTTGCATTTTCTTATGATCTGGACCATACGCCAATGACCGTACGGCGTTACCACATCGTCATAAGCTTGGGACCATTACTGATTGATTATGGCCAAAGAGTAGAGTTGAAGCAGTCCTGTGATGATTCTGGAACCTGAAGCTCGTTGATGGTACTTAGGAGTCCCCTTCACCTAATATACTGTCACATATTATCCTAGTGTGGTGGGCCATGAACACTTCCAAATCATCACTCTCAATGTTTCCATTTCGGCTAGAGAGAAATTTTGAACTAGTATGAACCATTGTAACTCAAAAACACTCCGTGTTCATTACTTCATTGACCAAACCACTTGCATATCGCACCCAAAATATGGACTCACCGACAAAATCAACCCGAAACCACTGTCTCACAAAACGTCCAGCTAAGGGGACTCGAAATATCAACTGCGAAAGACTGTATGTTCCCCTCCCGAGTAAGGCCGTAGAAAATAAGGTCCTTTCCCGTGACCACTGTGCCCGCAGAAAAGACAGTCGACGGAGCCCCTGCTAGGGTTGGCGTATCGACACTCGTCCATTGCCCATTGTTGAAGTAGGTCACCCGCAAAGTCCCATCGGTCCGTATCGCAGTCAATAAGATATACCTCCTCCCCTGCCCAAGGTCTCGTGAAAACGCGGCCGCCGACAAAAGAGGCGACGAGACGGAAGCACCCAGGGAAATGGTACTGCCTACGTTTTATGAGCAGGGAAACATTAGGGGTAGGTATACATCGTAATAAGGTGAGGAAAGGGAATAGATAAATATGAATCCGCTCACCGGAAATCACGTCCTCCGCATTCCCTTCATCACCCCATCCTACCTCCTGCACCATCCCCGCATCGTGGTAATACAACCTCTGCGTCGAATGCCCCTCCCACGTCTGATCATAATTCACCGTAAGTCCCGTTATCGTGATACCTGCCCCGACGCCCAGCTCCGCCTTAACACTCGTCGCATTCCCCCAATTGCTCGAGTTCAACGACCTCAAGGTCTGTTGATCATCCTGGTACAGCACTCGCAGGTTTCCCGTGCATCCCGTGCCGCACAGACTCCACCACACCGCAAGCTGCGAGCTTGGATTCGCAGTCCACTTCACACCAGCTTCCGACAGCGTGCCCTTGGTCCAGTTCCCAAGCTCAAAATCCGTTGTGTAGAGTTGTTCCACCGTGTGTTCCGGCGAGAGGTAGAAGAGCGTCACACCGAAGCCGCCGAGACTTAGACTCGTGTAGGGATATCCACGAGCAGCGGCAGCCAGGGGCGTCCCGTTGATCGCAGACACGGAGACCGAGGTCGAGATGTTGCTCACTGTCCAGTTGGATGTAGAACACCAAAGCGACACCATCAAGTCCGCGGACGATGCTTGCCAGAAAACGGCGTAGTACTCGGTTCCCAATGGGTCGGTCCAATTCGCAGCTGCCAGCTTCGAGGACGAGTGGACTTTGACCGAAGGATCCGCCGGGATGTTGCCCCTGGAACCGTTCCTCCAAATCGTACCCCCTATCCCGCCGCCGATGGCAATCGCGACAGCAACGAACAACACAACAACCACGACCATATAAAACCTGCGTCGTTTCAGACCCCATATCGTCTTCTCGTTTTCGGTAATATCACTTGCCGCGCATTCGAGCGTCCATGGTTTGGCGTGGGAACGCTGGCCCAGTAGAGCTTCCGGTAGGTCCTCGTCCCGCGACTGCACGAGTTCCGGCAACGATTTATTGTAATCCACCTGGGGCAAATTCGCTTCTCGCGAACTCCCCGCCATCTTGGACTTTACGGGGGATTCCTCCGGTGGCACGACTATGAACTTCTCCACGATCTCCGATCCCGCGACTTCGAGAGTGCTGTAAATTCCATTGCCGCTCATTTTGTTGCTTGGTTGTTGTCACGATTACGGAAAACACCACCGACCTCTTTCCAGTGGGAAAACCCAGGAGGTCTGTGAGGGGATTATTGCTTTATCTTCCATGACGTAGTATTCCTTTCGCTGCGCCTTTCTTCAACAGACGAAGGATGGCAGGATGCTTCAGGAGCAGTTGGAGGTGCGGCGCCATTTCTCGCCGCCAAATGTACCAATAAATGTAAAATATCGTTGAAACAGGCACCTACACGTGGCTTAGCCCCGAGTATTTTAGATTGATGTTGCTGCAATGCACTGTGGGGGCCGTGAACGCACTCCTACTAGATAGACTGCAGCTAACACACAAATCGGCTCGCGCAGCTTTTGCGGAATTTGGTCAGGGTCAACCATGCATTCCACCGATAAGCGCGATCCTCAAGTGTGCGGCTCGGCAGCTCAACAAATAGGCCAATCCCCCTACATTCGCCCTTCTCCGCTCTAACCTAGTGAGCTTCTTCGGCCCGCGCCGCGCTGCCAAAATCCTTCCCTTGGAACTCAGACTTGGTAATCGTGTTCCACTTGTCCTCCTCCTTGTCGAGCTTCTTGAAACAGAACCAGAAGCCCACGCCACCCAGGAACGCCAAGACCGCCACAACACCATAATTCCACACGAGCAGAGGGTCGCCGCTCAGCGGCGTGAAGGCCTGACCGACGGCACTCGCAAATGCGCTCATGAATAAGTTGACCGACATGACGAGAGACTTCATGTTCACGGGTGCCTTGGAATACGCATACTCGTATGATGTGACGTTTGTGAAGATTTCTGCGATACCAATGAAAATGTAGGGGACGACTTGAGCCCACACGTTGATAGGAGCGGGGCCGGAGCAGTCAGGGTCGGCGGCGTAGTTTCCACACGGGGACAGCTTGTAAATGTAGTATTGCATGACCGCCGCAGCAACCATGGCCAGAGCGCCAAAGAAGAAGCCGAGGGTCATTCGCTTGATGGGGGTGAAGCTGATTCCGAGCTTCCGAAGTCCAGGGTAGAGCACATGATCCATGAACGGTATCATAATGATGATAGAGATGGGGTTCAGGTTCTGGATGATGTCGTTCGGGACGCCGTTGAGCTCCATCACAGCAGCCTGAGAAGTGAGGTTGTTCGTCATCTGGTTATAGGCCAGGTGGAACAGCGGCAAGAACAGAAAGACCTTGCAGGCCTTCAAACCACGACGAACTTCGTCAACCCAGGCATCATCATAGGTCATCCATGGAGGCCTCTCCGACAAAGGCACATGGGAAGGCCGCGCCTTATCCCAGCTGAACTCGCGCTTGAGCTTGGCAAAGTTCAAGGTCCATTTGCCCCTCATGACATAGCCAAACATCCGGAAGAACTTGGAGAGAACGGAGCCCGTCGGAGGTGAGAGGATGTATCGCTTCCTGTTGAAAAATAGGACGATGGGGCTGACCAAGAAGAGGACTGTGGGAAGAAAGAATGCCAGCCAAAACCCAACGTACTTCTCCACATATACCATGGCGATCTGACCCGTGAGAGAGCCGATGTTAATGGCAAAGTAGAAATAAAGAAAGATGCGGGTGTTGGTAACTGCCGGGTCCACAAGCACACGCTCCCCGTTTCTGACCTCGACGCGCATTCGCGTATCAGTATTCTGCTCAGCCAGGAGAGGCGAGATGTTGGCTTTGAAAAATCCCGTGCCGATGCAAAGAATCAGAAGGCCGATGATGAAAGCGGCGAAGGACGAGTGGGATTTGACAATGACCGAAGGCGCAGCTGCTGCTGTCAGAATGACATGGGCAATGGTCGAGATGGCAATGGCGACATGTATCGTCTTGTACCGCCCGAGATGCGCATCTGCGATGTACGCACTGTATCGCCAGGTAAGTGGGATTCCACTGATGTCGAAAGAGTTTACTCACCCCAATAGAGGCATGACATATGCAAAGAACATGTTAAACAGGCCGAGTCCTGTAGAAGCTCGCTGGCCCATCCCCAACGCTCCGGACTGTCCCTCGAAGCCGGCGCCAGTATTCGACCCTTCGGGTAGAGGCCATTGGATGAAGTTTGTGTAAAGGATGGAAGAACCGTAGTACGAGAATCGCTCACACAGTTCGCAGAAAGCGATGGTGTAAGCGGCCCAGTTGATCTTGCCTGACACACGCCGCAGCGTGTGCATGTCCTCCTCGCTCGGTGCGTCATCGAATTGCTCTAATACCTGCGATGATGGGGATTGAATCTTGCCAGTATCCATAGAGGCGCCGCGAGCTGGAGCTTCTTCAGTCATAGCGGCCAGAGTGGGACCGCCCGTGACACCAGCCTTGGCGGCCTCGGCACTGTCGAGGACGTTGTTCCCGAGAGCACTCATGGTGTAAGGTGCTTGCCAAGTCGGAGGCACAGGTTGGGTGACTTGCAGCAACGGTACGTTTATTATACGAAGGGATGACGGTTTGAAGAGAGGGGGGTTGCTACTGGAGCCGCAAACCTTATACTTTTTTTTTCGAAGGCGGACGAGAGAGTTCGAACAACAAGGAAGGTGCCGCCTTCCGGAAGCCTGCTGGCGCGCTGCCCGGGGCCATTACCGAATATGTGCGTGTGGCCATATCGCGGAGGATATTCATTGGTAGATAGGAGGCTTGGCTATACTTTGGTGAGACCTTTGCTCACATTTTTGCAACCAACAGCCTGTACGGTTGTTGACAACCAGAGGATCATTCGCGGGCAAGGTAAGCCACGTGAGAAGCAGACCATATGCAGACAGAAAACCGTGTAACATCGGTTCATGATTAGACCTAATGAGGCAACTGGAAAATCTGCTAAGAGTCTAGACAAGTTAGCCAAGACAAACGCCACTAGCCCAGGTCTATACGAGAGTTGCCAAGGCGGCCATAAGCGGCCGTCAGTGGCCAAGCTTTACGAATGACAGGAACGGGGCTCGGAATATGACGGTAGTTATACCTGCCTAGATGCATTCACGTGATGCTCTGAAACCGAAGGCTTAGCATTAAAATATGTTTTTGTATTAGTTATGATGGTGTTTTCTATAATAAAAGATATGTTAAAGATGGTAATGGATCAAGGGGTCCATGGGATACGGTTAGACTCGTAGAGCGTACCGTCGCATTCCGGGGGGGGGGGGGGGGGGGGGCCGTCCTGGTTGGTCCAGTTCCAACTAAGGTAGTGCTTAGGCGGGCAAACCGTCTTCTAGCGCCGCCGTCGACCGCGGCTCGAACTCGGACAAATCCTGAATTGAGTTCGAGAACATAGGAAAACGGCACACTGCATCGATCGATATTAGTGGTTGTTATTCGATGCGCAAGGTTCGTAAGCCGGTTAAATACACGCTCACATGCAAAGAGGACTCGAGACGTTGCTTGGCGTGATAGTATCAAGGACGACAGTATCAGGGACGAGTACTGCGCCCTGGCGCAGGCTGCGATGCGCAAGTGACTCGATATGGTGAAAGATGGCAGCTCATCATCGCCAGTCGAAATTGAGTTCGATGTTGAGGTAAAGTTGCGTCTTGGTCCCTGGCGTCACTGCCATCCACTGGCCGCTCTTCAATGCTAAATCGTGGGGTTGTCCACTTGTCATTAAACGTGAAAGAGCTCTAATTGCGCGGGCTCCGTTTGGTGGCTTCCATTGGGCATGGTGACCGCCATACTCACTTGAGCATGCCTTCGTGCTTGGACCCAGCTGGCCAATGGAAATCAACGTTCCCACTGTCTCAGGTGCTTCCCGGTAATCGGACACTTGCGCTTATGGCCAGGGCCTGCACATAGAGGTCTGCCGCAGCTAAAGAACACTCGGCTCTGGAGTTGGAATATACAACGGAGACGGTGCGATGCGGCTCTTTACACAGTTTGTGCGACGCTGATAGTAGAGGCTGTTAAAAGGTCACGAATACGTATCGGATATTTGTGGATCGCTACCGGGCGGCTATAGGGTAGCTACACGGTAAGTTAGCGAAGTACAAGAGTATTAGAACGTAGTAGGTTATTGCTATATTTTGCAGTAGTGCCTGTGAAGGTACACTCGTCAAGCCTAGAAACGGCGGTCTCACCCCATTAGCAATGGGTTAAGGACGTCCTGTTCGTCTTTTTTCGGCCGCATGTCATTTTTGACGGCACTTCCGAATACTAGTAATCCGTAAACCGCGGGTACCCCCTTAATAAATGTGTATAGTGTATAGAACAGGAAATGCACGTACCTCAGTTCGCTTAAATCCTATAGTCAGGTTGGAACTGCAGCTAATTTGTAAGTGCTATGGGTTTTGTACCTGGTCGCCGACATGTGATTCTCGGCCGGATCCGAGTATAATGAGTATAATTGACAGGGTCTTCGTCTTCAACCCTGTTAGCCTTTTCAAATTCTGGTATTGGCTGTGGCTGCGGAGCCGACTGTGGCGTTTTCGTTACATGCTTCTAACTGTGAATTGGTGAAGTTCGGAAGTATCGGTCAAAAATGACAGACGTCCTCGACCCTATACTTGCAAACAAACCTATTAAAAATAAACTTGATCCACCACTGCTAACGCAGTGGGTCGAACCGCTGTGTTTAGGCTTGACGAGCAGTTCTTAACTTTCGTATTTACTCATAGTAAAGTGCTCTTTTCTATATTTGGGAAGGATCCTTTATTTTCCTGTCGAGACACCCGATGTCGTAAGGGGTGGTGGAATGCGTTGCCTCGATGGAGTCGGTATTTGCTTAGTGTCAGGGTGCATCGGAATTGTTCATGGCGGTTCAACATTTTCAAGGTGCCAGTCACGGTGGCCATGATTCGATCGTCTAGTATTCTCGACTCGTTGCAGCGGTCCTCTTACCGGACGATACTCACTAGTGTTCTTAGCAAGTCTGCACATGCTCCAATGAGCAGGCGTCGAAAGGACAGCATGACGACGTACCGAAACTTGGACTGAATTCCCCCTCCTTGTTGTTGGGACGACTCTATATCAACGAAGGCCTTCGAATGGCTACCCCGACGTCAATTGCCGAACCAAGAGCAAATAAGACTTTGTTATCGTTCAAACCCGTCGACGAATGTCCTTGTTGTCATGCTTCTGTACTGGGCTGCCAGAGCAAGCCCCGATGGAACGAAGACAGACAACCAAAAGCGTTATAGCGTCCGTGACCTCATATTTCTGTACTTCGGCTACCGAGCGCGATGGCGCTGTTCATGAGACAGGTATTCTTTCGTTCGGGACCAGCTTCAGTTTCAGTTGGCAGGACGGCAATTTATATTGATCGTAGAAGGCTGAGTGGAGTTCGCTGCTGGTCCCGAAAGCCTCGTCTTGCGATTTAGCATTGCTTCTAGTAGGCAAAGAGCGGAAGTTTGCCCATGAAAAAGGTTAGAAGGCCTCCTGTAGGCTCGGAAGGAGACCTTTGACTGAAGTGTTAGAGCGGAATCGCTTAATTCCAATGGTTGGACACGCTCTGGTAAGGTGGTAAGAGATCGACTGTTAGCCAAACATGTACGTGAACATGGTCGGAGCAGGACGAAGCCTGTCTTTTTGAAGAATGAGAACTAAATGCATCGGGCGGAAACCACTGTTCGAGCCTGCCGCCTATACTATTGTAAACTTGAACAATACGGAAACTTTAAAGGCTTAGCTTTGTTTGGCTCGGCTCACCCGGGAATACATCGACAGGAAAGGGTAGGGTTACCTGGCCAAGCCTGCTTTTGGTGGGTGTGGAGCGTGTTGCACTTCTATTCCGGGAGCTATTTCGTTACTTGTCTACAGCCGTCACGCTTCAAGACCAGTGTTGTAGGTCCCCTCTCCTGCCAAGTACAGGGGCCTCATACGAAGAGCTGCATATGGGCAATGGAGGACGGCGGCTGTTTTGGTTAGATTAAGGGTTGACAAGCCCTTCAGCTGCGCCTCAGTTGTCGCCAAGGCAAGGGGCCCGCCCGCCATTTCCCAGAAATACCACGCCGAAGACACCCGAGACTCGCTGTCAGAAAGTGTCATGTTTGGGGCAATACCCATACTTCTCGAACTCACCTGCTCGGATACGGAATTCCAGGGGACCACGCTCCCGAGCTGATTATGTGGGTGGAAGGGAAAAGGAGGGCGGGGGGCGACGGGGGTGAAGTAGATGCATCAACATGCAATCAGGCGTCAGTGTTGCATTCGAGCGGTTTGGCATTTGAGTCGCAGCCAGTTAGTCACTGCAGCTGAATGCGGCAGACGGAGAGGTTGGGTGATAACCTGATCGCAGCAAAACGGATTCCGCGTGACTTTATCGAATGGCCGCGTTGGTCACAACGCCTCGGGGGCCGGTTGTGTAACATGCTGCAGACGGCAGACGGGACATTTCTTGGCCCCACAATCGGCGTCGACGACCTGCCTACCCCAGGAGCGAGTGGAAAGCAGGCGCAGTTTCTCCATATTGCGGATCGGTATGCTTGGCTCCGCGCAATGCTCTCTTATGTCATTAAATAGAGTTTATACCAATGTCAGACGAAAGCCGGCGGCGCAGCACTTTGACTACTGTAGGGCGGCCGGTTGGGCTGAAGAGTCGGGTTTCCCCAGCTGGGAATCTTCTAAAGGCTCATCTTGCGGGGATGCCTGTGCCTCTGTACGGCTATTTAATGCGGACTGTTTGGGTAACTGATCGCTCCATGGTGTTCAACTGGCAATTGGCAAGCAAACAGGCAAGGACCTTGACACAGGGGCAAGGCACAAAGAAGATTAATCAAAACAGCATCGTCGACCCCACCCTGGTACCAACAGCTTGGCCCAACAGCGTGCGCCTGACTCGGGAAACTCTGTATCCATCACGAATCTCCTGAACGGGACAGGGAATACCTGCGAGTTAGAGAAACATGCGAAGAGTTTAAAAGCGATAGGTTCGCAACTGTCGATTCCAGACGATTCCTTTTCTCGTCCACCTCGACACATTCGTTCATTCACCACGGCCTTATTTAGCCGTAGCCACTCATTTACTTGTCATTTCGTCACTGGACATCAGCCTTGATCATCATCATCATGAAGATCACCGCAAGTTTCACGACCGGTGTCACCCTCGCCGGGTGTGCCCTCGCCGATTGCGGCTCTTCGCTCCGCAATATCATGTATTTCGACCAGTGAGTCTACCTCCCTAGATATCTTCTGAAATCTCTTCTAGATGGCTGACAACGACACGGCAGGTATCATCTCACAACACCTACCAAGGATGTGACGGGCGGAATTACTCATGTCATCACGGCCTTCGCCAACTCGTCGCTGTTCGTCGGAGCGACCCCCGGCAACTACACGCCCTTCATGCCACTCGCCGATGTCCGTGCATTGTTTGACAACGGCACCAAAGTCGGTATTGCGATAGGAGGATGGGGTGATACGGAAGGCTTCGGCGCCGGAGCCAAGACTGAAGAAACCCGAAAGCAGTATGCGATTAACGTGGCTGCCATGGCCACCTCTCACGGCTTCGATTTCGTTGGTACGTGCATCCTTCTAATTCCCCCTCCCCCCGTACCCTTTTCTGTGTACTGCATTCTGACTTACTGATTCAGATGTCGACTGGGAGTATCCTGGTGGCAATGGCCCCGACTACAAACAAATCCCCAATGCCAACAAGACGGACGAAATCACCACATTCCCCCTATTCCTCCAGGAAATCAAGGATGCCATCAGCCCCAAGGAGCTGTCCATCGCCGTCCCGGGCCTTGAGAGGGACATGATCGCATTCACTCAGGAGCAAGCACCCAAAATCTTCGCTGCCGTTGACTTCGTCAATGTTATGACGTATGACCTGATGAGCCGCCGCGACAACGCAACCCTGCACCACTCGGATGTCGCCGGTTCCCTCGCCTCTGTCGAGCGTTACCTGAGCTTAGGTTTGGACGCTTCTAAGATCAACCTCGGCTTTGCTTTCTACGCCAAGTTCTTCCAGACGCAACCTGGTGTGGACTGCTCTGCCACCCCCGTCGGCTGCCCCATCGTCCTAGCCGAACTAGAGGACGGCAGTGATGCGGGTACCAGTGGTGCCACCACGTTCGAGAAGTCCAACGTGGTCCTTCCCGTCATCCCTACCAACTTGACCGTCACCTCCGATGGATCCTGCGGCATCAACACCTTCAACACTTGCCTCGGCGCCCCTGAAAACGCGACCTGCTGCAGCCAGTACGGCTACTGCGGTAGCACAGCCGCCCACTGTGGCACCGGCTGCCAACTCGGCTATGGAAACTGCGAAGGGCCGTCGACCGCAACCTCCTTCGTTGCCGCTTTGGCTAATAGCACGACAGACGAGGAGAACGGAGGCGAGTGGTGGTGGGACGCGGAGAACGAGCTGTTCTGGACTTTCGACACCGTGGAGCTCATGCAACGTAAGTTCGATGAGATCGTCGCAGCTAAGGGCCTCGGCGGTGTCATGGCCTGGTCCCTGGGTGAAGACTCGTACGACTGGAGCCGCATCGCGGCCATGAACGCCGGGGTCAAGAAGCTGCAGGCAACTAAGAAGAGATCCACGAAGAAGCGCCGTGCTGTGGGACAAAAGCTGCACGCTTGAGCGCATGATGTTTATTGATCCAGCCAGGCCAGCCGGCTTGCCGAAACGGCAGGTATTACTTTTGGGCTACATTACAGGTTTCCTCCTGTCCTGAGGCGGTACAGGATCGTGTCATAACATACCATGAAGTCTTAATCTTATGTAATATCAGCTTGTTTCATGATATATGCATACCATTCTATTCGGTAGCTGTCACTTGATTCCTTCGTACTATAACCTAATGACAGAACATAATAAGTGGATCCTACGACAGCTTTTCTGATGCACCGTCGGGGACGCCCCCGGAAAGAAAGTGTACTACTTGGTCACCGTTACTCCCTCAACCTAGTGGCTCGTCACTAGACTGAGCAATAACCAAGCCTCATACGAGTCGTTTAGTCTAGGCTAGGGGAAGCCACCGCGTTGTGTAAACAACAGCTAGAGCTGACTCGACACCATGATGGGGTGCAGCTCTAACAGAATAAGTCCAGGAAAATAGGAGGCAGCTATACGCGCGATCAGCCGACGCAGCGATCAAAAGTTGCGTCGCGCCTTGCTCAATCTACGATAGAGAACACTGGGGCCAAACTTCCAGGGGAGATGGCGTAGACGCAGTGGAAGCGAAAAGGATTTGACATAACTTTATGAAGTGAATCTCGTTAGCTTGTCGGGTCTAGCAACAGACCGTTGGCTCACCATAGGCGGGCCTGTACGGCGGATCACGCTTTTATTCTTCTAGTGGGTTTTCCAATTGTATTATTATCACCGCTCCATCTATGAGCCCCTGCCGCAGAGGCCACTGTAGCGGCTCATTACAATGTTTGTATCGATAAAGAAACTGCGTGCGGTCGCTCGCTCGGTTGGTAAGATAGTTCCAACCGCGAGCTTTCCAGTCATTTCAATCCACTTTTCATTCATATGTGTAGATATGCAACCAACCACTTTCCAGTCATCACAGCCGTCTGAACGCCAGGTCGTCGAGGTACTAATACATATGTTGAATCTTCGTGAACCGTCGCAAATCTCGCGTGGGATGATGTCACATTTTTGCCCTTGGTGTAAAAATACCACAGGCAAAACTGTTTGGCGCAGCCCAGCGATCAAATTCGCCGCGCCGAAGAACGCCACAAGTTTGGGCCACGAGGGCCATTATGCCTTGCGCGACCGAGTGCTGACACCATTTGTCTTGACGCCGGTGGTTTTCGCATTCGCAAGGTCGGCGATGTCTGCAACGACGTGTGAACCGGGGGCTTCCGCCTTAGACATGCGTCGGAGAGTCTTGCGTGCACTAGGCGCCTTCTTGTCCGTTTTGTATGTGGCGAAGTAGAACGATATGAAGAGGACGAGGTAGGAGCTGAGGATACCAATGCCTGCAAAGGCAGCGAACTCCTCGCCTGCACACTTGCCTGCGGTTGGCATACTGGGGAAGTAAGTGGAGGAGAAGTAGGTGTACGAGGCGAAGTAGACAAAGCCGAGGTCGATGATGAACTGGACGATCTGCAGACGAGTGACCCACTCCTTCCACCAGATGCGAACTCCGCGAGCGCTCTGGAAGTAGTACCAGTACATGACAACGTGAACTGTCAGGTTGAGAGTGATGGGCACCCAAGAAACGGCGGTGCTACCGATCAACTGGGTGTAGCACAACAAGGCGGTGGCACCGTGGTGGTAGCAATGGAGGAAGGTGAGGGGCTTCTTCTTCAGGAACAGGAAGACGGTATCGAGGAGTTCGAGGTACTTGGTGAGGTAGTTCAACTGAGAGGCGTGTTAGCTACGATTCTTGCTTGTACGACCCCTTGGCGCCGCTGCGACGGCTGTACTTACGTAGTACACGACAACAAGAGGCTGCGTCCAGCCACCATCATGGTTGCAAATGGCATAGAAAACACCCTTTCGCACAACCGTTGGCAGGAGCTGCTCGACAAAAAGCGCCAGCAAGATGGCGCTGATGGCCGTCAAGTAGAAGTTGTGGATCAGGAATAGTGTCTTGAGCTTGAATGGCTCCCGATTGCGCATCCATTCCCGTCCGCCGAAGATGATGGAGTAGTAGACGATGATGAAGATGGAGGTCTCCCTCAACGTGGACATCGGCGTCTTGCCGGCCTCAAATCTGAAGTCTTCGGCCGGGTAGCCAGCGACCAGCTCGAAGGCTTTGCTGAAGTAGGGCCACAGGTGGACGCCAAACGGCCTGTCCAGCGTGGGAATTGGAACTGACTCGTACAGAGTCGCTGGGAATGCGCTGGCCATGGCGGATCTCGATTGCGCAATTCTGACGACAAACTGGACGAAGGAGAGACAAGAAGCAGAAAAGAAAAAGAAATTTCGCTGGGCGAAAGAGGTTGATGAGAGTGTATTTGAAGATGCGCAAGTCGGATCGTGGCTTCTACAAAAGGGGAATTTTCTTAGCTCCCTGTACCTGTCAAACCCTGGTCAATCGGGCCCGTCGGCACCCCGCTACGCCAAAGACTAGGCTGTGGTGTAATCTTAAAGCAATATATCGGATAACCTCACCTATATCTGTGGTATTCGCAGAGCTAGATCTCCCCTTAAGTGATTGTGGAGAAATGATGCGCTTGTCGATTTCAATTTTCAGTTTGATGGGTTAAGATGGTAAAGCAAAAGGTAAAGATAGACTTTCCCCATGTTTCTTCCAGAGAGGTGTTTCATTGCATCATCCCAGCCTTTCTGCAAGGCTGGTGTTGGACCCGTGTTCTACTTTTTGCACCCTCCAAGGTTGCTGTAATTTTCGGGTATGCTGTACGTGTAGTGGCCAATTAGGGGTCACCTTCAGCATCCCAATTTCAAATGCACTTGCTCTTCATGGATGAAGACTCTGTGCCCCCTGGGCATTCGACTTGGATGGACACTGTGGTTACAGTTGATGAGAGGCAACAGCTTCTTAGCTTGATAATCCTAGCCCATTGAACGTGTCAACATCATATGAGCAGCAAGTCAGTTTTTGCTTGGGCTTACTGGCTTGGTGCTTTCACGTCAATTCACCTGCAGGTTCCTGTGTTCAGGTCGCATCCGAATGAGCGACAATGATAACAGTGCCAAAGTTTCACGTGCAAGTGTGACGGACAGCGTCTGATAATCCCAACAACTGTAGAATGAATCTCAGCTGCACATGCTCAGTTGTCAAAGACGCGATAATGACGTCGGTGTAGTATTGTTTGCACAATCAGTTGGGAATGGCGCTGCGATCTGTCTCCCTCCCATTTTGTAGCAACATGCTGCATTGACCACCTGCATGAAGCTATGTTCCAGCTTTTCCCGAGGGCCACACCACTGTGATGGGAGGAGGTTCGTCTTGGCCCAGCTTGGGAAGCTCCACCTGGGTCACAAGCGGGGCCAATCAACCGTCGTGAATTTGCATCCATTGAGCGACTTCCTTTTCTCTTGCCACGATATTTCGACACTTTTGCTCCCTCAGCCGACGACTCTGGAGATACACCGAGCACACCAACCCCAACCTCCCACCAGCTCTCGTCACTGTCAATCCGTCGCCATGTCTTCTTCCGCCATCCTCCGAACCATCGCCCGCGGCCCCTCAAGCACCTTCTTCCGCGCATACCGACCCATCACTCCCAGCCGCGCAGGCGCTTTCGTGCCAGGATTGATCGCTGGCTCAAGCCTCAACTTCAGCACCAGTGTCGCACGACGGAGCGATCACGAGGAGACTTTCGAGGAGTTCACTGCCAGGTGAGTCTCTCTGCATATCTCGATAGCCCACGGACAGTCGAAGGAGCCTTCTATGGGACCCAATTCACATTTGAATCGGGCCTATTAGGTCATGAGGAGGCCTTCAAGCTCTCAGACGGGTCCAATTCGGCTGTAAAAGCTTATCTGAGGCTATCAAGGGCTAATCTAAGGACTTTACAGATATGAGAAGGAATTTGAGGGTGTGCAAGATGTCTTCGAACTCCAGGTTCGTCTTCAATTTCCATGACCAATTTGTGTTTGGGACATCGTATGATCGCATGGCCGGCTTGTGCGTCATATCGAATTCCGTCCCAGAACCCCAAACCACAGCCAAGTGCAAACAACCACCCTAGCTAACACCATCACCTCAATAGCGCAACCTGAACAACGCCTTCGCCTATGATCTCGTCCCCTCGCCCACCGTCCTTGTCGCAGCCCTGAAGGCCGCACGCCGAGTCAATGACTTCCCCACTGCCGTGCGCATCTTCGAGGGCATCAAGGCCAAGGTTGAGAACAACGGCCAGTACCAGCAATACCTGGACGAGCTGAAGCCCTTGCGGGAGGAGCTGGGTATTGTGCTCAAGGAGGATATGTACCCCGAAGAGTCTAAATAAAGTAACAACCACCCCGTTACCAACCCTAGACCGGATAGCCAGCCCATGGACTAATGGGTGTGGATGTGGAGGTTGTCACCAGGGCCAGGAGAGGGACTGTCATGGAATTGGCATGGCAGATGTGTATATGTCTACTTTTTTGTTACTAGAGCAGCCAAAATCAAGACAACTGGAAGGTGGCAGGCATGAATGCAGACTAGCGGCCATCTTTCTTTTGTCGTGTAAAGCATCACTAAGAAACCATACTTGTTTGATTCAAGTGTCGTCTCACCTCCAGGGCATTCATTAGTATCGTATATTTCAGCTAATCCTCTCATCTCAGTTCTGGCTACATAATATGATAGTGCTGCCCGATTACCTGATCCCTCTCTAGCCCATCTGCCAAGGTTGTCTAAGTAGTTCGCGTTTGGAACAAGGGGCTCCTCTGCTCTACCAGTTTTGCCAAGTCAGTCCTAGTACTCTCATCACAGGATGTCCTCGAAATCGCCAGCTTCATTTCTGCTATGACCATGGCACAATACTCCTCGTCATTACAAGGCCATGCTCAAATGCTACTGACATATATATACAGACATGCTTTCTCATGTGTACATTGGATCAAACACCAGCGGTCATAATGTGTCTGTTCGGCCTGACTGCGAGTACTTTGCTGCAGACTTGAACGATGCAGGAGACATCTAAGGCAACTATCAACAATGGTTAGATACAAAGGTAAGGAGGAGACTTGTGCGCGAGCTTAAGGGTAAACAAACCATCTTGGGCCATCTGGGGTGCAGCAAGCGTGTGGTTTACTACCAGCATTAGCGGTGGAAGACTCCGTCGACCTACGGCAACGTCGACGTCGACATGATAGCCACACAGCCCTTGTGTATCCTCCTTTGTCTTGGGGTTCAAAGTGTCTGCCCACGTTCTGAGTGTGGTCGTAGTCCCGTCATCAACCATCACTTTCATAGCATGCCCACGAGATTGCTCGTCTCTGCTGATGACATGGAGTTCCAAGGGTTGAAGGGCCACGCGGGTAAATTATCTTGTTCGTCTCGTCAGTTGCTCCTTCTACCTCTTGAGGCAAAGCCGTAATAATTCCGCATTTGAATTTGAACACGAGCTGGCGCATATGCTTGAAATCTTCGGGTTGCGTGCCTCGAAGAATGGATACTCAGTTCAGGACGGCTTCTCGGACAAGGTACTCGACCTGTCCTCGTATAGCCGTCGTCGAGTCCATCCGGAAATGATCGAGGCCCACAGCTTAACTCTGCATCTTAGCTGTGGGAACTTTTTTTTTCTTTTTTGGAGATGTGTTGCACTCCTCAGTGGTTGAATGAGTAGGGAAGAACAGAACCTGTCCTAGTCAACAAAAGTAAAGGGGTATATAATTAGCATAAAGGACTAATCAGCACGTTTTCTAAACCTGTGGAAACTCGGTACTGTCTGTTCCGGAATCCTTGTTTTCAATTTTGATATTTCCCCCCCATCTAAGACGGCATGGCGAGCTTCTTGGTTTACCTAAATGAGACCACTCGCTGTCGAAATTTCCCCCGGAATGAGTATGTCTAAAGTTATTAAATGTGGTCGAACTGAACAATACAAGAAACTGAGGAGAGAATCGGTGGGGAGGGCATGATGCTTCTAGATAATCAGACGTAGCTCTATTGGCAATTTCTGGAAACGGTGGGACGACGTTGTGTTGGCCATTTTGGCTGTATGACTGTGCGGTGGTATATATGTTGAAGGATTCCCCCATGCCAGTTTGTAGACACGGGAGTGAATCAGAGAAGATGTGCTTTCAGTTGGTTATGTTGATAGCTTGGTGTTGGCTGCTAGATCTGACAATTTGGGGGGTTGGTTCGTTGAATGATTGCGGCCCCATCACTGTTAGAGGCCTACAGTTAGTACTCATATTATTTAACCGGAAATACTTTTTATCTTTCAGCTATAACTCTGTCTATGATCCTAAGGTTGTTCAATCTACACACTGAGGTCAACAAGCTAGTACTATAAATAAAGCATCGACAATACCATTAAAGAAGGATCATCGCAGAGTAAGGAATGAGTAATGTGGTTATTATCACTTGTTTACCATAGAAGCTATATCCATCTGACGGCTAACAACAATAATTGCAGCATTTCGAAATGGGTATTATCTCACTGAATATAATGTTTTCAAATGATATCCTTACAGACAAACAGCATAATGGTCTACTAGGTGTAGTAAGTGCTAGTTATTGTTCGGACATCCCTAACTCCGAATGGCTTCATACTTGATTACGTATTGAATCATGCGAGCCTTAATATGTGAAAATGCTGTTACTGCCAAAACCTCTGATGCTTGTCGTGACAGTGGAATGCTATATCCCCCCCTAAGCATATCTTTACGCATTGAATCTGAACGGAACCTGATATGAATTTTATCTTGCATAAAACTTCTAACAAAACAGGCTAACGTGAACCATACTGGCACATCATCCAGCAGCGTAACGAGGGCCGAAGGATATGCCAAGATCATAGAGTATTCTCACTCGGGCAGAATCCTGAAATCCATCTTCAATTTCCCGTATAAAGTTTTCACACCCATGTATTTCAAAATTATCCGAGACGTAGCGTCCGGACTTGGTTGCAGCTTGAGCAGAGCTCTTGTCTGCTTGTGAATCATTATCTGGCCTTGTCGAGTTCTATGACAGATCGAGATTTGTCCACACGCAGATTCTAACCGGGTGCACGGACCTATCGGCGGTCCCCTTTTCCAGTAGGAGCTCAAGCCAGCTTCCAGCTTTCTGCAGCACAGCATGAGGCAAAACTACGAAAACCAAAATCTTGTGCAGTAGCGACCGTGACCGTCACATATTTATCTCGCCAGGTCCTCATCCGTCCCTCCCATTAATCTTTTCCACATCAACGCCAACCACACCAGCAGTGACGACACTGGAAGCTACCCATCATGGCCTGGAGAAATCAAGGTATTACGGGATCGAACAATATCCCCTTGGGGAAGCGACGATTTGGCAGCGAGCCCGATGATTCTGTTGCCAAGCATGAAGACAGCCCAGATGTTGGCGGTTGGAGTGCTGATCGCGAAATGAAGCGCGGTCGCAGCCCTGAGCCGCGTACCGATGCCGATGGACTTCGCCGCCGCAAGAAGCGCAACCGATGGGGAGATGCATCTGAGAACAAAGCAGCGGGCCTCATGGGCCTGCCCACCGCGATTGTCGCCAACATGACCAGCGAGCAGCTCGAGGCCTACACGTTGCACCTGCGAATCGAGGAAATCAGCCAGAAACTCAGAATTGACGATGTCGTCCCAGCTGATGGAGACAGGTATGTCACGCCCATCATCCATCATCCAGCGCTTACATTTATTATACTAACTAACTGCATCCACAGATCTCCCTCGCCCCCGCCGCAGTACGACAACTACGGTCGCCGTGTCAACACGCGCGAGTACCGCTATCGCAAGCGCCTCGAGGACGAGCGACACAAGCTGATTGAGAAGGCTATGAAGACCATTCCTAACTACCACCCACCTCAGGACTACCGTCGTCCGACCAAGACCCAAGAGAAGGTCTACGTGCCGGTCAATGACTACCCGGAGATTAACTTCAGTGAGATTGCTAACCCTCTAACCTTTCTAACCATGATCCTCTCCCTCCTTAGTCAGATTCATGCCAGGCGCCGCCGTCGCACCTACTCTCTATGTGATGTGTACCGGCCTGGCTATATCTAATTTTCGTGTCTGCTACCCTTTACTTGCTACAGTTACTAACACTAGCTCTTCTTACTAAAGTCGGCTTACTCATTGGCCCTCGTGGCAACACATTGAAGAAAATGGAAACAGAATCCCAGGCAAAGATTGCTATCCGCGGTAAAGGTTCCGTCAAGGAAGGCAAGGGCCGATCCGACGCCGCTCACGCAAGCAACCAGGAGGAGGATCTCCACTGTTTGATCATGGCAGATACTGAAGAGAAGGTCAACAAAGCCAAGAAGTTGATCCACAACATCATTGAGACCGTGAGTGTTACTCCCACCTCCGCTGCCCTGCATTTGAAAAAAAAGATGTTAACGATTGGTAGGCTGCTTCCATCCCTGAGGGCCAGAACGAACTCAAGAGAAACCAGCTCAGAGAGCTAGCTGCCCTAAACGGTACCCTCCGTGACGATGAGAACCAGGCATGCCAGAACTGTGGTCAGATAGGCCACCGCAAGTATGACTGTCCTGAGAAGCAGAACTTCACTGCCAACATCATCTGCCGTGTTTGTGGCAACGCTGGTCACATGGCCAGAGACTGTCCCGACAGACAGAAGGGTGCTAGCTGGCGCAATGATGGTCCTCCTACTCGTCCTGCGGCCCGCATTGGTGGAGATGATGCTGTCGACCGCGAGTACGAGGTATGTTCATTCCCCCTCCTGTTCATCAGACGACATTCAACTAACATTTTCGCAGCAACTCATGCAAGAACTTGGTGGCGGATCCGGTGCTGCCCCCGCTCGCATCGAAGCTGGCCCAGGTTCTTATGCTGGGGCCGGAGACGCCAAGCCCTGGCAGCGTGGCCCTACTGGTGCTGCCGCTCCCTGGCGATCGCGCAACAACGAGTCGGCCAACGATGGTGGCTCTGCTGCCCCGTGGCGTGACCGCAATCGTAGCACTGACAACCAGGGTGCTAATGACTACTATGGCGGTCAGAACTACAACAGCGGCGCACCTGCTGCTGGCACTGGCGCAAGCGCTGGCGCTGCTCCCTGGCACCAACCCCCGGTTGCTCAACCAGCATACCCAAGTTACCCTGCGTACTCTGGCTATGGTGCCGCACCTGGTATGGGAGCTCCTCCTGGTCTTGCGCCTCCGCCTGGTACTTCTGGGCTTGGTGCTCCTCCCGGCCTTCCTGACCACCTGAATGCGTTGATCCAGCAGTACGCTGGCGGTGCGGCACCGCCTCCTCCGGCCGGTGAAGCACCTCCACCCCCTCCTAGCGATCAGCCTCCCCCGCCTCCTCCTGGTGCTTAAGCGTGAGATGGATAGGACCAGTCTCTCTGGCGCTAACAGCAGCTTATTTTCGCATGATCGAACTTGTATCAATTGTTATTATTGAGGTTCACCCCTTAGGGTTTCTACTGCAGAAGCCTTAAGGACGATTTGTTGATTTCCCGTCGAGGTCCAGCGATCTGCTCCAGGCAATCAGGACCGCTGCTAACATAGGGGGATTAATGGCGGACAGCACTCTGTATGACTAACAAATCCGTAGACAGAAATAAGGACATTCCACTTGTACAATGGACATGTGATGAGTGATGAACGTTTCAGTTTAACGTTCCGTAGCCTCGCGGTGTGTACTGACTATGATGCTTTGTTATAAAGAAGTTCCACATAGCGAGAACAGTTCAGAAATGTTGTCGGGCAAACATTCGGTTTTGTAGTCGCCTACGAACACATTGGCCTTCACACGCCGATTATTGTTCTGCTCAACCCAACTGTTATCTGGAGGCATCTTTTGCTTGATGTGATCTATCCTTTCCTAGACGCGGCGGGTCATCTTTCCTAGAAGCCAACCAGTCGATTTATTCATATGTTGAATCGAGACGAAAGGGACCATTAAAGGTTCAATGAAGTTGAATAATTTGGTTAGAGGTGATGAAATTTTGATACCAACTTCGGAGCCCCCAAGGTCAGGATGTCCAGGGTTCAAATACAACATTTTGGTCACCCATAGGCTGACCGGCCCTTCCTGGTGTGTTCCCTGGCGTTGAAGCCGTGCTATTCCAGGCCAGCAACCTGGTTCCTCTAGATTCACGACAAAGCGGCATGGAAGCCTAAGATGAGCCCCGTTGAATCATCAGGGTCGAGGAGGGTGCCACATAACTTTGCGTCCTTGATGTAGGATATTGGTAACGCCTCTATTAGTGCATCAGCGTGGGAACGGATGAAGTCGAGCGACACTTTCTCGATGCTTGCTACGGCAAGTTAGAACCAAAATCTTTCTAACAAGAACAAGTTGCAACTACTTCCAAAGCAGCTCGCAGCAGCTACACATGCAGCTGTGTGTGAGCTCACGATGCCATATATAGCATCCGTATCTCCCCTCAGTGATGTCAACAGGCCGCCTGCAAGCCCACGCTCACCAGTCTCTATGCACGACCAATCCAGTGACCCAGCAGATGCTGCCATCATTAAAGTTTTAACGGCAGACACGTGTGTAGGAGCTGCTGCCCGTGGTGGTGTCGGGCAGGTATTGCCCTCGGCATCGGCGCGCACTCAGGTTGACGCTCTCACCTGCTAGAAATGTTTAAAGAAGCAAACAAGACGATCGAATTTCTTTCCCTAGCTTGTCAGAACCCTGCCCCCAAGTTTCCTATTTCTTGTTGCAGAGCCTTGCAACTTCACGCAACATGTCATGCGTGACCTTATTGCTGGCCAATGTCTCATATATTTGCTTGGCCATCTTGATCCTGCTCCTGCGACTGGCTTCCCGAGACCGCTCAAGCAGGGGGAAACACGAGGATCCAAGACGAGCTTGACTGCCAAATGACGAGGCGAGATCCCAGATACTGTAGGCGAATAAGCCGAAGGCTTGTCCGAAGGCCATGTGACCTCTCCATAAAGTCTGAGGTGGAAGTGAGGAAAAGCTAAGAAGCGGCGTAACATGAGACATATCTTCGTCGAGAAGGTAGACACAGTCGTGCTAAGCCACTGAATTAGGTGCCCGAGTGACGAACTGCAAGCACTTGTAGGGGATCAGCGTCGTCGCGGAAAATACAAGTTCTTGTAGGGCTGCGGCTGCATGTAGGGCTGCACAACTTGTGTTGTGGAGTTCCAGCCAATCCCACCTGCAGCAAATGTAAACTGGAGGTGGATAGAAACGGAAGCTACAGAGGACCGCTGGAGCTTGGGCCAGGCCATTCATCAGATGCGCTCTGGGTGGTCGGTCTAGCTCTAGCTCTTAATCGGTAGCACCAAGTCCCCACCTCTCGAGGTTGTGATGACGACAAATCGTGACATCTTGCTCGGACCCTCTGCGACAGGTAATCGCAACCCGCGGTCATTGGAAGGAAAGCTATTGTTTTTTATATACCGCCAAGCGGCTGACACGAAAACGGTGCAACTTTACTACAGTCAATTGCCTTAGCTCATCTCGTTGGCTTCAACACTAGAGTTGCGCTTATTCTGTTCTGTAACTTCTAGCTGGTGGGGTAGGCAGTAGGAGACAAGGTGGTCGATCTTGATTTGCAAGCACCAAACACTGGGGGGTGATGCCGCAGCCTCTTCCTTCGCTCCTCTGATGCGAAGAGGATCCGTCATTCTCCAGACTCACTTCTACGGCCCCTCAAATTCACCTAGATTATCTCCACAATCGCATCGGGTGCGAAACATCGGCCCGCCATGGCCGTGCCTAATCCCGTTGCCTTCAAGCCCTTCTCGGTGACCTTCTGGACGACAGTCATCTACCTCGCCTTGCTCATCCCCCTGATCATAGTCCACGAGACGGTCCCTTCCCCGCCGCACAGTCCGACGCTATACTCTGGCATCAATTTGACCGACGCGTGGTCCGACTTGGCCACATTGACACGAGCCTATCATCCGTACAACAGTCGGAACAACGACGATGTTCGCAATTGGCTCTTGTTTCGAATCGGCGAAATCGTCAAGCGCAATGAAGTGGACGCATCCCAGGTTGTCATATTCAATGATACCATCACCAATGTAACCTTAACGCACCCCGCGAGGCTGCCCAAGACCGAGCAATACCCTGGGCGACATCCTGAAGGCGCTGGGACGTATTTTGAGGGCAACAACATCATGGTGTACATTCGTGGCAAAGACGACCCCCAGCGAGATTGGTGGTTCGATATAGATGGGTACATTCGAGCGGACAAAGTGATTGGCAAAGGTGGTGTCCTAGTGAATGCTCATTTCGACTCGTGAGATCCCCTCGTCTTGGGACCAGCATTGGCCGCGTCATGTTTATGCTGACTCTCGCACAGCGTATCTAGTGGGTATGGAGCCACGGATGATGGCATGGGTGTCATCACAATTTTGCAGCTGATCAACTACTTTACGGCCCCGGGAAACCAGCCCCAGCGAGGTATCGTCGCACTCCTCAATAACAATGAGGAAGATGGGCTTCATGGCGCCAGAGTATTCGGATACTCCTCTCTGATGCCGTTCTGTCACACCTTCCTGAATCTCGAAGGAGCAGGAGCAGGTGGAAGGGCCAATCTTTTTCGAGCCACTGATCTCGAAGTGATCAACGCCTACAAGGGAACGGAGCATCCGTTCGGCACCGTCATGTCCTCGGATGCGTGGTCGACAAAGGCGATTCGCAGTGGAACAGATTACGAGGTATTCAAAGATGTGTATGGCATGCGCGGAATGGATGTGGCTTTCTATCGGCCACGCGCTCGATATCATACCAACCAGGACGACATCCGCCACGCATCCAGAGCGAGTTTATGGCATATGCTATCGAGTTCTTTGCACACGGTGAAAGGTCTCTCGGGCGACACTGGCAGCACGTTTATTGGGAACCGTCGTGATCGAAATCCGAGGAAAGTCTCCAACGGAGCTGGCACCGATGGCGTGTGGTTCGACATATTCGGCAAAGGCTTTGCTATGTTCGGCCTGCGGCCCATGTTTGCCTGGTCCCTTACGCTACTTATCGTCTCGCCGCTCATACTGATCTTATTCACGTATGTCCTCGTTAAGCGTGACAAGTACTATTTCTTTTCCTCGAGGAAATCGCCTTATGAAGGATCTGTCCTGGACTCTGTCGTGCTCGGTGGGCGTAAGGGAATGTTTCGCTTTTTACTCGCCTTTGTGGTTTCCGTGGCTTTGGTTGTGGGGTCGGCATACCTGCTCAGAAAGATCAACCCCCTTGTCATCTACAGCCACGAGTACACGGTGTAAGTCACATTCACCCACGCTCTTCTCCAGGCGAAACGCTAATGCTTTTACAGCTGGTCCATGATGATGTCTCTATTCTATTTCGCCTTCTGGTCGATTATGGCTAGCGCCAACTTCGCTCGACCCAGTGCTTTACACCGAGGCTACGTTATACTCTGGCTCTTCATCATCACGTGGGCTTTGTTGGTGGTTACCACTGTGTATGAGGACAGATTCCGGGTTGCTGCCGGCTATGTATTCGTTTTCCTTCATTCGGCGGTATTCCTCTCTGCCGTTATTACGGTTTGCGAACAGTTTGCCTTGCCGACCAAAACGGCTTTCGCCCAGAAGGCGCATGATGAACATCAGGCCCATGACCACATGGATGCCGTGCCGCACGCGGATGACCTTATTGAGCATAGCTCGATGGGAGGTGGTGCTAATGATGTCGGTGATGACGAAGGTAATTCTGATGAAGCCTCCGAAACTAGTCCATTAGTTGGAGGAAATTCCCGAGACAGTACGGGCACGACCTTTGGCACCATCTATCGTCGCTCCATTAGCGCCATCAAGGACAAGTCCAAGGCTACGGAAGATCAGAGACACGAGTCTTTCGGATACGAGCAGGAGTGGTCTAAGAAGTTACCAAGCTGGGTGTGGTTTCTGCAATTCCTCCTGTTGGGACCGTTCCTTCTTATCCTGTTCGGTCAGGCTGGACTCGAGCTTGTCGCATCGGTCAACCAGACCGGCGCAGATGGAAGCAGTCTCTTACTACCATACCTGCTCGTGGCGTTTTTCACCATAATGACGCTACTCCCGCTGACTCCGTTCGTGCACCGGATAACGCACCACATACCCGTGTTGTTGCTCGTAGTATTCGTGGCTACGTTGATCTACAATCTGGTGGTGTTCCCGTTCTCTGCTGAGAGCAGGTACAAGGTGTACTTCCGACAGACGATTGATCTGGACAGTGGCGTCTCAACCATCAAATACACGGGCATTGATGAATACGTGCGTCAAGCAATTGCAGAGCTTCCATCGGCTTTGGGCAAGAATGTCACTTGCGAGTCTTCGAATCCAGAGCAGGCCTACTTCGTTGCTTGTTCCTACGATGGTTCCAAAGTCAGTCCTGCGGTGGCAAGGGGAAACTACACGGATTGGATTGCACTCAACATCACCCGACCCAAAGCTCCAAACCAGGCACGCTTTAAGATTAATGCACTGGAAACGAGAACATGTGGACTACGCTTCAATAAGGCGATCTCGTCCTTCCAGGTCGTCGGAGGCAACAGTCAAGATGATCGTTTCGGGGATTGGCCCGAAGGAGGTGTGAAGAGCATTTTGCTCTACCGCCGCGAATGGGACAAGCCATTTACAGTGGACGTTGAATGGGATGCGCGTAATGCCGAATCAGGGCTTCGCGGCCTGGTGTATTGCGACTGGGATGATGCAACGAAGGGGAAGATCCCCGCTTACGACGAAGGTTTGCAGTACGCCCCTGACTGGGTGGCGTTGACCAAGGAGTCCTGGGGTTTGTTGCATGGTAGCAAGGCATTTAAGGTCTAGCTATGGCGCGATGAAGGAGTTGGTGTTGGTTTCTTCCTAAGCATTCTCATAGTCTTTATGCATTAAAGAATGATTAAATTGTATTCTAGGTCCTCAGATTCGGACAGTCGTCGGCGGTTTGACGGTGCGTGGGGGGATCAATTTCGAATTGGGCCCGGGCTCCCTCAATACATATACTATGCATGGCGGGGCTCGTGCCCCTCTATACCTGAGACCACAACTTCTCATACTCGGTATGTTTAGTCTTCCGGGAAAGCCGTAACGTTACGGCACAGCAAGTACGCCTGCGGCAAGGTCCTTCATCCTCCGACAGTCCCTCATCGTCATGAGTTGACACGCAGTAACGATCAACTCTGTCCAGAGTACCTGCTCGACATCGTACCCGAAATCTTGAATCACATCCTGTTGTGGACCCCAAACCCTTTGCAAATGGCCTGCCTCGTTAATATCAAACAAAGCGCTGCCTGGCTCTAGTATGCGCTCAATGTCGAACTTCACAATATTGTTGTGGATGAAGAACGGCCTTGCTGTTTTCAGCGTGCTCTGATGCAGGTCGTTCAGCGTTTTCCCAGGATCCAGCTTCGAAGTCTCTCGATCCGTACCGATGGATCGAAGCTGCGACTCTACCGCCGAGTGTGAAGTGAAACCGTTAATATTCCACTCCTCCGCGGGGTCCGCCTGCTTCATCCCAAAGGAATGCCACGTGTCGTTGAGCCATCGTCCCATGACGGTGACGGGACTCTTGACATCGTACCATTCGGCCCCGATCACCGTGGCCGCATGCAAAAAGGTATCCTTGTCCCCCTCGCCCGCCGCGCCCTGGGCCAGCAGCGGATAGTACAAGTCCGGCCCGAAGAAGTTATAGTACAGCGCCATCAACAAGTCCGTCGCATGCCGCGCCTTGTCATATAGCAGAATACCCGCTTCCGAACTCTTCCTAGCTGCCAGCGGTGGCGCCTTGACCCGCGTGATGTCGAATATCAGCGGGCTTGCGGTACTGACCCAGAAATCCGGCCACGTCACCAGCCCCGTCGACTTATACGGCTGCGTATCGAACAGCTGATCGGGATTATGCGCGGGAAACGCATCCGCGTCTAGGAACAACACCTCCTGGAACGGCGAAAACAGGATCGCGAACACCTTGTACTGGTACCGCAGCAGCGGCGTCGAAGGGGGCGCCGTGTCCAGCAGGTCCGAGAGAACAACGCACTCAGCGTTTAAATCAGGCAGAACCTCCCCGCAGACAAGCGGGTCGTAGTCTTTGTGCGTATCGAGGAACACCGTCACGGGGAGTTTGGACCCCGTGCTCCTCAGCATGCGCAGCGAAACAACCACCATACCGAAGTAGCTCCCGCCAGCCGTAGTGACGATGCCCCTGGTGCGCACCTGAAACGGCAGTTCGGAGGAAGCCTGGCCCCGGGCAAATTTAAGCATGGCATCGTGCGAGGTGCGCAGGGTGGTCTTGGTGATCTCGTCGAGGTAGATGAGACTCGGGCGCGGGTGGTTGTCGAGGTTCTCGGGGGCTTGGTCCTCCCCGGTTACTTTGCCATCGTCGGGCTGGTGGATCGGGTCCACAGCGGGCGTGAGCCGGAATAGCTCGTCGCGGAGGAGCCGCCAGAAGGATTGCACCGTGGGGGAGTGGAGGTGCGCGTGTCCCGAGATGGGGCGGGCAGGGCGGAAGAAAGAGGAGAGACCACCGTCGCTGCTGCTGCCGGTCGTGGACGATGTGGTTGTGGTGGCAGGTAGTGGGAAGTAGTGCGATGGTTGATCGAGGAAGAGGAGCAGGAGGAGGGCGAAGGGAAGAGTCAAGAGGGCGCGACGCATCCACGTGGGCTGAGACCGCATGATCCAGCCCATCTTGAAAAGAGGTTGAAGATTTCTGCTTCTTTTGAAAAAAACTATCTCATCAAGTTTCCTCTGCGTGTGCTCATCGTATGTCTGGTTCGATATTCGAAGCCGACGAGCGATAGCTGGGATTCGAAAAAGCAGCGACGGCAGCATCAGCAGGAGCAGCAGCAGCAGACATAATAATAATAAGATAACCAACATGCCGTCCTCATTGTTGAAATGTGTGTTGCAATAGCCTATGCTCCCGCGCCTGTGATCCAGTCAGATCGCCGTCCGTGGCTGAGCCAGATGCGACAGGCACCAGCTTAGAAGTAGTAGTAGTACTGGTGTCCAAGACAATTTTAATGAGAGAGGGAAGCAAGCACGGTTATATCCGTCGACCAATATCTGGTAAGGCAGGGTAGAGGCGCAGACCAGCAAGAAGCTAACTAAGTGGCTACCTTGTTAGTAACCACCCTAGCTAGGGCAGACAAAGGCTCGAAGATCACGTTTGGACTCGTTTTTTTCTGTTTGGTGGTTTTCTGCACAAGAAAATACGACATTATAAGCGCCAAGGCGTGTGTTGGTTGACACTCAACCCAACGGTTTGGGACGAAAAAGTCGCCATGAGGGATCTTACGACGAAACCTGGGCTATTCTCAGAGCTGAACCCGAGAGAACTTTGCCGCTGAGAAGTGGGTGGCGCTAGCGTCAGAGTGGTATTTGCTGATGATGCCGATGCACGATGCGGGTTGGGCGTGTGGTATGGTGGGTGATACTTACCGCACCTGTGGATCAATTTAATGTGAGGCGCATCCAACAACGCAAGACTGATACAATACCAGCGTGCTCTGAATCATCGACATGCCGTGGCAGAAAATCCAAGCGAACGAATACGGCAGAATTGATCTGCAGAGCTAATCTTGGGGAAGTAAGCGTGGGTGCACGGGCAAGAAGAAGGCAGCTCACGCAAATATGGCGATGCTTGTAGCTAAAAGCGTAGCCCGCCTGTCCGATGGGCCATGAGAGCAGGCGTATCAAAGGACGAATGGGCACATCATTTCAGAGCTATGTAAGACCTGTTCAACGCCCTGGATACATCTGCCATACCGCCCCGTTTCAACTTGATTTCGTACAATCTCGTACGAAACCGTGAACAGCTTCACAAGATGGTAAATTACGGTCAAGATATCTTGCGCACACTCGACGCAATTGGCGACGCGCTCACGTTCAACTCAATTTCCCACCTACCTTCACCAACATGTCAATCGACCACCAGCAGCCATGGTAGATACTCCCAGAAAAGCTCTTGCGCGTTCTCATCACCGGTCATCAGAGAGGCCAGAAGTAATCTGCCCCAGAACGTGCCACGGTGGCGGCCTGGCGCGCAGGCGGCTCAAGTGTGCGGGGGTTTGCTAGGTGATTCGAGTGCTCGCCGCCGTTGGTGGTTACATGCAATACCAGGCGTGTATAACCCACTCGATCATTCGCCTCGTGACCCGTAGCGGTCGCCCCCAAGCCCTGACCATACGGCAGGCCCGGCCTATCACCAGAATGGTGAGGAAAATCCCCAGGATTGGATGGTGGCGCCCTCCAAAGAGGTCCGCGAGCAGGCCCGGTCATATGCTATGCCGAACATTATCAAGGCCGCCTTCAAGGTACAGAATCTTAGGCACTAGAAGTCGCTACGGCGAATCCAGCTAACCCCTATAGCCGTAGGTTAAAGAACCAAGTGTTTTCGGAGGGACGGGGAATCATAGCTAGTTCAGGTACGTGTAAGTCACACTAGGGCGTGGTCTCGCGATTCTCACAGCGATTTTGGAGACTACGAGCACCTATACTCCCGAAGTATATTGAGCAACGAGTGTACGGCGCCAAACGCTACCATTTCTAGCGCCGGCTGGGTATGGTGGATGGCGAACGGTACAGATCACGGGAAGGCGGCTATCTCTATTACAATCGGGGGCACTATCTTTAAATGGGTGGGGATCCGAGCTCGTTATTATGGAGCGGGATTAGCTCAGCGCAACGGCTTTTCGTCCAAGGCGTACATGCAGGCTCTAGGGAAAGCCCTGCTACCAGTGTACACTCCTAGCACACGTTTCCCCAGCAAGATAGCGCCAGAGTTCATTTATCCAATGCCACTACAGAGTGGCTGGAACTCTGCGGCATCTGGGCTATCGACTGGCCCGCCTCTAGTCCTCGTTAGTCGTTAATCAAGCATATGCGGCGCTATATGAAAGCGTGTCTATAGAAAGCACCCTGACGTATACCTTCCGCAGGACAACGAGGCTGACAGGTAGACGACCGTGAAAGACGGCATCCGGGCGGCGTGGCGGGCTGTCCCACGGGCCATTACTGACGAACTGACCAACTCGGTGCCTCACTCGGGCATGAGCTTCGTCGCGTACGTTGGTTGCTATACATAAAATCAAAGAGAAGAAGTCGCGCAGTGGGATGCATTTTTTATGATCGAATTTGGCTAGTAAATGGGTGTGCGTAATTGAGTTGGCACCTATGGTGCTGAAGGTTAGGTCTCCGCAGTGGGGCGAGTGTGCGCCAGGCTTTGGACCATGATTTTAGCCCTAGTGCGAGAGACAGCGCCAGTCACTGGGACAGCATACTCTGAAGCCCAAAAACGGTTGATTGAAATCATATATGTACTGCGGCTTTTGTCTGCTCATTACAGCCAGCCTTTTTGCATAATTACATTCCACGTGAGTGTACATCCCTAATTACCATACCAAAACGTATCCAACGGCTGAGCTTTCCCCAAGTGATCATCTTGTGTCCCACATCAAGCTGAAGTATAAAGAGGATGTTTAAAAGGCAGCGAGAACGCCCAGAGCGATCATGGCCGCACTACCGATCGAGCCCATAACGGCAGCACCAGCAGTGGCCACGGTAGTGGCTGCTGTCCCGGTGCCGCTGGTGGAGTTACCGGTCGAGGTCGGCGTCACGGTGCCGTTTGGCGCAATGGTGCTGGATGGGGCAACGGTGCTGGATGGGGCAACGGACGGGACGCTGGATGTGCTGACCACGGAGGTCAATATCGTGCTAGCGACCGAGGTTGGGGTCACGGTGGTGCTGGCCTCGGTGGCCGTGGATACGGCAGAGCTGGGGGCGCTGGTGGTGGTGGTGCCAGCTGCCTCGGCGGCCTGGCATAAAGCTTCCACGGCGGGAAGGACTTGGCCTGGGAACATAGTCAGTATACTTGCAGCTTTGGTAAGAGGGCATCGTGTGAAACGTACCGGCAGCAACCTCAGCACCACACGCCTCGAGAACACAACCGGTAGCGGCCCCAGTCAAGGCATCCTTGGAGTCACAGATGCACTTGTAGTCATCGATGGCACAGCTGGTCACGCTGGTGCGGGCAGAGTCGATGCAAGGAAGGGCGCATGACGGGATATCCGAGAGGGACTGGGCCGAGACGACGGCAACGAGGGCCGCGGCAGCAAAGGAGTACTTCATCTTGTCGATAAGGGCTTGTGAGACTTGGTGTCGATAGATGATGGGCGCACGAGACGTAATATACAGACGACAACAAGAGTTGTATTTGGCGTTGGAGTCAAGCGGACGTATGTGGATGGGGGGGAAAGGGGAAGTCGTTCTAGGTCAGCGAGCAGTCACGCTTATATGTGTATTTCCTCGTGCTAGCAACTTCAAGAATCGGCAGCAACGGGTTGCATTGGAGCCATGGAGGGTGGGTGGTCCAGCATGAAGCTTATTGGGATCATAGCCTAGTCGTTGCTCTTCCTTGGACACCTCTCGATGCACCATGTTGCCAATATGGCCGGGGTAGTCCCCCGTGGCCCATGTCTGTCTGGATGCAGCAGTGATATTGCCCTGAAAGGTGCTAAGATTAATCGGTATTGGCATTCCACATAGGGCTCCACAGCCGACGCGATCCTAGACATAATCGTCCGGCGCCAAGTATTTGTGCCTGTATTCTGGGGAAGCCTTGCGCCCAGTGTCCTCCCAGCGTCCTCCTGAGACTGCTGAGACTGCTGAGAGGGTCATCATTCGATATTGCTTGCAGTTGGTAGATAACCTTATTGACGCAGAGAAGATTGGTGCAATCTCGGGTACCAGACTCCACCGCTCAAAATGCTACTATAGCAGGACAGATGACACTCCGTACCGAGTGCACGCGCGCCGGACCAAATGTTTAATGTTCCCGCGATGTGTTGACTGTTGTCAGAGATCTTCATCGAGGGCGAATCGGGTTGTTCTGGCGCGGCGGCGCAGTAGCTGGCGTGTGAGGGGCGACGTACACTGGTTGCACAAACTTGACCGAAAATACGGTGTCGTTGGGTTGCAGTGCGAGTGGCGGGAAAGTTGCAGGATTCAGCCTTCGTATACCGTATTGTTGCTGGTGTGGTGACCCAGTGAGGAGGTAAATTCAGGCTTGCCGAGACTTGCCCAGCCTTGTCGTGCGATTCAAACTCAATAGCGTCCTGGGGCTGCCATCGAATCGAACCTCACAGAACAAAAGCTGGCGGACTAGACCTACCGCTACAACGGTTGAACTCTAATAATTAACAGTGGCTACGTAACAGCTAGGAACCAGAACTAGCTCGACAATTCCTTCCCTTGGCGCTAGAACCTCGACGGTTGCGCATGCAGGGGTCCCTGCCGCCCCCAACCCCCCCTTCGGAGCTGACTACGACAAATGGTTTAGCGGTAGTCCAAAGAGTTTGGAGATGCATTGGGCCCAGCCCTGGGGTTGGATTCTACCGGTTGAGGCTGCTGGTCATGATGGAATTTGATTGGGAACAATGCCAACTTCCCCGAATTCTTCTGTCAATGCCGAGGTGGGTTCAAGGTCAAAGAACACTCGAGCGGGAGCTGACTGAATTATTGCGTCAATGACCGTTTATGTGGTGCGTCTGATGGGACGTAGAAAGTGCGAGTCGACTGCCATTGGGAAGCTTACGATGATCATGTGTTTCGGGTAGGAAGATGATTCCGTTTAACTTTTGCTTCTGCCATCCAACGGGAGCGCTGGGATAGCTTGTCATCCGATTGGACCTTCCCTTCCGGAAGACATCGTTCGTCTTTTATTTTATTTATAGTTTAATGTCATTGCCACGGATGGAAATGAGTATCCATATCTGCACATTTGGGCGGGCCTCATCCTGGGCAGCAGACGGAGAGCATATAGGCACGCAAAGACAAGCAGAACAAAGAGTATTGTCCAGTTGTGAGCACACAGGAGCGGGCAAGCCATACTTGACCAGCCCGGCGAGTACGTAGCACTGGGTTGTGTAAGCCATAGTCGACAACTTCGACCTCGAGGCCCACTTGTTCGAAGCGGGGGAGGGGATGGATGACCTTGAATTTGCGATGATAATTGGCTTGTTATCTTGTTTGCGTGCCCACTGCGTAGTAGATCCGACAAGGAGCATCCCGTCTCTCGACGTCGAATTGAGAATACAATGCCGTAATGGGAACCAAGGAAATGGATGCTGTGCCGCTTCGAGTTGCTGGCCACGGTCAAGTTTGCCTGGAGTCTTGGACGAGTTTCACTAGTTGATGTGACGCTGTCCAAGACTTCAGGGAAACTTATGACCGTCAATCAATTAATCAATCAATCAACAGCATCCCGGTTCCCAAGCCTACACAGTCGGAAATCGCTCACCAATCTCGATTTGGAAGTCGGTGTTGCCGCAGCCCCATTTGTCGTATGCCAATGCTCTATGGAGGCACATTGTCTTCATACCTTTCATGATGCAGCTCGCTCCACAATCGCGAGCCCCGAACAACTGGACCTGCATCTCGGCGCCGATCTTCGATGTACCTACCACCTGACGCCGAAGTCATGTTAGCCGATAAGTTCCAAGTTGCCTCACGGGCTGTGACTCGTGCCTATGATGGCAGAGGCTGCTTACATCACAAACCTGTGCCGCAATTTGAATGGCACTGAGGGCTTTTATCTCCTGGTACCGACCAGCAACTCTGCTGGAAAATGTAACCGCGTACCTGCAGCTCATCGCAACACACACACACACAAACAGCAACTTGACATGGACCAATAATGCATCTAGAAACGTCCCAACCTCCGATCTCAGCTATGCACATCTCCTGTGTGGCGCCGTGACGCGCTTTATCCAATGCTCATGCTTTTGCAGAAGCGACTATGATGCCCTGCTTCATTCGTTACAAATAGCATGTGACGATATATTCATTTGCATCAGTCCTATTACGTCTGTATTGCTCCAACAAGAGCTAGGGGTGGTGAAATTGGCATACTCGACGAAGACTGATCATATATGTATCTTGTCGGGTACGTAGCGAGAGCCGGTCTAAATAACGCCCAGCTTCAGAGGTACTCAAGCATGGGTAGTCTCAGTACGGGCAGTTGAGACGCTGAAGATGATACTACGCTCATATCACCATTGACTTGAACATAACGAACGGCGTGTGATGCAGTCCCTATTGAAGACGATGCCAATCATTCCATCCTATCCGTGCCAATACTTTTACATACTTCAACCCCAGTAGCAAGACTCCTGTTTACCTATTATTCTAGCAAAGCAAACCAGCAAAAGCAGCTGCCTAGATTTAGTTAGTCGTGTACACAGCCACAGTGGCGGTGGGTCAAGGATTTCTCTTGGAGTTTGATCGATTGAGTTTGAAGGATTGCAAACAGCTCCGTGCGCTGAGAAACCTTATTAGCGAGAGCAACGCAATTCTTCTTGTCCTACTATAGCTGTCTCCGCTTCACCAGCCCTCTGAACCCGATAGCTCCGTCAGCTTCCGAGATACCGGAACGCTCGGCGCAGCCTCAACCCCACTTCCGATAGCCAAGATACACACCCGACAATGGTTGCTCAGGGGATGGCATACACTTCGGACAATGGTGCGCAACTCATTCCAGGCGCCAAAGTAACCTGAAGTCTCGCAGTGTGGACAATAAAACATCAAGATTTGGTTGCTTGGCTGAAGAATACAGGAGCCTAACCTGAATGCCTGTGCTCCGGCCCACCATGATAGCTGTCGTCGCCTAGGTCGTACGAGGCAGGGTTGTCAAATTTAAAGCCGGCCGGCAGTCGTTGGTGTCACTCGCGGTCATTCCTGTATTCGTAGGCAGGCTTCTACCATGCCTGACTAGGGTTCTTGAGTTGCTTGTGTCTGCATTCGATTTCTGAGTTGATGCGTTCGGCCAATTTTTCCCAGTCTATCCTCTATATGATACAACATTGCATTGAAGTTCATTGTGCATGATGATGACCATCATCAGTTTGACGCGCGGTGGTCTTGTTCATATCCCAATGAAACCGCTCTTTGCTAAGATGCAGGTGGTTGTACATAAGATGGTCATCGACCCGGACGAATTCCCATCAGAATTCCGCTTGGAGCTTCGATCCTTTGCTCTTGATCAACCACCTTGCCTCAATTCATCAGAGGCACTGTCATGGTTGCAAAACAACCCTGAGATACCCTTCAATAATACGCAAGCCAGCAGGGGCAGCGTGTCCCGACTGAGCCTTCCTACATATCGAGACGCACCCAACGGTCGAAGCCAAGCCGTTTCTTAGGCATGAGAATATCCTCGTTACGATCGAGCTTCAATCCGCGGGCCATGGACTAGCTGCCACTGGGCAAGGCGGACAGTATGCCACACTTGTAGCCGCATTGCTCTCAATCTCCGTCCGGCACGGCAGCTTCTTGTTGGCTTTCATGAGGCGCAGAAGCCGATCCGCGACTTGTGGACCGGTCGAACAGTCCCAGCTCGTTGCGGGACACAGCCCTAGATTGTGGGCGGCGCGCGTGAAAGAGAAATAGGGATAAGTATTCCAAGATCATCCGAGTTGTCAAGGAGAAGTTTCTCTGATGTTGCAGCGGGAACACGCAGGGCCTGTGGAAGTACTAGACCGTAGGCGAGTAACGTCCTGTCCCGCAACTGAACCATGGCAAGTCAGTGGTACGGGTTGGTTGATGACGAGATCGCACTTAGCAACATCAAGGCTGTTTCCAGCATGATGAGATCCCTCTTCTCGACGGCGACGTCGTGAGGGTTGGCTTCCTATGGTGAAGCGTTGTCGCAACGCGTAATGCGCAGGTTTGGGAAGCGTCTCATGTCTCCTAGCTTTCGCCGTCTACTTCGAGACAATTGACATATCGAGGGAGTAACGCCTAATCCGCGCAGCTTTCTGGAAAGGCGTGAGACCAGCGAATATCTCACTTTGCCGCTTGGACAAGATCCGCCATCACTTGGTCGGTTGCCGCGATGTATGTTCGGTCGATTTCCCAGTAATGCAAGGCGTCAAGCAGTACCAAGTGAAGGTATATGATGATGTCGAGGTTATTGCTCTATACCCCAGAACCCCGATAGCAAAGTTGCCCCTCCACCCCGCCAACATGGAACTTCGGGTAGGAAGCTTGACTGAAAAGTGCAACGAGCTTGACTTCGAGATCTAAAAGCCGCAGTTTCTCAAGAGCTTTAGAGGCCATCTATTGATTCCCCCCCTCCCATTCTCAGTCCCAATTGCAATGATGGCGCTCGATCCGAAAACCCGTAAGTAAACGAAATGCTCAATCCTTGTCTCGCAGCTTATACTGAGTCCCGGCAGCATCGTACGTGACGAGCGACAAGACATCATTCGCCTACATATCTGCCCGAGATCGGTGGCCAGTTATCATCGTGAGCTCTTACACCTTGATCTTGGTCTTTTGATTCCAATTCTGACCGCTGAGCACCCAGACAGGTGCAATCGACGACACGTACCGCTCCGTCATGTCCAGTAATGACACCGCCAAGGAAGAAGAGGGCAAGAAGATTGTCGAGGAACTGGCGCGGCTGAAGTACGAGTTGCAACACGACCGACAGCTCACTCCCCTTCGAGATGATGGACAGCCCGACATAACGCTGTACAACCAGGAGCTTGAGAAGCTGGGAACGCCGACATGGTTCAACCTTCCATGGCTCTTCAGCGAGTGCTACCTCTATAGGTACGCATTGCTTGAGCCAAATAGACGCCAGTACGTCTGACTGATCCGATATAGACGCATGCAGACATCCTTCAGTCTTTCGACTTGCTGGAAGAACTACGATGTTTTCGCGCGGCAAAAGATCAATACTTTCCGATCGTCACGACCCGCTGTCATCGAACTCGCCTCGCGATATCAAGACCTCGTTACACAGATGGCAACAGATAAAAGCAAGACAGGCCCAGAAGCAGAGGAGGCGCAAAAAATTCTATTCTACGAGATGTGCGAAATCTGCTTATGGGGCAATGCCACCGACCTGTCATTGCTGACCAGCTTGACATACGAAGATATACAGAAGCTGCAGGGCTCCGAGGCGCGCAAGAATAGCGAGAAGAACATATTGGTGAACGACCTAGGAGCTGCATATGACGTACTCAAAAAGGCCCGTGACGAGGGTAAGAAGGAGCGTCGAGTCGACATTGTGCTCGACAATGCCGGTTTTGAACTGTACGTGGACCTTATCCTTGCGGGGTACCTGCTCTCGGCCGGCCTGGCAACGACCGTCGTCCTGCATCCCAAGTCAATGCCGTGGTTTGTTTCCGATGTACTGCCAGCCGATTTCGCAGCCCTGCTCTCGGCACTTGCGAGCCCGAAATCCTTCTACGAGACGCCTTCGGAAGACGAGGAACGGCAGAACAAGACGCCTGCGCCGCTATCAGACAAGGAGGCAGAGCAACTGAGCTTCTTGTTCCAGGAGTGGGCACGATTCCATGCAGAGGGGCAACTCATCATGCGCCCGAACCGATTCTGGACGCACGGAGGGAGCTTCTGGAGGTTGCCAGCTGAAGAGAAGGAACTGCTTGAGGATCTGAAATCGAGCGAATTGGTCATTTTCAAGGGTGATCTTAATTATCGCAAGTTGACTGGTGATGTAAGTGTCAACTGCCCATCCCATATCATCCACCCCTCCATTTCTATGAACCGTCAGTCGTAAGTCAGCATTGGAAGACTGACACAGTATATTTCAGGTTGCTTGGGATCCAGCAACACCCTTCACGGAAGCCATTGGACCTCTTGGGCCCGGTTCCGGTGTCAACATCCTTGCACTCCGCACATGCAAGGCGGATGTCGTTGTCGGGCTGGACTCAGGTATAGACGAAAAGCTCCGCGCGATGGAAGGTGGGGGCGGTGCTAGTGGGAAGAGAGAGTGGGCTTGGAGTGGGAAGTGGGCTGTTGTGTCTTTCTCAGGTGGTAAGTAGATTTTGACTCAATCAAAGGCGAGTTTCAATAGATTCATGTGCTCTAGAAACGACGATAGAATATACAGATAAATAGGTTTATAAATACTACAAGCCGGAATGCCAGATGCCAATTGACTCGTTTAGCGCTGGGGATACGCGGGTAATGTAGGCCGACTGCTGAACTAATTAGTCAAATTTATAGAGGACCCGACTGTGTCTAGTACGAAGGTGCAAATGTGGGCAAAGGAGGCGGCAGCCATGCAGTGGTCTATCTGTATGATCAGATATATCGATAGAGCATGTTAAGACCTGCTCCTGAGATACCCCTTGAACTCGAGCGGGCCTTAGTAGAGGAGTCCCCTTGTCCTAACCTCTGTTTACTATCGAGACTCTGATCAGGTTGGACGTCCGAGACAGCGGGGTGGCTCAAGAGTGGTCCCATCTTCCGCGGCCGAGCAAGTCGGATGCCCGGCATTAGCCTGAGTGTTGTGTTCCTGGTGGAAGCTATTAAGACGTTTCATGTATACGTGGTTGTTCCAGGTGTACAAATCCAAATCGTATTTGACGTGTCTGGTGGAAATCCAACCAAGTAAATATTGGATAGTGTGTTCTATTCCGTTCAGCGACTGTAACTGCAAAGTAGTTTGAAATGACCAATGGCGTTTTTATGCAATCAGGGGTATAGCCGGAATCCTTTGAAAAGGTTTGTTCATCAATATCCTAGGCAGGCCTCGCAAGGGATAAGTAGAGGTGGCCCCAAATGGATTTTGATACTGCGAGGAACAGTTTCCCACGGGCGACTTCGAATCAGGGCTTTCTTAGGAATGAAAATAATGCATCGCTCGGCATGTCGACTGTGCTCCAGTCTACTTGATTCCACTGGGGAAAAGAACCAGGTTAGCGATGTACATAGTGTAAACCAGCATGACGGCTTCCTTGGAAAAACGGCCAGCAACGTGTAATCTTTATCCCATTCTCGTTTACAACTTACTCCTGGCTAACATGAACGAGGCCCTCGGGTACGTTCTCAACATGGCTTGGGTGGTCGCCAAGGATGCCAAGGGCCCATCATCGCAGCTGCTGGGCTTTATGCTGACTCAACTCTACGCGCAGTCTGGTTGCCAACACCACAACGCATCGTGTATATATGGAAAGCTGGGATTTGGCCCTTTGTATAAGCCATCAGCTCAACTGGCATCATAGTCGCGAACGGCAGATCCACGGAAGGAGGGTCCGTGAGGACCAATATTTGGGTATGTAAAGTAAAATACAGTCTAACGGTGCCGATTTCAAATTCTTTAGCTGACACAAGATTCCAATGCTAGATCAACTCAAAGTGCAATGCGTGTCGTCTGTGGACGTATTACTTCTGGATCATGTGCTCCATCGGCTTGACCGTGATTCTGTTAACCCTTGTCTTGTACTTACTGCCCTCTGGAGCAATAAAAGATCCTCTTGTCACATGCCGAACCGGCGTGCACGAAATATCGAGGACGGTGCTGCCCCCCAAATCTCGGGATACCAACCAGCGTTCCTTGTGTACCCCGTGGTATACATAGGCTGCACGGCTTCATTGCCTCACTCCAGTGGGAGCATAGCCGGGATGAAGGCCGACACTGGCACTTGTTGCGTCGCGGGGGACATAATAGTCAGCAATGCGTTCAATACGATTCTCTGTCCAGCAGCAGACAGACGACGCAAGACTAGCACCATTCGCCTTCATATGGAGGCCGCTGGTGAATCATAGTAGTATGATATGGATCTGGGAACCGGCGAGCAGGGTCAATGGCACGCAGCAGAAATGTGGGGACGAAGGGTGTGGTGGCAGTCAGGAGTCAAGATATGAGACGGTCGAAAGCAATTGCATTCAGATGGAGTTTGGGGCAGAACAGCTTCATAATAAGAGTTATACTGTCAACGTGACAAACAGACTGGAAGAAAGGGCCATGGAACCGGCAGTGCAGAGCTTGTGAAGCAAACTGTAAAGTTAGGATGTTGACTCGTTTCAGGAGGCGATACTGGCGCTGGAGCCAAGTGTACTTCACAATTTATTCTGTGAAACACTAATCAATGCCAGTAAGATATTGCGGTGATAATCCCACGCAATTTTCGGACTTTTGCGCACCGGAAAATCGCTTAGCATCCAGGCCACAAATCTGAAAGTGAATCTTGGTCGGCTCGCATCACGGATAGGCATCCTACCACGCAACAGGGGGCCTTCGGAAGCTTTGGGGGCCAGCCAGCTCTCCGATCTCGCAATTTTTCCTGAAGCAGAAGATCTGATTGTCGATTTTCGAGGCTTGCATACAATTTGCATGGTTTGCTTCCTGTCTCCCTCTCTTCAATTCTGCTCAGGGCAGCTCAGAGACCATCCAGCCAACCCGAAGTGGTGTACCTTATCCTCGATCCTGCTTCTAGCGGGAGACTCCACAAGGAGTTAAGGAGGTACCAAAGCAGTTGTCCAGCATACGACAAATAACTTGGACTTTCAACGGGCTGCAAGTTTGAAAGCATTTGCACATTTAGACATCAGGGCGTTGGTAATCTTTACTCTCCAGCCATTATAAGTTTTGTTCAATCGCTAGTCTCTGCACCTGGTATCCTCATAACCCATGGAAGTATTAAGGATCACATGAAATATTACCTGTAAACTCAACTCCCTGGTAGTAAACAGAGATGTATAGTGGCCATCATGTATGTCGACAACAAGAGAGATACAGCCGTGGCCATCCTCTATCAATGCGGCCTTCTTGAAGCGGCGCCAAATGTATCAGCTCCATTACCACATATAATTCAATCTCGAACATACACTCGACTCAAGCAGATACTCTTACTAACGGTATTGACAATGAAATACTATGCTTGTGACAGTTCACTTGGCTCGCAAGCGTCATCGATACGAACCATCAGTCCGCAGACTGGACTCTTACATCATCAAAGTTGGTTATCTGGACGCAGACACGTGGCAAATCAAAAAGCGAGATATTGGCATGATCGGCTCGTGGTATTGAAGCACGAGTTCGATGAAGCTTGTCCAAACACTCTTAGGGTTGGAATGACAGAAGCAGTGGGGTTCAGTGGTACGCGTTCTGGGTTGGTCTTACGGTCTTGCTTTGAACCGTGTCCTTTGGCTTGTTACAATCGATCGAAGGTGCAATACAGGTTTTTTAGTTTTGACGCAATCTTGGAACGGGCTGTGGTCAGCTCCAGATAGCAGACGGTGCGAGCAATCACGTATAAGATGGAGCAGGCATTCTCCTAGCACGAAAAATAATGAAACAAGCAAGTCTGAGAGCCACACTGAACACTAAGGAGCTTGGTTCGAATGGTGGCATGCGGTGCCTTCATCATTCTGCCATGCTGCTGGTGTGATATATGGCAATACCCCTAATTATGCGATACCAAGCCCACCATGCACAGCATGCTATGCATATGTTTCGTTGATCCAGCCTCTCACCTTCTCAGCAACAATTTTGCTGTGTTCTGAATCGCATTAGCCACTTGGAAAGGACGGCGACGTTTTCTTGATTGGGGAAGGTACTCACTGATGCAGAAAGCATGAGGGAGATCACCCTCATCAACCATCACCTTGGTGCGATCCACCTGCTTATCCCTCTTCACAATGAACGCATCCCGAAGATGGCTCGCAACCCAATGATCGTTGTTTCCAAAGAAGAAATAAAACTTGGGCGGCGACTTGTGATGAGCGTGAGCCTCATCAGCAATTTCCCAGAGCTCCTCATCCCACGTATCCTCGCCAATGACTTCCATCTCGTCCATCCCCATGTACAGTGCTTGCCACACACCGTCTCTACTCTTCAGGAAGTTGGTGGTCACCGTTGCAGCATGCTGAGGAAAGCCCAGTATCGTGCTGACAAACCAATGAAGAGCCACGTAAGGCCACAAGAAGAGGAAGCCCTTGGCGATGAGATGGGCATTGCGGCCAACGATAGGCGTGCGCTTAAGTAAGTTCAGTCTGGTGCCGCTCGGCGAGTGAGCTATGTGCTCTATGGTGGGAAACAGCATGAATCCGGTCTTGAGGTGTAGATGCGGTGCAGACTCAGGGGCTCTGAGCAGTCTGTGAAACAGCTCCACGGCCATGTACGAGCCTACCGAGTGTCCCATGAGTATAACATCGTCGTAGGGTTCTCCCTTGTTAATGCCCTCTTGGACTCGAACGCTGGACAGGACTCCGAGCAGGTGCTTGATCTGATACTCGACATCACGAGGTGGCCGGCTGGAACTGAAAGGCTTATGGTCAAGATCGTTGAATCCCGCCAGGTCCTGGCCATAGACCTGGAATTGGGTCGACTTTGACGCATCAGACGACTCGAGAAGCAGTGCGAGACTGGACAGGAAAGGCTCATAGTAATCGATGAGGCCTGGGTTACCGGGTATGAGGAAGATGAGGGCCGTTCGGGTGGGGACGTTACCACTGGGTGGCTTCACAAAGTACGAAAGCGAATGTGTGGCCATACTCATGAGGTATCCTTACATAAGTCAGAAAAGAGTACACGCTATTGGACGTATCGGATGCCAACCTCGTGACAGTGTCCTGATTTCCCACTACCACATGAACATTGGGAACCTCGGGTCCGGGACCATGTTCAATCTGAGGAAGCCACTATCGACATCAACTGTTTGACACAGCCACCATGTGGCGCCAACAAGGGTGAAGATAGTTTCAAGATGTCAAACCTACAAACGAAATCAAAGTTTGTTGCTTGCCCGCTGCGTCTACATGCTGTATGGATCCCTAAAGGCAACTCTGCAAGCTCATTATAGATGAGCCTGGAAGATAGCACTTTTTCTATTATTGTCTCAGTTTGTCCTTGTCTTCCAGGGTATGTCTATCCACGGGCTACAAAGTATACGTTACTTAAATGCCGGAAAAGCTTATCTCCACTACTTCCGAAGCTGCCGATCTCCAAGCTAAGCAATTCAAAGCGGATGCCTGTAACATACAATGTACCCCGCGCCCCGACTCGTCGACGTCTGGGAAAGTGGTGCCTGGTGACCCCAGCTTGCATGCCGCCAACGTCAAGACTTCGCACCACGTTTGACCAACCTCCAGTTACCAACCTGTTTGTTATGTCTAGATGACTTCCAACAGATATTTACATGCTTCCTCCCCCCTCCCGCCCATGCCCAGGTTCCCGGTCGCCGCCCATCCAGCTCTACGACCAGGGTCAAGATGAATCTTTAATCCTCTCCAGGTCCTCGAATAATCATCATCGACCATCAGCCGCCTCGTCTAAAGCCACCTAATGCTAAAGGAGCTGGCAGGTCTTATCAGGGTTGCAACTGGCAAGACGCAGCTGGCGAGGTTTCATTGGATATTGCCCATGTGAGCTTTGCGTTCTCTCGGCCACGACCTTACGTGTCCTTGAGGCATGCGACCATTTCTTCGTCTGAACTGACCAGGGCCAGCCATCACGTCGCAGTATACCTACTATCGTCCCATACTTGCAAATTTGCCCGGCCTACCTACCATCTGCCATCCAACCAACAGCACTGGCGACTATACTCTTTGCACTCAATCTTTGCCGGATCATCAACTCCACAAACTAGAAGCAGTTGTCGCACCTGACCACCATGACGAGCGAGCTTCGTCAACGGCCGGTCGCCAACGCCGCGCCCGCGCCCGCTCCGACCCCGAACTTAAGTGCCAATGCCTCCAAGTCCGAAAGGCTTAACATCGAACACCCGTCGGGGAAAGCGAAGCACAGCCAACTCGTAGCATTGCTACGGCTGTTGTCGTTTGTGGCATATTTTGCGACTGGACTTGTAGTGTATGACACGTCGCTGCAGCGGCTGGAGACAAAGACTAATAAGATTTGGTTTGCAGTATTCACATCACCCAATTTCTCGGCGCGCCATTATACTGGATCAACAGGGAGTTCTACTACGCCTACATAGCTCTGACTAAGCAGTCGTTCGGACTCCTCGTTACGGCAATGACACACTGGTGGGCACCGACGGTGATCAGAGTCAGCGGTGATGCGTCCGTAGCCGGCCAGCTCAGCCTGACACCTGATGGGAGAATCGAAGCCAAATTCCCAGAGCGCCTGGTCATGATTGCGAATCATCAGGTACGTGCTGTTTCCGGCCGCTACTAGTTTCTGTGCCCTGTCTTGGAAACTTATACGCCTGGTTGCACAGATCTACACTGATTGGTTATACTTGTGGTGGGTGGGCTATACGAATGTCCCTGCGATGCATGGACATCTCTACATTATCCTAAAGGAGTCGCTGAAGTACATCCCCATCATCGGACCAGGCTGTATGTTCTTCGGGTTTATCTTTCTGTCGCGTAAAATGGCCACCGATCGCCCACGGCTGTCGTATCGACTCGGGAAACTCAAGAAGAAACATGGGGTTCCTGATGATGACAATGACGATGACGAGCAAAGCAAACAATATTACGACCCAATGTGGCTGCTACTCTTTCCGGAGGGCACCAACCTGTCGGACAACGGCAGGGTTAAGTCGGGGAAATGGGCCGAGAAAATGGGTTTGAAGGATATGCAACACATGATGCTGCCCCGCAGCACTGGAACATTTTTCTGTCTCAACGAGCTAAAGGGTACAGTGGACTACGTGTACGACTGCACAGTAGCATACGAGGGAGTACCGTAGGTCTATCTATTTCCCCACGCTGAAACTAGGTGGCTTTAACTAACAAGCCACAGTCGTGGTGGATATGGCGAAGAGTACTTTACTCTTTCCAGCACGTACTTCCACGGCCGACCCCCGAAATCTGTCAACTTCTATTGGCGGCGCTTTGCGTTGGCCGACATGCCACTCCACGACCAGGAGGAGTTCGACAAGTGGTTGCGTGATCGTTGGTATGAGAAAGACGCCCTTATGGAACAATATGTCTCCACTGGTCGCTTTCCTGCCAATGGAGCCGGCATCGAGGGGCATATCGAGACCGAAGTCCGGACACAGTATTGGTGGGAGTTTCTCAAGATCTTCATCATGCTTGGGTCGTTTGTTTTGATCTTTGGGTCCATTCTCAGAGCCCTGCGGAACTTAGCAGGTAAATAGGTATGGGCAGGGTCGCGGTTATGGATGATACCAGGAGGCAACATACATATGGTTGGCGTTTCTGCGCCGTGTAGCTCGGTTTCAAGGCTTGGGAAGGATGCATCAATGGTCGGTTATAAACGGCGTGGGCTGTGTTGGATGTCCCTACTCTGTATGTCTTTTAATACTCATCATAACAATATAATCCCACTCTTCCACGAGGCTATGAAATAGTAGTTTTATCAGCAGCTCAAGCTAAATAAAAGTAAGAATGGCCGCAAGCACTGAAAGAGAGTCTTGCGAATTCATTACTTTGAGCATAGCCTTGATTGAAGTCGACCGCTTGATAACGTTCGGAATTTTCAAACGAAGCCGACCCCTGCCGACTTCGTCGCTTCTGAGAAGCATTAGGCCGTTCCAGAGATTATGTCTCAGCGCCGTATACCATTACATTACATAATCTTAGACACGATCGTATTAATGGACCAGTATAATAATTTAACGCGAAACTTCAAACTAATGTAGAGTACGTAACGAAGGAGAGCAACTTGTAACGAAACCTCTAATAGTCTAGCTGCGTAAACCACTAAAGAGTCTGTAAGGGTTTGTGCTAGTAAGTAAGTCCTGCTGCGGAGTCCTCAAGCAATAATATCGGGGTCTGACGTATGGAGTATAGTGCTTTGGGTAACTGAAGTATTCAAGTAGGGTAGTCGGGAATAGAGTCGTCAAGGCAGTTTGCCTCACCAATGGGTTAGATTGATGCTTAGATTGATGCTTAGATTGATGACTGAAGTAGAGACTATCTATCTATGAAATGCCTGGGAGTCCTGTCCCTTATATATCCATTCCCTCCTTCACTGATAACTGGGGCCATTAGATCCTTCATGGATACTATTGGTCCTAACTGGATATGTTGGATCATTTCATATCCAAATGATTCACCCTTGTAAGTCACGTGACTTGTGATCTTTGCACTAGCTGGTCGTCCTGCAGCTAGCCACTCCTGTGACTTTCCCCTCCTTCTTTGTCCTGTATCCACTGGGCCTGCCATCGGGCCTGTTGCGTTGGTTAGAATCGTAAGATTCGCAACACAACTCTCCCTCCACCCTTCCCTTTTCCTACGTAGTGCATATCTTTGTTAGTATTCCCTATTTAAATAGGTAGATTAGCAATCTGCTATATCATAATTAGGAAACATAAACAAAGGGCGCCTCCTGTTGCCAATGAACGAGTGAATCCTACTAAACGGGTCGACCCGAATTACCAAGAGCGTTATCCTTTACTATCCTTTTTGGGTGTGAAACAGGGATTACTGGAGAAGGGAATATATGCGTCTACATGCGAGACTACATAAGAAAATATAAGATACGTAGTGATATCGTATATACACCATTCGGCTTGTTCTACCGATACTTGATATCCGCTCGCACAGGTCGTTCAATCAACCTAAACCAGTATCACACACATATAATCCTTGTAATGTCCCATTGCAGGGGCCGTTGCATATATAAGTATGCAAGCGGAGTGGGTTCCCCGCTGCCAGATACGTCTTAAGTTCCCATTTTGCAACGCACCCCCATTTACAACGGGTTCCTGTCGAAATAGGGTTACTTCGAACGTTAATACAATAATTGCTCTCCGAACGATAAAGCTAACAATTATACGTTTTACATTAATAGGTATAAAAGGCTATATAAAGGTATGGGAATTATCATTTACTTTGATGTTTATATTGAAACGGGGTCAGGCTGTCAGGGTACGGCTAGGCCGAAGGCAATAGTACAGAGTGATGGGGAGTAACGGGCGTCCCTCCTACGTAGCACCGGGTGGTCACTGGCGGTCTCAGGTAGGGGTGCCCACGGTGATGCATTGATCTCTGCCCTCTCTATCTTCCTCCGTCTCGACTCCTTACTTATAGCCAGCCGAGGTTCTCTCTTGGATTCTGGATGTTTGCTTCCGTATGTCTGTGTTCCTCCGACTTCGGCCAATATCTTGGACAGCGGCTCCTTATCTGCAACCAAGCGATTCCCTATCCGCTGCAAACGGCTTCAACGGCTCTCATTCGCCACAAGCGGCTCTCTAGCCGCCACAAACGGCTTCCTACCTGGTGGAAGCCGGCCCGCCTCGGATGACACTTGTGGCTCTGACAACTCCTTCCCTATCCTACTTCGAGATGGTCCTTATATAGATAGCTAGGCCGCCGCTTGGACCCGGCATAACAGCAGGGTCGGCGATGCCAAGGATCTTGACTCTCGTCATCCCAAAGCTTCACATAGATTGTAATCATGATTCGGGAGTCTTTTGTCCGAAACACCCCTCCGGCGGCCCGCCGGTGTCCTGCGTTCAGTGTCCTGACACCCACTGGTGCCTATGGCATTCTGTTCTCTGACACAGGCGGTCAGTAGGATATACCTACCACCTAACACACTGAACAGACGGCTCCAGTACCAACAGATCGCATCTATTGGTCTGATCAGACGAAGATCGTGGTACTGGTTGCAAGAGCGAAGCTCTTACACGTCTGGTGCGTGAGTTAGTCGGATATGCTTCTGATACTCGTATCGTAATAGTAGGATCTCGAACGTAAAGATAAGCTGAATAACTAAAATAACTAAAATAACTAAATAACTGACTGAAAAGCGAAGGTGAAGATATAGATAAGAAGGAGATGATGATATGAAGATGAGGATGATGATGCGTGAAGATGGAGGACTCGTGTCCTACTCTGCCTCTGTGCCTCTTAAAGAAGAGAAAATAAACTTTCTCCTAGCCCCGTAACCTATTTCCCTGATGTCCGGCCTTATCCAGTTACAATATAACGCTTTAAATACAGAAAATAGCCTTATATGGTTTGTTACATGGGATTCTGATCACCGGGGGCTATATTAGTGCTACGAAGTTGCACAGGGAATTTGTGAAGGTCAACCCTCGCAGACTCACTACAACCAAGTGACGTACAGCTGGAACACCTGCCATGGCAGTGCCAGGTGGGAAGCCAATCATAACCCCTGCAGGAGCCCCGCCAAGCGTGGACGACTTAGTCGCGCCCCCTCAAACCTAAGTTGTCATCTTCTTTCCTTCGCTCCTTAGAGTAGAATCTTGGTCGATAGCACCTAATCGAGGTCTATACCAATGCGATGCAACCCAGGTCGTGACATAATTAATCCTAAGCTAGCCCTGAGGGGTTCTTAAATACTATAATCCGTGCCTACTTACCTCGTACCCCTCTATACCTAAGCTATAGCTTCCTACAATTATACATTAAAACTAGTACTATATTATACCTGTTGGGTAGCTATTATGATGTAGGTTATACTGCTAAAATTAGAAGATAACTACAAAATACCTTGGAGAGAAGACTTATTAGTAAGGTTAAAAATACAATACTCTACAATATGAGATTATTAGAAAGCTAAAATTGAGGTTAAACTTGGTTCATAGTGTATTAAATATGATGATAGAGCTAGTATATTTCGTTTGTATATGTGTGGAATCAGCAGACCAGGGTTAACGTAAAATATACTCAAGGTACTGTAGGGCCCTTTTGCGGCTTTAACCCCTGTCCGTACTTCCCTTCCCTAGCTTCTATTGTTTAATCAAGGTTCGAAGTTACCCTATTTGGTGGGGATCGAGGGACTCGGCCCGCTGTTACTGAACCTGGATAGGGTATTGATCGCTATGCATGCTCTACGCGTTGTGCTACTTAGGTTGGGGTTGAGAGGCCCTGTAAGGTGGTCCTGCTCTCTAAGAGAGGAAGGAAGAGTCCGACCCGCTATCCAAACTAGGAATTGTACCGCTTTCGGCCTAGGACATAACTGTAGCGCCTAATCCCAGAGGAATTCGTTTCAGAAGGGGTCAAGGCCGTACCCATCTTCTTGTCAGCTGTGCCGAATACCACTTCACTTCGACTTGCTCCACGAAAACAGCACATACTTATCAAGATGCCACGCCGCATCGTGGTCACCAACGCCACGATTCTTACACTGGATGATAAGGATTCCTTGTTGTTCCCGGGCACACTCGAGATAAGGGATGATAAGATCCACAGCATTCGCAGCAGCGCTGAGGACAGTGACTTGGGTACGGATGGTTATGCAGGAGCACGGAGGTGATTGATGGCACGGACAAGCTTGTCATGCCCGGATTAGTGGATTTGCATTTCCATACGAGCATAGCTAAGGTTTGTATTCTCCTCTTCAACACTGCCACGAGTGAGGTATGCAAGTTAGTATAAGTGAAAGAGAATATAGACGGACCAGTGGTGAAAATGGAGAATCCACATACCAATATATTCGGCACATGCCATGGAGCATTGGCGTAGGAATATGAGACTTGTCATCGACTTACGTCATAGTAGGGCTATGGAGACGACGCGCCGTTGTGGGAATACCTAGACGAAGTCTGGTACCCAGCAATCCGTGCTCTCACTCCCCAGCGGGCCCGCGTGGCTGCGCTGTACTCCTACGCAACGGCCCTGAAGTCCGGCACCACTACGGTCAACGACATGTACCGGCAACTGAACTCGCTGGCTTCGGCCGCAGAACAGGTCGGTATCCGCGCCGTGCTGTCTAACGATGTCGCACTTGCAGAGCACAAGCTCGACTCTGCAGAAGATAATGTTGCGGCTTTCAAGGCCAATGATGGAGCCGCAGACGGGAGAGTCAAGGTCTGGATGGGCCTTGAGTGGTTGCCGCTTGCAGACGAGTCGCTACTCAGAGACGTGGAAAACGCCATGAAGGATTTGAATACCGGGTTGCACATCCACCTCTGCGAGTCACGAACCGAGGTCAAGAATTCGCTAGACAGATTTGGAGGGAAGCGACCTGTGGAAGTAGCCCACGAAGCCGGCCTGCTGGGTCCTCGGACTGTGGCAGCCCACTGCGTCCATCTTTCGGAAACCGAAGTCGAACTTCTTGCAAAGACGGGGACTAGCGTCTCCATCAACAGCGGCAGCAACGCGAAGCTAGGCAACGGGATCGCAAGGGTGCAGGATTTGGTGAAGGCAGGGGTGAATGTGGGAATAGGGGTTGACGCGTGCGAGTGCCACAACAGCGTGGATATGTTCGAGGAGATGAAGATAACGAGCTATATGCAGAGGGCTCTGCACGAGGATCCTGTCTTAGGGCAGCCGGGACCGATCCTGCGTATGGCGACATTAAACGGAGCGAAGGCACTGGGGCTTGATGCTGGAACCATCGAAGTGGGAAAGAAGGCGGATATTATTTTAATCGATCTGAGGAAGGATATGATGTTCACGCCTTTGCTTAAGGGCCCACTTGAGGGTAGGAGGAAGCAGTTGGACAGCCACCTTGTGTTTGGGTGTAATGGCACTGGTGTTGATACGGTCATTGTGGATGGAAGAATTGTGGTCAGGGATCGGAAGGTGCTGGGAATCAACGAAGAGGTTGTTAGGAAGGAGATGGACGAGATGTTTGCTGCAGTTGTCGACGAGATGCAAAGAAAACAAGAAACAGAGTAGAGGGAGTAAATAGAGAGCCGACCTATGAGCAACCAATTTTTTCCACAACTTATTGATTTGAAAGACTAAAGTACTATGCTAAGTGACTTGGATTGTACTTCTGGTTGTTGATAAATTAAATTCCAAAAAAACAGACCGGAATACGTCTGCTTGCCTTGCTAAGTTCACTTTCGTATTCACGCCCGATTGAAATTGTACCATTCGGGCAACCACGTACTCTCAAGAGGTCGCCAGGCCAATCATACTGTTCGTCCTGTACATCTTAACTGTCAAGAGGCCCGAGGCTTGATGGGGCCCGTCACCGCAAGGCAACAGTGATACATTCATTTTCTGTCTGTAGATATTAGTTTATTGATCCTATCCTTCTTCCAGTACTTCATGATGTCGGTATTTATGGACTGTTCGGCTATAAGCCCAAGCCTATAGGCCACATATCACTGCTGAAAAAAACTGCCTTCCCAATGTCCTCATGGGCTTTTAGTCCCAACATGACGCTGGAAGTAAACCAAACTTTTGTGATACGCCTCGTCCGCCCAAGGTTTGTTCGTGATCACTATACCAGGTCCCATGCGCGACTGCAGATAGGCTGGCCACTCCTTAGCATTCGAACCCCCAAGATCCAGGACTTCCAACCCCAGCAGCGTCCCCAACGCTCGCACTAGGCCCACGTTGACGCCACCACCGAGATTATAGCCAACTTCCCCGTCCCAGAATACTTCGAGCATCTTCAGATTCTTCGCTTTGGCCGCGAGAATTTAGATAATGGAGCACCAAGATGGCGGCTTTGACTTTCGTACCTCGTTCAGTTTCTTGCGTGGCTCGAAGGGGCGTCTTCGTAGCAGCCGTCAGTGAAGAACGACATTTTCTTCACTGAAGAAATGTTGTCGGGGTGCAATGCCTGTATTCATTGTAGTCCTTGCAGCGGATTGTTGATTCGGAACTCGTTGTTGGAGTAGAATTGTGGGATTGATCGCTGTACGAAGAATTCAGGGGGGAGGATATTACGCGGGAGGCCGGCCAAAACAATAATAACCAATAGAAAGGCTTCCTGTTGAAGCTGGCAAGCTAAAACAACAAAATGGTAGAGCTAAGGAGAAAAAGGATGCGCAGGGTCTGGATTAAAGAACCTGGGGCACATGACCTATATCCCAGTCTGGGCAGCTAGATGAGTGGGCATAGTGCGTGATCAGTTGAACCCCTTGCTAAGAGAGTAGATCTACTGTTCGATTCGCCGTATTGATCACTGCTGATCATGGACTCCGGATCTTGTAGAATAATCGATATGGCCAACATGGAGCTTTGCACAGTTCTATGTGGGAATGTTAGGCAGTGAATGCAGGGAAAAGAACGTTCGATATTGCATGAGACAGACAGGTCTTGTTATCCAAATTATCAAACAATCCCTACAAGATATTTTCTCCCCTGACGTGACTCTTCACATACAGCAAATGAAATCAGCACAAAGTCTGATACTGCTTACTTTAGTATACCTTATGTAATTACGAGTGCATCATGAGATGCTTTGATATGGTTGTTATTGTAATAAAATCTCGCCTCTTTTGTGATGCCACGCCATCGAGAACATTAAGGAGGCTGAGTAACTACATAGTCTTCTGCGATGTTGACTGACGTTGAGACCATTCCAAGCTGCATCAGACTTGGGATCGTGTGGCGCCGATGGCGTCGACGTCCTCGAGAAGAAACGATGCAGCGCGAAGGAAGTTCGGCGAACAATATGCTAAGACGACGGTCATTGAAATAGTCAATATCTTACGTTGGTGGAAAGTTGACTCCTTTGCTTCGATGATAGATCTACAAGATGCAGTATCGCTTCCGAACAGCGATCCTGTATCTGTTCCCCAGTCTTCCTCCCGATTCCCGACGTTTTCCGTGCTGGCGTACTCTGTGAGGAGATAGAACCACCCCAGATCACACAAATTATAGGGACGCATTCCAGAGCTAGTTCCACGGAGTGGCAACGGTCATATCAACACTGGCGGGCTTGCCGCCTTTCCATGCGACTACTATATGGACTGTGTTAGGAAAGACATAAATGAAGTCTTGCGAAACCGAAGCGAACAAAGATTACGGAATAAAAATCTTACCTAGAATGCGCGCCCACTAAGGAGCACCAGACACACAGAATGAACGTCTCGGCCTTGACCGGGAACGTCTTGCATGACCACTTTGCGCTCACCAGACATTGATGCTCATATGAATTGTTACAGATTGTCATCATTGTGGTATTTTGTCTGGCTGCGAAGGCAGTTGCATCATACTGAAATGTGTTCATCACGGACCATCAGAGATACCGGAGACCCAAATGGTGATGGAGTTCATATTTCCTTTCACTCCACATCGATATGTATATTTGCCAGTATCGACCGGCAGGAGCCTGGTTTTCCGAAGAGATAGAGTCGATGCACATGATGGAATCATCAAGACCGAATTCATCAGGAATGACATGCAAGACCGCATGGCACGATCTGTGCTTAGACGGGAATGAAGGTACTTGGGATGATTCGATTTTGTTAGGCCTAATCACTACTTGGAATAAGCTTACGACAGCTTTACTTCCCGCCCATTCTTAGCACTCTCCTTCGCAGCTTCGATAATCCTCAACACATCCCTCGCTTGACTGGCCGGCACAGGTATATCCTCCTCCTTCCCACTGTGCAGCGCCTTCGTATACAGCTCGTAAATTTTTCCATATGTCTCCGGCTCAATCGTGGGGCAAGTCTTCTCCTCGATCTTTCCATCATCACCCAACGTCGTGAGAGTTCCATTCCACTCGGACTCCTCATACCCAAACCCAGCATCGTTAACGGTCAGGCCCGCTTTCAGCTGGTCCTCTTGCGGATCCAGTCCCAACTTACGATAACTCCCCTTTGTACCCCGAATCCAGTACCTCAACTGCTTCTTCTCAACGCTTACAATGGCAATCCGAACATGGACCAGCGTACCGTCCTCGTAGAACAGCTGGGCCGTAACACTATCTGGATGAACGTCGTTCCCGTCCTCGGCGATCGCCCCATCGCGCTGATCCACTAGCTTCGCGAACACGCTCCGCGGCATGCCGAATAGAACGTACGCCTGATCAATCAGATGGGTCCCCAAATCGTAGAGCGCGCCTCCTCCCTGGTCCATCCCCAACTCGCCCTTCCACGACGCCGGCTTCTCCAACTTCAGACGATCAAAGTGCGTCTCGAACTCGACGATCCTGCCCAGGGTGCCCTCCGCGATCAATTTGCGCACGGTCAAGAAATCGCTGTCCCAGCGGCGGTTCTGATACACGCAGATCATACGGGACTTCTCCTTGGCCAGCGCGATGAGCTGGTCGGCTTCCTGCGAGGTGGGCACGAACGGCTTCTCGACGAAGACATGTTTCCCCGCCTCGAGGGCTTGCTTGGCGAAGGAGAAGTGCGTTTGTGGCGGGACGGAGAGAACGACGAGGTCGAGGGCAGCGTCGGCGAGGAAGGAGTCGAGGGACGTGTGGTGTTGGATGGAGGGGTAGTCGGCGGGAGCTGAGCCTTGGGCTGTGGGGGTGCGTTGGAGGATCGAGTGGAGGTTGAGCGTGGGCGTGGACTTGATGAAGGGGATGTGGAACACTTTGGCAGACAAGCTATGTAGGCTGTCAGTAAGAGAGGAGCGAGCCTTGGGGTGACTTGTGAAGAGAGTGAGAATAGTCCTTACCCGTAGCCGATTACGCCAACATTCAACTTCTTGGATTCGGCCATGGTGCTTGCTTGTAGTGTCGGTATCTTGAATATTGGCTTGGGCTCTCGAATATGCGAAGAGTAGTTTTGAGGAGAATGAAGGCTCGGATCCAGTGGTCTGGCAAGGAACGGAGTCTTATATAAACACAATATTCCTCACGTCTACTTCTCGTCTCTTGTCGTTCGAGCTTGTCCGCCCCTCAGTGGAGTGTTCTCCGACATCATCGTTGGGGCATCTATGCGGGGAATCGTCGGAGAGACAACCCCGCCAAAGCGAGGGAGGGCCTATTGCAGGAGTTTCACTGACATCAGTGATTGGTAATGAAGAGTTTCGGACCGAATTGTTTCTGTTTGAGGCTATTATCGCGATAGTTAACACGATCGATGGGATCAGATTGATAAAGAAGTCGCTTGGACCTTCCTATGTTTTCAGAGGGGTCGATCCAGCCACAGTGAGGCGGCGGCGCCTCTGTGCCAAGACGCGTATACGGCCACCAGCCTGAATTATGCGTTGCGGACTCGGCTTCCCGACTTCATTATTCATTTATCAACTACATCCGGTCCTAGATATCGTCAACAGAGAGGATCTCGTATATTCAATCTCTTCGCATCTGCTAGTGTTGCGTCACTGAAAATATCTTGCCCCCTATGTTCGTGATCCCGATTCTCCGCCAGACTCTCCTCCGGAATCCATTGGAATATTCAAAACGAGTTGATTGACAAGTGGTATTTGCTAGGACTCCAACTGGCACCAAGAGCCAGGCAGGATAGGTCGAGTAAAGCTTCGTGGTGTTAGTGCCATTTACAGCAAAACATTGGTGTTGCAGGTTGTCCACGGCGTGGCTGACCCCAATACTGACGAAACATGCCAAATCGCCCACCGTTATGGTATGTGGTGGCATCATACTACTGAAAGTTTGGCCTGTCAAGTATATTGAACACCTGGCTGTTTACAGCATTTTGCATGTATGTTAGGTGCAGAATTTCTGTCTGCCGCAAGCCTTGCTGAAGCCGACTATATTGTCTGGTATCCTGTAAAATGGCGTTCCTCGCCGCCGCCTTAAGCATTGAAACGTATAACACTTGACGAAGCCGACAAGAAAACGAGGTGAACGTAGAGTTCCCTCCTGATCCTCCCCCCTCCAAGTGTGCAGCTCAAGCTCAAGCTTGTCCAGGTCCCTCCAATGAGGTTGAGCCCCTACCCAACTACCAACCGTAAAGCCTGCCATGCTACTATCCAATCTCATGAGAATTTCCTTAACATCCGCCTACCACGTGGCTTTCTACAACATCGAATGTATCAACACCACGGTATAAACAAATACACGACGTGTGGGTCATCCAGCGACGAGTTCTCGTCTTCATCGTCACCCTCCTAAACTCTAGGCTAATTACTAACTCTAGTTGTCAACTGCTCTCTTATTTCCAGCGTGGCGACCTCAATATGCCCTATAGTTGTAATTTAGCCCCAGGTTTCTAATGTCCAGGCCCTTCGTCAGAGCGCTGGATGCATGGCACCGGTGGGGAGCCGGTGGGGAGCCGGTGGGTCATAGAACCTGGTGGGAGGTCTTGGAATATCATGGAACCCGAGATCGTGGAACCCGAGGATTCAGGGCATTGTAGTTCGGAATAGGGGGTCTGGGTATCTATATAACGGAAGTGTCTTAGAGGAGGAAGAAGGGAAGGTCTGAGATCAATAAACTATTCTGGGCATACCTACCTGTGACTACCAGTGACCACCCGGTGATCAACAGCAGGAACACCTGGGTCTCTCCTGCACTCTGTATTATTGCCTTGCGGCCTAGCCGTTCCTGACATCCTTAGAGAGAGCGGCTCGCTCCTTGGGCAATGTTCAGTAATTGTTGACGAATGCACTTTTGGACAGAGTGAAGGGGCGGCATGATTGTTCTGAGGTTGCTAGATATATCATTGAAAGGGGGATTTGATGCAGCTTGCCGTTATCAGGGATGATTTCGTTCAACCTGATGTGTATCATACAGGGCCGGTTTGTTAGTATGTGATCCTTTGTGGCACCGAAGCGGAGTGTAGCAGATTACTATACCTGCTTATTGATAGTTATCACTAGCGTGTGATGTCCAAAAAATTGAGTCTGAATCGTCTAACTCTACTGGCGCACGTGGCAATTCATCGAATGTCAAGTTTAGTGAGTATCAGATGCCTCAAGGACCACTATTATTCGTAAGAGAGGAGTGAAGAAATCCATTGGCACAGCCTGCGCCATTATGATTCTTGCACATGTGTATTCCCACAAATCCAACCTCGAAGCTCAAAGGATCACCAGCCATCGATGACCATCTCATGGCACATTTTACCCCCAGGGCTCGTGGCGATGACCAGAAGTTTCGGAAGCCCACCGGACGTGATGGCTCATACCATTTGATAGCCTTCTGTTCTGTTTCTTGGTGTTGCCTTTATCACCGTTCCGGTCCCATTTCCGGTTCCTTCCCTGCTTGAAGGGCGTGTTGGAGGTTTGCGTTTTTGACTCAAGACGAACCCGAGTCCTCTTCGTCCAAGACGGTCTCGACGTAGTAGCGCAGAGGCGACTCCCGAGCCCGCACTTCCACCAACAAGCGCTTCAAATTATCCGTCTTACGGAAAATCTTCGACTTGCGCTTAAGTCCGTCATCTAATCTTCGCTTGTTGCTCTCCACGCACGCCTTCATGAAGATGGCTGCAGGCTTGTAGGCGTGGCATCTGATTCTGTCAGGGTCGATGAACAATCCTTGAAAGCGCTCCAGCTGCTCAAAGTGGGGTTTTCGACGAGTCATCGGCTTCTGCACGAGCTCTGCGGCTTGAGTAGGGTTCCAATTTCTACGGAAGGTTCCACCAAACAGAGTGTTTCCAGTAGGGAAGGTGGCAGTGTCGGCCGAGGCCGTGTTGTCGTTCGTGTTGTCGCCCCAGCTAGTATCGCCCGGGTTGTCATCCCAGAGACTAGGTCCAGGGCCATAGTTGCCACTATGTACCAGCGCTTCCGCTTCCCTGATGCAGAGACGAAGCTGTCCGAGCATCGCCTTACGCTGCTTCTTAGACATGGCGATCGTCTCGAGTCCTGAGGGCCTTGATGACACTCTGTTGGGAGGATATAAGGGAGATAAGCAAAGCTGGTCCGATATGCCTTGTAGAAAATATGGAATGCAGGTGCTTGAAGTCCCTGACTAACGTATTGTTGTGATGTGTTGGCGAAGTCGGATTGAGTTCGCAAGTCAAATAGTTGATTGAAGGCCCGTAGGACTGAACGCGGGTCGAAGTCGGAAAGTTAATTTTACGCGGAATATGAAAAGAGTGGTGACTCTAGTTCTGGTTCAACGTGTAATAATCTTTTAAAATGGGTCTGAAACCACTTGATGGAAGGCCCGCAACGTTGTCAACTAGGAGCAAGTCCGTGAGTGAATGTTGTGCAGGATTGGAAATGATTGCGGTTTCATTCCACAACCCAGAGTATAGTAGTGATGCGTCTGCTGATTCCGGCCTTCTTTGGAAGTCAGTAGATGGAAGCCCTGCAGGATTGCCAACGTAAAATGAACTCTGGGAGTGAATGCGGTACAGATCTTGGAGAGGGTGATATTCCAACCCCGCGGCCAGTGCTTACGGGAAATTTTAGAGAAGGATCGAAAGTGAATTGACGAAGGCTCCACAAGACTATCAACCTGGAGTAAGCTCTTGGAGTGAATATCTGCGAAGAACGGGAAGTTGATAGCCGCAGTCTTCTGTATTTGTGTCGGCGATGGTCCCCAAATCGTAGAAAAGTTTCAGAAGGAGCTGAGAAGAGCGTTTGCAAGACATTCGCTATAAAGTAAGGTCCAGATGATTCTCGGAGAAGGGCAGCCCGCGCTGCCTAGAGTTTTTGTTCACACCAGGGCCGAGCAGCAATGCCCTTAAAGTGCCATGGATATGCGATGTGAATCGTAGACAGCTTTGTCGTTCAATGTGTTCGTGAAACTAAGCGTAGCAGCACCTTCCAGCTTTACAATTGCCGTTTGCGTGATTGGTCAGGGGGTATGTTCAGCGGTTCGTAGTTGCTCAACTCAAGAGCTTCAGTGTTGTTGCTCAGTAAGCTTCAAGTTACAGCGTCGATGATTGAAGACTATGTGTGCGCGCAAGCTGACCAGTTTCTGACGTTGTTCAGATGATATCTGACTGAGGGGTGGCCGAAACTAAGCGACGAGAGTCACGATGTCTCTGATACTGTGTTGATTCACCACGCGTGGGCAGGTTGTCTAACCGCTCCAAGGTTCGCGTGACATACCAGAAGCGGTAATGTCAGGGAAAAGGCCTTTCTGATAAAAATGTAGACCAAAAGTGAATCTCCAGAAGGAGATGGTTTTCAGATAAGAGGAGTTTGCAGGAGATCTAAGAAGAATTTATTGAACACCTGCGTGGTGTGGAGTGCGGTAACTGGCTGTTTGTGGGGCTTTGCCAGGTGCTCTTTCCACTCTTACTGTCATCGGAGTAAGTAGAAGAAGGTGCAGGTCTGTTGCCGAGAAAAATCTTTTCGGAGGAAAGAGCCTTTTCCGTTAGAGTCATATGGTATTGTTGTTAGCTTTGAATGTATTTGAAGGAGGCTTTTGAGGGGTGGCTTTTGCAGATCGAATATTACCCTAGTTTGATTGATGATGACTGTTGGTAGCCGATGGAAGGCTATCACTGCCAACTTGTTTGTGGGTGCAGAGATATTTAACCTTGTCTAGTCTACGATGAGGGCGAAATAAAGGGTCGCGATTTAGTAATTGCCGTCAGACCCCTATATGTTCTGTTCAAATGCCAAAGAACCTTTCATTGTGGTAATTCAATCAACTCCTTGCATTGCGGGCACATATTGTGTCAATCATGATCTGACGCTTGATGAATGGTAGTTTGCTTGCCAAAACTCTGGCAGGGGAAATACGCCTTGGAAACAATGAGAGTGGGACACAACATAACTATTTCGGCTTTGCTCTGATTCCTTCAATAAGAGGAAACGCACAGATGCTCATTGTTTTCTTCTAAGTTTTCGTACAGCAAAGGATTTTGTAGCATAATCCTGCAGAGTCACAATAAGTAAAGCTCCACTATCACCTCTACGCTGTACTGTTGGCCAGCATCTAAGTACCCCTTGCTCATCTCATCCTGATAGCGCTACTCAGCTGCTCGACGAAGCAGAATCCGAAGTGGCCGATTCGATGTGTGAGTGCCCGCAAAAGTGTTGGAAACGTTCTGTCTCTCAAATAGATACCACCTCTTCAAGAAATTCAACATCACAGGGCTGTGACCACATCAACCCGAAGGTTACTGCGCAAGATATAACCTGAACTAGAAATGCTTTGCAGGTTGTTTTTGGAGAGTCCATTTCTATACCGTTACTCAAAGCATTATTGGTATGCCATGCTTTTCTTCGTCGCAAGTAGCTAGCAAGCTCTAAACGCCAAGTTGCTGTCGGTGGAAAGCTGACCAAATGTCCCCAAGGGAACGACCACGAGTCTCTGGCATGCACGCTGCAAGTACAAGTACGGTGCCCAGAGCAAGTCCACCAAACAGAAAGTAAGCGCCAAAGCGGACTTATCCCAAAGAATTGGAGTCAAGATTGCCACGACCCAGTTGGTAAACTAGTAACCTACAGCCAGTATCAAGTGAGATGACATGTAGATGCAGTGTATTACTTACAAAGCCCAGGCCTTGAGCAACACGGTTGGCAGCAGGACGTGTATTGGAAAGCTGAATCTCACTGGCATACATCTTGCGAACAAGACCCGAAGTGGCGCAAGAGGTCATGCCCAAAAAGTAAGGAGCAGCATACGTAAAGAGCCCCGTAGATACCAGAAAGCTGGACCATGCCGAGCAAGAATAGCGCCAGAATAGTCTGCGACCAGTAACTCCTCCTGAAAAGCAAGATGAAGTTCTTCCAGGACGAAAGACTGGGTCTCTGCTCGCCCCCCTGAAGGAAATACCTCTCTGCCTACACCAAAGAGAAGTATGGCCGTTCTAGTGCATGAATTGATTCGGCGCGCTTCCCATACGATATCAACCACCCGGGCGAATCCGGCAGCGGAAGACAGCTTCCAACTAAGGCGAACGTTAGGGAGACCTGCACGACGTACGGCAAATGCTGCACCATGCTCGATGGGATTTCCACCGAGCCGTACGCAGTGAAGTAACCCACACAGACCACGGCAGTAGCTATAAATTGCGGTAAGCAGGCCAGGACACCGCGCGATTTCACGGGGGCGATTTCGGCGATGTAGACACTGACGTTGCTCACATAGAGGCCCTCTCCGAGTCTACTGAGCGCTCGACCAACAAGGAATTGCGCCAGGGTCATAGCGGTGCCGTGGATGGTGGCGCTGATACCAAACATAACGCCACCAATAATCATGGCACGAAGTCGTCCGGTCCGGTCGATGAGATGACCGACGCAGGTCGCGGGGAACGCTCTCGCGAGCATGGTTAGTGAGATGGCGAAATTCACGACCGAAGGCGACAGTTTTCCGAATGTCTTTTCGAACTCGGGCATGACGGTGATAGCACCGATGCCGCCCGCGTCGTAGCCATTCAACAATCCGCCGACAGAGACGGCAATCGACGCAAGAACGTATTTTGGTATCATTTTGGGCACTACGGCTGATTCCATAATGAATATGGCGAAAACATTGAGCGTACACAGTAGAGCTAATAGGGGTGGTGATGTAGAGATCGTTGAACTTGGTGCAACATTAAATATGGCCTGTTACTTTCCCCGCAGCTTAGTTCCAAGTTTACCGGGGTCGTGCTACGTTATATCATAGTGCAATGCCAATAGCATACACTCCGCTTTTCATGATCCTTTCCTGATTCGATATTAATACGATTATGAAGGACTAGCATGGCCTCGCTGATGTCAATCAGCCACTTTTGACTGGTGACTACCGGCGACGTCGGCTTGGCTAGCTTGGTTAGACTATATCAGGAGAAACGGTCAGAGTATACAAAAGCATGATATCATAAAAATGCAATATTTCGTACCAGAAGATAAGTTTCTCGAGAACGGTTTAGAATGCCGACAGGGGCTAGTCTAAACACCTTCAAGCAAATTCTTGAAAACATCTCAGGGTGTCACAGTTAAACACATGGATAGAGACTCACAAACCGGCATGGATGAATACTTTGAATAAATACTTATTTGGGACTTCTCACATTTTCTGCAAACAGATATGTCAAAGTCGAATTAGGGGTAAAATTTTGTATTTGTGGGCCACGAAGAATTGTAGCATTAGTATACATCTGTTGAGTAAACGCATGCTGTACATTATCGAATATAACCCCTAAAATAAGATTTGTGCTACTTTTCTATTGTTGTATTATCCTTTCTGTTTCATAAGCACATTATACGTTCTTTCTTTTAACCTTAGCATTGACATGGATACATTTAATGTCGGTGTATATTCTTGTGTAATTACAGGCGACCTTCCAAATAGAAAGTGGTACAGTATTGTTGTAGTTTGACTAGATACGCGTTCCCTAGTGCGCTGTCCCCATTTTTCATTACACACTGTTTATTGTTATTGTTGATTGTTGAGTGTTTACTCATTAATGAATTGTATTGACTGAATGACCGTCAAAAGACCAGGGACCCGCTCTTTCAGAATGTGGACCTATTGGTAGTTATGAGACCTAACAAATCGCAAGGAGAGCCTATTGTTAGGTGTTAGGCTTTTAAACTAGTCTCATTGTTCTCGCATCAATATATTACCAGCGCCTTGGCATCATTAGCACCATCCACCCGTCATTTATCTCCTCTGCAATCCCTCATGATAGAGTACACTTTGACGTCTTTACGCCGGTTCCAACCCACGAGAGTGACCAGTTTTCACTAAAATCTGCTTAATCTTGCAACCATCGGACTTATTGCAAGCTATGGCAAAGCATGGGATTGAGTATTCTCTGATATCCCCCAGTCCAAAGGAGTGAAAGTGGCCATAAGGGCCTTAAGTATAGAGAAGTGTGCCTTACACCAGAGCAAGTTTGACGAAGAAAAATAAAGTCTGTAAGTCAGCTATCGAGCATGAAAGAACACGAAAGAGCTGGGTAAACGGGTTGGTGCGGTCCGACAGCAATTATCAGCGTGTTGGAAACTCAGGCCGTAGTGAAGTCAATCTTGTAGAATTTTAGATTTGATACTGAAATTTTGGAGAAAACATCATCTCACAGAGATCAGTTGTAAGAAACGAGGATGATGGCATGAGTAGTCCTGCAGCTGATACCGCTGTCTGTGACCTCTCCAGGAACCCTGTCACGTTTTCCAACGTTCAACTGAGAAGATTACCAGCACACAGAAGAGAGGTCACCATGCTGGCATGGCAGAACATTATGAGGCAGTGGCCCTAGCGGTTGCCCCAAATATCACCACATCGGATGGCCGGCCTAACGGCCGGCCGCTCGGCGACGTCCGGATACCAAACTAGCAGGTAGGAGAGATGCTCCGGGGGGTAAAAGATATAATACAAAGCTAGGTAAGGCGTCGATTCCCGTTTCGTACCCGTAATATATACGTATTATTGGTAGGCTAAGGCCGGCCGCTAGGGTAGGTCCTACTATACTAGGCGAGCCTTCCTCCCGGCCCGTAACCGTTTACATAGCTGGTCTATAGAACAGCCTATCTGCTGCTGTTGCAAATTAAGTATCCACATCGCCGACTCCTCGCTACATCGCCTTGCTTGTGCTTGCCTCCTAATCTCAACGATAACCTCGCTCCGTAAAGAGTACCACTGTACCTCGCTCCGGCGGCCAGATCTCCACCGGCTGCCCCAACGCCTGTCTAACTCGGTAACCGACGGCTGGCCACGGATCCCGATCGTCCACTCCCTCCATAGCCCCTCCACTGTACGCGTCGTACGGCACATACTGTGCTTCGGGGGCGCTGGATTTCCTGCCCAGATACACGGCTGCGGACTTAGGGAACTACGCTCAGTAGGTCGCCCGGTAGGTGCTAGGTTCGACCGGTTAGAGGGATTACTACGTAATACTGGTATCTGCCCCTCTGCTATGGCCGGTGCTAATGCTGTTGTCGGTACTGTTGTTACTACTGTTACCTCTGTAGGTAAAGGTACAGGTGCTGTTACTGGAGTAGCCTCAAGGCGAAAGGTAAGGCCGCCGGCCGTGAGTTTCTGGAGCTGCGTAGACTGGGTACGGTCTGAGTGTACGAGCTGATCGAGAGACTGCTGAAGCTTCGCCGTCTGCTGCTGAAGCTCAGCTATCCTTGCCTCGTGGCGTACGTCGATCGACCTCAGGTAGTCAGCTAGCGTCGGCATAGCCTGAGTCAGGAGAGCTAGCTGGCTAGGGCGCTCCTCCTCCTGGGCTGTAGTTCGGACCTGCCGGGCGAATAGCGCGTAAGCCTTATGCTGAAAGACCCGGTGATCCCATATAGGGCTATTAGGGAACTGTTCCTGTAGCAGGGCCGAGTCCTGTAGGATAACCTTCCGGAGGTGGAAGAGTAATTCGACTAGACCCATAGCTGCTAGGTCACTAACTTGGTCCTGGCTAGGGCCGAACCTATCCCTCCAGCTGTCAAGCTCAGGCCAGATCTCCCTAAGCAGGGCCTCCGGGGGCGTGATAGTAGCCCGCCGGACCTCGAAGCATCCCATCTGCGGCGGATGCCCGGCCATTACACGCATAAACTTCCGGGGTAACGAGCTGAGATAACACCCGACCATCTGCTCCTGGTTCCACCGGCCCGCTCGTCGTATCTGTTCCTCGCTTACGCCTTTCAACTCAGCTGTTTTAGCCCCAGCGCTGCGGCCGATATGCGTTTTCTTCTGTGACGTTACCCCGGCGTACTGGAAGGCCTTAGTAACCCAGTCCCGCTGCGCGTTATACGAGAAGGCTGTTGTACGATCCGCCCCGCTCCCCTTGATCAGCCGGATATCGTACCAGGCCGACCGCCGGCTCAGGTCCGGGAAGGGCTCGTCGGTTAGATCCCAGCGGTACAGCAGGTAAAAAGCAAGGCCACCTAGCATACAGATAAGCGGTTTTCTATTGCGGAGTGCCCCTGCGGTCTCAAGTCGTCCATGCTGATTTTGCTTCCCCGCACGGGTAGTTAGGATAACCGGCATACAAGGGGTCGAGCCCTCGCCCTGCAGCTCAAACGTAAACAGGTCCGAGATTTCGGCCGCCCTCCGATCGCCGCCACGAGTAAGCATATAATGGCCGAGAAGGAGGTCAACGAGTGTCCGAAAGTGACATTCGGGCGAGGAGCTGCTATGTGCCCAAAGCTCGTAGCAGATCCGCTCGAACTGCTCCTCGGTATAGCCGTCCAAGATGGTCTCCCGGCCCTTATCCGCGTATAGATCCTTCTCCCGTTGCGCATCCCGCCGCTGGAGAGACCGGACGTACTCACGTACGTGGTCTTCCCGCGGGGAGGGGTGCGTGTTCATCCCTAAAGTCCTCTGGGTCCGATAGAGGTCGGTAATAGCTGTAATATAGCTCCGTACGGAGCGCCACCCGAGCCGCGTCTCCTCCTGCGGGACGCCCTGGTCGGCCTTCCGGCTCCAGGCTCTCAGGGGCCGGTCGGTAACGACCTCAACAAGAAAGAGGAGGAGCTTGTCCTCCGTAACCGTATCGGCATCCTCATACTGCTTCCGCCGGCAGAACTCCTATATATAAAGACGTTAGCTACGTACCGGGCAACCTACGGGGCCGATAGGTAAGCGAACAACATACCTGGAACTCCTTCTGCTTCGGCTTGTACGCTATAACAGTGTTCTTCGGCCTGGACTGGTCGATAAGCGATAGGATCCTCTGTGTGTTAGCCCGTAACTCAGCTCTATTAACGGCATCGGTTCCGAGACGCGCAACGCGCCCCGTCTCCTTCGTCCTCGCCATATACAGACAGACAGACAGACAGACAGACAAATAAGTAGCGAGGCCGGATAGCCGGTAGGAGAGCGGTGAGGCGCCGGGGGGAGAGGAGGGAAAGGGGAGAGCGCGGGGCAACTTACATCGTACATCGTCTTGTGCCGCCCCTGTATTTGTATTCGGTCAGGTTAGCAGTATTAGGCCTATCGTTCCAGCGGCTCTAAACACTGGACGAAGCGCTGTATCGCAGCCGGCCAGGGGAGAGGGGAGGGGGGGAGGGGGGAGGGGGGGGGGTGGGGTCGGAGGGGTCTTAGGGCGCCAGTCAGCGGCACTTGGCCTTGTAGAGGCCTAGCGGTTCAGGGGGCAGGGGGCCTGTAGCCAATAAGCTAGGCGGTCGCCAGCGGGGCCGTCAGCCGCCATGTATGGTGGAAGGAGATAAACGAATATCCACGTTCCCCTAACTAGGGGGACGACGTGGATATCCCCGTATGTGTGTCGGGGGCCCGGGCGTCAGCCAAAGTCATCCCGAGTCAGCGGGACCGCGAATACCAACCAATTACAAAGGCTGTGTATAACCGTGCCAAGTTTGCGGCTTAGACGAATGTAGAAATATCACAATAAGCTATAGTCGAAGGCGATGCGGCCGTCGTGGACGCCAGTAGTCTGTTTGCCTTTTGCAGCACGCACATCTACTTCAACTTAGACGAGACCATAATTCTCCACCGCAACAACTTATCAGTGTGCGTGAGTCCCAATTCGGAAGCATCAAAGCCATGGGGAATACGCCTCCAAGAGTTTCCATCTGAGCGTAGAGCTGGGTTAGGGTTGGTTGCGGCTAAAAATTCGATATAACTCAATGGACATAATGTTAAGCACGGGATCTTCGACTACGTGCTTATATAGTATTTTCCTTGAAATGTGATACACGGCATCTAAGAACAAGAGCATCACGAATGTGGTCCGACCTGCGTGTTCCGTGATCAGACAGATCTGACTCCAAGCTAAGTTGTTTCTCTCCGGGACGAGTTCACACCCCTAAATCCATCTTATAAACCTATCTCTCATGCCATATCATCACGTAAAAACAGCCAGGGTTCACTACTTTCAGTAGACATACAAATGGAAAATGCCGAGGCCGAATTGCGAGTAAGTTCCAGAGACCGGCTGCCGGGTCTCAATTAGCACTCCCATTGAATGCTACCAGGAACGGGGCCGTCTTTTGAAACATAATTTCCGTAAAAGCCAAGCCCAGGTCGTGGAGGACATTCGGAGTGGCCACCTTGCGTTGGCGAGCGAGACGGAACCGGCCGTAGGGATGAAAGAGCTCGAGGAGAAGGTTTATGTGTATAGGGGCTGGATTATGAAGGGCTGGCTGTTGTGTTTAGACCTTGAGAGGAGGGTAAAGGCCATGGTTAGTGATGATATGTTTGCGTTATTGTAGAAAACTATCAGTGGGAGGGAGAGGATTCATTTTGTGACTTGATTCAGTCGATTATCACGAGGCATGCGGATAGTTCTGTATGCCGCGGTGGAGTGCTGAGGTTGATGACTGCCTGGTTGCGGAATGAATCCGATAATTGCATGTTACTTATAGAGCAATAAAACCTGCAAGACTGCCACAGAAGTGAATAGCAACTATTGAATTTAGGTATGTTTAGAACATGATGTTTATATGGAACCTCGGGGTTAATATTTCTATGCAAATACACATCAGTAGATCGTTTTTAAATAGAAACCTGGAATCCTACATACCTTCTTGTATATTTCTTCATTCGTTGTCCTCCTATCAGAAACGATCGCAGGTATTCAGGACTGGATAATGCTAAAAAACCACAAAAGAAAGCTTTCCCTGTAAGGCTTGAACTTACAACCTTCAGATTAACAGTCTGACGCGCTATCCAATTGCGCCAAAGGAAACGCAACTGTTGGGATTGACGGCTTCGCATTTAATTTATCATATGTGGTGTAGAGCTTAAGACCTGGTGGAGATCAAGTTGTGACCGACCCAAGTGTAGCACGTTGATGGCCCAGACTTAATGTGCTAGACAAGCCTCGAACCGCTGGAAACAGTCGGTAGGGGCTGGCTTGTAAATAGACCAGTCTTCGGCTGGAAAGAGTTACACTCATGCAGGTCTACGAAGAGGAAGGCACATATTGAGACGTTAGCCTATGCTATTTGTGGTTCAATGCGTTTTGATTCGAACTTTGCTTCCAGTATACCTGTTTCTAAACCTGTCCAGCCTCCTCGGGCGTGTACCACACAAATTCCCGCTGTGGCTTGATTCGCTTAGGCTCTAACAACCCGGCACGAAGCTTGTTGATCCTGCTGAGCCAAACCTTCTGTTTGTCTTCATTTGCGAAAGTGGTTACGATCTCTTCCACCGCATTATTCATCGGGAACCGTATACGAATACTAGCTGTGAACATCTTAGACACGGCATAGACGAACAAACCAAAGACTAATGTGTGGCGAACCTGGCTTTGCAGTTGGGGAAACTTCTTCCGTGATCTCCATCAAGAAAATTCTCCCTCTCAAGTGCAATATCTTGGGAACTTCTGGTTGAGGCTGGGACGACATTAGTATTTTCAACGTAGACGCCAAGGTTCGATTCTTGGCATATTTCTTGTCTGTCTTCTCCTGGCACATGATGAGGATATTCTCGAACAGGTACGCTCGATACTGCGACGGCGTTAGCACGCTTCTTCTCAATCCTGTTTTGCGACGATATTTTCGACGATATCCATCAAATACAGACCTCTCGCTCGAGTGCATCCTTCCATGGTGGTGTGACCTTGACGATGTCGAACATCAGGAGCTTCCCAAAGTTTTGGACTTGGAGTCCTTTCCAATCCTTCACCCTTGACGCCAGGTCATCAACCAGGCGTCTCGTTTCCTCTAGCTTGAATGCGTGTTCGATTTCAGCGCTGGTTGCATTCAGCAGGTCGATGGCCTTAATGAGATCAGCCTCCCGGTAGCTTCCCAGTTGGCAGTGGTCAAGGATTTCCTACTTATCGTGAGTGACAACCAGTGCGTGGTAGAGTTCAGTTACGTACTTCCAGGAATGTGCCATATTTCGCGAACCGTTGAGATGGAATAGCGAACATCCGAAGAGCCTCTGTGAGAAGAGCTTCCGCCTCACCGTCATCTGGCCAATCTGTTTTTGCGGCTGTGGCTTCGCCTGCGACCTTGTTGCTGACTAGAAACTCTTTGTGGCTCCGAAATATCGACGTATGCACCAAAAAGAGGCTACCCCAATTTCGAGCCTCTGTAGGTTGATTCATCGTCATCTCAGCAGCAACGAGGAAGTGTTGCTGCGCATCAGCAAGACCGGCCGCACTGACAAAGCTCTGGATAATCCAATCAAACCGGAGATTCCCAGCGTTCTCAAGCTTGACTTTTATTTCTAAGAGGTTTTCGAGCTGGGCGGAGTACTCCGTTTCATCCGCGATGAAATCCTCAGAAATCAGCTGAGTAACGGTGCGAAGCTCCCGTCTCCATAATGGCTTGATGATTAATGCCTCATCGTGGGCAGAGATAGTGCTCCCGGGCAGGTGATCATCAAAGACCTTACCGACAAAGCGCACAATCTGGGTAGCTTTTCTTAGCATACGAGGTTCCCCGGTGGTTAAACACTGACACCAGTGCGTCATTTGAGCTCACCTTTCTGAATTCCAATATATCGTCACTCGAAAGGTTGCTGATGACAGCGCAAGCGGCCGGAGGAATCTGGAGCTGGTTGATGCAAAATTTCAGGAACGTATACACCGCCGCTTTGAGATCCCAGTGTGCCTGAAGTGGAACCGGGCCGGTCTGGTTTCGTAGGCTCAAAGTATTGTGTATGAGAAATAACGCGCTACGCAGTCTGAGCCCTGCCCGTAGCGTGCTCACCGGATTCTCATCCGGAAAGTTGCTCGACACGTCAAGAAAAAGGTCTTCGAAGCCTTCAATATTTAGCAGCCGTGCTTTCAGGACAAGACAATCTTGATAGAGAGATTTTCCCCGTGGCGTGGATCTGGCTGGCGAACTGTCTCCTGCCACGCTGGAGCCGAAGTTGTAATGTTGCGGGTTGGATATATCTGCTGCATAGATGGGAAGGGCAATCACTGAAATGATAGAAACATTGCCTACACTAAGCCCCGAAATAGCAGACCAAGCATTTGATCTGGCAACGGAACTTGTAAAGGAAAAGTCGCACGTGTCTCTTTTTGCATTGCGATAGACACGCGACGATTGTAAGTCGGTTTCGAATGTGAATGTGCTGGGTTCGCTCTCCGCAATGGGCTCAAGTGGGCTGATGGTTGATTTGGGTCTTCTTTCAGTGATCGTCCAACCACTTGATGCTGCGCCAGGTGCATTTGACCCATCAGCTTCGTCGTCTGCCTCGGAGGCGAAGGCGCTGTGTCGGCGGGACAGTATGCTTCCGTTGTCGAATGAATTTTCTAGACTAGCCAGCCGACGAGACAGGTCCTTATTACTTTTCAGGAGCGATGTAACACTGACAGAAAGTTCCGATTGTGTCTCTGCAGCTACCGAATCAGATTCGCTACGGTGTCATGATGTGTGAGCTTTGAGGAGAGACTTTCAGGTCATCATCTTGAGATTACTCACCATTGGAAGATGTTAAGTATTAGGGAGACAGACAGTTTGAAACTTTGCAATCGTGCCACGATTACTGTCAGGTCGCCCTCCTTTCTTGCCCATTGAAGACGAGTTATGAGTGGGATCTGAGAGACAGGGGTGCTGAGGGTAGGCGCAAGCGCCTCAAGCTCGGAAAATATTAGTACCCCATCAGTCAAGATGGCAATGAGTTGATCGACGCTGATCAGATCGGTTCTCCGTCGTGACATGGTTGCCAGGTTAGGGATCAGGTTCTGAAGAACTGACAAGATGAGGCGTACGTTGACGACCTCGGAATAGACGGGCGGTGCTAATTTTGGTGTATCTTTTATAGCTGACACCACGGGGGCTAACCACTCCACCACCTGCCCTGCAGCTCCCAGGATGCCGATGATGGAGGCTGCGACACTCAACGGATCTGCCATGGAGTTTGAGCTATGAAGGGACGAAACTAGGAAAAGGATCAGGCTGGATCGTCAGTCGAGTTTCGCGTTTGCCCCGAGACACAGCCTCACTTGTGCATCCAGAAGAAGCGCCTGGCGCTGGTCTTAACCCCTTCTGGAAACGGTGGCTGATTATTCGCAACGCCAAGCCTGACTTGGGCGGCACCCCCTTTCTATTCGCGCTTCACTTTTTTTGGATTTTATATATTATACCGTCCTATGAAAGCCTACGGCTTATGAAGACTAGATACGAAGACCCGAGGTATAGCGGGCTAAACTAGCCATTTCCATACACAAGTATAACCCTGTACTGCGAATTTGCATACTACGTAACCATCGTTTTTCTCTCGCACTATTAGCTTTCTGAACTTAACACGGAGGTTGAGTTTAATATCATTGTAGGGCTGTGGATTCTCTTTAGTAGGGCGCCGCCCGACTCTACTAAATTCTTTCCCCATCACTTTCGCAGTGGGTATGCGTAGTCTATAACCGCCGCCGGACTTGAACCGACTGTCGCGCTTCACTTCCCAGCGTGAAAACTTCCAGTATTCGCAAATGCCCAAGGTAAACTGCAGAATATTGATATGCTCATATGAATATATTGACAATGTTAAATATGCAAATAAGTTTCCCGAAGAACAAGGCGCCTGTTTTCACCACATGCGTTCCCAACACCTCCTTGTAAAGCTCATGTGCGACAGCCGCTCCTTCTCGACTTCTTCAACTCCGCCTAGCTCCCAGTGGCTACACTCCTCGTCGATCTCCTTCTTTCCACTAATCAAGTCGGCATCGATGGCTTTCACCAACTTAGTGTGCTTAAGCACCTTCCAGATGACAAAGGTGAAGAACGCAAAGGCAATGGCAAAGTAGGCCGTGATGAAACTCCTCACGTCAAACGGCGCAAACGCGTCGTATCCAACAAAAAAGAGAACCAAGACGCCCAGGAGGAGTGCAAAGTACGTAGTGTAAGGAGCCCATGGTGCCCGATAGGGGAGCGAGGCAGGGTCCATACCCTGAGCGTTCCGTGCGCGGTAGAAGCCCAGGAATGTGACCAGCATCATAGTGTAAGTCATGATAAGGGCTGTTGTCGTCAGGTCCACAAACCAGAAAAACACCTCCACGGCTGAGTTGCTTGGCGCGGAGACTAAGAAAGTGATACAGGAAATCAGAGAAACCGCGCACACAGCATTAATCGGAACACCAGACTTGGTGCACTTGGCGAAGAATTTGGGTGCTTGGCCATCTGGAACAAATTAGCAACTGCAAATGGAGCTTTTCGGGGTGAAGTAGGTAACGCACCTTTGGCAAGCCCGTAAAGGGTCCTGGAGGATGAGTAGAGGTACGCATTGCCACACGACCAGCCAGAAAGCATGATCATGGCGTTGATCAGATCCGGCAAGCCAGAGATCCCCAGATTCTTGATACCAACAACCCAAGGCGACGCTGCCGCGCCGGGCTCACTGTTCTCGATGGCGCCGAGAAGCATAGGGTCTCTCGAAGAGCAGATGATTCCAACACACAGGACACCCACGACGTAGAAGCCGACGAGACGGTAGAAGATCAGCTTGGCAACACGCGGGATGGTGCGGCGCGGGTTTTGGATCTCGCCAGCTGCAAGTGCAATCATATCGGGTCCTGCGATGGTGAATACGGCATAGATGACGACCTCCCACCAACCGAGGAAACGGCCAATTGATCCCGTAGTGTAGTAGGCATGCATTGCGTTGCCATTGCCCCAGTTGGTGAAACCGTACGCCTCGCCTCGAGGGTTCCCGCCAGACATGGTGATTAGGGTAATCAAACAAAGTCCAAAGAGGAGCAACACCTTCGTAGACGCCATGACGAACTCGGACTCGCCATACCATCTGAACAAGGGTTAAGGTAGTACATAAAGAGGAACCAAGGGGCCATAACTTACTTTACAGCGACCACGTTGAGCAGGAAACAAACGACCATGGCCATGGCAATCCAAACGGCCGGGTTTATGTCCGCATTCCAATACTGCATCACGGTGGCAACAGCAGAGTATTCCGTGCACACCAGCATTACACCAGCGAAGAAGTACGTCCATCCCATAGCGAAACCGAGAGCAGGGTCGACAAAGCGCGAGGCCAACTCGAAAATGGAGCCCCTAATCGGGAGATAGGCGCACATCTCAGCCACGCACAAGTTCAGGGGCCAGATGAAAAGAAGACCCCAGAAGGTGTAGCCCAGGATCAGAGACAGCGGACCGGCTTTGCTCAAGACGCCGCCAATACCGACCTGTATAATGTGTTAGCTCTTGATACAATACATCAAGAGGATTCGCGTACCCAGAGTCCAGTACCAATCGATCCACCAATTGCCATAAGCTGGACATGGCGAGGGCTCAATCCACGTTTCGTTTCTCCGTAGCTGTCAGTGGCGCCGTTGGCGATCTCGCTCGTCTGGGTGGTGCTTCTCAGCACGGGGCTGGAGCCGTCTTTCTCGAAGCCCATGATCGATCGGTTGATTAGTCTTCGGGGGAATTGACGTTGATACAACCTGTCCTACGTGACAACGACCTGCAAGTCGAACATCACGACCCTGACTTATATATCTATCTCAGTATCGTCGTGCTGACAGCGGAGACCGCCAAGGAGTTAAAAGTCAATCCCCAGATGGTGCAGATAAGCACATGGCCCCTTTGCATGATTGATGGCGATTGCTAAGGTTGTGACAGGATCCGTTCCTGGCTTCTCCAACCAGCGGCCGGCACTGCAGTTATCAGCAGAATCTTGGCGGGCTCCAGCGGAACCAACCAGGGCAAGGGTCAGCAAGGGTCAAGCACCCGTTAGACCGGTCACCCCGACGATAACTGTCTTATTGCTTGCGCTTGTCGATAACTTTTCACGGCAATCCCCGGCGAGTCAGTCCAGATTCTCCGGAGGCTAGGAGACTAGTGACGCAAGCTGAGTGTTCGTACCAGGTGTTTGGCCTCGTATGTTTCGCGTGTACTTTCCTGTTCCTGATGAAGCGAGAAGAATGGGAGGAGTCAAGGATGCTCTACTATGGTATCATGGGTAAGTTTTCTATTGCGTGTTTGTACCGTGCCCCACCTAGGCACGCGCCAACTCTTCGCTACCTGGCTTGAAGGGATCTTCATAGCTGTCTGAATATGATTAAGAGAAAACGTTGTAGTAGTGTGAATTTCGGCTTTCGATTTACCACCGTCGAAATATAGGGTTCGAATTCGTTGGCGATCCGCTTCTGTAAGGTGTTTAGTCCCCATTGTAGTTGCTGAATACGCGATAATTAGGACGCGTTAACAGCAAGTTGGAATCAGAGGTGGAAGACCTTTTCGTTACCATGAGTAGGCTAGGCAAGAATCAGTATAGCGTTACCTTGATAGTGATCCACTGGTACTTGTCAAGGGGGTGAAAACTTTGGCCTGATACCGTAGTACAAGATTGCTTGCCTGTTATCCTGATGTGGGGAGGGGCTTACCTAATTGATAGGCCATTCGCAAGTAATGTTACGGCGCAGCGATATCTTTGCCACTCATGAGGAACAGTGTATAAGTCTTCAGCACTCCACCGTTAGAATGCAAGGCACCGATTACACCGCGCTAAATGATAGTGCGATACCTCGAATACGGACTTAGCCAGATACCATGCCATTTGGGATGCCAGCCATAGATATCGATGTTCAAGGTGAAGCAGCCTTGTGCCGTCTCCTCTCCTGAAGTCTGCGTATCAAACTTGAAGTCCATAAATGATAAGCCCTATTTGATTACCCCCTGTTAGTCTCGCTGCATCTACAACATGTCCCAGATACGAAATTACTTTCAAGGAGAAAAGCAGGGTGATTACCCTTGCAATGAAAACCCATCAACTACTTCGCGCCGGCATTAGAATCGCCTGTCGAGACCAGCGCATTGCTTATACTCCGGCATCTATTCGTCAATCCCACATACATATGCTTTCAACGTTAGAGTTCTACTTTTGACGGAACTAGAACCCGCCACTATTCCGATGGTGGATATTCACGGGGTAGCCTTTTTGGAACCTGCAGGATTTGTCAATCCTTATGCACTGCAGAAGCCAGATTGGGATCGCAAGCGGGGAATCGCGTAAAGTCATCCGTCACAATATCCCGACGGGAGCTCGATATGGTCAAGTTCGACGAACAAGCATAGTGCCTGTAAATACAATGAAACGTAGTGTTCGATCCATAGGTTATTCTCTCGTTCGGGGCGCAGCCAGGCACTAGTAAGGCCCTAGTAAGCCAATGGTTTAACCATACACTATTTGCTTGGTTATAGCAGACGTAGGCATTGAACTTGCTTCATTGCCCTCCAAGGCTAAGAAAGGGCAAACTCAAGCACACGGTGTAACTTGTGAGTACTGAAGCAGGGCATAATAGGCATAATAGTGTCATATGCTTGCAGCACGTAGCGTGGCTTTAGTTCCACGCAGCGATGCGCTGTACACAGCTAAGTGGAACAGCATCATCTTCAACAGACCAACCCGACCCACCTACCCCAGAGTAGGCAACTTGTTCTGATCACGGATACAGACACCCTTCAAACAAGAGGTTATACTACTGAGATGTCATTTGATGTCCTGATTTGTGACTTTAAATAGCCCCGAGTTATGAGCTGACAAAACCGGTATTTGTATCCTCAAAATGAAGGTGACTCACGAATCGTACAGCAAAGCAACCGATTAGTAGTGCGTGCCAAGCAGCTAGGCCTTGTGACGTAGCGATATCTCGGCATATTTTTACAAGGCCGATGCCGCTCCGGAACGCTCCAAGAAGTACGCAATCTCGTCCTGAATCAAGTGAACACATTTAAAGCGGCACCATCTGAAACCATCGTTATGGCGGCCTTGCCACACCCTGCGGACGAACTGCCCCCCTATGTTGACTCCCAAGAGCAGGAGGACCCGAACGAACTTCTCCAGCCCATAATACTGGTTCTGGCGAACCAGGTGATCTACTCAGCCGAATCGCCCGACTCATCTCCTCTGTACGAGCTCTTCAGCGATATCCAGTCGGGTAGGTTGAATGATGGCGCCCATACCACGCCATTACGGCGCTGTCAGTATACGGTCAAGACATCTCTAGACGGCACGCCTCGTGTGACCTGTCGAAAGAAGCACATTTACGACCTAAAGCAGCCGCCTGCTGTCACCGCTCCCGCGTTCCCATTTTATCTCGAACGAATCTCCCGGCAAGCAATTGGCAGTCTTGGATTGAAAAAGGTCACCTTCCCTCGAACAGGATACAGGGCACTGAGATTCGACAGTGGATCTTCAACAGTTCCGAAATCTTCCGAGTACTTGTTTGAGGTGAAGAAGAAGGACTCGTGGAATTGGCATGATTCCGACGGCAACCTTATTGCTATGGAAGACCATGGAGACGGCCAGTGCAGAGTCCTCGTAACGCGGCCGTTATCAAGAAGAAAGCTGGACGCCCTTGTGGGCATGTGGTGCTTGCGCCTTTGGAGTGATTCGGTCGAGAGGAACGGCGAACCTGGTTCCTGGAGTTGGGGCGAAGGTAAGTGCCCGTTTTCACACTTTTAGTACATTTATTGACATGCGAGTTGTAGTGAAAAGAATCCTGCAGAGCAGTCGGGCCAATGGATTTCCTAGACAAATTTGAAATGCATACTGGTATTCGATGTCTGTGAGAAAGATCCCTCGTTGCTGAGCCTCTGTCCATGTTTGACTCCGAATGCCACAATAACATATTGGAGCACTTGGAACAGATATGAACCCAAATGGACGTTGAAGCCCATTTACAGAATGATCATCTCCTATAAAGTGTAAGTCCTCAGTCCTGCGATTTGACTGAAAACAGTGCTTATGTGGACCAATGCCTATCCCATCGTATTTCCTTGGGCCAAGGACTCATAGGGACTTTGTTTAATGACAGAATCCCTAATTTTACTGCCTGAAAAGTCATTGAGATATGCAGAAACTAGGCTTTATTTCTCGAGTCCAATGGGATGTTGCTATGAATACTCGTAACAGCAGATATTCCCTAGTCAGATAGAGCAATTAGACACACTTACAAATCTTAGACCTTGCCACATTACAAAAATAATATTAAATACGCCGTAGGTGTTAACCCTCGGTACCTCTACAAGTACTCCCTTAAGGGGCTATAGATGATATAGCGGGCCCTTAAGCCGCGTCGGGCGGTTATACAGGTAAACTTGTAGCCAAATGACTACTAAACCTCCTGTCCCTCCCTAAGTCTGTGCTACAACCCCTGCCTGAACTACCGATAAGTGTGGTAATGTGGCACTTAAATTCGTCCTCAGGGGTGGGATGCTGCTGATGTGCAGAAGATGCTCGACTATTTTTTTGTCGCGACAAGTCGTAGTATCTGCTAATTGGGGTTCTCGTCGAGCGTATACATCTCAACCATACGCTCAAGTGGATAGACCGTAACGTGGTCAGACGCTCGCAAGAATCGCGGCGAGAGGGCGTGCTGCGCGCCTTCTATCGTGAGGGGACGGGTTCGCCGACGAGCGTTATCGGAAAGGCGAGGTCCGATAAGGGGTCGGATTAACGATTCGAATTCTGGACCGGCTGTCGAGTTATATTCCGCCGACGTAGTGCTTGACGGTCGACTGGCTAGGATGCTCGTAATCCTAAACTGCACCAATCTCCCTATTATCGCTAGGTAGGCGAAGTCAACAAGGTGGGCAGCGCGCCGTAAGGGTTGACTAAACCCCCTTGTGTGTCAGCTGCGGGATTCGAACCCGCGACTCGTCACCGACCCAAGTGGGCGAGGCTCAAATCGGGACTTATCTACCAGCGAAGTGACCAACTACACCAGCCGACTGCCACATTACAAAATAGTTGTGGTAACTAGGGCAAGATTTGGTCCTTCTTATTTCCCCTCCCGTTGAAAACGAGCTTCTTCAAAATATCCATTGCAGCCTTGCAACTACTTAAAGAATACCAACTAGACGTAGGTTGAAGCATTGGTCGTATTTATGATTTAACAGAAAACAGGGTCACACCTTTATACAATGGCACTGTAAATCGAACCTGCGCCAGCTCTTAAGATGAGCATCGCCGCCCGTTTGCGGACAGCAGCCCACGGGCATAGCAATCATGTGTAGGACAAACTCGGTCGTGCCGCAAAGTATACAATGCGGAACCGTCGTTCAAGCTGCGGAGCTGAGGAAGGCTCCTGTCGAGATACAACCCAACCCAAATATCAAAAGTCTACCGGCTGTACAGCCTCCTCGGCGTCACCAGTCTTGTCGGGATGGCTTTCAGGCCTCTTCTCAGTCACAGGCCTGCGAACTCCTCCAACTGTGAAACTGAGCTAGCTTAACTTTTTCACGGCGATTTCCAACTCCGTTCGGCACCCGCGCAAAGGCACTTGATACCCATTACGACATTCATGAAAGGAATGCATCACCGCAGTGGTGAACGGGGGCAATGACCCCAGACGCCTCATAGAGTTATCATACTACACGACACCATCTCAGGCGTCATCAGGGGTGAGCATAAAAAGATGCCAGTACCTTTCGAGTTGTCTTCAATCTGTGCTTGTGTACTACCGACACTTGCTCGAATAGCTCCTATTAGCTTTGCTGTGGCAAGGTAGGATTCGGTCCATATTCATTTCCATATACATGTTCAACACGCCCAACGCCATGCATTGATATAATGCGAAACTTTGGCACATTCGACTGCCATACACAACCTATAGGAATTGTTGTTGATACGGATACCAGTCCTTTGTTACGTTCTTGTGTTACTCGCGCCCCAGGTGTCCCAGACCACCATGCCATTGGTATAGCAACAATCAACTCCCGTGCCCTTCCGTCTAATACCCTACTTCCCTTGCGAGTCTTTGCGGAATAGGCGGCGGAGGTTTCTTTGCCCGGCTAGGCGGTGGTGGTGGTGGGCCCTTCTTCATGCTTCCAGACAAGCCGGTATTGCTAGTTGTCCGGCTCAAGGAACCATAGCTAGTTGCCGGGCTTTCGCAGCGATCATATTCAGGGCTGCCGCTGCTGGTATTGGTATCATAATCATCTGCGAAGACATCTTGACTTGTGTTTTGGTTCGAGTAGAGCTTGCTGACAGGTCGTAGGCCATTTCGTAATGCATTTACATTGGGGGGCATGGTCGGTGCCGGTGCTGGCGTCCGCCGAACAACTTCTTGTGGAGGCGGCATTGGGGGTTCTCGGTAGGAGGAGGTGCGGGACGACGGACCCTCAAAAGTCCCACTGCTGTAGGTCGAGGCACGGTTAATGGCCGGTCGTGGCGGAGAAGTTGGAGTGGCAATCCCAGAGTTGCTGTTGAGACGGTTGGACCGAATGGGCATGCGAACAGGTTCGGGTGTCATCTCTTCATCCTCGTAGATGTCCTGCTTGGCTGCTGAAGCCCAGCGCTCGGTACGATCCTCGCCACCATACGACCTGGTAGTGTTGCTACGACTGCGATTCGTTGGGCGACGTCCGAGACCGTAATCGGATTGGCCCCCGCGAGAGTAGGATGCTGGCTGGCTTTGACCAGAGACCCAGTCACGACGCACGCGGCGCAATTCTTCGGCACAACGGTCATAGTAGTCCAACTCGGCGTCGAGGAACTGGGTGAGGTCGGAGACTGAATCGGCTTCGGCTTCCTGTATGTCTTGCATCCGGCGGAGCACATCTTCGGACGACTCTTCGTATTTGGCCTTGGATGTGCGCAGCTCGTCTTCTAGCCGGAAGTCTTCTCGCTTGGCCTTTTGCATCTTTGCCATGCTGGCATCGTAGGCAAGGCGACGGTTCTCGAGCTTCTTGCGGGCAGACTGGGAAATATATTGTTAGCCACTGGAATGGATTGGTGGGCCACAGGGCGATCCGATTTGATTGGCATGATACTGATTTCCACAGACGACTTCGCTCTGTTGAATCAAATCTGTGTAGCCCGATGTAGCTGCTATGTAATGCCATGATGCGTCGTGCATCTACCGCACGAGGCGGCGTCGGAAATAGGCTGTTTGGGAAAATGGAAGAAGCAACACCTACTTGATACTCCTTCATGGTGGCGAGCGAACGCTCCAATGATTCGAGCCAATAATTCGAGGCGTGTGCGACGTACGACTCCTGGATTCCGGCGATTCGCTCGTTGGCCCGACCCATAGCTGCAAGCGTCATACGTCAGCGAACAGAAACCCCTGGATGCAGTGCAACCAAGATAAAGCATACCAATCAAGCTGTTTCCAAACTCAGAATCCGGCTCAAAGTCCTCGCCATGGCTGATCATTGTTCGCCCCAGGTAGCTAACGGGAAGACCCTTCTCTTTGTCGTCGAAAGTTTCGCCTCGACGGGATAACGACTTGATGTAAATGTTCATGGACTTTTGCAGACGTTCCATGCCTGTAAAGTTATTCTTCGTGTTAGCAGACGCAGCTACCCGCCGTCAAGCAGACCAAAGTGTCGGGATAGAAACATACCATCGTGACGTAGGGCCATCTCCGTCTCCAGCATCTTGAATTCCTCTGACATGCCCGTCTTGGACTCTTGTCCCATTTTCTCGCCCGCCCATTGGAAGGCACGGTCGAATTTCTTTGTGATTTTCATGTTGACTGTGGTTTTGGTATGTCGTCTAGGCCAATTGATGCAACAGGTTGGCTAGAAGACGAAGGAATGGTTCTTGTTGAATAAAGAACAGAAAGTGAAAGCTCCTGATGGCTCGACAGGTATTTGACACAATATCTTGCCAGGGTCCTGGGACGATCAATGGAGTGTTATCAGCGTGGCTATGCTCCGGCCGCAACTAGCCAGGGGGTGTGGATTGGCCAGAAACGTAGATCAGCCCAATAAAAAGCTGCCGAAATTGGAGCCCGCGCGGCAAGCGGAATTTGCCAGGGTGGTCGGTGGCTGGCGTTCAAGGTGTTAATCAATGGAGCAGAGCGAATGAAGCGCTGGACTAATAGGTCTTTTGGTCGTGCAACGTATCAGGAGATCATCACATCGGAAGCCTCGCCAGCAATTGTTCGTCCCGTGTACTTGTGGTACTTATGTAGGGGCTTAGAGAGATCGGAAACAGCGAGATGTAAACTCTAAGAAGAATCCCAAGAAACACTGGCCAAGAAAAGGGGGGCAAGTTTATGCAAAGCCAAAGTGGCGAGTCGGCAAAAGAAAACGATTGGAAAAAGCACAACCGAGCAAGAGAGGAAGCAGATGGAGAATGACGGGTTTATCAAGCATTGTTCAGATGGGTTTCGATAATTAAGAGTCAATAATGCCACCAACGGAAGGACCTTATTGTGAGTCGTTTCCTAGAGCTGTCCAGGATTTTCCTTCTTGTGCTGCAAATGGCCAGGGCTAGAAGCAGGGACGATGCAGTGCAGATGGAACTGTTCACTTGTGCGAGCGGGGTCGAGTCGATGATTCGCTGCTGCCGTTAATGGACCCTGGAGTTTGGGGTGTTCAAGGATATGGCGTCGAAATGGCTGGAGAGTGGGATGGCAGATGGATGGGCAGTTTAGCTCGTGAGAAGGAGAACGGTTTGATGGGGGCAATTTGCTAACAGTTATCCGGAAACCAGGAGGGCCCTGAAGCCCAACCTGTTTTCAGTATTGGTGGTTTAACACAGCCAACCATCTGTCCTCTCTGTCCCCTGACTTGTTATCGAGTCCTCGTGTCGTGGCACCATTCAGTCGGACCATTTGATCCCATCATATCATCTCGTCGAATATCCTAGGGCATTCGCGTTGCGCGTTGCGAACTCAGCCTCGATTGGCAGTTTCCAAAAGCGCGCGTCTCTTGGAGTTTCGGGAAAACGTTCCAGAAATTCCTTAGCCCATCCGTTCGCTGGTTCCAGCCAGATTTCAGTGGCTGTCGGTTGTTCTCCACTTGTGCAGGGGTTGTCTCGTGTCGCTTGAATGGTTGGGAATGGTGGAGTTGCATTTGCAACATCGGACTTCTTGGACAGCACGTCGTACTGTCGTCACCATTCTTGTTCGTCCAGACTTTTTTGGGTCGTAGGTCGACGTGTCTTTGGCCGTGGAGTCAACCTGCTGGTGTTTAATTTAAATCCGTGATGACGAATCGTGCAGAGTTTTCCATCCGAAGTTCGTATCGTCATCACGAATCTTCAACTTTGGACGATTTGGATACTTATTTTAATTCCTTCAGTGCATTCAGGACGGTGTTCGAGCAGAATCACCATTTATCCCCGACATTTCATTTGACTACCTCTACAATGATCTGCAAGCCATTAAACGCCACAGACGCACATACCACCTTGACCTGCTTCAGGCGACATAGCCTAAACCCTTACAACCGCCCAGCAGGCTTGGCTGGACAGCCAGTTGTGGGACACACGGTCCGACGGGGTGCAGGTGAAAGCAGTTGTGAACTGCTTATGCTGCAGTAGCTCTAAGGGTGGAGATGCTTCAGTTTCCCAATACTTAGTAATGGCAGGGACGAAGAGATGGAGCGATCGAAGCTGCGAGTCAAGACTGGATGAATGGTAGATGCAACCACCAGATCTGTTGGACCTTCCAAAAGTTCTTGGGGTTACAAGTTGGAGTTGCACCAAATGGAACCCACTACCCTGGATTAATTCGTCGGCTCAGGGACACCGACGCCACGTGCAGCATTGGGTTATTTGCATCAATGATCTCTGACGTCGACAATTCGGATTGGGATTTGACGCTGCTCACCGAACTCTAGCAGGCTGGTGGAAGCGTGACCGCCGACGAAACAGCAAAAAGCATCGCCGCCGCAACTGTTCCTCAACTCGGGATCTTCTGCAGCGATCCCCAAACTGGTTCAGCTTCAAGACAGCCTCACTAATGGGTCGATCACGCACCGCTACTCTGCGTTCCAAAGTCTGTGCACGGTACCTTAGCCGCACATATTGCCGCGAATTCGAGGAAAGGATGCTATCGCTACTTGACTGTGAAGACTTTGTAGGTAACGCCCGGAACTAGGTACACCTATCCCCAGCGTATATATTCTTTTTAATAACCAAATACCAGGAATTTTAGACTGGAGGAAACTTGCGGGGCATAAACCATCATCAACCTGCTTGCCTCGGAAATACCAGGCAGCACACTTGGTATAATGCTTACTTGCATATGTCATACTATGTCATACAACGTTACCCCGTGGAGTGTGGCTCCGATGAGTATGCTTCGACATCCTGTTACGAACCGTTGGCCCTGAACCAACATTACAGGCCGTCGGCAGGCCAGGTGGATACAGACGCTAGGATCACGGGACCCCGCATCGGAGAAAGGAAAGGACCGACAGGTCACGTGACATACAGGGGTGGATATGTTGGCTATATTCGATATGTTGGACAACCAACATACCCAAGTGGGGATCAGTGAAGGAGAGATGGGTATATAAGGGACAGGACCCCCAGGCATTTCATAGATAGACAGTCTCTACTTCAGTGATCAATCTAAGCATCAATCTAACCCATTGGTGAGGCAAACTGCCTTAACGACTCTATTCCCGATTACCCTACTTGAATACTTCAGTTACCCAAAGCACTCTACTCCATACGTCAAACCCCGATATTATTGCTTGAGGACTCCGCAGCAGGACTTACTTACTAGCACAAACCCTTACAGACTCTTTAGCGGTTTACGCAGCTAGACTATTAGAGGTTTCGTTACACATCTCTCGTGGATTTTTTTGATGTGTTATTTTAAAGCATGTGCTTTTGGACATATGGTTAAAAGTGGGACTTGATACGTTGCTAAGAAGGGTTCGGAATCTCAAAGCAACAGAAAGTTCACAACGAAACGTTGCTCAACTGGGCTGGGAGTAAGCTGGAGAAGAGTTAAACCTGCGGTAATCATCTTGATATCTGCCTGCCTAAGCACGTTCTAAGATGACCCAAATCATAGTTATCTGAGAGGTAGTAGTAGAGCGCTGCTTTATGTACACAGGCCCTAAGCCTCCTCTGGTAAACAAGACAACTGTTACGGCTCCCTTAACACGTCATTAGAAGTACGGAGTATGTCAGCGGTATCGTGTCACGCCGTGCCAGGGGTTGCAATCCTTGCCACTACGCCACCGTACCAGGTGTCTTCACCAAAAGAGACCAATATCAAAGTCAGGGACTTTGGTATCTGCAACCACTTATCAATCTGTTCAGACCAGTGTGGGTCAATCACGTGACAACTATCACACATCGAGACATTGAATCATTGAGACTTGGTGCCGATCAAACGCGGAACGTGTAATAGAAGAAGGAGATCATCATTTTGGTCACAATAGAGCAAGAATCTCGGGTTGATTTGAAATACTTGTTACAACCGCTCTCATATCTCGTCATCTCAAGCATTGACACACCGCATCGGGATAATGCTGGCTACTAGGCCTATATATATATATATATATATACTGTTTTGTTTGTCTTCAGACACCAGAAGCTATTCTGTCTGTAATAATGAAGTGGACTACTTTTACCTTGGTTCATTCCTGATTTGCGGATGCCGTAATTATAGGTTCTTCTGCCGATATACCGCTACTATGAAGTTATACGATTTTTAACAGTTCAAAATATGTCATCGTGTCACGCCGTGCTAGGGGTTGCAATCCTTGCCACTACGCCACCGTACCAGATGTCTTCACCAAAAGAGACCAATACCAGAGTCCCTGACTTTGATATCTGCAACCACTTATCAATCTGTTCAGACCAGTGTAGGTCAATCACGTGACAACCGTCACACATCGAGGTTGGTGTTATGTTTCCTATGCACTTGACTGTAACGAAACCTATAATAGTCTAGCTGCGTAAACCGCTAAAGAGTCTGTAAGGGTTTGTGCTAGTAAGTAAGTCCTGCTGCGGAGTCCTCAAGCAATAATATCGGGGTTTGACGTATGGAGTAGAGTGCTTTGGGTAACTGAAGTATTCAAGTAGGGTAATCGGGAATAGAGTCGTTAAGGCAGTTTGCCTCACCAATGGGTTAGATTGATGCTTAGATTGATCACTGAAGTAGAGACTGTCTATCTATGAAATGCCTGGGGGTCCTGTCCCTTATATACCCATCTCTCCTTCACTGATCCCCACTTGGGTATGTTGGTTGTCCAACATATCGAATATAGCCAACATATCCACCCCTGTATGTCACGTGACCTGTCGGTCCTTTCCTTTCTCCGATGCGGGGTCCCGTGATCCTAGCGTCTGTATCCACCTGGCCTGCCGACGGCCTGTAATGTTGGTTCAGGGCCAACGGTTCGTAACATTGACCACTATGCAATCGATGCCAGGTGGAACGACGTCATGGTCCCACATATACATTTTCCAGGCCAGCTCTCCCTTTTCTGGCTCATGACGCACCTTAAAGACTACCTTTATTACCATATTCGATTTCTATGAGTCTTGAATACGTGAATACGTGCTGGACTTGTGTGTTGATTAAGTAGTCTAGAGAAATGCCGTACAAAAAGCTTTACTCGTTAGATCTAAGCCATTCCTGTTTACACCTATCTCGGATCATCATACCTAGCTCTTTATGCAATAAAGAGTTCTCAACTCAGTCTTGGGTATGAATTCATTCGGCAATCATCATCTCCCAAGGCGAAGTACTGCTGCAAATCAAGCCCCGATAAATGCATGTGCTTCAGCTGCCAATCTCTAACCAGTCCGTTCCCTGATTCAACTTTCAAAGTTGCTCAACTCAAGTTCGCCCAATACAACTTCATGATGATGCCACAGCAACGCAACCAAACCATCGGTCATCGGCGGCCAAGATATGACACTGACTCTTGACACCTTGAACTTACTCTTGTCCCACGTGTGGAGGTCATTTCCGCCAGGCTCACCGAAGAACCGGCACGCCGTGTCGAAATCGGAAGCAGGAGCCGACCGGTTTCGATATGCCAAGCGGCCAAGAGGCTAAACAGACGGACCAAGATTACCTGTGTTACCCGTATTGATTTGATTTGCGGTCATGCGGTGGTACAGACTTGGCGACGCGCTGTACCTGGCTCATTGGGTTAAGTGCGCAGCGTATCAATTGACCCAGGGCAGTTGTGTGCTCGTCGGACCTCCAGATATTGGATAGCAACGCGTACCGGCGATTGGGGACATTGATTGGAGCAAGATAGGTTCGCCATTATCATGACGATAAGCATAAGCTTTGCGAGAACACTGGGATCGTCGACTTACTTAAGGGTCGCGACTGCCTAAGCGGTCGAGTGAGAACGGAATTGGACCAGCTGCAGAGACTTACGCATTGGTACGACTAGCTCAGTTGACACGGTGACCGCATCACAATGGCTCGTTCTATGCTCTCGCTCTTATCGCTTGCGACTGCTAGCTTGGTCGGTCTAGCTTCAGCCGAGGATGTGCTCTACAGTCAGCGTATGTCGAAGCGTTTCATCGACGACGAGGGGAATTACAACATTTCCTTCTACCACATCAACGATGTCCACGCGCATCTTGACCAGTTCTCGTCATCCGGCACCGACTGCACGAGTCCCACCGAGGGCTGCTACGGAGGGTATGCCAGGGTGAAGACGGTATTGGACGATACGCGGCCAGAGCACCCCGACAGCCTGCTTCTGAACGTCGGCGACGAATTCCAAGGCACATTGTTCTACAGCTTCTACAGGGGCGAGAAGATCGCCGAAACGCTGAACCAGATAGGTTTCGATGGCATGACCATTGGCAACCACGAGTTTGACGGTGGCGACGACGAGCTGGGCGACTTTCTCAAGAACCTAACCTTTCCCATCATCTCCGCCAACATTGTCTCGGATAACGAAAAACTGAATTCAACCATCAAGCCGTACCATATCTATGATGAGTACGAGCTGGCTGTCATCGGTGTTACGACCGAGACCACCGCCAGTATCAGCAGTCCAGGCTCTGGTACCACGTTCACCGATGCCATTGAGGCCGTCCAGAACACAGTTGACCTGATAAGGAGCACCACCAACATCACCCGCATTGCCGCCATTACTCATATTGGCTATGAAGAGGACATGCGTCTGGCACAGGAGACCACTGGTCTCTACTTTATTATGGGTGGCCATTCGCACACCCTCCTAGGCGACATGGAGGATGCTTCGGGACCTTATCCGACTATTGAGCAGAACAAGGATGGTGATGACGTCTTCATAGTCACCGCCTACCGCTGGGGCGAATACCTGGGATATATTGACGTGACCTACGATGCCGAGGGCAAGGTCCTCGCATACCACGGTGCGCCTATCCATCTGACCAACACCACGGAGCAGGACGAGGATCTGCAAGAGCAGGTCGACGCTTGGAGGGAGCCATTTGAGGAGTTCGCCGCGGAAGAGGTTGGCACGACGAACGTGGTCCTTGATCAGAGCACCTGTCAGGAAGGAGAGTGTCTCCTTGGCGACTTCATCGCAGAGTATGTATTTACTTGAGGTGGCTCGTGATGAACCCCCCTACCCTGCAATGCTAACCGCTGCTACAGTGCCATGCTCCAATACCGCCTCGATGCAGATGCAGATATTGCGTTCGCCGTGACTAACGCGGGTGGCATCCGAGCCACAATCGACGCCGGTCCTATCACCCGTGGCCAAGTTCTCACCGCGTTTCCTTTCGGCAACGCCGTCGTGGAGCTGACGTACACAGGGGAAGAGTTATGGACCGTATTTGAGGGCGTTGTCTCCGGGGTCAATCAGATCAACGGTGAAGAAGTCACGTCTTTTTTCCAGATCAGCAAGGGTATCAAGGTCGAGTACAACCCAGACGGCGAAGTTGGCAGCCGTCTCGAGACTATCACGATTGGCGATTCGCCCATAGACAACTCCACCACGTACACCATTGTCACTATTGATTTCTTGGCCGGTGGTGGTGACAACATCTTCGAGCCTGTGGATGACCTCGTCGTACTTGACACCCTTGACGAGGTTCTCGTCGAGTATATCAAGGCGCAGAGCCCCATCGACATTGAGCTAGACGGCAGAATCTCTACTGTCACTGGTGGGTCTGGTTCTGGCTCGGGGGACGCCACTGGAACAGCAACTGGTACCGCTTCAACGCCATCAGAGACCAGCAACGGTGTGAGTGGTCTTGGACCATGTATTGCTCTGTTTGTATTCACCCTCATGCTAAGTATAGTGGTGCTGTAATTGGTATTGTGATGCCGCCACAGCAGAGCGATTCAAAGCAAAATCAAAATATAATAATTAATATAGAAGACTGTTCATTACACGCTGTCTCTGACAATTCTTGTCACCGAGCTTAAACGCCAAGTCGAAAACCAGATCGATTTGCCAAAAGATTTAGCCCAACCCAATTATACTGGTCACTGCGATGGGAATTACTTCCCCTGAGATGATAGGATCGCTGATATTCGATAGTCGATGCTTCGAAAGCTACACCAAAATAAAGGGGGCATCCAAGCCTTTGGGGTTCAATGCACAGCAGTTCGCTTACATCTTCAAACTCCAATACTGTTCAAAACAATCCAGGATCAAGACCTAGCGATACCAGCTTAGCCACCAAACTCATTCCTCCTTCTATTAAGCCTCAGCTAGAATAGCCACTATGCACTCCTCAAGGCTGTCCTCAGAGGTACCTGATCCTTCATCATTCCACGTTAATTGTTCTTAAGTCACGCGAGGCATAAGAAAAACCCATCGCTCCTGTTCCGCCTGCTCCCTCTTCTCTTCCTGCTTCACCGGCGCACCCCCTCTCGCCCTTGCGCACCAATATCTTCTTCTCTCGACGCTCCCCAGCCCTAGCCTTTCTCGCAGCGTCCTTGGATCCGTCAGGGTCCACATTGCATTTGCTTTTGGATGTCTTCTGTTTTGTGCACAAGGCACACGTGACGCCGGTGCCGTCCTTGAGAACACGGCAGTTGATGCCTCTTTTCTGGCAGGCGACGCAAGGGCCGACCGGGTTGTCCATACCCTCTCCGGCGCCGAGCATGCGGTTCGCGCGACGAATCGTGTTCACTGTCTTCTCGCAAGGACCTTCTTCGGCATTGAGCATGAGGTCTGCGCGACGACGGGAGTTGACCGTCTTTTTGCGGGGAACTTGGGGTGCTTGAGGTACTTGGCGCATTGAGGGGGCGGCTGGGATCGCTGGAGGGATGGTTTGGGCTTGAGGTTGCGTTTGAGGGCAAGACGGTGCGTTCAAGATGGCAACGATACTTTTCGGAGGTGATTGCTGCGTGTTTGGCGTTGGTTCAGGGGTAGGAGTTGGTGTCGGCGCCCACTGGCCGGGGGCCATGATGAGGGGCATCCATCTTTCTGGTGGTGGTGATTGTGTAGGCTTCTGCGATGGTTTAGACGCCATTTGACTAGAATCTGTCGACTTAGATTTTGTTGACTTGGACCCCGTCGCCTTGGAGTCCGTCGAGTTGCTCTCCTTCACCTTTTGACTTTGTTGTTGTTCTTGTTCTTTCTTCTCGCGCTCCTCCCACTCGTGCCAGAGATAGCCGTGTTGCTTCATCGAAATATAGTCGCGATGGTGGGCTGGCTTTTGCCAGCGGATGTCTTGGCCTCGCGTTGCCACCCAAGGTACGCCCTCTGGGAAGTGGAAAGGGCCATTGGGCTCTTGGAAAAGAATATCTGGTAGGAGTTTGCTATAGTCCATTCCATTGTATCCGCTGGCCAGGTACTTTTGCTTCGGAGTTAAATTCATTGCTATGAAGGTCGCTGTCATGAACGGGTGTTTGATAAGGTATTTGGATTTCGTTTTTTCGGGGCCTGGAGGAACTGTCGAGATGGATATTGATTTTTGATTTTCTTCTTCAATATGTATCCAAATTTGCGAGCCTGTCTAAAAGAATGGTTTCTCCGCGGAGTAGTTGGTTGGACCGTCGAACTGGTTCAGGCAAGATTGTGATGGATGGAGTTTGGACATGATGGGAGGGTCAGCATGAGACTCAATAGGTAGTTATCTCCGTGACAGTGGGGTTGCGACGCTGTTTTCAAGTATGGTTTCAACTACTTTCGCTACTATCCAAGGGGGAAGGAGCATCTGAGCATATCGTTCATGGGAAGGCCAAGTAGGATCCATCTGGTTATTGGCGGCTTTATGTGAAAGGGGGAGATAATTTGGCGCAATCTGGTTCTTCCATGGTCATTTTGGAATCCTCTGCGAATAAACCCGTGTGCATGAAAGCATTGAGCTTCTGGCATTGAAATATGTTCCAGCATGCTTGAATGTTGCGTGCAGATGTCCGTAAACACCATGTGTCGCAAAATGCTCATAACATCCACTCTACACTCTTCACTCTTCAGATTCCGAGAACTTCATTATATTGTGGAATTGCATCCAGGGGCTCTATGGGCATTGAACCTCCTAAACCTTAGGAAAGAACAACTAGAACATTACCCCTGTACTCCCTATGTCCCTCGTCTATCTTTCTAAGCTACTGTTTCCAATCAGATCGCAATAAAGTTTGAGTCCAACCTATCAACTTCCCGTTCTCCATCAGCAGCAAATTCTACTAAGTTTTATTGAACGTTGTTACTCGTATTCTCCGAAAGATCGCAACGGTCAACCCTCTTCTAACTGAAACTCGGAGACAGATATAATCTATTATTTAATCCAAGTTCGAAGCCTTTCCACAAATGCCCCAGGTCTCTCTTTGAGTCCTTATTGGGATACGATTGGGAAATTAACAAACGCTGTCGAATAGTCATTCCAAAATATATAATTTCAGATCACAACACCGATCTTACCTGGCTCCCGAGCAACTACAAAGGGGCCACACTGCAGAGGCACAGAAACGGCCGAGAAAGCCTCTCCTGGATTGAGTTCCGATATGGCTGAAAACGGACTTTCTGTGGCTTCTCGATCAGCACAAGTTGGTATGACAACCAGCCCTCAACCCACAACTTCTACAACGCCCCAAAGTGGTATTTCGCCAACCGGCAATACTGAAGGCTCGAGTTCAAAGCGTGGCACGATGCAAACACCATAGTTACTGGGGATGGCTCCTCCCGGATTTGGCGTTGAACCGTCAAGTGAGGAAGACCGCCAACCTTCGACTTCTTCAGATGCAGCTTATCCAGCACCAAACCAAGCATTTAAAAAAAACTTGGAAGAGCACAAAGAACGAAATGGAGCTCGTCATGAGAGTGCGCGGGTCCGAGGGAGTGGCCAACCTCAACGGTCTATGTGGCCTTGCAAGGCCAGGAAAGATGGCTGACCTTGTAGAGTGATGTACGAGTTTAAGTCGGACGGGACACCTAGGTCGAATAGATGAGACCTCTGCGTGGAGCAGAAAAGAAATTTGTTTAGGTCGCAACCCGTTCTAGGGATCGGAACGTTTGGTCGAAAGTTATAAATAAAATCGAGGGTATCGAGAAACATATTGAGTCAGCTAAGAAGGCTACTCTGTTAGAGACCCAACAGGAGAACCTGGTAAATCTAGAGAAAAGCAACTGTTCAAGACGAGAACATGCCGCTATCCAAAAGAGCTAGGACGGATGATACTTGACTTGGTCGTTGGGGATGTCAGTTCCGTCAAAATTTCGCAGAACATAAGTTTTGTACAAACCAGAAAGGTGTAAGTGGCGAAGTAGTAACTATTTCTGTAGTAAGCAGAACCACGGTATCATCGCTCCTTTTCACAGGTAATATCTTCGTTTTGGCTCATTCGGCTATTTTCGTATGACGAAAGAAATAAGAGAAGCCATGCAGCTACTTTTAGCAGGGTAAAGGACAGAGAAGCGGTGGGTCATGCTTTTGGAAAGTGCAGACTTCAAGGTCGTTAAGATATGGACAGCCGTCCTCGGTGGAGGCCGAAATAGTTCAAGGGCAGATGTTTTGATCGTGGTTTTAGTTTTCTGGGCGAAGCCTTACCTCCTATTATACCTTACGTGTCACTTATGCCGTGATAATCAGCCCCCGTCCCGAATACGATGCCTATGGATGCCTTCGAGAGGTGGTATATACTTGACGAACGAAGTCTTTCTACTAGCAAAACAATCAACTACTTGATCGAAATATAATAGATAAAAACATAGTTTGTTGACAAACCCTAGTAACCCGTATTGTCCTGTACTTATCCCATTAAAAGGTTGAATTTATGCGTGTATTTCATGTGTTTCTTCGGTTGGTATTTGAGTTAAACTCATAATACCTAAAGGTTTCAATAAGACTGACCTAAAATACTGATAACAAGGCCTATCTACTTAACTAATTACGTTACATCATAGTTGTTATACTATCGTGAGTCTCTCGTCTCATTCGTATCTCAGTATGCCAATACAGTCACTCCCCCTCAATTCTTCTGCAGTGTTTATAATTGATGAATTCACTAGCAATTAGGAACATGGCAAAACTCTGAATAGTTTAGGTTACATAGCAAAACTTTCTGAGAGGTTCGGCCTCAGTTGATAGCATTGACATATTGTATGAAAGGACAGCAGAGGTGTCTTCAGATCGCACCTACCGCCACGCAGCACCTTAGGAAGCAAGAATCTCCGAATGCAAAATCAAGCAGAGACCTAACAGGCCGAAGCCTTCGTCATAACCATGGACGAATGACGCCAATACCCACATGCCAGAGGAGATATAAACAAGCCTCGAGTCAACCTAATCAACCTCACCATTCCCTGTCGTTGAGTTGAACAAACGGCTATCCAGATTGGGCTGGGTTGACTAGTTGATAAGGTGGTTACCGTAACTAGCCGGAAATGAGGTTGTCGTTAACCTCACATGCAGGGCGGCGGCTCCGTAGTTGCCTCCTCTGCAGGCTTACCCGGTTCATTTATCTAGTATAAATATGTAGCCGTGTCAGCTGCTATAGCCTATTGTAGAGAGTCAGTCTCCTGAGCTTGCTAAGCCGGCCATATACTAAGTTCGCAGTGCCTGGAATATACCTATGAGGTTAGCGTTAATACTGGGACCTGTCACGACCTGGGTTGCATCGCATTGGTAGAGACCTCGATTAGGTGCTATCGACGAAGATTCTACTCTAAGGAGCGAAGGAAAGAAGATGACAACTTAGGTTTGAGGGAGCGCGACTAAGTCGTCCACGCTTGGCGGGGCTCCTACAGGGGTTATGATTGGCTTCCCATCTGGCACTGCCATGGCAGGTGTTCCAGCTGTAAGTCACCTGGTTGTAGTGAGTCTGCGAGGGTTGACCTTCACAGGACCGCTATGAAATTATTATTATCCTACCGGCAGATGAAAATAACCGCTCGTATTCGGCTAATATAACCTGTACTGTAAGTAAGTCCAATGCTATTGACGAGAGCCGCGGGTACTTGAAATGGCGGTTATACTAGTAGCTAATAGGGTTAAGGTGGTCTGGCCCTCGCTTATAGTTACTAGTATATCAAATAGCGTATTAGCGAGGTGACGATGCTATCGGGGTTAACGCTCTAGTGGTTTTCCAGGAGTCCATAGCATTAGGGAAGCAACTTAAGCGCTAGAGGACCGCCGAGATGACAGCGAAAGTTCCTACAGGGCTAGGAGGGGCCTCTAGCACGTGCAAATAACTAAAAATTGAGAGCCCCTAGCCTTAGCAACTATTTGGTAACCAAGTCACCAATCAAGTCTCCAAATTGATATTGCTTGGCAACCAAAATCTGGAGAATTGGTGGGTCGCGTTGGCTGGTTGACGTCAACCCTTGGCAACCAGGTTGAGGTGGTTGGGTTGTCTTGAGACTTAGATATAAAGCACTTCTCAAGATATATCTTTAACCGATCGGCATGACGATATCCCTTGGAGAACTGTACAATGGAAGGGCGCATGATTCCGCTGGAAAGATGATGATGACAGCCCTTACTGGCGGCTTCTTGGTTTTCATCACTGAAATTTGAGACGGGCAACTCGGACATTATGTCCTGACGCTCAGCAAACATGACCCTCTTATACACTCCAGGCCATCAAACGTTCCATTATAAAACCCATGCCAATGCTGGCCCCCTATCAATCGTGAAGTCGGATCCGGTCGGACGAACCGCAAGCGCTACATTGCAGAGTCCCGGGACCCACGAAGACCCCGACCGATAGCTGCCGGGGAACTTGGTAGCCAAATTCCATGTAGATCCTCCATCTTTAGACCGAACCGCAGTATTATTAGCTTCAGTCGCGACCTCATTGTCACCAACAGAAATCCCCGTATGCACATGCCGGAAGCTCAGCGAGTACACGCCCGCCGACGGCCCCTCAGCAACCTTGCTATTCGCCGCCTCCCACGCGTACCCATCCTCACTCCGGAACACCCGCCCGGGATCCACACGCCCGATCGCATGTAACATATCCCCGCCGCAGCAGCAAGACGAGCCCCATTGGCTGCAAACCCGAACTCCCACGCCAACGCATCCAGCATACCATCCGGATCTACGACGTCCTAATTGTCTCTACCACCTGCCATCTCGATCAGCTGGAACTTCCTATTCACAGGATCGCTCATCGCCATTCCTCGCTCCATCCCTTCGAAAACGAGACAATCACAAAACGCCGCCTCGTCCGCGTTGCTGAAGGCGAATTTCCACGTCCCGCCGCCATCGCTCATAGAATAAACACGCGAATCGGCGCCCTGACCGATATATAGGACGACGGCACGGTCCGCAGACCAGGCCCTCACGTCACAGAACTGGAGCTCGGCGTCAGATGGGAGCAGTGAGGAGCCGACGGAGGCCCAAGTCCAGCCGGCAGCTAGGGTCCGCAGCAAGGTGCCGTTGGTGCCAGCTACCTAGGCGATTTGGTCTGAGACGGGGCGAGACCACGGAATTGCTGGGTGCTGCCTGTGTCTCTTGCGAGAAGGTGGACGCCGAGCGGGGGAGGAGGACCAGGCTGCCGAGGTTTTCCCCGACCAGGTACTTAAAACATAACGCGCTCCGAGGTTCAACATATGTTGAACTTATCCGATAGCGGCACAGAAAGACATACGTAGAGGCTTAAAGTCGTGAGGCTAGTGGTTAGTAATAGGGCCTATAAAGGTTTAAATTATTTATAGTTATATATTGTATTTTATGCCATTTACTTAATTAGGAAAAAAGCCCTGTCTTGAATTCAACATATGTTGAACCTCGGAGCGCATTATGTTTTAAGTACCTGCTGAACTTAGGTTTTGTACCTGGTCAGTTTACGCTCGCGGCCCGTGAGGAAGGCGATTGGGCGTAGGAATGCCACGACGATTAGTACGAAAGATCGGCTTTAGATTAAATGATGTGAAGATTATATCTCCAGGTTCTTTACTTCGGGCCAACACTATTCGAGCTTAAACACTCTGGCATATTGAATTATGTTGTTGCGGCGAATTTGGCACCATCGAATTAGCCGTATCATCATTACTCTCCTAGGCAGGTGCAATGCTAGCAATTCCCAGGCAGCGCTTTATTTCCGCGCAATCAGAAAATAGGCATGCTAGCGTGGTATAGAAACGGAAATCATAACGGTAAAATGGGAAATTGCAACATAATGTGCTTGTTCGCCGAATATTTCCCAGTTGACATAACCCTTACGGGAATGGAAGGATGTGCCTGAACAAGAGATTGCTTCTCCGAGCTTCTCCCAGGCTACGTCAACAACTATTAGAGACTGTCAGCGGCGTTTTACAGTCAATACCAGACCAAGGAGCCCGAAATCAATGGTAGCATTGCAGTTGTCAAATCAATCAAGGAAAGTTCTGACATCCCCAACTCAGAGCGTAACACTTCAAGCGGAGACTGGGACAGGGCCAAAGACGAAAAGTAAGCTTCTAGTGGACTTGTCGAGTTGAAGTTGATGTTGAAGAATGCCTCAGGTCAGATGTTTCTTGTTTGAAGTTTCCTCTTTCGACGGACACATGAAACATGTGTTCGACAGCTGTGAAAACGTAAAGTAAAATTGCAATGAGACGGAATTGCGCACAGATGGTGCTAGTTGATGAGCTGGCAACTTCGTGGAATTTAAGAAATGTTATCAGGCAAGACCCTTGATAGATGCCATCTTATGAGCAAGTTGTGTCATGACAATGATCGATGATGGTGCAAATTGCCTATCTAGATCGGTAGCCTTGACGGGCATCTCGCAACCACCTGACAATAAGATCATGCGCATGTCAGAAACTCAAAACTCGTCTATCTAATTTCAATAATTTCCTCAAATGGCCATAATCTAGAGCCTTTAGGCTCTTGGATCGTCGACATGGATGGAGCGGGAGGCGTTTTGTTTAAACCCCCTGCTAAGGAACTCCTCCAGCTCGAAAACAACGATTTGCTTGATTAGAATAGTGCTTGAAAGTTACGCCGAGCATAAATGTAAGTGATGCATTCCAGCATGGTCCTTGTAAAGCGGCCCCAACACGGACAGTGGGGAGATACGTCAAAATTGTCAGCAACCCTACATAATAAGACTTGAGACACTGTGAGATTGCAGCACTTTTCCTCATACTTCTTATGTAACTGCAATCCGACTAATCGATGCAACATCTGCCATAACATCAGGTTCGTGAATTCGAAAAAATGCTTGTCAATCACAACATGTGGACGTGGTCGGCGGTAGTAGTGGGAAAGCATGTGATGGGCTGGACGGGACTAATATGTTTTTGCTACTTTCTCCTCGCCTTAGAGGTGTTCGGTCTTCCTGGCATATCTCACCCAGTCTCTATAGCTATTGAGTCTTACGGCATGCTAGAGATATTGTGGTATCTCTTCTGGTTTCTCCCGTATAAGTCATACCTGCAGAAACCCGGAATTCGCCTCGAGCCGATGACTAGGGCCCAGCGAAGGGCGATGATCAGATCTCTCCTCAACACTGTGCCAGATATTCTGATCTTCCTGCGGGGATGGTTTGCGAAAGCGCATCTCGACGAGATATATCGGGAAGACGTGATGGACTGGATGTTGTGGGCGTTGTGGGGAACTGAAAGCTTCGAGGGTGTGGACATGGAGGAGATGGATGAGTACATCCAGGAGGCCGAGATCAAGGCAGGTAGCAGATTGCGTCCTGGTCGAGGAGGTGCGAAACCAATTCGCGTCAACATCGACCCCGTCAAGATGGTGCACCGGTCGCTTCTGTTCTACGGGCTGATAGGTTTTCTGGATGTCAATGCAGCCATTTTTATGTTCTTCCAGGGTTTCAGTTTCTGGAGACAACCTCGGTCCAACTTTTTCAAGGTCTTCCCACCGAGACTGCAGACGCTTGCTTCGCTGAATGCGTCAGCTGCCCCGGAATTCAGCTATTTTTACCGGCGCCACAAGTGCAAGAGATATCGACCCATCGTCTTCTGCCACGGGATCGGCATTGGGTTGGCGACTTACATCCCCTGGTTGATGACGATACCTAAAGACATTGGGGTGCTCGCCATCGAGCTACTTCCCGTCTCAGGGCGCATCTGTCCAGAGGCTGCCTCAAGCAGCGTCTTCAAGGAAGGCATGCGTAAGATCCTGTCCCAGCAGGGCATTGACGACTTCGTTTTCGTCGGCCACTCATACGGCACGCTACTTGCGCGCCCATTACTGGAAGACCCCGTTATTGAACCCATGATGAACTCGATGGTCCTCTGCGATCCAGTTGCCATACTGCTCCACCTTCCAGACGTTGCGTATAACATGACTCGACGGGAACCAAAAACAGCACCTGAACTCGAGATCAGCTGGGGCGCGGCGCTCGATCCCCGAATCGCCCACACCATTTGCCGACGTCTGAACTGGCAGGAACATTACCTTCTGCGGGAGCACCTGATCGGAAGGCGTACGACGGCCATCGTGGGTAGCCGTGATTGCGTTATCCACCCTGACGCCGTGGCTAGTTATGTCTACTATGGCGATGTCAACTACACATCAGCTGACGTGGAGGAGTGGAAGAAGACACCAGAAGAGTGGACGGGGCGTGGCGAATTGGAGCTGTACTACCTGTACGACAGAGATCATGGCCAGTCTCTTCTTATACCAAACGAATCTGTTCAGATCACGGAAGTGGTCGAGAAATACTGCCGGATTGACGGGGGACCAGATCCTAAGTTGGGGGCGAAGGACGTGGACACTCCAGAACCACCCCCCAAGCACCCAGCCAGGTCACACTTCAGCGTGCTTACCGATTCAAATATGGTTTAAATTTCATTGAACATTGTACTGCAGTTTGCTTTTAGCGTTTCGGCAGGGCACGGCGGGTTGGGTGGCACTTTGAGGATGCTAGACGATAGGTGGAACTATGGCGAATACTTGACGTTAAGATGACCCAAGCACACCGGCTATATGCTGGGTGTAGTGCTGGAGCCAACTGCCCATAGATGGACCTTCCGTAGCTGCCGGTTCCTAGGGCTTAGTCTCATCGTCTTCACCACCAATACATCATGTATTGCCTAGAAGTAAGCATGGCAAGTGGTAGTAGTAAGTGATGCTAGTGAAAGTTGAAATCGGTTAGTAATCAAGCGAGCCATACCCGTGAAGATGTTGTCATTAATTCAACTATCCTTGATCTAATAAGCTTGTTAATTCACGTAAAAGTTTCGTTATTGTGTAGAAATTCGCCCCATTGTCGGGCGGTTGAGATTGGCCTGTTGGTGCTATTGGTCAGCAGGCAGGAACCCTGGATATAAAGGTGTAAAATAAGAGAAACAACCGACCAATTTCGTATAAACATTACGAATTGTAGAATAAAATGACGTGAATTGAAACATTCTTGACCTGTTATTATTCTGCTACAAGAGTAGCACTGTTCAACTAAGATACTCGGGCCTACAACGAAACCCCAATTCATACCGTCTCGTGCGCCTGCTCTTGACGACTTGCCACCTCTAAATCATCAACGCCTAAGCAGTTCGTCAACCCGACCTCCGGATGACTTGTTATCCGTTTCAAGTTCGAGTGCGCATTTTTCCACTCCATGATTTTGGTACATACAAAATGCCTGCCAATGTGGAACACACTACAGTTTCTGCTTTGTGACTGCTCGTCGGTCCCACTGGTTCTGCATTCGGCGTTGTTGTGTGATATTGATGACGTCTGGAACAATCTATCAAACATGGGCTTCAGAGTCGGCAGGGAGGCGCATGTTATGGCGGCGTTGACCTCAATTCCTGACCACATGGCAGCATCGACTCCACTTACTGTGGCGGGAAGTTAGCAAATTACATCGATTATAACAGAAATGCTGTAGCTTACATGAGGTATCAACCTCATTGTTCGGAACAGAGGCTGGTATTAGTGAGATAAGTCTAATTACAGACGTGACGCAAGCACTGGCTTCCGTGAGCCGCGATACTCCCCGTCGGTACTGGCAAACAATCGATAGCTTGCAGCAAATCAAGCCGAGATTGTACAAGGGGACCGTAGCCCAATAACCCTTATATGAATCAGCTTCGTTGCAGTGTGATATGTATGGATCCAACTTACATGGAAGAACTTCTCAAGATTTTCTGGAGGTATGCTGCCAAATGATGCTCCTAGTCCGTATCTCACCACTGCAACCAGAAGGTTAATTCCGACTAGTCCGGCAGCCCTTCATGGTCGTGACATACAGTAGATAGCGACCACCATGAAACTCATTGATGCACACTGTTCCCATTGTCAAGCCGCACACTCGTGGTATTTGGGAACAAACGTAGCGTACCACAGCTATCGCCATCAGCCAGTCGTCGGCGCCTGGATTCTTGATAACGAGCACCCTAGTGTAGAGCCTTGTGAAAACGACGATGGTAGAGATAGATGTCAGGAGGATGCTGCTGACCAGCAGAGATACGTCGTTATCCGGTACAAACATGGCTGCCAATGGTCCCCCAAGAGGTCTCTCCCTAATAGGAGGCAAGCCGTCACGCCACCCTTTTAGTTCTGCGGAAACGCTCTGGGCGAAAAACAAATGACAAATATGAAGGAGTGGGCATCTAGTCTCAGGTTGATTCGGTCGAGCGCTACATCAGAAGAGACGATTGATGATCTTAGCAATTCAGGATCGACCCCTGAATAGTTTGTTCCAAAAGTGTCGATCTGACGAACCCTAAAGTGTAACAGCCAGGAATCAAAATCTGAAGGGGGGACGGAATTCGCTAGGGGTAACATTGAAACTTAAGAGCAAGACTGACAAGACAGCATGTCCTAACCTTATCTCCCAGCATTCTATGCCCGAAACTTGACAGATTCGAATTTCTAATTATTCCTGATGACTAGAATGGGTATTTGGCAATCATATCGCAGAGTTCATCCCATGCCAAGCACACCCTCATCTTTCCCCACGACGCCAATTGCAAGAGGCCAGATGGTCTCAAGGAATTTGGTTGTTGACATGAAGACGTTTAAATCATAGTCCCGTAACGGGCAAGTTTCAATCGAGGACCTCTATGGGCATGCACAATGTAAGTTCCGGATCTTGTGCCAAATCGTCCCGCGACACAGGGATGAATCCGAAGCCGAACCTACGCAATTTGTGTAACGTACCCCACAGTCCAATTGAACACTTTCGCGCATTTCCGTACAACCTAGGTTTTATCCCTTATTTTCCACCTTCTACAATGGCACGTAATTGGGAAGAAAGCGATATTCAATTAGCGCTTCAAGCGCTTCAAAATAACCCCAAACTAAGCGTACGATCCGTAGCACGGATCTATAATATCCCTCATACAACCTTACGTCACCGATATCGCGGCGGTACTTCACGACAGGATATACGATCACCAACGCAAAAGCTTACCTATTCCGAAGAAGACGCGATCGTACGCTACATAGTCGACCTAGATTCACGATCATTTCCTCCTCGAATAAGTGGTGTTGAAGATATGACGAATCGACTACTCCACCAACGCGACGCAGGACGCGTCGGTATTAACTGGGCTTCGAGCTTCGTACGAGGACAACCAGACCTCCGGACGCGTTTTGATCGAATAATCGACTACCAGAGAGTCCTCTGCGAAGATCCCGACGCGTACCGCGCGTGGTTTTATCTCGTATGGAATACAATTAATAAGTATGGAATTCAAGAGGAGGATATCTATAATTTTGACGAGACTGGGTTTCTTATGGGTCAAATCTCATCCGAGATAGTTGTAACGACCTCTGATCGACGTGGAAGACCTAGAACAGTACAGCAAGGGAATAGGGAATGGGTTACAGTTATCCAGGGCGTCGGATCGGACGGCTATACTATCCCTCCGTATATCATCTTTGCTGGTAAAACTCACCTATCTTCGTGGTACGAAAATAGCCTACTACCAAAGGATTGGGTTATCGCGGTTACGAAAAATGGCTGGACTACAAATGAAAGAGGCGAGGACTGGATTCGACATTTCGATCAACATACAAAGCTTCGTACGAAAGGTGTTTATCGCCTCTTAATTCTCGACGGCCACGAGAGCCACCACTCGACCGCTTTCGAGCTCTACTGTAAAGAGAACTCTATTATCACACTCTGTATGCCTGCTCATTCGTCGCATAAGCTCTAACCTCTCGATATCGGCTGTTTTTGTGCACTGAAAAGAGCGTACGGTAAAGAAATTGAGGATCTTATGCGGGCACATATTACCCATATCTCGAAGGAGGACTTCCTCTTCGCGTTCTTAAAAGCGTTCCAGGCAACTTTTACGATATCAAATATCCAAGGAGGTTTCCGAGGGGCAGGACTCGTACCGTACGATCCGGAATATGTGATTTCACAGTTAGATGTGAAGTTACATACTCCAACACCTCCGGGTACCTCGTCTGGCCTTCCTATTATCTGGGAGTCGAAGACCCCAAATAACCCAATTGAGGCACAATCCCAGACCGAATACGTGAAAACCCGAGTTATACGGCATCAAAATAGCTCTCCGACAGCTACACTTACTGCACTTGACCAGTTTGCGAAGGGTACGACGCAGGTTATGCACCGGCTTGCTCTTTTAGAGGGTGAGAACGCCGCGCTTCGAAAGGCAAATGAGACACTTAGCCGGCGGCGTTATACGAGAAAAAAAACGTTTACAGTATGGAGGATCACTTCGTATACAAGCTGGAGAAGATTTACAGTCTCAGAAGCTAGTTAACGGAGAGTTAGATAATAAATCGCGCTGGAGTCGTAGTCGTACGAGGAGGCCAGAGATACTTCAGCAACGTTGTAGGACGTGCGGAGAGCCCGGTCATAATATGCGTACTTGTCAGAATAGTAAAGAGATATCTGAAGAAGATAGTTCCGAGTAGTTTTAATTATTTTTTTACGTTATAGTTGAATTAACTTATGTCTTATTGTACGAGGTCTTAAGAAGTGTTCAATTGGACCGTGGGGTACGTTACACGATTGTCAAAAGGTACTGCATTGGATACTGGACGAGAACCTTTCCCTCGTTGGCTCTGCATATCACCTTATACATACAAAGGAGTAGCCACTCGCATTGACCACGGAAATAATACGGTACTAATCTAAACTTCCAGCCCGAGGTGTTACAATTTATGTTGAAACCGAACCTAGAGCTGGCGTTCGCCCATTTCAAGGAATATCCTTGCTAGAAGACGAGTACTATCAGGTGACGTTTTGTTGACGGCTTAGCTACCTGTAAGTGTCGTCCCACGATGCTATCCAAGAGGAAGCCAGCTAACCCATTGGGTTTGCGACGAGTAGACCGAATAATATCCGTTATGTTCGGCCAAATAATGAAGCTTATCTCCGTGACTAACTCCAACCCTATGAAAATTGTCAGCGGTAGATCCCGCCAGTGGTCCGGACTTCCCCTGGCGGGGATCCGGTCTTAACAAACTTCATCACGCCCATGTACTGATCCCTCCAGTTAACAACTGCGTGCACTGGACGTAGGGGTTTCAGTATCTTGCAGTCCGAAGTCTTATCCGAAGGCTTATTGACGCTCCACGGTCACCTGCTCTTCAAGTCATGGGACTCAAGGTTATCATCATCGGCGGTGGGATCGCGGGTTTCTCTTGCGCCATTGCACTACGTCGCGCAGGCCATGAGGTGCATATCTACGAGCGATCATCATTCAACAACGAGATAGGCGCCGCTATTCACATACCCCCCAATGCTTCCAGAGCTCTACTACCATGGGGAATGGACCCGGTTAGGTCTAAACTTGTCTTCGCAAAAATTGATTACAGAGCGAGAGGCACAACCCTCGAGAAACTCTACGAGGCCAATCATGAATACGTTACAGAGAAATACGGGGCTCCGTGGTTCTTCGCTCACAGAGTTGACTTACACGACGAATTGAAAAGGCTGGCGACAGAACCAGGGGCAGTTGGGTCGCCTGCCCAGATACACCTCAACTCTGATGCTGTCGAGTTCGTAGGTGGTCTCTGTGGCACCAATGCTAGGCATCGATGCTGACTCTCAAAAGTATCCAGAAAAAGCATCGGTGAGGCTGGCTAATGGAGAGGTCGTAGCAGGGGACTTCATCATCGCGGCGGACGGTATCCATTCTACCGCTGTGAATACTATCCTCGGCTGTGACCACCCGCCGCAGCCTCAGGATAATTACAACTACTGCTTCCGCTTTCTGATTCCGGCTTCCGATATCGAGGAAGATCCTGTCACGAGATGGTGGAATCGGAATGATGATGGCCGGTTCAAAGCCTTCGTGGATCAAAACAAGAGGATTGCGTCGTACCCCTGCCGAAAGTGAGTGGAAGTCACATGGAGTGGAAATAACCCGTGGCTAATTCCTTCTAAGCAATGAGATACACAACTTCGTAGCTATATTTCACACGGACGATGAGGCATCCAGAACAAGGCGAGAAGGTACGACCCCCTTTTCCCCTTTCACGCGTTGCAGCTAACATTTTGAATAGACTGGCAGTCTGAAGTGGAAAAATCCAAGCTTATAGAATGCTTCTCTGATTTCCATTCCGACTTACAGGCCATTCTGAGGTAGGACTTCCAACTCATGCCACTCGCGCATTGACTGACGAATTATAGAAAAGCAACCGACGTGAAACAGTGGGCGCTGCTGTACCGGCCGCCCCTGCCGACTTGGAGAAAAGGGAAGTTGCTTGTTGTTGGCGATGCTGCACATCCTATGCTACCTCGTGAGTACGGCAAAGATGCCTGATCTCGACTGTTAGCCGACTTACTCGCCGTAGATCAAGGACAAGGTGGCGCCCAAGGGATCGAAGATGGCGTCGCCATGGGCATCCTCATGGTCGGTGCCGAGTCCAAAGACGTCCCCCAACGACTTGAGTTATTCGAAAAGTTGCGACACGGCAGGTGCAGTGCGATTCAAATCTTCAGCAATGCTGGCCAAGATGAACCGGAACGCATTGCGGCGGAAGCTTCCAAGTTCATCCCTGTCGACTCCATTCCACGTGAGTACCCTATACCTCGAGGGTCGCATCTGATGCAGATCTGATAGTGTGTTAGGAAACGTGCCCGAGTACTTCGACTTCAACTTTGGCTACGACATCATTCGGGACTCTGTGCTTCATATGGAACAATTAGACTCTGACTTCGAGTTGCCTGGCGACTTCTTCCAAGTTGAACAGATGAGGGGTGTCTACCCTTAGACAGATAAGGACAATTGATCAATTATTGTAGCTTTAAGAAACAGTGGATAACACAAGTCTAGATAGCCCTCAGAGTAATATCAAGTATGCCTGTCTGTGCCCCTTCAGACCAGAAGAAAGCGGCGGTAACAACGCGCTGTTACCACTAAAAATGACCAGAATATGAAACATACGCAGCTCCAAAGCTGTCATATTCATATCACAGTTGCGAGAAGACTAATCCTGAACCAACAAGCTAGCAGCTTGCGACGTTGGGGCCATCCATAACAAGACCACGCACATCTCCAGAGATCATGCACTACTCTGACCCACTTCCTGGGCTCGCCCTTTTCTTATTGTCCAAGCTTTCAAGCTATGTCGGTTCTCTTAACAACATTCCAACGGATGGTTACCTCAATCCTAGTCAAAGGCAAGACTAGCGGCAGACGGGATACATTTCTACTTCTACCCACCAAGCAGCCTTGAGAGGCATTCCCGACTACTCGGCTCGTCGACAGCCTTTCCAAAACCTTTTCTTTCCCAGCATTGCTATCTGGTCATCACATCCTCAACTGCAATTACAGCAAACCAATCCCTACGAACAGGAGGTCTGGCTTTCAATTGTTTGCTCCAGTGAAAGGGCCCGGACTCGGGTGTGATACGACGCTTGGAGAAACCAGCAACCCGAACTAATAATTATCAATCCTTCCCACCACTAACCAAGAGAACCACGCTGGCTATCAGTCAGGTGCTAATTTGACGACAAGTCACAGTGGTACTTTCAACAAACTATTACATCGCCGACTGGAAACCCCAATCAGTCGCAAACTACTTCAGTCTGAGCATCTTTATTTTACAAAATAAATCGAGAAGTATAGCTTATGGGCCGGCAGCTAACCCAAGATCAAACTCGGTACCAACTCGGAGTAAGAACTAGCCAACAGAGGAAGTAGGATCACACAACCTGGAAAGGGTTAATTCCCCGTAGCAAAGCGATATACCAAGAGTTCAAGGCGAACGATCCCAGCTCTGCGTTCACCGAAACGTCAACTTGCAAACACAGGCAAAATGTGCAGAATTATCCAGTGGCAATACAGCTGCCATCACGTCTCCCACACCGGAATGTTGTACTCCTGCGCCAAGGGAACACCCGACGGCAAATTGAACTTGTCGCCCTGCACCGATGTAACGTGGTCCATAGAAGATGCGCCATTCGCGGAGTTGCCCTGCGAGGTCAAGTTCTGCCACTACGATCGCGTCAACCGCCGATGGAATTTCTGATAAAAACGGCGGCTTTTGCCCCAACAAGGGAACGCACTGTATGGGAGAGACTGTGTATGGTACGCCGTGCGTGCGCGATGGTTGCAAGAACTGCAAGGAGACTCTCCTTGTGGGATCGAAGACTCGTAAGTTCTCACAAGTGATATCAAGGTCGACACCCAGTGGGGCCTGGTAGACCAGTACCGCCTCCTGTTGAAGTACTTGCACAAAGAGGCAGTAGCTCAGGAACTCACTATTGGTGATGGAATGTCCCCAGAGTATGCGAACGACACCACGAAGTTATTCTCCAGTTCGTCTGATGGCTACTTCTTCACCCTGCTCGGCGCATTAGAACACCCTTTCCCTCGAGGTTCCGTGCATATCCCATCAAACAACGCATCGGTCCACCCCGTCATTGACCCCCAATATATTTCCCACCCCCTGGACCGGAAGCTACTAGGTATCATCGCTTTGCATCTCCAGAAAATCGCTCAAACTACCCCCTTGAGTGAGTTAGTTGAACAGGTGGGACAGTATACCAGCCCGGATACCACAAACTCGTTGAAGTAAATGTCGAGGAGTGGATCAAGAAGAGCATTCAGAGCGAGTACCATCCAGCAGGGGCTTGCGCGATGTTGCCGAAGGAGAAAGGCGGAGTGATCGATGCCAAGTTGAAGGTAAACGGGACTAGGAACCTGCGCGTGGTGGATCCGAGCATCTTTCCTCTTTTGCCGAGAGCGAACATACAGACGCTGGTGTATGCGGTGGCGGAGAGGGCAGCTAATTGGATCAAGTCGGAGTGCGGTGATGACTGAAGAGATATTTGTGTTGATACGGCTTCAAGGGGCGTGGTAAGGGTAAGACTTTATTCAGCAAGCTAGCGATATCGACCTTTTACCAAAGCAGATGCTGTGGAAAGAAGTGTAAAATGTAGTCAGTCTGAAGAAGCATAACGAGAACCCCTGTTTCTATAGTGGTAGATCAAGGAAGGCTAAGGGGATCAATTTCAGAGGAAATCAACTGTTGTATTTCAGGGGGACGATTATTAATTTTGGCGAGTGACAGCTCAGCTAGCATCAGTTCGTCGTCGTGTGGTTCACAGAGTGATCAGGGTCACGACACAGCTACCTTGGGAATGGCCACAGGTTGTTAGAGGCCAGATAATCTCACAAACTCCATATTCATCCAAAGAAGATGAATCGTGGGACCGCTTAACATGCAACGTGACAGGGCTTCACATGGAAGAGGCAATGACATAAGTCTGTCTACTCGTATCGTCACCTAGGTGATTTATATTCCCCCTTTGCCCCCCGCCCCGGGATGTTTGGACTCACTGTGGTAAAGTGCCGTAGACCGGTGGAAGTTTTAAAGATCTCTTGAAGCTACCAGGTCCACGCTCGTGACTCATCCAGGTATATGAACAGAGGAATTCGGCTACATTAATACCACTGGACGATCAACAAGTGCGTTAGACCTAGGAAAATAACTCTAAAGCCAATTAAAACATTTATGTTTTTGGTTATCGAAGAAATGCTCGGTCATGTGAAATTCAAACAGAGGGTTTGCTGGCAAGCCGTCTAATCAAAGTGTTCGGCGAAAGTTCGGATGACCATGCTCTATCGCTAACTTAGGCACCACTTAATAGCGCAAACTTCAAGTGCAAGTCTTCGTGGCTCAGTTGGTTAGAGCGTTGGTCTCATAAAATGATCCAATCTCAGGTTGGGATATCCAAAGGTCGTGAGTTCGAGTCTCACCGAGGACATGAAACTCAAATTGTTTTTTGCAGTTCTTCTCCATGTTTCAGATAGTGAAAATGGTCGCATTGCTGCCCTCTTTGCCCCTCCTTCTCAATTTTCAGCCCATCTTACTTTTCAAATCCGAGATGGTTACATGGTTTCAGCCATAACAAGTCCGATCATTCATCTGTGTATGCTCTCCATTTGATAAATATATACATTCATTTTGTGGAAAAAAATATTAACACAAAAGCCAAGTGGCCTCTCAAACTGAATCATTTCATGTCCCGTAACTTGCATTTCTTTTTACAGTCCTACCACCAACTTATCAGTTGGCCATTCTCCTCTCCTTGCATGAGGAGGCGGTAGATGAAGCAGTCGCGATAGCAGTAGACAGCGTGGTCGGGGTATCGGCAGCAACAGACGTAGACGCAACAACGGGAGCAGCAGAGCTCGTCATAACGGGTGCCGCACTGGAAGTAGCGACCGAACTCTGAATAGCAGGCACAGAAGAAGCTGCAGCCGACGATGCAGCAGCCTTATTAGCCACAGCACTGGAAGCCCCAGTGGAACCACTGCTGGAACTGGAACCGGAGCAGCTGAAGAGAGCCGGGCCGGGGATGGGGTAGGTCTCCTCGCTCGAGTCCCAGGTGATACCAGCGTCGGTGGGCTGGTAGGCGCCGGGGAAAGAGACAAGGTCACTGGGCACAGTGCTGCCGGTGCCGGTAACTTTCAGCTGGTGGCAGCCCGGGTAGAGCTGGACGCCCGGGTACTCGTTGGCGAGGAAGACGGCGATGATCTCGTGGCGCACCAGGTAGTAGCCCGAGGCGAGGCACTCGGGAATGGTGTAGGTGGCACCCGAGTTGCCGGCCGTCTCGAGGGCCGTTACCGCCCACTCGTTAGTCGCCTTGTCGATGAGGCCGCTTTCGGCGACCTTGAACCAGACGGCACTGTAGGGTTTTGGTTAGTCTTCGTTGTCTGTCGTTCTATGGTTTAGTATGAAAAGGGGTCAACTCACTCGCTCTCAGGCATGTAGTCCTGGCAGCCGGTATCAGGGCATTTCGCCATGTAGGTCACGAGAGCGCCGAAATGCGACTCGGGCCACAGGGTCCAGTGGAGTGTGACTTCGGAGCCCGCAACCGCATCCGCGTGAAGCGCCGCAGGGGAGGAACCGTTGATACCGCCCGCGGAGTAACCTCCACACTGCATGTCTTGGCTGAGAACATCCTGCACGGGGCCGTTGCCCTGGATCGCACGGGCGATGCGCTCCGGGGTGGGGCTCGTGTATGGGTCTTCGTACGGCTTGTAGAAGACGTAGTCTACACCCCCAATGGTGCCGTTCTGGATGTAACCGTGAGCGGCGACAAGTGCCACCGACGACAGGGCTGATAGAGTGGTAACGAACTTCATTTTGCCTATTGGCGGTGATAAAGAATGGACTGGTGGTTATTTAAGGATAAACGATGAGCGGTGGAGACGAAAGTAAAGCGAATGAATACAGCAGAGTGAGTTGTATCGAGTGACTGAGAAGTGTAAAAGAATGGACAGCTCCAGCATCAAAGTCAACCTGGACTTGTTAGTAAGTAAAGGTGAAGAAAGGAAGTGATGAGATAAAATCGTCTCAAGACACAGGCTGAAATACTTGGGATGCGATTGGAGTTATAAGTTATGCGCTGAACTTCAAGGAGTTGCATCGCCAACTACGCATCCCTTGGTAGCAGGGATCGGCTCGACCCGAGGCATCATCCACATACGCAATGTATTTGGACAATTTATTCTCGGTTCCACGGGTTACGGCGCGCTTAGCACCATCTTGGATTCTTGGCCGCGGGATTTGCATCAGATAAACTCAATTGATGAACTGGATAAATGAACTGATTCTCGGTAAGGATCGCGTCGATCCACATACTAAATGTCTTCGTATGATGTAGCGCCGTTTGCTTATCCCTGAAACACTCAGGGGGGTTCCTGATAAAGAGCCGCCGGGGCTCCATGCTGGTTTCATGCAGCCTCAACATCCTTGACTTGATCTCGTGAGGTTTCCAAAAATGGTTATGAGTGAGTGACGAGCCAATTGTATGGCGACTTTTGCATCTGACATCGGAGGATTTCGATGGAGACCTCTATGGGTAACGAATACCGTATATTGCCTCCGGTCTGAGCGACAAATTGAAAATTCATTATATGGGGCCACGACGATGAGTTCGGCTTGTTGCTACCGCGTTGACAAGGTTGCACGACTGTTCGGTTTTGCTAGCTTAAGTTGAAGTTCGTGAGTGAGTAAAGTCGAATCGTTACAAAAGTCTATGTCATCTATAATATTATGGTCGCGATCCATCACTCCACTCAGGGGCGAATTCGACAGTTTGTTAATTCGTAGCCTTAGTTCAATGAGGTTGTTCTTGTCTTTTGCTTTACTCAGGCATTTCGCGTCTTCTGTTCTGTGACTGGGAAGGCTCAGATCAGGGAACTTGCCGCATGTGATGTACTCATGAATGAGCTCTACCGGCTATTGAAACGACGTGTCTTTTCTACTCTGCCTAAAGACTAATGTCTTGAATAGTTTGTGATGTTGAACAACATCGACAATCTTACACTATCCAGATGGTGAATCGGCCTGCATCTTCTCGGAGGAGGGTGGAAACTTGTCGGACTTATTCGTTGCAAAGAAAGCCTTGAATCAAGCTGATATCTGAAGAATCCGAAATATCAAGTTGACTTGGCTATTGAAACGGGGTCAGGCGGTCAGTAGGATATACCTACCACCTAACACACTGAACAGACGGCTCCAGTGCCAACAGATCCCATCTCTTGGTTTGATCAGACGAAGATCGTGGTACTGGTTGTAAGAGCTTCGCTCTTACACGTCTGGTGCGCGAGTTGGTCGGATGTGCCTCTGAGACTCTCGTCGGAATGATACTCAGAACAAGACGTCTGGCTCTGGAAGTCGAATTGAAGCTCTCACTAGCACTAGATTTCTCTGATCAGAGCAAGATACAATCCTCTGTCATTGTCAAGGCTAGGATGAGGGCAGAATAATAGGATTTCGAAAGTAGTGTCTAAGTGCATGTAGGAATGAACCGCATAATTGAAGGGCTAGCTAACTAGAATAGAAAACAAAAGTCAAGTTGATTGAATAAGATGATGAAAAGAGATGATGAAAAAAGATGCGTGAAGATGGGGGACTCGTGTTCTACTCTGCCTCTGTGCCTCTTAAAGAAGAGAAAATAAACTTTCTCCTAGCCCCGTAACCTATTTCCCTGATGTCCGGCCTTACCCCGTTACACTATACGGGGTTTAAATACATCAAAGAATTACCAGTATCTCTGGATTCAGTAGTGATATACATAGTAAATTGGAGACCAGTACATTCCGTCACATATCATCATTAGGGCCAAAAAGGGGGTCAACCGGCCCAACGGCTTGGAAAAGTTGGAAACAAGGAAATAACAGTAAATTGGCTGTAAGGTTCGACAAAAGTAGTAATACTTCGACAATAATGCTATACTACTTCTGCGTTAAAATCTGCCTACGTGTAAGTGTGACGATCGATACTTGTATGCAATTAATGCATTCGTCAACACAGGCTAGCGCGAGCCAAGAGACAGACTTCTATCGGATACAAATAGGATCATTTCCTCTCTTTTCCCGATGGACTTTGCAGTATCTTATTATCTCTCTCAGGTAACAATATCATTCCATGTCTACCTCACAGCCCTTCTCCGCTGCCGAATTGTTCTCGTTGAAAGGCTGGGTTGCAGTCGATACGTGAATCTGCATCAGATGGTACGAAACATGGCTGACAATATGCCGTGAAGTGGCCGGAGGCGGCACAGGAATGGGTCTTCGTGCATCTGTCCCGCCCATTCCGGTGACGAATCAGCTTCTAAAGATATAACCTAGTGACGGCCTAAGCCTACGCCGCAAATGGTGCAAAGGTCTACATCCTCGGGTGCCGCCAGGAGGTTCTCAAGAAGAGTGCTTGAATCCATGGTGTTCCCGAGAAACCTGGATCAAGCGGCAGATCCATCGTGCCCCTGGTCATGGACGTGACTTCGAAGGAAAGCATCAAGCACGCCGTTGCCGAGACACCGAAGAACGAGGAGAACATTAATATGTGATTGCATCCCGGGAACAGGTGTCGATAAAGTATTCGCTGCTCACACTTTGAAATGTCAGACTCGTCAACGCTGTCGGAATCTTTGCGTGCGGCGCTGCTGTCCCCGGCTCTGCTGGCGCTCAAGCTTGCAGCAAAGCGATGTTCGCCGGGGAGATTGACGATGTTTGGCACAAGCGTATGTTACTAATCCCTAGTCACCGTGTGCGCCTTTTGGTAACATACACTCCAGAGTACGCGACCAGTAAATTTGCCCCGTACTTCGTAACGGCGGTGTTTCTCCCCTTCTTGTCAAAGCTGGGGCGAGCCCGAGCGGCAGCCCGGGTAATGTCATCAACATACTAAGAAAAGATGTACTATGAAAATCGTGGATAGACGCCTACATGAAGTTGCCAAGACATGGACTAGTATGGCTTGCAGGCTAACCAAGGGTCTGTTCGCATACAGTGTAAGTGATTCCTCTGTTCCACTTCTCCCTGCGCCGACTTACGTGAGATATTCGTGTTTAGTCTAGCAAAGCCGCCGCATTGCACCTAACGCAAAAGATGGCCTATGAGCTTGGCAAGGACGAGATCGGTGTACGCGTCAACAACATCGCCCCAAGCAAGTCACCCCCATGCCCAAGGCAAAATTCTTCAAGATCTAACACATCATCTTAGTTCCCACTCCGACCGGAATGACCGGCCCTGTCGACGACGAGAACATTGGTTCTACTCAGACGAGGTCTTCGCCATGGTGCACGCAGCAAAGGGTGGCACTTCGAGACGACAGAAAAAACGTCAGGAGATCACCACGGTAAGTGGCCAGGTCCTGTTCCCGCGCGTGCCGATTTTGACGCACTCGTTTTCTATGTCTCAAGGCCATGTGACTCTGGCTGCCGATGGGGCTGTTTTGAGGCCGTCATCCCGACTGATGGAGGGGAATTGATCAGACATCGGTGATTCAAACCAGGAATATAAGGCGGCGTCTTGGTTCTGGAGCTTGGACATCATCATATCAGAAGAGACTGAGTACCCTTGTGTAGTATTCTAGGCCTATTACATCTGTGCAAAAATTCCGCTATTGCAATTAAATTCTCGCCAAATACTCAGGCTTTATAACTAATGTCTAACGTCGTATTCCGGACGACAACATCGGTCTACGAGAATTAAGGAGTTACAAGTGTATACTGACTTCTATGTGCACCGTGTCCGAATATAGCTAGTCTCAGCCAGCAGGACACGTTATAACATGGTTCCCACGCTGCTTCCTACACCCTATATAATCTTTGGAGATACATCATGCCGAGATCACATCCTTGAACTCGGAAGAATAGATAGATAACTTCTGCCACAGCGGTTTTAAATACACATCTGTGTGTTAGAGGATACAAACGCTGATTTCACACGTCCCGAGTCTTTTAGTTCCACATTTAAGCGATACGTTGATTGTCTCCTGTTATTGGGTCAGACGAATACTTGTAGCAGTATGTCGTGTTTCTGAGTGCAGAATATCGCGCATAAATTCGCTGGGTTGGGAACAGTTGCAATTAAGCCTGAAATTGATTTCAAGACCAAGTATTCAGTAGGTGCTTTACTCGCTTCTCATGCCTACTTACTCATCACGGCGCGATTATCCTAGTATTACCCACCCGTCCACCAACCACTCGACGTCAGCAAAAGAGACCCCGTACCATCCATGCTTCCAGGTCATCCGATAAAGAACAAACTAGGCAAACTTGACCCCACCTTGCATTTCTTCATCCTTCTCCTTGTGCACGCCCTCTGTGCCCGCCAAATCCCCCGGCGTTGGCCCTGCCACCTGGCCCAGCACCGTCTCATCCGCACTCTTCCCCTCCGCCGCCCGCAAAACCTCCATCAACTGTTTTGCGCCCGTGGGCCACATCACCACCCCATCCTTACCCGTGGCCAGTGGACCCGAATCCTTCACCTTCCCTTTCAAAATCTGCTCCACCGAAACCTTCTCCCCGTAGAAATCCGCATTCGCGCCGGGCCGCTCTATGATAATCGTCCCGTCCGCCTGGACGCCGGCGTAAAACCCCCGGCTCTTCATGTAGCTCCAAACGGGTTTCCCGCCCTTGAGCGCACCTTCCAGACTAGCGCCTGCTCCGATGGGACCCGCGACGACAGCTACCTCGCCACCAAGGCTGAGGCGCGGCTTGATGAAGGCCTGGACCGCCGCTTCGGTGTTGAGCACGCAGACGCAATCGTAGATATCCAGACCGACCATGAAGCCTGCGCCCAGGGTGTGTACTAAGAAGCCTGAGGGTGGCGACCATGAGCCGTCTGGGAGACGGGCGACGACGATGCCGGAGCCGCCGGCGCCTGAGATGTGCAGACCGGTGCGCAAAGTGGTAAAGATGGCTATGCCTTTGGCTTGCTGCACAGCCTTGGGGGGTATCTTGACCAGCGCTTTGCCCTTTGTGCTAGGGCCAGGGGTTGTTGGATGGCCGGGAGATGGAGGCGGGTAGTTCAAGTTCGAGGTGTAGAAGCCATCCTCTGTTTGAGTTTTGGTTAGTCGAGGTGTACGAGTGTAGAGGGGGGCAATAAGGGAGGTACATACTGCAGAAGGATTTCAGAATTCGTGCGCCCTTATCGCACTCCTTGTCCATAGTCGTCGGCCAAAATGCCTCTGAGCCAAGCTTGTTGGTCACCTTGTTGATAGGCACGCCGGCCTTGACGCCCCATTGGTAAAGTCGCTCGCCGAAACCTTTCTTAGTCTTGCCATCGGCTCCAGCCGAAGGCGCTCCGGCTCCAGCCCCAGTTCCGGCTCCAAGTCCAACACCGGCAGCGGCAGCAGCAGGAACATGGCTTCCGCTCGCTTGTGCCTGATGATCAGTGGGTGGTACAGCGCTGTGACTCCCTGGACCAGGGGCAGGCGCAGGGACATAGGCCGATGACTGCCCTTGACTCGGGCTCCGTCGAGGAGGCAAAGCTGGGGGTTTCGCGTCACTTGGGACGTGAAAACCTGGCGGTGGCGGGGAGTAGCCCGGCGGAGGCGCATCTGTGCTTGCGTCTTCATACGGATGCGACTTGAGCGGATTGGGGTGCGCCTGGCTTTGATTTGGTGGCGGGCCGGGAGGTGGGGGAGGATAAAACTGCTCGGCGTGCTTCTGGTCCGATGGCGGAGGTCCCGGAGGCGGAGGAGGGAAATAGCCCGGTGTCTGCTGGTTTTTTTCGTCCTGTACAGATAATGGGTTATACTCAACTCCATGCTGATCTTCATGGTAATCAGGTGGATTGTCGTCAGCTTGCACCGTGTGCTCGGCGGCATGCGCAGATTTTGGACTGCCCAGGGTCTGAGGCTCTGGTTCTGCAGACCCCAAAATGCTCGCGGCTTGATTTTCTGGGTGTGCAGACCCTGGAAGGTTTCCAGCTTGCCCAGATTGGTGATTTGGGTGCGCTGATGACGGGTTGCTGTGAGCCCGGTGGTATAGAGGTTTAGGATACGCCGACGGATCGTCCTCGGGCTCGTACTGCTTTCCCGGGTCGGCTGAGGGCGGGTAGCTTGACACTTGATGCTGATGGGCTGGGTGCGCAGATGGTGGATTGCTCTGCGGCTGATATTGAGGCTCCTGGTTTGTGTATGTAGGGCCTTGGGTTGGAGCTTGCTGTTGTTGCGACTGTTCTGGCTCGTGGCCAGGAAGCTCGGAGGGATGGGCATTGGCACTCTCGTCATAATAGCTCGAGTCTTGGCCCTGCGCACCAGCTTGGGGCGCATTTGCGCTGGCAGGCGGTGGCATATGGCCTTGTCCAGGTCTAAGTGAAAGGGGAACATCTGCGTTGGCGGAAACGTCTTCCTTGGCGGAAACGTCTTCCTGGGTGGATGTTGGCTTGTGGCCTTGGCCAGGTCTGAGTGAAGCCGGATGTTCGTCCATGGTCGACGGTTGAGAATTGATTGTGTAGATTACGTTTAGAAAGATTTATTCAAGGTTTTTGGATAGAATCGCAGCGCCGAAAGTCAATGTCGAAGACGAGGAACGATAGTTTTAAATGGCATGAACTGCGAGAAAAATAGCTTGGTCAAGGTATATACGGCCCACTCGTGCAGTTGGTCGTACGCGTATCAGGAAGAAGTTGAGTTGGGTTCGTTGCCTTGATTCAGTATTGCGCACATGTACTGTGGCTGGACAACACCAACTGAGTTTGCTCGAGGAGCATCGGCTGCTGGAAACCGTGGAATGAGGCAAATAATGCGTTGATTCACAGCTTGGGACTTGGTACAGCCCACGAGAAATCGCACCAAGCTGGTGGGATGACGCTTGATGTCATCGCCACACTGGGCGCAGCACCATGTCCAGGTCCAGCACTCGGCAATCCCTGCCCAACGCTACTCTGCACTGCAATGTGAGAGGGTCGATGGGGCAAGGGCCAATACGACCGGGTCGACTCCGGATCATTGAACATTATGGCGATTGGCTAACATCGACGGTATTCTTACGCAGAATATGTTACCCATATACATGAGCTACTTGAAATTCGTATACTGGGTGACATGTTGCAAACAATATGAGGAAGGCAAAGTAATGGTATAACGTGGCCGGGCAAGGACGAGCCGAGACGCCCGGTTCGAGTCCACAACTCAATTGTCTTCTCTATCGTAAATGTTCGGCAAGTCCCTTTCACAGCTGGCCCCAGCCATTATCTAGTACAAGTCCCCGCCTACAAGTACAAACCCTCAGGCTCACCTTCCTGCTTGGTCTTCAAGACCCTCTCCCTGGCGGCTCTGAAATCGGCCATTTGGACTCTCATGCGCCGCTCTCTCAGAGCCATCAAGCCAGCTTCGGAGCAAATGGCTTTGATATCGGCACCACTCAAGTCGTCCTTCTGCGAGATGAACTCGTCGAGATCCACATCCTCGTTCAAACTCATCTTAGAAGTGTGCAGGTTGAAGATCTTGCGCTTGGTGTTCTGGTCAGGGTTTTCGAAGAGGATCTTTCGGTCGATACGGCCAGGTCGAATAAGAGCAGGATCAAGCGTCTCAATCTTGTTGGTGGCCATGATGACCTTGACGTCACCACGATCATCGAAACCGTCGAGTTGGTTCAGAAGTTCAAGCATGGTTCGCTGGACCTCACGCTCACCACCCGATGTTGAGTCATATCGCTTCGTACCGATTGCGTCGATTTCATCGATGAAAACGATGGAAGGGGCATTTTCGGCAGCGGCCTGATAGTAGTTAGCATATGTATTAGACAATTCATACTTCGATATGACGCAATCAACAGACCTGGAAGAGTTGCCGGACAAGGCGAGGGCCATCGCCCAAGTACTTCTGGATCAGCTCACTGCCCACGATGCGCAAGAAAGTTGCAGACGTCTGGTTGGCCACAGCCTTCGCGAGAAGTGTCTTTCCTGTACCTGGCGCACCGTAGAGAATGACACCCTTGGGAGGCTTGATGCCCATCTCCTCGTACAACTCGGGATGCAGCAATGGCAACTCGACCGACTCGCGCACCTCCTGGATCTGCTGTTCCAAACCACCAATGTCCGCATATGACTCGGTCGGTGCCTTGTCAAGCTTCATGACATTGACGGCCGGATCCGTATCGTCGGTGAGCACTCCCACTATGGAGACGCTCTTGTGGTGAAGCAACACGGAGGCGCCAGGTTCCAATAGGTCCTTGTCGACGAAACTCATGATGCTGACGTAATACTCAGGACCCGTGGTACTCGAGACGATGGCATGATCATCATCAATCATCTCCTCCAGGGTACCAACCCCCATCGGACTGCCTCGCATGTCGTCCACACGACCACGTTCGTCGGCCATTCTGTCGGCAGATTCGATATCCGTAGGGGCAGGACCCTGGTTGTCTTTGGCGGCCTTGGCTTTGCGTAGACGCTCTTGGTTCTCGACGTATTCCTCTTCGAGCAGCAGGTGGTCGTGGATGCGCTGCATTCGCAGCAGACGCAGCTTACATCGACTCGTTGGGAAGACAGCGGGAAGCTTGGCGGCGGCGGACGTGCCGGCTGCCTTTCTCTTCTTGCGGCCGATACGGGTGGTCGGACGCGGCGGTGGTTCGTACTTAGGCTTCTCCTTCTGTTGACGCCATATCCATTAGTGACTGAATGGGTGGATAGGTGCGATGACGATGTGATATTCGACATGACAGGTTCTTCTGCGCATACCTTCTTATCCTTCTCATCCTTTCCGTCTTGGCCACCTCCGCCCATTCCGGACTGGTTCTGACCCTGGATTCACTGAGTCAGTGCGGTGTCAAGCGCTGGCCCTTGAGAGGCATTGGAGCTCACCATCTTGACGAGCTGATGACCTGACCCGGTCAAACGAAGCAATGCCGGTTGAAAAGCAGGGTTACAGAGGTGGATCTAGCAGAATATTGATTCCGTTGAGGCTCGGACTTTTCCACAGGATCGTAAAGGTGACCGTGGTAAGTAGCGGCGATGGTCGACGTGGTTGTTGATGGATGGATGGAGTGAGGCAGGGACAATCTAAAGCTGCCGACTGTCCAGCATTGCCTCGTCGCTTCCATATCAGGCGCCCAGGGAGACGCGCCAGGCTGAGATCAGATGGTCAGTGCGCTCGCTCTAGGCTCCGTGCTCCGTGCTCTGTGCCTCCAACTGGGAACTTTTTATGGACAACAACAGCAAGCCTTGCCAGCTGAGGCTGTTGCGGCAGCCGCCACCATCTGCATCTAAGTTTTTGGCATTCAGAGGCCCGGCAGCTGGAGGCAAGCTGCAATTCAGAAGTCAACTTGAGCGACTCGCAACTATGACATTTCTTCAGAACATTGAGTATCTTGAGATCCAGGATTTAAGTAGGCAGCAAACCCTTGAACGATAGACCGTTTAATAGATGATATGCTACAGTCGCAATAGGACAACTACAGGAAATACTCCAACAAACAGTTTTGTCCTGGTCTTTGTCCGATGTTCACAACAAGTCGGAATTACCCGGACGGACTGACCCGATGTGCGGAACCCAATGCTGCAACTTGCGCCTGTTGCAGCGAGAAAAACGGCCCGCTTCGAAGCATAAGTTTTGATTGACGTTGCTAGTGCAGGTGATAGGCTTGATTTCCGAACAGCTACTCCAACCTCCAGCCTTGTAAATAACTCGCCTTTGATACCACCATTTCTCGCTCCTCGACCCCTATTTTGCGGCACATACCTTGCAGGTGACTAGCTGCAGCTCCTCCCGGTACTCTTTTTGAGCCATCCCCCAGATCTCAAGATGCAGGCCTTCTCGAGACAGCTTCGCGGTACTGGTGCAGCTTCCCTGCGCCAGCTCTCCCGTCGCACCTACAGCTCGACTTCCTCCCCCTATTCCAAGACCATTGACAACTTGCGCATCAATGGCGACACCAAGGTCATCTACCAGGGCTTCACTGGCAAGCAAGGAACGTGCGTGATAACCCCCCATACCAGCCCACCAAGCTTCTGCGAAAGCTGGCGAGATGCGACGGACCTGCAAAACTGCAATGGAGCTCGATGTACTGACAGCTACATTTTCACAGGTTCCATGCGCAACAAGCTATCGAATATGGTAAATCTCCTCCCCGACGATGAATCCTTCAAACTGTCATCCCTAGCCAACAGACGAGCACATCTGACATGAATAATCGCAACAGGTACCAAGGTTGTAGGAGGCACGAATCCCAAGAAGGCTGGTCAGACACATCTGGGACTTCCTGTCTTTGGCAACGTTGGCGAGGCTGTCAAGGAGACCGGAGCTACTGCTACGGCGATTTTCGTCCCGTAAGCCTGGTCTACAATCCGAGCCTGCAGAAGTTCGCGCTAATGGTTTATAGCCCTCCTTTGGCTGCAGCAGGTATCGAAGAGGCCGTCGCCGCTGAGATTCCCCTGGTTGTCTGTATCACGGAAGGCATTCCCCAACATGGTATGTAGGAAGGTTATCGAAGCTTGCTTCAACTTGCTCCATGGGCTCGCTCGGTTGGCTATATAGGGTGGACTAACGCTCTCTCAGACATGGTTCGCATAACCAGCATGCTCAAGTCCCAATCCAAGACCCGTCTCGTCGGCCCCAACTGCCCTGGTATCATTGCCCCTGGCCTATGCAAGATTGGTATCATGCCCGGCTTCATCCACAAGCGTGGTCGCATCGGTATCGTTTCGCGCTCGGGTACCTTGACGTACGAGGCCGTCAACCAGACGACGCTGGAAGGCCTGGGCCAGTCGCTTGTTGTTGGTATTGGCGGTGACCCCTTCAGCGGCACCAACTTCATCGACTGCCTCAACGTCTTCCTGAAGGACGAGGAGACAGACGGTATCATCATGATCGGAGAGATCGGTGGCTCGGCCGAGGAGGACGCCGCGGATTTCCTGAAGACAAACAACATTGGCGGCACGGACGGCAACGGCAAGCCCGTTGTCAGCTTCATCGCCGGTATCAGCGCCCCGCCAGGCAGACGCATGGGACACGCAGGTGCTATTGTTAGCGGTGGCAAGGGAGGTGCGGATTCTAAGATCAAGGCATTGGAGGCCGCTGGTGTCGTGGTTGAGCTGAGCCCTGCTGGGCTGGGACGGGCAATGCGCGAACAGTTCGTCAAGCGGGACTTGCTGTAAAGTTTTGCAATGAACAAAACGGATAATGACCTGGTTTGGGACGGCTTGCACACGCGGTGACCATCTCAAACTAGGTGTGTACGTTGGACACAGGCTTTTGATCGGACGAATCTGATCGACTCAGCAAACTGCATAATGAGTGTGGATACCTGTTTTCCCTTTTCTCATCCGATGATAGACGGACGCGACGGCAGATGGTGCAATGTATCTTATCTTGTTATTGTTAGTCTTGCCTCTTGCGAGCTGATTCCCCGTATCACAGTTCAACTCGACCGCTTGGGACTTAAAGCTATCCAATTCCCGATTTGTCCTGGCCCTTTGCTATGTGCAGGGCCCCGTTGGCCGGCCGTGGGGCCATCCTCCCCAGAAAGATGTGTGCATGTGCATACAATCATGGTCAGGTGATCCAGCCTAGGAAAATTGCTCACTCAGCCCCGAAAGAAGTCCAAAAGAGCACAACGCAGATCCGTGGGTGGGCCAACCGGTAAGAACGGGAGTTCCCGTTAGAGTCTGATGTCATGTGGAATGTTCATGTGGCTGTCCTATTCATTGATACTTGCCATTGCAGAGCATTGAAGGATTGAGATTCGGGCAAAGCCATATACAGCGCAGACGTTGAATTGTACGTACTTACGATGTGGACATAACTGGTGCACATGCTGTCCCTTCGTTTGCCACAACCTGCTGGAAGGAGTCGAAGTCCCTAAGTTGGAAGTCTGAAATACGAGCAAAACGAGAGAGTGAATTCACGGGGTCATTTCGCTACAAATAATCCGTCGGAGTATCTCCAAGACAACCGGAGCTTCGTCTGAGCGATAGAAGGTAGTTTGCACTTCTGGTGATGTTATACACTCTTTTTCTTGTCCCTTTTCTAGGAATCAAATGGAGACATGGTGATCAACATCTTGAGACTCTGGCAAATTGTTTGCATTGCTCCGCGCCGCATTCATTGTTATTTGCCATACTCTCGAAGCTGAAACACCTAAACACATTCAATCTTACAACTTCCCACAGGCCGAAATTACCTACGCCTTTATTATGCAGGTATCCTGCAGTAGTCATCCTCACTTCTATCGATCGCCCGTCAAGTTTCTGCCTACAGCATGCGAGGAAAGGTGTAATTACTGTGCTTATGAACACGCTGAGTTGGTCGAAGTCAACCTGCTACAAGTCACCATCACATTTCATCGTTCCACGGCTATATCATGTCAGCCGTTATCTGATGAACATATATGACGGGGTTAACTTCCACCGATCCCTCTCTTTATACGATGTTGACAGTTTGAAGTACATTGTTCCATGATAATATTTAATGTGGAAGGGCTGACGGGGTATACGCATCCTTCCCGCTTCACGTACACTTTCCATTAACGCAACGAGGGCAAGCCTAACCATGATGAATTTAGGAAGCATATCGACGCGACTATGACTGAGCCCTATTGGCAGTCAACGTGGACTAAGATCTTGCCTCAACTTTGAAACATGAATCAAAATGTTCGCTCAAATCCGCGTGGGTATATTGGCGCACAAACCCTAAGTGTGTGTAGCTTCACCGAATTTGTCTGATTCTCAAATCTTTTCATACAAGGATTGATTGTTTCCAAATTTTCATCAAATATGGAGTATAATCGAAAGCCGTCTCTCTAGCTCTCATCTCATAATAATAACAACGGTCCGACTGCAAGGTATTTAGACTCCACAACTGTTACGTTTAGTACCACAGGAAGAATAGGATACTATTTCAGCCATCAGCTCTAAATTGATCTTAAGAATGGTAACACTGAAACTTGAGATTATTGAGCATTGTTTACCTTCATTTTTTGTCATAGGCAGCACCTGCAATGTAACTATTTAACTTGAGGATCGGGAGCTGATAGAAATAAATGTTGTCAAGTTCAATTACCAGTCGTTTTTCGAACTTGTTCAACCAAAGAGTAAACCAAACCGCCAAATCAACTTACCACCTGCGACAATGAGGTCTCTTGATTAGCTTCATGGAGTCATCTGAAACAGCCATCTATGACATCACCAAGTTGGCCCACGTCAAATCCCCCTCGCATCCGCGTCCGCATCCTTACGAAAGTTGTCACCTATTGTCCAGACGAATTACTTGTTTCTAGTCCAAATTCTCTCCGATACTTATCTCAGTGCAAACTGAATCTCCAACTACTTAATCATCACACCACGAGGACACCAAAATGTCGAGTCTCAACGGTAAAGCCCACCCATTTTTATAAATCTCAGATTCTACCCTCTAACAGTACTGTAGTCTTCAAAAAGCCACTCAAGCTCTTCTCCACGCAACCCATGACCGGCTTCTACCGCGACGGCTACTGCCGTACTGGCGCCAGTGACCAGGGCAACCACGCCGTAGCCGGCATTGTGACTGAAGAGTTCCTAGACTACTCGGCCTCCCAGGATAACGATCTTCGCACTGTCGGATTGACGGACGGCTGCAAGTGGTGTCTCTGCACGGCTCGATGGCTCGAGGCTTTCAATGCGTACAAGGCTGGGCGCATCAGCCAGAATGGCGTGCCCAAGGTCGACTTGGACGCGACCGAGGACAGTGTGTTGAGTAAGGTGGACTTGGGGACTTTTAAGAAATTTGCTGTTACTTCCGGGTAGAGTCACGGGCAGCGAGGGTGTCTGGAAGTTGGATTTGGGACGGATTTCATTGCAACGACTAATACCAGATTGAAGAGAGTGCATGGATGATTTCATCAACAAAGGGTTGGACCACCCTAGACTGGCTTGATATTCCCATCAGGATTTCTATCGATCATGAATTATATAGCCTTCTTGCTCCATTGGTGGGTCAAAGTCTCGCTTGTCCTCAGCTTCTCTCGATATACCAACTCCGTCAAGTACTTGTACAAGTACGTCAGTGCACCGTTGTGATTGATATTGTGATCGCTGTCAGTGAACGACCTCCATTCCATCTGTATCGGGCTGACGCCGTCACCGACGAGGGTGTCCACCAGAGCGGCCGTGTTCTGGTAATGCACATTATCGTCCCCGAGCCCATGTAAAATGGTGAAACCGCCAGCGATGTCCTTGAATCCCTGAGTCTTCCGGACGGCTGTCTCGTTGTAGCCGGCCTGGTTCATGTCGTACGTCTTCATGTACCGCTCGGTATACATGCTATCGTAGAATCGCCAGTCACTCACTGGCGCGACGATCAACCCGAGACTAAAAATACCGGAGTCGGCTTCGACTACCTTGGCGCTGAGGAAGCCGCCGAAGGACCATCCGAATATGCCAATCTTAGTTGCGTCGATGAATGAGTTTCGTGCAGTCAGTTCCTGGGCTGCCCAGAGCTGATCGTCGGTCTCGAGCTTCCCAAGCTGTAAGGCGACCGCTGATCGGTACTCCCGTCCTCTGTAGCCCGTGCCCCTACCGTCGACTGTGTAGGTGATGAATTCCAACTCGGGGTCGGAGGTGATGTAAGCTTTCCAGTTAAGAGATTGAAACCTCTTCGAGACTTCTTGCGCACCTGGCCCACCGTACGGGATGAACAAAACAGGGTATTTCTTGGTGGGATCGAAGTTGGGTGGGAGACGTTGCATGACGTTCAGACCAAACCCGTCGGGTTTGTCGAGAGTCAAGTAGGTGATGTTGGGGAGAGCATAGTCCTGCAGCTTGGTCCAAAGGGCCTCGTTCGAGGTGATGGTTCTGAGAGGCGTGGTGCTGCTGTTGATGGAGTAGAGTTCTTGGTATGGAACGTCTGGTCCCTGATAGCTTAAGATGTAGTAACCGCCGGCCGAAGAGAAGGAGGCTGACCAGTACGCAGGGACGGTATCATCGACTAGGGCCTGCTTCTCCAGAGTGGCGTAATTCACCGAGTAGAGATGTCTCTCGGTGCTATCGTGCTCCGTCGAAGTGTAGTAGATCAATTGGCGAGCGGTATCGACCTTGAGCACCGAATCCACTTCCCAGTCTCCACTGGTAAGAGGAATACCCTCGTTTCCGTCCATAGAATACAGATACAGATGCTGCCAGCCGGACTCATCGGAAAGGTCAATGTACCAATCTCCAGATGCATTCACCGCGCCGATGTACTTTATAGCCATATTATTATCCAGCCAGCCGTCAGACCCATCGCGCTCCCGAATGACAGTCGACTGCGGCGCGCTGTAGGATGCCTTGTCCACATCAACCCGCACATGCTTCGACTGATCTTGAACCCGGTTGAATACACGGTACACGAAGCTGCTGTGGCCGTCAGTCAACCAAGTGACCTCACCAATGATCAGATCCTCCGCACCAAACGCATCTAGTGCCACCGGTAGCAGGTCACCACTCTGCACGGTCAGGAGAGTCAAGCTCACGGCTGGGTTCGTGCTCCCAACCTTGGGGTACCGCAAATCTAGCTCTCGTGGATAGCTCGGGGCAATGGGCCGCCCATCCATGTAATAGGTCACAGTGAAGGTCTCTACTCCAGTCTCGTTGAAACTTAGGAACGCCAAGGCCTCCCCGTCGGGCGAGAACCACAATGTCTTCCGAGCGCCGAAGATCTCCTCTTCGTACACCCAGTCCGGCACCGCATGAAAGAGATCAGGGCCTCCATCAGTGGTGATATGGCTCACGGTGCCATTGCGGCTCAGGAAGAGGTTGTTACCACGTACAAATGCGATCGCATCCCCCACGGGCGCAAACTCGGCGTACTGGATATCGCCCACTTGATCTTCCACGAGCGGAGTCACTTTTCCCGATGCGACGTCCAGGACCGAGTAATCGGCAAAGTAGGAGTGCCGATACTGCTTCGTGTGATTTGTAGCGAAGAGTACTTTCTCCAGATCGGGTCGAATCCAGTAATCCCACACGTCCGAGGGGATCTTGTCAGCCGACACGAAAGTAGAGTTCTCCCCCGTGAAGAAGTTCTCGAGGACTAGCGCACCCTCGTCGTCTCGGTAGATGACCTGGCCATCCTCGCCGCCCTCAAGCCAATTGACCGATGCAGAGCTTGCGCCGAACGACGAGGACACCGCCGTCTCGTTGAAGGTGAGGAGTCTTGTTCCGTTGCCAAGGGGTTGATGGGGTTGGCGGGGTGGAGATATTGCCAAACCGACACAGAGGAGCGTGGCGCCCGCTAAGAGTACGGTGCTGCTGGATTTCATGGGCGGATCGGTCACCTAACAGCAATAAAAAGTCAAAATCAAACTCCAGCAAGCTGGGCGCCGAGATAGAGGAGAAAGGCGACGGCGCAGCAGAGACGTGAACAGCTTTCGCACGCCTTTATACTGCGCAATAGCATGGCCAAGAGCTTCATGGTTACATGAACAACTTGCGCTTCCTCTTAGCATTTATCCCGCGTTTAGGTTCTTGTCGGCTACGTACACATCCAGCTGCCGCATTGGGGGAATAAGGGACGATGCTATCAAGGTTCCCGGCTTGGCAATGGTACCATCTTCACTTGGCCGCCGCTCTACCCTGCATTGGGTTATCTGCCCCGATTCTGTGTCGCCAAGGCAAGGGATGAGAAATGAGTCCGCGATAACATATACGTGCAAGAAGATTGTCAGGAAATTTATTGGGAATAACGTTCTGGACAACTAGGTTGTAAAAGTTGAAAAGAAATAACAGAGGACTAGTGGCACACAGTCCACTGGCGGAGCCCTAGTTACTCCGTAACAATGTACACTACTTAGATAGGTAACATTCTACCGTTACACCTGACGGAGGTTAACTTGGCTCAATCAACATCACAATCCTCCATGAGAAAACAAAGAAAACCATAATAGAGCTCTGCTCCAGCCAGCCAAGCAACAACAGAGTCAATAGAAGCCACGGAAGCCCAATATAGTCAATCAAGTAAGTAAGTATACAGCCATACCGTGATGATCCTTGTTAAAAAGATATAAACTCCGGTAAATAAATAAGCCCAAAATAAAAATGTTTAAGAAAGAGTCGGAATAAAAGGCAACAAAAAGAAAAGGTGGTTAACCAGCCCACACCACCCGAATTCCGCAACCGTGTCGATATTAGTATTGTGCTGGTGCGCCCGTCTCGTCCAAAATACGATGTTTCGTGAACGATGATGTTGAACAACAACCACGATCCTTCATAGTGATAACTGCGTTATACGCCCATACAGGTAGTTCCCCCCATGTAAAAATAGTGTATATATCAGCTTATTTCATGACATAAATAGTAGATCAATCCAATGCTTGTGTACGAGTCTAAACTCGAGCCGGTTCCTGCGATATGATCGTCCGGTCCTGCATATCTAGATGTGGTGCCCTTGAATGATGCTCACGACGTAACTAACATCGGACCACAAATTATTGGATATTGAGATCATGAAATCACCATAACTCATTATAAAGCAGTATGTCCTCTAACTCAAGCTATTGTTCTAGCAAGCCCGAGGCAATAAGTACCGACAGAGCTCGCACTCTATTATATTTTACAGAAGGCGGAGTTTATTCAAATCAACATGGGAATGTGTTATACCTCTTAAAGCTAGGTTGGGTGAAAATATCTAGGTATTTAGGGTAAAGCATACCAACGACATCCTCGTATGGAATAGTTCCCACCAGATGGTATTTGTTTACGCGGAACAATATTTAGGACTGTTGCCTGCATCGCCCTCAACATGATCAATTGCCGGTGGTTCAACTCCTCTGCATTATACGGCCTTCCGAAAAGTTGGAGCTTCCTGATGCCCCTAGCGCTGCCGCAGTCAAAGCAATGCTCATGCAAGTTGTTGCATATCTCGACTTGGTGTCCTACTGCAATCTACCCCTCCCTGTGCGCAGCCTAGGTAATCCAGGGAAGGTCAAAGTGAGGGCACCACAGACAGGGAAGTAATAAGCTGAAAGGCTCGATCGAGCAAGTCATGAACTTTCGAGTAAAGTCTATTTTTGTGCATGGCAAACCTAACGTTGACAAACACAATGGCCATCATGTCACTAACAACGAAGAAATACCAGTGTCCCGTGGACATCGATTGCCTTGCCTAGATCGTCCATCTCACAGCCAAAACATGCAGTCGCTGCTGCAACAGCACTTTTACGCAACGACTCGGAAGTGATGACATCATTGAGGAGGCCATTCTAGACTGTTACACGCAAAGGTGGTCAAAGATTTGTGAGGTTGTAACAGCATGACGTTCTATGATTGATTGATTGAAATTTAACGTCTCATCACGTGAGACGTGCCGGGCGCAGTGCCGGCATGGTCAATGCTAGTCGAGTCTATGTTACAGGGGACTGTCTTCATCTGACATTCCTGTTCAGTGCGATGGGCAGATCTCAGTAAAGAAATTGGTCTCCTCCGCCCATTGGCAAAACACACGAGCTCCCTTGGCCGTGCCTAGGAGGGAATCTATACTATTCTTGGCCATATGCGCTTTTAGATGACCGGGCGTGGCCTTGCGGCCGCGCTTGCAAAAGTAGAAGTGGACTGGTGTCTTTGTCTTTCCACACCCGCAGTTGAGCAGTGCGTCGCGATGCTGGAGTCTCTCGTGGTAGGTCACGAAATCCCCGTGGTGCGACCTCGCTGCGAGTAATCTGCCTAGGTGTTGCCGGGGCAGGCCAAGTTCGGGGGGTCGCGGGTGGATAGCGATCCCTAGATCTCGATACTGTTGAGGGCAGGTAGTAGCCCATCGATCGTTGAAACTCTTCCAAGTGTAGGATCTCGCGATTCTCTTTATATGTGCGAATGAGGCCGGGTGTTGTGTCTTGGGTGGTTGCTCACAGGCCGCTTTGGCCTGGACATCTGCTTCTTCGTTTCCGGGGATGCCTACGTGTCCTGGGCACCACCAGATATACACTTGTCCCGGGGATGTCCAGGGTTTTCGCTCTCTCTGTGACCAGGTTTTGGACAGCTCTTGGAAGGCGGTGAACTTTGCTTGACTGCTTCCGGGACTTGGACAGATGAGCCTACCCGCAACCGCGAGATTATTGAGGCAGATGTGGACGTTATCTGCCATGCTGTTGGACGGAAGCTTTACAGCCTCCTGAAGCCCCCGTAGTGCTGCGTGGGCTTCCGCATCGTATACCTCTATCTGAGAGCCCAGTAGCTCGGACCCACAGAGTAGTCTTTTACCGGCCTGATAACCAGCCCAGCCTGCTCCAGCTAAAGTCCTGTAGCTATGGGTAGCCAGCGAGCCGTCTGTATAGATTATTATATCGCGCTTTGAAAACTCGTTTATCCTTTGTAGAAACGAGCGGGCAGCCTCCTCCTTTGACTGCCCGGGATATAACCGATCTTGGCGAGGGTGATGGACCATTCGCCAGCCTGCTCCCAGGGCGGTATTTGCAGAGGATCTATATATTCTGCAGTATCTGGGGTTAGGCTCGCCATACGCCTTAACCTCGAATCGGGGCCCGTAGGATGTCTGAGCCTCCTGCGTAAGGGATGGCGGCTATCCAGTTTGTGTAATCTAACAGAAGCCGCATAGAGTTTTGCGTCGAGTGCGATTTCTGCTGGCGGTAGTGCCGCTTCCCGTTGCAGGATTGGTATTGGCGTGGTCCTATATACAGGAAGCATGGCTCTCATTGCGGTATTCTGCGTTCGATCCATTTGGTCAGCTAGGGATTGGACCCGGTTTAAGATAATGCGTCCATTCTTGTTCCGTCTGGCAGACGGCCACCATGCTTCCGAGGCGTAGAATTGCACGGGGAGCACGCACGCGATTACAGCTTGACGGAGTAGTCGTGTTGGGGCCCCTCTGATTGTGTTTCCTAACGACCTGAGTCCGTTAGCAACCTGTAGAGCTTTAGCTGAGACGAATTTGACATGGGCCTTAAAGCTAAGCTTTCTATCGAAGTAGACGCCTAACCACCTGAGTGCAGCACCAATTTTGATGGGTTGAACAGCGTGGATCGTTCCATTCTGTTGCGTAGTGGTAATGGGTGGGTTTGCATCTCTCCCTCTTCTTGTGAAGTGTATTAGCTCAGTCTTGTCGGGGTCGAACGTGATACCCTCAGACATGCTCCAGTCGAGTGCTGCTTTCCACTCTTCGGCCAGTATAGTGCAATTTTCTTCTAGGGAACTAGAGCTTGACAGTATAGCTATGTCGTCCACGTAGCCGAATCGCGAGCGCTTGCGTCCAGGTCGGCAGGTGCCCAGCTTAAATAGGGGCTCGATATATAGAAGGAGGAGGATCGGCGAGACGGGCGATCCTTGCGGAAGTCTATATTCGAGGTCAAAGGTGTCTCCGGTTTCCCCGTCTAGCCGTATTCTCCCCTTTCGCTGCGTGGCAAAGCTATAAACCCAGCGTACCAGGTTTTCCGGCCAGCCTTGTCGGTGGAGGCGCTGTGCCAGTCTGCCTGGTAGGACGGAGTCGAATGCACCTCTGATGTCCATCGTCAGCATAGAGGTAAATTTTCCTTGTTGCCAAGCGGTTTCTATATCATGGATTACAGCTGAAATCAGATCGCTACACGATCGTTGTGGGAGCGCTCCGAATTGTTGGCTATGCAGGACTCGGTGCTTTACTGCGACCCAGGAGAGGCGTTTTGCAATAAGTCTTTCAAGGCCTTTCCCAAGTACGGATAGGAGGGAGTTGGACAATATGGGCCCTGTGGGCCATGTGGGTCCTATACTTGCCACTATCGCCACCTAGAACGGCGACCATCCCCACATACCTCTATTACGAGAAATGTGGCGAGGATAGAACATTCCCTACTTATCTATATGCTTCTACAACTTGTCTGAATTAATCAGCAAGTCTACCATTCATTGACTATATAAGAACCCTTTTGTTTCCATACATAGACCCTCGAAGAGAGGACCAGAGTTAGCTACAATACATACAGGTTAGGCATATGTGCCCTCCTTTTGCTCCTTCAACGGGAACATCAAATCCAAGTGAGGGCAATAGGTCGATATGAGCGTACTGCCGTTTTATCCTTTTTGCCTGGCTTGGCCAGAATAACGAGCGTTGCCTCTTTGAAACATGTAGGATGCCATCCAACTTCGACGCAGGCTCGGAAGAGCGCAACGACTACTTCTTTGATAACTGGCCAAGCAGTTGTTAGGGCTGCAGTTGTAATGCCATCGGTTCCGGGGCTGGTGTTGCCGGCCTGGAGGATAGCCCTTTGGACTTCCTTTGCGGTGACACGGGGGAAAGGGAGCTTCGGATCGGGTCCCGGTGCTCGCAGCTCGCTGG